ATGAAATTCGTTGACCATAATTGACTCAAAACCATAACGAATAGGATTCAACCAGTTAATCCATTTAAACCAGGGATGCATGGATGGGAGCTGGATCATGAAACATGAGTAACAAATAGCTGCAAGAGTGAGAAGACCACATATGGAATTAGCAATTGAAAGTGCTGGAGAGAATATAGCAATCATTTGGAAAAAAGCATTCATAGAAAATGAAGACAAAATGACAAACAAGAAGTTGACAAAAAAGTTACCTGCATCACGTTTAAGATGGGCCAAAAAAAAGTTGATTATGATAAAAGGAACTATGCCAAGCATTTTGAACATAGCATCAACAATAAAGGAAGCAAAGAATTCAGTGGAAGGATGGCAGAATGAATAAGCTTTTTGTTTAAGAAGGATGGGACGTTTTTGGAAGCTATTGGAAACTGAAGCAAGACCAGCCAAAGAATAATATAAGATACAAAAAAACAAATTGCCTCCTCTTGAGAAAGCTCCGGAGGTAGTATTTGGAATATTATAATAAAGGGAACCTGTGATCAAAGCCTGGATTATGTCGGAGATGATTTGAGTAGATAAATAGGATAAATCACCAAGGGCAACTTGATAAGCTCTAACAAAGTTAAGTCTTAACTGTTCAGCGTAACTGACAGTGAAGGTTGAATGTACCCGACTCTTTTCAATTTTAGAAGATTCAAAGAAAAGATCTTCGGTATCACTACCAGCAAACAGCTTCTCATTTTGGGCAATTTCTTCACTCAATTTTTGGAATTGTGGTGAGTTATGCCAATAATTTTCAAACTCCACAGCATTTCTTGGGACCTTGTTTTCATATCCAGGCTTGGTTGTTCTGCCAAGTGGATCAGTGATTGCAGTCAAGAATTCGGGGGTGGCCTGGCGTTGTGGACATTCATAACCCATGTTTTCAAAATATGGCTTCGCATCGTGGATTGGCCCAAAGAAAATCTGCCTTCCTTCATAAAGAATCAAGACTTTATCGAATTTTTCATAAATGTTTTCGGAGGCCTGATAAATTGTGACAAAATTGGTTGCATCTAAAAGATTGGCAAGGACTCTGATGGCAGATGCGTATTCCAAGGCTGTGGAAGCATCCAAACCTCTGGTAGCATTATCCCAGCAGTAAACTTTGGCATCGGCAGCTAAGGCTTCAGCGATAGAAACTCTTTTTCTCTCACCGCCAGAAACACCACGTACAAAATCATTCCCAACTTTGGTATTATAAGTATGTCTTAATCCAAAGATAGTGGCCAACATGTCAGTCTTGAAATCCACATATTGCTTCACTGTCGCGTTGTCAGTAACCGCATTCACTCTGGTATTTGGAACTTTACAACCAATAGCAAACTGTAAAGTCTGCTGGACTGTCAAGTGTGGAAAGTGAACATCCAATTCTGGGTTATAAATAAGATCGTTCTTATGATGTTTCAACATATGATCTTGAGTAACACCATCGAAGGTGATAGACCCCTCGGTACCCTCATATTGATCAAGACCTTCTCCTGAAATGGATTTAAGTAAGGAAGAGCAACCAGCACCCGGTCTGCCAAGGACAAGACACATTTCACCGGCCTTAACAACAGCATTCACTCTGTTTACTATCCTTCTAAATGGCTTTTCAGCTCTAGAGTGTAATCCTGAGATAATTTTACTAGGGATGTTCAAGGTTGAGCCAAAGGTAGGAGCGAAAGTTGCAGATCTATCGACACCAATTATAGCGGCATCATGTAAAAGCACGCCGGTTGATCTAAGTTTGACATTTCCTCTATCAGAATTTTTCAAATGGCCTTTGAGAAGTTGTGCAAGGTCAAAATCATCAGGGTCAATAGTAAAAGTGTCTCTGGTAGTGACATTGGATAATTGTATTGAAAGAGTTTCTAAACGATGAAGGACGTTGTTTGGGTCATTTTGGTCAACATTAGAAGCAATTCTGGAGACTATTTCAATTTCATCGCTTGTATGATTAGCTTCATGTCCCGAACCTGGGTTAAACGACTGGATATCAGAGTTTGAATCTGAGATAGTATCGTCTATGATAGACTTTTTCATGTCATCCATTTTTCAAATGATCAAAAGCCTAGAGAACTTGAAGTAATATAATTTTCATATAAAAGCCATTATTCTGTTGATAGGGGAGCAGAAAGGCCACTTATGTATTAGCTACAAATTATGTTGACATAAACAGGCCTTAGGTTATATCCCGTGTTAGATTTATACCAAAGGAAAATAAAAACCGAATAATTAAATTGTTTCGGGTTATCAATTGTTAAATCCCGCAGAAAAACTTGCATCATCAACGTTATTATTTCTTAAAACCCGCAAAAAAATCTTTATTATAAACAAATACTAATAATTACGTAAAAATGAAGTTGCAGGGTTTTTTTTAACTCCGTGCTACAAGTATCTTTTAAATCCGATTTACAAAAAAAAAGTTACAAAGATTACAACATTCAGTTGAAAAAAAATCCACATCGTCAACAAATACTAATAATTACGTAAAAGTGATGTTGGCAAATTTTCTTTAAGTCCGTGCTACAAGTATCTTTTAAATCCGAGGTACATAAAAATAGGGATAAAGATTGTAGCATTTAGTTGAACAATAAACGCTAGGAAACATGAATTTAAATTTCAAAATTTTTTATTAGGGAAGCCAGCATTTCCTCTTTTTTTAAATTACTATGGGTGGATACATTTATGCTTCTAATGCGTAATAAATACACACCAAACATTTTTTGTTGCTTATTAACCATTAGTAAACAGACTCAATGCTGAAATGCCTTTTCGAAATAACAACATTTTCAAAATACTTTTCTTCGGTAAATTATTGAGTTTAAGGCCACCATAAGAAAATCAAAGAGTAATAAATTTTTAGGAATCTGTAATATCTTGAGTATTTGAAATTGCTATTCTTATTAGAATATTATACACTTAATGGAAGTGGAAATATTGATTATTTTATAAATAGTAGTTCTTGGATCAAAAAAATTGAAGTAGAGATAAGAAATGGGGGTATAACTCAAAGATAGGAGTGTATTGATAGAATAATAGAAGTCTAAGATAAGATAAATAAGTAAGAGCTAAAGCAAGAGGAGAAAATAGAGAAAATGAATTATTAGATAATATTGGAATTCAAATATTACCAATACTATATTACAAGATCTGACTTTCTCAATTATCATACATTTTCTCAACCACCGTAATAATGCACCACATTATTCTCAAGATATCCAAGGTTAGATATTAAGCACTAATTTTCTTTGAAACATCTTAAAATCCTCTAAATATGCCAATAGTAGCATTACATTTTCTTTCTGAAATTACATTCTTTCAAAATATACACATCACTATATCACCTTCATCACACACATCTTAACCAAAATAGTTACCATCTTTCCTTTATCCTTTTTCAACACCTTAAATTACTCAAAAAAATTTATTTTTTTTATTCATCAATCTAATTGTCTCAGAAATCGTCTATCCTTACTTCAACTCCTCTGAATTTATGGGTAATAAATATATAGTTTTTTCCTACTCTTCTGTTTTTCAATAATACTGAATTGCAAACTTCTCCAATTTACCGTAAAAGAAAATCCCTGATTTTTCCTGATTTGAACAGTGGATTATTTATTTAGCAGGCAGCTCTCAATTTCCAATATCAGAGTTGTCATCTCTTCTTTCAGTGACCTTGCAACACCATTTTAACATCCCTATAATTTCATCTTCTTCCTAAAAAAAAAAAAAAAAAAAAATAGATCAATTTTCTGAAAAGTTATATCTTTTGGTTGTATCTTTTCTTCTCCAAAAACTTATTCCTACCTGTTTGTCCAATTTTCGGTATTCTTGAAAGATTCTGGTAACGCAAGGAGAAACATATATTAATGAGTTATTTGTACATTAATGACTCATAAAGATTCGAAGTAACGTATATGAATGAATGAGTTATATGTTAACGAGTCGCAGATGTTCTAAATAAAATGCAATCCGGGCACTTTGCGGCGGTCCTTGTTAATGGGTTTTGGTACTATATCTCAAATACTAAGTATTTTCAGATTAATGACCATCAGAATTCTGGGGAGAATAATAAAAATCAATAAAATAGTTAAAAAAAAACAATAAACCAAATAAATCAAATAATAAAAAATCAATGAAGTAGTGAAAAAATAATAACGTATACCAACCAACCAAATCAAATTAAATTGTATATTGACGAATATACCAATGCATGAATGAATGAATTGTATATTAACGAGTCACAGAGGTTCTAAATATACCAATGCGGCGGTACATTTATTCTAGCACATCTTTATTATTGATATCTCTCATGCAAATATCTGCGCGAATGGTGTAGTGGCTAGCATTGCTGCCTTCCAAGCAGCAGAGCCGGGTTCGATTCCCGGTTCGCGCATTTCTTTTTTGACGACAGTATTTTTTCAATATACTTTTTATTGAGCAAACTACAGGAGGAGGTGGTAGACAGAGAATTTGGGAATTGAGAAACAAACATTAATTGCCTATTTATCCTCTTGCTCTTGCACTAAAATTACTAGCCCAGTTAAAAGTAATGATACTTTATTCCCTGAATACAGGAGATCTTGCCTTGGGTGATCCTAAATTCCATAAAATACCTAAAGGATACAATCAGGACTCTTTGGTGAATATATCATATCATTAAACAATAACTACAAAAATATGGTGATATGTTCCAAAACAGTACGTCAATGTCTTCCTAAAACTTCCCAAGAGATCGTCTACGAAGTGTTTTTACTGATTATCTACAAGAAGTGTTTCAATTAGACATTTTAGATGAACCATGAATAATATTTGGGCAGCTGATATGTCACATGTATGATAAAGGAACAGGGCACATAGTATCCCGTTCTTTTGATACGTAAATGAGAATGGAAACAAGGACAAATCAAAAACCCAAAGGAAGAAATAATCTAACATCATATATTGTACGATACACTTGATAATACACTTACAAAATGTCCAGCCTAATATCAGAAGTAAATGCGACCTGTTTGGATCTATTATTGATAGAAATGGTGCCTTTGGCTATTCGTGTGACCAAAGATCTAGAAAATGAAAATGTGATCACAAAGGAAGAGAACTTTGAGGAAACCGATTTAATAGGAAAGCTAAATATTAAGGATGGCGCCACTAAAGAATTAAACATTGATGATAAACATGGAAGAATTGATCTTCTTGAAGACCAGGACAATTTGGGAAACAACGATGTTATATACAGAATTGAAAGTTATGGCTACAATATCGGGCTAAGGGTAGGGGAATTGTTGAATTATAAATTAAACAACGACGAATTCGCTAATGGTTTAAACAGACAGAACTTGAAATTGAATATGGATATTTTGAACATCATGAAGTTCATTTGTCGTGATATATGGAAAAACTTATATGGAAAACAGATGGATAATTTAAGAACTAATCATAGAGGAGCGTTTGTATTGATCGACCATAACTTTAAGGGAATATCGAAAATGAATAGTGCAAAAGGAGAAGAAATAACAAATGAAAAAATAAAAACTTATTTATGGTTTCCATGCGGTATCATCAGAGGAATATTGTCAAGCTTGGGAGTTGATTCCTCTATTCAGGCTGAAATCACTCAATTCCCTGGTGTTTCTTTCAATATTCAAACAAAAATGCAAACTTGAATGAACACCACACTTTTGAAGCAAACTATGATCTTACATTCTGTAGTTGTCCTTCACCCATTAGAATAGTTTAGAATATTGGGATCAATTTTTTTTTTTCGTAATTCTCAATCAGTATATATAAGTGTAGTTTGAAAAGATTTGAGAAGAAAGACAATTAAAACCCATAGTGAAATTTCCCATGAAGATAAAACAGAAAAAAGAAAAACAAAAAATAGAATATGATAGAGTAGTCAACTGGGATTGATGAATTATATAAACGCTAGAAGTTATTGGAAAAGGGAGGCTGCTTTCGAATCCAATCATGCAAAATCTCCATAGATGCCGATGATGGAAACACCAAACGCAGCACCGACTATATAAGTAGCAGTAGCGTAACCAGATTTAAGTTTTTCCAAACCTGCAATGGTATTGGTTTTCAATATGGAGTTATTCACAGCTGATTCAATATCATCCTCGTCTTGTTTGATACTTTTGTCATCTTCAGAGTCAGCCCCAAGGTTCTGGTAAACAGAATTGTCAAGGTGAGAAGGTTCTTCCTTTTCGGTTTTTTTAGACTTCAATGATGCAGAAGCTTCAACCTGTAAATCAGAGTCTGAGTCCAATAATTTTACTTCAACATTGTAGGTTTTGAAAAACAAAGCGGTCATGGCAATTGGAGCACCCAAGGCAGAATAAATCAAGTAAGGATGACGTGCTCTTGGAGGAGCTTTGATAAATGCCAAAGAAAGTAAGGCAGTAGCAGCAGAGCCAAGACATAACACTAGGGAACGAGTCTTTTTTATGATTTTTTTAGCGGATTCTCTGATCTCGTCCAAACTAGATGATTTCGAAAATTGGATCAAAAGAGGCAAACCACTGAAGGCTTGCTGCCCCAAAAAGCCTGTGAGAAGACCCAAACAGGAGACACTGATAATTTTAGTAGTAGCAAGACAGGTGCCCATTATTTACTGAGATTATTATTGTATATGAAATTGACCGAAGTTTTCACTAGTTGAAACAATCTGGTGAAGAGCTTCTAAAGATCTCAGCTCATCTAATTTCTTGTATGGTTTTGTTTTCAGAGCAATAGAGAAAGGGCGGGTGATACAGATCAATTACAGGGTGACTCACCCCGCATATAAGAAAGTTTACAAATATTACTGTATTGTTATAAGTATAATTACTATTATTATTATTACTATTATTATTATTATTATTATTATTATTATTATTATCATTATTATTGTTATTATACAAAATCATAAAAATCAAGGAAAGCAAAACTGACTTCTGTTTAAAATATTAATCATCCCCAGGGTCATTATCAGGATCTTTCGGTGAATTGGTACGGAATGTCATTTCATTCTCAGAAAACAAGTGTTTAGAGAGTACTTTATTCATCAGGAAAATTGTTACCTTTTTTCCAAACACAGGCCGCATATTTTCATCACACAAGATTTCTCTTCTATCTTTTGGATTCTGGAGATCGTGCTCTTTAATATACGCCCATACCCGTTTTACGATGTCTGTTCTAGGAAGCGGACAATCCACATTCAAGAAAGCCTTCAACTCATTACTTAGCAATGACTGGGGCATTCCTCCCCCTCTTTTAGGTCGTGGTGGTGGAGGAGAAATATACGAATGAGCTTTTCTAAGATTTCTAGAGTTCAACAGAGCATGAAGCTTTGTAGCCAAAATCTCATCATCAATTTTTTTCTTTCTCTGTCTTTTTATTCTTTTATTGGAACTTTTATCGCCTTCTAAACCACTATCACTATCATTATCATCACTTTTTTTAGTAGCAGCTTTGGACTCTCGTTCATCAACTAACTTATAGTATCTTTCCATTATCAATGAAGCAAGGGGCTTCTTTTCGGGTCCCAAATCAATCACAAAAAGTGCCTGAAGAGCATTTCTAATCTTCTTCACCGTGACTTCATGAAGATCAGATACACTGAGAATTGCGTCAATCATCGGTACATACTTCTGAAGACTGCTAGAATTATCGGGGGATTCCGTAGGTGGCAAAGTTGAAGACATATTTTAATAATTTATCTGATACATTAATAAACAGGAATAATCAATTGGGCCTTATATATATACACTAACACAAGCTCCCCTTCTAAGTTGGTGTCCGGCTTCCTAAGTAAAATTCCCCTTAAGAGAAATTTCTGTGGGGTTATGTAGCGATCGCACACAGGGTAAACGAATCATCACTACAAAAACAAAAACATCAACAAACCTCCCACATACCACCTATCATGTTCCAAATGTTAATGTCCAACAGAGAAAGCTCTTGAAAGGTTTATACCGCCATAAACACAAACTTCTTTTTATCATTCAAGTGCCCTTTAACATACTTCATTACTTTTTCTTTGTTCTTGTTTGGAAATCCTGTGTCCCTTTGGGAACGATACAACTAAAAACCAAGCATCTATTTATAACTTGACCGACCACTAATTAATCAAATACACATCAGACCTATGAATAGGGTTACATCAATTGTATCTGGAAATGGCAGCTTGCTGAGCTCGTTATCATCAATGAACCTCACTGATGTTAGCTCGATTAATATTCATGACGTTTATCTAAAGGTCCTTCAAGTGGCTATCATTGACTATCGTACGGAACCACGCTTTAGAACACCAATAATAACCCCAAAAGCTGCCTCATCAAGTAGCCCTGCCCTGTTATCTGCTTCCAGCAGCTCAACCAATGCAAAAAGGACTTCATACAGTGCGCCAACTTCAAGCTCAAAGCCCTTAACCAAACTTCTATCGCATTTTGACTCTAAGGAAGAATCAGAGAATAATTATAAATTACCAAAAGATACCCTCAAGAACCTTAAAGCCATCTTGGATTCAATAGCTATCAAAGCATCTCATAAGTACTTATCGGATGGAACTAGGAGATGTATGCTCAGTTTCTACACAATGATCCCTCAAATCCCCTCATCTGATACTAGAAATCCCAGCTACTTAATCAATATGTATACTAAGGCCATCAACAAGGAAATCCCATTCATAAGAGATCCAAATGTCGAAGTTAACGCGGTTATATTCAAAGAACTCTCTCATTTTATAAGTATATTGATCGAAGCTATTAGAAATGAGAAAAATACCGAAGCTGCGATTGCATACTTGAAAGAAACAAAATCTTCAATGGATACAAAAACCAAAAGTATGGTTAATTATGGCTATTCAACAGGATCATCTGCCTCAAATAACGCGAATGTCATTACAAAATTCACAGAACCATCTTTCCTCATAAGTGAAATGCCACTTGTCCAATTGGTGGGAGAAATGTTTTTCGTTGACAAAGAGAGTCTTCAACATGATGTTAGAAAATTGAAGGACTCTGCTACTGAAATTGCTTTACAAGAAGATCTTAAAGGAATAATTTCAAGCGCGCATAATGATTCAGGGGTATATTTTCCCTCAGATTTTCTAACAGAGCAGCAATATAAGCAGTGGAAAGATCGTGAATCTATGGGAATTGCCTCGCTATTGGCAAAATTGAAAAGGCCCAGTGCAATGGACAGACAAAGTTTGCCTACATCAAGATCTGGACCTTATTATATTATACCTTCATTAACAAGAGAATATTATATCAAGCTTCTTGAGGTTTGTCTTAAATATAACAAGCTCAATAATGATGAATCCTTGCTATTTTCCAATACTACTAATGAACTTATTCAACTTGTATCAAGTTATTGGAGAGTAAATGATACAGCTAAAGCTGCACTACTTTTCACGGCAGCAAATAACACCGTGATCAACTTGACAGTGAATACCGGTGAGATCGTTGATATTGATACCACCAAATGTGGAACAGTAATCAACACTGCTTTTAGATGTTTAAAACATGATGATGAAATGGATATTTTAGAATGGCCTGAACCTGATAAAAAAGAGTGGGTCAATAATGTTCAGATAGTCTATTTGCAGATAATGGGAAGCATAAGAAAATTGTTGGCATGTGTTTTTGAACCCACCAGACCCAAGTTTAACAAATACATCATGTTTTTGCTAGATTATGTACAAGCTGACCCAAGTTATGAAGAATTCATTGTCAAATCGGGATTAACTAAGAAATGGGAAAGGAGATTGACCATAGCTGTTGGTAAGGCAATTGATGGAAAATATGTCGATATCTTATCAAAAATTCCTAGAGACTCGTCACTTACATTACTACATGTCTATAATGCTGCTATTGAAATTATCGAAACTTTGCAGCAAACCCAAGCACGGTTCAAACAATCTTTTTTAGGAATTATTAATATTGTTCATCTTACAACACAACAATTCACTTCAGGTTTTGGAAGAGATTCAAGAGCCATGCTTTATCACATTGTGAATAGAATTAAAGAGAAAGAGGGAAACCTTGATTCTGTCAATTACGATGATGCGATTAGTATATATAAGAAGCTATGCGATGTTAGATTTTCTTATGAGCAAGTTATGAGCGTCTCTAGAAACCCGTTCCCTTTCAATTTGGAACAGTTTTTTTATCCATTTGTTGAGAATTTTGTCCATGATTGCGAGTCTAAAATAAAGCAAATGATTATTAACGCTTTTGAGCAAGATAATTTTGAAGTACTTGAGGATGATCCAGATAAAGTTTCCGGGTCAGTGAAAAACTGCCTACGAATTTTTAATCAGAATTTGTCTGTTTTGAAAGACTTGGGCTGGGAGAATGAGTATCAACTCAGCAAGCTCTATACAATTATGATTAAGGGTATTTGCGAATCCATTACCACCTACGGTTATAAGTGCCTCGAGATTATTACCATGGACTTGAATGATGCCTCTGCTGAAATTGCAGACTTTGGGGACGATGGTACGGTGGTACCACAAGACGATGAAAACAATGCCATGAAGTGGTTATCAGGTGTCAGAGCGGCAGTGACTGGTAATCAAAAAGTTGAACCGCCAAAACCTTACAAATTTAAGGAACGGACTTGCGTGCTTTTGAACAATATCGGAGCAATGCTACAAAACATTGATAAGATTGAGGATCTGGTCAATCCTGAAAATATTTCGGCTATTATTCAAGCTAGAGAAGGACCACCGAAATCTTCAAGTTCTCTAAATTTGTTTTCAATCAAGATTGTCAAGGCAGAAAATTTGAAGGCAGTAGGCTCTGATGGCTTTTCTGATACGTACGTCATGCTTACAGACTCAAGTTCTAGATCTACCGTTGGTAAAACCCGTAAAATCCTTGATGATTTGAACCCACAATTTAACGAAGAGTTTGAATTCACGGTTCCTATGTCTAATCCAGGCTTCCTCACTGCTACTGTCTGGGATGATTCAAAATCCACCGTTAGAAGCCACGAGATCCTTGGAAGAGCTACGATTCATCTTGATCCTAGAAAGTATAATGATAATGGTATTCCTCATGATAGATGGTATGAATTGGATACCCAAGGAAGATTGATGTGCTCAATTTCTATGGAAAGTGAAAAGGTGGACGCTCTTTTCTGTTTAGGAAGAGCACATAGATCGTTGGTTAGAATCAGAGATAGATCTATAAGTTTGATGGTGAACAAATTTTCGAAATTCATTTTCTATTCTCTCTCGCGCTCAACATTGAAAACAACTTGTGGTAATAATGGATCCATGAGACCTGGAAAGGATACCCTTAGAGGTGCTATTTCCCCATTAGGAAACTATTTGAACTCTAATTTATTTGTCTTGGCTGAAATTTTGACAAATAAGATGTTAATTAAAGTGATGTTGGAATGCTGGTCCGTTGTCTTAACTACCGCCGATTTACTTCTTTTACCTCCATTGAGCTCTGCAAGGAACTCTTTGGTATCAGAATCTAACAACAATATTTGGCAAAATGCAATTGCTAGTTTGGGAGGAAATTCCAATAGACCTTTGACTCAGATTGAATTGGAAATTACCTTTGAATGGTTAAAAATTTTGTGCGTGGAATTCTTTTATGCTAACGGTGAAGGTCCTCCATTGGAAAAATTGCAGGATCATAAATATCAAACTCTACTTTTAGTTCCTGTACATTATGTAACCGACGTTAGTTCATTGGTTGAAGAATTACAGCAGCTAATTCCTTCTGTCAACAGATACATCAAGGAGAAAAATTATTATGATATTTCGGACTTAACTGGTATAACAAAGGGCCCCAAGTCTAAAGATAGTATTAAACTTACAAGGTCAGGCACTGTTGCTAGATCCAAAACGATTATGGCTCAAGGTTCTGCAAAGGCTAGAGCCCAGGCTAAACAGGAAGTCAAGGCTGCTGAAACTGATCCACTTGCTGTTAAATCGGAGACCGAGGATATAATTTTGAGAATATTGATAGCAAAAGGACAGAAGCTGTATGTGGCGGGAAGACTTCAAGAACGTGAGGCAGTTGCACGAATTACCCAAACAGAAATCTTGGCTAAAGCCGCTGCTAATGGTATTAGAATTGTATGATTTATATTTCAAAAAGTTTTGTATTCTCTATGATTTATTTTTCGTTAACCTAGTTATTTTCTCAGTTGATTAACTCTAAGTATTAATTTTGTAATTATCAGCCGTTTTGGTGTATATGTCAAAAGCAAGCACGCATCTGAACAAAAAAGAAAAAATAAAAAAAAAAAAAAAAATAATATGCGAAGCTTTAGAAAAGTTTCCTCATATCACTAGAATTTATGAGCAGTGATTTGATATTTCATAAGATTTACGGAAATAATAGAGCAATGCCACTTTTATTTCGAAGTTTGGTGCTCCCCAAGCATTTTTACAAAAATTATTGCTATAAGTCTCTATCGTTAGATCCAAGGCATCATGTCATATTCAAGAGCGCAAACCCCCCCACTAAGTTACAATTTCAAGAGACTGAACCAATAGGTGACCACAATACTGATAACATGGATAAATTAGCCAGTGATAATAAGCGGTTGATCAATCTTAATGAAATGAGAAGTTTTTTGGAGTGCCAAATCCCAAACTTGCTTCAAAACTCTTTCGAAGATGGAAGATTGTCCGATCACGTCATTTTAAGGGTATGTCCACACACCCATCCACTACTACCCATTATAAAGAACAAATATCCTTATCTAATAGCATTGAAAGCTTTAAGAAAGCTTCTCACAAGCTTTATAATAAATCCCAAAGTTAGGCTACATATTTCAAGTATTCATGTTGAGAAGCCCAGCATACAGATTGATTGTACCAGGTTTGACGACAATAAGGAATTGGAAAACCAATTAGAATCAGAGTTGCTTGATAAGTTTTCGTTCGATGGATCTGAATCTGTGATAAAATCGATTAATCATAGTCATAGATACAGCTTATTTCCTTGGACATATAAGATTATTGTCAAATGGAGGAGTTGTACGGAGGATTGTTCTCATTTGCTTGAAAGTGAAACGCACGCCGGCGATTATCTGGATACTACGGTAATGAAGACTGAGGCCGAGAATCTGGGTCTATATAGGGCTGTCAAAATAGATGAAAAGTTTCTAAGGGACTCAAATTTAAATAATTTCAATCAGACGCTTGATACATTATTCATCAATGATAATAATTCTTCTTTTGACTGCAAAGAGTTTGAGAGAGTGTTGAGTGGTGTGTTTATTTTTGAATTAAACTTGAGTAATGATAAAGTATTGGTACATAACATAGAAGATATAGAAATCATTGAAAGGAAAATAGAGGAACGTGATTTGAATAGTCTATTGGGAATGACTTAGGTGATATATAACATAATGAATGAAACATGTAAATATCATTACAGAAGTAGAATTTAGTAATGAATTAAAGTACTAAAAGCAAAGCAAAAGCAAAAAAAATAATGAAATAAAAAATAAAAACTGGATAAAACAGAAACTTGAAATATGGAAATGAAGAGCATCTCCTTCGTGAAAAAAATATCTCACATTCTTGCCACTCCCCCATCAACCAAGAGCTGCTTGTCAAATATATTATGCGGATCGTTTTCTAAACGCTTCCAACTAGATACACTGTTACGATTGGTATCTATTTGGAAGACCCTAACTCGTCTGCTGGTACCACCGTACCCTGCATACCCACCTTCCCCAGCTGCACCCCCATAACATAGCCATAGATTATTATTGCTCTTTGCACCTTCCTCAACATCAAATAAACAGAAGTCGTTACAATGGTCATGACCAACCGATACCACACTCACCCCAATCTTAGAAAAGACTGTCCTAACACCTGTATTATAGTTTGAAGCGGTAACCCCCTCTTTTGCTGATCCCACAACATTATCTCCTTTGAAATTTCTAAATTCTGGAATAGGGATATGGAAGAAAGCCATAGATAAGTGAATGTGTGAGTATTTGGAAATTGCAGGCTTCAATTCAGCATGCTCAATTTCAAGCCAATCTAATTGATTATCCTTCAACCAATCATATCCAGGATTAGTCTTTGGCAGTGGGGAATATTTGTGGGTATCTAAGAACCACAACAGCATTGCCGGATTAGAGGATTTTGGCCCGTCAACTGTGAGGTAGTAGTTACCCACACCTGAAACCTTCTTTGGACCTACCTGCGAAAGGGAATAAGGTAAATTACTGGTTATTTGCATTACCTGTTCTCTCGTTAGAGTACTTTCGTCGTCATGATTTCCCAAGACAGTGGCGAATGGAATTTTATACTCAATGAATAACGCCAACGATTTCAACAAAGATGACAAAGCGTCTGGAGATGTCTCTCCGAATATCTGATCTCCAGTTAATACAACGAAGTCAGGCTTTTCAATATCCAAAACTTTTCTGAGGAACTTTAGGGTTCTTGGGTCAGCTTCACAATCTGTTGCTGATTCTTCAGGGAAAGGGTCTCTACATTCACCAACCCCTGTAGAGAAATGAAGGTCTGCAACTTGTAAGATTTTGAATTCCCCATTGGAATTAATTTTTAAATTTGGTTTTTTTATGGTTTTTGCTGAATTAAGCAAGTGCTTGTTTTGCAAAGTTAAAAAAGTTGAGAATTCTTGGCCTTCAATATCCAAGTTATTTGGAATCATATACCAGTCCGCACGAGGATCAATAGCATCTTCTCCATAAATAACATCAAGCTTTTGCAATGTGTTCTGAGCATTGAGTGCTCCTAATTTGTACCACAATCCATGATCCACTTGAGTCCAACCCAAACCTTTGACCTCTTTCAAGCTTGGAATTCGCAACTCATTTCTCTTTTCGGCCCCTGAAAATAGCATATTCTTGGTATAAATATAGTTATCAGTAATCATTTTAGTAAGTGACTCCCCTTTATTATTGAACTCACTGATAATTCTTGAAGGTATTTTATCCTTGTTTTCCTTAGATGAATCGACTTCTGGATTGTAAATGGCTATTTGATTCACAAATTTGTCTTTTTTATGGAAGTTTTCAGAGAGGTAGGCATCTTTCTTGAGCTCTGGTGCATTTATGGTTTTAATAAATAAATAATAATTGTTGAAATCAAGATTCCATTGATTTTGGTTCCTGAGAAACAAATTCTTATTGATCCTGACCCATTTGATATTCAATGACTTTTCAGAGTCAGAATCTTGTATTGTACAATCAGACAAGGCTTTGGAACACTTTTTGAACCGGATATCAAGAATATACTCATCAAAATCATCAAAACCATAAGTTTGCTCAAAAGTCAACTCAATTGGATGGACCTCCGAGTCATAAGTTTTCCGTTTCACTATCCAGATGGTACTTAATATGAAAAAACCACCCAAACCGTATATGATTGCCCTGATCAATTTTTTTGAGAGCATTACCTGAATGATGATTAAAGACGATTTTCTAAGATTGATATGTCAGATCATAAATCAAGATCGTTGATGTTTTTGACAAGCGTTTTTTTTTTTCCTTGTTTTATTTTTTGATCGCGGACGCTCCTGACCATTTACCGATTGGTGAGCTATCGATAGCTACTACCATTAACAAAAATTCATTTTGATTGACCAGATTTTTAAATAAAATGGGTAATTAGAAATGAAAAATTCTTATTTGAAAGTCTCAAGTATCGCTATTTCTTCCCATCAAAGGACCATTTCTTTATATATAAAAAAATTTCGGTTTTAAAAAAGTTACAAATAATGCTTTTTATCAATTACTATCAAATAAAGTACATATAACACAAGCAAAATAAACCAAATATACACCCATAATAGAAAAGAGGTGCTATAATAGGGAAGAAGAGCTACATGCTCCACTGAGTGGAGTGTTCTTCATGTTTCATACCATCATTTTTTCCCAGCAGCCCTTCTAAAAGGATGAGCTTCGGTATTAAGCACCCAATCATCTAAACTCCAAACTTCTTTATCCGAAAACAATAAATAATAATACTTCAAAGTTTCTGCGAACCAGAAACTTTCACAACTGTCTTTAGCATTTCCTTTATTTATAGCGCCATTTGACAAATATAAATGGCTAACATCTTTCAAAGCAGCAGCGCCTTCTGGAATACTCACATGCTTTAAAGTATTCATGAACATTTTCCACCCCTTCTCTCTCCATTCCAAATCACCAGTGATTCTATACATGTAAAAAACTGACTCGATTAATTCTGGTCTCAAAATGAACTTTGGATCCATGTTATTGGCGTATAATGGAACATTAAAAGTATCTCCGACTCTCCAGATTATGTCACCTCTTTTGTTTCTGGTGAGCTTTTCTCCTGCCAAATTAGATTCAACGATTGGAAATCGCATTTGGAACTTTGGTTTCGGCTTTGGAGGGAACTTTTTAATTTTGCTAGTATCATATTTACCACCATTCCTGCCCAATTTATATTGATCAAAATTCTGGTCATCAACATTAATGTCTCTGTACAAGCGGTCTTCTTCGCTAATACCATCACTTCCTATATTAACTTCACTCTCGGGTAATTGTTCAGCCAAGTTATCGTATCTATTTGAGTAACCACCGTTGAATTCAATACCGTTCAATAAATCATAGTCGGATGAAAGATGTGACTCCATGAGCCCTTCGGTTTCCATCCTTATCCTTTTAATTTTATCTCTGACATCAAATTGGCATTCTGGATCATCTTCAGTCGTTCCTTCGGGACAGTGCTCCACAATCATCCATTCTGGCATTAGTTCCATTAGTTCATAAATCTTATAACAACCATTGGTAAGTTTCTTGGCAATTTGCAATTCTTCATCATTTCCAGTGATTCTGGACGATAGCCCAAACATTCCACCGGCGAAGCAACTCAAGTGGGAAATCCAGGTCTTTTCACTAATAACTTTATCGCCAGGCTTTTCTGTTTTGAATTCTGACAAGAACAAAACGTCATCGGGATCAGATTTCAAATGAGGAACCGTATTAGATTCTGCTAATAATATTGATGGTAACTTGGCTTTGAAAAACATGTACTTTGTCATTTTCAGGGTCGAATACCTGAACATGTCAAGGTACTTTCCAACTGCCCCATTCAATAAATGGTACTGCTTGATCAAATATTCATAATAAGAATCAGAAAGACCACCGAGAGTGTAGGTTAACTTTTCGTGTGGCGAATGTTTAAGACCTACCAATTGACACAATACTTTTTGACCATTAGCAAATGAAGGTAAAAATTTGCTTACATCTTTTTGATCATTGCTGAGACCGTTTTCTGGATAAACCACCGCATGGCAACCAGAGATATCCAAGTGGGTTGGAAGCAACCCGTTCAAGATATGGTCAGGGTGTTTGAACTTCTCTTCCTTTATGAACTTGTCAACTTCTTCGACAATTTTATGAACAAAGTGATAATAAGTATCATTGCCAGTGATTTGACCCAATCTAGTGAACTCAAGCAACAATGTACCAAATTCAGCAACAGAACCATGGATTGACGCAAATTTAGGGTTCTTTGTATCTTTTGCAGCCCATCTATAATATAGTAACGGCATGTTGTTAGGCGTGTCAAAGATCCCCACCAACATGTCCCCACATTCAATAGCTTTATCAAGCAATCTTGGATCTTCAGATAAATCATACGCAGAAACCAATCCTCCAAAAGCTCTAATGACAGTTTCAAAAGTTGGAATATATTCACGCAATGATTTTCTGAAATTTATTTGCACTATTTGGCCAACGGCCCAGTCCCACTCATCAGTCAACCCCATCAAATGCAAAGTATCCAATGAATCAATAAGGGTGATCGCCCAACCAACAAATGGGTTTTTCCCCTGGTGACTGAGTGGTAAAACTTCATCGTATCCTTTAGCATACTTCTTATATGTTTTCCAACTCTTCATAAACATTTCTCTGATCTTTGCTAATTTAACTTCATCGTCTAAGCCGCCATTTTCTTCAAACACTTTCGATTGAATGTTATCGTAGTTGTTTTTGGAATAATCAATTTTTGGAAGCGTAAATATGTTTTGTGGGTCAGGAGGGAAGTGGAAGCTTCTAGGCAATGACACCGGGTCTTCTCCCAGAATCTTGTAATCTGATTCATCCCTAGATTTCCCAAAATCTGCCCCGACAGTTGGGTATTTTGAAGAAACCTGTACATTATCCATTGTAGTGGAATCCTCGATTTCTTCGTTGTCAGAATAAGCATGTGGCACGCTGATTTCGTCATTTATTACTTTTGGGTTAAGATAATGGTCATTCTCATACAAGACGTAAAATAATGACACCAATAAGACGGATCCTATAAGTAAATACTTGTGAGTTCTTATTTTCACACGGGCAAATGCTATGAAAGACATCTTATGGAAGTGGCAATTGATACTAGATATGAATAACGGCCATCAGAATATCCATCAAGACACACTTCGAAAAAGGGATATCGGGGCAGTTGTATACCTACGCCTACAAATATTTTTGAAAGGAGGCCATGTTGCGGGGCATATAACCAGAGAATGACGCAACTGAGGAATCTACATCAAGTTTGTACACTTTTCCAAGTAATAGGAAGGAAAGACCCATTTAGCCACTTATTTGGTTCATTTTACGGGCTTATAATTTAAATATGATCAGTAGAAATTACCGGTGGTTACTGTGAACTGACCAAAAGGTGGTGGTGTTGATAAGCAATTTGCAGCGATTTACCCTGCTCCTTGAAATTTCAAAGAATTGCACCCCGTGATTTCTGCATAAAATCACTTGCTATTGCATTAATGCAAAGGTCGGCAACTCTCACGTTTTTCTCAGGTCGGAATTTTTGTTAAATTTACACGTTTACCAAACATTGCACAATTGATTTCGCTTCCAACTTTTGCACCCAGTATCAGGAAACAGAAGTGATTAATTTCAATATTCTTATTCTCGCCAGTCATGAATTTTCTATCTTCTTCTGCTTTACGTCGTAAAAAAGATACCAGACGTGGGGTGAAATTCACCATCATGGTGGTGGGACAGTCAGGTATTGGGAAATCAACATTTGTGAATACATTATTGGACACCAAGATTGTCCCACACAAATACGAACCTATTGGTACTACCATCGATGAACCAAAGATTGCGTCTTTCAGCACAATTGATGATTCTTCTACCATAAATGCCGCAGTTTTCCAAAGAGATTTCAATCCAGCCTTAGCCGATCAAGAACCTGGAATTGCCATTACCGAATCAGAAGTGGAAATTTTGAACAAAGGTGATTATTCCAGGATTTTTTTGAACGTCATTAATACCCCGGGTTTTGGAGATAATATTGATAATGAAGTGTGCTTTGAAGAGATCATCAATTATTTAAAACAACAGTTTGACATAGTGTTAGCTGAAGAAACCAAGTTCAAAAGAAATCCAAAATTCAAAGATACCAGAGTTCATGCTTGTCTTTATTTCATCACCCCTACCGGCCACGGGTTAAGAGAACTAGATGTCGAAATTATCAAGAAGCTATCGAAATATGTCAATATTATTCCAGTGATTGGCAGAGCCGATAGTTTTACTAAAGAGGAATTGGCTGATTTTAAGCGAAACATCTTATATGATATTGAAAAATTCAACGTACCAGTTTTCCAATTCACCTACGATGATGATGAAGAAGCTATTCCGGAAGAAGACGAGATGTCAGATGAGGAAGAAAATATTTTGAGTGAAAACAAGTACTTGCAATCGATTCAACCATTCGCGATTATTTCATCCGAAGATGAAATAGAAATTGATGGGAAACTGATCAAAGGTAGACAGTATCCTTGGGGATTCATAGATATTCATAATCCAGAGTATTCTGATTTCAAGCTTTTGAAAAATGTTTTACTTAGTACTCACTTGCAAGATTTGAAAGATTTAACCCACGATTATCTTTATGAAAACTATAGAACTGAAAAGTTAAGAGCCGTCAATGGCATCAATGACGAGACTACACCTGAGACTAAAAAGAAAGAATTCTTGGGATCTAGAGACTCTTACATTCCTGAACCTCCATCGTTATCTAATCTTAACGCGTTGGCAAACATCAAGGATTCGATGATACTTGAAGAACAGAATGAAAAGGATTTTGCCAATATTTTGGATAGCGCACAATTAAATAGTCAACCTTCAATCTCCTCATTTGCTCAAGAAACCATTTCATCCCAGAAATCTATTGATTCAAAGAACAGATCACAATTAAGATTGCTCTCTGAAACCGTTCCTTACGCGTTGAAACAAGAACAAATCCAACAACGTAAACAAAAATTGGCGGAATTGGAGGCCAAATCCGCAAAAGAAATGAAATTGAAGGAGGAAGCTTTGGAGAAGAAGGCATTGGAATTGAAATTGAGAGAGCAGGAATTACTTGCCAAGATGAGTGAGCTAGGGATCTCAGGCAATGCAAGTTTTGCTAGTGATAATTGAATAAAGTATCCAGTTTTTTTTTAAACTATTATCATTATTATTATTGTTATTATTATTATCGTTATTGTTATTGATGTTTTTGTTTTTTACTATTGTTTGCTACTGTTGTTATTATTATTGTTTTACTTTTCCTGATTTCTTGGGATCCTCTATTTTCTGGCTTGTTATATTGACTATGTCACAATTAGACTCCGTTTAATGAAATGCATTGTTGCTCTTTTACTACCGTAACATAAAATTCGTGAATTATTTTTAGCCGGGAGACCTATTTTATAATTACATCTCTCTCTCTCTCTCTCTCTCCCTGAATATCAAAAAATTGAAAATTTCATGCTTATCAACGATTACTCTTGCAAAACAGAATACAGAGTGGTCCATCTTACATGAGATTATCATGGATGATAATAATAAGAAAGTTCAAGAAGAAAAAAAATATCTCTATTTTTCTTTCTTTATAACCTAATATATCTATTTTTCTTTCTTTATAACCGTGATAATGAAAAAGAAAAAAAAAAAATAAAATAAAATAAAAAAAAATAAAAAAAAAAAAAAAAAAAAAAAAAAAAAAAAAAAAAAAAAAAAAAAAAAAAAAAAAAAAAAAAAAAAAAAAAAATGAAATTCAAATATTAAAATCAGGCAAATCAAGTACAACAAGAAATCAGCATGAGAGTCATCATAGGCAAAAACACAATCATAAGCACCCCCCTAAAAAAAAAAGTACACAAAAAATCAAAAAACAAACCAATAGCACGCAAAAAAACAACACATGCAATAACCATTAAAGTCACTATTGTATCAATCACTATTGTATCAATCACTAGTGATTGACCATTAGGTAAGACCAGAGTAACAAGAAAGTGAAAAGAATAGAAAAAAAAAAAGAAAATGATCGAGAAAATAGTAGAAATGAAATGAACTCACCACCAGGAGTCATCAATACTAGCAACTTGGTGAGAACTTGTAGTTGGTTGGTTGGCATTGAAATTTGCATGGTTATTAGCAACTATTGAAGTTAACTTGGATTGGTAAATTGAATTGATTGTCTTCACAGGTGGTTGGTTCGTGCTGTTTCTAGGGGTTTCGGCCCCGTTAAGTGGAGTAGTAGTTGTAGTGGATGAGATATTCAAATCATTGGTGAATGAATTGACCAATTCTGAGCAATCTAAATCATCGAAATCGTACCATGAAAGGCCTTGGGTGAGGGCCGAGGAGGTTTGTAAAAAGTTCTTATCATCAGTAGATTTCTTGTCAAAAGTCTTGATTGGAGCCGCCGAAGTGACAGTAGAATCAATGAGAGATGGTGGAATAGAGAACTTGCTGTCATTACCGTGCACTTCAAACATGCTTTGTGGAGAACTATCATCTGCTGAAGAGAAGTCTTGACTTTCAATTTCAAGAATTTCAAATTCTTCATTGAACATATCGTTATCATTAACACCGTCGTTATTAACGATACTGGACGAAATCATTAATTTTTCATCTAAGAATGGGACATCATCACTGGATTGACTGAAGCTGTTGTTATTAAATTGTTCAATTTCCAACTCTTCATCAACAGTGAACACTTGCACAGTGTCTTCATCATTAACCAACATTTGCAAGCAATCATCCAAACTTCTTTTTTCAGGGACAAATTGCAACAAAGTATCAACAAAGCAATCAAAACCAGTGGTTGATAAGTTTGGGTAAATATCGTAAAATACATTGACGGAAGAGCTATCCTGCAAAGAGTCATGGGAACCATTGAGGTATTTCCTGAACCATTGGTCATCATCGACACATTTTTTGAAAGGAGCGTAGCCAAATAAAGTGTACATCAACGAGACCCCAAGCGACCAGTAATCAGAAAACAAACAATCATAATAGGTGGTATTTGTTTTATCTTCAAAAACACATTCTGGCGCCATATATTTATCGGTACCGACATTGGATTCATTGCAATATCTTGAGGTCGAAGACAATCCGAAATCCGCCAATTTGAACTTCAAATCTCTTGTGACAAGAATATTCTCTGGTTTGATATCACGATGATAAATACCGTTTTCGTGACAATGCTTAACAGCATTGATTAAATCAATGGCAAATTGTTTGAAGACAAATGAATTGTCAAAAGGTTTTTGAACTTCAAAGTTTTCTTCATCATGGAGAAATTCATGCAAATCTCCAAATTCACAATATTCAAACACCAAGAAATGATAATCATCAGATTCAAAATGATCAAGCAATTGACAGACTTCTTCTATTCCTTTCAATTTATTCAACATTGAAACTTCATGGTGGGCCATAGCATCGACTTCAGGTGTACATTTCTTCATAGATTTGATTGCCACTCTTGTATCCGACAACACATCATTTGCCAAAGACACTTGGCCAAAGGTGCCAGATTGAAGATCCTTGACCTTTTCATAACGGCCACCAAGTAATATGGACTTGTTATTGTAGGAATTGTAACTCAAAGACATTACGAATTGGCAAAAATCTAGGGGGGTCGGGGGTCAACCGATAACGGGATCTGAGCTGTTCCGGAGATAAAGAAGGTGAATGAAGAATAAAAAGGAAAAACCAAACGAATAACAAAAAAAAAAAAAGTAGAGAAAAACGGAGGCACAAGAATGAGAGGGGGAGAGATTTGATGGATTGGGACTGGGACAGATTTGTTTTTTGCAATAGATAACGGATGAGGAGAAGTATATATGTGTAGATAAAGAAATGAGTAATGCGATGATCTTCCGTTTTCAATGATTAGCGGTGGGTGAGGAGGTGAGGGTGACTCCACCGCACGTGAGATTCTGTCTCAGATTTTGCAGTGAAAAATTCTGGAAAATTCTGGAATTCCGGGTATCTCCGACGGCGGGAGGCAACTTGTCATTTCTGTTGTGGCAGGATGGGCCAGCGATTTAACAGCTTCACAAGTTGGCGCATATAACCCTTTTTTAGTAGTATACCGCTCTGATGAAATATATAATAATGATAATAACTATGGCAAATCGTCACAATGAAGATAAAAACAAAATAGAAGAAAGGTTAGCTGCTGTCTATGTGTCACAATAATTGTGGTTATGCAGATTAGTCAGCCCAAAGTTGCTTATGAATTTGCACATGCATGACCCACCGAAGGCCGATGATTTCTTTCCTTGTTACTCATCAACTCTTTCTGATTACGTAGTCGACATAATAATAGCTCAAGGTGGAAAAAAAAAATAGTCATAAACACATTAAATTATAATGAAAGTAAATTTATATAAAATCACAGAATATTAAGATAATAGATTGATCTTTCGAAAACGCATGGCGTAGAGTACAATAATCCAAAGTATTCCTAAAAATACTGAATAACTAATCCTGTAAACACTTCAATCATTTGAAAATCTCATCAAACACCAGTGAAAACTCATTGGTAGAGCAGAAATTTATATTGGTGATCCAATTAGACTCACTAATTTCATCAATCGAAATCCTTTGGTCATTTTCCACGCTGAGCATCTTTAGAATTACCCCTCGCGAGTCGAATAATAACTTCTTGACAAAATTCAACAGTTCTAAATTATTAGCAATTAAATTCTCGAGTTTCTTATTGGTTTCTTGGTTATTATTAGTAGGCAACCCTTTAGTTAAAAAATCACTTTGTTTGTAAATCACAAAATATTTCGCAAACACCTTATCCGTGGACCGATCAGCAAAATCCCAGGGTTTAAAAAGGCTCAAAGTTAGAATCAAGTAGCAAATACCGAGAGCCCAAATATCAAGCTTTTTAATATTTTGAAAAATTGCTTCATAACATTTAACACATTGGTCATGGGATGTATTGGAGGGATCAAATGCCTGATGTCGGAATTCTTCAAGTTGATGTGATTTCTTATCACTAAAGAACACCTCTGGGGGTCGATAACTCTTGGTGCCAATTTTCGGTAAATCAATGTTTTTCATAAAACAAATCTTGTCTTCTAATGTTGATAACGATTGATATTTGTTCAAATTGATACTCATGCCAAAATCTGTCAACTTGATGGTAAATCCATCATCGATCAAAAAATTATCTAGTTTAATATCACAATGAACGATATTTTTCCCATGAATAAATTTGATTGCCGATACCATTTGCTTGAATAAGTTTTCCTTCAAATTTCCAGGAAATTTAACTTTTTGTTTATCACATTTTACAAGAATCGAAAATAAATCCCCATATTTATAAAATGGTAGCGCCAACGACCAATAATACCTGTCGGAATCCAAGATATCTTTGCAAAGATTATATACCGGGATAATGTTACGGTTTTTCAAATGAACCATGTTTTCGTACTCATTCTGACAAATGAAATCATATAGAGGATTGGCATCGGCTTTATTTTGAGCGTCAGGCTTCTTGAAGGTCTTAATGACCACTAGTTGATTATTGGGATCGTATTTAGGCTTCAATTGCTTAAGCACGACCCAACCACCGAACCCAGCGTGGAGAATATTGCAATTTTTTATGATTTCTGGAATGAAGACATTTTTGTTGTCGAGTTGGTTATCTGCATTGGTTACACAATCTTCTTGTATGCAGCATTCCTCAGTATAGTTTTTTATTTTTTGTTTGCCCTTATTGTTTGATAAAGTAGCACTTTCCTCATGGTTTTCCATTAGGCACACATCCAAAGCTGAACAATTTTCAAACATTGTATCTATGGGGTCTCCGAGCTTAAAAATATCGTAGTTGATAGTCGATGATCGTTCCAATCTACTAGAGGGATTTGCGATACTTGCCATAGATTTATTTGCCATAACTGAGCCATCAAAACCATGAGCAGTGTGGATATTCTTGCTCTTTGTGCTGGAGTATGAATAGGTTGAACTAAAAGTACCTCTCCTTGACATTGTGTTGAAGTTGCTCACATAAGAGAAGGAATTATTATTATTATTATTATTATTATTATTATTATTATTATTATTATTATTAGTGGATGAGAATGAATTATGATTCAGTCCATCATTAATTGGTTCGATTTTTGGTAATGGGATCGGCCTCGGAAGTTTGTTGGGGGGTTTAGTGGATGTGGGAGAGGTTTGTGAAGGAGGAGGACCGTTAATGGGGCTCGTGAAATTTGTTTGTAAACCCAGCGATCTTCTGCTGGGAGAGGAAGTTTTCTTGATTGTGGTCAAGGGATCTATATTTGCTGATTCCTTGGTGATCTCGGTATTATTATTATTATCATTGTTATAGAGGTTCTTAGGTTTCTTTGAAAACGGGTTTCTCATGATGGGAAATTCAGGAAATACTCTGTGAAGGAGGAGGAGGAGGAGGAGGGTATCTTTTTGTGATGTAGGTCAAAATTATGTGTGTCTGGGTGTGTTTGGATGGTGCTGTCTCATTAAGAGTTCCATATTTTGTGAAGATAATGTCTTAGGAGTGATGGTATTAAAGATCCTCTCCTCTCTCTCTCTCACCAATGCTAACGGACGGCATTTGACATCTGATATTCCCACTCACCACACTTCACCCAGCAAAAATCCCCGTCCCGGTCACGTGCCGGAAAGAGACAGTGTACCGCTGCGGCGGGCCATCGGGGGTGGCTGGTGACTATTACCCGGAGAAGAAGAGGGGAAGGGCCCCTACCCCCCCCCCGATAAACGTTTTTCCCCAAAAATGGCAGCGATGGTGCCCTTGTTAGGGTTGCATGGGTGGGTTAACCCATAAATTACCAGCCATTCTCGCTAGTCATCTATCTATCTTCGTCCACAGAAATTTTTCCAATTCCCCAATTCTTCTTGTCCACTTAAGAAACAAACAACCAAACAAATAACAAAGAATATGCTCTTTTCCGTGAAGCTTCAAAAAGAGGCATATTCTCCTTGGAAACCGCAATACATCGACTACGAAAAACTAAAAAAGTTATTGAAGGAAAATGTGGTTTATCAACCAGCAGCACCATCTGACAATGCGTCACACAACCACAACAAAAAATGGACAGAAAAAAATGAAAGCGACTTTGTTCACCAATTGGACTTGGAATTAGAAAAAGTGTACTCTTTCCAATCAGCAGAATATTCAAGAATTGATTCTAAAATCACCGCTTTGGAAAACATCATTGACAGCAATGTTGTCTTACCGGACGCATCTACCTCAGTTACCAACGAACAAAACCAACTTTTCTTGTCCAACTTTGACTACAAATCCTTCCAAGACAGTCTTGAAGAGACCCTTAATTTGGCTCAGGAGTTGGACCATTTTTCTAGATTGAATTTCACCGGGTTTATCAAGATTGTGAAAAAGCATGATAGGTTGCACCCAGAATACACAGTTAAGCCATTGTTGAATGTCAGACTTAACGAATTGCCTTTCCATTCCGAAGATTATTCTCCATTATTATACAGAATCTCTGTTCTCTACAACTTTTTGAGAGAAAACTTCCAATCGAAAATCAGCTCTTCAAGCTTCAACAACTCCATGACGTTGAATTCTGTCAGTTCCAATAAGGCCGTCAGTACCGCTAACTTGGATGACTCAAAATGTTTCAAGTCATTCAAATTTTGGATTCATCCTGATAACTTGATGGAAGTGAAAACAAAAATCTTGAGACACTTGCCGGTGTTAATTTATAATAATAATTCAGGCTCAGACTACTCCAATGATGAAAATGACTCGATCATTACCAGCTTATACTTTGACAATAGCAATTTTGATTTATACAATGCGAAGTTATTGAAAAATAACAACAGTCCAACTTTGAGATTGAGATGGTCTGGTAAGTTGATTGAAAAGCCAGAAATCTTTTTAGAAAAAAAACTTTTCCACGACAGCACCGACACGGAACCTGCTCATAATAATGACGAAGTTGAAAAGTTGGTTTCCATCAAGTTGAAGGAGAAATACATTGAAAGTTTAGTCATTGACGCCAATGACCAAACTGCTTTCAATAAAATATTGAAAAAAATCAGAAAGAGAAGCGATGATAATTCCCAAATTGAGAAATTAACCACTTTACGCAAATTTGTCATTGAAAATGACTTGGAGCCTACCCTCAGATGTATATATACCAGAACCGCTTTCCAGATCCCTGGTGATGATAGGGTGAGAATCATTATTGATAGTGACATTCTCTTTATTAGAGAAGACTCTTTTGATAAATCAAGACCAATCAGAGATCCTCAAAGGTGGCACAGAACCGATATCGATTCGAAAATCGACAATCCTTATAGCTTATTGAGAAAAGGTGAGTTTGTGAAATTTCCATATTCAGTGATGGAAATCACCGTCCAAGATGTTGGGGCCACAAGTGCCAACCCAGTAACTTCCAGTGGCGTGGGGACCAGTACCGAACACCAAAAGATCAAGTTATCCTTCAGCAAAAAATCAGGTAAATGGATTGAGGAGTTGACTTCGTCGCATTTGGTGAAAGAAGTGCCGAACTTTTCTAAATTCATTCAAGGGATTGCCTCTTTACACACTGAAGATGATAAATTGGATATTTTACCATTCTGGTTGCCAGAGTTGGAAAAAGATATCAGAAAAGATCCAAAGGACGCTTATGATGAAGAACTTAAGCAAATGAAGGAGCGCAAGAAATCGGTGTCTTTAATCAATAAAGTGTCTACATTGTCTTCACCAAAATTGGCTGCCACTGATAGCGCCAGAGAAAGTAAAAGACAAATGGTGAGCAAATTATTGATGGAAAAGACCAACATGAAGGCCAATTTGGAAGACTATGACTCTTCTGATAATGAGGATGATGATTATCTTGCCAGCACCTCCAATTCTGAGGAGTTTGGATTTGATGATGAAGATGAATTCATGCCACAGCAACCAAGAACAGTCATTACCAACGGCTCAACTTTCCATAATTTCCCTCGTCAACCAACAGTCATTCATTCGAAGTTCCAAGATGCTGAATCTGAAGATGAAGAAGTTGAATTACCTCCAGGAGTCAAAGAGCCAAAGAATTTCATTAAGAATGCTGGTCCAAATAAAGTCGAGGCTAAAGTATGGTTGGCTAATGAGCGTACTTTTATCAGATGGCTTCACACGTCAGTGATTCTTTTCCTTTTTGCCACCACCATTCAAAATTCTACCAAGAAATCTAATTTCCCAGAGTTGCAAAGATGGATTTCTGGAATTTATTTCCTCGTTACCCTTTTCATCTTGGGATGGGGGTACCACATTTACAAGAAAAGATTGAGAATCATCACTGATCGTAGTGGAGAACATTTGGACAATATTTGGGGGCCAATTATTGTGGCCGGAAGCTTGTTGTGCATTTTGGTGATCAATTTCAGTTTAGGGTTGAAGGACAGTTTGGTTCATCATGAATTGAGTGGAAAATTGAAGAATTTGGATGGTAATACTAAAGAGTATTTGAACTTCTTTGTGAATATGGTTGGTGGAGATGTGGAACTTATTAATTGATAGAAGGATGGATGAAAGATCAATAGACAATCTTCCTTCCAATGAAAGCTTTACATTCTTTTCTTTTTTTTTGTTTTCTTTACATATTTAACGTATACCAGAATTTACAGAAAACATAATATAGATGGTTATTTCCAGCAGTAGGCGACCAATTTGATGAATTTTTCAATCCAGTTTCCATAGCTTTTTGAAAAATTATGTTTGTTAAAAAACCTTCAGTGATTATCGTTACTGTTTGGTAATTGATAATAAGAGGCAGTCACTGCCATGCAAAATACAAATTATTGATTGAATTTAATACACATACACTAATCTTAATAGTCATACAATACAAATTCTATTATTCTTTTAAAGCTGGAGAGAAAATGGAGCACACAATATCCCTGTCATGCTAGACAACAGCCGTAACCGGAGAAAACTACACTTTTGCGTTTGCTGCTGCATTTGAGGAGCTGATGTTATATTTTCAACTACACGTATTATAACTTATGAAATGTTCGCCAGTTATTTGGCATGCAATTGATATTATTCTACAAAAATGACAAGAAAGAAAGAGAGTACACCTGATCTTTTGATAGTAAATCAAAACGTCAAACACCGGAATTCCGAACACACCGGTGGATTTCTTTTTTTTTCATTTTTTCTTTTTTTTTTTTTTTTTTTTTTTTTTTTTTTTTTTTTTTGATGATTAATCAGAAATCCTGACAAATCTATTGCTCGAGTGGTACTTTCGTTTTATAAAATATTTTCCACACACTACATTTTTATACTACTTCTCTCCCTAGTTCTTGTAGTTCAGCAATGTCCCAAAAAGTTTTGTTTGTGTTAGATCCTTCGATCATTCAGGAGTCTGCTACCAAAATCGCCCTCATCAAGAAACTCTTGGGTTATGCTTATCCAACATGTTTGGTCGACCAATATAATATCAATTTGATCTTTCTTCGAGAAAAGCAGCAGAATGTTGCGTATGACAGTTATTCATACGTGTATTATTTGAATAGCAGCAATTTTGCGGAGATTTTATCATTTTTACTCGGACAAGTGAAAATTGATGATCTTCCAACTGAGGTCCAACAACTTTGCAAGGATTATCGACATGAAGAAGCCAGCACTGCTTATGAAATTAGTGACGAGGTGCTCAAGACATTATACAGGCTCATGAAACCTGACGGGAAGTTCTACATGACCAATGATGCCCTTACTTTGAATGGGATTATGGCTGGGTTCCTTGCGGATGGGAAATTCTGGGTTAAACCAAACAACCAAGCGGTTTCCATCCCATTGAAGAAAAAATCTCCTACATCGAATTCCACTGCCAATGCTAATCCATTAAAACTTAAGTTTTCCAAGTTCAAGAAAGCCACAACCACGGTGCCTGCTGCTGCAAAAGAAATCACCGACCTTCGAAATAAACTCCAGTTTTTCGATTCCAACGACGACCTAATAGACGAGAATGATCTTCTTGATGAATTGGCCCTCTCGGCGCCTATTAAGTTGACCTCGGTCAAATGTGTGTTTGATGATGATGGCTTGCCGGTGAAACGACGCAAGAAGGCTTGCAAGAATTGTTCTTGTGGGTTGAAGGAATTGGAAGAGCAAGAGATTGAGGCCCAAGAGGCGGAACGTAACAAGAATGCGGTGAAGTTGACTAGTCAAGAGATCACGGAGATTGACTTCACTGTTGAAGGAGACAAGGTTGGAGGATGTGGCAGTTGTGCACTTGGGGACGCTTTCCGATGCGATGGCTGTCCGTACTTGGGGCTTCCTGCTTTCAAGCCTGGACAGGCGATCTCCATCAGCGGCATGGACGATGATTTCTAAGTTTTCTCTGGGAATTTTGTATTATATACCGATATAGATATGTTATATATATAGATATATATATATATATATATGATGATGATTGCACTTGTGAGTAAAAATACAAAACACCGGGTGCGGCACCCGCAGTCCCAGCCAGAAAGAGGTGGTGGGGGTTCCCAACCCTCATCCCACCGGGTAACGCCACCTTTCTGGCCGAGTTTTTTTCTCATTTCGATTTTTCCTGCCCTCCCAAAGTGGCAACCAGCAAACAGATAATAAACAATAGAAAACCATCACAACACATCACCCAATCCTCTCTGGCAGAACAATCCATCCCTCTCCCCAATCCTCATAATCATCATCACCATCATAATAATAATAATAACAATACTAACAATACCAATACTCACCACGCCACAAAACAATCCCTCTCAACTACAGTGGTGCACCCAGTCCTTTGAATTGTAATCTCTCCCCTATAGAAAAAACGAAAATTTTTTCCTTGTTCTTTACTAATAACATACACATATATCGACCATGGGATCCTGTTGTGGTTGTTTGAGACCGGAAAGCGATAGTTCCAATCAACCATTGTTACAGCAAAACGAGCGTAATGCAATTGCTGAACTTCTCAACTATCTTGAGAACCGTAACGAGGTGGACTTCTTTAGCGACGGTCCCCTCAATGCCCTTAGTATTCTTGTTTACTCAGACAATTTGGACCTTCAGCGCAGTGCTGCCCTTGCCTTTGCCGAAATAACAGAAAAAGACGTCAAACCAGTAGGCAGAGACGTGTTCCTTCCAATCTTATCCTTACTTAAAAGTACCGATTCTGAAGTCCAACGTGCCGCCTGCGCTGCCCTTGGTAACCTCGCAGTCAACAACGACAACAAAGTATTGATTGTTGAAATGGGCGGGTTGCAACCGCTCATCAAGCAAATGGAATCAGTCAACACCGAAGTCCAATGTAACGCTGTCGGTTGTATCACCAACTTGGCCACCCAAGACGATAATAAAGCTAAAATTGCTAAAAGCGGGGCTCTAGGCCCATTGACCAGATTGGCCAAAAACCGAGACTTGAGAGTCCAAAGAAACGCTACTGGAGCTTTGTTAAACATGACACACTCGTTTGAAAATAGACAAGAATTGGTGAACGCCGGTGCCGTGCCAGTGTTGGTTGGCTTGTTGTCTTCTGTTGACCCTGATGTCCAATACTATTGTACCACTGCTTTATCAAACATCGCGGTCGACGAAATTAATCGAAAACGATTGATTCAAACCGAACCAAAATTGGTTAGTCAATTAGTGGTCCTGATGAACTCGCAATCTCCAAGAATCCAATGCCAAGCCACTTTGGCCCTCAGAAATTTGGCGTCCGACCCTGCTTATCAATTGGAAATTGTTAGAAATGGCGGATTGGCTCATTTGGTGCAATTACTAAAATCTACCCATCAACCATTGATTTTGGCCGCCGTGGCCTGTATCAGAAACATATCTATTCACCCATTGAACGAAGGCTTAATTGTCGAAGCAGGGTTCTTGAATCCTCTTGTGAGATTATTGGATTATAGAGATAACGAAGAAATCCAATGCCACGCGGTTTCCACTCTTAGAAATTTGGCGGCGTCATCAGAAAAGAATAGGCTAGCATTATTGGATGCCAACGCGGTTCAAAAATGTAAAGAATTGGTTCTCAAAACTAAGGGAGCGGTGCAATCGGAAATCAGTGCGTGCTTTGCTATTCTTGCACTTGCTGATGATTTGAAACAAAAACTTTTGGAACTTAACATCATTGATGTTTTGATCCCATTGACGTTCAGTGATAATAATGAAGTTGGTGGCAACTCTGCTGCTGCGTTGGCCAATTTGTGCTCAAGAATTGATAACTATGATTATATCATCAATGATTGGGATCAACCAAACGACGGGATTTGTGGATTTTTGATCAGATATTTGAACATGAGTAATACCACTTTTGAACATATTGCTCTTTGGACAATTTTACAATTGTTGGAAAGTGATAACAGAAAGATCCTTGAATTGATCAAATCTAATGCTAATATTATGAACGGGGTGAAGAAGTTGCACATTGAAAACTCGCCACCTAAAGAAGAAGAAAATAGTGAAATTGCCCACCAGGATGGTCCAACTGCAGAGGTTTATAATTTGACCGAGCAGATCTTGGCGTATCTTGATTGAATCGATTTTTCGCTTGAAGTTGAAACTTTGAGTTGTATTGTATTCTATGAAGAGCCATCTGAAAAAAACATGGGCAATTTCTATCTCTCTTTTTTTTTATTGCTACAGCATTGTTGATTTTCTGTTCTATACATTTTTGCTTTTATTCTTTTACAATTGTTCCGGTTGGTTTTTTAGTAAATTTTTGGTTCTTCACATCTTTTTTTTTTTTTTTAATCATCTTTTTTGCCGTTTTATTCCTATCATTGAATCTTTTGATTTTTAATTACTTTTTTTTTAGTTTTATTATTATTATTACCTTGAATCAGTCAATCCATTATTTGGATTATCATGATTTACAATGGATGGCTTTAATGTCAGCTACACTTTATCGGTCAACTCCACTTCACTGATCAATTCTGCAATATATTATTCTTTAGCAGAGCTAACGAATTTATCTCTTTTTTTTTCCCCCTCTCCCTCCTCCCCCTCGTTCCTGGTTTACTAATTGTCAACCTCAGATTTTTGTCCCTTTTTTATCTCTCTTTTTTTTTTATTTGTCCTTTTTATCCACCTACTGTTTTCTTTTTCTTTTTTTTTTCGTCCTACTTCCATCTACAAAACTCCATGGTTTGGCTCAGGTCTGCCGTTTGTTTCACTTTTGGTTTATCAAAATGTTTATAGCACCAGCAGGCACTTCTTCTCACCACCCCTTTTTATGAAACTCAAACACAATTAATATTATTCATTATCTCTGTAACAAGCCTACTACGTTTTGAATGCTTCTAACACGATTATTGATCCAAATAAGGGAGTCTTTGTGTGAAGATTTGTTTGTTTGCTTTTTTTTGTTTTTGTTTTTGTTTTTTTTGGTGATGTTTTTTTTTTTACACTTATTTATTTGCAGGGTTATATTTTATTATTAACCCTCAACATTTCAAAAAAAATTTCACACAAATTAAAAGTTCCGCAACCATAAAAAACTCCCCCAACCCTCCACCCAGCACCATCACTAGTTCCCGATTCATTGATTGTGTGTTTGTTGTGTGTGTGTGTGTGTGTGTCTGTGTGTGCGTTTTTCTTTTTTTTGGTTTTGGACATTCGATAATCATCAACATTTAATCATTTTATTTTGGAAAAAAAAAAATAATAATAATAATAATAATAATAACAATGTCAATGCGGTCCCATTATGACCCTATTCATGATACCAATGGCGAGCAGCCTCAGCAGCCTCGGCCTCAGCAGACCAGGGTGAACATTTCTAGTCTTTTAGCGGAGAATAATCCATCGTTGGAACCCCTGGAGCCCGTGGAAATATATAACCACGAGAGCGACCTGACAATCGATACCGATGAAGAACAGATGAATGACCAAGCTGATGTGTCGACAATGAGCCAACAACACACATTTATCACCGAGAATCCAGGTCCATTCAACAATAATTCTTCTGATGATAATAATTCGAAACAACAACAACAACAACAACAACAACAACAACAAGCACCACCACCACCACCAGCAGGAACTTTCTCGTCGACCACCCTGACCCCTACAAAACTCCCATCGGTGAAGATCCCTATCGATGGGATGATCAATGCCCCAAAATTACCAAGCCCATTAAAGAAATCAATGAATGCCGATCCTTTTGCATCGCCAATTGCTACAGGTGGTGGCAATAGTGATATCAATCATCATAATAATAATAATAATAATAATAATAATAATATTAATACCGTTGCTGGTGATTCTTCTACCATCACCGATGCCAATGGATCATTTGTTAATTCTTTCCAGAATACTGGGGCCAATAAACGGACGAACCAAACATTGCTTATCAGTGCCAAGCTGTTCCATATTAAAAAAAAGGATGGTCAACCTTTATGGCGTGAGGATATCCAATACGATTTCCTAAGCGAAGTCTTTCATAACGATGTGGTGGCATTCACCAGCCCATACCAGCTCAGTCCTTCTGGTGGGGTTCAGAAAGTCAATTTTGCCGATTTGTACATCAGTACCATGGCTTATTCTAATAAGACCTCCAAAGTTTTAAGAGAACGGCTATTAACTGATAAGACCATGTCAATTCCAGTATGTATGGTTTCGTTATTGGTGAATGTTGGGAGAATGAACACCACCGTGAATTTTGTTCCGGAAATGAAATCACAATTACGAACTTTCCATTCGATCCCGTCGCTTCAACAAGGGAAAAGCCACGATAATAAAATCTTGCAAGATTCTCCTCGATTGAAAAGTATTTTGAAATCGTGGTCCGAAGCTAAGAAACACCCGACAAAGTTCGAAGAGTTGTTCAACCAACCGCTAGTTCCCGATACCAAATTCCCGAAAACTAACGTCATCAATTTGATTTTCATGTTGTGTTGTTATGAGCATTTAATTTTCCAACATTTTGACCCCGTCAATCTTGAAAATGGCACCAGTAGGAACTTTGTTTCCGAATCCCCGTCGTTTTTAGGTGAAGATTTGACCAAACCTGACCAAGCCCCATTCAATTGTTTGTTTTTAAACTTTAAGACCACTCCAAAATCTCGAGCCCAACGGTTTTTGTGGTTATTGTACAATTACTTGGAAACCAATTTGACAAAAGAAGAAATTTTGAACAACCCGTTCAAAGATCCCGAGAATCCGTTGCTGATTCCCGCGTTGGTGCCAATTCCTGACGGAATGAACTTCGATATCGATACTCCCCAAGAAGTAGAATACGCCAAGACCATGGAAGAAGTGCGGATGAATTTCTTGAAAACCGACGGTAATCCGGATTTGATGGAAAATGGCAACAAATCAGAGAAATCAAAGGATGATGGAGGATCAGAAAAGCCAAAGAAGGGTGGGCGAGCCGTGAGGAACTCAGGGAAATCCGCCAAAGCTGCGGGGAATAATGGTAATAATAATAATAATACTAATAATAATAAGAAAGTTGGTGATTCTAAAAATAATACTGCGAAACCCAAACCCGACGATATTCACAAGGAGATTTTCAAGAATAATAAGGCAAGAAGCAAGTTCCAACGTCATTATAATGGTAATATCATGTATCTGACTCATTCTATCCTTAACGATGAATTGATAGAAGAAGAGGATGCGAAGTTCGATGGTGATGGGAAAATTGTTTCACGAGAGGTGGGGAATCGTAAAAAAAGATATAATGGAGATTTTGGGGAGTTCGCCACTACTTGTCTTAAGATGTTTAAAGCAGGAAAGAACTATCATGAAGCACATTACCTTGAACAGGCAAAGAATGGTGAGAATGAAGTTAAGGTTGAACTCAAGTTGGGTGAAGATGGTACGACAATTAGTGGATTTTCGATTGATATTTGAGGTATTTGTTGGGGGTGTTTATTTTTATTTAAGTGTGTTTGTATATTAGAGTTTTATATATATATATATTTCATTGGTAAGTATTGATTAATTGAAAATTAATAGATAATTAATGGTTTAGGTGATGTAGTTTGTAAAGTTGATTTACACATAATGAGATCAAAAACAACAATCTATAATACAATCTTCATTTAATACTATACAAAAAAAAGACAAAAAAAAAAAAATGTGAACAAATAAGAATAATAATCAACAATTCAAGAAATGCTTGCCCATTTTTTAGACGTCCAAGCTACTGACCAACGATATATTATCACCTTTCAAAAGGATTCTCCCCAATGGTGTGCGCTTACTGGTGTCTTTGGTATCGATTTCAATAGCTTCTCCAACAACGATATTCATGAACTCATCAAACCCGCATATTTTACCCTGGATACGCGAATGGTTTTGTTCGTATAACCAGATCTGTACTGTTGATTCTTGTTGGTAAAGTTTGAATAAAAGGTTCACTGGGGGAACCATCTATAGAATAGAAATAGGTTAGTAACGATAATTTTGACTTTCTCTTTTTTCCTCCTCCTCCTTTTTTTTTTTTTTTTCTTTTGTAAAGGGGGGAAATAATTGTGAACAATATGACGTACCACTTTCTGTTGGACCGCGGACATTATGGGGGGTTGATTATTTATTATACAAATGATATATTATGATATGTTATGGTATTTATTACTATGGGGTTAACAATTTTTTTTTTTTAATCTTTTTGGCAAGACAAAGTGCTAAGCGCAGGATACTTTTTTTGACAACCACCGGTGATGATGATGGTGGAGGGAAGAAGGTATTTGGTGACAAAATGATGTGATGCAAAAGACTGTGGGCGGTCGATGGGGAGTGGGAAGTGGAGATCTCCTAACAGCAGAGATCTTTAATATGTTAATGACAGCAAAGGGTTTGGCGGTGGTTCGATGGGCATCAATTCCCACAACAAGGTAGACAATCAATCAAGCGGCCCATCGGTAATTTCCAGGCGATTGGAGTAGGGCAACCTGCCTGCCATCTCCACAACAACAACAACAACAACAACAACAACAAGCATCATCATCTCCCCCTCAACCACCATTGTTGTTGTTGTCCTGTTAATATTTTTATTATATATTCCCCTGTGCTTCTTCCATTGAAAAAAAAAAAAAAAAAAAAAAAAACTTCTTCTCCTTCTTCCTCTGTCTGCAAATCATAATGATCGTCGACGAAAACTACGCCAAAAACTCCTCGTGGAAACCAGACCTTTTCAAAGGTAAAGTGGCGTTTATCACCGGAGGCTCGGGAACCATTTGCAAAGTCCAAGCAAAAGCATTGGTGGCCCTAGGAGCCAATGCCGCCATTATTGGCCGCAATCCTGATAAAGCCGAGGCCGCAGCAAAAGAAATCGCCTCGTTACGTCCAGGGGCCACGGTGTTGGGAATCGGGAACGTTGACGTTAGAAGCGTCCAATCAATAAAACACGCCGCAGACCTCGCGGTGTCAAAATTGGGGAAAATCGACTTTGTCATTGCTGGGGCTGCTGGCAACTTCTTGGCCGATTTCAACCATTTATCATCGAACGCTTTCAAATCGGTGATCTCCATCGATTTGTTGGGAGCGTTCAACACCGTCAAGGCGGTGTTTCCTCATTTAAAGAAATCCCAAGGTTGTTTATTATTTGTCTCCGCCACTTTACAATATACCGGGATTCCTTTACAAACCCACGCGTCGGCCGCCAAAGCCGGGATCGATGCCATGTCCAATAATTTGGCAGTAGAGTTTGGTCCTCTTGGGATCAGGGTCAATTGTATTGCTCCCGGGGCCATCGGGGGCAATGGCGGAGATAGCAATGACAGCTCGATGACCGAAGGAATGAAACGGTTAGGAGGAGCGAAAATCGAGCAATTACCAAAAGAAATCCCATTACAAAGATTGGGGACCACCACCGATATCGCTGATGCTACCGTGTGGTTATTTTCCCCTGCTGCTAGTTATGTCACTGGGGAAATCGTGGTTGTTGACGGAGGAATGTGGCATAGCGGGCTACGGACTAATAATTCCCCAACCCCTGAACAATTAGTCAAATTGTTGAATGACAAACCACGCTTATGATTATTATACTTTTAATGACATTGTTTTTTTTTTTTTCTTGTTTTTATATATATATAAATAAATATAATTATCAACTATAAGTTATTGTAACGTCGATTTGCAAACCATTGAAAATACAATCATCTATGTACCCACCCCTACATATTGTAACACAAAACTAATAATACATCTATTATTCACAAAATATCATATAAATCATTAAAGAAAAAAAAAATCATTAAAGGAAAAAAGCAAGGAAAAACCATTTAGCTAAGCATAATAATGATACAAATATTTATATATATTTATCATTTTATATTTCGAAACAAACCAAAAACACATTGAAAAATTATCTTTTGAATTTTAGAGTTTTTCCAATGATCCCTTTCAAAGATTGTTTCTTTTCTTCATCAGAAGAAGAATTATTCTCATTATTATTGACCCCAGAAGCCTTAATTATACCACCATTCCCCCCTTCTTCATTCTTAGCGACCTCTTTATCAAATAAACCTTTCATCAAATCACCTCCACTTGGTAAATCATCTGGTTTCGCACAGCTATCATCATCATCATCATCATCATCATCATCATCATTATCATCGACAGGGTCTTGTTCAAACGATCCTTTATCACCATCAGTATTGACTGATGGTTCGTTAATTGAACTAATTCCAGAACTAATAGAATTTAAAGACGTCGATAATTTCCCTGTCAAATTCATCTTGAATTTAGAAATCGATTTGACCTTGATTAGCTTACCCCCATCCTGTGCTCCGGCTTCACTAACATTCAGTAACGGCAGTACGCTCATCTCAACATCTTCATCTTCAAAATTTCCACCATCATCACCACCTCTAATCCCATCTTTGGATTCAAATTCACTTTCGTGGCTTTTTGATTTTCCATTGTTATTAACTCGAAGCCTCATATTCGTTAATGATACCTTCTTTTTAAGCCCTCTCATTTTGCTTTTCCTTTCAGGAGACCCTTTTGCCTCTAACACCTTCTGCTTCTCATCACCATTATCCCGTTGATCGACATTTGTTTGATCTTTGGTAGAATCTTTTGTTTCCAACTTCTCATTCTCATTATCTAAACAACCTCCGCACATTTCAACGATTACTTTACCACTGGTCGACTGATTACTAATGGTTTCTAATAGATCCCGGTACTTCACAAACATATACTCGATCAACAATCGATAATTGACACAATCGTCAAGATCCTGGTTACCCACAATGATCAAATCTAATAAATCCAAGATCGTCGAATGAACAAGATTCAATTTCCCGCCAGTGGAAATAAGCAATCTCAAAGAGTTCCCCAACAAGTCATTAGTGATGATATTTCTGGTATAAAACTCATCATTCAACAGAACTATGGATTTGATACACCTGATTGCCGCCAATTGAACATTCTTCTTGAATGGAGCTTGATGTTGATTTTTCCCATCTCCTGCTGTTGAAGCAAACCTGCTCATTTGTAATTTATTAATCCCTTCCAAAATCCGGTGCTCCATAATAAACGACCTGGCTTCTATTCTATGGTCTTTGGCACAAATAGTAATGATATCACACAAATGCAATATCAACAATTCATCAACCTGGCGGTTTATGGTACCTGCCTGACCGTTCCAATCAGCAAGATCAACCAATGGTTTGAATAGAATCGGCGCGACTTTCTCATAGAAGCTGTTAATATACGCGTCGGTATCAAAAGTTACCTTGTTGAGTTTCTCAAAACTCACTACCGCACCAGGAGTCACCTTATTATTGGGATCAAGTAATGATTTGATCGCGCAGAACGCTTGGGCTTTCAACCCTTGATCAACTTCTTCAATTAGCAAATCGGTAAGCACAAGTAATAAATTCATATCACTACTGAATTTAATTGGGGTATCTTCTTTCTTTGTTTTAAATTTCACTTGGTGGAGAATCTTGGAATACGAAGTTTTTGCCTCTGACGGGGGGTTTTTTTCCGGGCTGGGTATGCTGATAGATTTGTTTGATTCATCGAGTTTCCGTTTCTTCACCGCTTCATCTTGACCATTGATCTCTTCGATCGTCCGTTTATCATTATCTATTTCCCCAATACCATTGATCAAAGTGGCGTCCTGTTCCAAAATCGCCACAATAAGTTCCGTACCAATCACTCGGATATCAACTTGTGAATCTTTAAGCGAAAATTTGATCATTTTAAATAATCCCTTTTTCACCAATGCTTTGAAGAAATCCGATCTTTGGGATGCTTGTAAAGATTTAGAGATGATCACATATTGGTGGATCATTTTAACCCCTCCTCTTTTAGTACCTTGCGGGGTTTGTGACTCGGGGTTGTATAAATTGAATAGGTTCGACAAAAAATTTTCTTCTTCCTGAAGAAACTTGAGAATTTCCACTTGGTTGAAATAAATCAATGTGGCGATCGAATTGACCGATGGATCATCCAACAATCTCGCCAAAACAACATCTTTTAAAAATTGAAAATTGAAAGTGGATATGATGAGTTTTTTCATTTTGAGTTCTTCAATGGGGATGATTTCTTTGAATTTCGAATCGTTTTGTAAATACTCTCTGAATTTCGATTTATAAGTGGGGAATTCCGGGTCGTATTCCAATATTCCAATTATGTCCAAAAAATAGCTCTCGTCATTAAAAAGAACTTCAAATACCCCGTTCTCATTGTACGATATCAAAATTTTGACAATGGAGCATAGTCGATGTAAATTCCTCAAATTATGTTCTGTCTCACTTTGGCGGAAAACCTCAATTAAATCCGTTAAGAACGTTGCGTTAATGGCAAGAAACTTGGCGATTTCTTCTCTCCCCGCCATAGAATTACCATTGATCAGAAGTATCGAACAAATATAATTCAAGTTATCGGGGTCCATTGTTGGGTTTGTCGGGTATTCAATGGGTCCACAAATGATTTCCGTAACTCCTGCTTCTTCCCCAGCCAAAATCGCTACTAGACTAATCTTGTTTTCTAGATATTTCTGCACCAGAATAATGAATTCACATAAAAGGGTGCATCCCTCCGATTCTTGAAATGAAATGGCGATATCCACCCCATTAGCATCGGTCCATACAATAAGAGTTTCTTGTTGTTTTTGATACTGGGTATTTCCAAAAATTTGGGCTTTCAAGAGAATGTCATTCTGTTTTTCCTCGTTTTCAATTACAAGATAAGCGTCTTTATTGTCTTCTATCGATCCAATGCAGTAACCGGTCCCTTCATCGGCCCATGCTTCATCAATAAGATAGTATAGTTTGACACGTTTCGGGGTCTGTTTCTCGTTGATTTTCTGGCATATCGACGGTAAATCTGTGGGCTCCAGCTGGTCCTGGTATTGGAAAGCCTTGTCTTGGTCGTCCTCCATTCCTGTCTACTGACGTCTGCTGGGTGCTGGCCAAATGCGATGGGGATGTATTGTCTTAATATTTCAAACAAATCATCATCAAAAAAAAAAAAATAAAACAAAAAAATAAGAAAATGCCGGTGGCGTCTGGGGTGCAGCACCCTGCACAGCTCATCTCGTTACTAAACGTCAAACAGAAAAGGCGTCCACATATATGTTTTATGTTTATTTATATATATATAGATAAATCACAATCGCACCACCTGGTCGAGGTCTGGGTATTGAGGCACGTCGAAGTTGTATTTCTGAGCGATGGCCTCGCTGATGAACCGACCACCCAAATAGTGGTACTTGCCTTTGAAGTACACGCTTGCTGGTTTAGGGGCAGTTAGTGACACCAATACCGATGGCTCGAGCACCTCATCTTGAGGAATTGCTGCGGCTCGTGGGCCCTCATCGACGTCCCATCCAGTGGGCATATCCACACTGATCACCGGTTTCCCGCTGGCGATAAGTCCTTTGATGACTTGATTGTAAGGATCTCTCAATGGGGGTCTAAAGGAAAACCCAAACAACGCATCAATGATAGAGTCATGCGACATCACCAACCGCTTGATATCCCCAACAACATCCTGGGAGTCTGTAGATAAGTATAATGGGATACCAAACGAGTGCAATTGTATTTCCAATTTCTCGAATTTCGCCAGTTTGATGAAATAGAATACCGAAGGATGGTATCCCATCAACTTCAAGTGTCTGGCAGCAACAAGGCCATCGCCGCCATTGTTTCCAGGACCGCTTAAAATGAGAACTTTCTTGTAAGATTTTGGAGGATATGTCTTGTATACTGCTTGAGCGACACTTAGTCCTGCTAATTCCATCTAATGGTTGGTTGTTAGTTAGTTAGCCCATTGATGTGCTTGAGAAGAAAGCTCCGGGGAAAATAATAACACTCACCAATTGGTCCAATGAAAAGCCCTGGGTGGACATCAATTCTTTATCTAATGATGCTGCTGCTTTCGCTCCCAAAACTCTTAAAGACATTGTATTCAATATTGATTAATCCTCTAAGTCCTTGCTGGTGATTTCAGATCAAAAAATGAAATAAAAGAAAAAAATATTTTGTTAAAGAGCAAAAAATAAACCAATAAAAATTACATACATCCAAACATTCCTTCTATAACACCTTCCATTTATACACACACATATATATATATATATACAGAAAATGACTTCTGGCTACACCACCCAGCTGTTATTGTCTACGGCTGTGGCCTGTCTAGGGTCCCTTCAGTATGGGTACCATATGGTGAGTGCCCTATTTTCTCCATCAAGTACCATTATTTCATCGGTCCCAACTAACATCATCATGAACAACAGGCAGAACTTAACGCTCCCGAAGCAGTTTTATCATGCCGTAATACTATAGATGGGCCTGGCTCCTCTTGGTTCGTTCGCCACGAGTATTTGTCATGTATTCCCCTTGATACTTCGGAAATTGGTCTTGTCACTTCAATATTCTCAATTGGTGGTCTTATCGGTTCGATGATTGCCAGTCCCCTTAGTGACAAATTTGGTCGCAAGAACTCCAGCTTCATCAACACTTCATTCTTTATTGTTGGCTCATTATTTGAGGCGTTCTCTAATACCAAGTCTTCTCTTGTTTTGGGTCGGTTTATTTCGGGGCTAGGCGCTGGCACCAGCATTGTGAATACTCCGTTGTTCATCAATGAAATCGCCACTCATGACACAAAGGGCTTTCTTGGGAGCTTGAATCAGTTCTCGGTGAACGTTGGTATTCTTTTCACTCAGTTGTTGGCGATCAATTGGGCAAACACCGATCAATGGAGATATCTATTATTTATGGGTTTCATCATTGCCGCCGCCAACATTGTGGGGTTATCATTTGTCGATGAAAGTCCAAAATGGTTGGTCAAACATAATGAGATCGAATTGGCAAAGAAATCGCTTAGAGCCCTCAGAAACCCTGATGATTATTCAGATGAACAAATTGCCAACGAAATCTCTCAGTGGATTGCCGAAATGTCTGATTCTAATCCGCCTGGAGCAGAGTCCCAATCTTTACTTCCATCATCAAATATCGAACCAAAATCCTCAAATGTCACTATGCTAAAGTACTTGATGTCGTCGGAATTTTATAACTCCCGTCTTATTGTGTCGATCATCATGATTGGCCAACAACTATGTGGTATCAATTCAATTATCTTTTACGGAGTGAGTATCATCTCCTCTCTTCTTCCGCAATACGCTGTCTTGCTCAATTGTGCTATTTCTCTCCTTAATGTCGGGGTCACATATGTGGCTGCGGTTGTTGTGGACCGCGCTGGCCGCAGACCTTTACTTATTGGATCGGTATCGATTATGGGGATTGCTTGTTTATTGACGGTCCAAGGAATTGTTGGTGAGCATCCTTATGTCACGGTTTTTGCAATTTTTTCTTATATTGCAGCTTTTGCCATGGGGTTGGGGCCAATTCCGTTTTTACTCATCTCAGAAGTTACTCAATTACAAGCTACAACCGTGGCCCAAAGTTTTGGTACGGTGCTTAATTGGATGGCGACTTTTCTCGTTGGTTATTTGTTTCCTATTTTGAACTTGAAACTTGGGGGTTATGTTTTTGGGATTTTTGGGATTAGTTGTGCGGTTGTTGGAATACTGGTCTGGAAGTTATTCCCAGAAACTAGAGGTAAGAAAAATTATGGGGAAGTATGGGGTGTTGCTGCAAGATTAGATTGATTAATATCTTATTATTATTATTATTATTATTATTATTATTATTATTATTATTATTATTATTATTATTATTTTCGGGGTTAGCAGGGACGGAAAGGACATCACACATATCATGAATGTTATTATTATATATATATATACATTATATTTTTTGTTTAGATGATAGCCGTTATTTTTGTTTTAGTGTGTATATAATGTAAAGAGTGCGTGCGCTCTTTGTTTCTATGATTTTTATATATACCTTTTTGTTTTTGCTTCTTTTTCAAAATTTATAGCCTCTCAACATTGACAATATTACAATCTCAAAAGCTAGCAAAATCGTGAGCTTGGTCATCGGTCCTCTGGTGAAACTACGCAACTGGGGTGCTACCGAAGGTGATAAGAGCATGTAAATGAAATCATTAACGATTTGTGAATCCAAAACCATTTCTATAGTCCCCTGAATTTTTTCGCCAATTTTCTTGTGGTACACAAATTGCTTCGCCATAATTTTAAACTCTTTGTAAAAAATAATGCTCATCTCGAACAAATCTGATAATGTCACCACGATTTCCATCCACAATAATTCATTTTCAGTGACGGGAGCCGAGGTATACTTCTTGGCCTCAATTGTTTGTTTTATATTGGGAATCAAAGAGTCATTGGGCTTACCCATCTTCCGTTGGTGTTTTTTCTTCACGAGATTCGCTAAAAAATTATACTCCAGGATTTGCTGATGGAGCAATTTTTGGAATAGATTGGGGTTTTTTTGGAACATCACCGCAAGGGAAATGCCGATTCTTGGTCGAATAAAAACTTGATGGGCATCAAGAATCGTCGTATCGATCCAGTCATCATATAGCCTCATGACCGTCTTATCATAGTTACGAAAATACGTGTCGTAAGTGAAAGGATATTTGATTTTATTTTCCAAATCCGACACACTTTCTTGGAAAAGGTTCCTCAACAACAGCATTGGTCCTCCACTATTACTGCTTTTCTTTGGCACGACGTGTCTTAAAAGCGATGCACTTTCATTATCATCATCATCATCATCGTAATTCGAATTTGATTGTATATTGTCGATCTGGCGGGATTCAAACTTGCCAATTTTTTGAAACTGGAATTTCTTAATACAATCCTTGAACAAATAGTCCCCTAAAAAAATCAACGATTGGAACCCCATTATTTTAGGGAAATTCGTTTTTCTTCTTTCTGGATTATTGGCAATCACTGAAAGATACCCTATTAGATCATCGCTTAGTGATTGTTTGGAATTTTCAAATTTCAACGAATTATCAATTTCAATACACTTATTAAAATCGATTTCCCGCTTGTCAAAGTCTTGGGTCATTGCCAACATTTTAGCTTTACTGGTCAAGATTGTCATCAAACTGATCATGTTTACATTCAAGCTTGGCTCCACTAACCCAGTTTGTAATTTCCCAAATTCTTGTAGTAGCTGAAACATTGGCGTATCATTGAGCAACACTTTCAACTTCCAATATTTCGACATGAATATCTGTTGATGGGTCAAATAACGGGGGAATTTTTTGAAATTAGAAAACGTGGCGTTACAATAAGGACATTGCGATTTGATATGACTCCACTCTTTCAAACATCCTTGACATAACGTATGTCGACATTTCAAGATCCTCACCGGATTTATTGACGATTCCGAATCGTCATTCATACACACCGGACAATAAAAATCACCATGACCATCGAACTTCACGTACGCCACTTGAATCATTTGGTCTAAGATGAAATTGGCGAAAATCTCAATCAAATTATTATACTCAACGTATGATTTGATGGAGAAAGTTGTTTTGGAGTGGTGTTCTTTCAATATCGTCTTGTAGGTGACCCCCATATAAGTGTAGACCAGGGTGACAATGATCCAGCCATGGGCAGTAAGTTCCACATTAAATGACTCGATGCAAAAGTTTTCTCCAATCCTCACAATCCGAATCTCATAAAAATTATTCATATAGGTTAATATATCGTGGGGTTTGGAAATTGAGAAGTACGTGCTGGGATGATATATTTCAGGAGTTAAAAGCCCGTCGAATTCACTAGTATCTTCTAGATTTTTCTCTCTAGGATAGTTGGCAATTGCCTGATATATTGAAAATTCATCATTTACATAATGATGGTGGTGAAAATCGATTAATTGGGAAATATCAAATCCGTAAGAGTTTTTTGTTACATCTTCAAGGTCCGTCGTCCCATGATTCTTCTTCTTCTTCTTCTTAGATATATCAATTTCCTCTCGTTCCATATAGTTCTCAGCAATCTTGTATTTTAGTGCATCGGAATTCCTTGCAGTTATCGATTCTTGATACCCCAAGCATTCAAAGATTGGTAAATTGTTCAAGAATCCCGATGGTTGTTTGCCATACTTGTTAAGAAAGTCACGGATGTTCTTGGTGCCTTGGTAATATTGATAAGGTGTGTATGGTTTGTATTGATCGCTTGAATGATATACTGTCAAGTTCCGTTGGTATCGATACGTTTCGACGTCGGTGGGCATCTTAAGAGCAGTGGGATTTGTAGGTTGGGGAGGGAGGGAGAGAGAGGGGGCTGGATTGATTGATGGGCAGAGTGTGTGTGTGTGCGTGTGTGTGTGTGGATAAGGGGATCTGTGGATTATTTTCCATGTGGTGCAATCCGTGGAGCGATGACCCGCCTTGCTGGTATAACAAACACAAGCAGCCGGTAGCACTACAATCTTCAATCTTCTTATAAATTACAAGACAATAAAACATCAAATCATTAAGAACCAAAATTAAATACCAAGTGCTAAACTCTGATGTACTAGCAATCTAAGAGAGCAAACAGAAAAAGAAAAGAAAAAAAAAAGAGATCCCCCAATCACCGACTCAACAATGAAATTAAACTATTCAATCCAGGTTTGCCAACCTTATCAATCAACATCTTGGAAATTCCTGCCAGTGCCGATGGAGCATTGGTAATTGGTTTCCCATCTTCGGTATTCTCATGTACAACAAAGTCAATTACCAGGTCCAAAAATGACTCTAATGATCCCATTTGTGGTGATAAGTTAATGGTTTGATCAACATCAACCGGGAACTTCTTCCAAGTAGGGATAATACCCAAGTTTAATGACATCTGACTTTTAGCAAACAATCTAAAGATTATAAACTTTTCCCCGTTTTGCATTTTTTCCAGTAGTTTCTTCAAGAACCGATAAAGTTCCCTGCGGTTTGGTTGCAATGTGATCAACAAATCAAGGGTGGTTGGGGTTTGTTGTTCGATCCTCAAATTGAAAGGAGGAATGTTCATATACCCCAACTTGATCAAATAATCTTGAATGTTTTGAGGGTTCGAGTCCTCGTCTTGTTTATCCAATAGCTTTATTTCAATATCGTCTAAAGATATGTCTACCGATTTGAAAACTCGGCCATTGAGTTGAAAAACTGAGGCTAAGTAGCTGTTATTGAGCTTGTTGTAATCAAAGCTGGTTTCAAGTTGAACGTTGATCCCTACACTAGAGAAACCTTTTCCGATTCCTGCAAACTCGACGCTCTTGGCCTCAACGTCCAAGGATTTCTCGATATACTCCTGGGAGTGGGGGCCAATCAACCAGATATTTATCGCAACAAACCCACAAATTGCCACTGTCATTATTACCACCAGTAATTTTATGAGCCGTGGGATATTCAAAGGAAATTTGCTCATTTTTTTAGATTGTAAATCATGATGATTCGATTCGTAAGACTGGCTATAAGGAGGAGGCGGGGGAAGAAGACTCAGATCGTCCCACAGAGGAGCTGACAGTAACAACGGGGTACTTTCGTCAGTTGGCTTGTGTTTCTTGCTGGTGGTGGTGATCATGTTGGGTGTGAGCGTCAATAATATATAATATAAATCATCCGTTCATCTCATCGCTGCCCATTTTGGCATTTTTGGTTGGGGTTTTTTTTTGTGTTAAAAAAGGAGAGAAAACTCCCCCCTGGATATAATAGATGGCACTGCCTTATCCGAACAATATTCACCAGGTTAAACGATAATAATAACACAATGTCCCCTATCAATACTGCTAACCACTATATCCTCAATAACCCTTCGAAAATAACCAACGTCTACGATGCATTGGCCGAAAACTCTGCGGAATCTCCGATCACCACCAGCTATCCGATGGCAGCAACACCCGAGGGCGAACCAACGTTCATATTGAAGAAGCTTTTCGGAAGTAAACATCAGCTATCGTCGGGAGAAATCGTCGCCTTGACGGTGTTCAACGTTATTTTCTTTGCGTTTTGCTTTGGGTTGTTGTTGTACCTTGAGCGTAGAAGATACCACCAGCAATTGACGAGTAAGCAAAGGGTATTGGACGATCTCAAACCAAAGATTCTACATTTCTTGGATATTGTCGCGACCAACATGACCGAGGACGAGAAGATTACCTTGGTGATCAATATCATGTCGAATGAATTGATGAAGTACAAATGGAGTTTGAATGATCGGTTCGATTACAGTAATTTCGATGGTGATTCGATAGACATTGATCAGTTGATTCAACGGTATCATTCAAGAAAGATGATGCAATAAAGGTCTTTTCCGAAAATTATTAGTTCTTTTATTGAGTATTGTGGTTAACAAGTTTTGGACAATTTAGGAGGGAATCGTTGGCTGGCTTTATTTTTTATATTTTATTTTGTTGTTATTTTTTTTTTTTTTTTGGTATTCTGCTATCTCTATTTTAATGATACTTCTTTATATTTCTTTCTTGTTCTTTTTTTTTTTTCTTGTGATTTGATGGAGTTCTTTGAATACTCACTCGTCTGTCTGTTTCTCTACTTGATTTGGTTAAATCTCTGCATGATTTCGTCAAAACTTTGTTTAAAAATGGTTTGTTTATCTATACATTTTTCTTCTTCTGGTTTATTGTTGTTATCTTTCTTCTTCATAAAACACTTTCTCATATTATATTATATTATTATTATTATTATTGTTATTATTATTGTTATCACCTACTTTCGACATCTCTTGAATAAGTAGGGGTCCTGCACCCTCATGGCTGATTTCCATTAAAAAAAATTTTTTCAACTTTTATCAGTTTTCTGCTTTTTTCTCTGTTTATCACGAAATAATACATAAATACGGCATTTATTACAGAAATGACAGACACTGTTCCAAGCAATGGCTCGTCTGATCCACAGCCCGCTTTTAATCTTCAAAATCCAGTGATTGAAACTGAAGGCCTTGCTAAATTAGACACCATTCTAGATCAAATAGCTGCGTTCAACCCAGTGTCAGCACCAAACGAGTTAACTGGCAACCCAGATGAGCCTAGAAACTTCGATCCAAAACTATATCTTAAAAACATCACGCATATCAAAGAAAACGAATGGGTACTCGTCAGACTCCCGTCCCAAGGGTCCAAGTTGGTCGAGTTGAAGAAGGATAGGGTTGTCAGTTTGGGGAAGTTTGGGAATTTCCAAGTCAACCAGATCCTTGGTTATAAATTCGGCCAGACTTTCGAAGTAATGGATAATGATAATGTGAAACCAGTTGATGGTCGACCTGTGTTTGATGAAATCAGTGCGTCTATTGGTGGTGGTGGTGATGATGAAGAGGAGGAGGAAGAGGAGGAGGAAATAGAAGTAGAACAACAACAACAACAACAAAAACAGCAAGGGAAACAGCAAGCAAATGAAAACCAAGAAATTGCCAACCAACTCCAAAACTCTGCCGATCAAACAAATAAAGATAAAGCAGATATCATCGAAAAACTTATGAAATTCTCCGAGGATAATAGTAATTTGGTAGATTTGGGAGCAAAAGTGCAAACCCTTTCAACCTTGGAAATTGAGGCGATGAAAAAGCAAAGTTACAGTTCGGAGACCGGTAGAAAAATCATCGAATCGATCATCAACCAGCACGGGAACTTTGATAAAAAGACCAAATATTCTCAAGCCAAGTACCTCAGGCGTAAACGGGAAAAATACTCAAGATTCTTCATCATTGAATACATATCGGCAAAAGAATTGTTGAACTATTACATTGACAACAAAGATATCCGCAAGAGTTTGGACTTGAGTGAGGAATCAATGGCGTATATCTTGAACCTTGCTAACGTTAGACCAGGGGGCAGATACTTGATTATGGACGAATCTTTAGGGCTCCTCACTTACTGTATGTTGGAAAGAATGAATGGTCAAGGGGAAATCGTGGTGGTTTCTGAAAATGAACACGTGAATTTGACGGCATTAGAAAGATATTCCAACTATCCACCGGTATATATTAACAAGATGGTTAAAACTATTGATTTCTTACAATTTATCAGCCCAATCGATGACATTTTGGCGAGCGATGAAGCCTGCGCATTCTTTAAACCATTACCTAAAGATGAGGTTGATAAGTTACTGAAAACTAAAAAAGCTCGCTACGTTAAAAAATTCTCAAACTACTCCGACTTAATCAAAATTCTCAAAACTTGCAAATCAGGAAACTTTGACGGGCTCATTCTTCTAACGACATTATACATTCCTTCGGTTCTTGAGAGTCTTATAGGTAAGGTTGGTGGCTCAAGATCCGTGGTTATTTACAGTCAGTTTAAAGAACTATTGGTGGAAACTTTCCACGCGATTGCAAATCAAAACATTCCAATCTTGGGAGCAAGTGTTTATGAAACCAGAGCAAGAAGCTATCAAGCGGTTCCAGGGAAAATTCATCCAGTCATGACCAGTAGAGGTGGTGGTGGTTACGTTATGTGGGGAACGAGAGTTTTCCAATTGGAAAAGGTCGAGGCAGTTGGTAAAGGTAATAAGAAGAAGAAGCAAAAGATGGAAAGCTCACCTTGATTTGTTATTCTTTTTCATTCTTTTAGTGTTTACATAGATAGGGAATTGTTTTTTCTTTTTCTTTTTTCTTTTCATTTTTTTTTTTTCCTTTGCATATATATGTAATATGTTGTTTATAAATCTAGAGGACAACTATTTAATAATACAAAAAAAAAAGAAATGCAAAAATAAAGAGAAAAGGCCTTAGATACATATCATGGAAATTGTAATCATCAATCACCACATGCCATCGCCAGCACTATTCATATTCATATCCATACCATCATTTTCAATTTGATTCATGTTCATTGTTCCAGGAAAATCATTACCCTGTTGGCTATTATTGTCCTGATTTCCCTGCAACATTGCCATATCCATTTCCATCATGTCGTTCTGTAAGTTATCTCGCATATTCATTTCCATCATATTATTGTTCATCGTTCCCATATTCAGGTTACCGATTGGCAAGTTACTTATTGCATTTGGACTCATACCATTATTGTCTTGCTCGTTGTTATTGAACTGTTGTTGTTGAGTTTGCGGTTGGGGTTGTTGTGGCTGTTGATGTTGTGCTGAAGAAATCGAAGGTGTGCTATTAGTAGATCTGTTGGTATGCGGTGACATCGTGTTAATATTATTATTATTATTATAATTATTATTATTCATTATTGTAGTAGCCGTGGTAACTAACGGACTGTTATTATTGTTGTTGTTATTATTCATCATGGCAGCGGCCACAGGAACTAACGGACTGTTGTTATTATTCATCATGATAGAGGCCCCAGGAACTAATGGACTATTATTATTATTATTCATCATGATAGAGGCCCCAGGAACTAACGGACTGTTGTTATTATTATTCATCATAATAGAGGCCCCAGGAACTAACGGACTGTTGTTATTATTATTATTCATCATAATAGAGGCCGCAGGAACTAACGGACTATTGTTTCTAGTATTACCTTTACTTCCTTGAAGGGTACTAGGAGCGACCAATGGGGTGTTCAAATTCTGTAATACTGGAGTCGAGTGATTACTTGTGTTATTCATGGTATTATTAGGGTTGTTGGTCATCATTGGTTGTTGAGGCTGAGGATTCTGAGGATGCTGAATTTGCGGAGTTTGTTGAAGAATTGTTTGGTCCTGTTGTTGTTGCTGTTGCGGCAGTTGTTGTTGTCGTGCTTCTTTTTCCTGGCCGTGTTGTTGCTCCTGCTGCTGATCCGGTTGACCTTGTTGTTGTTGAAGATAAACTGCCTTTTGTTGCTGTAAATACTCCATGGCTTCTGGAAACATTTTGTGTAAGATGATATAACGCGAGCGGATCTCAATCGTCGCTTCAGGAGGAGGCGTCAACATGTGGGGGAAAATCGGTTTGTCATTAGCGTCTGGGTCACCATTGCGGTACTTCTCGTTCAATTCCCCGATACACGTCAAATTTGCCTGGACTCTTCTCAAGTAGTGCTGGATGACATCCATTTTGTCAATATTGGGCGATGAAAACAGTTGGATGGTGGCAGTGATCTCCGATGGGGGGATGTTGTTAGTGTTCAAACCGGGGTTGTCTGCGATCTCGATCATCATGGCCCGATGTATCAATAGTGTATTGATTTCGAATAGCACTCTGGCTCGCTGTTTATCGTATTCTATATTACTCATCGTCGCAGCTGGCTGGGGGGCAGGGAGGTGGCACTATACTCTACTAGCTTACCTACCCACCCATGGCCGGCAGAAGTTTGTTGACAAAAAATATTCAGACTTTTTTTTCCGCGTTTTTTGTCACGTGCACGATCAGCTGATGAGTTTTCAATGGTCAGCCATCATCTCCGTAGATGGATGGATGGTATTACAATCAAGCAAATAAGAAGAAGAAAAGGAATCATCGATTAATTATGAAATATTAATAAGAAGAAGTGAAACAATGAAAGAAAAGAAAAAAAATATAAGGCGCTAACAAATAATTAGAACATCTAAGGTCATTCAAAGGATAAGAAATGAAGAGGTCACCAAAACAGCCCCGATAGCCATCTTTTGAAGGGTGGAGAGGTATCTCACAGAGTTACCAGCACCATAGTTGAGGTTAGGAATGTATTCACTGGCAATAGAAGCACTGTATGAAGAAGCAACTTCCACAGTAGGATTAGCAGTACCAGCAGCGGCAGCGGCAGCAGCATCAAAAGTGGCGGCAGTAGAACTACCAGTAACTGCAGCGATCAATGCAGAAGTGTCTACCGAGCCAGCGGAAGATGAAAGGCTAATACTAGCAGTAGTGGTCTTCAAGTTTTGAATTTGGTAAGCTGGAGCGGATGTCGCCGATGGTTTAGCAGCAGAGGAGATGGTGAAGTTGGTAGAAACACCAGGAATGGTGGAATTACTGGAATATGTAGTAGCAACCCCTTTTGAATCACCTTTGACAACAATGTTGTTACCGGTCTTGTCACCGTAGGCGTAAGCAGTGCCGGTAGAATAATCGGAAACAATGAGGGATTTGATATTGAAAATGAATGGGGCACCTTCAAGAGAGGTGGCACCACCAGCCCATTCAACAGTGCCAGCACTAGAAGAGTCACCAGCAGCCCAAAGACCAAGGAACACACGCATTGGAGAATTTGGATATTGGTAGTCACCGGTGTTGGAAATTTCAGAGATCGACAAGGTTCTGATGACTTGACCATCGACGGACCACACAGTCTTGTCCTTTTGCCAATCAATAGTGTAGGTGTGGTATGCTTCATCCAAAGCAGCACCAACTTTTTGAACAGTACCTCTGTCGTAGTTCCCGGTTATCCCTTTACCGAAATAGTTGGTGGTGACTTGGGTGTTATAAGTACTGATCCATTCAAAGTCGATTTCATCACCGTCGTCACTTTGTAAAAACACATTGGAAATAAGCCCAACACCACTAGCGGTTTTGCAAACCACTTCGACCTTCCCGTAATAAATGTAGAAGTTTGATCTAAGCGATGGGGCGTCACCGTGGTTTTCGAACCATTCGACTAAACCATTATCGGTGTACTTGATTCTGGAACCCTCGGCAAGTGGGCTGAAATATGGAGTTTCAGTGGTGAAGTCCAATTCAATGCTGCCTCCCAAAGCAACATCATCTGGACAAGTTTCTTGTAATGGATCGCAATCACTAGCAAAGTCCCCGGCCAATGCGGTGAATGGAAGGAGAAGTAGCGAGCATAAAAGAGTGTTGTATTTAACCATGATTATGTGTGGATGATAAGAAAATCAGTAGTGATTGTTAATAATGATAATAATGATTGTAACAGATTAATTGCTTAGAATAATATAATAATGCTTTGAGGTGGCTTATATATTGTGAAGTGTTACATGTTTCAAATAGGACACTGGTGTTTCAGCATGTTGAAAAAATTGGCAAGGGGACTGTCGGGTGGTGCGTGCATGGGCTGAAACCCATCCTATGTGGTGGATTTAATATAACCACTAGTACCACGATGATCACCAATGCCTATTTGAGATATACCAATGATGCGTATCAGACCAAACAACTTCTGATACCTTGAGATTAGACTTGAAACTTCACTAACAGATACAATGCAAGAAAATCAATATATTGAACAAACTATTCAAGGCACAACAAATGCAAGGACGAAACAAAAAAACAGTAAAACAAGATTTAAAAATAGTAAATTAATACAAAAATAGTAAATTAATACAAAAATAGAAAAATAGTGACAAAATGAAAATCAAAAAAGAAAAGAAAAAAATGGATCGGATTACATGCTGAAGAAAGCAATCCCAATGAAAACAAGTCCCAAGATCTCATATCTCATGGAAATCTGTGAACCACCACCAAAGTATTGGATGGTTGCATTAGAAGAAGAACTAGAGTTGAAGACTGCAAATGATGCGGTGGCATCCAAAGTGCTTGAGTGACTATAACTGCTAGAATAAGTAGCAGAACTGGTGGTGGTGACACTGGACGCAACGGTTGGTGGCAAATAAGTAGGAACATTATCAGTATTACTCAAAGTCTTGGTGGTTTGGATATAATTGGTCCCCTGGATCAAAGAGGTGGTATAGCTGATAATATAAACCTCTCCGTTACTGGTAAACACTGAAACGTCTCCTCCGTTGGACACTGGTGATTCGTTATTCACTGAGGTAGTAATTGCTGCTGCTGAGGATTTCTTGATCACTGAAGTAGTAGTGGTTGTTGCTGTGGTCGTTGAATCAATCCCTGCTGAAGATGTTGGAGCACTGGTACTGGCATGTGCGTTTACTGAACTGGTGGAGGTTTGAGAAACTGTACCAGTGGTATATGCCAGAGTAGTAGTAGCAGAGGTGGTATGGTTCCACATGGTGGATCCATGAGCTTCCAAACTTGAACTAAATTTGGAACTATCACTAAGTGGACAGTACGTAGTATAAGATGTTCTAACATGAGTAATTGTCGATTTCGAAGTCAAGGTCGAGCAAGCGTTGTTGACACAGCTGGTGATAGTAACATAATCTGTTGAATACTCGCTAATGTAAGCTGTTGAAGTCAAAATTAGCATGCTACTACTGCCAGTTGTGGAGACCAAAGAAGAGGTGGTGATAGGACTGATTGTGCTCGATAAAGATGATGTACGACCGCTTAATGGGCAAGTAGTGGTATAAGAAGTAACCACCCCAGAAATGGTATCTGTAACCACCGTGACACCAGCTGAGGTAGTTGATGTGGTATGGCCACTCAAGGGGCAGGTAGTTGTATAAGAGGTCACCACTCCAGAGATTGTGTCTGTGATTACTGTAACACTAATAGAAGATGATGCTGTGGTAGTAGTGGATGGTCTGGTTGTCGATGAAGAGACCAGAGTTGATGAGGTCTTGAGACCACTCAATGGACAGGTAGTTGTGTATGAAGTAATGGTACCTTCAAGAGTTTCGGTGACAACAAAGACAGTACCTGATGATGATGATTCAACATGGCTTGTGGAAGAAGTTCCCAAAGTTTGGGTGACAGTTCCTGTTGGTACAGCTGTATAAGTATGGGCGATTGCCTTCATTTGAATTCCATCGATAAGTTTCGATGATGAGCTCGAAGAAGACGAGAAAGTAGAAGTAGAGACCGGCTCAACCGCGTTTCCATATGTAAGAGCTGAAGTTGTTGTATTAGATGAAGCTTGAGCAGCCACCGCAAAAAGATACAAAGTCCTCCAAATATTGTTCAACTTCATCATCATATGTTTTATATCACTAATGCAAAGATGTTTTTATATTTTTTTTTGTTTTTATTGTTGTTGTTGTTTCTCTTTCTAATTCTCTATTTATCAAATACTATAAGTGACCTTCTATTGAATCAAGTTTCTTGTAACGATGATATCTATCCGCACTGAAGAAGAAATAATAATAATAATAATAATAATAAAAGAAAAAAAATACAATTCAGAACTGGGGATAGTAAGTCATTAATATTCCCCAGAGGCACCATCCTGAAGTTACCACTATGTATTATAAACCGTGCCATTTCCATTATGAAATGGTCCCGTACTAAATTGCCGAAGCATAATGCTTAGCCTTACTTCAACATTCTCCCGTCACCCAAAACCCAGATTTCTAAAATATTACCTAGACCCCTACTTCATTGGGAACATCTTCATGTTGCCAGCTGTTGGAAATAGTATTAATTGCTTTTGTTATATGCCCACCAGGTTCTTCTAGGCACAGTAATTATCAGCATCTCTCGTCGACTCGACTCGACCCGACCCGACACCTTCAAAGTACGCAAAGCCAAAGATCATCAAATCTGCACCCACCGCTAAGTGACGGAATTTGCTATGCGGAGCCCAGTGCGTACGCCAACAATAATAATAACAAGGAGAACAATCTATTAATAAAAATAGTCTATATAAGTGATAGTAACAAGAACTGAATAAAAGAGAGAGAGAGTAAAAAAAAAACATAGCGAAATGAAATGAATCTAAATAATAATAACTGACAAAACGAACACTAAACCAACGACTCCAAGCATCAAGACATTAGTCTCTCTGATGTACAATGTCCGAGCACTGTTAATAGATATTATTGTTGAATTGGCAGTAGTAGTAGATGAAGTGTATACTGAATGAATTGAAGATGTGGAATGAGCAGCATCAAGTGTCGCACTTTTTTCTTTGGTGGAAGAGGTCTTTGTGGAACTAAGATGAACTGTAACGTAATCCGAATGAGTAAAAGAGTAGTAGAGAGTGGAAATGGTGGTGCTGGTATCATCGGAGGAGCTAACAACATAAGAAACTGCAGAAGTCTTGCCATGGACAACTGTTGGAGAGCCAGAGATTGTCTTACCGGTGGTTTTAGCAGTAGTTGTGGAAGTTTTACTTGTCGTGGCTTCGGTGGAAGCTTTAGTTGTCGTGGCTTCAGTGGAAGCTTTAGTTGTCGTGGCTTCAGTGGAAGCTTTAGTTGTCGTGGCCTCTGTAGAAGAGGTTGTGCTGGATAATGAGGAGGTCTTATCGGTGGCATCAAGGGTTGCAGAAGATCCAGAAACGGTAACTGTGGCAGCAGCATAAGATTTAGTTGAAGTGATTTTAGTACTACCACTAACATGGACCACGACGGTAGAACTTTTAACATCAGTAGATTCAGTGGTCACAGCTTTAGTGGAAGTACTAGTAGAGGTACCGATTGAAGTAGATAATACTTTGGAACAAGCATTATTTGAACAATGGGTGGTAGTAACAACAACGGTCTCGTTGACTCTCACGATGTCAGTCAGGGTAGACGCAACTGGTGAAGTGGTGGTGACTTTAGAACACACGTTGTTAGAGCAATGAGTGGTAGTAGCGATGACGGTCTCGTTAACTCTCACGATATCGGTCAGGGTATGTAACACTGGTGCGGTGGTAGTGACTTTAGAACAAACGTTGTTTGAACAATGAGTGGTGGTGATGACAGTGGTACTATTCCAATGCACGAAATCAGTAGAAGTTGAAGCGGCCTTGGTGGTGGTTGATGAAGAGGAGCTTGAAGACTTAGTAGTGCTTGATTCTGATTTGGAAGTACTAGTGCTAGAAGACTTGTTGGAAGCAGTGCTAGAAGACTTATTTGAGCTGCTGGAAGCAGTACTAGAAGACTTATTTGAGCTGCTGGAAGTTGTACTAGAAGCCTTAGTGGAAGTACTGGAATTAGTACTAGAAGCTTTAGTAGAAGTACTGGAAGTAGAGCTAGTAGATTTGGTAGAAGTATTAGAGGTGGTACTAGAAGTCTTGGTGGAAGTACTGGAAGTAGAGCCAGTAGATTTGGTAGAAGTATTGGAGGTGGTACTAGAAGTCTTGGTAGATGTACTGGAGGTTTTGGTAGATGAAGTAGAAGTAGCACCGTTAAGAGCAGGTGTGGTATATTCAGAAGGCAATGAACCATCCTTATTGCCGTTGATTTTACCTCCGTTAGAGCTAATGGTGGCCTTTTTATCAGTAGAATAACTGTAACTACTACCAGTTGAATAATCGACCACGGAAAGATATTCGACATTATAAATGTATGGAACCCCAGACATGACAGTAGAACCACCGGCCCAGCTAACAGTACCAGAACTAGTAGAGTCACCACCGGCCCATAACCCAAGGAAAACCTTCATTGGAGAAGCAGGGTAGTCATGAGCTCCGTCATTAGAAACGTCAGCAGCAACCACAGTAGCAATGACCTTACCATCAAAAGACCAAGTAAGTTTAGTTTCAGTCCATTCGATGGTATAAGTGTGATATTCGGAAGTCAAGTTTTTTTTGGTTTCGTAGATAGTACTTCTACTTGCCCCGGTATAAGTAAGATTCCCTTTACCGAAATAATTGGTTTGAATTTGGGTTTCTTCGGCACCAAGCCATTCGAAATCGATTTCATCCAAATCATCTGATTGTAAAAAGAAATCGGTGATCATCCCTTGACCTGGGGCGATCTTACAACTGATTTCCACTTTACCGTACATGATATAGAAATTAGAGCCGATGGATGGAGAGTCGCCGTGATCTTCAAACCATTCTTTCAATCCTTCTGAGGTGTAATTGATTCTGGAGGATCCTCCTTTGACGCTGAAAAGTGGGGACTCGCTCTTGAAATCCAATTTGGCACTGGTACCTAAAGCAACATCGGAACCACAATTTGTCGATTCTATTGGATTACAATCGCTGGCGAAACCTGTGGCACCAAATGCAGTGGAGATGACGGCAGAAGTGGTCAAAAGAAATTTCCAGGGAAGGACCATTTTTATCGTTATTCTTCTTGATGATAATCGTTGATGCTTTTTTCTATGAGTTATATATTATGCATGCACACCGAACTTTATCAACTAATGCTGCCAATGAATGGGCTAGAATATAGAAAAAGCACAAGAATGTGAGGGGGGGAAGAAAAAGGCACTTGCAAATTGAAAGTATATTGAGTTAAATTGTTTTATGTCATTCACCTCTGATATATATATATATGCTGTGACATATATTTGCGTGTGGGTGTAAAAGTGTGGGTGGTATCCAGCTATCCTGCATACGCCGGGCTCTGAAACCTTCCTGCCTGTTTCAGGCTCCATGTCCATGATTTAGGAAGCACTAGCGCGACGAGGGATTGGGACCCATTAAATCGTGTAATATCCCTAATCTTGGGTTGTTTTACATGGTTTAGTACAATAGCTCATTAATTTTACGTCGTTTTACGATAATATATGGGCACAGGACCTAGACACCAACCAGGTTGGTTGGTTATCTCCGCGTGAGATACCACACCATGAACCCCCAATGAATAATGGAGAACTAGTTCTTTATTATTATCACGTATCTCTTTCAATTGCTGATTGATATATATATATATATATATACATATTAATATTTCTTGGTTTAAGGTCCTCAAAAGTAAATCAACATTGATAATTCGATATATTTATTAAATTAGGTATGATTTCAGGTTTCAGTAGAATTGGACAAATTGTAGATCAACATTAACGTATATCCTTGGGGTTTGTTAGTGTCGGGATATGCTCAAATGACAATGAAGCATATCCTGATTAGGCAGTTGGGTTGTATAGTACTTATATAGTTTATTGATCTTAAATGTTGCAAACCCTCGTATCAGAAATTACACCAATTAAATCTAATACAATTCACACTCAATGTCATCCATGTATTACCACAGATCATAGCATTCTCTTCATATATGTATATATATACTGTTTTTTTTTTTGGATAGTTACAACATTATTACACTACACTTTCTTCATGAAATAAATAAAAAAATATCATCAAGTATATTTCAAATCCTCTAAATCTGGCACCATATATATATACACACTTCTTTTTGAGCCAAGTAGAAAGTACAGAAGAAAAGAAAAAATATAAAAAGAGAATTAATTCCTTCACGAAAAATGCAACGAGATAACACAATGAGATTACTCATCTCTTGGCAGGCTTAACATCACTAGAAGTTGGGGTCTCGATGTCGGCTTCTTCTTCTTCGTAAACTAACAACCCATCTTTTTCCAACATTTCCAACAATTCCCCACTTTGGGCCATGCTAGTGACGATATCACAACCCCCGACAAACTCACCATTCACGTAAAGTTGTGGGATCGTTGGCCAGTCGCTGAATTCTTTGATCCCTTGTCTAAGTTCATTGTCTTCAAGGACATTGTACGCGGCAAATTTATCTGGATTCACCCCAATCGACCCGAGCAATTGGATAGTGGCACGAGAAAACCCACACGCTGGGGCTTCTGGAGTACCTTTCATGAAAAGCACCACTGGGGCTGATTTGACGGCTTCCCCAATCGATTGTTGCATCTCCGTAGACAAGAATCTTCTGGTGGAAATACCGTGGTTCAAGTACAATGGAGAGCGGTTTTGTACTTCAGAAGCCAACTTGTTATTAGTCAATCCACCATTTCTAATCATAGAAAATGATCTGAATGAACATCTAATGGCTTGAGTGGAAACAGAACGGTTAATCTATACTTTTTGGTTAGAAAATCTGTCTACAAACTGAAACAAAAAATAAAAAAGATAATTAACAAAAAGTACTCACCAACCTGCTTGAGTTCAACAACTGTCTAGAAAACATCTTCGATTATTGTTTAGTTCTATCAAATTGGTGTTGAATAAATCCCCCAAGGATTAGTAAAAGTATCAGTTATTTTTTTTTTTTGTCATTTCTTGATTCTCGCACGTGACTGTGTCTCTCTTTTTTTGGTGAGCAAATCAGCGTGAAGCTAACCATAAGCAAATTGTGACAATCCGGCCATCATCATCATCAGCATCATATACAATATTGTTTTCCGTAAGTTATTATTATTAGTATACAAAAATTGAAGAGGTTTATTACATAAAAAAATAAAAACAAAAAACAAGAGAAAATACCAGACAGTCGTCGAAATTTTTTAAAAAAAAAAAAAAAAAAAAAAATTAGACAAAAAATAACAGTAAAGAAAGCCAAAATGGCAAAATAAAATAAAAGAAAAGAAAAAAAAAAAAGTGAAAGCCCAGCACCAATTACTCAAACTTGTCAATAAACTCGTCAATCTTCGCAGCGTTTTCATATACAAAACTTTCCGGTTCATTGTAGGTTTTTGCATTCTGTATCATCAACTTGAAGTCATTGATCAAATCATAATATGAAGCATACTTGTTTTGTTTCAAGTTTTTTGAAATCTCAGATATACTAATCGGCTTCTCGATAATTTGATAATAATCAGGGTAAAGCTTTTTCGATGGCAACTTCAAAAATAACTCGCAAAGAAGAGCATTATTGTCATCAGTCAATGCCGATACTTCACTAAGTAGTCTTTGGCATTTTTCTAACGATTCTGGGTCTAGCAACATTGATGATTTCCCATTAGGTTTGGAAGCCACACCATTGCTAATCTTAGTGGACTTCTTCTTCTTCTTCTTTTTCTTTGGCTCACCATCTGATAGATCATCATCAGAGAAATTTTCATCCATTTCTTCAACTTTCAAATTTTCATGGCTCGAGCCCGCCTCCTCATCAACCTCTTCATCATCGCCTACCACGAAGTCACCAGAAGTTCTTGATCTCTTCTTTGAATTTGGTAATTCACCATTTCTTTTCGCGAGTTTCGTCTGGTTTTTATGGATAGCATCTTCCACTGTCATTTCATCGTCATCAATGGCTTCCAACCATTGTTCTTCAGTAAGACCATCATCATACATCACTCTCTTACGTTCTCTATGCTTTCCCAATTCTTCTTCTTCAATGTTATTCTTGTTTAAATGCTTTTCGACATTCTCTTCACTGAAAACGTCTGGTAGTTCCTCTATCGTCATCAATCTAGACACGTCGCTATCCTCTTTCTGTCTTTCCTTATCGAGCTTTTTGAACAAAACTTTTTCATCATCAGACCGAGCCAAAATCTCATTGAGTTCGTCGTCATCCAAGTTACCATCGTCTTCTTCGGTTTCCACCTTCTTTCTCATCTCTTCGGCCTCAAGCAATCTTCTAAGGAAAGCTTCTTGTTCTTCAGCACTCGACTTATTATCAAACTTACCGGCCTGAATAACTTTACCATCAATGTTCAATTTCTCATGGGCCCTTTCCAAAATCACTTCTTCGACCGAATCATTGGTAATAAGACGTAAAATACGAACTTCATTCTTTTGACCAATACGATGGGCTCTATCTTGGGCTTGTAAATCTTGATGAGGGTTCCAATCACTATCAAAGATGATAACGGTATCAGCAGTTTGCAAATTAAGACCTAAACCACCAGCTCTTGTGGAAAGCAAAAACGCAAAATATGGCGAGTTTGGAGCGTTAAAAGCCTTTAACATATCTTGACGTTCGTCGGCTTTGGTACTACCATCTAAACGAAGATATTGCATTCCTCTGTACCTTAAATAATCTTCCATAATATCCATCACCGAAGTCATTTGGAAAAAAATTAAAACTCTGTGATTGGTAGCCTTGAATTTTGGAAGCACTCTGTCAAGAAGTTCAAATTTCCCGGAAACACGCCACAAAAAGTCATTAGATAAACGCGATGGATTAATAAGATCTTCAACTTCTTCAAACACATAAGGATGGTTGCAAATTTTACGAAGCTGCATAATTTTATTGTTCAACCCTTTGACACCACCTTTAGTTGTTCCATTGTTGATCGATGACCCAAGAAACAACGCATTATGACGGAGCATTTGTTGATATAAGGCATATTGTAACCCAGAAAACTTACACTTGACCACTTTTTCGACTTTATCTGGCAAGTCTTTTTCAACATCTTTTTTCAAACGACGCAACAAGAATGGACGAAGAACTTTATGCAATCTTCTAATAACCAACAAATTTTCTTCTTCACTTAATTCCAATTTCTCACTCGATCCACTATTGGCAAACGGAGTGTTGAACCATTCATCAAAAGTCTTTTGCGAATTGAAAATCTTTGGCAACACGAAATTCAACAATGCCCACAATTCAGGTAAATTGTTTTGTAATGGAGTACCGGTTAAAATCAAACGGTTCTTTGTATGGTAATAAGTGGTCAAAGTAAAAGATAACTTGGACTGAGAGTTTTTCATTCTATGACCTTCATCAATGATCATATGGGCCCATCTAATTTTGGAAAGTAAAGATTTATCCTTGATAATATATTCATAGGTAGTCAATAGAATCTGGAAATCTCCACGGCGAACATCATGGGCCAACAATTTACGTTGGTTAGGAGTACCTTTGTAAACAATTTTTTTAACAGTTGGAGCCCATCTTTCACATTCAAGCGTCCAATTAGTAATAGTTGACAATGGCACAATGATGAGAAATGGCGCTCTTTCCTTTTTCACTTCGATTAAATGGGTAACCAAAGAAATGGATTGAATAGTTTTACCAAGACCCATTTCATCGGCTAAAATACCATTCAAGTGATTATTGTAAAGAGAAACCATCCACTCGAGACCCTTCAATTGATATTCTTTAAGAGTACCCCCAACAAGAATCGATGGTTGCTTGGAAATGTTTTCCTTGACTCTATGGACAATTCCATAATAATCTACATTATCGACTTCTTCATCATCACCTTCTTCATTTTCCAATTGATCACCGGATTTACTCTTCAATTGTTTAGATTCGGCTTGTTGAACTTTAACCGCGTCGGCCAAAGACTGCAAGAAAGAATTTGTTTGTCGCAAAAGATGGGTAATACGAGTATCTTTGGTTTGATCAAGCAACTTAAGATAGGCTTCTTCATCGTTAGCTTTAAGAGCTTGCAATCTTTCCTTAGCAGTACGTTCCTGGCGTTTGGCGGCTTCCTTTTCTGATTGTTGATGGAAATTAGAAACCGCTTTAAAGAAAAATTGTGAGCGATTGGTGCGCACTTCATTCTGGTTGTACAATAATTCATTGATCGCGCCAACTTTCTTATTTAGTACTAGGCGACGTTTGGCGTACAAAGCATTACGTTGTTCACGTTTCTGGGCTTCTTCTAATTGTTCTGCCAATCGTGAAGTTTGAGGAGCCACAACTTTAAGGCGCACATTCAGTTGACGTTTCGCTTGGATGATAGAGCTTGTATCTTTAAGATCTTCATGATGGAATTTCTGAGTAGCCCCAGCAAGAAGAGCTTGACGTAATTGCTTTTGTTTGGCAAGAAGCTTGAGAGATTTAAGCTCGACAAGCGAATTTACTTTGAGTTGGTCAATACTGTTGTCATATCTTTGAGATGATGGTTTATTGAAATTTTCCACAAGTTTTTTGGTGTTGATATTGGCGATGGTAGATGGTAGTGATTCAAGTTCTGTTACTCGGTCAGAGATCTTGTTAGAAATTCTTGTCTCGGCATATTTGTTACCAACCACGTCGTGGTAAAAATCATCTTTGATTAGGGCTATAGAGTCCTTTGGAATGAAATTATAATAGCGCTCTTCAAAATTAGAAGCTTCGATTTCAATTGGTTCAAGTTTACCAGCATCTTCAATGTCAGACAATGATGATGGCGAAGAGCCTAAGGAAATGTCGTCGCCATAAACACTGCTGCGACCAAAGTCAAATTGCAATTCATTTGGCAAATCCAAATCACGAGAAAGTAAGTTGAACCCAATAATTTGTTTCTTGAGTAGATCCAAATCATAAGATGCGACATTTGTAGATGATAAATCTTTCACTTTCCGCCATTGGTCCAAACAACAGGAGTGGTCGGTACTAAGCTTATGTAATACTTTCTCAATGGCGTTGAGTTCTTTCACGACAGCAGGACTTAACATTTTGGGTGTTTCTTCGCCGTCTTTCCTTTTCTTTGCGTTGATAGTGTCATGGTTATAAAGAGCATTGTAACGTTGTAATAAAAGCTCCACCTCATGGGAGTCCAGGGGCTCTGGAATTTCCAATGGGGCGGTGGACATTTCTTGTTATCCTATTTTATTTTATATTTTTTTTTTCTGGGTGATGCACAAGTTCGTAGTAGTAGGAATGACACACACGTTGCCTGGTTTGGTGATGTGGTGATGATGTTATGGATCTTTCGCGTCGTGCTTTTTCGTCTGTTGTTTTGTTGTGTGCAGAAAAATTTGAGATTTCCATTTTTTTTGCCGCAAAAAACAAAAAAAAAAAAAAAACCTCGCGACTGGATGGGGGTCACCCGGTGCACTTCACATTATACCGCCAATATTCTTCCATCTATTATATTTATATATATATGTTACAGATTACATATTATGTATTATTATTATTATCATATGTCGATATCTATATTATAAGATGCCTCGGATCCCTCCCCTGGTGTTTAGACAGGCTTTAAGAACAGACCCCTTGCTTGTGCCCCTTCTTCCCGTCACTCGCTCTCTTTCAGGAGCACAGGCAGAACTACGATGGCTTCGTAAAGAAGTCCCCAAACCCAAGTTGCCCTGGGCAATTGTCCAGAGGTCCAACTATCGACCATTGCAATACATTCTCGGGGACCAGCCGTTCCTTGATCTTTCAATAAAATGTGCCGAGGGCACACTCATCCCTCGTTGGGAAACTGAGGAATGGATCGCCAGAATCAAACCGTTCATCAGCAACGTCAAGATCATCGATGCTTGTACTGGCACAGGATGTGTGGCTCTACTGTTCAATGGTACCGGAAGTAATATAGTGGGGATCGATATTGACACATCATGCCTTTCATTGGCGAAATTCAACCAGCAATCAAACCGCTGTGACGATATTGTTCATTGGGCACAATGCGATATCCTAAATTGGACAGACGATCTCCATCATGTTTGCAAAGGAGTGAATTTTTTGGTTTCTAACCCCCCATATATCCCATGGGAAGAATACACTAAGCTCGATCGTTCGGTCAAGAACTTTGAGCCCCAGCTTGCCCTTGTGGGGGATCTAGAGTTTTACAACGCATTGGTGCATAACCTCTTGGAGCCTAACCTCAACACTTGTGATGGGTTTGTGTTCGAAGTAGGCAACGTCAATCAAATACATCACGTTCGGGATCTTGTCAAGAAACATGGCTGGAACGTTGGGTATCTAATGGATAGTGCAGGATATCATCGATGCGTGGTGGGATGGAAACCTGATGGAAGGTTCGATTTCAAGAAATTATGTGATTTTGTATATTGATTTTGTATTATAGATTTTGTATTATAATGAAATAAATGAATATTTATTGTTATCAAATTGCAAGAAATCGCCAAGAATGGCCTCGCAATTACTTTTGTAATATGACATTTCTTCATCAGAAAGCGCTTTAACTGCCTCGGGGTTACTTGGAATCCAAACCGTCTTACCCCCAGCTGCAAGACCACTTTGGATGCCACTGACACTGTCTTCGAAAATCAAGCAGTTTTCCATTTTGATATTGGTTCCAAGTTTTTCGTTCAATTCCGCCAAAGTCTCGTGCCATATATACGGTTGTGGTTTACCTTTGCCCTTGAGTCTTGGATGATCACCTCCGGTCAAGGTTAGATCAAAGAAACTGAAGTCAAGATGGGTAGTTTTCGCATTGTATTTGAGTCTTGTGGTAGAAGTGGCGATGGCCATTGGTAAATTGTGCACGGTTTTAACGTGGCTCAAGAAATCTTGGATTCCTGGCAAGAAAGCGGTTTCTCGGTACAATTTAAGCTGTTCTGGTTGATTAGTGATGTCATAAAACTTCTGGCTGGAAGTTCTATCACCGAGTCGGTATTCGTCGACGAGGATCTCGGAAATCTTAAGCCCTGGGCGACCCTGGATCTTCGATACCACTTCTTTAGATAGCGGACCGGATTGGAATTGGGCACTGAGGATCGAGTTGAGTTGCTTGATATAAATGTCTTCTGAGTTGATGAGAGTACCATCCATGTCCCATAGAATAGCGTGTATTTCGGTGGCATTTGACATTGAAGGGAGATTTATTTAAAGGGATAAGCGATGGGCTGTTTGTTTGTGGGTGTTGAGGATAGGAGTTTTTGGCATATAATAATTAATTGGCGGTGATATTTTGAAGCATTTAGCAGAGTGACCAAGTGATGTCACAATTTTTTTGTTTGCATTTTGCATTTTTTTACACGTCGATGAGGATGGTGGAGCTTGCAAAATTACGCGTTGTAACTCTGTATATTAACGGATATTTATGGACTCTAAAGGATTATTCAGGAGGTACTTTGATGGGGGATCTTATTTATTTTTCGTTGGAAGAACCAAACCCGCGCTTAATTGATTCTTTGTGGTTGGTTATTGCGAGTCTTCGAGTGATCAATGTTTTGTAAACTGTTGGAGTATGTGTAGGCCAAATATATATATATATATATATATATATTCTATTTGTAATGACTGTTTGCTTCTATAAGTCATATAATGATCTTTCTCTAGAAGTTGGATTGACCACTGGGACTAGTTTAACATCAATCTATGAATATTTGTGAAGGAAGAGGAACAATATTCATTCAGGAACAGTTGGAGTAAAAGGTGGAAAAAAAAAAAGAAAAAGAAAAAGGGTGTTAACAGAATATTGTGATTGTAATAAGTAGTCCTGAAATGCCATTGTTCTGAAGAATGGCACAATAATGACTGAATGAATGAATGAATGAATAAATCGATATGTTTTTGTAACCCACACTTTCCTATGAGTTAAGAAATAAGGAATGATTATTTATAGTACAAAGGAGAGTGTGTTACATTATCCCATGAAACACGACTAGAATAAAATCTTCAATCAAGAGATACCAATTCTCTAAAGTCCCCAATAGTCTTTATAATGGGTATTGTTTTGAGAATGCTACATTACTGCTGAAGACGGACACTTACGAACAATATTCGATCGATATTTTCCATGTATTTAATCAACTATCTATCTATAATTTTTGATCATTCTCTTTGCATCATCTAGCACTATTCAATAAGCTAATAAGATAATGCATAATAATATAATAGATAGTAGTATAATAGATAATAATATAATAGATAATAATATAATAGATGATGGAAGAGTACACGTGCGGTTATCCATGGACGGGGGGCGCCCGACACCCCGTTTTCTCCGAGAGGGCCACTGGCGATTGATTGGCAGTGCGATCAAAGATTCCGATTTCTTTCGTCCTTCGCCACTCGGTTTTTCTCGTTCACCTTCCATCACCCGTCATCCACAGTATTATTTATCATGGCTTCTCCTGATAACCCACCTTCCGTTCCTGAGGGATGGAAAGCTGTTTGGGATAAAGAATATAAAACGTTCGTATTCACCATACTCTTTTTTTTTCCCCCTTTTTCTTTTTATCATGTCCCCCCCCACCATTAATTAGGGGTCTCGGGTAGTCATCATCATCATATTTTGATCTCACCTCGGAAGCTTCGAATTACTAACTGTTTTTTAGTTGGTTCTACGTCAATTTGAAGACTGGTAAATCTCAATGGGAATTGCCTACCTCTCCAGATACCAGTGGTCACTCCAAGCCAAGTGGTGCTCCTCCTCCTTCTTACAACCAATCAACATCTCAACAAAATGAGCAATCGAGATATCATCAACAACAGCCAGTTCCACAACAACAACAACAACAACAACAACAATATTCTGGCTATCAACAACAACAACAATATCCTCCTCAACAACAATACCAACAATATCCTCCTCAACAACAATACCAACAATATCCTCCTCAACAACAATACCAGCAATACCAACAATACCCTCCACAACAAGGCTATTACGGTGCGGCCCCTCAACAACAGTATGTTCAAGCTCAGGCCCCTGCTAAGAAGAGCAGGTTTGGCGGTATGGGCACTGGGTTACTTGGTGCCGGGGCCGGTTTACTCGGTGGTGCTTTGTTAGCCGATGCTATTGGTGGCCATCATGATGGATGGGATGGTGGTCCACCACCTCCTGACGGAGGACCTGGTGGCTGGAATGGTGACGATGGACCTGGTGGTTGGGGTGGTGATGACGGTGGCTTTGACGGCGGTGACTGGTAGATTGCCATTCAAGCTGACTGATTTGTCATTTGCCTACTCAGATGTCTTTTCTTACCAAGAGAAAGCCTTACTATAATATCTTCATATATTGTCTTTATCCATAAACAACTAGTCGTGGTTATTTATTATTATTATTATTATTATTATATTTTTTTTTTTTTTTTTTTATGCTGATATTATTGAACTTTGGAGTTGTCTTCTTACATTCAATATATCCATCAATTTATCAGATGGGTTCGTTTACTACGTGCCCCAAATCTTTTTCTATCTTACACTCTCTGTAACATCTAATTTTCATCATTCATTAGCAATACAAGTCGATTCTCATCCGATTCTTCCCGGTAAGACCTCAACTAAATATTCCGGCGTGGGTCCCAATATTACATGGGTATCTTCGTCTTGATCTCCTTCTGCATCTTGGCCTAGCACCGTCAACCTTACTTTTTCATCGTACTCCATCTTCAGCTGAGTCATCAACAAGTACTTAAACCAATTCATATTATCTTGATCGGCGCTGGTGAAACCTTCTTCAATAAAAGTACCCTCATTTCTATTGTTATCCTTGATTAATTGTTGCATCATGGCATCGCTGGGCAAGCCGACTTTTCTAGTCCGGGTGAAATCATCGCTTTTCAACCACCCAATGAAATTCTTCATTCCCAAATAATTCTCCACACTGGTATCGTAAGGGTCGATATATTTGCCTGGCCGTATCACTTGATAATTCACCATGGTTTGGGCAACATCCTGCACTTCCACTTCAAGCCGATCACTGGTTCCTGCTAGTTGTTGGCACTCAAGGGCAAGTTGAGAGAGTCGTCGAATGTAAAGATCAGTCAAAATATCGATTACACGGTTGGAACAACGATCAAATCCCACTGATCGAAGTATCTATAAAGTGGTTAGTATATGAAATAGAAGAATAGAATATATATATATATATATATATATATATATATAAGCTAACACCCAGACTTTCAAACACCGCTTACCTGTATTATTGACACTCTTAGAATACTGAAAAAGAACTGCGAAGAGTCAGCCATTTTCTATACGGTAAATATATTAATAACCACAGCAATACTATATTAACAACTCAAGTATGATAACAAAACAACCGGCCGTACCACACCCATTGCATTATTCTTGTGGTTTTTCAGTTTGTGGGTTTTGCAGCCGGGTAACCAATGTCATTTTCACTACACGTACTAAAAATCATGAAAATTCCCAAATCACTAACAGTCCACCCACCAGGCTCGGGTTGGTTGGCTATTATTATATTTATCCAATTCCCTAAGTACATTCAAAGGGGAACATCAGTTATAAGATAGATAGCAAATAATAATAATAGGAAAAGCGGAAAAATAATACACAATAATCACAATAGTACAACAATGAGTAACTTATCTCTTTACACAATAACCGCAGCTTTGATATTGGATAGTGAAGGTAAACGTATCTACGCCAACTACTACACCCCGATCCACCCAAATGCCAGCAACGACCAAACTTTCCAAATACAAACACCATTCCCAACCTTGAAGACCCAAGAAACTTTTGAAGCGGGGTTATTTTCCAAGACTTTCAAATCCAAATCTAGCATCGTATTATACGAAGATCAGATCGTGGTGTACAAGGTGATTTCCGATGTCGCGGTGTATATCGTGGGGAGCTTAAAAGAAAACGAGGCCATGTTGTACCAGGTACTTTCAGGACTTTGCGAAGCCCTTGAAATCGTCTTGAAAGACGCGGTGGACAAAAAATCAATCCAAGAAAACTATGATTTCGTCGCCTTGGCCATCGATGAAACAATAGATGATGGGATCATTTTGGAAACCGACGGTAATGCCATTGCCTCTCGTGTTTCTAAGAGACCATCATCAGAAAATACTTTGAATATCGAATTGAACGAAAGAGGGTTATTCAATGCGTTCCAGTTTGCAAAGAAAAAAGTCAAGGGATTCAATTTCTAGTGTTTTACAATGTAATAACGTAACACGTCTTGCTTTATTGTATTAATTGATTCATTTTTTTTTTTTTTTTGCCTTCTCTTTCATCCACTCATATGATTAGAAATCACGGTACTGTGCAATATGATTCTTTCTATATCATTCTATCTCTCCCTTCCATCTCAAATTTATCTGTCATGACTATTTTTTCTGTGTCTCCTCCCAAAATAATGAGAGCTCTCTTTTTAAAACAATAATTATCCCTTGGACGGGGTTTCTCTTTAGTTCTTTTTTTTTTTTCTCCCACAGAAGTCTTTGTTTTGTTTTAAATACACATCTTTGTTTCCTTATTTTTTTTTTTTTTTTTTATTTTTTTTTTTATTAATTTACATTTGGATCCAACTTATTTTTGTAAAAAGGCATTGTCAATTAATTAGATACAGCGTTTATATATGTGCATACTCAATTCATTTTTTCTTACCTTTGCCACCACTACCACCACCATTCTTCTTACCGCCACCACCACCATTGGCGTTGGATGGTAATATCACTCTTACCCCTTTAACAGTGAATGCTGGTTGAAGATCCACCGGTTTAAGTTGGTTGATAATATGATGTTCAAATTCAAAATCCAAGTCGAAATCAAAGAACGAATCAACAGATTTGTTCGAGTCCCCTTCGAATTTCTTCAAAGTTGCCGACTCTTTATTGGATTTCCGGTTCACAAAATAATTAAGCAGCTCATTCATAGATTTCCCAATCTTACTGGACCCTGGCTGGATCTTCACCTTGTATTTGAATTTGCTTAATGCTTGCCAAGGAGCAAACATCGGCACAACATCGATGATTTTTTCATTCAACGAAGAAATCTTGCAACTATACGAATCAAAAATCGATAAATAGTCACCGTCAATGAGATCCTCTTCAAGAATGTCCATGAATTGCTCACTGTACTTCTTTTGCTGACGAGCAGCATTACGTTGTGCGTTACCATACTTTTGTGAGCTGTTGGCACCTTGGGGTTTACCAGCCTCTTTTGACGTCGAGTCGCTATCTTTGTTTTCCACTTGTTTAAGTACACCAAGGGATTTTAAACGGATAATCCGATCTTCCTCATCCTGATCTGCGTATTTCTGTTGCAATTTCTTGAGTTTGCTCTTTTTCCCTCTTGTCATTTTCTTTGGTTGTTGTTGCTGTTGTTGTTGCTGTTGTTGCTGCTTCTTTTGTGACTTCTCTTCCTGTTCTAATTCTTTCACTTCATTATCAGTTTCTTGGGTAGATGATTCAATTTTTTCATCGTCTGCCGAGGCTTCTTGGTTGATATCCAAATTTTTCACCTTATCTGTCAATTTCGCTAACTTTTCTTTGGCCACGTCTTTGATATCGGCAACTTCTTTAACAATTTCGAATCCCAATTCTTTTTGCAAAACTTCTCTTTTTTGTTGTGCTAACAAACGACCCTCGTCACCAATAACCCAACATAATCCCAATCCCATACTCAACTGCGTTGGGGGTAAGAAAAGTTTCTCGCCAATAATATCCAAGACCCCATCAGGCAACAACGACCCATCATGAGGATCCTTCTTTGTAACACGGATCCCTTCAGCGTACCACGCTGGAGTCAAAATATTGGAGCTCCACGCTTTGGACGCGGAAAGGGAAAACATCCCTGCTTGGTTTAAAGTTGATGGCGGTACCTTTTGACCAGCATAAGGGTTCTTAACAAACACTTGTAAAGACCCTTCAATATCAGAGCTCACATAATAGTCATGCTTTGAATTAAAGTATTTGTAGTAAATCATTTCAAGCTGGAGAGTATCTTTAGGGGCAATGACAAGGTAGTTTTCACTAGAGATAAACCAATAGAATTTCTCAAACCAATGTTTTTGACGAGTTTTACGAATCGCGAGATCTCGATTAGTTTTTTCAATGTCTTTTTTCAAAGTGGCATTGAGTTTCTTCTCGCTATTTCTGAAGGCGAGTTCTGCAGTTTTTTCAGTTTTCTCCTTTTTCGATTGCGCATTTTTCTTTTGGTCAAAGTAGGTTTTAGAATTGGCATATGCAGAAATACTAAGATCAATGTTCACCACCACGTACTGGAGTTGTTTTTTTGGTTTTTTAGATTGGCTGGCTTGTTGGTAGTCATCATCATTATCATCATCACTATCTAAAGATAAATCACTTAAACTATCGTCATCCTTATCATCCGATTCTTCTTCTTCCACTTCATTTTCCACCAATCTCACCTTAATTTTGTTCTGTTTCAAATTCAAGGGTAAAACAATCATCGAAGCAAATTCATTACCTTGTGATTGGGCTGCTTCAATCATTGATTCGATCTGATTCCAATCCATACCTTGATCAATCGAAGATTGGACTGCCATTTTACACTGTTCAATCTTATCGGCATTCAAGATGATAAGTTCAGCTTTTCGATAGTTCGCTACTTCGAGGTTGGAAAGTTTAGCAATCTTGGCTTCATTTTCCCGCTTCACACTGCTCAATTTCTTACCGAGAAGATTTTTACTTTGTTGGATCTTGAGAGCATTTTTCAATAAATCAAGAGATGAGAAAAACTTATCCAAAGTCTTGTTGTATCCCGAAATTTGCAAAAGCTTGAATTTCCCTGATTCAAGATCTTCCGATGCAATAACTGGTTTAAAAGGATGAAATTGCTCGAAAGTGTATTCAGTGCTTAGTTTTTCCCCATCACCAAGCAACGCACTTTGAATTGGTTCCTCATCCGGTTTAAAAAGAGCATTTTTCTTCAATACAATAAAACCTTCAACATTACCCGAGTTCAATAATTTGGCAATATCCTCTTCTGATTTCAACAAAACTTCAAAAGTGGTACCCAACAATTCTTGATTGTCTTCCAAGTTTTTGCAAGGTTGAGTATGATCAATACCGGCGGCAATGAAGTTTCTTTGTAGTAAGTCCGAAGATAGATACGAGCAATTCAAGAATAAAAGCTTTAACACCGAGATGGTATTACTCTTCTTGGCCTTTGTACTCTGATGGAATTTGCTGGCTTCTTGACCTTCTTTCTTGGTGGCCTTTTTGGCTTCGGCAATTTTGATCCATTCAAGAATCTGTTCTTTGGTATACAATTTCTTTTGGTAGTTATACTTCTGGACAGGTTCTATCACTTGAGATTCGTTGTTATCATTCTCATTCTCATTATCATCACGAAAATATTTAACAGAGTCCAGGAATAAAGTCTTTGGATCAAACATTGAATAGCTTTCACGAACCGCATATTTCCCAGTATCTTGCTTTTTATCACTGACCACTCTCTGTAAACTCAAGATCTCGAGGTCCGAGTTCAAAAGAATCACATTCCCTGCACTAAAGAATTCGAGAACCAAGTAATGAAGCCCATTAGAAAACTCAAGCACAATAATTCTATCGTCCCCCACTTGTTTAAGGTTGGTCAATCGTTTAGATTTCAAATGCTTTCTTAATTTGGTGACAAAATTGGATGGGGTAGGTTGAAGACGACGTTCAAACTCCGATAAATAAAGCTTAAAACCATAGTCCACCACTAAACTTTTTTTACTATCAGGTACGGAAAACTTGAGGGAAAAGATTCGGTCTGAGTCAAGAATATTGTAAATATTCTGGAGTCGATATCCCACTATGGATGCACGAAGTTCCACCGCAAGAACCTTGATATCAAGGGAGGTGATTCTTTGCTGAATTGCTTATATTAGTCCTAGAACCATCGAAAAAGGGGTGCAAAATAATAATAATCATGTAATTTTTGATCAAAAAACGTACATACCTTCATTTGTAGTAATCGCCGAGGATGCCAAAAGGAATTGGGGCAAAACAATAATTAAAGATTTCTGTGAAATTTTGAGAATTTTTGTAGCATCCAAGGTGGTGGTGTAAGGGTGGATGGAAAGTAATCCAACTTTGTGGGGACTGACAGACACCCAAAGATAAGGGCAAAAAGTATTGGGAGGGCATCTATTTATTATCAAGAAAGTAATAATAAGAATAATGGGGAGTAATCAAAGTGTTTCTAGGGAGGACAGCATGGAGAAGATCGCAAACATCCTTAAAGACCCAAAGTCCAAGGTGCTTTTCTTTGTTGGTGCAGGAATCTCTGCCACCAGCGATGGCGAACCCTTGATTCCTGATTTTAGATCACCAGGAACCGGCCTTTTTTATAATTTGGCAAAACTCGACCTTCCTACCCCAGAATCAGTGTTTGATATTGATTTCTTCAGCGAAAACCCTCAACCTTTCTACTCTCTTTGTAAAGATTTGCACCCAACGCTAGTCAAATTCCCACCAACCAGATTCCACTACTTTATGAAGCTCACTAATGATCATAATCAGTTGATCCGGATATTTTCACAAAACATTGATACTTTAGAAAGGGCAACTGGATTGGACTCCGATAAAATCATCGAAGCCCATGGTTCGTTTGCTGAAGAATTTTGTATTGAGTGCGATGAAAAAGCACAAAAAGAGCATTTCGAAAAACAATTATTGGCTGATGAAATCCCCAAATGTGAGCATTGTGAAGGGATCCTCAAACCAGGCATTGTATTTTATGGTGAACAACTCCCAGATCGTTTCCATGAGTGTTCAGATACTGATTTGACCGATGATGTTGACTTGTGTATTTTTGCCGGGACTTCATTGAACGTTTATCCATTTGCGGGACTTGCTAGTGACGTGAGTGACAACACTTTAAGGGTTTTGATTAATAGGGAAAGAGCAGGAGACTTTATGTATAACCCACGTAAGTCAGACATTTTGCTTCTTGAAGATTGTGATAAGATTGTTGATGAGATTGCGGAACTATGCGGCTGGAAAGATGAGCTTGATAAGCTAGTTGACCAGCATAAGAAGGAAAGGGGACAGCATGCGAAGACAGCAAAGGAAATGGTGGAAGATATGAAGAAAGATAAAAAATTGGATAATGAGATCAAAGAATCGAACAGTGTCATTGGAGATCTTGTGGAGGACATTGGTAAATTGAAAATCAAGAATCAGGAATGAGGTTTTCAAGATCCTTGATTAGAATATCTAAACTGTTATTTGATGATTTTTTTTTCCTTTCTTTTCCTTTCTTTTCTTTTCTTCCTTTATTTATTACATAGCTGTGTATAATTCATTATAATATATAATATCGATAACAAAAAATAATGTGGCGCTTATTTTATGTACCCTCTATAAAATGGTGCATGGCAAATATTTCTTACATTTTATTTGAAGATCCTTTATGACAGTCAACTTCAATGCTCACCTCCAACTCATCAAGATTTACCAGTGCAATACCAACTAGAAGCGGTACCATCGCCTCTCAGGCCCCTCATAATGCTGTCAAAGTGTTGTGTTCCATTACCGAATCTCAAGCGTTGGCGCCGATTGTTGGAATTGCATTCTTATTTCTTGCCACCGGGGAGCTTATAGTCTCTTGTATTAAAGATTCACAAACTTACATTAGAACTATCCATAAGATCCAAGTATATTCGCCTACAGAAATCATGATTCCTACAGGGCTTGCACAATCCAACTTGATGGCAATTTTGGAATCCAATCTTAGCGCCGAGGTGAAAATCACGTTGATTTCCAAAAACCAGTTTACTTGTGATAATCCCATGTCATTAATTCAAAAGTATACCTTTTCTGATGATTTTATAAAGCTTCGATTGGAGTTGGTTAATCAAGTTTATGGGTTGAATTCTATTGTCGCGATTGTCAAATACATTGAAACGGCCCCCAACTATTCAAGCCAGCGGTTCAGAAAACTTAGAGTGAAGTATGAAGCTTGTGAGAACACCATGTTTATTGATTCCAGCACAACAAAAGCTCTTGAATTAATCGATAGTAACACCGAGGATGGTCACGGAATGACTTTGTTCAAGATGTTGAATTGTACGGTGACCAAGATGGGAGAACGGGTCTTAAGAAATAATATTCTACAACCCCTTACTGATAAAAAATCCTTGATATTGAGGTTAGAAAGTGTTAAGGAATTGCTTGATCACGAGGATGCCAGGATAAGTTTGATAGGTATGCTTGAGAAAGTTCAGGATATCGATAAGTTATTGGTTTCATTAATAAGAAATTCGGAAGATGTGGATCAAAAAATCAACAACATATTACTACTTAAGCAAGCAATTCATGTATCTGTGGAAATTGGAAGAGTTTTAAAGGAGCACGAATTTGATAGTGTTTTACTCAAAGAGATCCAAAAACTATGTACCAGTTATGATATAACCAATGTGCTAGCTTTGATCAATGAATATATCAATGAAGATTGTGTCTGGACTAGCAAACCACTTGAATTGAAAAGTCAGAAATGCTATGCTGTTAAGGCGAATAAGAATGGATTACTTGATGTTTCACGGCAATTATACACTAAAATCATTGAGAGAATCACTTCAATTGTGGAGCAACTTGCGGAAACACATGGACTCGTTTTAGATTATGGGTTTGAATCTAGTAAAGGAATGGTGGTCAAAATTAATAAGAAATTGAATGATATAGATTTTGATAATTTGCCATCAATGTTTATTAACAAATCTGCTAAACGTAGCATCATTCAATGCACCACGCTTGATATCCTCAAATTGAACAGAAGGCTTCAAGAAACCCTCAATGAAATATTTTTGCTCTGTGATAAAACCATCGATGAACTCAATGAAATGATTGAAGATTTCACTTCGGGAATATTTATGATGGCAGAAGCTCTAGCCATTCTTGACCTTCTTTGTGGGTTTTCACAACTTGCTTCAAAGAATCCTGGGTACGCTTGTCCGGAATATGCAGATAAGCTAGTTATTAAGCAAGGCCGACATCCAATTCTTGAAACCATAATATCTGCAAATAGTGATCAACGGTTTGTTGCCAACGACATGTTTGCGATTAATGAAACCTCCCGAGTTACCATGATTACCGGTGACAATATGAGCGGGAAATCGGTATATTTGAAACAAGTAGCCTTAATTAACATAATGGGTCAATTGGGGTGTTATGTACCAGCAGATTATGCATTATTGCCAATTTATTCGAAAATTATGGCCAGAGTTAGGAACGACGCGTTGGAGGTCAATGTTTCAAGTTTCAGTTTGGAGATGAGTGAAATGGCGTTTATATTAGCCGAGGTCGAGCGAAGGCCCGATGAAAAAGGGTTGATCCTTATTGATGAGCTTGGTAGAGGGACGAGTCTTAATGACGGCATCGCGATTACTGCTGCGGTTGCATCGCATTTGGCAGATAACTTCCCAAATAGTCACGTATTTGCTGCAACCCATTTTAGAGAGGCGGCTAGTGCTATAGCAGAAAAGTTATCAGTTAGACAAGTACATATGGGTAATGAACAACGGAGATTCAAAGTAATTGATGGCGGTGCAGATGGAGCAGGAAGAGGAATAGCGTTGGTTGAAAAATTGGGGCTTTTCCCAGCCAATATATTACAAAACGCTTCGAAGATTGCCAATAAACTTGCAATTAAGGACCAAACGAGATTCGGGACCGAAGTGAGGGTGGAATTCAAGAAACGAATCATGGTTGATTTGATGGTTTCTTTAAAAGAGTTACAGCGAAGAATGGATGATTTGGATCATCAAGAGGTGATAAGTAGTTTGGCGAGTTTACAAAGAAAATTTGTGGATAAAATGGCCAGTTAAGGTATATATATATATATATATGTATGTCTATTAAATAATCATTTTGCTTTGTTTTATCTATTGAAAAATAATAATAATAATAATAATAATAATAATAATGGTATGAATATGGATTGAATTGGGAGAGTATTCAGAACTACAGTAGTCATTGTTGTGTTAGAAATCTAGTGCTAACTAATCATGGGACCAAATCAAATGATATCCATAATTCTGAGGATATAATCGACCAAGATCCCCAATGAGAAAAGTTTACCACACCACACGTTGGTTTCAAAAGCATTACCGCAACTTTCAATATTATCCAAATCAAGTTTATTGAGCAAGTTCAACAATTGGTACCCAAATGTCATACTACTGACCCAGAACCCTGGACCCATGGATTGGGTGATCCCCAAGTATACCCAGCAGGCGATTTGGGCAACGGCAAAGAAATAACAATTTCTCTTTGTGTTTTTACCCCATTTCAACGCGGTGGATTTGACCCCGATCTTGGCATCGTAAGTTTTATCCTGGTGGGCGTAAATGGTATCGTAAATCACGGTCCAATTGCAAGAAGACAAGAAAAGCGCGGCCATGGCCAGGTAATTCCAATTATCTAAGGCCACGAACCCGAGGAGCGCACCCCAACTGCAACAGATGGCCAACCACATTTGTGGATAATAAGTGATTCTTTTGAAAAGAGGATAAAGGATGACAAACGGGATGGAGATTGCGGCAACCCACACGGTATACCAATTCAACAAGCTAAGGATTGCAAGATACACCACGAGTTGGGCAATGAGGTATTTTTCGGCGTTGGCGATGGAGATTCTCCCACTGGCCACGGGGCGTTCCATACTTCTTGGGATTTGTTTGTCGAATTCTTTATCGAAGATATCGTTAATGGTACATCCTGCCCCGTGGAAAATGTACGCGGTGATAAGGAAGATTGCCAAAACACCGGCCACCAAAGGAATAGGGGCTTTAGTATGGTAACCGGCGGCCAAGGTGCCCCAAGCACAAGGAAAGAAGATGAACCATGATGCTGGGGTGTTGAATCTCAGTAATTCAGCGTAAGGGATCCAATGTGCCGGAAGTTTTATGAGGTATGGTTTGAGAGATTCGATTCTTTTTTCTGCTGCCTTTTTGCGGTCTTCCTCGGTCCACAATGGGGCCTCTAGCTTGATGGTGACTTTTGGGACGAGCTTTTCAATCATGGTATGCGTGAGTCTTGAGAGTTTTGATTGGTGAGAAGAAGTGAAAAAAAAAAAAAAAAGATAACCATAAATTGTGTGATATATTCAAGAAGAAAAAAAAGAAAATTGAGGGATTGCATGCGATTTATTTGAATTTATTATTATTATATATATATATATACATAAATGGGAGGGTTACAATAATTGATGAACTGTTGATAGATCGATAGATGTAGTGGGTCTTCGGAAACAGACAATAGGGCTAATGCAGTAATTTGCAAAGAAAAGATCTACGGGAAAAATAAAGGGCACTAATTATTGATTCCTCGGGGGATACGACAGGTAGACAGACAGGCAGAGAGTGACAGACACTAATAATAATGTATTCAGTTTTTGCATTGTATACAGATGAGTGGGAGGTATTATTAGTATTACAGTAAATCAAAGAAGGGAAATCCCGATATATGTTTATTTATTTGTGTTTTGGATCAGCCATTAGAGAGGAAAAAAAAATTGGGCGATTACAGTTACTTTTACAGGGGCGGCCAAGTCAGATCTGAAACTCCTGGTGTTTGTTTAGATCGGTCCAGCTTAGGATAGGTATGAGCTGATCATCTGAAACGACGATCTTACGTGTTAATAATCATTGATAATCAGCAAATTGACAAGGGGTTGATTTAATAATATTCGTAGTTGGCACAACGGTTGACACACTACTTTACTCACTGGCAGACACACCTCAATTAAAGCGCTGCTGCTATGTGTGCTCTCCGGGTAGGGGAGTGAGTGAGTGCCGGTCGCTTACTAAGCACACTGGTCACCCGCCCATGTGATAATGTATCACATGATGATGTGTCCCAGACAGGGTAACACAGAATGGCACCTATTATTGGTTTTGATGGGTGGCGGTGATGAAGTTATAATTGATCGCTAGTGGTGGTAGGCACAGGTTGGGTATGAATGGTTGATGTGAATGTTCATTATGCTAAGTTGTAATTCATCAGTTGTAAGATTGGTTTCCTTGTAAATGTTCAGTAAACTTCAGTTAACCTCACTCCTCCCCTCCATCCATCCAAGGGACATTATCCTTTTATAAAAAAATCTTTTGTTGTTGTATGTTACCTTTTTTTTTTTTTTTTTTTTTTTCCCCTGCTTTCTTGTCATGTAATTCGCCCTAAATTGCCAGCATTCTAAGCACATGGTTCTTAGGTCTTATTGTCATGACGTTACAAATACAGCGGGACAGTACACTGTTGTCCCTTTTCTTTGTTGGTCAAGAAGTATCACCTTTAAGGCAGTTTCAAGCCTTGTTAAAGACAGATTCTACTGACCAAAATCACCGCCATTTTTTTGTGTTTTTGATACACCAGGAGTAGATATCATTCTACAGCGACGTTCAGCATTAAACCCCGAAATTTCGGGGTTAATGCGTGTCAAAGCATTTATATGCATCGATGATATGACATGCCCCCCAAACTAGCAGTTCTATCGGTCTCTTTTTTTAATTTAAAAGGTCATTGATAACGATCTTTGTGGGAATTTTTAGGTGCGGTCGTCCGGAGCAAGAAGTTTGGGACCCAATGCTGATGTATTATTCCATCACCAATACAAATATATATATATATATACCCTCCCTGAACTCTAAGTAACTATTGTCAAAGCAGTACAGAATCAAGATCTCTACCTCTGTCTTTTTTTAATTTTTTTTTTTTTATATTCATTTGGAAAGACCACTACCGTCATGGTGGAGAAATGAGAGGGGTCATGACCTCTATAATAATTATAATGCCTAAATTTCCCCACACTTTTTGCAAGAATTTTCATTAGTGGATAACGAAAATCTTGGGACCCAAGAAATTGGCAGAAACAAAAAAATTCCGTCCATGGCAAAAGAAAAGACCGATCCCCTCCCTCCTCTCCCAACTAATCGATAATATTAACTATTGCATTGAATTTATTATATATCGGGTGATAATATATATATATGTATATCCCTCCCTTGATAAAGACTGCCTCTCGCTGATGTTGCTGTCACTTTTATTCTGGGGTTGATTGACACTTTTTCATTACGCCTGAAAGAAATCACTGCAGGCTAATTAAATCTTAATTTCGATATGCGTCATTTGGGACACTTCGCGGAATCCATCATATTATTATTCTCTATTCCATACGATGTTTTGTTATAAATATACTATCTTCCCCGAGCTTTTCCCGGATTCTGTTTTATATTTGCTTCCTCATCACTATTGATTTTCTACTATTATTTTTTCCATTTCCCCCCCGTTTTTTTTTGTTTGTTTTTTGTTTGTTTTTTGTTTGTTTTTTTAGCCAGGCCCATATATACCATACCATATATTATTAACAAAGTACCAATGCCATCAGCATACCAGAAGGCCCTTGATGGGCCAAAATTCAAAAGCTCGGTGATTAAGCATTATGCCATCACTAGGTTCACCAACCTCATTCCTCGAAAAGAGCATCTTGTGTTTGATTCTTATTTCTGGAACCCGTTCAAACCGCTTACTCAATTAAATGCTCGTCAATGGAATTTATTTTTTGCCGGTTTTTGGTGCTGGACATGGGATGCCTTTGATTACTTTTCGGTTTCTTTGAACGTCAGTGCCTTGGCTGAACAATTCGATGTCAAGACTGCCGATGTCACTTGGGGTATTACCTTGGTGTTGATGCTTCGTTCAGTAGGGGCGGCGTTTTTTGGAATCCTTAGTGATCGTTACGGAAGAAGAATCCCTCTTGCTGCCCTGATGATCTGCTTGACAATTCTTCAAATCGGACTCGGGTTCGTCAACACATATCAACAATTCTTGGGGGTTAGAGCGATGTTTGGGATTTTCATGGGTGGGATTTTTGGTCCGGCTTACGCGATTGCTTTGGAAAATGCCCCTGATACAGCCCACGGGATTCTTAGCGGGATCTTCCAAGAAGGATACGCTTTTGGATATTTGTTGGTGGTGTGTTTCCAAAGAGCCATCACCGATAACTCTAGCCATAGTTGGAGAGCGTTGTTTTGGTTTTCTGCCGGTCCATCGGTATTATTTGCCATTTGGGTGTTGTTGGTTGGGGAAAGTGATTCTTATTTGAGACACGTTCAATTAATGAACACTTCTTCAAACGAAAATGCTAGCAAAAGATTTATCAACCAGGGGAAAATGGCGTTTAAAAGATACTGGGTTGTGTGTATTTATTTGGTGCTACTCATGACAGGGTTCAATTTCTCATCGCACGGTAGTCAAGATTTATATCCTACATTACTCACCAAGCAATTGGGATACGGGGTTGATAGATCAACGGTTACGAATTCTGTCGCCAACTTGGGAGCCATTGCCGGAGGGCTTCTCTTTGGACACCTTAGTAATTACATTGGGAGAAGAATGGCGATTATCATTTGTTGTATTGGGGGAGGAGCGATGATTTATCCTTGGGCGTTTGTCAGAAATAGCGGGATCAATGCCGGGGTATTTTTTTTACAATTCTTTGTGCAAGGAGCTTGGGGGGTTGCCCCAATTGTGTTGGCAGAATTATCACCACCAGAATTTAGAAGTTTTGTCGGGGGGTTGGCGTACCAATTGGGTAATTTAGTATCGTCTGCCTCTTCAACCATCGAAGCAACCATTGGGGAAAGGTTTCCTATTTACGATGCCGATGGGCAAAAGAAGGAAGGGGTTTACAATTATTCTAAAGTGATGGCGATCTTCATGGGCTGTGTTTTCGGATACCTTCTACTCATCACATTTGTTGGTCCAGAAAACATCCATGCTGATTTAAGTTACAAAGATGAGGAAAACGATAATGAGAAGAATGATGATTCCAATTCTTTGGATGTGAAAGGAGATGACACTGAGTATCTCGAAACAGTTTGATTGTTTTTTTTTTTTTTTTTTTTTGTTTGTTTGTGTTAAGGATTTGTTTTACTCGGTCTGCTAATATTATTTTTTTTGTTAGATATACATAGTTTATTAAGATATACTTCCATGGTTGGTTATGTTATGTTATGTTATGTTATGTTAGTATAACAACGGTGTCCTCCCTGTAGTCCGTGTAGCCAAATGCAAGATAAGCGTGCCAACGAACGTGACCAAAAAAGCGCTGCAAAAAGAAAAGAAAAAGAGGGGAAGAAGAACAAGAAGAAGGAAGAAGCATGACAGTCAGCGCTGGGCGGTCACGCACAGTCTTCGCAAAAGCGGAGAAACAAATTTTTTTTTCAGGATACTCTCAGCTAAACAATAACAACAAGACCGATTGTTCTGTATCTCCCTCACTAACAAACGCCGTAAGGTGATAACAACACAATGTTTTGTTGTTCTTCTTTTTTTTCTTTTTTTTTTTTTTTCTCTTGTAAGGCCTGTGTGTTCTTGGCAGCCCTTTTGTAAGAAGAGGTTGGCAACGGTGGGAAAACCCAATGTAACTACTATTATTGGTTTGCAGACAATCCTTGTGTTACATCATTTGTTGATTACCGGTAAGCAACTTCCTTTGCCCCTCCCTCTCCCCCCCTCATTTAATTAATGTGTCTCTAAAATAGGTATCTAATTTCTTCAATCGCTGGCAAAATAGGAGCCCCGGAGTAGTAGTGGTAATTGAAATATTGATGATTCTTCAACAATTAGTTGTATCCCCAAATGGAAGGAAAAAAAAAAAGCAATAAATAATCTATTGAATTGATAAACTGACACTACCATACTATCCTCTGTGTACCCCTCTCTTTCTCTTTTCCTCTTTCTCTGTCTCTTCCTGTCTTCTATCCTATCTCTCCTCTCTTTCGAATTAAGGTTTCGGAGCTCCTGTGACTCTAATACCGGACTTTTGTCGTGCATATGTATCTCTAATCAATGACCATTTTTTATTTTTTTTGTTCAATTTTTCATATTTCCCGGCACAGCTATATAAATATGGGGATATACCTTGTCCATCTTTCCCACTGTTTATTAGTTTTTTAATAATAGGTTTTTCTAAGAAAAGTTTCGATCTTTTTATTTTTTTGCTATCCTATTAAGGCACAAAGTTTAATCCCTTCTTGATCAGAATTTTAATACCCCTCTTTAGAAACACACATTTTTCACACATATCATAACAAAACACAATAATATCATGTCCCAAATAGAAAAACCAGTGATTCCTGAATCACCAGTGATTCCTGAATATCACAACGAACCTTCATCCTCCTCCGCCGATGATCATCACCACAATAACCCACCTCTTACGCTAGACTTCAGCGCCGCTGCCATCAAAAATTATTGTTTAACCCGTTTCACCTCCATTATCCCATCCAAAAAAGAATTCCAAACCAACAGCAAATCAGAAATATTCAATCCTTTCAAGCCACTTAGAGAGCTAACTGGCCGTCAATGGAATTTCTTCTTTGCTGGGTTTTGGTGTTGGACATGGGATGCTTTTGGATACTTTTCTGTTGCCTTAAATGTTGCTCAACTCGCTAAAACTTTTGACGTGCCTACCACCACCATCACTTGGGGTATTACTTTGGTGCTCATGCTTAGAACTGTCGGGGCAGTGGTCTTCGGGTTGGTCGCCGATAGATACGGTAGAGTTTATCCATTAGTGGTGGCGATGGTTGCAGTTACAGTGCTTCAATTGGGTCTTGGGTTTGTCCATACTTATAAACAATTTTTGGCGGTCAGAGCGCTTTTTGGGATTTTCATGGGTGGGATTTTCGGCCCAGCTGCCGCGTTATCTCTTGAAGATTCTCCAGTTAAGGCCCACGGGATGCTTAGTGGGATGTTTCAACAAGGATATGCTTTTGGATACTTGTTGGTCATTTGTTTCCAAAGAGCTATCACTGATAACTCTAGCCATGGCTGGAGAAGTCTTATGTGGTTTTCTGCTGGACCATCGGTATTGTTTGCCATTTGGGTGGTGTTGCTTGGGGAAACCGATTCTTTCAAAAAACATCGTGAATTGTCTCTTATGAACCATTCGGAATCTCCTGGTAAAAGATTTGCTCAACAAGGTAAAGTGGCCCTCAAGCAATATTGGTTGGTTATCGTTTATATGGTGTTGCTCATGGCCGGTTTCAACTTTATGTCTCATGGGAGTCAGGATTTGTACCCAACTTTGCTTTCTGTCGAATTAGGGTTTGGCAACGATAGATCCACCGTGACTAATGCCGTGGCCAACTTGGGGGCAATTACCGGGGGGCTAATCTTTGGACATGCCAGTAACTTCCTTGGAAGAAGATCGACAATTATGATTTGTTGTATTGGGGGTGGTGCCTTGATTTACCCATGGGCGTTCCTTAAAAGCAGTGCCATCAATGCTGGGGCTTTCTTCCTCCAATTCTTTGTCCAAGGGGCCTTTGGGGTGGTTCCTATCCATTTAAGTGAGTTGTCTCCACCACAGTTCAGATCTTTTGTCTCTGGTATTGCTTATCAATTGGGTAACTTGGCTTCTTCAGCATCTTCCACCATCGAATCCACCATCGGAGAAAGATTCCCACTTTACGACTCGAACGGCCTGATCATTGATGGTAAATTCAATTACTCTAAGGTCATGGCGATTTTCATGGGTTGTGTTTTCGGATACCTTTTATTGATCACTTTTGTTGGTCCTGAAAACAAGGATGCCGATTTGGGATTCAGTAATGAAGTGAATGATAGTGAACCAGCCAGTGAGACTTCCAGTTCAAAAGAGGTTGATTCTCAAAAACTTCATGAAACTCGCCATGAACAAGTTTGAAAAATGCCCCTTTTTTCATTCATTCATTTTTTTTTTTCCATTTGTTCTATATTCATCATCATTTTTCTATATTTTGGGTTTTTGCATTACAATTATTCATTCATCATCTAACGCTTATTGATATTTCACTTTTCTTTTCATTATCCTGTTTCATGCACTATTATTTCCAGCTGTTTTGTTTCTTTGTTATTATATTTTCATATCATATTCAATAGAGTTATTTCTGTCATTCCGTGATTTATTTAAAATGTAACCCGATATTGCGGTTTATCAAGTGGTGGTGAATGAATGCCAGGCCAGCAATATACACAAGATTATTATGCATGTTTTATTAATAATCACTGGCGATGGAATATGCAAAACAAAAAATAAGTGAATACATAAATACAGCAAGAATGCTGTTGTGATGGGGTTTTGAACCCACAAAGTACGTGGAATGGAATAACAACAACAAGAATAACAATAAGTAAGCGTTTGGCAGTTTCACCAGCTCCCACATAGCAACCGAGCCAAAACTGAGATACATTTTTCGTTTGTGGAGATGTTCCCACCAACCCACCCCCGGTATTTTTGCACCACCGTAGCGGGACTTATTCATACCAAACTACAAAAATATTTCTTACCTTTATGATGGTTGTACCATATTATTCATATCAATTTTATACTATTGCTGATTCCAAAAGCTTCTTTGTTACTTAAATTCATCAAAGAATACTCAATTTTGCAGAACTTGGTGCTCTTGTCCACAACAAAATAGCATGCATGGTAGAAGGTGTCGCTGAAATAGATTTTACTCACAGTAAACAATGACCTTGGAGTCTGAAATATCATCTGTGGAAGCTTGCCTTAGCTACTGTGATTATAGGAGCATCACTGCAATCAAATACTATATATAAGTAATCTTCGAAAATAATGGAGATATAAATATTGAGGAAATTCAGGAGATAAGGAAATACAGAGCCCCCTACAGACAACAATATTTTGAATTTACAATGAAAATTTCATAATGTATCAAGAAGATTGTAAAATTAGTGCGCCTCACTGAAATTCTTGTTTTGGCTACTTTGAATAATTACACCGGTCCTAAAATAAAGAAAAATAGAAAAGGAGTATTCACTCCAACATAAACAATATTTAGTAATTGAGGATATAATATTTAAATATTTGCTGGTATATCACATTAAAAATTGGAATAAGAAAGCTGAAGAGATCAAGGTCAAAAGTCTCGAATTCCAAACAGTTTGCCCATCATTTATACTTTGACCATCAATTGAAGGAGTCGGATAATTTGAAGTTAGAGAATTCAGAGCTTCCCAAGAAGTAATGGTAGAGGAGTGTTCTGTTGATTCCCAAATTGTAGTTTCAGTATTAATAGATCCAGAAGTCGTTGAAGAAATAGTAATTCTTGTGGAGGTTGGGGTTCTAGAACCTGAGTCAGAACCAGAGCCAGAGCCAGAGCCAGAACCTGAGCCAGAACCAGAGCCAGAACTAGAACCTGAACCTGAGTCAGAACCAGAACCAGAACCTGAGTCAGAACCAGAGCCAGAACCTGAGTCAGAACCAGAGCCAGAGCCAGAGCCAGAACCTGAGCCAGAACCAGAGCCAGAACTAGAACCTGAACCTGAGTCAGAACCAGAACCAGAACCTGAGTCAGAACCAGAGCCAGAACCTGAGTCAGAACCAGAGCCAGAGCCAGAACCTGAGTCAGAGCCAGAACCTGAGTCAGAACCAGAACCAGAACCAGAACCAGAACCTGAGTCAGAGCCAGAACCAGAACCAGAACCAGAACCAGAACCAGAACCAGAACCAGAACTAGAACCAGAACCAGAACCAGAACTAGAACCTGAACCAGAGTCAGAACCAGAACCAGAACCAGAACCAGAACCAGAACCAGAACTAGAACCTGAACCTGAGTCAGAACCAGAGCCAGAGAACCTGAGCCAGAACCTGAGCCAGAACCAGAACCAGAACCAGAACCTGAGTCAGAACCAGAACCTGAGTCAGAACTAGAACCTGAGTCAGAACCTGAGTCAGAACCAGAAGTTTGTGTAGCAGTTTGTGTGGTAGTGGAAGCAGAACTGGAGTCAGAACTAAAGTCAGAAGTGAAACTGGAAGTTGCTGTATCAGTAGCAGAACTAGAGCTGGAGCCGGAACTGGAAGTTATAGTAGCAGTGGAAGCAGAACTGGAACTAGAAGTTGCTGTATCAGTAGCAGAACTAGAGCTGGAGCCGGAACTGGAAGTTATAGTAGCAGTGGAAGCAGAACTGGAACTAGAAGTTGCTGTATCAGTAGCAGAACTAGAACTAGAAGTTGCTGTATCAGTAGCAGAACTAGAGCTGGAGCCAGAACTGGAAGTTGCTGTATCAGTAGCAGAACTAGAGCTGGAGCCGGAACTGGAAGTTATAGTAGCAGTGGAAGCAGAACTGGAACTAGAAGTTGCTGTATCAGTAGCAGAACTAGAGCTGGAGCCGGAACTGGAAGTTATAGTAGCAGTGGAAGCAGAACTGGAACTAGAAGTTGCTGTATCAGTAGCAGAACTAGAACTAGAAGTTGCTGTATCAGTAGCAGAACTAGAGCTGGAGCCAGAACTGGAAGTTGCTGTATCAGTAGCAGAACTAGAGCTGGAGCCGGAACTGGAAGTTATAGTAGCAGTGGAAGCAGAACTGGAACTAGAAGTTGCTGTATCAGTAGCAGAACTAGAGCTGGAGCCGGAACTGGAAGTTATAGTAGCAGTGGAAGCAGAACTGGAACTAGAAGTTGCTGTATCAGTAGCAGAACTAGAACTAGAAGTTGCTGTATCAGTAGCAGAACTAGAGCTGGAGCCAGAACTGGAAGTTGCTGTATCAGTGGAAGCAGAGCTGGAACTAGAAGTTGCTGTATCAGAAGCAGAGCTGGAACTAGAAGTTGCTGTATCAGAAGCAGAGCTGGAACTAGAAGTTGCTGTATCAGTGGAAGCAGAACTGGAACTAGAAGTTGCTGTATCAGTAGCAGAACTAGAGCTGGAGCCGGAACTAGAAGTTATAGTAGCAGTGGAAGCAGAACTGGAACTAGAAGTTGCTGTATCAGAAGCAGAGCTGGAACTAGAAGTTGCTGTATCAGTAGCAGAGCTGGAACTAGAAGTTGCTGTATCAGTAGCAGAACTAGAGCTGGAGCTGGAGCTTGAAGTTGCTGTAGTAGTAGTAGTAGTAGTAGTAGAACTGGAACTAGAAATGATAGTTGAAGTTGAAGATAATGAAGAAGATGACAAAGCAGCATTACATTGCAGCTCATCATCAATTGGAGTGAGAAACATATTCAAATAAGAGTAACCATTTGGAAGGAGGATGTTATATGAAAAATAAGTAGCCTCCGACCCGGTGTTCACAAATTGGAACATAACTGGATAGAAGCCAGGCTCTACCTGAGCTGTGAAAGTGCTCAGGCCTGTGGCGCCATCAATGGAAGCTTCACCAATACCTTGTCCTGAAGTTGAGGCAGTAGGAGTTTGTTCAAGAAGATCATCACAGGCAAATGCATTTTCAGAGCCAAAATAAACATAAGCCTTTCCGCCAGTGTCGACAGTAATTATATGTGATGCAGCACCAGTAACCCGATAATATGCTCTAAGAATGACAACCTCTTTAGGTTTCAATGTAATAGAGTCTTTCCAATAATTAAAAGGGCCAAAAAAGGAAGGGGACCCATCGTTGGTACTGCCAGCTGGAGTCAGTGGATTGGTTAAATCATATACGAAAATATTTGTATCATACTTGAAGCACTTGCTTAAATTATTGTACTGGCAAAAATCGTAGGAGAGTGCCGAAGAAATGAAAAATATTGAAAAGTTCAATATGAATGAGAGAAGCATTTTTGCAGCCAATGAAGGTTTTGTTTACAAATGATAACATACAGAGGACATGACTATCTGATGAAAAATGGAATGTTGCTTCAATTTATATAGTCTGAGCTGGCCTTAAATTTATCTATTAATTTTGGGTGCATAGCAACAATAATGATACTTCAAATTGATGAGACATCATTGATCTAATAATTCTTGGCAATAATTCCACTAATTTAGTTGTGATTTTTCCCTGGACGTTTTGATAATTCTGGTGTGTGCCCAGTAATTGTACATTCATGCATGTTGCAAAAACTGCTCAATTTTATTAAATCGAATATATATGCACGAAACTAAATTTTTTTCGTTGAATTGTATAAAGATACACAAGACGCTTTCAGGAACGCTAATGATCGATATACCTTTGGTGTTAATAGCAATGTATCCAAGGCCATTTGCATTCAAAGCAACCGGACTCCAATTTTATTGGGTGATAAAAGAACAATTGCGAAATTATATTTTTTTATTGTAATTGTGAAGCCTGGTCTAAAAAAATTTTGATGGTTAGTAATGAAGTGACTATCGAAGAAGCAAAAATAGAGCCCAGAGCTTTCAGATCATTTTTACGGGGATAAATCACTCATGAATAGAGCTGAAGGTGTCCCCTCATTTGCGATGCATGGAATGAAGAGTTTTTGTTATTATTAACATGAGGAGCTCATCAAAAAATTAATACAATGAAGTAAAGATATAACTTTAAAGCTGCAGTGTTTTTCTTCATCAAGAAAATAAAAATAATGAGTGACGATAAAGTCTGATTGCTGCCAGTGCTTAAATCTATTAACCTCGACAGTATTTTTTTTTTTCAAGATCTAATATGGTTGCTATAAAAAACAAATGATGACAAAGATTTAGTTTGCTATCTAAATACATTATGCTGTGTGCATTTTCTGCGGTAATCGTAAATAGCATACATACATCGCGAGCACTGTTATAGTTCACCCACTTGTTCCAAAGAAAAAATCCTTTAATTAAATTTAAATTATCACAGACTTTTTCATCGGAAATTTTTCTTGGACTTCTGTTGCTATTTTTCTCAAATCTGTCTCTGCAACTGCCATTTCTTTTTTATATCTTAGTTTTAGCATGATAACTTCTTTTGTCTCTTTACACAACAAGATAACAGACCCTTCTCTATTACAAAGGAAACATATAGAGATATAAAAAATTACTACAGCTGTGCATAAACATTTATACACAAAAAAATAAAAAACTTGTATATTAATGAGTTACAAAGGTATCTGAATAAAATGCACGCTGGGCACTTTGTGCTGGTCTTTCTAATAGGCTAAATCAAATGCTATAACTTTCTCATAAAATCACACTTCTTACTGTCAGTATAAATTACATCACCGGTAAAAAATCCAATAATCAAGATTATTGAGTAAAAAAACATGTAATGTGGAGATATGATATGAAGTCGCTAGCGAATTACCCATCATCAGCAGCTTCATGAACTAAGATGAGGGTCTTTGTCAATGTGTTTTAATAGAATATTCCAAATACTAAATATTTTAATATTAGTGACCATTAGAAATTTCTAGAGAACAATAAAATAAGGTATAAAACAAGTAAGAACCTGAACCATGGGCCTGTCTCAAGTGTAACCACACACTTTTTAAGTTCAGACACATCTCATGACTCTATAAACCAATGTAACAACTGTGTACTTTAACTTATTTTCCATTATTTGTCTAAATTATTATTAACAGATAATAATGTGAAGCATTTATGGAATGTTATCAGAATCAAATAGACCAGTACCATGGTTATATATCTGAAGGCATCACACATTTTTGATTCCCATAGTACTAACATTATTGAATCAATTCAAATCAAAAAAAAAAAAAATGGTTACATCTTGTAAATTCCGGCATATATCTGGGTCCTTTTGGTAGTCAGGATTCATTCTCATCTTTAGGAAATCTCTTATATCTTTGGTATACATAGATTCACAGATGAAATGTAATGCTCGAACGGAAAACTGATGTTATTTCGAGGTATATAATTGAAGTTTCTCTGATCTCTGACCATATATACCAAATAGTTGATTACAAGATGCACAATTGAGGTGGTGTATCATTCTCTGCTCTGATATTTGCTTGCTCTGGTAGTACTTAATTTCCTGTTTTTTCTTGATCAAATAGTACTTACTACTCCAGGTTTCTTTTTCGGCCAATTTTCTCTTTTGGATTTGAATCTTATGATTCTTGGTAATAGCTGCTAACGTGGCATATCTATAATCATTATTACTTACCACCATAAGTTTTAGAGCTGGATTGGTAAGTGGTAATTGGTGATTTATTCTATCAGTGTACCAGAACTTTGATAGTGGACCCAAGAGGAATGGAATGATTGTTTATTGTGATGTTGATATTGTTGATGGTAATTTGTCTTGATATTGTCTGTTTCTTGTGATGAATATCATATATATATATTAATGATTAACATTTTTGGGCAGTATCAAACTCGAGGCCCAAGGTTTTTTCTCTGAAGATCAATTGGTCTAGACGTTATTAGATAAGTTGGTAATTTTGCGGAATTCCCTTAGCTTTTGTGATGATGGTTATGTCATTCATGTATCCAGTTACTAAGCAATCGAGGCGCAATTGATGTTACTAATATACATATCTTGTACAAGATCAGATTTGAAGAGGACGAAGAGCAAAGAGATGTGATAATAATAGCAACAACAACTGCCAGCTATAAACCAGCCCCATTTGACAGTAAGCGCATGTGCACATCAAATTAAAAAAGTACCGCCAGGATGGGCCGGAATTCTTTTTTTCTTTTTTTTTCTGGTACAGAAAATCTCATGTCATTTTTTTAATTTCGTTTTCTCATCCAATTATTACTTTACGTTACACTACTTTGCTTTATTTTATTATTCACCACTGGATAATCACATTTAGATCATACTCTGCCTATCCACTCTAACAATATCACCATCAGCCCCAACAAAAAAAACAAACAAAAAACAAATGCCGCCGCCAGCAACCGCCGTCGATAAAGACACTGGCAAAGACAAGAAGCTGGATGTAATTAGACAAAAGCTCCAGAACGATGCCTCCAATGCCATCCAAGGGTTCAACAAGGCAGATTTCGACTGGTTTCTCCGTGGTAATATCAAAAGAATTGATGTCATCAGTAAAATCCCTTCCCTGTTGAAAACACCCTCCAATAATGCCTCCACCACCAATAATGCCGCAACCGCCAGCCCTGCTGCTGCTGCTGCTGTCACTTCTAGGAACATCGGGTCGGCTTTGACTCCTCAGAAAAGTATCCCAACAGTGGGATCTACCAACGCCACAAATGTTCAAGGGGTTCTCAGTGATATCCTGACCACTGGTGATGGAACAGCACCCCTCAAACGTTCCGCAACGATATCGGCTTCCCACCAGCACTCTGAATCCTCAATTATCAGACGTACCAGATCTCATACCAACAGTAGCAACAGTAGCAGCGGTAGTGGATTCTTTGGCAAATTGTCCCTGAAATTCTCAAGGAAGAAATCAACCCCGGAAAAAGCCTCTAATGTCCCTACTACAAACACGAAACGGAACTCGACCTCTAAAAGTAATGGGGTGTCATTAGCATCAGCATCATCATTATCAACAACAAAACCATCATCATCATCAGCAACAACAACAACAAACCCAACAGATAGCAAACCAACAGATCAACCAGTGGATGAAAATGCCTTGGATCCAAGATTTCAAAAATTCTTGGAGTTTTATAAATCAAAGGGAATTGAAAAAATGTCTAACCTTGAACGTAATTTCCCTGATAACAATAACAATAACAGTGAACCTGCCCCATCCACAGTAATACCAGAACCAACCACTCCTCGTTCAAACGGGCTATCTAGGCTATTGTCACGCACTAAAACTAGTGATACACCATCCTCCACTGCCACCACGGCATCGTCGTTTCTGTTCCCACTGAATGAAATCCCCCCTTCTCCAAAAGTGGATCTTTTGGGACGCCCAATTCCTCCTCATCCACAAGAGGCCCCATTGCCTCCTGCTATCAAACGAGTAAACCAAAGTACTCACGGTCGTCATAATAGTGGCTCGATTTCCGACGTTAGCAGTAGTATCCATAGCACCCTGTCACCAAAAACTACTGCTCGCTTTGGCTCATTCCTCAGACGTCACCAAAGTGTTGACCAACATCCTACCAGTCCTCCATTAAATAATTCGGTACTATCGTCATCTTCATCATCTGTATCATCTTCATCATCCTCCCTCGTTGAAGCACATAGTGTTGGGTCTTCGCAAGAAATTCCTGGTTTTATGCACATGCCATTATTGAAGCGTGTCACATTTAGTGAACGGGTGTTCTTTAATGACCCACCTCAACAGATTGCCTCCAGGAATCCACGGAAAGGTGAAGTGGAAATATTGAAAAATGGATCGATATTGGTTCATAAATTGACCCCTGAAGAACGTCAGAAGATTATGAGAGAAGGCGGAGGAGGAGTGGTGGTTGGTGGATTTGGACACTTGAGGATTATTAGCCCAGAAGAAAAAGCAGAAGAAGAGCAATTCGAGAGACGCTCAGGCTCACCACCACCACCGCCACCACCTGTAGAACATGAAAATGACCAAGAAGGTGCTGCCGTTGAAAAAAAAGAGCAAGAAGAAGAAAAAGAAGCGGAAGAAGATGATGATCCTAGCCTTCGAAAAGCTAAGCTGATTTCGATTGATAAGCCAATGGTTAGTCGTCATAAACCATCAGGTATTAAACCCACTGATGAAGATGGCGAGGAAGTGTCTAATGATAGCTCAGAAAGTATCAACAAAATAATGGAGAAGAAAGTTCCACTTGACGTGTTGTATGCTCGTTGTTGTCATCTTCGTGAAATATTACCAATCAAATCGACTTTGAAACAAATTCCTAAGAATTCTACTGCGACTCTTGATCTGCTAACCTTTAAAAACCCATTGCCTTCACTTATTGAAATTATAACTTTTGGAGATTTCATCAGTATTGCCCCAATCGCCACGTTGATCGTCGATGGGATTTCCCTCAGTTTAGAAATGCTCAGGGTATTGTTGCTGTCGATAGCTTACAAAAATGATTTGAAAAAACTCAGTTTAAGGAACACTGTCCTTGATACCCGTGGTTGGAAATTGTTGTGTTGGTTTCTTGTGAAAAATAAGTCTTTGATATCCCTTGATATCACAATGTGTTCATCATTGAAAACTTCTTCGTCTTCCAAATCTAGCAAGCCAAAGAGCATAGCCATCACCTCGATTGTCAGAATGGACGGTAGCCAATCTGATAGATCTGAAATGGATTGGTCATTATTTGTGGCGTCTTTGATTTACCGGGGAGGTATTGAATCGTTGATCTTGACAGGTTGTAAGATTAAAAGCTTACCGATATTTAAGAAATTATTCGAAATGGCGTTGGGTGGTCGGACCAAGAAATTGGGCTTGGCGTATAATAATTTAAGTTACGAACAAATGGAAGTGGTTTGCAACTGGCTTCTCAAATACAGTTCTCTGATTATTAGTCTTGATTTAGGCTATAACAACATGAATCGTATGCTGACAAAAATTCAACGGAGCTCTTGTGGAAGCAATAATTTGATGACAGTTAAAGGTGGATCGGTCAATTTATTGATTTCTGTGTTTAGCAGAATTCATAAGGAACGGAAACAATGTGGGTTACAGTATTTATCATTGAACTGTACTGAAATCCATGAAGAATCCACGACGCTGAATACTGAAGGAGAATTTGTGGAGGCTTCATCATTGATTTACAATTTGTCGAAATTATCGAACCTCAGGTTTTTGGATTTGTCAGGGAACCCAAGATATTTCCTGTACAATATCGAAATTTTCTGCTCGTTTTTGACGTTGTTTAGTAAATTGACTAGGTTGCATTTGGATTACAATGGTATTGGAGACTTATCGATGATTGCAATTTGCGACTCATTGATGAGTTGCAAACATATGTATTATCTATCATTATTGGGGAATCCTTTGACCCTTGGTGGATATTCTGCGATTTGCAACTTGGTCAAGCGGTCAAAAATCATTTCTTTGGAAATGGATTTCGATTATATTCCAACCCATTTGAGAAGAAATATTGGGGTTTACACGGTGAGAAACATGGAGCAGATAATTAGACACGGTAAAATCGGTGTCAATGGGGGAGAAGATGAAAATGAAAACAAGGGGATTGATAAGGACGAGTATAGTTTAGGATCTTTGACAGAAGAGGTGGTTGAGTTCTTGCAAAAATACGATGAAAAGAATGAACGTGGAGAAATGATCAATAGCGAAGAGAAGAAGAAAGTGAAGCAACTTGTGTTCGAGTTTTTGGGAAAGATTTTCCAGATTAAGAATAGCTTGAATCAGACTATTGAAAAATTGATTGAAATGAGATTGCAGCACGAATTGAATAATGATGGTAAGGAGACCCTCATTAGATTTTGTTTTATTGATAATGCTTTGGACAAAGTGCTCCGTATTTTGAGGGAAAGATATAAGGAATTTGCAGATGAGTATGAAATTACCCATAAGGTTACGGAGAAGGGTGCCAGTGAGGAATCGATGGTGGTGAAAACCCAGATTTTTGGGAAAAGTCTAGACCACAATGCCATTGACGAAGAAGAGGATGAAGAGGCGTACCCGATTTCCGGAATGAAATCCAAGGAAGGGGTATCGTCAGTATTCCCATACTCACAGGTTCGTCGCAGCAGCAGCCAAACAAGTTTAAAGAAGCTTGATCAAGAAGAAGGTAGTGTGTTGAAAGCAGGGAATCTACTCCAGGCGAAATTACAAGAGCATGGTTCTGGTGACAATGCTGATAAGGGCCAAGGACCTCAGTACGATGATCATTTTCTTAAACACGTGGTAGGAGGAGGAGGAGGAGGAGAAGGAGGAGGAGCGGTCGATGGTGAAAAGATCAAGGACGCGTTACTCGATACTTCAAAACTTAGTAATATTGTGAATGTTTTGGATAGTCTCCGAGAAAACGGGATCAGTGTTGAAGATATGTTTAAGAAAAGGGATGTTCAGTCGGCGCTTGAACAAGAGTTTGCCAACGGGAAGAGCTTACATCTGGCAAAAGAGGAAGGAAGTGAAGATAAGGATGAAGATGAGAGTGATTTGAGCGACACTGCTAGCGAGGCCAGTATTGACGATGTGGAGGTAGAAAAGGAGACCAAGCCGTACGATACGATTGTTGATGATTTGGTGCGGGTGAGAAGTCGACAAGCCTGAATGTTACGTGTCGTGCTTTTGTTTATTTTATTATTTGTAAGATAATTGGTATTTATGTTGAATGAATATTCTTGGTTATTGTAGAGAGAATACGTCAAAAGTCCGCGCGGGTAACCTACGAGGCACCCTCCCCCGGATTTCCCCAAAGGCGGCGTGACCGATTCCCCCGGGAGAGCGTGAGGTCATGTGCCGGAGACGGCTGTCATCATGTGCGTGCTGTTGTTGTTGATATATTATGTGTTATTTTATATATTGTGTTATATTATATCTATGTGTGTATATATATATAAATATATATAGTCTCTCTCCGATATTATTATTGTTAGTATCCACACATAATAAAATATATATACATATATTCTCTCGCTGGCAGTTAACGTTCATTGATTTCCCCATACGTCTGTTGAATTCAATTTCAATTTCAATTTTTTTTTTTTTCTCCCTCCTCCCCCTCTCCCCCCCCGCCATTCGCACTTGTTGTCACATTATCAGTAGTATAATAATTTAATTTATATCAAACCATCCACCATCCACACATCTACATAGATGTATATATATATATAAAAACACATTACAACAAATGTCAGAATTGATCCAAGAGTCTGTGGTCGATGGGCACACCGGTGAACTGAAAATCATCACGTACTACTCCAAAAAAATGATTGGCCATGGGTCATTTGGGGTGGTGTTCCAAACTCGAATTAAAGAAACCGAAGAAGTCTGTGCCATCAAGAGAGTGTTGCAAGATAAGCGCTTCAAGAACCGTGAGCTCCAGATAATGAATGCCGTCCACCATCGTAACGTTGTGGATTTGAAGTACTACTTCTATCAAAACACCGACAACAACGAACTTTATTTGAACTTGATTCTTGAATACGTCCCCGAAACCATTTACAAGGCCTCCCACTATTATCTCCAAAGGAAAACCCATATGCCAATATTCGAAATCAAATTGTACATGTACCAGTTGTTGAGAGCCCTAAATTACATCCATTTGCTGAATATTTGTCACCGGGACATCAAACCCCAAAATTTGCTCTTGAACCCAGCCACTGGGGTCCTCAAGCTTTGTGATTTTGGATCAGCGAAGATATTGAATCCTTCTGAGGCCAACGTGAGTTATATATGCTCGAGATATTACCGGGCTCCTGAATTGATTTTTGCCGCGACAAACTACACCACCAAGATCGATATATGGTCGGTGGGATGCGTGATGGCAGAGTTGGTTATTGGCCGGCCGTTATTTCCTGGAGACAGTGGGATCGATCAATTAGTGGAAATCATCAAGATTTTGGGCACCCCAACTAAACAAGAGATCAAGTCCATGAACCCTGACTACATGGAGCAGAAGTTCCCGCAAATCAAACCGACGCCATTGACCAAAGTGCTTGGCAAATCAGCGTCGTTTCTGTACGTTGATTCATTGGCAAACAACCGGGAGCTTGCCATTGGGTTGTTGACGAAGTTTTTGAATTATAGTCCGGTGATTAGAGTCGGGGCCATCGATGCAATGTGCGATCCGTTCTTTGACGAGCTTAGACAATTCAATGTGAAATTGCCTGATTTTAGAGATTATATTTCCAATCACCTGGAGCTGGACACAGTACAATATAAACCAATGCCAGAGTTGTTTGATTTTGACGAGTCAGAAATTATGATGAGACCGGAGTTGAGAAATGTGTTGATTCCAAGTTGGAAATCTTAGAAAAAAAAAAAAGAATTATGGAAAAAATAACAATAATAATAATAATAATAATAAGGAATACAGAAATGTATATCTATTTTAAACTATTGTTGAGGCTTTTTTTTTTTTAATTTATTTTAGTTGTTGTCTATTCATCTTTGTTGTGTATTTCCATCTGTGAACTGACCAGAAATGATCAGCAAAGAATGTGTGAACCAAAACAAGAAAAAGAAGAAAAAGATGATGATGATGATGATGATGATGTTGATGAAGATGATGATGAACGTTCACTACGTTATCGATTGATCTATAAACAATAATGGTGGTTCTCATTAATGATAATTTACCTCGATTGAAAATGAATTTAACGACCTGAAAATTTTAATTTTACTTTGTTTCTTTTGATGTTTTATATTTTTCTTCCTTCCCTCCCTCCCTCCCTCCCTCCCTCCCTTCGTTCCTCTTTTTTTCTTTAATCTGAACTCCCTTTTTTTTTGTGCTTTGTTATTTTTCATTATTTGTTTGTTTCTGTTGTTTCTGGGCCAGGTTTTTTTTTTTTTTTTTAAGATACTGAGCAAACAAAAATGCTCTGCCTGTCTCTTTCTCCCCACCCCCCTCACCATAGAACCGACTCTGATCAGTTGGTGTATTTCTTTTGTATTCTCTGATGCCCCCATTCTGTCTGACCTCTTTTCTTTTTCTTTTTGTCCTTTTTCTGTTTGTAACGTTTGTTTCAATTGAATGTATACTACGATGATAATCGAAAGATCCAAACCAGTATTACGTATTTATGATAGACTAGGTGGGGAAAGAGACAAAGAGAACTAAAAAAAGAGAAGCAAAACAAAATGAACCAATAATTAAGGAATAATGAATAATCGACAGAAAGATAATAATGAAATGATGATAATGGTAGGTAAATATTCCCATTCACGCTGTAAAGAGTAAGTAGGCAGGTAGGCAGCGAGTAAAGTAGCCCGCCCTGCCCTACCAACCAACGCCATTTTGGGGAAAGAGAAAAAAAAAAAAAATACGCCAAAAAATGAAAAAAAAAAAATAAGCGTGTCGGACAGGACATCTCTGATCATCCATCCTCAAACAAGCTCTTCTTTACCCACCCCAGAATCAATCAATCAATCAATCACCACCATGAGTTTCGTCAGCAAGTCCCGGACAAAATTCGCTCCCAAAATTAAAAGAAGAACTCCAGCTGGTGGTGCTGGCCCAAATTCTCAGCCCACAAAAGCCCTGCTGGTGGTGTCTTCCACAAGTTCCATCTCTCCTGAACCTAGCAGTGCTTCTGAAGCCTCATTGACTCCTGGTCCAATCAATAATAAACCTACCACGGCTGCGGGTTCAAAGACCACCGCCGAATCACAACCCACCCCGGCCACCAAGAGGAAATCGAGAAATCATGTCATTAAGGCCCCCGACTCCACCGAAGTGCTAAAACTCATGTCATCGCTGTCGCGACGATCATCAGTATCTACTGGTGGGCCAATGAAACCCGGAAGTAGCACCATTAATGAATCCTCGGGGAGAAACCGCAGATTATCGTCGATTTCCCGATTCGATAAGACTGCAGGGTTCGTGAAACCTCAACCCCCGGCAGAGAAACGTAAGAAGAAAAGATCATTGAAGGGTTCGCTTGCTAAAAACCTTCAAGACCCAGCAAAGAAAAGAAAAAGATCAATGGCGTCGACTACTGAAGTGTCAGCTAGTGGTACTAGACCTTTGAGTAGTATTCTACAAGATTTCAAGGAAGATTCGGTAGAACCAACCCAAGCCGATGATACCCCATCCCCAGGGTTATTTGGTGAGGAAGATGAAGAAGAAGAAGAAGAAGAAGATGATGATGATGATGATGATGATGATGATAATGATGGTTCTGGGTTGACGGAATTTGAAAGACATGAACGGAGACAATATGTGAAATTCATGAGTTTTGTCAAGAGTAATCCTTGGAGAAGATTACCATCGAAGAATAATGAGATTGCTAAATTAATGAAAAAGGCAGGCACTAATGTACCATTCAGTGGTGGTGTTGGTGGTGTTGGTGCTGCTGGCCTGATTAATGGAGTTGGTAAAACTATTAATGATAATGATAATAATAATAATAAGAATAAGAATAATAATAATAATAATAATAATGAAGAAGAAGAAGAAGACGAAGATGATGACGATGGCCAAGATGTCAAGCTTGTTATTGACCCGATCTCGAAAAGAATCAAAGCGCTTCCTCTATTAGATTACGAAAAATTCAAAAAATATTTCGATAAAGAATTCAAAATTACTGATGTCAAACAAATCCCAAAAGGTACTGCGGGGCTTGGACAAGAGTTTTTCGCGGATTTCGTGTTGGACGAAGATAATTTCACCATTGCTGATTTGTGTAATTTTGATTTACCAATCGGGGAAGTTTCTACTGATTTCAAATTGGCCAGAGATGCTTCTGTGAAACGTAAAGCCGCGGCTAGAAAACGGCGAGCTTTACGCCAACATGCCAGAATGGCGGGGATTCCTTTAGAAGAATTGCTTAGAAACGACGAGACCCCTGAACAACGAGAAAACCGTCGTCGTGAAGAGGTTGATAAACTTTTTGAAGCGAAACCCGAACCTCGACAAGCCATTCAATTGAACTTTGCCGATGGGAAAATTAGCATCGATGAAAGCTCGCAATTTTTGGACTCGCGGAAAAACCTCAATAACGATGGGAAAGTCCGGGAAGTCGAGAATGAAAACCCGTTTGAAAACCCTATTCATTGCAAATCGTTCACGAAAAATGTGTACGCTGATCGTTGGACGTTTGATGAAACCATCAAGTTCTATCGGGCACTAAGCACTTGGGGAACCGATTTCGGGATCATCACCAATTTGTTTCCTCATAGAAATAGAAGACAAATCAAGATGAAGTTCACGTTGGAAGAAAAGAAGAATTTATTTTTGGTGGAATTGGCATTGAAAAAGAAGTTGCCGGCTGATTTCGACGAGTATGTCGATTCCATCAATGAGAAGCGGATCGATTCTGAAAAGAAGAAGTTCAAATCGCTTGAAGATTTCAATCGGGAATTGGAAAAGGAGAAGGACAGGCATGAACAAGGCATGAAGATGCTTCTTGAAGAGAAGGAAAAGGCGAGAAAAGAGGACGTTGAGGAACGAGGCCGGAAAGAAGAGGTTCGTAAAAATGAAAAGAAATTGTCTTCCAAACAGCAAAGACTTCAAATGTTGAGAGCCCAAGAAGAGGTGATTGGGGAGATTAGCTGAAGATTATATATATAATATATATAATATATAATATAGTAGTATACTTTTTGTGAATGAAATGATGATATATATAGATATAAATGTATTTATTATTGGTTAGGTGACAGTCCGGGACGGCAGGCAATCCGTGCCGGGGGGTGCGAGATCTCATTTCTTGCTTTTTTCAGAAGGCAATTAATCTCAAGGGGAGGAAGGAAGGAAGGAAGGAAGGAAGGAGGATCTGCCAAAAAAAAAAATAAAAAAAAAAAAAAGTTTTCCTTCTTTCCATCCATCTATCTACAAACAATAGGAAAAATAGTGGTAAAAAGAACTATAAAAATAAATGCTATAAACTAAAATAAATACAATCAAAGAACTAAACATGATAGAGCTAGCGATCAAAATAAAACAAGAACACACATAAAAAGAAAATGATACCGAGATATATACTACTACTATTATACAAGTTGGCTAGCTAGTTCCTAACAAAAAAAGGAAGCAAAAATCCCCCCTTCTCCATTCCAATTAGAATTGATATGACATGTGTTGCTTCGTTGGTCAATCAACCATTACGATTCCACTCAAATTCAACATTCAAAACCCTCTCTCCCGCCATCGTTCACTTTGGCAATCTCCGGAAACCATTGTTGCCATTCTCCCGCAACCCCCTCAAGTAATCATCGGCCTTTTCAGGCCCCATCTTCTTGTGCAATTTCGAATGGAATAACCCACAAGCATTACACAACGTCCTGGCCCCATCAGGTCCTCTTCGCCACTCGGGGGTGTCTTTACGTCCACATTGCATGCACACCAACTCGTGTTTCACACTGAGTTCCGGGTGTAATTGCCCCTGGGCCCGTTTCGATGGCGGTTGGATCAGCATCGTCGCCTTCTCAGGGTTCATTAGTTTCGAAGGTTTCACCCGAAGTGTAATCATTTCGCTGGTTCCTCCGCTGGCTCTTCGGGTATCCGAATTAGATACAGTAGTGTGCGAATCGGAAGAATGTTTTCTTTTATTGTTAACAATTGAATGTTTCTTGGTTGAACCACCACCACCGGAGACGCCAATGTTGCCGCTGCTATTGCTTCGTTTGGGATTTCTCTTATTCGCATTACTTTCCTGTTTCTTTGACGAATCCAATTTTTTTTTGGCTAGAAAGGGTGGCCTACTACTGGTTGGTTCTGGAGCAAATTCCATCAGCGATAAGTTCATAGTCACCGGAGCTTGTCGTTCAACGGTAAACATGGGGTTTTGGTGGGGATTTTGATGATGATACGAGTAATTTGGGGTGTCTACATGTTGTTGAGATACCAGCACTGATGGTGGTGGTGGTGGTGGTGCATTTGCGGAAAACCCCAGAGATGGTTGTGATTTTCGCACCGAGCTTGAAATGACGGTTGGTTGCGGGAGGTATTGCTGTTTAGCGTGAAGCAAAGCTTCTTGTTTATATTTTTGTTCCCGCTTGAGTTGTGTATTTCGATACTGGGGGTGAGGGGATTGATTTTCTTGATAACTTTTCCACGTCGTTAAGCCTCTAGTGAATCTATCAGCTGAATCAATGAGCAGTTCAAGCACCTCCACCGGGATTTTCGACAAAAACTCTTGGATTTTCGAATCGGCAATTAAAGGCTGCTTTCCCAATCTTCCTCCTGTTGTTAGAAGATTATCATGATAAGTAGTTGGTTCAAAGTTCCTGTCATTGACTATATTTAAGAAATCTTTATTAATATCGTTCATCATACCAGAAAGCAATTGGAATGACGAGATTGATGCCTCAATCAGCCTGAAAACTTTGACCTTCTCTTCGTTGGGGTCAGCAAGGGTGCAATTACCAGCTGGGAGCTGTATCGACTTTTGACGTTTATTGGTGAATTGTTGCTGATAGCACCGTGAAGGCAACGGGATTGATGAATGTTCTGTTGATTGGGCCAAGCTGGGGATAAACTCAGGGGCCTGTCTATTTATCGGTGGAGGTTGAGGTTGGTATTCAGGTCCTAAGAATCCTGGCTTTGTTGCCGTCACATTCCCGCCAATGCTCACAGCTTTGCTATGATAAGGACCGATTCTCAAAGTGCCATCATTGCTTGGATTGCTGCTAGGAAGCAGAGGATATTCTAATTGAGATGATGCAGCTGTCTTCACGGGTACTTGTGGATCGAATGTGTATGAAATCATAACTTCCGGGTCTTTGTCATTAGATTGATGCGGTTGACGGGCGGTGGAGAATCTATAATCTCCAAATCCTGTTGCTATTGTCGACAAGTTTCTATTTCTACTTGACTTTGGATCACCACCTTTAGATAAAAGTGCAGAGCTCTCCAACTCATTGAATGACGGTAGTCTTGAAGCAAATGTTAGTAAATGGATCAGAAACAAAAAAAAAAAAAAAGAGCATCATTATGAAAGGTCATTACAACTCAATTGATTTTCAAAAGCTATTACACCTCTCAACTGATTTTCAACAAGCCATCAATTTCTTGAGACATGTCAACTTACTTGATTGGTTTCTTTCTTGAAGTATCTGACATTTTAATCATTTGGCAAGGAGCTGCTATTGTTTTCAATTCTAATGGAACTTGCCACCATTTGTCAAATCTGCTTTTTTGTTGATATTTGTCAGTAATAACGGGAAAATTCTTAAATAAAACCAACAATATTGTATCCTTTTTTTTTTTTTATGGTTGGTTGGTTATTTATTTTTTTTTTTTTTTTTTTTTTTTTTTTTTTTTTTTTTTTTTTTTTTTTTTTTTCCGTTTGGTGGCTATTTGTGGGACCGGGTAGAGGTGAGAAGGAAATGGTAGTTGGAAGATTGATTATTCTCTGATGAGTTAAGATGAGGAAAAAATAAGAAAAAAAGAAAGTTGGATGAAAAAGTTGCTCTATGAAGGGGAAGCGAAGATTAAGGTTTTTTCAGTTGCTTTGGGATTGATGTTGGACTAAAAGGGCTAGAATTCTGCACCAGTGAACGAGCTCCCCAGAGTTGAAAGTAAAGAACTTTTTTTATTTGAATTTATTTGTTTCTGCTGTTGTTGGAATTGGCACCATTGATTGGCGATTCTTACATTGATTGCCAATATATACAGTTGACCCATGCCTTCACGTTGATTATTATTATTATTATTTCTTCACCCGGAAAGGTATAGCAATCAATAGTCTCAAATGAGTTATAATTTTCACTGAGGGGCAAAGAGGGCAAATCAAAAAAAAAAAAAGAAAGAAGGTGGGTGCTCTAATGGTGTTGACTGTCTGATCCTCAATTCTCAGAGTTTTTTTCTATTTTCGCTGATCGATTGTTTATTATTGTACAAATCATTTCTAATAATTAGATTGTCATTTATCTTTCTTTATTGTATATATATATATATATATATATTTCATTCTTGACTTACGCATTGCATTTGGGGTGACTGACAGCTTTGAGGAACTTTTTCTTTACAGGCTGGTTGGCATTAGCGTCGGTCTTTCAAAGAATTTTTTTTTTTTTTCTCTGTTGTTTCCTTGAGTTTGCTTTGCTTTTAATGTTTTTAATCCATTCCTGTGTTGATTGGTTAGTTGGAAAAGGAAGGAAGTGAAGATATGCTGCATGCCAAACTTTATATGTACCTGAGATGGGTGGTGGCATTGCTCCTCACTGGACAATAATAGCACATTACAAATTGAAAGGTGTTTTCGATCCTCATTATATATCTGGAAAAGAGGAAAGAATTCACTCATTAAATGAATGGGGCATTACATAGATATTATATATAAACGTAAATGATAATCTGTTTTTTGTTTTGTTTTGCCATTCCACGTGTAAAGAATAATTACTTTGTTTAAACTGACATGGCATATACGCGTTAAACTAGCTTTGGGGATGCATGAATGAGGTATGAGAGAATGGCGAGGCCGAAATTAAAACTAAACAACTGGAATATTCCTATTCTTTTTTTTTACTTTCTTATTTTTTCTAGATTTCTTGGACTTATGACTTTCATATTCACTGTCGTCAGCATCGTCATCGCTGATGGTTTTTGTTCTTTTGACCTTGCCTTCCAGTTCTTCATTATTGTCTTAAAAAAAGCCAGGATGAAGAAATCGTAATCAACATCGTCTGTTTGATTTTGCAGTTTATCTTCTACTAAAGAGGCGAGGACGGAGGTTTCAGCTGTAGATTCTTCAAGGTATTCTGCGTATTTGGCTACTCTGGCCAAAAAATCTCCGGAGTAGGTGTTGCTGCCAGCCCAATACTTTGGTTTTTTTTCTGATGCTACTGAGCATTAAGTTTGACGGATCAATTCGGTTGTTGGCAAGTGGCTTGGAAGATTAAACAAACAGGTGGGCATTGGTGAGTTGTAAATACTGTAACGCTTGGTCGGTCAATGAACCATCGGAGGTTAAAATTCCTGGCAACATAGTCAAGTACATTTCTCTGTTATTGTTGGTTACCACCTTTTTGAGCAATCTGGAATACAGGGTTTTAAATTCAACAGTTTTTGGGGACCAGGTGCCGGCTTGGCTGATTTGCCGTTTAATTTCGTTGTGGATGGTGGAGGAGGTGTCGAATGTCTTTTCTTCCTTATTATTGGCAGGAATGAGCTTGACGGCCTTCTGGCATCTGAGGCATGCTGGATTAATTGAATCGATATTGATTGATTTGATTGACCCTTCCAAATTGCAAAAGACGTTATCTTTTTATAAATAGAACAATTTTCTTTTTTCCTTCCTATTTCAAATAGAAAGGCAAGCCATGATATCCAATTATCTTATCTTTAATTTCTGCTACCCATTTTCTCGATAATTATGATACTACTATGCCCAAATGCGTTGGATCCTCAATTTTTTATGGATCGATCGATCACTCAACTCAAATATTGGTGCGTGCAGGGGGAGGCAGGGAGGGAGGGGTGCTGCAAACTTTATTTCTGTCACCACACCAAGTTTCTATTCAAAGGAGAAACATTCTGTTGATGGCGCCATATGCTGACCATTGAGTTGTACAAACTTGGTAATAATTCTGAGTAGCCATTACTACTTTTGGGTTTCAAAGGACTTTTTTTTTGTTTTTTTTTTCACCTATCCAAGGCTCTACGATTTTGTCCCTCCCAGATCCCATTCGACAATCCAAGTTGTTTGAACTGTTTCTCTGTTATTTCCGTTATGGATTGGATAGTGATATCATCCATTTCAACGAGGAAAAAGGTCAGGGGGTAAACGTTTACCTAATAATGTTGTTGGTAGCAGGCAGATCTTACTTTGATTTACATTACCTGAAGGTGGTTTCGTGTGCCAGAATTTTTTTTTGGAATGCCTAAATTTTTTCTCACCATAACTTGCAATAATTAGATAGATGGTCGAGTTCAATTTTTAATAGGATAGTTTTGTTTGAAAAAGGAAAGAAGAAGCAGGGAATCTAGAAAAAATTTCGTATTTGCAGTTTGAGGAAAACTCATGGGATTATTATCATACCCACAGACAGTGGTGATTGATCACCGTGGCTTTGTCTTGATTCATGTATATATATATGTTTTATTTAAATAAAACCAAATTCATAATAACTATAACTACCACAGGATATTATTACATTTTCCGTTCCCCAAAATGCAAAACAACCTGAAAAAAAAAAAAAAAAAAAAATATGGAGATCTCAACATAAACAACAAAATCATCGATACTAGGTAGCTAATTTCATAAATAAAAAGAGAAAATAATAAGAACAATAAGAATGAACGAAAAAAGTTGTGAAAAGGAAATACTAAATTAAATTGAATGACTGGAAAAACTTGACAAAAAAAAAAAAAAAAAATTGTATAAATCCGTTCAACCACCTCTTTGGTACTCTTCTGAAGATTCGATCTTTATACTTTCCAAATGCTCGATGGTTTCTTTATTAGAATCAATGATCCCTACTTGGAACTTCTCTTTATCACGAGAACTCCCCGATGACGAAGAAAGACTCTTGAACTCATTTTGTTCAGCATCATCTTCTCCTTCTCCTTCTCCTTCTCCCCCACATCCACAATCATAATCGTTTAAAATACCGGTGCAGTCGTAAATTGGTTTCTGCAACCGCTCATTGACTTTGTTATGGATATGGCACCCCCATAGCGCCGCGGTCTGTTTGCTGTTCACTTGTGGCGGAAATTTATCTAATAATTTTTGGAAATGCTGGGCACAGTCGCCACAAGGGTATACTTGGACAAAATAATTGAAGAATTGCTTTAGCGAGTCCTTTTCAGTGTCGGTGGGATGGTCAGGGTATCTGGCAAGAACGTTGTGGAGTAATTTCCAAGTCGATCTCCCAAGTTCGGCTTTCAAGGTGGCATTTTCCATTTTTGGCATGAAGGCTTTCAATCCGGTGTCCTCTCCAATATTACTATCATTATTATTATCATTATTATTGTGATTATTCTTAGTAGTCATCAGCTCTTTTGGGATTTCATTATTGTTATCATTAGTAGAGATCAGCTCCTTTTGAACTTCATTATCATTGTTATTGGTGGATGTGGTCAGAGAATGAGATGATGATGATGATGAAGATGAAACTCCAATGGTAGTTTCCTTATTGAAGCGAGGAGCATCAATGGATATTTGGTTATTTGATTTCGAAGTGTAGAACACCGAGAGGATGACAAACGAGAAAATGAGGGTCAATATTATTGGCCGTTTTGCTAATCGGATCATTGTTGTTGTTCTATCTGAATTGTAATTGATTTTTTTTTTTTTTGCAAAGATGTATCACTCCAATGTATGTGGTATGTATATCATGGGTATTTGTTTTATATATATATATGTTGGTAACTAAATAATAATACTATTTATAAACGCCATAATAATAATAATGTATGCTGTTACGAAGAAATCATCATCATCAGAACAGATTACCCGGGGATCATTGGGAGGGCGACCCCTCCTCCTCAGGGTAATCCTTTCAACCCCAGCGGTGCCAGACCGGCGGGACGCCAGACCACCAGCCAGAATAGAAATGTGTCAACAACAACAACAACAATAATGACATCCATCCATCCAACGGATCGTACCGCTGCTGTTATTTTCATTTATTTTCATCTTATTAGCAGTACCTCCTCCCCCGTCAGTCACCCACACCAACCACACATAGCCTGCTACTAATAAATAAGCCAAAGTTAAAAATTATCCAGTCAGTCCCAACGGTAGTGTCACAGAAGAGTGGATATCCATGTTCGATAGCAATCTTCCCTAATTGGAGAAGAGGATGGAAAAAGAGCAAAAATATGCCAGATTATTTTTATCCTGCTGCGATGCGACGGTATTATGTGATGCCCATCCCATCAAACTACACTGTCCAAATTTCTAAATGTTACCTGTTTGGTGTTTCCTAGTCACAAAATATATACAAAGCTTTGAATATATATATATATAAACAGATAGCCTCCGGTATTTTTGGGGATATGATCATAATCGTGCTACAATCATCATGCATGTGGGCACGGTTAAGACGGGGTGGCTTGCTGCAAGGTTCTAGCAGTGACACAATCGCACAGCAAACCTAGTACAAACAACCATTTATATATTTTGTATATAAGTGAACCAATATCTTCAGGAGTTCTAGATTGGGTATTCCTAGGAATCTCAGAGTATCTATCTACTACTTCTACTATTTCTATCTTACTTCTACTATTTCTATCTTACTTCTACTCTCAGAAATAATAATAACAACCTTCAATAACAATGGCCCTTACCTGTTCCGATATCTTCAAAATCATTGCGGCAATCTTCTTGGTGAGTTTTTGCTGAAAGATCTTTTTAGATTTGACCTTATTAAAAATGTTCATTTGTTCATTTTTTTTTTTCTTTTGTTGTTGTTGTTTTTTACTAACATAATCCGCCTATTTGGTAATTTAGCCTCCACTTGGTGTGTTCCTTGAAAGAGGTATTGGCGCGGATTTCTTCATCAACATTCTTCTTACCTTCCTTGGTTATATTCCAGGTATCATCCATGCTCTTTACATTGTAAGTATTGTTTGTTTTCTGGTCCCTGCTACTACTTGAATCTTTTGATATGTTGATCAATTACTAACTAACCTGTGTGAATAGATTTTGCGATACTAGAACCGGCGATCGTCCAAAAAAAACAACAAAAACAAAAACAAAAACAAAAACAAAATAAGAGGATCGACTCTATCTATCTAGCGTTATACTATAGTTAATATAATATCAAATATTGGTGCTACTACTACTACTATCTGTAATCTTGTTGTTGTTGAAAGTTTAGTTTATACTAACTGTACTACTATACGATGATGACTTGTGCTGCTGGTCATTTTTTTCCCACGCTAGGGCTTGTATTTATCATCACGTGCTGTTAAGGCAAGAAAATACCTGCGCCCTGGGAGTGCCTGCCAGGTGACCGAGTGACGCTGGATTGCCATCACGTGCCATCCCAGTGGGTGGGGAGCGGGCAGGGAACCCCCCTCAGGAATTTCCAACAAAATATTGCACGAAAAAAAAATATCATCCCTCGTTGGCACCGACTGTTGAATAGGTAATAACATATAGAAACAGTGAAAAATGGGTATGTCGAGAAGTGTTCAATAATATGGTCTAGATATAATAATGTGGGATATCGATATCTCTCAACGCTTGTCTTTGTCTATGTGTGTATATCTATATTGAGGGGTGAAGGCGAAGGGAATTGTGAAGTGGTGGTTTTATACAAAAAAATACTGTTTCCAAAAAGAGGATCAAAGAATAATTGATGATCAGAGATATAATAAAGATGACTAGATATTAATTGGAATCACCACAATATAATATTAAAGATTACCAACTAAATACCATTACTGAGTAATAATCATATCAACGACAATATAAATATTCAATAATTTGGTTACACTACATCTTAATGAATGTGGTTGCACCAGGAAGTTTTTTTTTCGTTTTCCATCAGTGAACAAAATGATTTATACCAAATGGTCATTTACAATATATTTGAAAATTAATTTTCCATTTCAGAAAACAAAACAAAAAAGCATTGATATGAATATTTATTCAAAAACCATAGTTGGACTAAGTCATAAGAGTGAATAATCAACAAAAACCCCCTCAAATATCTAATATCTAATATAGAAAGACAAGATATCTATGAGATATGACCAATCAATTATTATTATTATAATTATTATTATAATTATAAAAAAAAAATTCTCACAACTTACTAACCTTTTAATCATCTAGTTAACGTTCCAAAGACCAGAAAGACCTATTGTAAAGGTAAAGAGTGCAGAAAGCACACTCAACACAAGGTTACCCAATACAAGGCTGGTAAGGCTTCCTTGTTTGCCCAAGGTAAGAGACGTTATGACCGTAAACAATCCGGTTATGGTGGTCAAACCAAGCAAATTTTCCACAAGAAGGCTAAGACTACCAAGAAGGTTGTCTTGCGTTTGGAATGTGTTAAGTGCAAGTACAAGGCTCAATTGCCATTGAAGAGATGTAAGCACTTTGAATTGGGTGGTGACAAGAAACAAAAGGGTGCCGCTTTGCAATTCTAAATGTGTTGCTGACTGCTCATATCAAAAAATTCTGCTATCATTTGGTTCTCAAGTATATGGTGATTTCATTGTTACAAACGTGATACGACTGTGTGTATTTTGCCTTATATGACTAATGTATTTTCTCTTTAAATTTAACTATCTGATATTTGTAGTAGTTTGTTTATATATTGTAGATAAAAGATGTTGATATCGATCGATCGATCGTTGGATCAGCAATTTCATTCTCTTTACTACACGGGTGGGTGGGTGCGAAACGAAGGGCCCCAAAAATTACAAAGAAGAAGAAATGGTAAATTGAGAGGAGCCAACGGGAAAAAGAAAAAAAAAAAAAAAAAAAAAAAAAAAAAAAAAAAAAAAAAAAAAGGTGATGTCTTTCTCCCCCAATATTGATTTAACAATCTACCACGCTCTTTACTAATAGTTGCTGATTATTGTGGGCATCGCTTATATTTTCAGGTACTCGTATCAATAATATAATTGTTGTCCTGTTTGGTCCTTCATTTTCATCTCTTTGGTGTGGGTTGTCATTCCTTATTAGAAATCTATCTATAAGTGCCGTGAAATAATCGCATACATATTATATATATAAAGAAACCAGCGGTGTCTGGTGAATTTGCAGATCGGTTGCCTCGGAATTATATTCAAAATAGTGGGATTTGTTCTGATATTAGTGTGTTCATATATATATTCTACTTCGATCCTAGTTTAGTGAAAGAGATAGGAAAGAGAAAAAAGAAAACGGTGGACAGCAAATCTAAATATAGAGCATCAATCTAGAGTTATTGTATTCTGAGTGGAAAGAGTGTTTTTATAAAGATGCAGTTTAATCCTTTTGGCAGTAGCCAGTATTACAAACAACAACAACAACAGCAGCAGCAGCAGCAGCAGCAGCAACAACAACTACAACTACAACAACAACAACAACAACGGATGATGTACATTCCACAACAGTCTCTGTCTCAACAGCAATCTCCAACTTCCCCAAACTCTGTTTCATCTAATCAACAACAAAATTATTATCAACAATCTAGATATAATAATGATTCAGTCATCAACCAACAACCAAAACGGGTGTCGTATTTCAACATGAACAAGTTTTATTCAAAGAGCCCCGGCACCACTAGTCCAACATCGACCATTAACCAAATAAATACCAATCGAATAATACCCACGAACCAAATAAATGCCAACCAACCTAACGATTACCATCCCGGATCTATCAATTCCGCAATCACTAGCCCAAAAAGCCCAAATTTCCCGGTACCGATTGCCCAAGAGAAAGTGGTATCGTTCACTAGAAGACCGGATTTGTTTCCCAAAGCCACTCAAGAAAAGGCCTCGGCAACCTCTTTGAAAATCGAAAACTATTATCATCAATCAGTCAACCATGCCATCGACAGAAATAAACGAAGATTGCAATTGGAAAATGATCTTGAACGAGAAGGCAGTGACGAAAGGAAAAATCGGGCCAAGAACTTGTTGAAGCTCAAAGAATCGCAATTCATCAGGTTAAGAAGAACCAGGCTTTCGTTACAGGATTTCAAAACCATCAAGGTCATTGGTAAAGGGGCGTTTGGTGAGGTTCGATTAGTGCAAAAAGTCGATACTGGCAAAGTGTTTGCCATGAAAACTTTGATCAAATCGGAAATGTCCAAAAGAGACCAATTGGCGCATGTCAGAGCTGAACGAGACATCTTGGCCGGTAGTGATTCCGAATGGGTGGTGTCGTTGTTTTATTCTTTCCAAGATTCCGACTTCTTGTATTTGATCATGGAGTTTTTACCTGGTGGTGACATGATGACGATGTTGATTAAATGGCAAGTGTTCACCGAAGATATCACCCGATTTTATATCGCCGAATGTGTGTTGGCCATCGAAGCGATCCACAAATTGGGGTTCATCCATAGAGATATCAAACCAGATAATATTTTGATCGATATTGACGGGCATATCAAGCTCAGTGACTTTGGGTTGGCCACGGGGTTCCATAAGATGCACGATTCTAACTACTACCGGAAATTATTGGGGAAAGAACCGGTTTCCAAACCAAGCCACAACCGAACCGTGTCGCTTGTCAATGATAATCAACAACAAGCCATTCACTTGACCATCAATAATCGAGACAAGATTCAAACTTGGAGGAAAAACCGAAGATTGATGGCGTATTCCACCGTCGGGACCCCCGACTACATTTCCCCGGAAATTTTCATCCATCAAGGATACGGCCAAGAATGTGATTGGTGGTCGCTTGGGGCCATCATGTATGAATGTCTCATTGGCTGGCCACCGTTTGCTTCGGATACTCCTCAAGAAACTTACCGGAAGATTTTGAATTGGCAAGAGACCTTGGTGATCCCTGAAGAAGTCCACTTATCCCCGGAAAGTGAGGATTTGATAAGAAGTTTATTGACCAAAGCAGAGTATCGATTAGGTAGAGGAGGTGCTGCAGAAATTAAAGCCCATCCGTTTTTCCGAGGGGTCGATTGGTCCACCATTAGACAGGTACGGGCGCCGTTCATTCCTAAATTGACGAGTATTACCGACACGAGATTCTTCCCGACCGATGATTTGGAAGGGGTTCCTGATAATCCAGTGTTGTTGCAACAAAGGGATAGACAAGGTGGGACCGATACCGCCGGTAGCTCAGGTAATGTTCGAAATGATTTGCCATTTATCGGGTACACGTATTCTAGATTTGACTATTTGACAAAGAAGTTTTGAAATATCTACACAAAAAAAAAAAAATGAACAGGTTGACTAAGTTAGTACAAGGAAATGTGTTGAAGAAGTTTTAGAATGAGAAACAAGAAGGTGATTTGTACAATGAAGTTTATAATTCTATTAGAGAATACATTCCAGATAAGGCTCAGAATTCGGGAGTCAGATATGTTGTTGCTACTGTTTATTTATCATGTATTATTAGTATACATATTTTTATTTATTCAAAAATATGAACAGGAAGAAGAAGAAGAAGAAGAAGAAGAAGAAGAAACAAAGAATCTCAAATTATGGATGTGGGGACCTTTTTTTTTCAAGTGTATATGAGCTAAAGATTGGGAATTTTTAAAACAAGTATTACAAATATTGTAGCTATTTGTGTAATAAATTATTATTACTAATAATCATTACCAAATTGGTCCACATTACTCTCACTATATTGAAAAATATGGATCGAATAGTGCAGCTCTCCAATCATGATTTCATTATCAGTTTTCGCTAAGTGGCACTTCTTTCCCAAAACTCATGGTTTGGTCGTTGAATATCACTCCTGGTGGTGTTATCCTTCCAAAAGACTTCAAACTTGATTGTCAAATATGACAGACTGGCTTCCAATTTCCCCAAAAAAGTTTTCAGATTACCAATGCGGTTTGTCATAAATGGACTAAGAATTCTACTACATTCCAATTCTTCTGTAGGACTTTACATGTTAATGGTTGTCTTCCAAGTTGGAATACAAATAAATTGCACTCTGCAAGCTGTAGGACGGCCCCAATGGAGCTTCGATATAATTGACCAAGAAAATTGATCATGCTGGTGTGAAAAAAATGCCGAATTTGAAATTCGCAAGGCATTATATTACATTAGTTAGCTGTGATCTCTCAATTGATTTAAATCAATCTCTAAACTCAATTAATCAATGGATGGAAATTGAAAGATGGTGATTCAGGTGTGCCGAAGCAATAATACACAACATTAGTATGGGAAACCCCACCCTGCCCTGCCCAACCAGTGTTGATTGAATAGAACTTACAATTACAAAAAAAAAAAAAAAAAAAAAGTAAAATAATAAGATTTAGCGACAACTGATTCCCAATATATCAACTATACGTGATATCAATATCAGGCGCCCAGTAACGTGCTCCAAAAGGTTACTCTACGCTCCAGCCCTAGCAGGAAAAAAAAAATCACAAAAATATGGATATTCTGTGCCTTCCATAATAATTAGCTAGGGCCATTTGGCGATTTGATGTTAAAGAAAAAGAAAAAAATATCATAAGAGTTAATAATTGAATTGCTGAAAAATCTTCTCTTTAAATACCCCGGTTTTTTTTTCACACGTTACCCTGTCTGTGCTCATTTATGGAAGGGAGTTCCAGGTGGTAAGGTTGGGTGTTGAGATTTTGTGGAACACCATTTCATATATGGATATGGATATTGTAATATATAAAATGTATTTTTGAATTGAGCTTCAGATCCTGCTCTTGTAGTTTCCTTCGTTAAACTATTAATAATTGAAGTGGCGCTTCAATTTGAAATATATTTTAGCCGAAAATTCTCAACACATTTTTATCAACAAGACATATCTCTTACGATTATTATAATACATCTGTTTGAATGACTAGGTCTCTTGGGAGACTTACTTTTGGCCTTACAATATACATTCAAAATTAGCATATATATATATAAATATATATTTCATTATTCGAGAACCAGTTTCAATGTAGTTATTATCCAAAATGTAATGCAAAATTTTCAAAGGCTGATTTGATTGATCAATAGAGTGGATGGTACTTGCTTCGAGTTCTGGGGGATTTTTTTGTATCATTGTTCTTATTTTATGAGGATCGTTGAGCCTTCAAAGATAAAGGAGCTTCCTCTTTCTCTTTTTTTTTTTTTTTTTTATATATAAACCAATAAATAAATAAACCAATAAATAGGAAGTGCAAGTGCATTAGGAATTACAAAAAAAAAACAAGCTCTTAGAGACCTATGTAAAAGGTTAATTGAGAGGAAAATTAGTAGAGGCTTTAAGTTTCTTCAATATATATAATACTGCCTGTTGTGTACATGTAACAATCATCAGACAACAATATCCACGCCCAATTTTCCTATTTACTATCTAGGTTTCTATAAATATCATTGGTGTGAATTTAATCATCATACAACACACATTTTCCATTGCACTTTGGGTTGCTGTAAAATCTATGAGCAATTTTTTTTTATTAAAAGTGGAAGTATCTTGACTGTTCCAAAGTTTGTAGCCACTGAGTGGGAAGCATAAAGAAAAAGGAATTTTCTATTGAATCAATTTTCACTTTTATTTTCAAGTTTGGAGAGCCAAAGTCAACAATTGAAAAGAAAGTTTCTAAGGTCTCTTAATTTACAGCCATGAGGATATATATATTTATTCAATGGATAGTAAAAAACTAACTATTAAAGAATCTGATGATCCTTAGCACTTCTCACACAGAATTACATCCCATATATGGAACTAACCAGGTGAGAAAAATGAAAAAAAAAAAAAAAAAATAATTACAACACAACACAGAAACCAAACAAACTATGTATCTTGTAATAAATATCTTCAACAATACTACCAGTAACTATCCTAATGTAACACAACAAACCGATGCTACAATAACCACCAGATCATCCTGAGAACTACAATTTGATTTTTTTTACCTTTTTTACGTCATGTTAGCCAGCCATAGCCGTGGGACTCCTCATAGTGTTTTAAATAAATTTCCCCCTACTTTTTATGATCATGAAAATATGTATTTTCCGCTGTACAAAATTATCGATCTTTCCAAACCCTATCACCGTCAAATATTGTTGAAATCCCCCTTGAAAAACAACCAGCTATAAAAAGCAAGTTGTTAGTTACCACCCACCCACCCAATTGCACCCTGAGATTGGTACTGATCATGCAATAATATGCATCCTCAGCCCTGCGTGACGCATGTGCTTCCAATGGTAATAAGCCTTAACATTGGTGATCCCGCTGCTACTAGATGAGTACAGCCGAAAGAATAGGGTACAACATACTTATGACAGGTCATTTTAACACATAGATATCTTCATATGTGGTGGTATATTTTGTATAGTCTTTTTTTTTTTCTTCTCTTCTTTTTTTATCTCAAGTAATTAATTCCCTGTGGTATATCACTGAATATTGCCAGTTCCAAGAACAACCTTGGAATGTACAAATAACCAAGGCAAATTTAACCGGAATGTTGAACCACCTTGGTGATGTCCCCGCGCTTTAGTGCTTTCTAAAAATCACCTTAAACGGCAAAGCCAAGATCTCCCAACGAAAGGAAACAGCCAACGAGAAGCTGCAATCTCGGCTCCCATGAGGCACTGTCGGTGTTTCTATTTGAAGGGTAAGCAAAGATGAAAATGAAATATCAGTTTAGTGTGCTACTCTATGGGTGAGTCTTGTCTTTGCATAATTTTAGTTTGTCATTTCTTTTTTATTTTTAGTTTTCTGTTTTATAAATATATTGCACATTCTCCCTCCTTGTTTCTTCATCATCATTATCATTATTATTATTATTATTTATATTTATAATATTTTTTTTTTAAAAAAAGGACAACCATTATTTCTTCTTCTAGTGGTCTCTTCTACTTTGATAGTCAAACATACCATTCAATATCAAAACCAGTGAGACTCAAGAATAGTCATTCGTTTAACAAATTCGAAATAAACAACAACAAAAAAATAATAATATATATTTATTGCAATCTTTTGAATAAAAATATTCGTTTCAGCATAAAACCACCCTCCTCCTCCTTCATCACTCAATCAAAAAAACAAACAAAATAATAATCACACCAGATACAACTCAAACCAAACAATATGAAATTGATTCCAACATTTTTAGCTCTTTTGAGCTCGGTGTATTTTGCCAGTGCCAACTTTTCCAGTGATTGTGACCCAATGAAGAACACCTGTGACCCAGATCCTGCCCTTGGTACTTCTGTTTATTTGGATTTCAAAGAAACCTCCAACTATTTTTCCGCTTACGGGTCTGCCGACAGAATCAGCTATAGCAGCACCGGGTTGACCGAATCTTTCAAAGCTCATGGTGATTCTCCATCCCTTAGATCCAATTTTTACATCATGTACGGGAAGGTCGAGGTGAGCGCCAAAACCGCTGAAGGTACCGGTATGATTTCCAACGTTTTCTTGCAGAGTGACGATGGTGATGAAATTGACTTTGAATGGGTCAGTGGGACACGTAAACAAGTCCAAACTAATTATTTCGGTAAAGGTGTCAATGGGAATTATGACAGAGGTACCAAGGTCGATCTTTCTTTTGATACCACTTCCGATTACCATACTTATGTCATTGAATGGACCGAGAAGGAAATTGTTTGGACCGTCGATGGCAAAACCGTGAGAACTTTGGAAAAATCCTCGGTCTCTAGTGATGGATCCCATGATTTCCCAGTTTCCCCATCGAGAATCTTTTTGGGGCTTTGGGCTGGTGGTGATTCTACCAATTCCGGTACCGTTTCCTGGGCCGGTGGGGCCACTTCTCTTGATGGTGTGCCATTTGATTTGAATGTGAAATACATCAAGGTTTCTGACTATTCTACTGGTACTCATTACAAGTACACTGACAAGACTGGGAATAATATCGAATCTGTTGGTGGTAGTATTAATGGTAGAAGTGGTGCTGGATTCAGCAATGATGTCGCTGCTGCTAATGGGTACTCTTCTTCTTCTTCTTCCACTACTATCTCTTCTTCCTCTTCTTCCTCTTCTTCCACTACTACCTCCTCCTCCACTACTACCACTGTCTCTTCCACTACATCTTCTGCCGCTGCCATTTCTACTGTTTCTACCGTTTCTGCCACTCCTGGTTACTCCAATGGTAGTTATGTTGCTGGCTCTACTTATTACAATGCCGGTAGCAGCGCTTACACCGTCGATGCCCAAGGTGCCACTTATTATCTCTCTACCTCTTCTTCTTCTTCTTCCTCTTCTACTCCTGTCGCTGTCTCTAGTACTTCTGTTCCAGTTGCATCTGATGCTGCCGCTGTCACCACTACATCTGATGCCTATTCTAATGTTGCCGCCACCGCTTCTACTTTGACCACCACCGACACTGATTCTGACGTGTGGATCACCAGCGAGACTACCGAAACTTCATTTTTCACTGCTTCATACACCACCGTTGTCGATGGTCATACCACCGGTGTCAGCTACGGTATCAGTACCACTGGTGGATCATTGCAAACTTACACCACTGCATTCGTGCCGTTGACATCTACCCAAACCAACACTCATTTTGTTACTATCAGAAGAAAGCATTCTAGTAGTAGTTCCTACGCCGTTTATGGGGGTAACACTTCGAATTTCACTGGGATCTACGAAGGTGATGCTGTCCAAGCTGCAGTTTCTGGCAAATTGCAAATGGCGATCATTGGAATGGTTGGATTCTTGGGCTTTGCAGTCGCTCTTTGATAAACTGGATGTGATTTTTCCATTTCATTTCATTTCATTTCGTTTCTTTGTTTTCCTTTTTATTTCTACTGCTCACTTTGTCAATTTCCTTCAGTAATAATTATTTCCACTTCACTTCTTCCTCTACCTCATCATCTTGGATGTTGTTATATGCTAGTCCATATTTTTTTACAAACTTTTCTATTACCCGTTATCTTTTCTTGACATTATTCTTTTCGCTTAAGGATGAATTTAGTTATTTTTCTGTGAATTAGATGTACATAAAAAATCAATATAGTCGTTTTGAATGCCATGATACCTTGTAAGATCAATAATAATGTCAGCATTCTTGTAATAAACATGCAGCATTCTTCAGCATCCTGCACTGCCCACATGGCCGATGTGGGTCTCGAGGCAGGCAAGGCGGGAAACTTTTCTTGACAGTCCTTAGAGGTGGTATTTATAGAAAGAGGTAAACAAGGTATTTTTCTGTTGTCTTCGATTTCTTCTTCTTTACAACACATCTCATCTACAACATCACAATTACCACACACACAATGTCTCTAAAAGCCCCTATATATTCCAACTCCCAAACATTATCGTCTGCGTCTTTGGCATCGAATTTCTCCACCACCTCACAGCTACACTCCGACTACCTCATTAGACCAATCGAGGCCGATGACTATGAAGGAGTGGTTGCCACATTGAGCGTTCTTACAAAAGTGGGGCAGTTGAGCAAAGAGAAGTTTTCCAGCACCGTCGAGTATTTGAAGAAACATTCGGACATTTACAACACCGTGGTGATTGTCAACCAGGCGAAGGACAACATGATTGTTGGGGTGGGGAGCATTTTCATTGAGCAGAAAATCATCCATGAATGCGGGAAAGTTGGGCATATCGAGGATATTGCGATTTCTGGAGAAGAACAAGGCCGTAAATTGGGATACCATTTGATCAAACACTTGACCGAGATTGGCAGTGATCAAGGGTGTTACAAGGTGATTTTGGATTGTGCTGAGAAGAATATCAAGTTTTATGAGAAGTGTGGTTATACTAACGAAGGGTTTGAGATGGCTGCTAGATTTTAATTAATATATATATATATATAAATATAAATGTTGTCACTACATTTTGGGTATTTTGCTTATGTTTTCAATTAAATTTCCAACTATTTAGACAGAGTGATGAAGAATGTAACATTGGTATTGTTTTTTGTTTTTTTTTTATTTTATTTTATAGTATAATATAGGAATGAATGGTAATTATAGAGGTTGTAGCATCCATCTATATCTTGTCCAACACTTCGATCGATTGGATGCTGTTGCCTCTGACAACAGAGGTTCCTATCTGTACTTTGTCGCCGGTGGCAGGGTCGATGTGGATGGTGTTTTCGAGGGTCAAGTTCAAGAAGACGTCGTAGCCTCTAAGGGTGCCAGTGATCTTGCGGTTAGCGTTGAGCTGGATGCTGAGGGACTTGTCCATGTACTTCTTTAGTTCTGGGGCGCTGACCATTGTAGGGGGGGGTATGTGTGTATGTGTGAGAATAGTGATATGAGATATAATATAATATAATGTAATATAATATAATACAATATAATATACTATAATATACAATCTAATCCTGTGCGGTTCAACAAACCACCAAACAAAGAAAAGAAAAAAAAATCGCTGGCAAAAGTGCTATCCGCAAACCGCTGGCGAAATGCGGCAAAACCAAAACAAAACAAACCATAACCCGGCCGTCTGCGAGAACACAACCCCAGTAGCAAATGAATTTCCGAACAGCCTCCTCTGTTTAAGTATCTTCAGTCTATCTCCAACCATCATTTGCTCTATCTATCACCACCACACAACGCGTCAATGGGCTTGTTTAGAGACAGAAGAAAGTCCCAGCTCCCGGAAGCCTACACAGGCGTCAACCGTCCAGTGCGTATTGCCCAATTCACTTTGCAAGAGTTTGCAACTTTATCGGCTGATGGATATCAACAAACATTATTTGCTGTTTATGTCCGCGATTTCTTTTATTATCATTATTATCATTATTATCATTATTATTATTATTATTGTTACATTTACTAACCATTAATTTTATAGCCCACTGGGTCAGACATGCCAAACAGAAATGCCTTGGCTGCTGCTAATACCATTGGTAAATTGTTCCAAGGCTCCACCGGCAGCACTATCAACATGAACCAATCATCATTATCGAGGTCAAATTCCCTCCAGACTAACAAATCAAGTCTCAACTACAACAACCAATTAAGAAACATCAGTGCTGCTTCTTCCACTTCTCCTCCTCCACCAGCTGTGAAATATATCCCGAAAAAAGTGTCTAGGGCAAACTCGTTATCAGCCAGCTCTTCAAAATCCAGCCAACAGTTTTTTGTCAAACACCAAAATAAACGTGCCAGCACCTCGTCGTTGCCAATGGAAGGTTATTATTCTCCATCGCACTCCTTGACCTCGACGTCTAAATCCAAACAATCGTTATTGCAAAAACAACGCAATAAATCGGTCTCCTCGCTCACTGCTAACAATACCAGGCAAAATGAAGAATTGACAAAACCAAGAATGGTGAGAAAAACCGTACCTACTCCTTATGGGTTGAAAACCATCGAAGTTCCAGCTGAGGAATACGAGCGTACCCAATCGTTATCAAGAACCTCGTCTCTCATGAGCGCCTCGAAAATATATACCCCAAAACATTCGTCGTTCACCGTATCGTCGATTAATAACCGCACAAAGCTTCAAAAAAAAATCAAGCGCACCAAAGATGATTTGGAAATGGCTAATCGTTCTGCTAACAGCTCATTTGCCCCATCATACGACGACGACGATGATGGTGATTCAATCACAAATTTCCTTCAACTCCCACCTTCTCTTGGTAATATCAATAAGCCAAGGAAAAGAGTGAGTTTCACCGAGGATAGTCCTGATAATTCCATCATTGGTAGCTCAATTGCCGAGTTCCCCGATGAGGAAGCCGGAGAAGCAGTGCCAAGTATTGCTGCATCGTCGCCTTCATTTTTCAAATCAACTCCGCAAACCAGTCCTTTGAAGAAAGTGTTCACCCAAGATACTATCACCCTTGAAGCGGAACCAGAAGTTGGGGAATTGAAGCAAGATGATATCCAACCGATTATTATTCCAGAAGTGGCGGAGCCAACTTCCAGTGCAGTCGATGAGAAATTAATTGAAACCCCATTGAAAGTTGAAGTTGATGAGAAACCAATTGAGACACCAGTTGAAACACCGGCAAAATCTCAAGTTGATGAGAAACCAATTGCGACACCAGTTGAAACACCGGCAAAATCTCAAGTTGATGCTTTGCCACAAGACACCAACCCATCACAGATCGAAGAACCAAAAACGGTGATCGAGGTGAATGACACCGTGGTTGATGAATCGCAATTACCTCCTCCTGCCACTTCCAAAATTACCCAATCTGAAGCAATTTCCAATGGAACCCAATCACCAGTAGGCTTTTTGAAACCTGCCTCCAAGATCACGCCACAACCAAAACCTGCCAATTCAACTACACCAATCGCCAAGCAACCTGCCAATGTTGTGGCCGCCACAAAAGATGTTAAGCCTCACCAACCTATAATGAAGCAACACCCAGCCCTGGTCAAACCAAGTTCCAAGCAAAGTACCGTGATTGACAACAACAACAACAACTCCCAACAAAACTTGGCCAGTAGAAGAAAGTCTAAAAGGCATTCCACTCCTGTCAGTATTCCATCGGCCCATGCCTTTGAAAAGGCAGATTATTTGTCTGGTTACAATAATGGACATAATGGTGATGCCCTGGCAGCCAAGAAAAAACTTCATAGACAATCTCTTCCACCTGGCAATTCTTTTGCCCAAACTATGAGATCCGAAAAATCTTTAAACCGCAATAATTCTACTAAAGTTCAAAGATCTAACTCGACCATGGCTAGTAGATCGTTTAGAATCGACGCTACTGAGGTTAATAACGGACCAGGGAGATCATCATCGGTAATGGGCAACAGATCATTTAGATCTAACGCCAATAATACTCCAGTGGCCCCTTCTTCGTCTTCTCCACCTCCACAATTTCAAGCACCACCATCAAGTTTCTTACAAGCCAAACCGCCACGTCCAAAATCTGATATTGGCGGTTTTAGATCACTAAGACCCCCACCCACCACGGTTTCCAGCGCTCCTCCAAAACCAACCTTCAATTCCATTGCTCCTCCTCCTTTGAAAGGGTTAGAAACCAAATCCAGTTTTGAAAAACTTAGACCAACCGAGAGTAACAAGGCCTTCAAACGACTTTCCATGCGTGATTACCCAGGATCACCATCCTCGACCCCATCTGAATCAATCCTGATGTCTTCTCCTAGCATGAATGGTGCTTCGAACCTCGGGATCTTCAAATCAAGATTCGACGATTCAGACGATGAAGATAGCGGAGCTCCGTCTAGCAGTCGTAAATTCGCCAGACATTCCTTCCGTCGCCAAGAAAACCCTGCTGCCAGCTTGCCAAAAGTCCAAGAACGAGTGGTGAGTGGATCAACCATTGGCAGCACCGCTAGTCTTGCTAATGGCAACAACAACAACAACAACAACAATAACTCTGCCTCGTCGACATCTCGTGGCACCAGCAAATTGTTTGGGTTTGCCCGCCATCATAAACCAGAGACTCCCACCCTTGTGAAGAAATCCGCGGTGCCAGACATCATCACAAACCAAACCCTTTCTACTCCAGTAAAGCATGACGAGCCGGATGTTTTGAAAACCCCTAGCAGCAGTATCAATTCCGATAAATTATTCGAACAGCATTTGAATGAATCCAAGAAACACTTTTTGTTCAGCCAATTTGAAAACTCTTATAGTGCCCACCATATTTCCAAGAATACACAATCCCAAACCGCTAATGGAGACGGCGGGTTTGCCAGTATCAATAATGATGGTGGTGTTGAATTGGAGAAACCAAAGAAGAAGAAAAAGGGAAAATTGAGAAAATTGTTTGGGATGTGAGAGGAATTATGGATGTACTACTGCTACTACTACTGCTACTATTTTCTCAATTTCTTTGCTTATGGAGATTTTTTCTATTTAAAACTATTTGTCAATTACTTCGCTTAAGTAGGTGTTTTTTTTTGTTTTTTTTTTGCTTAAGGTGTACATTGAGCGTGAAAAGGAAAAAAAAAAATTATTGTTGTATGTTTAGTGTTTGCTATTGTTATTCGATAATTTTGCATGGCTTCCTGGTTTATTCTTTTCTGTTATTTTTAGTTTTTTTGTTTCAAAAACTTCTTATTTTTTTGGATTTTTTTTTTTTTGGTTTACTTCTTTTGTTGATAGATTTTGTAATAGTATAGTATAATAAAATAATAATAATAATAATAATAATAATAATAATAATAATAATAATAATAATAATAATAATAATAATAATAATAATAATAATAATAATAATAATAATAATAATAATAATAATAATAATAATAATAATAATAATAAAATAATAATAATAATAATAATAATAATAATAATAATAATAATAATAATAATAATAATAATAATAATAATAATAATAATAATAATAATAATAATAATAATAATAATAATAATAATAATAATAATAATATTAATAATTTGTTATTAGACATGGGAAAGAATATCATGACTCCACTGATAATCCTATGAAGTACAGAGTTTTATTCAACCAGACTATTCTATTCATTAATAACTAATGGAAACACAATCAGCCAGATTGGCTATCTTGCAAGATATAAAATATCAATATAATACACAGGGTGCCCTCCAAAAAAAAAAATTAAAAAAAAAAAACTCACTCCTTTTCAATGTCAAAGAAGTTCTCCACAAAAATAATGGTCCCTTCATAAATTCCCTTCCGTTGGATCAATTTATTCAAAATTTCATCAATATTTTCATAAGCTTCAGGTATAGGTAGATTATTTTTTGACACTACGGTAGCAGTGATTCTTGACTCTGGTTGACAATACTTTATATGAGTTTCCTCATTAACCAACGAGTCAAATTGCGAAGTAGCTGCAAAATCCGTACTGGACATATCAAACCCGAGATCCCAACAGATTGTCAACGTGTGATTTTCATTTGCAAATCGAATTTTTCGCAACCGATCAGAGTTCTTTACAAGCCCCATCAATGCCCATTTCCTGTTGGTGGACAGTTCAGTGACTGGAGCCATTTTCATCTCGATTATCGTATCTTCGAATGACTGATTCAAAGAAATCCCGAGTCTGTTCAATAGACGGTCCACCGCAATATGGTTTCTTGGGTCATCGTAACTCAATTTAAATAGCTGGCTATCGTCAATATCTCCTAATTCATCATCATAAGTGAACCCTTTACCATATTTCATCATTTGCGCAGAATTCGCAGCGATCAATGCCGCAACACCACAATGGAAAATTTCCAGCAGTTCATCCAAGATGTCTTTGAAATACTTGACAAGATTCAACAATATGAATGAACGTTTCACTTTTTGTAAACAGTAAGAATTAATGGCGTTCAAAAAACTGGTGAGGTTCATATTTTGTTTCAATTCCAATTCCCATGTTTGAGAGCCGTCCGCCCATTCTAATTGGCTGACTGATATCCCTTGAGGGGAATCCTCCGATGGCATTATCACCACTTTGAAATATCTATCCATCAACTCCGCCAATTCATAACTGACAAAATTTCCAAGACTTTCTCGTTGGTATTCAACAATTTTAAACCTCTTGAAAGTGCTAGATGAGTGATGAAGAACCAATTGGCAAGAAAGTTTGAATGATTCGGAAAGCGTAAACGACGTGATTCGTTCGTCATTGTCAATGCTAACTTTTGGATCGATTATGGAAATGGTAGGAATGAAACGACGCGCCAATTTCTTTCGTAGTTTACAATCGCTAGATATTGGCAATACTCCGTACTTTTGTAACTCGTCTCGTAGTATCAACATATCCTCATCTCCGTAGTTGAGGAGGTTTGCCTGTAATAACAGCTTGATGATTGTTGTGTCCAACTGACGAATCTTTTCGGTTTTCACTGGGCCTCGAGATTTGGCTTCCTTGATCCTTGATCTCAAAGCGTAGTTGATGGTCTTGACGCGACGAACCTTTTGGAGCAACGCGTGGTAATCATCATCATTACCGTCCCTCTGGGTACTTTGTTCCGAATCATTGGTGGCCACTGATATCGGATTGTCTGTCATTTCTCTATCCATAATATCGTAAATCATTTGTATACCCTTAACAGACACAATTGTTTACTTATTTACCTTTTTCGAGATGATAGTTATCATCATTTCTTCAGGCCATCTGCGTGCGGGTAGCAATTTGACGTATATTATCAGCCAACGGAATTTTTCGTCTCGTCAACAATGATTTTTTTTTCCCAATTGATTCTTTTCCTGATATCTTCATTTCAGAATGTCGTTTCTCTTCCGCTCCTCTGCCAGATCATTAACCAGACTCCCAACAATTTCCAGAATGAGCTCCACCCTCACCCCAGTAAGTATACATACATCTTTAAGACCGTCGTCTGTGGTTGATCCACGATAAGGTCTCCATTCATATTACATTACCTACCCCCTCGGTGATAAGATGACTAACCATCCAATGTTTACAGGTTTTTGGCAAGAATGCCGCCCCACCAGCCGCTCCTTACTCTCCAGGTATGAAGGTCGGCAACTTGCTTTACGTTTCTGGCCAAGTCCACTACACTGCCGAAGGTAAGAAGATCGAAGGCTCCATTGCCGACAAGACCAAGCAAGTGTTCCACAACATCGAAGCCATCTTGGCTGCTGGTAACTCCAGCTTGGACAAGATCGTCAAGGTCAACATCTTCTTGACCGATATGGGTAACTTCAAGGAATTGAACGAGATCTACGGTACTTACTTCACCACCCACAAGCCAGCCAGAAGTTGTGTTGCCGTTAAGGAATTGCCATTGGGTTGTGACGTTGAAATCGAAGTCGTTGCTGCTACTAATGACTAAATTCTTTAATATATACATTTAATTATTTATATATATAAATTCTTTTCAATTGATTCTTGAACTATTTTCTTTTATATGATTATTTGATGATAAGAAATGATTAAGGATGACTCACCGGGGACGTTGACAAGTCCACTAGAGCAAATTTGGAGCAACACCTCACTTCAAATTTAGCTTATTGTACATATTTGCACTGTTGGAAATGCAATTGACCTCCCAAATAACCGTAGATAACATTATCATCATCACCACCATCATTGATAATCGTCGATGACTCTTATGGAGAGATCCTCTTGGTCCTAGTCTGGTGTTTGGATGTGTGATTCAGGTGTGTGGGTGTTTTCATTCTGCGCACTTTTTTTTTTTTCTTTCTGTTATAAAAATGTGTGAAGGCCATCTCTTTAATATTATTAATCGGTCAAATCAATCTACTGCTGTCCGTTTCTTCATTGAATTGTGATATATCTATCCATTGCGGAATAGTGACCAATATCTCATCAAGTTATTATTACTAGTTTATTCGAATCGCTGCACTAAGCATATCTTTTTTTTTTTTTCCCCCAGTAGATCATCATGACAGAGGTGGCAGATAGTTATCTAGAGGATATCAATAACGATGTCTGCCCAATCTGCAAAACCGACAAATATTTGAACTCGAACATGAAGTTCCTCATTAATCCAGAATGCTATCATAAGATTTGTGACTCGTGTGTCGACCGTATCTTCTCTTCGGGACCTACAAAGTGTCCTTACCAAGGTTGTGAAAAGATTTTGCGTAAAAACAAGTTCAAGTCCCAGATTTTCGAAGATATCTCGATCGAGAAAGAAATAGATATCCGGAACCTGATCGTCAAGATCTTTAACAAAACAGAGAAGGATTTCAAGACGCTAGAAGAGTTTAATGCTTATTTAGAGAAAATCGAGGAAATCATTTATAATATTTTGAACGGGGTTCAAGTCAAGGAAACCAATGAATATATTGCCAATTACAAACAAGAAAACTCAAAATCCATCCATCAAAATAACATCAATATTCAAAGACAGCACGATATTTTTTTGAAAATCGAAAATAAGAAGAAGTTGATCAATGATGAGAAGCAGAAGCTTTCCAAACAGTTGATTAGAGAACTTCAGAATGACAAGAAAATTGCCAACCAACAAATCACCAACAATTTATTGAATTCCTCACTCGATACCAATTTGATCGTTGAGAATGCTCGGAAAAACCTTCTCAAACAAAGTCTGGCGAGACGGAAGAAGTACATTGAGCAAACAAAGTTGCTCCAAGAGAAGTTCATGTCGCAAGAAGACCTTGAAATGATGAACTATTCCAACCCAGGGTTGCCAGGGTTCAGAAAACACAGATTGATGCAACAACAGGCTACAATGATGTCGCCATTCTCCCCTTTCAATGGAGACAGAAGTGTCAATTTACCGTTTGAAGTGGAAGAAGAATATTTCGATCCGTATACCAGCAATGTTATTAAAGATGCCCAATATTTGGCTGGGGGTATTAGAGTCGAACAGATCTATAAGAAATCGTTGTTCGAGGCATTTTTTGGTTTGGATTGTATTATAAAAGAAGAGAAAAGTGCTTGAGTGGTTGTCATCAAGGGCAGGTTCTTTGATGACGGTTTCTACATATCTACTTATGAGTTATGAGCTGTATATTATTATCATTATTATTTTTATTTTTTATCGTCATTATTATTATTATCATTATTATCATCTCTATTGTTGTCATCGTCATTATCATTATAGTTATTTGTTATCTGCTTTAATAATATCTGTGTAAGCTGTACATATATACCGTTCAGACGGAACTTCAACTTTTTTTTTTTTCTCTCATGCGATGACTTTGAAAGGTATTCCATAAATTGTAACGCCTTCATGCCATACCTTTCATAGATAGAGTGATCTCATAATGGGTGTTACGAAGCTCTGGAAGATCGTGGAAGAATCTGGAAAACCGGTCCGCTTGGAAGCATTGAGGAAGAAGCGGCTAGCAATCGATGCGTCCATCTGGGTTTATCAATTCTTAAAAGCCGTGAGAAATAAAGAAGGTGTTGGACTTCGTGGGTCACATATCGTTGGGTTTTTCAGAAGAATATGTAAATTATTATATTTTGGCATTCAGCCGGTATTTGTATTTGATGGCGGTGCTCCAGTTATCAAGTTGAACACAATTGCTAAAAGAAGAGAACGAAGAGAAGGACAGCGGCAAAGTGCCAAAGGTACCGCTCAGAAGCTCTTGTTATTGAAATTAAAGAAACAACGGGAAAACGGAGAACCAATCTCCCAACCTTCACCAACCAATCAGGATGATGATCTAAAGTCAAAGATCTTTAAGAAAGAAGATGAATATCATTTACCAGAATTGGAGAAGTTTTACTATAAAAAATCGGATAAAAGAATCATTTCCCCCGATGATTATCAAAAGTACGTGAGATCATTAGACAATGACATAGAAGATATCGATCTCAATAATATTGATCCGGCCTCAGATGAATTCAATCAACTATCATTGGAAAGACAGTACATTATTTTACACAAGTTAAGATTAAGATCGAGATTAAGAATGGGGTATTCGAAAGAACAACTTCAAGAGATTTTCCCCAACAGTTTAGATTTTTCAAAATTTCAAATCCAAATGGTGAAAAAACGAAACTTTTTAACCCAAAAGTTGTTGAATGTCGTGGGGTTGGATGATAATTTGCCCGATGTGGATTCTGTGGTGTCGAAAACCAGGCGCCTTGCAGGGGAAAAAGATCAAGCCTATACATTGCAACGCAATAGTAATGGTTGGTCATTATCCATTGATAACAAAGGAAATTCTATTTCTAATGCTATTAAAGTAGATGATGATGATGATGATGGTGGTCCGAGCCCCAAAAAGCGGAAAATTCTGAATAATGGTGGGTCCGACGATGATGACTTCAGTGATATCGAATGGGAAGAAGTGAAAATCAAACCAAAGGGTCCAAGAGAAAACTTCTCCCTCAATGCATTACCTCTACCCCCGGCAAGTGAACTGATGGGTAGTGTTGCTTCCAAAGTGGCACTTACCGCTCTCCAGCACGCTGGAAAAAGAAAAGAGAACAGAAATATCGAACAGCGATTGTATGATACAGCAGTATCGAATTCGCTCAAAGAGAGGGATATTGAACAGCATCTATACGATACTGCAGTATCGAACTCGATGAAAGATAAGGAGAAAAAATATCAAATAGAATTGAAAAAGGCAATAGAGCAATCGAAGAAAGAGTTGGAAACAATCCGGATTGAACAGGAACAATTCTTAGAAAATGATCTTTTTGAGATTGGACCCCAGGAAAACAAAATAAATCCAACAAGCTCTGTGAACACACAAATTCCAAGTCTCCCAAAGTTTAGCCTCGGGAAATCTATATTTCAAAAGCCTCTTGTGCAAAAAAATCCAACACCTGAGCCAAAAGAGCCACCAAATGACTTTCAAGAGAATTCAGAAGATGATTTCAGCGATGATTTGGAAGAAATTGCAGGAAGTGGTGCTAAAGTCTCAAACGAGATGCCAGTATGGTTCGATAATAATAATGAGATAAATGTTCATAATCCTCAGAAATATTTCCCAACGCAGACGATTCTATCGAATGATAAGTCAGAAGGGGAAAGTGATGAAATCATTGAGAATTTCAAATATGGGGAGCAGAATAGGAAAATGGGTGATGATTTGTATGAAGAAGATCAACAAGTTGTTGAATTGGGTGATGACAATAAAGAAGTTATTGAGATCAACGATGATGAGAAAGTTATTGAGATCAATGATGATGATACGGCTAATGAAGTAAATGGTAATGAGAAAGTTAATGAAGTATATGATGATGAGGTTGCTAATGAATTAAAGGGAAATGAGAAAGTTAATGGAATAAATGATAACAAGGATGTTATTGAGGTGAATGACAATGAAAATATTGATGAGATCAATAATATCAAAGAAATAAATGGAGATGATAAGATTAGTGGAACAAATAACGAAACCTTACAAAAAGAAAGCCAAAATCTAGAAATGAAAGAACCATCAGTACTACCAGAACGAAGTACTAAAGTGGAAAGTTCTACCGTGACTCTAGAAAATGAAGATTCTGGATTGACCATATCTAATGGATCTTTGAACGGTGTAACCATCAATAATATAGAAACTGATAAAAGCAAAGCTATTCAAGGAGACCATGCAAAACAAAAAATAACCCACTATGATTTTGAAGAAGATGAAGAAGATGAAATAATTAGCGATCTAGAAAGAGAAGAGACTGCCCATAATGATTTCGCCAACAATTTGCGCCAACAATATGTACCAACCCTGGCAGCTGCCCAACTGAATTTCCGATACAATGAGGCGAATTTACTACAGCAGCATAAAAGGGAACTTAGGGATTCTGATGAGGTCACTGATCAAATGATTGATGAAGTCAAGGATTTGCTTACCTGTTTTGGTATTCCTTACATTACTGCTCCGATGGAAGCGGAAGCCCAATGCAGTGAACTTCTTAAGTTGCAATTGGTGGACGGGATTGTTACCGACGATAGTGATTGCTTTCTTTTTGGGGGCGACAGAATTTACCGCCACATGTTCACCGAAAAAAAGTTTGCCGAATTTTACGATATTAAGGATATTGACGCCAAAACCCATTTATCTAGAGATAAGATGATTGATCTTGCGTATTTATTGGGCAGTGATTACACCGAAGGACTCAAAGGAATTGGTCCCGTCACTGCGGTGAAGATCGTTGATGAGTTTGGTAGTTTGAAAAATTTCAAAGATTGGTGCATAAAATGTCAAGAAAGTAATGCTGATAAGCTGAAATTATTGAATACTCCTTTCAAGAAATCTTTGAGAAAAAGGTTGATCAACAATGAAGTCTATTTAGACCAACGGTTCCCCGATAAAACCGTCAAGAATGCATATTTGTATCCGGAGGTGGATAGTGATAAAACCAATTTTGTGTGGGGACCCCCAGACCTTGATATGCTACGAACCTATTTAATGTCGAAGATTGGTTGGAGTAAAGAAAAGGTCAATGAAATTCTCATTCCCCTTATTAGAAGATACAATTCTCCTTGGTGATGAAGTTACACATGTATTATCATTATTATTATTTATTTTATTCTTTACATTAAAATGGAACTTAGAAAACAGTAGGAATACACGATATAAAAAATGAAGAAATAATAAAAAGCAAAATCCGTTTTGTAAAAAAGTATGCCATCAAGCAATAAAAAAAAATGAATCGTCAAACATAAAAAAAAAAAAATTAATAGCAAAGGTAATTTAAGCGTCGTAGAAAGACGAAGAAGAAGAAGAAGAAGAATAAGTATATTTTTATTGGATTCTATCAGGTTCGAAATTCAAAATTTCAATCCAGGCCTCTTCGTTTTTTTGCACCGCAGCAACACAAACTTTATCATTGAATCTCACTTGCCAAACACTGGTGGTGTCTTCCAAAAATCCCCGGATTTGTTTACCAGTATCGATGTCCCACATCAAAAGACTGGTAGATCCAGAAATCACTCGCCGATCATTATGTTGGAAACAAGTTATGGCACCAGGGTGGCCTTGAAGTACGTGACGAATTTTCCCGGTGTCAGGGTCCCAGACTCTTATTGTCGCATCGGCGGCACCGGTGGTCAAATATTTTGGTGATAATTGAATGAGACCAACCAAAGAACTGTGGTCCGTCAAAGAAAACAATAATGAACCATTAGACAAATCCCAAACATTCACGGTAGAATCCAATGATCCAGATAAAGCCCGGTTTCTCTTGGCGTCGATCGCAGTGGTATAAACTTTTGAACTATGGTCGGTAAGCACATATTTACAAGTCTTTGATTCCACATCCCAAACACGAACGTTAGAATCATAAGACCCAGAGACAATAATGTTACCATGACCTGAAATAGATCTTACTGCAGCTGTGTGTCCTTTCAAGCACCCTAGGAAGTATTTACTCCTTGGAGTATGTTCGACTGGTTTATCCGTTAGCGACATTGCAATTTCTTCTTTAGAATAATTAAGCCCAAACTTTTTGTTGATTTCCACATCATCTTTCACCATTGATAAGTCCCACATGATCAAATTATGATCTCTGGAACCACTAACCAATATCGGGGCCTTTGGATAGATAATATCATCACCTCTTTCATCTTTCCCAACTACCGTTGGCTCAATGATATCCAAACATCTAACGGTAGAATTGTGAGCTCTAAGAATATGCGAGCATTTACCAGTCTTTAAATTCCAAACTCTAAGACTCTTGTCAGTCGACGCAGTAGCTAAGGTATTCCCAATATATTTTAATCCCCAAACTCCACCATCATGGCCCCGTAGCACTCTGATTTTTTTGCCGGTACTCGTGTCAAAAACATTGATGATATCATCATCTGCACCAATAACGATTTTGTCTTCATCAAATTGTAGACAGGTTATGACATTCCCGCCATGGGCTTTCAAAGAAATCCGTCGCGGCTCGTATTTAGGATTATTCCAATTCTTGTTTGTCAAATAATATTTTTTATAAATAAGTTTGTGGATGTTCGGTTCAAAACATGATCTGGGGAATTTTGCCAGGTATTTTGAATAAAATGATTCGTTGATGGTATAATATTTATATATTATCTCATCGTAACTTAATAGTTCCCGTTGAATTATTTGTGGACCAGAAACAAGATTATCAAATAATATTCTTTGTTTCCAAACATTACCGTTTTTATTGACCAACAGCATCCAATTTCTGGAAACCGCCGATACATTGACTAACGAACGGAAATCCAAGAATGATAAAACATTCGCCGATAATTCCAACGGAAGATTCGAAAGGATGTCAAATTTAAGAAATTTCGTGATATGGTTGGCCAAGATAGATAAAGTGGTTCTATCTGATGTTTCTAATAAGCTATAGAGTAGCAAATTTTTCGAATTTTTCGACAATTTTTTGTTGAGAATATCAATCAAGGTAATATTATTCACCAGTTTTGATTTTCTAAAGCATTCGGCAATATCATCCCCGTGCTGTACTAATGCTAAGCTATTTTCATACTTTGCAGGTTTGCTTTGTTGTTGGCCAATATTAGATGGTTCTATTGACAGTACCTCATTTTGGATAGAGGAATGTGTAGGTGACGCGGAAGGCGATGGAAGGGGTAATTGAGTATAGGTCTCTTCAATAATTTGTTCCGCGCTCTCTTCATCCTTATTTTGTTCATACTCTGAAATGATATTTCTGGTGTTCGTTACAAGTCTTCTTTTCACCAAGGCGCCTTGCTCGACCTCATCAAGAGAATCGAAACTTTGCTGGTCACCTTGGGATTTTGCTCGTTTTCTCGAGCGAGATGAGGCCGCCGCACCAGGGGTCACCATCCCACTCTCGGTGGTGTTCTGCAAGCCATAGCTAATGGGAGTTGAAAGAGGATGTATCGCTACCGAGCCAATGTTTGACTGGAACTGAGAGCTCAGTAGTTGGTCTATATTGGCATCGAATATGAAAGGTACAGACTGATTCACAAGCGGGAACTTAGGAGGTCTAGCACGTTCCAAGATCTCTTTTTCAGACGACATAAGGGACCACGAGCAGGAAATGTGAAGATTATAGCAGCAGCTGCAGAATAATGATATATATATCTATATCTGGAATAGTAATAATAAATAACCCTTATTGGTGATCTTGTTTTGAGGGTGGGTGTTGATGCCCCCCGATTATTTTCAGAGAATTTCGGGAGATTTCTGAGCGCCGGTGCTTCTAACAACAGTAGCTTGACTCCGGTCCAACGCCATGGGCCTTTGGATAAGAATAGCCAGGTAAATGATTCTAATATGACAGAAATGGTACAGCTTGCATGAATTATGGAGTATACTTTTGGAGATTAGCAAGAAATGGTAATTTAATTAGTTGGTGATCTGGTGGTCGCGTTATCTTACAGTAAGAATGCGCATGAGATAGATTTTTTGGCATCACCACAATCAAAGGCAAATGCTTTAGTAGTTGCTATATCATTGCATTTGCGTTAATATTTAGTTAATGCTCTACTCCAGGACTTTGTGCCTAAACTTATTAATGTTAATCTACACTATAGTGTTTAACACATCATTCCATGCACCAATATTCCCAGAGAGGTGTCAGTCATATGAGGAGGAATCATCATCATGCGATAAAACGCACGTATCATAGGGACGATGTGATAACACGGAGACCAAAAAGCGTCTATTAGGTAAAAACATAAACCATCCCAGATGTGTACACAACACCTTACAATCATCCAAACAATATATATCCATGAGTCCTGATCGTAACTCGAAACTCTCCAAGGCCACATCAGGATCTTCTTCTTTTGATTCCGAAAAGGCCCAAAAGCACTCCTCCAAATCCCCAATGTTGGCCTGCTTACCAAAAAGTGTCCTCAATAAGTTTTCTAAAAAGTCTATCACTAACCTAAAACTGGGATTTGCTAGCTATAAGGATGATATTGAAGATATAAATGTTACTGAAAAGTCTGACACCTTTTCAGGATCAGATTCCGAAAGTTTGATTGGTAGTCAGCCACCTCTTGAATACGAGTTCAACAATGTCATCAACTTTACCTCAGAAGAAATCGTTCCTACAAGATATAATAACTTCAATCATGATAGAATCAATGATGAAGAAATATACGCAAAACACAAGATTAATACGAAAGCGGCTGATGTGTTGAATCCTTCGCAAGTTAATACTACCCAAAGGCTTGAGAGATTACGTCAATTAATGAAGGTTAATAGTGTCGATGTGTATATTGTCCCATCAGAAGACGCTCATCAAAGTGAAGATACCGCTCCATGTGATAACAGACGAGAATATATCTCAGGTTTTTCGGGATCTGCCGGTATTGCTGTGATCAGTTTGACTAAGGCGGTGCTATCCACCGATAGTAGATATTTTTTAGAAGCAGAAAAGACTTTGGATAATAATTGGCAGCTACTCAAGCAAAATGTTGAAGGGTACCCAACTTGGCAGGAATGGACAATTCTGCAATTGAAGTTTTCAAAATATAAAACGTTATCTGTTGATCCTAGGTTGATTTCCCTCGGTTTAGGTAATTTTTTTGAGAAGAAATGTGAAGAAGTCGGTGCGATTTTCAAACCTTCCTATAATAACTTCATCGACGAAGTTTGGGATGATCAGCCTAGAATCTCTGAGGCTCCAGTATATGAGTTACCATATAAGTATACTGGAAAAACTACCAGTGAAAAAATAAAGTTGATCAGAAGCTGCTTGGTCAATGATAATGCCACCGGTATTATTATCACGAAGTTAGATGACATTGCTTGGACGTTAAATTTGAGAGGTAGTGATTTCGATAACAGTCCATTGTTTTTTTCGTACTTGATTATCACCCAAGATGAAGTCAGATTTTATATCGATCCAGTGAAGCTACCAAAGAATGTTGAAAGTTATCTATTTGTTGAATTGCAAAACTTGAAAATCAAGGAGTATTTTTCCTTTTGGATTGATCTTGAAGCATTATCCATTAACTTTGAAAATTACTATTACTTATTGCCAAAAGAGGTATCGTATGGTCTCGTGAAGAAATTATCCATCATCAACTACAAGCTTTCTGGATTGATTGAAGACTTGAAAAGTGTCAAAACTCCTGCAGAATTATATGGGATGAAGCTTTCTCATGTGAAGGATGGTATTGCTTTAGCCAGATATTTTGCTTGGCTTGAAGAAAAGTTGATTAAAGAAGGTAGAACCTTGAATGAATATCAGGGGGCTGTTAAATGCGATTATTATAGGTCATTGATGGCCAATTACAAAGGGGTCAGTTTCACCACCATTTCTGCATCTGGTGCAAATGCCGCATCAAATCATTATGAACCATCATTGGAAATCAATTCTATTATCGATCCTAAAAAAGTATATTTATGTGACTCTGGTGCCCAATATTTAGATGGTACTACTGATATCACCAGAACTTTCCATTTTCTGCGCCCTACCAAAGAGGAAAAAACAGCTTATACCGCGGTTCTTAAAGGGCATATTGATCTTGCCATGGCTCAATTCCCTGAAACCACTACCGGAGTTATTTTGGATGGTATTGCCAGAGCTCCATTATGGGCTGAAGGGTTGGATTATAGACACGGTACTGGTCATGGTATTGGTTCATTTCTCTGCGTTCATGAAGGCCCAATTTACTTTGGCAGAAATTGTACCTTTAAGGCTGGACAGATCATCAGTGATGAACCAGGATACTACAAAGATTACCACTTTGGCATCAGAATTGAAAGTGATTTAGAAGTCATGGCCCATAAAACGAAAAACGATTTGAACGGCAAACCGTTCTTGAAATTCGGTTACTTGACATTAGCGCCATTCGACAGAAATCTCATCAATAAAAAGAAATTAACTAAATTCGAACTTGCGTGGATTAATGCCTATCATGCTCAAGTACGCAAAATGTTGACTCCATATTTGATGAAATTCAATGATAACAGAGCTGTGAAATGGTTACAAAAGAAAACCGAACCCTTATAAGTTTGAATTTTTTATATTGTTTTTTAGTTCAATTCTTCTTCTTTACTTTTATTTTAATAATTTTGTCCGTCTTTTTTTTGCCAGCTTTTTGTTTTACCTGTCTTAGCCTTTTTTGCTCTTTGTTATCGTATGATTTTTTAGATATCGCTGTTTGTTCATATATACTTGTTTGCGTGTTTTTTTTTCGCTTAATTTATTTTCTCTAATTGAACAGAAATTTTATACCCTTATTCTGTTGATAAGAATTGAAAATAAAAAAAAAGTATTACAACTGTAGCGTAGCTTTAGCAGAATCAACACTAAAAATTAGAAATAAACCGTGCCGAAAACAGAGCGCCAATTATTATACATAATCCAAGGGGAGCTATTCCTCTCATCTTCTGAAAGAGTCTAAGAACTGAGTAGCCAAAGGTCTGACTGGTTCAGTATCACTTTCTGGAGTTGCTTGTCTAGAATTCTCAGGTTGACCAGTTGCATTTTGTGAATTATTCGTTGGAGCAAGGTTAGGTCTTACTATTCTAGTATTTTTGTACAAATACTTCCGGACCTGGGTGAAATACGGTAATCTCCAGTTTTTCCCTGGAATTATTTGGCCACTGACAAGAAATCCTAGTACCCAGCCATTAAACATTGGTACAAATGAATCCATACCCTCACTCAATGATAATTGCAAACACAAAATATAAGTGAAGATCTTATCGCTGAAAATGGTCTTTTGGGGCACTTCATTATCTTCACCATTACCTCCTCCGGGTATTATATCGGTCAACTCAAATTTATAGACTACTGGAATGAAGGCGCTGTATTCATATAGTAATGCCCCGATAACTGGCAAAGGACCAGAAGCATAGTTCAAGCTCTGTAGGAAATTCCAATTATCTGGAAGGAGTACTTTGAGAAACGTGTTCGTTATTAGCTGAAGTACAATATTATAGAGAAATATGGATATCAAAAACGACGCAAACTTATTTGGTGATTGCAATCTCTCAATAGTTCGAAGGTTGAATAGGATGATTGTACTAAAAAACACTTGTGATTCACTTGAGAAGCTTATTTGGTTGGTCAAGAGTCTCCAATATTGATGCCACTGGTAGATGAATGGGTCGAATTTGAGATAGAATGCATACTTTATGTCTAGTAGTGACGCTATTACCGGAATAAGCATATTCATAATTAGAAACAGCTTGGTAACCGGCATATGTTTTAATCCTTTGCTTATACCAACAAGCATTGTTTTATGGTCTTTTTGATGGGTATATTAAAGTTTCTTGGTGCTTCTGAAAACTGAATAAAGTGCAATAAATATAATTGAAAGAAATAGAAGGTCGCTTACCTTCAAATTCCCGCTAAGATATTAATCGCAATGTATTTTTGTAAGAACTTCATGTTTATTCACGTGATCAAGATAATAACTTAACGTGGTCGTATATTACGCCTCCTATAGATAAAATACTTCTCCACTAGTGAGTTTATTGCAGTAATTGGAATATATTCAACCAAAAGATTACTATAAAGGATTTAGAGCTTCCCGTTTTCCACTGATGATTATGAATAAAGTTCGTGGAATGTACGTGTCGGTTCTTCGAATTGAAATTGTTCTCCCCATCACTTGACGATAGAAATTCAACAATTAAATTTATTCATTTGGATTTGTAATGAAAAATCTGACCTGTATGCGTTTTTTATGGTATGTAAACTTCTTGTATTGGTTTAACATCATTGGTAGACTTTTGAAATTGGTGGAATTAGTATAATCGCACAGACCTGAACGCTAAACTAATATTCTTTGCTAAGAAAGGTTTCCATATAAATTTAAATAAGAGTCATTATTATTTGATTAAACAGTTTGTATCGATGTTCGAAACGCATGTTCATATAGCTATCCTAGAACAGGCTCTCGTATAGGCGTTATTCTCTCTTAAAGATCATTACATTGTATTTCCTACGGCACACCCAAAAATAATTTAATTCTTAAAAATAATCGATAACTCTTTTCATTATGATATTCATTTTTTTTACAAAGCTATGATATTCTAAAGGTAGATATTACCATCTAGTGTAATCTAAAAACGGTGAATAATTTATGTCTCTCATGTTCCCACAGAAAGTCTAAACTTGGGTTTAGTTATAATGCGCGAAGATTTTGCTTCAATCAAGGAACCTTCTCTTTTTTCTGAAGAACAAAAGAAAAGAAAATATTCAGATTATTAGTATGCAGCTGCAGAGAATGGTGATTCAATATTGTTTTTTTTTTTTTCAATTATTTATTTTGTTACAAAAACTGAGTCGAAGTCTGTTTGTTACACTGTAGATATCTGTTTATCGGTAACACAACAAGCAAGGTTAGGATTAACTACGTAATTAAAGGAACTCTACAGGTAATCATAGGGGTGATAACTACTAGAATTAGCTGCAGTTGTAAATCAACCAGATATGCAAATACATCGGACTGCTTTGGGTCCTCTTCTAAAATAATGAATAATAAACTTAAGATGGGAAAGATGCCCAACTAGAGCAGATTGCTTCAGTTTTGGATCGGGTGATATAATGGCTTATAGAAACATGAAGATTCTGCCTGTTCAACTAGTACTACCACTCCAACTGAAACTGTATTTAAATCTGATACTGGACAGCTCTAAAACTTCAACTATTAGCGGGTCAGCAAGCCACACAGACTCCCCCAAATGCAAAAATATTTTCAAATAGGATTCTAAATGGTGTATCTAATGAGTAATTAACGTAGATGTCCAGAGATAATGAGTCCGGAGAGATCTCGCTTATACTATAATCAAGTTGGTTATTTCTAGACATCTTAATTTAAATGTTTTATGGCTATTATTATAATATCAAGACTAGGGGCTCTATAGCCGTTATTGACTTATTATATTCTTAGCTCCCCCTCTAATCTTTCGGTAAGATACCTATCTTTAAATACTTTTCTATATAATAATTATTGTTGCTAACTATAAATAATATCTCCTCTTCTTAGTCATTTACTAGCAAAAAACCAGTGTTTTGCTATTATAACTATTAGTAGGTTCTTAATCCGTATCGCCGTATTGGATTTATATCAACAAAAGTAATATTATTTGGCAGCTTTAATCATTTTTGACATGGTTCACAGATTCTTATCGCAGCGCGCTGAAAATTCACGTGAGATAGCACGTGAACTATTTTTTATTATTTTTTTCTTCTTCCTTTGAGGAGAGAAAATGAGTTATCACCATCGATCATCCCGGTGACAGATTTCAAGTTGTTCGGAGAAGAATCATCTTGACCGGGAGTGTTCTTGCATCGTGATCCAGGAAGCATATAAACCATACCTTGGAATTAATTTTTTTTTTTTTTTACTCGACAAAAAGATCCTGTTCTGCCTTTGCCTGCCTTGTAGTTATTCAACATGAACAATTCTAGCGGTAACAACAACACTGGCAACACCGTCAATAATTCACAAGCCAATACAAATGGTAACCCAATACTTAATATCACGCAGCAGCAACTACAGCAATTAGTTTTGCGTTTCAAGAATGCCTCAGAAATGGCCGTGAAGTTGGGCCCAAACAGCGAGCAGGGGAAGCAGCATCTTCAAACTGCCGCGAAGATCAAAAGTCTTCTAGTGAACTATTCCAATCAATCGAGAATGCGTCAACAGCAACAGCAGCAACAGCAGCAGCAACAGCAGCAGCAACAGCAACAGCAACAACAGGCCCAAAAGGTTCAAAACCGAACCCAGCTACATTCACAGCAACAAGTTACTCCGAATAATAAACCGATCACCCCAAACGTTAGCAACAACAATAATGCAAATATGATGTCTAATAACATGAATATGAATAATGCTGCAGTTGATCCCAATTCCAGACCTGCTTCTTCAATGAGTATGGGAAGTGGCATGAACTTCAATATGGGAAACTTCAACATGTCAGGTGTGAATACCAATGGAAATGTTATGGCTAATAATGGTAATAATAATAATACTAACGGCATGATAAATAATAACCCAGGAAGCCCAGCACTATCTGTCACATCTGGTAGTGGTAACATGAACAACAATAACACCAGTATGAACATTAACAACAATAACAGCAACATGAACATTAACTTAAAAAGTACCAACAATAATGGAATCAATACTCCAAACAATAATAGTAATAATAAAAAGAATGATAATGGTGGTAACGATAATAATAACGCCATTAATAACAACATCAATAATAATAATGGCAGCAACAATGCTAACAACGGTACTGGTAATCTTAATAATGCTGGTGGATCTAATGCCGCAACCGCTCCATTAATGACTCAGGTCCAGAATTTAAAGAAGTTGAATTATATTTATCAGGATTATACAAAAAAATTGCAATCCTACAGAACTTTTTTGCAAAGACCAAACTTGAGTGCAGAGACTATTCAAAAATTGCAACATGAAGGAAGAGATGTGCAAACGAAGCTAGAGCAAATTAAAGCATTGATGATAAAATGGAACCAAAATTTAAAACAGAACAGAGGTAATATTTCATCGATAGCTCAGCAGCAGCAACATAAGCAAAATCCAAATCCACAACTTCATCAACAAACTCAACTTCAACCACAACTTCAACCCCAGCCACAAGTCCAACAACAACCACAGCAACAACCACAACAGCCGCAACCGCAACCGCAACCGATGCCAAACCTGGGTATCAACATGCCCCAGAACCCTGCCATGCTCAATAATCGTAATATTCCAGGCTCAGGTAGTCCAATGATGAACCAAGCTATCCCAAACAAGGCTCCTAACAATATGATTTCTGGAAATCCTGTTCCCGCTAATGGAAACATGGCAAATAATGGAAATCCTAACCCTGCTATAAACCAATCAATTCTTGCAATGTTTAATGGCGGACCACTAGACCAAAATGTGTTGAGTAAGCTAACTCCACAAAAGAGAGCTCAACTATTGCAAATGCATCAAAATGCTATAAACGCCCAAGGTGCTGCTATGAGGAATTTGCCAAACAATGCTTTCAAATCATTAACTCCTGCTCAGCAGGCTCAATTTATGGCGCAATTACAGAAACAGCGTCAGAACAGCCTTGCCGCCCGTAACTCAATATCTCCTCAAGTATCGGGGGTGGCTTCTCCTCCAATGAATATGAACATGAACCTCAACAATCCTCAAGCCCCCGTGATACGCTCACCAGCGGCACAAGCTCCACAATTACCTCAACACATCCTGTTGACACAACCTCAACCAATGCCCCAACCACAAATGCAAAATCTTGGTCAATTGAAGCCTCAACCTCAACCTCAACAAGTTCCTCAACCAATAAAGCCGCAAGTTCCAACACAGGTACAATCCCAACCGCATCCAGCAAATGATTCACAAGTGAAACCACCCACTAATAATGATACTAAGGCTGAGCAATCTCAAACAAAGACTGAATCTACCTCTGCGCCAACTACTGGTAGTACAAACGCTGGTGATTCCTCGGATCTAACACAAAGACTCATTGAGCTGCATATCTTGAAAAAACCGATTTCTAATTTGCCTCTTTCCAAAGAATTGAAAGTTTCTGCAATTGAGCCGCATGTATTGAAGGAAGTCAGACCTAGTATCAATAGTGGTTTTGCAGCAGCTCCAATTTTATGCACGCCTCCATTATCCAAACTTCCTACTGACTTGGGAATTGATTCTGACACCGGGGAAAACAGGGTTGTTTCTAAGAGAAAGTTAAGCGAGCTTGTGAAATCTGTTGGATTAGACGAAGGTGATGGAGAAACTTCTATTGATGGAGATGTCGAAGGGATCTTGCTTGATATCGCCGATGAATTTGTGAATAGTGTCACCAATTTTGCCTGTCTTCTAGCAAAGAGGAGAAAAGTTGATGCTGTTGACTCTAAAGATATTCAAATGCATTTAGAAAAGAACTGGAATATCAAGATTCCCGGCTATGCAAATGATGATATTAGAAATATTAGAAAATGGGCACCAACATCATCTTATATTCAAAAGATGAATGGTGTCGATGTATCACGATCAGTGGATAGACAAGCCAAGAGTTCATGAATTTTTTTTTTTTTTTTCACTGTTCAATTATCAAAATTTAGGGTAACGATTAATGAGGATGAATATTTTTTCTAGTTAAAACCAAATGTACGTAAGCGTTAAATGGAATCGATTAGTTAGAATGTTGAAATCAGAACTGTCTCAAGAATTAAAACCAAATTACGGCTTGGTGAGCTACAGATATAATGCAATGTTTCGAAAAATTAGTAAAATTTATAGTACAAATATTATTTATCACTGCGAATAATTTTCATCATTGCAAACCTTCTTCATTATCGAATACCTGCTTTCTCCAATCTCTCAATCTTCTCTTTTTAGAAACCTTTCTTCTGTCCTTTGCTACATGGTTAGGATCTCTGTATGGTGCCAACTTTTTCAAACCAATAAATTCATTCAAATCTTTATCATCGGCAAGCAAGATTTCTTTCTGGGTCAAACCAAATGTTTCTGGCTCAACTTGGATATATTTGAATTTAGGACCATCGTCATTCTCCTTTGATTCTTCATCATCCACCTCTTCCTCAACTTTCATTATATTGGATTGAACAATCTGTTCAGCTTGCTTCTTTAAGGATTCTTTGGATTTTTTAGCAGACTTCTTTTCCGCCAATTTTTCCTTCTTCGACTTCTTTTTTGGTGGGGCATCTTCTTCAACTTCTTCAGCTTCATCTTGTTGTTCTTCAGTATTAGCTTGTGTCTCTTCAGCTTCAGCTTCTTCATCTTCTTGATCATCATCATCGTCGTCATTCTTGTTTTTCTTCTCATCATAAAATTCTTGCATAATTTCATCATCGTCATCCCATTGCGGCTTCTCTTCAGCATTATAGTACTTTTCATCGAAAATTTGATTCATCTTATTATCCCACTCTCCATCGTCAAAGTCATCATTCAATAAACTTTCACCAAAGACCTTTTGAACCAATTCAGTGTCAACATCTTCACCAACGGCCTTCTTAATTTCCGCCAATCTATCCATGACTTTATTGATTTTATCTTGTTTCTTCTTTTTAAGGTTTTGCTCGTGCTTTTCTTTCTTTTCTTTAATCTTCTCCTGCTTCTTGACTCTTTGTTTCTTTCTGGAATTCATTTTCGATCTTCTCATTGTGGCTTGACTTCTGGCATACGAAATAATTTCCGCAGAAGTGGAATCCTCATATCTGAAGTTATACACTCTTTCAAAATTTTCAACTGCATCATCAAACTCTTCCTCGGCCCTAAGAGCATCCTGATCTTCAGTTCCCAAGTCCAAATTTTCGGTATCATTTTTCGATCTTGGAATCCAGGCATGTTGGTTCAAAAATTCTGATAAAAACTTTTCTTGATCTTCTTCAGGATTTGGCAATTGAGCTTCAACTATTGGTTCTCTCTTTCTTTCTTTCTTCTTAAGGAAATCATCATCGTCGTCGTCATCATCATCATCATCTCCATTGCTGTTATTTTCATTGCCCCCATCATCGCCAAATGCGTTTTTGATTTCCGAAAGCAATTGGTCTTTATCTTCCTTTTGTTGTTCTGCATAAGTCTTGAGACCTTCATCATTTTGTTCCTCATCATCGTCCGCAAGACCCCCGCCGTTCAATAAATTAATTCTATGATAATCGTGCAAATACATTGGACGGTTCTTTTCAGCAGTACCACTTTTTTCCAATTTCTTGACCGCTTCTTCAGGCTCATCGAAAAATTTCACATCTTTGTTCTTTAACAGCGAGTCATTAGACTTCAAGGCATCCAAAACTCGATTGATTTGGTTATCGGTTTCGTTATCCAATAAGTCCCCATATTCATCTTCTTCCTCACTACTGGAAGATTCATCATCGGAAGGTTCAGGCTCTTCGATTCTGGTTTTGGTTTCTTCTGGGGCATTCTCGTTTGAAATTTCCTTGTCTTGAGCTTCCTTAGCTCTCTTGGAAGCAGACTTCTTTCTAGGCATTGTATATTTAGTTCTTTTTCTGGAGAAATAGGTTTCCAAAAAACGGATTAGGTAAAAGTATTATAGCAAAAACTATGGGGTTTTATCAAATGACTTAGAAAATTTTTTCCTATATTAAAAAATACATTTATGCGAAAATCAGCTACTCATCGCATACCATCGCATAAAATCACATATTATAATTCGGTGAGCACTGCTAGCTAAGCTAGCTTACTTCGAAGTGGTTGTGTCCTTTTTAAATTTATTAAAAAAAAAAATGTCCCGGGTAACTATATAGTTGTAACTCAGAACATGTTGGGATACTATTATATTGAGCTTTCAAAGAATATCCCGATTTTTCTTTTGCAATTTTTTTCTCCAGATACTGTGTCAATACTCTTACAAAGCTCCTCATTCAAGGACTAGTTTGGGTTGAAAGTAGTTCATTTCATAAGATTATCTTCGGAAAAAAGAGGAGCTCTTTTGTTTAATCTCCAGAAAGGGTTTCCAGTCTCATTTTCATTAAACTCATCAAAACTAGTCTACCGATACTATGGTGCCTAGAAAATTCATACAAACAATTATACTTCATAGACTTGTCAGATGCCCGAATGGGGGTTGATGCCATTTACCATAGTATTTGATGAGCGATGATACAATAGGCATATGAAAAAAACAAAAAACAAAAAAATATACGGCAGTAAGTTTTAATAGATTATATTGACTTGAAACCTCTGGAAGAAAGAAAACACTTTAATGTTGGGGGAGCTGACCCACAGGAACGGCACCCTAGATGTATAAGCCGGGCAACTAACAAAAGGCGATTTGTACAAAAAGTGGCATATATCGAGAGATTATTGATTATATACAAAGCACAAAATCAATAGAGTTGGACAATACCAAGATCAAAGAAACTATGTCTTTGTCATCGTGGAAGCAATTTTCCTTTCTTCATTATTCTCCCATAAGGGATCCCAATTTCAACACGGAAACCCCTCTTTTCTCAGATCCTTCCATTAGTGCAATATGTTCTAGTGACAAATACATAATGTTTGCCATTGCGAGCTCAATCATCAAGATTGTGGATTTGGAGTTCAATCTCGTTTATCAATTTGTGGGATTTGAGCCCAATTTCACCATTTCTTACTTGAAACACTCTCAGGTCAATAATATGAATGTGATATGTGCCGTTGGTGAGTCGCTGGGGGTTCCTACGGTATTGAAACTTTGGAACTTGGATAAGTTGATGGAGTCTAATAATTCCAAGACCAACGATTATTCTCATCATTATTTGACATCGGTTAATGTTCAAAACGGCACCAATCAATTCCCATTATCGACCTTCGCAATATCCGATGATTTTTCAGTATCTGCGTTCGGATTCACCAATGGATCTACGATTTTGGTAAGAGGTAACCTTTTAAATGACAAAGGCGCCAGACAAAGAATAATTTATGAATCAAGTGGAGAGCCAATCACTGGGGCACATTTATTTTTAAGCAGTCCGACTTCTGGCTATTATTTGTATGTGTTAACCACATCCAAGATTTTACTATTTGACACCACTGGAAGAAACCAGAATACCCCATTAAATGTATTGGAGAACACTCATGGATCGAATTTGTTTTGCAATGATATTTTGTCTTCAAATAGTAACTTGATCAGCTGTGACTCAAATGGGAACTCCATTGATTTCTATAATTCCAAGTTTGGCAAAGTGAATTCCATAAAAACCTCCAAACAGTTCAATCAAAATAGACTTTTCAATTTCAATGACAAATATTTATTGATGGTTTCATCCATGGACAACAGTTTTACAAAATCCGTTATGAATGACAATATTGAAGATACCAGTAGTCCCGCGGGATCAATTTTCAAATTCAATCCATCAAGCACTAGTGGCGGCAATTCAGAATTCAAAACAACTAAAATAATGGTGATCGATTACACCCATAATTTCATCATTTTCAACTTGACAATCTCGCATAACATCACCAATGTCATCAATGTAGCGAATGATGGACTATATCTATTATCATCCAATGGGATTTTTTACAAACTACAAGAAAAGAGCATCAATGATAAAATTCAGATATTGATCCAGAGAGATTTGTACCCAATGGCTATTCAACTAGCCGAAGAAGAACTTGCGGTAAATAATCCTGCCAGTACTATCACAAAAAAGGATTTATTTTTAATCAAAAAGAAATACGGTGATTATTTATATGACAAAGGCGACTTCCAGGAATCTATTGGGCAATATATTGATTCGATTAATTTGAAAAATAACAGCTTCAATTTAAATGTGATATTAAAGTTCAAGAATAACGACAAGATCTTGTACTTAACAGAATACTTGGAGCACTTGTGTTTCAGCAATAAAGAGATTTTTGAGCGACATCTAATCAAGTATTCATCATCCGATGATTTGATCAATGAAGATTATTTGACATTGTTGTTATGCAATTATTGCAAATTGAAAGATATCGCCAAGTTTCAAAACTTCATTGATGAATTGGAGGCGGTGAAGCAGAAATACGCCGACAGCGATGAGGAGCAAAGTTTGCTCAATTATTCAAATTTGAACTTCAATCTTGATTTAATTATCAGTCTATTATTGAAAATTGATTTCAATAAGGTGGTCATTAATATTTCATTTATTTTTAAATATTATTCCATGATTTTGGATATTTTGATCAATAAGTTCCAAGATTTCAAAATGTGCATCATATTCCTTAGGTTTTTGAGAGTCAATGAAATTTTCAACTTACTACTAACGGAATCTACTCAAGGCAACTACATTAAAAGACTATTACATCATGTTCCAATTGAAACTACAAAGTTGTTGATTGATATTTTCACTGGTATTTACAGGCCAACAATCAGTGAAGAGTACATACACGAGCAATTCAATAATTTGAAAGATGGCGTGACCGAACATCATCACCAAAACTCATCACTGATCAATGATATTGGGAAGGATACTGATGACACTAATCTTGCGATTCAGAGTTACAATACTTTTGTGGATTACATTTCATCCACTGCAAACAATACCTTGACACTCATGAATTTTACTGATAGTTCGAGTATCAACAAAGAAGAGGACCAACAACCAACGTACCAACCACCAAAGCCCCGTCTCGTATTCATTTCATTTATTGATAACCCTAACGAGTTTGTGGTTTTCCTAGAAGCAATACTTGAGAATTATGATAAATTTGATCGGTTCAATACCAACGTGAAAGATAAGACTGATTTATTGATTACGTTGTTTGAAATGTATTTGAGCTTGGCAAATATGGAAAATAATAAACAAGAGTGGGAACAAAAGGCTATGCTGTTATACCAAAAACACAAGACATTGATGGATTACAATACAGTTTTGTTGCTTTGTCATTTGAATGATTTCTCAGATGAAGATTTGCTATTGAGTCTTGGAGGAGAGGTGGAGAACGAGGAAAATCAACTAGAAAATGACCAGCACACTGGAGAAGATCGAAGCTCAGAAGAGGCTAGAGAACTTAAAAATGAGCGCACAAAGTCCCGCGAGGAGAATTTGATTAGTTATAATTTTGACATGGAAAAACTACTTGACGAGATTGAAGACACTTTGCCTGATGATCATCCAACCTTGATCATCGATGAGGAATATACCGGTGAAAACCATCAAGTGTCTGCATCGAACAAAATTGAGTTATTGAGAAGCTCGTTGAATTCACAAAATATCGAGAAGTCAGTGGAGATTTTGAACAAATATGGCCCAGGGATTCCTGAAATGTATTCCATGACATTATTTTATGTGATAAAGAAAAATTCTGAGGAATTTTTAACCAAGAAGTTTGGAGTGAAGAATTTGATGTTGATTTTAATAAAGTTATTGAAGAGTAACGTGTTGTCAGTGATAGATTTGGTGAATATTGTTAGTTTGAATGATCTTGTGAAGTTCAAATATTTGAAGAACTTTTTGATGAATTACTTGGAATTTAAGACACTGGAGATTGAAAAGAATGATAAGTTGTTTGATTACTACTCCAAAGAAATTGAGACGAAGAAATCGGAGATCTCTAAGCTTCTAGTAGACCACAATGAAAGTGGAGATTCCAACGACCAAGAGAATGTTATTGTGGTTAATAATTTGAAATGTCATTTATGTGGATTGAATCTTGATTTCCCAATTGTTCACTTTTATTGCCAGCACTCTTATCATCAAAGATGCCTTAATGATTTTGAGTATGATTCGTATAATGAGGATTTGATTCCTCTGGGGCAATTAGCTGGCTCGGGGTCGAAAAATTCCACGAATTTCAAATGTCCAAAGTGCATTAGTGAAATGGAGGCGGTCAGTAACCTTAGAATGGCTCAAGATGAAATTGGGGAAAAAAATGATTTGTTCAGAATTGCGCTAGACGAATCCGAGGATAAGTTTAAGGTAATCAATGATTTCTTTGGGAGGGGAGCCATGGAACATAGTCGATTTATCATGGCTAATAATTCCGATGTATGATGTATTATTACTTGAAATTATTATGAATATTGTGATTATTATTAGTATTATTTTAATACAAAAACAAGCGTCGGAAGGTGTTATGAGAGTAAACTATATAGCTTGGCTATTGTTTTTTTATTGAATATAATATAATATAATAATGAAACAGTAATTAGTCCTGGATAGGACAATCTAATGAAGTATCCTCAAACGGTGTAGATAGATAGGGGTACCACAGAAGAGCATATTGGCACAAGTAACAACCAATATCCAGTTATATTAGCTTACCAATGAAGATGTGAATAATGGAACAATATAATCCACTCTCCCCGTGTTTTTTGACAGGGCAAGTTACTAACTAATTTGTGATTACAGGGATAATACCCAAGTACCCACAGATGTCATTGTTTCAATTTTTTTTTTTTTTTTTTTTTTTTTTTCCCCGTGTGAATGAAAACACTGAATGAACAACACGAAAAGGTAAATTTGACTGGAATGTAAAGTAAAAGAGAGGATAATGATGAAATATATCATATAAAATATAAATATATATATATATGTTTACATAAGAGTGGCTTGTACCGATGATTGATGACACAATCCACTGCGATGGCTCTCCCACGTGACCAAAAAAGTGGTGGTCCCAAAGGGCAGGAACGCCGAGATGACTCGGTGGTGGGTCGTCTTTACAGACCAGAGGATTGAACAATGTGTTGAGCTCTAAGCTGGGCGATCCACTAATACACCGTGGTAACTGGACCAATACCTCCACTAAACAATAATGGCTTTGCAAAGAGAGGCAGCCTAACGGCTGGGCATCGCCATATATATAAATGCCGGAGAATTCCCTGGTATGGATTGTGGCCCTCTCCCCCCGTTTAACCTTTGTTATTCGATATCAACGCCGCGCTCCAAGGATATTGTTTTAAAACTCGTCTTTATTCCAAATACCTCACTTTTTGTTATAAGACCATTGCCATTACTACTACACTATTGTTAAAATCAATTTGATTGTTTGCTATATTCTTTTCCTCTTTTTAAATATATATACATACAACAATGAGCGGCTACAAAGTTGACGGTGACGATTTACTCGTCTTTCAAACTCCTGCTGAAGCTTTGGCTAAACACAAGCCTGGCTTTCAAACCCCACAATCCACTGGGGGATCTAAAGCCAGTGGGTTTTATCAACCACAATACCCATTCCAAAATCGTTCTTCTTCATATTCCTCGCTTGGTTCCGCTTCGCCTTCTGGTTCTGAAGCAAGTTTTGAAAAATTGTCTCCTCAATCCACCACTTCAAACTACATGATGCAACAACAACATCAGCAATATCAGCAACATCAGCAACAACAACAACAACAACAACAACAACAGCAGCAGCCAAGAGTTCTCTCTCAAAAAGACCGTTTGAAACAATTCTTTGATTGTTGCGATTTCAACCATGATGGCCGTTTGGCAGAAGAAGAACTTAGCCATGCTCTTAGAAACTACGATCAAACCGAATTTAAAAGAAGCACAGCCAGAACCATGATCAAGTTATTCGACAAAGACCATTTCAACTCCGTTGATTTCGAAGATTTCTGCAATATTTGGAACTATTTGGCTAGATGGAGAACTGTGTTTGAAAAATGTGATAGAGATGGCAGCACTTTTATTAATCACCAGGAGTTTGCCAACGCTTTGAAAACATTTGGATTTGATTTGCCTCAAGAATCAATCAATCACATCTTCTTCACATTCTCTACTGTTCAAGTGAACCAACCGGCACTCATGAAGTTTGATAGCTTTATCGAAAGTATGGTTTGGATTATGAAAGTCACCGAAGTTTTCAAGAAGTATCCTTCTGTCGATGCCGGTGCTACAGCTGAAATCGGCTACTTCGACTTCATCGATGTTTTGTTGGCTTTTAAGGATTAGAATTGGCTTTTTGATTTTCATGGGTTTCTTTCTTTCTTTTTTTTTTTTGTTATGTTTCGCTTCGTGTAATATCTCTTTAGAATGTTTTTTATGTTTTTGTTTTTTTAATGCTTTTTACTTTTCTTTGCAATCGATTTTTTTTATATTTTGGATGTTTACTATTACATTACAATCTGCTATTTTGAATATTAATTTTCTCTATAAATTGTAAGAACGATTCTTCCTTTTTGGATTATATTATCTTAAACTGTTATCTCCCCCAAGTCCCTCCTAGAATTGATTTTTCCAACCAAGCCCCAAGATATGGCACTTCAGACAAAATAATTGCAGTTCATAGCCCCCTATCATACACGAAACTTTTTTTTTTTTTTTTCATTATTTTATTTAGAAACTCACTTTATATTTCCAATTTTGATGGAACCCTTCAACCAGGATTTCCCAGTCCGGGTGCTGCACCCGGCAAAAACCCCCAACATGCCTCAACTTACGCTACCAATTGATGGTAATTCCCATGTTGGTATGGGGTATCAAATGGATGTTATAACTCGCAATGTTTCTCATCTGAAATTCCATTTTGCTTCAGTTTCCTCAAAAAAAATAAAATAATAATAATAATAATAATAATAATAATATTAATAATATTAATAATATTAATAACACACAAAGAAGAAGCAGGACAAGAAAGAGGAGGATTATTTATTTATTTATTTATTTAATTGCTACACACATCATGCCTTATTCTGCCGTGTATCGTGCCGCAACAGATTATACTGCCAAATTCAACGATGAGCTTAGTCTTCAGAAAGATGATTTACTTTACTTGCTCGATCAAACCCATACTTCCAACTGGGAAATGAAAAAACGGACCTTAGGAACCAAAGTGGTCGAGCCAATCGGGCTTGTGCCCGTCGATTGCATTGTTGCTGCCGAATCTTTGGGGACCGCTATTGGGCTATACGATTACAAATCCAGAAACGCTGAAGAAATGTCATTTGCCAAAGAGGATGAGATGGAAGTTTATGATATGGAGGATGAGAATTGGATGCTAGTGAAGAACAATAATTTCTTTGGGTTCGCTCCCCGGAATTATGTGGAATACGAACCAAAACCAGTTGTGAAAACCGGTGGGTTGAGAAGAATCTTGAAGAAAAGAACCAAGAGCTCAAATTCTCCAAAGAAGGCTAAGAAGATTGTTACTGAAGATGGACCAAAGAAAGTGTCTACTAAAAAGGAGAAATCCCAAGAAAAGGAATCTAAAAGGGAGAAAAAGATAAAGAAGGACAAAAAAGTTAATTTCCAAATTGTTTCAAAAGATACCCAAGATATGAAAATGAATGAGGAAATCGAAAACTCTAAGGCCAATGAGCCAATCGAAGAAAAAGAGGAGGAAAATAATGATGAAACAGAAGAAGAAACAAAAGTGGATGATGAACAAGAAGAAGAAAAAAAAGAAGAAAAAGAAGAAGAAAAAGAAGAAGAAAAAGAAAATTCCAAGAACACTGCCAAGTGGAAAGTGTTTGAAATTGATGGCCGTAAGAAAAAAACCACAAATTTGATCATATCTAATGGTGAAATTACTATTGATTTTGTCGATCATCCCGAGCAATCTAAATCTTGGCCAGCTAAGAAATTGGCAGCGTTCTCTTCTGAAAAGAAGCACGTTTTCATCGATTTCAATGATCCAGTCGCCGCATTTGAATTGCGTACTGATACTAAAGAAGCCGCGGATGATATTCTTCAATTGCTCGGGGAAATATACGGTGCCATTCAAGACACCATTCTTGATGAAGTTAAAGCTGCTAGTAAAACCACTGGAGCCACATTCAAGACCGCTCAAGTCATTTATGATTTTGATGCAGAAACTTCTGAAGAACTTGCTTGTACCGAAGGTGAAATAGTTTATGTTGTCGATGACAGAAAATCCGATGATTGGTGGTTATGTGAAACCATTTCTAATGGGGCTCGTGGGGTGGTGGCTGCCAGTTATTTGCGAGTCGTTGGTGGGTACGGTGAAGAAACTAGAAAAATCTATGAAAAGGTCAAGAAGAACTATGGTCCTGATCCAAAAAAAGTTCGCTGTTGGAATGATTTGACCGGGGATCATAAAGTTGAGGCGCAATTTTTGGGATTGGTCGATGGCAAGGCTCAATTGCACAAGCAAACTGGGGTGAAGATCGCAATTAGTCTTCGGAAATTGAGTACCAAAGATATTGCCTATATTGAGCAAATCACCGGGGAAGATTTGGAAAAATATAAAAAGAATTCTAAACTTTCCAAGAAAAGAAAAGAAAAGAAGAAATCCGCCACTAAAAAAGTTTCCAATTTCAAAAGAGTGGTGGCGGAGACCGAATCTGATGATGAAGGAGATTTCTGGTTCAACTTATTCAGAGATGCCGGTATCGATGCTACTCAAAGTTCACGGTACACTGATATTTTCAACAAGGAAAAAATGAATAAAAATATGGTAAAAACCATTGATTCTGAGGCCTTGAGGGAGTTGAAGATGAAGGAAGGAGATATTATAAGAATTGTGAAGTTCTTGAATAAGAGGAAGCTTGGAAAAGGAAACAAAAACAATGTTGATATCATCAAAAAGACCACCACAAAAGAATCAGCACCACCACCAGTTCCAGAGAAACCGCATGTTGAAGATCCCAAAAAGGTTTCTATGGCCAAGGAAATGATTGAAGTGACGACCACCGCCATACCAGAAAAGAAGGAAATTCAACCAATATCGATCAACAAGAATTCATTTGCTAAACCTCAACCAATTTCGATATCGCAGTCTGAATCATCAAGCCCATACAAATCTTCTTATGAAAGTGAATACGAACTGGGTATGGAAAGTTCTTCTGAGAATACCTATTGCTATCGAACTCTTGACCCATTCAAAAGCGACACTCACAATATCATTTTACCAGAATACTCCATTCCAAAAACCCAAAATCCTGTTTCCAACAGAGAGCCAATTTCCACTAACAAATCTGCTCCTAGCTCATCGCCTTCTAAAGATACAGTTGTACAAAAGTCTGGTGCCACTATAGGGTTGAAGATTTCCAAGATTGTTCGATCAGAAAAAGAACCCAAGCTCAATGCTCCATTTATTCCACAAACCGGTTTTAGTTCAGACAGAGGTTCGGTTGCTCAAGCATTAGTGCACACTCCACCATTGATGGAACGAAAGGAGCATCACTTGACTTCCAGGATTCAAAAGGTCTTTTAGTTTTTCTTTTTATGTATTTTTAGGTCATTTCTACTTCATTTTTATTTCATTTCTTTGCTGCTTTTTTTATTTATCTTTGTATTGTTTATTGTCGATACTGTTGCCTGCGACAATCGATTATTATCATATACCCGTTTCAAAATTTTTATTCAAGATTCTCGCTTTATAATATTCTTTAATTCTATACAATGTTCACTTAACCTTGTTCTACTGTAGGAGCCAACAGCATACATATATATCTTCCATAACCAGTAATTAATCGTCTTGTAAAATGGTTATTTTCTAGCTGCAGGGATATCCGGAAATGGAAGTAGGTTGTGCCGAAGATAAGAAAAAACCTAAAAAAGTGAAAAATCGAGAGAGCCACCCACACACAGACACACCACCCCAATATAATACTCATATCTCCCATATACCCAGGAAATCACCTCTGGAATTATATTACTCAAAACATTTCAGGATGAACGAAAAAACTGGCCAGGATCTTCCTGCTCCAATTACTGCTACTGCTCCACCACCTAAACAAAGATCAAAGAAAACATTACTTGCCCATCTTCTTTTAGTATGCTCTACCCTTTATTTCATGAAGACATATTATTTCGACCAAAATTTACCATCTTACAGCTCTTCAATCCATAATTGTCACCATCATGATGAAGAGGTTATAGACTTTGCCGAAGCTCAAAAATCTTTATGCCCAATATCTCCAAAGATTGTTCCTGAGCAATATGACGAGTTTAAAGACACAGTTGATAAAATTCTTTTTGATCCTGATTTCCGTGTCAAATCTGCTGAGAAATTATCGGGAGCAGTGCAAATTCGTACTGAAGTCACTGATAAAACCAAGTTTTTACCACTTGACGACCCATCCTTTGCCCCATTTGTCGACTTCCACCATTATTTGAAGGAACAATTCCCCCTTGTCCATAAATCCATGACCAAGGAAGTGGTCAATGAATACGGTCTTGTTTTCACTTGGGATGGTGCTGATCCTTCATTAAAACCTTTATTATTGACCGCTCACCAGGACGTGGTGCCTGTCGAATGGGCCACCGAAGACCAATGGTCGCACCACCCATACTCTGGTCATTACGATGGCGAGTATGTTTGGGGAAGAGGGTCCTCTGATTGTAAAAACTTGCTTATTGGTTTAATGGAGTCGATGGAATTGTTGATTGAGACCGGGTATTCTCCAAAAAGAACCGTTATTCTCGCATTCGGATACGATGAGGAAGCCTCCGGAGTTATTGGTGCTAAGAAAATTAGTGAATTCTTATATGAAAGATACGGCAAAGACTCGATGTATGCCTTAATTGACGAAGGTAGTTCCGGGGTCATTGCCATGGAAGGTCAATATTTTGCTTCGTTGGCCACTGGGGAAAAAGGGTATTTGGACTCTATGATCACCTTGACCACCCCTGGCGGCCATTCTTCAGTTCCACCTGACCATACTTCTATTGGTATTATGAGTACTTTCATATCATTGATTGAAAAAACCCCATTCAAACCATCGCTTCCAAGTTATAATCCACTTTTGGGCATGATGCAATGTATTGCCAGTTATTCGGATGAAATGGCTCCAGCGCTTAGACAGACCATCTTAAATGCCGACCGTGATGAAACTGCCAATAAGAAACTTATTGAATATTTATCAAACGATAAGTTGACCAAGTACCTTATTTCCACTTCCCAGGCAGTTGATATCATACATGGCGGGATCAAGTCTAATGCCTTACCGGAATCTGTGTCGGTGGTCATCAATTCTAGAGTTAACGTTGATTCTTCAGTTAGTGAAACCCAAGATAAGATTGCTGGGAACTTGCTCTTGGTGGCCAATCGCTTTGATTTGGGAGTTGTTGTCAATGGAATCACGATTAAAGAACCAACTGCTAATGGGTTGTTCAATTACACCAGAAGCACTCCGTTGGAAGTGGCGCCAATCTCTCCGCACAGTGGTGAAATGTGGGATATCTATGTTGGATCGCTACGTCATGTGTATGAAGACTTGGTGTACGGGGAGCAATTGGAAGGTAAACCGGTTATTGCCACTCCTGGGATGAGCACCGGTAATACCGATACAAAATACTATTGGGATTTGACCAAGAATATCTACAGATACCAACCTGGAGCGCTTAGTGACAGTGTTAGTTTGGGTGGGATCCACAGCGTCAATGAGAATGTGTTGTTCCAAGGCCATTTGAACATTGTTGCATTTTACTACGAGTACATCAGAAATGTCGATTCATTTTCTTCTGAGCAATGATTGCAAAGTGTTGTGGCTTTACAATAAAAGCAGGAATAAGAATAGATTACAGAAGTGGTTTGTTGGGCAGTAGTTTTACTTCATATGAAGAGAGGGAAGCAGATATATAGCGGGCTTCCGGCAGGGTAATCGCAGTGGTAGTGACGTGTGCGGGTAACGCGATGGACCCGACTACGTAATGGGTGGTGAATATCCCATCGGTGCCACCCACAGATATTCCCAGGTCCCTATTATTATTAGTCATTATTATTAGTTGTTATTATTTGCTATTTCTCATTACTATGTACAGTTCTCATGGCTCTCCGTTCATGTGACGATTTTTGAAAACGATAGCAATCATTGCGTGGAAGGACATCACTCACTCCGTCTTTTTCTTTTTAAACGATCCAGAAATACCCACAAAAAAACCAAAACAAAACCTTCCTTACCCTTAAAAACTTTTGATTTCTCCCTTGTGTTCGTTCGCTCATCTCAACTTTTTATAAATCATAGATACCATTTCTCAAGATCTCCACGCAATAAATAAATAAATAAACAAATAGGATACAAAAAACAATTATCATGGGAAACCCCTCCAACATTTATTCTAGAGCTCCCAAGAGATACACCCCTCAGAGGCCCCTTGTGGATCCTCACAAGCGCCCAAACTTCCCCCTTTTCAGTAAATACCTCCATATTCTCAGGATCCGCCCAATAATCGAGCACTATATCGATATTCTCTCCTCTCTATATAAAGGCTACTTTCCTCACAGACAAGCAACCGATTGTCTCTTAACCTTTCTCAAAAGATTTGTGTTTTATGATGACCTTGTTTGCTTGTTTGATGGGTTTGACCTAATGCTACAAAGCGGTCTTGCTTACTTTATGCGCCAAAGACACCTTGACTTCCCGGGTTTAGAGAATGTTCTGCTTGTTAGATTGGGTCAAACTAAGATTCTAATTCCTGAACCTCGGAAAGCCCTAGAAATAGCAAGAAGAGCTCAAAACGTCAACAACCAAGAAATTTATATTTGCGCAAAGGCAGCAATGAGTGAAAGAGTTCAGCCACCACCTGAATCCCGAGTCCCTAATATCTACATACCTAGTTCTAAAGCTAACTCTGCCAATAATGCTGATAGTAACAATAATGATGTTGGGGTCACAAGCAATCGCAAGATTTGGTTCGAACCGATCCTCAATATCGTCGTTTATGATCAAAGCGCGCCACCTAACAGTGGACCAGATAGTCTATTAAATATTGAACAACAGGAATATTCTATGCATAAAGAACAAATTAAATTGAAGAAAAGAGAAGAATTCATGGAAGCTCAGTGGTTACGCAGAGGATCTCATAATAATATTTCCCAGAACATGGGGGGTAGAATCGAGGATACAATTCCATCCCCTAGCGAAAATCGTATATTTTTTACCTCCACTGGTGATAACAACAATAATAATAATATTCTTCGAGAAGATAACACTTTCTATGACGAGAATCAAAAAAATATTAAAAAAACTAGAAATATCAATACTAGTGAAAATAATCAAATTTATAGACCTACGGCAATAGTTGCAAATCATTAGGATTATTGTCCTGATCGGTCTGGGACACTAACTTATTAGCATTTAGGTTTTGGAAAGTTGTTACACCATCATCAAAGCAACACTTTGCTCTTAAAAAAAAAATGACCAGCAACTAGTTAAAGATTATGGAAGGTATTATTTTCCCATAAAATTAAAACCTCCGGACCATGGTAAAAACCTCCATTCGCGGCTCAATTAGCCAGGATACCAAATCTCTCTATTAAAGAATCACCGGCAAACATCGTAGTTTCTAACCAACGTGCTTCACCGAACGAGAAAACGGTAAGCGCACCGGGAGTTGATTTCTTAAAACTATACCAAATCTGTTCATCATTATTAATGAGAGCAAAACATTACAATCTCTGAAAAAAGAGAATTAAAAAACAAAACCCAAGGGGAGCATGTTAATCCACTGACGATGGTTCTATTGAAAGTACCAGTAATACCATTTTTTTTTTTGCTTGCTTGGGGTCAGGGTCAACTTTGAAGGTTACTTACTCAAGCAAGTGGTGATGGTGGGTGTGATATGAGTGCCGGTGGTGACCGGGTTATTAGAATCTCACCAACCTCATTTTACGTAAATTAGTGGTTTTTGGTCAATATTTTGATTTTATTTATTTTTATTTTTGTTTTTCGGTTTATTTAAGTACTACTTTGGCTTTTTATTTTAATTAAATGATGGTAATTCAGGAAATTAATTATTTTGTAGGTCACTCACACTTTTTGCCTTGTGGCAATTTGTAAGAAAGGTTTTCTAGCCACACAAATTCTTGGTGATATCCAAGGAAACTAATGAATTGGTCCTTCATACCAGTGAGATTATCCCAATAACCGTTGTAATTAACTGTTAATGTTTAATCTCACAAACTTGCATTGAAGATGTCTTGCATTAGTGATGCCTGTCCTACATTATTTACAGGCAGAGAACATAAAAAACATGAAAATATAATTCAAGTTACATTAACTTCTACCTTAATAAATTATCTGTAGAATTATTTCAATGAAAACTTCTAAAAATTTGATGTTGATCATCAAACCGCAGGAAAAACTGGCCCTGAAAAAAAAAAAGACCACAAAAAAAAAAAAAAAACAAAAAAACATAGATATAAAAAGTGTGTATGATACGTGCAGTGCAAGTGAAATACACTCGTATCCACCAACTAGCAGACACTAGTCATTGTATTATGAAGGTTTAACCGATAGTATGCCTCCCAATATAAAGAAGCCTTCATCTCCATTGTCAGCCAAGAAGAATATGGCTGTGAAAAAAGAAATTGGCAAGTTGACGTTAAGGCAAGCGAACATCGTTGAGGAACTTCGTGATAAAATAATTAGACAATTTTTCGAGAATGGGGTGGCGGCTCTCACAAAACAATATATTATGATAATGGCCAAGCATATGGGTACCAATGACTTGTTCTTCCATGGAGGAATAGCTGCAAAGACATTTTGTGCGTTCATGAAAACTTATGTCTATCTGGATGGGTATCCTTGTAAGAAATTCGAAACATTGATGCAAATATCATTTTCATTCTTCTTGGATCGGGCCTCTGCTGAAGATAAAAAGTTTTGGCCCCATTCTAGTGCGGTGCCTGTAGGGTTGTTAACAGCTATTGCCAATGATAACGGCGTTAAATTGAAAGACCCGACTCCCAGCCAGATTAAAACCATCAAGGATAAATGTCTGTCGCTAAACCCAGTGCAAATTGAGAAATTCATAGCAGAAAATTTGAATCTTTCTAAACGAAGACTGTCAAAACTTACAAGCTCTACCAGTCCTAAAAATGGAGATGTGAGACACGGCCCTTCTGCCCCAAGTTCTCCTTCCCAAACTCGTTTCAAACCCAATAGAGACTCTCCAAAAAATCTTGTGATTTTTAAAAGAGATGTTGCCAACTCATCAATGGAAATGACCAGAAGCGACACAGAGAAAGATATGTTCCCACATAGACATTCAATCCCAAAAATGACAAGAGAGGTCACTGACGAAACCGAAGATTTGTTTCCCAGCAAAACTGCACATTCACCCAGGGATAATAATAATGGAGACGATCTATTTCCAGGAAAATCTGGAACTGTTCGTCGATTTTCAACAGCACCAAGACCATATAGCAATGGTTCTGCTTTGGATAGCAATAGAACTCCCCAGTGGGAGACGCCCAGAGACAGAGAAACTCATCATCCAGATCGTCTCAACCCTAGACCTCCTCAAAGCCCTACTAGTGGGAACTCACTATATATGAACAGGAACTCCAGCTACAGGCCCCGTTTGTCAATAAAGACCGAAGAAGGGGACACTGGTCTAAAGCACTACAACAATAATAATAATAGTAATACCACTAACTTATCTCGGGGCCGAATTACACCTACCGCTATTAAGCGCCCTAAAACAGAACTAGGAGATTACTGGAGACCTTCTGAGAATGATCGAAATAAGAGACCAAAGAGCTCACCAAGTCTGTCAAACTTACCAAGTAGACCAGCGGCGCCTCATATACATGCCGCTCGAATGAAGATGATGGAGACAGAAGAAGAAGAAGAAAAAAAAAAACAGGGCCTAGAAGAACAACTCAAGGTGGTTAAGTACTCAGCAACAGGTACAAATGCTTGTGAGATAGTAGACAGAAAGCAGTTAACAAAACAGCCTGTGACCGAATCTACAAGCGGATTAGAAATTAAAGAAATCAATAATGATAATGTGTCTGATGATTCTGCAGATATTGAAGCATTGGAAGACTATAGTGATATAGACAGTCCAATTGAATTCGATGAAGATTTTAAAAGTAATGATTTTGAAAAGGATCAAAAAGCTGCTGATGACGACACCCCCGGCCACGACCGACCGGAACAAAATAACGGCAACCACCATGATTCCAATGGCAATACTGTCATCGTACCTCATAAACTTTTCGAAGATGCTGATCCTGTGATTTATAAAAGGGATGAAAGTCTTCCGACTAACGGAGAAAAAGATAATAAAAAAAAAGATAATAATAAAGAAAAAAGCACAAGTGATGAGGTTGACACTAGTTTGGTTGACTTTTTTGTCGATCATGTTCTTCAGATTAATGGTGAAAAAACCGGCTCCAATGAGAAAGATGTTCCGGTTGTGGAAGATGTGATTGGCAACCATGGAGTGGTTGATCTGGATATTTTATCTAATTATGACGAAATGGAAGCGGAAGTACGAGCTGGAACTGAAACTATCGTGATCCCTTCAAATGATGATATTACTGAAGTTAGACCAGAGCCGGTCAATAGCTCGTCTAAGAGTCAGTCAATTGATTTTGATGATGAGTTAGTGGACTACGATGATTTGATAGACTACGATGAATTGGTTGACTATGATGAGTCCAAAGGTGCTATACACCCCACCACTGCCACTAGCGCTGATATACCTACACCCCTATCAACGGAAGCACTGAGTGCTGATGAATTTGTCCTGTTAATCGAAGCTTCTCATTATAAAATGATCTCTACCACCTTGGATCTAGAAAAATTAGAACAAGCTTTGAACAGTAGAGCACCTCGCGTCGATGAACCTGATGCCGGTATTGATGGTGTCGATGAGGAGTTTGATATTTCTATGGATGATGGAATGGACAAAGATCCTATGCAGCTTCGAGTTGATCAAGAACTCGAAGATTTAATGGAATCATTTCAATTTATTGAAAAGCCAACAGCTATGGAAAACCAAGACCTTCAACAAATTAATGACGTTGCGCAAATTATTGATGTTATGGATGATGAAAAGAAAAAATCGGGAATTGAAGCTTTTATTAAATCAAAAGTTTTGCCACCGCAAATTCATATCAGAGGAAACAACCTTCAAGCAGTTAAAATGGCATTATTATCGGGAGCAAGTTTGACATATTTTATTAAAGCAATGTCTAATCTTGAACCTGCATTCAAGTTGGATCCGGTGATGCAAAGATTGTTGCAAGATTCTATGAAGCTTAAATTCGAGAATAAATACATCTATTATAGTCCTGTTTTCCATATGGTTAATTCGTTGATCCAAAATCTATATATTGTGGAATATCTTCGAAACAAAAAGTATAAGAAGGAAATATATTGTCAATCCAAAATTTTCCAAGAAGCATTCAACAAAGAGCAAGAAGGAATTTTGTACCTTTATATTGACATGTATACTGATGAAGTGCTCAACGAGATTCTGAATGATGGCACAAGTACCGGATCAATAATTTTTTACCAAGCTTTAAATATCCCAAGAGATGCCAAAGTATCGAACACTTTTAAAGTTTCAAGCTGCGTCACAGATAATCTTCTTGAGATGGTTCAGTTCTCTTTACTTGAAATTGAAATTATAAATAAGGTTATTATGGATGAAGTAATGAATATCGACGGTCATAAAGTGCAAATTGTTCCTTTGACCAATTCTAGTGATATTCCTGCCACCTCGCAATTATTTTCATTTAATAGGTATGATGGTGTTAGTCCTTGTCATATATGTGACAGTAAACGGCACAACGATGGGAGATTGTGCTATATGCCTTACAATGGCAAAGAGCGGTCTAATGTTGATGCTTTTGCCAATTCCCTACCATCATTGAGAAATTTTTTCAATGATAAGTTCCAAGTTGTTTACGATCCTTATATGATGAAAATAAGCTTATGCAGAACCTTGTTTAGCCTTTTTGATGTTGCTATGGATGATTATGCATCCTATTTGGGAAGGCCTTCTACTGACTCATTTAAAAAAGCCATTAATGATATTTCCAAGACTATTGAATCTCCATATGCCGCTGATTCTGGAATAGTCCATGATATTTTTCCGTTGCACGATCTTTCTGGTCCTGAATATAAAACTGCTATCAATCTTTTACCGGTGGTGGTTTATGATTCCGATAGGGTAGTGAATGATCATATGAAATTGCTTTTCATTTTGTTTTTTGAATTCATGTTGATCCTTGGAAAGCAAACCTACGATGAGAAAGAAGTTCTTTTCGTCAAATTGTTCCCAGACTTATACTATGAAATGTTGAAGAAACAATTTCCTTATACCGATGATCGTTATAAGAAATTCTATACCTTGCCCATGCATCAGTTATACCATATTTCAAAAATGGCTGAGATCTCTGGCCCCTTGGCTTGCTACTATAGTGAAGGTCTCCGAGATGAAGTTGATTTTGTGAAAAAATTGGCAAGATCTTCTAGATATTTGCCTGAACCTCTCAACTACAAGCTTGCATCTTACAATAATATGAAATATTATGAAATGATCAATTGGGCTCCAAAAGATGATATAGATATTGGACGCCGCCAAAACCATAGTCAGATTTATATAAAAAATCACGATGGCTCCATCAAGAACTGTTTTGCTTATCTTGAAGGGGAATTAGTCAAAATAGATCGTTTCTACACTAGAAAGAAGTACGGACAAACAGTCCACTATATCACCACCAAAGTGATAGCTAAGGGCAAGTATGAATTATCTCTAGGAACCACTGGCCAAATTTTATATGCAACCATCGATATGCTCGATCAGTACATTGCTGAAAAGAAAGATTTTGCAGTTAATGATATCAAAAACATCTTTTATAGTTGCAACTACTTTGAAATAGGTGATAAAAAGATGGTATTGATAAGGAGTGTTTGATGACACTTGCTATGTTGATAGATAATCCCTGTCATCCTTCAAGTGAGATATCATATTGCCCTCATGATAATCTTCATTTTCTTCTTTAGTATTAGACCCATTCGAATGTGGTTAATGAAACGTGGAGAGAGGGGTTTTGTTATTGAGTATATTTTTTAGAGTTCTTGAAGTATAACCTTTAAAAGGCAAAAAGTTTTATTAGTTGATGATGAATCAAAAATCTCTCAATTACGATCTATATAAAAATAATGAATTAATTGATATAATTATAATGATTACGATTTCCTCTATTTGGATTTTATTTTATATTTTATATTGTATTTTTTTTTTTTGAGTATGCTCATTTTCCCAGCAATGCGCGCCATCGCTACTAAAACTGGAAAAAAGTGATTTTCCCAAAAAAAAGCCAAACATTGAAGCTTGGTGGTAGCAGTGTTACCAGAAATCACGAAGACCATCAACATTTATCTGCAATTGAGCTATTCCTGATAAAGGGTAATATTAACTCATCATCTAAAATCAGTAACGCTGATTAGAACGGCTCGTTATATTCCCTAATTGATTTTTTTCATGCACATCAATAATGGATAAGAACAAGAGCAAAAGAGGTGGTAAAAACGGGAGAGGAGGTGGAACTAATAATACTCGAGGAGGTGGAAGAGGTAGTAGTGATGGGAGACCTGCAGGGGATCATAGTCAAAGAAATGGAAAATATGAGGATATATATCAACCTGGCAAATCGAGAGAGACCGCAGGAATGGGAAGAGACTTTGCATCAAGAGGAAGAGGCAATTTATCAAGAGGAGGAAGAGGAGGTTTGCCGAGAGGAAGGGGAGGATCACCGAGAGGAAGAGGTGGCAGAGGAGGGTCACCAAGAGGTGGAGGTACAAGTATGAGGCTGAGGTCACCACCACCAGGCTATTCTTCTCAACGCAATGCGTTTTCTTCATCAAAGCGAGGTGGCTCATCACCTTCAGGGTTCCCGGCTAGAGGACGAGGCGGAATAGGAGGTGCAAGAGGTTCTTCAGGTCAACGGCCCCTGGAATTTGGTGGTGGACGTCAATTCAGCGGCCCAAAATCAGAAAAGCAAGTTTATCATGCATTTTATGAGTACCTCGATTTGACACAACTTCGAAAAGTTTTAACTGATTATGTGAGCGCAGTAGAAGAAATCTTTGAAAAAAATCAGATTCGGTTCAATCAATCTAACGTCACAGAGAATTTCCAAAGTTATATCAATCAAGAGGTCTTCACTGGTGGGTTCCCATTTGAAGGGTTCAGAGAAATTCTTGCGCGGTTCTTATACAAGTCCATGTCAAAGCTGAAAAAGAAGAAAGTGTTTGACCATTTGGAAGAACCACTGGTGGATATAAAAAAAGTGAATATTGTCACCCCTCATGGCTTTGAGCTTCGAAATTTAATTCACAGAGTTTCAAATATAAGACCTGATCTAATTCGCAATTATGTTGCTAAAAGCTTTATCCAAAAACAAAAACCAGGTAGAGTTGCAATGGCTTCAAGGATGAGCATCAATAAAGACGTCTTTAGTCCATCAGAATTTGGAGGAGGTAAGGCTTCCAATAGGAAAAGATCATTGGCGTCCCTTGATACCGGGGATCATCTGCCCAATAGAGAAGGAGATATGTTTTCCGATCGATACCATATGCTGAATACACCAGCTGATCAAAGAAGGAAATCTCCTAGAATAGTGCCTGATGAGATCATTCATGATCCAATAAATATCAAACCACCAAAGAAGGTGGGATATCCTGTTATCAGCTTTGATGATTCTTTTTCGTTCTTGGTCAAAGAATTTGATTTCAAGCATGCTGAGGATACAAAACTTGAGGAGTTCTTTATTGCTCTACGGAAGCGAATCGAAATAATTAAGTCAGATACTGAGAAATTCAGGGTTAACCAAGATTTCCAAGGTGCATACTTTGGTAACTTAGAGCCGGATCCCGATTTTTCGAGCCATGACTTTGTCAAGCTCGACAGCACTGGATCTTACAGAGGATTCACTGAAACAGAAAGAGAAGATTTGTACGCGATTCCAAAAACCCTGAGAGAAAGTATAAACTTTGATGATGACGAAAACGCTAAGAAAAAAGTGTTTGAAGAATATTTCAAAGATGGGTATCTTGAGTCGCAACTCCAGATAGGAGATAAGAATCTTGAATCTATAAAAAAGGCATTATGTTTGGGTTCTAGCTTATACTGGACCTGCAAGAGCTTGTCTTTGTTCAATCCTAATTTCTGTTTTAGTCCGATAATGGGCTCTTTATTGAAAAATTCTTTCAGATTTACCAGTAGTAAGAATATCGTTACCTTCTATTCCCCTGTTGTGAACTTGGTTAGGTCGGTTTTGAAAAACTCAAATATTTTGAGGTATCTTGAAAGCAAGCAATATAGAAAAGAGTTTTATTTCAAATCTAAAATCTATCAAGAGGCTGTTTCTAAGGAATTTGAAGATACTATTTATCTTTATTTTAACATATATGCAAAAGAACTAAAAAGTGGGATGCCTGGTGCAAAAAACTGCTGTTTACTTCATTCTATCATCAATCTTCCACCCGAGGTGCGTATGTCTAGTAAATTCAAAATCGTGAATTGTGTCACTCAAAAGTTTAGAGAAATGTTGGACTTTAGCTTGTTGGAAATTGCCGTATTTAATGATCAAATGGAAAACAATTGGCTTATTGATGGTCAAAAAATCCGTCTAGTTCCAATTATCAGTACCAGTGACCAGACGACTCAAGATTTGATGTTCTCAACAACCAAGAAACAGTGCAAAATTTGCGATAGTTTTATTGATGGGGATATTTCTTGCACACCATATCCAAGTGATGAAGTTCAGGAATCCTCAGACTTTACTCCGACTACTTCAAAATTGAAAAATCATTTCACTAATAAATGGCAAGCTATCACTGATCCACTCGTTCTAAAGATCAATCAGTTCAATGTTCTTTTCAATTTTCTCCTGTCAGCATTAGATAATGAGGGTAAGAAATTGATCAATGATATTGCGAAGTCAATTGTGTGTCCCGTTGAGTATTTATATCCGGAAGATAGTACAAGACCTCGGAAGATCCTTGGCAATATTTTGCCTCCAACTAACTTAAAAGGGCAAGATTATGATCTTGCAATTGCTATTTTACCCATAATAGTGTTTGAATTGAAGGATTTGGTGAATGATGAAATCAAGGCGATTTTATTGATGTTTTTCGAGTTTCAAATGATTTTAAAAAAAGACCGTTATAGAAAGTCAGAGCGTCTTTACGTTTTGAATTTCCCACATATGTTTTTTGAAACACTACGAAAAGGTCTTCCTGCTAACAATCCTCAAAACAAAGGTTTTTACTCGACTTCGTTTCATACTTGTTATCATATTGCAGAACTAGTGCAATCTATTGGGCCATTAGCAGTTTACGAGGACCAAGGTGTTTATGAAGAAATCAATTTTGTCCACCAGTTGCTCATTTCAAGCCGCTTCTTGCCACAGGTATATAACTATAAATTGGCCACCTACAATAATTTAAAGCATCACGATATTATAAATTGGGAATCGCCCGCTAGCTCAGCCAAATTACTGAAAAGTTTCTTCGTTACCGCTGGAGAGCATTTATTGGAAATAAAAAACTATGAGACAGATGGTAAATTGACTGGCAATATCATTGATCCATCAAAATACACCCTTTTCAGTGGCTGCTCGTCAGATGAAAAAACCAAACAAATTTTGTACGCCACCATTGATTCTTCTCAGGAATACCATCTCAATCAAATAACCATTCTGTCAGCCGGAGTTGGTAGTGTTTTTTACAGTTCTGACTTTATTAAAAAGGATGCCGGGAAGTATGGTAATTATTTCAGCAGCACGCAAAAGTTAATGTTGATTAGATGTGTCTAGGTGATGAAATGTGGAACCCCCTTTATATAATGAAAAATAATGAACTCTAGAAAAGCATGTTAATAGTAACATTGTAAATTAAAAATAATTGTTCTTAATACTCGTAAAGTCCAAAAACAAAAAGTCACTTTAATCAATCTACTATGCTTCTGCGGGTTCATAACCTCCAAAAAAAAAAAAGGTGAAGCAATAACAAAGGAGTATCACCAAGATTTGAACAAACCAAAATAGATCAAAATCAGAAACCCTATATTTTGTTTTTTTCTGGTTGCTATTTCTTTGACTTATATTCTTCAAATCATACCATTTTTGCAGAAAAAAATATAGGTCAATTGAGAGATTAAAGTCATATTGAGTCCGTTTGAAAATTCAGTGGGTTAATTTTCAATTATCAGCGACCTATCTCAAATGTGTTACACAAATAACCAGCAAATAAGAAAACGCGTCCTATAATACTTTCTTTTAAGACGAAAGAAAAATAATCCATAATGTATGGGCGTCCATTAGGTGATTCCAGGCGGTCCAGAAACTCACTTCCAAGGCCTAGTTCGTCTCGGGAAGCCGCTCATCAGATACCACAAACCTTAGGAGAAATTACAAAGAAATTCAATGATTATCTTATTACGGTTGGGGTTCGAGAAAAATTGACTAGTTTTGTGACCGCGACAAGCAAATTTTTGAAAAGACGGAAACTCTTCTTTGTGCAAAATGACATAACCCAAACCTTTCATGAATTCCTACTGGAAAAGGTATATCATGACAGTACCAATGGCTTTCCATTCAAAGGTTTCACCAAGCTTATTGATCATGCAATTTACCTCTATATGGGACAAAGCAACTTCAAAGAAGTTTTTAAAAATAGAAAGCGTCCTAATACAGCTTATATTACCGATAATAATTGTCAAGTTATCTTCCCAGATGAAAAAGAAGCTGAAAAGCTACTAAGAATTACAAGAAAGATCACTTTGGGAGATATCCAGCGTTATATTGAAAAAAAATTACCAAGACATGCAGACCCTGATGCTAGTGATCACGACTCTGACATGTCTGAAAGCGAGCAATCTTTGGAAGAGCTCGAAGAAGAGTCAAATGGTTATGCGGATCATCAGGCAGCTGATAATGGCAGCTTGGAAGAACAAGAAAAAGGAAGTGGTTTTCGAAATTTGAATAATCTGTACCAAGAAATGGAATGGGAAAAACCAGCTACACCAATTCATAATGGCAGTAATTTCGGTCGGCATAATAATATGACAAATGGCATTGAAGATGTCGAGCAGGACGAAGACGATCCTATAAATGATGATTTTGAGTTTGGTGGTTATTCTGAAGAACCAGATAATGAAAGTTTCTCTGTTGCCGCTCCAAAGGAGTCAATAACCAACGCCGATGTGACCAGCAGTACCACTAATGAAACCAAAATGTCTGAAAAACTAGCTAAAGGTCACAGTATTTACGATTCAATCCACGAGTTAGCTAAAACTCTTAACAATAATGATCTTAGGTCTTTCCATATTAATGAAGTTATCATGGTCATTGATCAACTTAACGCGGAAAGTGATAGTGAGAACGAAGATATGGACTTTAATCTGGATGATGGGAGAGATGACGATCCACCGGAATATCGTCCGCGTCAGGCGCCAAAGGAACCAACAACGGTTTTAGGATATCACGATAAACTCACAAACTACGAAAAACATGATATTTCGTGTATTCCACTGGTTACTGACCTTATTCATCTCGATGGTGAAAATGACTCTAAGAAGGAAACCATCGAAAAATTGATCAAGATTTTTGATATTACCAAGCCAAGAATTGGTGGGCTGTATCTTGAGGCAGTTAAGACAGTTTTGCGAGGTGGTACGGGGGTTCAATCCTTTTTTGAATCGGTATCAATTTCTGAAAGTTTATTTAAACTTGATACGATAATGGGCTCGCTATTGGGTAACTCAATAAGATTGGAAAATATAAAAAGCCAAGTCACTTATTACTCGCCACTTTATAATGTTATTAACGCGTTGCTAGAGAATGAAAATATATTTGCTTACATTTCCAATAAGGAGTACCGGAACGAAGCCTATTCCAAGTCTTCGATATTCCAGGAAGCCTATGCGAAAGAGAACCAAGGGCTCACTTACATTTATGTCGACTTATATTGCGACCAAGTCAAAAATCTTTTAAAGGGTAATAACTCCAAGGGACATACTTGCCTTTTGTATCAAATCATCAATATTCCCCCAGAGGCTAGAGCGTCCAACATATTCAAGATTTCTAGCTGTGTCACCCAAAACATTCAGGAGGCTGTTGAATTTTCCCTTCAAGAAATTGAGGTTATTAACTCTCTTATTGGTGCTTTCAAGTTCAATAATGTACAGGTGGTTCCAATTATTAGCACCAGTGACATTCCTTCCAAGTCCATGCTTTTTTCCCTCAAATCTGCCAGTGCTAGAAAGCCTTGTGGGCTCTGTGACAATATGAGACTCACAGAGGATTCTGACTTGTTCTTTGATATCCAAGATATAACCAACGATTTATCATATAATGGAAGAGAAACTACTAACGAAGAAATATTTTTTAAGACTAGCCCCATGTTAAGAAATCATTTCTCGAATAAATGGCAACTTCCATTTGATCCATATATGACCAGGGTGAGCCAGTTTAAGACCATTTTCAGAATCATATATAGAGTATTACATTCAAAGGAAAGAGAGATTGTTAATGGCATTGCTAAAAGGATCGAATCTCCTTACCTTGAAGACGCTTTTAAAACAGAATTCCCCGAAGAAGACAGATCCAGAATCAGTGTTGATATTTTGCCTTATAGACTTTTACCAGGATTTGATTATGATAAAGCAATTAATGTTTTGCCTGTGCTAGTTTATGAAATGAGCGACTCTTTCGGAGATGATGTTAAATGGATGTTGATGCTCTTTTTTGAATATCAATACATCTTAAAAAAATATGAATACAGTGCCGAAGATCTCAAATTTCTCAAGGCATTCCCAGGAATTTTTTTCTCCTGTATGAGAAAACGATTTCCTCCAACAGAAGCTAAAAATCGATCATTCTACACGCTACCGCTCCATCAAATTCATCATATTCCGAAAATAGTGGAGGCTGTTGGTCCAATAGCTAATTTTGGAAGCCAGGGTCTCAGAAAAGAATTGAGTTATATCAAGCAAGTGGTAAAATCATCTCGTTATAATCCAGAGGCATATAACTATAAGTTGGCGATTTATAACAATTTGAGGTTCCAAGACATCAGAAGTTGGGTTCCAAAACCTGATATAGAATTGGGAGGTGATCGATATGGCGCCACGGAAATGCATTTTTCCAAAGCTTTTATCAGCAAGTTTCAATTGACCATTAAGTGTTGCTACGTTTCTATAGGCACTAAGCTAATAAAAATAAAGCGTTTCGGGGTTAGGGATGAGGGCAACAAAAGAGCCTATGCATTCAGAGGAAAAGTTATTCTTGATAGCAAACGGAAATTTTTCTATGGCACCACCAAGGAGATTTTGTATGCCAAGATCGATTTGATCGATGAATTCGTGGAGAGAACTGATGACTTCCTCGTCAAGGATATTGATCATATTTATTATGGATGTGATTATTTCAAAAAGGATGGTAAAATGGTTTTGATTAGATGTTCTTAGTATCTGTTTATTGTTTTCATGCTCTATTTATTCGCTAATTTATGTTGTTTGATGGTTAGAGATGAAGGTTTGTACCTGAAATTCCAGATACTAATTTCTTTAATGCTTGTAGTTGCTATTTTGATTCTAAGCTTGTGGTTACATATTATCAAGATTCAGATTCATACGTCTTCTCGTAGTAGTGTCAAATCTCGCAGTAATTTCAAGAAATAAGCGGGGGTGCTGCACCTTATATGGAGGGTAAACTCATCTTGCAGCAGAGAAGAAAAAAAAAAAATTTTTATTTCACAAGAATCTTAAGCCTAAGAGATGCTTCTTTTCTTTAAATTCAACATTATTATCTTCTAACCAAAAGCATATTAAACAAATTTCAAATATGGGTAGACGTGCCAAGAATAAACAAGCTCCACCACAACCTTTGGAGGACTTCCAAAATGAAAGAAAGAAGAAGGAAGAGAAGAAGTTAAAAAGACAAAGATCAGACTCTGTGAGTGAAGAGAAACCAAGTAACAAGAAAAAGACTAGTAAGAAAGATAAAATAAAGGAACCAAAAGAAGATAAGAAGTCCAAGAAATCAAAATCTACTAAAGTAAAGAAAGCCAAGGAGGATGTGAAAGAGGATAACTTACCAGAAGTTGATTTGGAAGCCCTTGCGTCTGCTAAGAAGTCTTTATTCGATGACGAATCTGACTTGGACAATGAAATCGATGAGTACAATGAAGATGATCTTAATAATGAATTCAACGTTGCCAGTGATGAAGACAGTGACGTTGAAGATGTTGAAGTTGAAGAACAAAAAGCAACATTGTTCAGTGATGAAGAAAACGACGAAGATATTGAAAACTTGAAAGAGTTGAATGAATTGAGTACACAAAAAGCGCTCTCAATGTCAGGTAAACCCGGTGCTGATAGTGATGACAGTGATGAAAGCGAAGATGATGATGAGAGTGACTTCGAGTCTGCCGAAGAGGAAGTGGTAGAAGAAAATCCAAGAGCCAAAGTTTTGCCAACTGAAGAAGAAAAAGCCAAAGAAATCATGGAAGGAGGTGGTAAGCCTGATGTTACCATTCTTCGTACAAGAATGATTGAACTCACCAAGGTTTTGGAAGATTTCGGTAATTTGGCCGAAGAAGGAAGATCGAGACAAGAATATGTGGACCAATTATTGGAAGATATTTGTAATTATTTCGGATACTCGCCTATGTTAGCTGAAAAGATGTTCAATTTGTTCAGTGTCAGTGAAGCTATGGAATTTTTTGAAGCCAACGAAATTTCAAGACCAATTACCATCCGTACCAATACCCTTAAAACCAGTCGTCGTGACTTGGCTCAAGCATTGGTCAACAAAGGTGTCAATTTACAGCCTATTGGTAAATGGACCAAGGTTGGTTTGCAAGTTTTTGACTCTCAAGTGCCAATTGGGGCTACTCCAGAATATTTATCCGGTCAATATATCTTACAAGCCGCTTCGTCTTTCTTGCCAGTCATGGCCCTCGGTCCTCAAGAAAATGAACGTGTCTTGGATATGGCTGCCGCTCCAGGTGGTAAGACTACTTACATTTCCGCAATGATGAAGAATACCGGTTGTGTTTTTGCCAATGATGCCAATAAGGCCAGAACCAAGTCTTTAATTGCTAATATCCACCGTTTGGGATGCAAGAATACCATTGTTTGTAATTACGATGCTAGAGAATTTCCAAAAGTGATGGGTGGTTTCGACAGAGTGCTATTAGATGCACCATGCTCAGGTACAGGGGTCGTTGCTAAAGATGAATCTGTGAAAACATCCAGAACTGAAAAGGATTTCATTCAAATTCCACATTTGCAAAAACAGCTACTTTTATCCGCCATTGATTCCGTAAATGCCAACTCAGAAACCGGTGGGGTCATTGTTTATTCTACCTGTTCTGTTGCTGTTGAAGAAAACGAAGCGGTTGTGGACTACGCATTGCGTAAGAGACCAAATGTGAAATTGGTCGACACCGGCTTGGCCATTGGTAAAGAAGGGTTCACCAGTTTCAGAGGAAAACATTTCAATCCAAAGGTGAAATTGACCAGAAGATTCTACCCACATGTTTATAACGTCGATGGTTTCTACGTTGCCAAATTCCAAAAGATTGCTACTAGTGTTCACGATGACAACAAGGCCAGTGCTGCTGAAAAGGAAGCTTTGGCTAGAGCCGACGAAGAAGAAGAAAGTCTTATCAAGGGAGATTTCGCCTCATTTGAAGCTGAAGAAGATCAAGGGTTCATTGAAAAGAACAAAAAGGTTCAGCTGGACAAGAGAGCAAGAAAGATCAGACCGAAGAAATAGAATCATTGAAGTTTATTTATTCACGTTATTGTATTCTAATTATTGTCTAATGTACATTTTTTTTTGTTTCGTTAAAAGAGATATTTTATACAAGTTGAAAGATTGTAACTTATCACAAAGAAGAAGGCGCGCATTTCATTTCATCACGTGTGAACGGGCCTCGGTTATTTTATAAAACACGCCAACTAGAGCTTTTAACTACCCATTGAGAACGTGGGGCAAATCACTATCCATAAACAATGTCAATTACTTACAGTATGTTGGCTATTTATTTATTCTAAGCATTAATCTTTGGAAGATACTTACTGACATTGTGTAAAGATTCCACTTGGGCTCCTTTGCCTTCCACAACCAGAGCTACTCCGGTTCACCTCTCCTATGATGTCAAATCAGACAGATTGGCGTATCCTAATGGCAAAGCCATTTATCTCCGTTCTATCTCCAATCCAGCGGAAGTATATCAATTCAATAATCACAACTATCAAACCACTGTTGCTAAGTTTGCTCCTTCTGGGTTTTATGTAGCTTCAGGTGATGAATCAGGTAATGTGAAAGTCTGGGATTGTGTGGGTGATGATCATATTGTTAAAGGTGACTATCCAGTGATCAATGGCCGTATCAATGATTTGGAATGGGATGCTGATTCGAAGAGAATCATTGCCGTTGGAAATGGTAAGGAAAGATTCGGTCATTGTTTCACTTTTGATTCAGGAAACACCGTCGGTGAGATTTCCGGTCATGGTGCTCAAATCAGTGCCGTCACCATCAAGCCAACCAGGCCTTTCCGTGCTGCCACCGTTGGTGAAGACGCTGCCTTAGTGTTCTTAAGCTCCCCACCTTACAAGTTTGTGTCTTCCGTTAGAAATAAACATACCAACTTTGTTCGTGACGTTGCTTACTCAAAAGACGGTAACTTCATTGTCTCCGTTGGGGCCGACAAAAAAATTGTTGTTTATGATGGTAAATCAGGCGAATATTTAAAGACCATCAGTGATCCACAATTGACTGGTGAATCTGCTCATGAAATGGGTGTATTTGGTGTTTCCTGGTCATTAGATAACCCAGAAGAATTTGTTACTTGTTCTACTGACTCTACTGTCAAATTATGGAATGTCACTTCTGGGGAATTATTGAAGGTTTGGATCTTACCAAAGAGTTTAGAAAATCAACATTTAGGTATTGTCTACACTAAAGATTATATTGTTAGTTTGACATACAATGGTAATTTGAATTATTTTACTAAGGAATCGGACCTCCCAGTCCAAGTGATTAAAGGTCATCAAAAATCAATTACCTCATTAACTGTTCTCGGAAACAGTGTTTTCACAGGGAGCTATGATGGTAGAATTTGTCAATGGGACGTTTCGAAAAAAACTGGAAGTGCCAGCTATATTTCTGGGAAGGGTCACACCAATCTAATCACCGATTTGGTCAGTGCTGGGGATTCAGTTATCACTAGTAGTTGGGATGATAAGGTTTTGAAGATTGACTCCAGTCTTGAATATGAGACGTCTAGTGAGTTCAAATTGGATTCCCAACCAAAGAGAGTTTCGTCTGTTAACTCTAAGGGGGTATATGGGGTAGTCACCAGCGACAGTGAATTGATTATTGTTGATTCCTCGTCTAACACCAAAGTTACCTCTAAGAAATTACCATTCGATGTATCAACCATTGATATCAACGATGAATATGTTATTATTGGTGATGATAGATCTTTCAACGTTCACTTTTTATCTGTCTCTGACTTATCTCCAGTTTCTAGTCATGCTTTGAAATTGAACTACAAACCAACATACATCAAAATCTCCCCAGATTCGCTCTATGTTGCAGTTGGTGACTCTTCTGGTAAAATAGTCCTCTACAACATCAAAGACAAAGCTATCCAAACATCCAGATGGGGATTGCATACCGCTATGGTCAACAGCATCTCATGGCGTAGTGACAGTAAATTTGTTGTTACTGGTTCTTTGGACACCAATATCATTATTTACTCTGTGGATAGACCTGTCAAAACCGTTAAAGCTTTGAACTGTCATAAGTTCGGTGTAAATTCTGCTGCATGGATTGATGACAATGAAATTGTGAGTGTTGGTGCTGATTCTGCTATCAAATTATGGGAAGTTAAAAATATCGTTTAGTTATAGATTTGGTGGTTAATTGCCCATCATGCACCAGTTCTTTTCGCATTTTGCTGCTTTATTTTCACTTTTTTTTTCTCTTTATTTCTAGAAGATATTCAGCATTTGTGAACAGAAATGAAAAAAAAAAAACTATTCTGTTAATATATATACCTATTATATACCAGCCTTTCTATTGAATTTTTCCTATAATACAAAAAAAATTGGTCTTAAATTGGGGCCTGAACCTTGTTCAACACATCTTCAACTACCAAATCGGCATTCCACTTGTTCATCATCATCTTTACCATGAGTAAATCACTTCCCCAATTCAAGGTTGGCTCATCTTCATAGTTACAAATATTTATCTTCAATGGAAAAAATTTTCGAGCTGCGAGTTTGACAATAACCGGAATAACATACTCATAATTGTTTACAATAGCCAAGCAGCGAACTAATAGCTCGAATTCCCATATAAACCTTGTTGGAATGCCATCGGTAACAATTCTATGATTTCTAATAAAAATCATGATATCAAGAATGTACCTTTTTATTTCCGGAATGAGGGACACAGCATCTATTCGTTCTCTTTTGCTAAGGGCATCTTCAATCGGACTCAGCCCATCGTAAGAGAGTAGCTCTGGTACAGTCAAATCTTCATTAATGATGGAATCCGAGGAGATTGAGGATACCTCAGAATCTGATGGATCAGAATTAAAGATATAATTGGCAGTTTGATAATTAATGGAATGTGGCTGACGAAACCAAAATTTCTCCTGAAGGTACTTATAAAGACATATTTCGTTTCCCTCAATACTCTCAATGATAGGTATTATTAGAAATGTATCCTTTAAATTAGATTTCCTTTTGGTTTCCACATTTCTTATTATTTCTAGTAGCGCCACTTGAAATTTGTCAGAGGTCCTTTCTAGACCCCTAATTATCAACACCGTTCGTACTGGTGCGTTTGTTGGGGCATCATCGATTACATCTTTAGTGTTAGATAATAGTCTCCCAGTGTCTTTCTCTAATGTCCTATTAATAAGAGACAAGCTTGTCTTTGAATCACATATCAAGCTTCTTAGCTCAGACTTTGGCTTGAACTTGAACAACTCATCATTGATGTGGATGAGTTCTCTTTCTGTGTAAACCGGGTCGGCGCTGGAAACTAGCAAGTGTCTATTTCCTATTAAGCATAACTGAAGAGCCATACAGAGATTGCCATCGTACCCCATTGCTCTATGTCGTTATAGCGTGCTCATCCCCTATAAATTATATCGTCTACTAGCTATTCTATCTGGGATTCTAACATTTTTTGTGTTCGCCTTTTTATGCACAAACATGCATCGATCAGTATGTATATGACCCTCCTCACTTTTCCTTATCATCACGTGCACATCTCATCCCCCATGATCTACGGGTGGCGCTGCTCTCCCCTCCTCAAAAAAGTATGGAAATTCTATTTCGTTTTCCCAATTATTAACATGCCGTAGCAAAAGTAAAGCTGGAGAAAATAGTTATATTTATCCTATTAAGTATCAATGCCTTTACCAACCCCCGACCCCCAAGGCAAATCATCAGTGTTTGTTAAGTTGCTTTATTACTCCAAAGAAGATGGTAAATTGCAATGCACTCGCAAGACTGTAAAAGTGTTGCGTTCTTATATCAATAGTGCCCAGTTCCAAGGTGTGATTCAAGATGTTTTAGGTATCAAATGTGATATTATCCTTAAGAGAAGATCTCGCCGTCACAGAGACTTTGTTAATCTTTCTTCTGACGCAGATTTTAAGGCACTCATGAGATCCTTGAAGGTGAAGAATTACATCAAGTTGGTTGTCATTGATAGTGACCATATAAAGCCATTTGAGTTGTCCGATGCTTTATTCAAGGACCCAGTTGATGGGGCCTCGTTTGCTGAAACAGCGTTTGATGAAAAATATTTTAGCAGTACTGAAACTTCCTCTGGTGAACAATCAAATGATGTTGACGCCAAAGTTTCCACCTCTGACGAATCCAAATCAGTTTCTGATGCCCCTGCTGCTACCTTGAGCTCCCCGGTTCTTGGTGATGATATTCTCAAGAAGGTGGTTTCTTTTCTTGGTGAAAACGGGCTTTTCAAGGATTTGAATACTAGCATTGACGACCTCAATAGAAATTTGATGGAGATTGTTGATTCTAAGAAAGCCAACAAAGAGTCCTCTGGTAATGTTTCCTGTAACAAAGCTGTGCATTATCGCATATATTGCGATGGTTGCGATTTTCACGGGGAAAATTGGATTGCTGGCAATCGTTATAAGTGTTTAATCTGTGATGACTATGATTTATGTGAAGCTTGTGAGAAAAAGGGTGTCGTTACCGGAAAACATTGCAACAACCATGTTATGGCCAAGATTATTGAGCCTGTTGGCAAGTTTACAAAGAAGGATTTTTCTGCTAAAGCACTTTCTAGAATGATTGATGGAAGAAACGGAGTTGCTGTGAGAGTGGAAACAAAAAACCCTTGTATTATCTCAAAACCTAATTGTAATGCTGGTAAACCTCACCCTGGTATTGTTTGTGATGGCTGCCACCCTCATGACTTTGGTACTGATCTTCGCGGAATTCGTTACAAGTGTTTGGAATGTTCTGACTACGACTTGTGTGAGAAGTGCGTGCTGAATGGCACCACAACATTGTCGCACTCTAACAAACATACAATGCTCAGAATTCCTGGTCCAAGTGGCACCTATCCTTTGATTAGACCACACTTTTCAGAGCTAACCAATGCATCTTCTTGCCGTCAGGCCAATGTTTCGCCAAGCATTATTGCTCATGCTTATTGTGATGCATGCAAGCAAGACAATAGATTTACTGAGGACATCAAAGGTCTTCGCTACAAGTGTTTGAGCTGCTCCAACTTTGATTTGTGCCAATCTTGTTATTCTAATAATGCCGAAGTTGGGTCACATTCCTGCAGCCATCCGATGGCTGCTGTTATGCCTGCTAAACAAATGCATTTTAGTAGTGTGTTTTCCAACTCGTGCAATGAACCTCCAGTGAAGGATTTGGAAAATGCATACTGTGACAGTTGCTCTGACAAAGACAGTGCCGTTTATATTGAAGGCTTGCGTTTCCATTGTAGAGATTGCTATAATTTTGATTTATGCAAAACATGTTATGATAAGAGAGTTTCTGTTAACTGCCATTCTCCAGAACACAATATGGTTGCTATGTTGCCTGCTGCAATGACTGATAAATTTGTCTTCCGCGATGGTTTAGAACCTACAGTCACTACTGATAAAGTTATTGACCTTGGTTTCAAAAGAGATTCTGATTTGGGCAGAAAAGTCGAGCAATTATTTGCTGGTGACAATGGATTAAAGAAGTTGGAAGAATTGATCGCCAAAGCTGAGAAGTTTGATCAATTGGCTGCATTATCTGAGAAGCAAGACCCTGAAGAAATTGTTGAGGAAATTAAACAAATGGTCACTAGTGCTGGCGAGACTCAGAAAGCTGTCAAGGAGTCGGATGAAGTTATGCAAGCTGCCAGTGTGCCAGAGCAACTTTTACAAACTGAAGAAAAAGAGGAAATTGAGCACGTTCAAGAAAAAGAGGACATTGAAGACGACGAGGCTAAAGAAAAAGAGGAAATCAAAGATGTTGACAATAACGATATATATGAAAGCAGCTCGTCAAACAGCACTTTGCTTCACAGTAAAGGCTCTTCATCTATTATTATTCTTCCAAAACTATTGAAGGAATCTTCCTCGTATTTACAAGAGGGTTCTGGATTTGTTACCCCTGTCACCCTTAGTCCTGCAGACTCTACTGATGCAGCTTCTGTGACCGACAATTTGGATGAAGATGATGGATATGTAATCAGTGCTGATCATGATGTTGTCAGTAGTGGGTGGGACTCTGAAGCTTCCTATTCTAATGACGACCTCGCCAATGAGTATGAAATTTTAGACTCTGACATTGAAATGTGAATTCATTGACTGGTTTCTGTTAGCCTCTTTTTTGTGTTGATGTGTCTCTTTATTTTTATTTTTTTTTCTCTCTCTCTCTATCTATCTATATTTAGCCTGTCTTATAGGTACTTTGCTTTCATGTAGCAGTGGTAATCTTTTTGATTTTATTTTTTTGTCATTCATGGTTGTTTTAGGAGGGTTTTTTGTTGACTTTTTCTGTGTGTTATTTTATTTTTTTATTTATTTTTTTAGCCTTTGTTATTTAGGCTTTATCTTTCTGGGGGGTTTTGATTATTTGGTTTTATATAGTGAATGAAATGAAATATAGCTAGTTTGTTGTTTGCTGTATATTAATATAATTATGGTAGTTTAGTGGTCTAAATGCAATGACAGTGCATATAGTAGGGTGGTTTTCTATCAACGCTCCTAACCAGTGGGCATCGAATCAAATTCGCCTTTTTTCTTCGTCCAAATTATTGCTGCTTCTCTCCCGCTTTATATTTTGCTTCTGTCTGTATTGCAACAATTAATATTACGCATCACCAGTCAACTCAATTGAACAAATATCAACAATGGTTTTCGCTTTAACCCGTCGTCTTGCCGTCTCCGGTGCTGCTAAGAGAGTCGTTGCCGCTCCATCTTTTGCCGTTAGATCCTACAGTGAAGGACATGTTGCCCCAGGTTCCAAGGCCTTCAGCGAAAAGGAAAAGGCCCAAGAAGACATGTACATCAAGGAACATGAAAGAGAACAATTGAAGAAATTGAAAGACAGCTTGGCCAAGATCAAGGAACAAACCGCCACTTTGGAAAGTGAAATCAGCAAAATTGAAAAGAACTAAAATATGAGGTAAAAAGTAATAACTGTTTTATCTTTTTTATTTTATCCCATTTTTATTTTTATTTTCGTTAGTTTGTTATGGTAAATGCACTGCTTTTTTTGATGCCAATTGGAAATATTGGTTTGTACTAGTTTGAGAGGAATTGAATTGAGCTGAGTTTTAATTAAAACCCCTAGTCTCTCTTTCCATATTTTGTTAATCCATTGGTTCCTTTCATCCACCTAGCCACAATTCAATATGAAATTTGGTGCTTATCTTGTTGTCATGTTTATCGCTCTTCTGTCATATCTCATTGGGCATTTTGTTGCAATTGATATGATTGAAGATGTACCAAATACTACTATTGTCCGAGGGTTTGTTTTATATATTCGTGAAATTATTACTAGCTAATGAGCTTGAGTTTTGAAAATATTACATTAAATAAGACCATTTTTGCACTAAGATTATTATTGTAGACGAGTAAAATGATCATTACTTGATTAGAAGATGCGATGATGATGATGTTGTTGTTGTTGTTGTTGTTGTTGCTGTTGATGATGATGATGAGTTCGTGGGGTGCCGATGCCGACATATCACAACAATAGCTGCAAATTTGCTATTATTGAAGCACAAAACATTGAGGAGAAATGATGTTGTATATATAAATACATTTATATATATATCTTATTATTATTTTTTGTTTTCACAATGTAAAGGTCTACATCTGACATATCCTAAACTACAAAGTCTTATAGAATCCCTCATCTTTGGCTTTTGGTATTGCTTGTCCTGGATGATAAGACATTGGGATATATTATCACGTTCCCGAAAGTTGGGGGGGAAAAAAACCAAAAAAAATTGTGTGTAACGGTGGCAAGCGCTATCGCCAACGCGTGCTAAAAAAAGTAACTCGGTCTATTAAAGAATGGACAGGCCAGGTTTTCAGTCTCATAAACCACGCCATAATCAAAAGCAATCACAACTGCTCCAGCAGTTCTTCTCGTCTGATCAATCGCAAGATGCACAAATAGAACACTTGGTTTATCGTTTGACTAATACTTCCCCATCACCGGGAATTGGTCGTCAACTACTTTCAAACATCGCTTACTATATTCCGATAATTAAAAATGAACCTCAATTGGTGTCCGTTATCTCAGGTTTAATCAATTCCCCTGTGTTTTTCACTCAGATTAATATAGCTCCAATAATGCCTGGAATTATAAATTTTCAAGAAGCTTACATGATTGTGGAAATCATTCAGCATGTCGTCGAGAGGAAAATTCTCGTTTCCTGCCCAACTATCTCATTGACAACATTCTATAATCTTATATTAACCACTATTAATGTCAAAGACAGAAGCCCGCAAAATATGTTGAAACAAACATTAATTCTAACGGGGATGTTGCTGGCAAGAGATACCCTTCAAGGATACCTCGACCCAGAACTGGCACTATTTTTCAATAAGTTCGATAAATTGGCACTTGAATCGTTGGTGGAGAATCTAAATTTCATAATGGCGTTGAATTCGGATGATCGACAAATCTATGAAGTTAAAGCATTGAGTTTACTATGCTTTGCAAATGTTTTCCCGGTTCTTGAGTCGGTCCCTTATGGCGATGGTCTTAAAAAGAGATCTTTAAGAGGACCAATTGCCATATTTGCCTTGAATTTGGTATATAACAGCTCTTTAGGGTTCAACGGTGGTGATGCGCTCAGAATATATAATGATGATAAAAATGCAGTACATTCATTATTATTACACCAACCAGTTTTGAGAATTTTTAACAAGATGTCACTTGTGGTGGATAGTGCATTATATGAATCTGGGGTCCAAAATGATTTTGAATCTTTGGGTATAAGTTTACAGATAATGTTGACGTTTAGTAAACGAATACATGACATTGCCTTTGAAAACTCCAGAAAGTTTAATGTTGAATTCATGGCTTCGTATTGGGATCTTTTGAAACAAATTGTGTTTTCAACGGTAATAATCTTCCAATCAGTGGTTAACTTGTCATTGGAGTCTCGTTGTTTGAGCCAGTCATCTTACCTGTTTTTTCCAAGATTTATCACCAACTGGTATCAAAAAGATATGGAACTTCAAAGAAGCCATTTTGCTGATTTTGCTGAAACAATATTGAAAACTCTATTCTACTATCATTTCATCATTGATAAAATTGGAACCGGAGGGTTTAGTGCTTATAAGGACATTTACTCCACCAGCATTGGAATAATTAATACGAGCACAATTGCCATGCCTGATGCTCCCCCATCATCAGCAGAATCATTAAGCGATTTCTTCATTTCTCAAATCCAATTCTCGGATTTAATCCGTGATCCTTCAGCTAGGTCTAAGGTTTTATTTTTGTTAGGATATTGGGAACTGCTTGTATCGATATGCACTTCTAAGTATTATGACAAGGTAATCAATCCGGTGGTGACAGAATTTCTAACTAAACCGTATCGTACCATCGATTTCCAAAATGTTGGTGGAACGAGATCTATTCTTGAGAATTGCCATTCTGTGAAACTCGCGAGTTTGAAGCTTGAAAAATTGGCAGAGTCCAATTGTAATTATGTGGTGGATTATATGGGGGTGGTACTCCACCAATTCCCAATAGTTTTAAGTTATAATCAATTGGTTGTGGCGACTAGTGAAATCGGAGGGTTGGTTCACGGGGACGGAACACTCGGAAGACATGATCCACAGCTCCAGGAAATCATATTGAATAAAATTTATGCCAGAATCTTGCATGAATCCCCAGGGCGGGCCATAATTGATGCTGTGAAACCCGAAGCTGGCAATATTGGAACAACTAGCAAAGAGATGCCACCGACCACTCGATCAGCAGTTATCACGGCATTTATTAGTACTGTTCCGTACATTGAAACGTCTGTGATGTTGTACTGGTTACAAAAATTGCACGTACAGATTGTCAAGTGCCAAGGAGGGGTAGAGCGAGAGTATTGCGAGAAAAAGCTTTGGGAGGTGATATCTAATGATCTTGGGTTGGTGAAAGCAGATGTTGCTATCACTTGGTGGTACAATTGCGTTATTGGCAGGAAATCACATATATAGAGGGATTGCTGTTTTATTAATATATAAGAAGCTGTAATTTGTATACTCAAAGTATATCCATAGTGAACCGAAAGCCCTCGGAAATCCTCAGTCTATCCACGTGACAGTTCTCGGTTCTCAGTTTTGACGTGCATCACGGAGATTGCTAGAAGGTTGCTGTGGGTCGGTGGGCGCTGCGAGATTCCAGAACCTTCTGGCAAATCACGTTGCCACACAGAACGTTCCTGAAGTTCCACACCCTACTAGAATATTCCATCCCACGGCCAATATCAATATATAAGCACCCCGGTGGCCCCCCTTCTTCTGTATATTGCTATTTTAAAATTCATATTTTACTCTTCATTACATTTTACATTTTTATTTATACTATTACACTTTACATTTCATTAGATTTTGTTATACTACTCCTAGTTAACTAATTACAATCACACACACACACAACAACAAACAACAATATTCCACAATGACACAAGCTATTGGTATTGATTTGGGTACTACCTACTCTGCCGTTGGTATTTACCAATCTGGGTCCGAAAGAGTTGAAATTCTCGCCAACTCGCAAGGTAACAGAACTACCCCATCTTTTGTGTCTTTTACCGACACCGAACGTCTCATTGGTGATTCCGCCAAGAATCAAGCTGCTATGAACCCAAAGAATACTGTGTTTGACGCTAAACGTTTGATTGGTAGAAAGTTTGATGACCCAGAAGTTCAAGGTGATATTAAGCATTTCCCATTCAAGGTTATCAACGATGGTGGTAAGCCAAAGATCCAAGTTGATTACAAGGGTGAAACCAAGGTGTTTACTCCAGAAGAAATTTCCAGTATGGTGTTGACCAGTATGAAGGAAACTGCCGAAGCCTTTTTGGGTGGGAAGGTCACTGATGCCGTTATTACCGTCCCAGCCTACTTCAACGATTCTCAAAGACAAGCCACCAAGGATGCCGGTTTGATTGCTGGTCTTAACGTCTTGCGTATTATTAACGAACCAACCGCTGCTGCCATTGCTTATGGTTTGGACAAGAAGGATGACGGTAAAGGTGAACACAATGTTTTGATCTTTGACTTGGGTGGTGGTACTTTTGATGTTTCTTTATTGTCTATTGACGAAGGTATTTTCGAAGTTAAGGCCACTGCTGGTGACACTCACTTGGGTGGTGAAGATTTCGATAACCGATTGGTCAACCACTTTATGCAAGAATTCAAGCGTAAAAACAAGAAGGATATGTCTTCCAACCAAAGAGCTTTGAGAAGATTGAGAACTGCTTGTGAAAGAGCTAAGAGAGCTTTGTCATCATCTACCCAAACTTCAGTTGAAATTGATTCTTTGTTTGAAGGTATTGACTTTTACACTTCCATCACCAGAGCCAGATTTGAAGAATTATGTGGTGACTTGTTCAGATCCACTTTGGACCCAGTTGAAAAAGTTTTGAAGGACTCCAAGATTGACAAGTCTCAAGTCCACGAAATTGTCCTCGTTGGTGGTTCTACTAGAATTCCAAAGGTTCAAAAATTGGTTTCTGATTACTTCAATGGTAAAGAATTGAACAGATCTATCAACCCAGATGAAGCCGTTGCCTACGGTGCTGCTGTCCAAGCTGCTATTTTGACTGGTGACACTTCTTCCAAGACTCAAGATTTGTTATTGTTGGATGTCACCCCATTATCCCTTGGTATTGAAACTGCTGGTGGTGTTATGACCAAGTTGATTCCAAGAAACTCCACTATTCCAACCAAGAAGTCTGAAACCTTCTCTACTTATGCTGACAACCAACCAGGTGTTTTAATTCAAGTGTTTGAAGGTGAAAGAGCCAAGACCAAGGACAACAACTTGTTGGGTAAGTTTGAATTATCTGGTATTCCACCTGCTCCAAGAGGGGTTCCACAAATTGAAGTTACTTTTGACATTGATGCTAATGGTATTTTGAATGTTTCTGCCCTTGAAAAGGGTACTGGTAAGACCAGCAAGATCACCATCACCAACGATAAGGGTAGATTGTCCAAAGAAGATATCGAAAGAATGGTTTCCGAAGCTGAAAAGTTCAAGGAAGAAGATGAAAAGGAAGCCGAACGTATTGGTGCTAAGAACGGTTTGGAATCATATGCTTATTCTTTGAAGAACACTATTGGTGAAGCCAATTTCAAGGAAAAGGTTGATGCTGCCGACTTGGAAACTTTGGAAAAGGCCATTGACGAAGCAATTTCTTGGTTAGATTCCAACACTACTGCTACTACTGAAGAATTCAAGGACAAGCAAAAGGAATTGGAAGGTGTTTCTAATCCAATTATGACCAAGTTCTATCAAGCTGGTGGTGCTCCAGGTGCCGCTCCAGGCGGTGCTCCAGGTGGTTTCCCAGGTGCCGCTCCAGGTGGTGCTGCTGAAGCTGAAGGTGCCGCCGGTCCAACCGTTGAAGAAGTTGATTAGTTTTCCTCACCTTCTTGAGATTTTGACAACATTTGAAATTATATATATTTGTTGATTTTTGTACTATACTTTACACATTATATTTTTTATAATAGGCTATATGATTATATTTTTTTTTTCAAAAATTAATGGATGATTTGTGAATAAAAAAAAAAAAAATTGTAGCTTCAATTGTACATTTGGAATAAGTACTTGAGTGATATTTATCTAAGTTATATCCGGAAGTCAGATACTAACATCAAAAACTCTCCTCATTTCATTAAATTTGCTGAGTTTTTAATTTGAATTGTTTATACCAGTAAATTACTCAAGAACTGTTGATAGACAAAAAAAAAAAAAGAAATATCTATATAGTTTACAAACATGTTAGAAACTCAACAACATAATATAGACAATAAATAGCAAATCAATAATCCGTAATGGAAAAATTCGGTCTAGCGAACGACAACAAACAAACATAACTTCATGGAACAGTAAATAAAGCACTCATTTGATGGTTTCAAGGTCATAGTCTTCTGGGAACAAGAAATCGCCATTACACAATTTCACTTCCATCAAATAATCGTTTTGGAAATCACCGTACAAAGTTTCTGAATCACCAACCATCTCCCTAGTGTAAGCGGCTTGTTCATCAGCAATAAAATTCTTTTTGAAGTTGAGGTTAGAATCCGCCAAGAGTTGGGCATGACAAGTGTTTTCCAACAACGTGAATCTGTAAGCGGCCTCATCGATAGTTTCTCCGGTGGTCAACAACCCATGGTTTTGCAAAATCACCACCTTATTTTGTTCACCCAACGCCTCGGCGATTTTCTCACCTTCTTCGGATTCCAACACCACCCCACCGAAATCGGTGTAAACTGCTTGACAGCCATGGAAAGTACAAGAGTCTTGGTTCAACATTTCAACGGGTTTACCAAAACATGACCAAGCTTTACCATAAATGGAATGGGTATGACAAGCAGCGTTGACATCAGGCCGGGCTTTGTGTAATGCCGAATGAATTTTGAACCCAGCAGCATTCACGGCAACTTGGTTGCCACCAATAACATTTCCTTCTTCATCGACTCTGACCATATCACTTGCTTTCAATAATCCAAAATGGATATTCAAAGGGTTGATCCAGAAAGTGTTTGGGTCTTCTGGGTCTCTCAAAGAGATGTGCCCCGCACCACCTTCGTTATAACCTTTACGAGCAAATACTCTAAAGGCGCCAGCCATATGTTCAAGCATCCATTTACGATGGTGGTACACCGAAGCAAAAGAGGTTGGCACTGGAAATGGTGTAGGGAAACCCTGACTAATGTTTTGAGCTCCTTGTTTGATTGGTGGTTTTTTGCTGTTATCTTGATTATTGCTGCTGCTGCTAGCGGTAGCGGTTATCTTGGTTTCGGTGGTTGTCTTGATCATCGTGAGCAGAGTCTTTTGGTTTTGTGTCGATGTAACAAAAGAAGTAAAAGGAACTTATGAGAAACTTTTCCTGGTAAAGCTCTGCTGAAGATTTTTCACCACAAGAACAGTGGTTGATAGTGAGTTTGGTCTGGTGTTTACCGCTAAAGGGATCCGTAAGCGATGGGGGGGGCCTGGGGCCCCTCTTTATGTTCACCAGATCCGGCAGTAATCAGGTTGCCCTCCCTCCCTTCCTGGTGGTATCCACCGATATTGTACAGACCAGCAGCGATTGGGGCAATCGTACTGTTTTAAACTATATGCCCATGGAGAATAATTGCACAGCAAAGTTGTTGTTATGTACAAGTGTTATCACCATCAGTGGAATCAATGAGAAAATGACATCATGAAATTCTGGCTGGTTTTCCTGTGAATGGAAAACCAGCCCTCCTCTAACAACAACAAAACCTCCCCATTTTTCTTCTCTAGTTTGATAGTATCTCTGTTCATTCAGTATCTGATGGACGTTTCAATATGAGCGCTACTGACCGGCGGAGCTTCTTGTTGGATGTGTGTGTTTGCTATTCAGCCCTACACTGTAACAGGGGGTAATACCCGGTGGAAATTGATCACGTGCAGTATCAGATCGCACGCCAAAAAAAAAAAAAAAAGTAAACAAATCCATAAGAAAGAAACCCCCATCAAAAAGTGTGCTTATATACTTGATACCCACATAAATATTGCCAATAATGGACGCAGTGCAGCTCCTAAATAGGAATGAACTACCCTTCATTCTCTCCTCTGCTTCGACTCCTCCCATTCTTACGCTGGATCATATCAAAGTTCAAGGCCCATCCCTCAATGGTGCCGATATGCAATTACAACAAGCACTCATACTCCAAGATTTGACATATGTGCTACTTGGTCTTGAAGGGTCCTATATCAGATACTCCAGCACATATGTCCAGGCATTGAAGGAGAAAAACTCAGAAAAGGGACTAGAGGCGCTTCTAAAAGGACCTGATTACAAATTATCCAAACATTTAAACCAGTCATTGAAGGATATCACCAAAGAGATCATAAAATTGGGGAGGTTTTATACAGCGCTAGGATTCTTCGTGAAAATTTATGACAATAACTATTTCGGACAGATTAATCAGTCGTTGGCAGGTTTCATTAGATCTACGCTTGATGAGTTCCGACTAAACTTAGAATTGATAATTGAAAAATTACTGGCAAGGTCTCCAGGAACACCGCAAATGGATGGGTTATCAGCGTACAATATCCTCCTATTAAGCAATGATTTAAAATCCCGAGGAACAGATCTCAAACTCAGAATTCTTTATGAAATTTGCCATATAATCTTTAAGGACTCAAAACGGAGATTGTTACATAGCAATGATTTCCAAAACTTCATTTCCGGTTTAAAGCTGGATTTCATTGCTGCCACACGAACCACAGAAACTTCGGCGGCGATGTTAGATCACGATAATTCAAGACTTAGAGGAAATAATGATCTATCAAAAAACGGTTCAAGCGGAGCCCTTGACCTTTCTACTGATACCTCGCAATTGTCGGTGTGTAAAGGTGGGGTGGTATTGAAAACTATCAGTCAACAGATAACGAAAAACCAGGGTAATCCAGAAATTGTCCAATTTTTGGGTAATCTATTTGATCACGTTTCCCAAAACTACTTACTGATGTTGAACAACTGGCTAGTAAATGGAATTATTGATGATCCGTTTGATGAGTTCATGATTAAACCCACTAGCAGTGAATCCTCAATCTTCAATTTTAGATCAGGGACAATATTAGATAATATCACTAAATCTTCAGGTTTGAATATTCCAGGAAATTCTAGCGCCAGTAGTGGCACCACTGGTCCATCACCGTGGGACTCGAAATTTTCGCTCAGGAGGGATGGTTTACCAAGACAATTTGAAGATTATTCACTTAGAAATAAGCTTTTGCTCACGGGAACTTACTTGAACATGGTAAAAGACTGCGGGATTCTCATTCCCTTTGTGGATATTTCTGCACATTCTTCAACCAACTCTTTCAGCTCGATAGTACCCACAGACACTCACTTTGTCCAATCACTCAGTGACATCAACTTACTAAATATCCAAGTTGAGCACTGGTATTACCGTGCAAACTACCAACTAATGTCCTTATTCTATCATGGTTATGATCTCCTTGGAATAATACAGGACTTAAGAAACTTGCTCTTTATTCATGGTAGATCTGCTGTTTCTTTCTCTTCGCTCATATCTCACAATATGCCAGCATTGAGAAGTCATTGTCGCAATGGACAATACCATTTACCGGAACTTCAAAGAGATTTTTACTATTACTATGAGGATACTTTATTGTTGAAATTTGGGGATTTGAAACTTGAATCAGTCTGTATATTTACTGAGCTTGAAGATATTCTTAATGTCAAACCGATAAATCCTGAAGGAATTTTCAATACATCATCCTACCAGGCACTAAAAAATATCGTTAATGAGTCTATTGGTCCTAGGGGCTCGAATGCTACTAACTCCGGCTCCAGCTCGAGTACAAATCATGTTTCGTTTGAAGATTACTTGATAAATTATTTGACATTTGATTTGACGCTACCTTCCCCATTGTCACTAATCATTGATCAGACGGAAATTGCGAAATTTCAAATTATTTTCCGTTGGCTTGCAGTTTCTTCCTATCTAATCAACTTATTGGAAGAGGCATACCTTGACCTTCAACATACAATGAGAGTGGCAAAAACAGAATTAAAAAGTGATCGCAAAACTATTGAAGCCTTAGCTAGGCTTTCGATTCTAAATTATAGATACTTGAACCTCCTTAGATCCATATACACCTCATCTCAACAAGTTATTGAGGAGCATTTTACCATTAGTTATAAAGGATTAGTGGATGGAACTCCGCAGGCCAGCTTCTTGAAATCTTCTGCTGGTGAAGATCACAGCCGTAGTGGACCGATAAACAGTACAATTTTCCAGCACCATTCGCAAGTTCCGCTTAGTAGCTACTCTCCTTCCCCAATGAATTCTTTTGTTAGCGGGGGATCTTCTCCCACTGTCCAGACATCATTTGAGCAAACAAAGCAGATTATTCAAGATATGTTGGACTCGATTCTTTTGTATTCTCGTCTAACAGATAACAACTATCTCAAGTTAGTGCGAGGGTATTTTAAAAGGGTGGTGAATTTCCGTAAATTTCTGAAAAGAATTATTAGTGAAATCACGTTGGATGATGACTTGGCAAGCGATCAAGGAAAATCAGTGAACAAGCGGTTCATTGGAGAATTTTCAAACTATTACAAGAAATTTTCTAATGAAATTAGTGGGTACGAAAAGAAGTTTAAGGAAACTAGGGAAAGCTTACCAAAATAAAAGGCTGGCGTTATAAATTGAATTTTTACTATTCCAAGTGGTCTTCTTCCACAATGCTTTACGTAAGATATATTTATACATATACTGTAAATAAGTTGCAAAAGTTAGACTATCAGCTGTTATTTCTTTTGCTTTTTTCTTACAGGTCTGCCTTTTTATAATATATTGGATCATTCTTAATGATTTCCAGTGATAGCGAAAAAGAAGTATGGTAACTTATGCAAAATTCTATACGGTTGACGTGAGATGTCTCAATTCTTAGTCACGGTAGCAAGAGGTGGTGGCTTCTGGAGGGTGTCTAAAGGAACACTCTTGAAAATCTGGCTTGATTCCGGATCACTAAATTTCATTGTTAGTTAAGATTTTCTTTTTTAACCGTTCCTAAAGACTTAGTCTAAAAAAAAAAAAAAAAAGAAAAAACGCACTCTAGATTCAAAAACCTGTTGAAAGACCAATCAACCAAAATTCTGAGGAGTTCAATACTGGTGAAATCCGGCCACAAGGTTCCGGTAAAATGAATGGTAGAATTTTCATTACATTGCCACAACAAATAATCGCTAAGTCTTGTGACCCCGCTGGTTCTGACCAACAAATCCACATGAGCGGAATCAGGACCATAATAAAAGCGATCCCTGACATAGTCACTGTCAATGACAGCAACGTTTTCGATATTACCATCGGATGCATCGCTGGTGATTTGTTGCAAAGAATAGCATATCTCATCTCTAGAAGTGTACGGGGCACAAATATTTAATATGCCGCTGGTTGAGAAGTTAGAAAAGTGTGCCTCGTAATTAAATGGTGCAAATTTAGATACATACCCTGTATAATGCTTCTTTTTTTCCTCAATTTCTTCCAAGTCTTTCAAAATATCTTCAGGAATCATTGACTTGTTTCCAATCACCCTGATTTTAATCTGGCCCATATCCAAAGCAGATCTTGTCTTGTTAGTAATTCAGGGTCCTTCCTACAGAACTGGAAAAAAAAAAAAAACTCCCTTCCAGATAGATAATTTATCTATCGCATCTACTCATTATTTTCTCTCAGGTACTACTTACTGATTATCATCGGAGGTAACGGTAGTCAACCTGTCCCTTAACAAATTAAACAAATTTTTCACTTCTTCTTCTGACCGATTGAAATTCTCAATTGAAAACGCATACACCGAAACCTCTTTGATTTTCAAATTATAACATGCAGTTAGAATCTGGAAAAACAGTTAGTAACAGTAATAATAATAATAATGACAAAAAAAATACTAGCGCCTGTTTTATACATGATAACACTACTCACTTTCACTAATCTGGCTGCTCCAACAGAATGTCCTCCTTCTACGGGAATTTTCTTATGTTTAGCAAATCTCCTATTACCATCCATGATAAATGCCACATGTTTCGGAAGCGGTCCAGTTCTAAGCGCTGCCAACAATATACTATTGACAAGATCGATGCAATGTCTAATCCCTGGAGCGTTTCTGATAAAACGACAAGTAAGCCCAAAATAAGCGTACAATGTTGTAAGAAACAAATGTCCAAAATATGAGAACATTTTGTTGCAATAGAGGCTGATCTTTTTAAGATGGAAGGAAAACACGCAAATAAATAAAAAAAAATGGAGAAACAAGAACAAAGGAAGAAGATTTGGGAAACAGTAATTTATACATAATTGGGAGTGCACTTAGTACATGTGTCAACATGAAAAATTACCTTGACATATTTGTTACCCGCTCTGAAATTTATGCCCAATGGAAAAAAGAAGTGGTCCCTGGCGGGATCGAACCGCCGATCTTGGCGTAACAATGCTTTTAAAGCTGTTATTAGCACCACGCCTTAACCAACTGGGCCAAGGGACCTTGTTGTACAACAGAAATATATTTCCGTGTCTATTGTGCTTCTTTAAATACGTTCCGCTCCATTGGTATATGTATTTTTAATTGTTGTTTATTTCATTTATTTCTCAAATAATTAGATTAATTTGTTTTTTATTTTGAAAAACTGGATTTTTTATTTACTATTACAGTTCTTTCCAGACGCTATCATGGTTATCTTTATGACTAGAATGTTTGTCTGGGAATATCTAGGGTATAATCCGACCTTTCTAGAGGCCATTACGGGAATCCAACGATTGGGCAGTCAGTTATACTAGATGATCGTCTATATTTATTCAGAAGTGTTAACCATCATTTATTATGTCAAATTTTTCAGTTTTGGAACAATATGACGGAGGAATATGGGACTTTCTACCGGCATTCATTACATAACCATTTCACAAAGGGTACCATTACATATTGATATTGATCTACTAATTACTTGATTATAAGGAGTGACAATAAGGGCTAAAAATAATAATATTTTTCAATATTACTTCAAACATCATATAAAATATTTAAACTATGATATAAAAGTTTTAGTTCACGCTGAGAACTACATGATACCTCTCGATACCACACCCCTGGACATGATGTAGTCGGCAAGTAGAACTTATACTACTTTCAATATTGATGAAAAAATGACTCTTAATATCTTATACATCTCCCTGTATCGGAGTATGTTATAGCTATGGGCATATAAAGATGAGTATATCTAAATGCATGATTATTATATCTATATGCATGATTGTTATATCTATATGCATGATATAATCATCAGTAGACAGAGCCTGGTAAATATGTAGGATTCCAAATATTATATATAAACTCAACGCGAGTAGCAATAGCAGAGTAATATTTTTTGTTTTACTATATTTATTATTCCAATATATCTAAACATCATGAAATTGTCTGCCGCTTTAAGATTGAGAAAAGATTACGTTGGTAATCTTGATAAGTTGCGAAGTAGAATAACTAGCAATTGTGTTGTCCAAGAAGGATCGGCTCCTGCTGAAGACCCCAATGTCTTGATTGAGAAGTATCTTCGACTATCTGAGATTTTAAAGTCATTAATCAGTGATATAAACTATACCAATTCCCAGATACGATTTAAATTCAATGGTTCCAAAGTACCGAGAACCATGACGGAAGCGTTAGCAGAAAGAGATGAACTTGAAAGAAACAGAAATGCGTTGCAATTGATGGCCAACAAAGGGGTGATTAGTCAAAGTATCTATACTAGAAAGGAAATCAAATCCGTATCATGTGTTGATGTTCATGCCATTCAAAAAAGAGTTAACAAAGTTGCTGCTCAGGGAAGAAGGCTAGAGGACGCAATAGAAGAACAGAACTGGATATGTGATTTGATTGCTACAGTAAACTATGACGATGACGATGATAATTAGGACTTTTGAATTCATTTTTATTTATTTATTTGAAGATTATATGAAGTTAATTATTCTGATGAAAGATCTGGTATCATTTTTTCGAAAAGGCGGACAGCACCCTCCTTATTGTTGACAATAAACTTAAGGTTACTTTTCACAATTCACAGCAGCATTTTTATCTTTTACATTTAGTTCCAGGCTGTCGATTTTCGAAAAAATGAGAGGGTGGGCTAGGGGGACTTTCACCATGAAAGTATATATATTATAAATGTACTATTTATTTTTTGGGATATTCGCTCTGTAGTATATTATATGTTTGACATTATTCCTGGCTTATGTTTTTCCCTCAGCATCTGTGCTTTATTTTCAACATTTCTTTTTTCTTTTTTGCTTCCATGTTTCTTAATGAAGAATTGAAGGTTAGAATTCTTCAATTCACCGATTATGACACATATGTGCTAATGCTTTAAGTTTTCTTGGTTTTGTTATTCAATCAATTAATTTCATTATTTTTTTTTTGTTATTTCTAATTAAAGTTACCATTGTATGTGATAGACAATTAAAAAATATTATGAAATAGATAAGTCAAATATGAAGTATATAGATGTAAGAGAATGAGAAGGTTAACCTTCCACACGCTCAGATATAACAAGAATAAAGCACATGGCCTTAAAAATATACGACAAGAAAATCAAAGCAAAGCAAAAAAGGATAAAAAGATAAGAGCTAATAGTAGGATTTCTCAAGATAGAGCAAATACATTATCCCATTTGTGAAAAGAGCCCAGTTATTAAAAGTGCGCTACAATTAAGTATAGGTTTACATGTCAATGTAAAAGCTGCATTTTTTTTTTTTTTCAATTTTTTTTATTTATATTATCTTATACAACCGAAGTAGCACTAGATAAAAATCCTTACCTTTTTGTATTATGACGGATTACATCTCTTTTCCGTCTCTTGAATCCCTTCATAAGCTCTACCCTATTGTCATTGAAATCTTTCTTCCAGTTAACAATAGATTCGTAATTGGAGTTATTCATTGGGTTATAAGAAATCAACTTGTTCAACTGCGTTTGTGCGACTAAGAACGGCGAATCAAAATGTGGGAAGAAAAGAGCTTTCAATTTAATTTGAGGTTCTACTTCAGTCTCCTGCTCCTCCACATCAGCAACAATAGAAGCTCTTGGAGCAATTTCTTCTTCTACTGGCTCGATATCTTCAATATCCGAATCAGCCAAGTTGAAAGCAAATCCACCAGCAGACTCTTCGTCCCTGGTCTCTTCATCTTTGTCGTCTTCAGGATTAAAGACTGATTTCAAAGTTTCAGTGGCGTTTGTGACAATTTCATTATCCATGTCTCTGTTGAACTTGAAATTAAATTCCTCGTCGTCTTCATCTTCATCTTCAAAATCATGCACCATATGACGAGTGTCCGCCTCATAATCGACCTTCTCACGGTTAGAAGCCAATTTTTCTTTCCTATCATCATCGTAATTGAAATCAATAGGTTTCTCAAAATTATATGAACTGAGAAAATCATCCAACACAGATTTTGTCTTTTTGATTTCTTGCTTTGTATGTTGGCTATCCACTAATAAAGCTGCATCATCCACTGTCTTCTCAAGATCCCCGATATTTCTCTTCTTTGCAAGCCGTTCAACAATATGGTTATTCCCATCTTTCCAAACCCCATTTTGATATTTGTACACCAAATCAACTCTATGCTTGTTTTTGTCATAACCCCACAACTTTTGCTTGTGATTTGCCTTTATAATTTTCTTCACATGTACCCATTTCTTGGTTTCATTGTCATATATCTTGAACTTCACACGGTATGTTATATCACTGATATTCAATTTTCTTCTACTGTTGTTCTTCACTCTAGGGGTCTTCCGTATAGCACCTTGCTCTACTAAAAAATAATCTCGAAGTCTCTTTGTCTTATCAAGCTGGCCTTGTTGGATATGTGATTTCAAAATGGCAGATTTTGCTTCACTGATATTATGCTCTTTTTCAGCTTTTGATTCCTCTTTTATGATTGAATCGAGCTGCTGGGCGTGAGTTTCGTTGAACGAAGGCTTGGCTTTCTGAATCACCAACATACTATTCATGAATTTCACTTTATGGAACGCAGCTGATAGCTTCTTGAACTGGTTTGGAGATATATTGATTTGCACAAACCCAAAGTAATTCACATCTTGAAATGTCTCTTTGCACTTTAGTTCAATTTCTGAGTTGAGCTTGCCAAATCTTTCAAGACGATCCACCAATGGTGTAAGATTATCTGAAAGCTGTTTTGAGATGTTCCCTATGTACAACCTTATAGTCTCTGCTTCATCTTCGCCTGCCATTATTTTTTCCTTTGTTTTTCCGTCAATAATATTGATAAACCGCATTTATTTGTCGCCTGTATTCTCTTTAGCACCTCATCCTACTAAAAAATTTTTTTTTCTTAAGCGTACGGGCTGCACAACCAATACATCAGTGACCCGAAGGGATGGTACAATCGCCAAAAAAATAATAATAATAATAATTGAAAATCCTTTTTTTTTTTTTTTTATTTTTTTTTTTGAATAGATTGATATCTTTCTATATTTCCAGAGGCTTTATGAAACTATAGTTTATACAGGACCTTAGGAATACATTGGTTGAATTGTCCGTATTCACAATCAATAATACAAAATTTTTTTGATCATCATCAATCAAGACTTATAAATAAAGCATCTTCACACAACAACGCGTCAACTACAGTTAGCTCAGAATGGCATCCGATGATTATTACGACATTGACAATATAATATCAGAGAATGAGGTGAGTATTGCAGCTACTACGAATCTAAATGTTTCCATTCTTACTAACCCATATAACGGAGAATTCCATGCAAATTCAATGTTCAGGTAGCCGGGTTGGGATATCTTGAAGAGACAGGAAATGCTGATGTACGTAACAATCAATTGTCATTTTATTATTACAAGCTTAAATTGAAACTTGAATATAATAATATTTACTAACCACTGGTGACAGATCAAAGAAAATACAAAACTTGAACTACCCGTATGGCTAGCAGGTATTTTATCCGGTATTCCAATAATGTCCGAGGAAGGTGAGGAAGTAAGACTTCTTGATTTGTTACCTCCTGATGCATTCAATAAAAAAATCATTAATTCAATTAAATCCAATAGTGTCAATCTTTCATTGCGCAGTGTGTTACCCAACTTTTACAGCCTTGCAGAACGTTGGTGTTTTTGGTTTGAGGATGCGGCGTTTGTGGAAATTATCCAGCAAATGTTAAAGGACAGAAGTGTGGTGATGAATGATTATTCTTTCAACTTAAATAGTACTAATAGCAGTAACAATGATGAAATTTCAAGATTTGTTCATAGTTTAGACAACTTGGAAAAAGAAATTTTCATGGTTTGTGTTGCGTCTCACAAGGATGCAAAACAGTGGCTTAACAGTTAGTTTTATTACCTTTGAACCTTTAATCAGAATTTATGAAGCCGGAACTTTATAGATTACCAATTACCAATTATACCAGGAAAAATATTAGATATAAATAGAACTTTTATTTTAATATTAAATTTAATACAATTATACATGTATAATACAACCACTTAAACGGAACTTTTCTTACCATTTAAAAGATGGTTTAAAATTTCACTTGAATGGCTATTGTTGGTAGTCGCTTGAGATTGTAACGATAACCCTGGAGGCGCATGGAATGATCCAGGAGTAACATTTCCAGGCTGTTGTATCTTTGCCGGTTGTTGCCCTGGAGTGGACGCCTCATTTGAAATGACAGACGATCTTGAATTCAAGAAATATTCATCAGCATTGGCGCGTCTAAGGATACTATCAACCAACTCAGCACTAGTAGCGAGGAAATCGATTTCTTCCAGTTGTCTTGGTACTTCTAAATGGTCAGGTGGGGCAAATGCAAACAAAGGAGGGAAATCATCAGGATCTTGGTTGAATATACTATGGAATAACCCTGATTTGAACTCGTAATTGATTTCATTTGAACTATGTGACTTGAGACTGGTTAAAGTGTCAGCCATGAACTGGGAAGAATTCATCTCATTAAGCACCAAATCATCAAAGTTTTCTTTCAATTTATCTTTAAGAGAGTTATCTTTGTTTCTTTCTTTGCGCTTTTCTTTGTGATTCATATGAGATAAACTTGAACTTGAATTACTGCGTTGTAAAGCAAGCTCTGCCAATGTTGGGAAAGCTGAAGCAAGAACGGGGTTTTTGGTCTTGTTCAAATCGCCAGCAATATTGGTTGATGATCCATTGTTTTTGGCCCAGGAGGCAGTAGCTGGCAATGCTGGCTTAAGTTCTTGGTGCTCAATACCATTGGTGAAGCCGTTGGTTGGTGTTCTACCAGATGCATTCATAGAATATCTGATAATTCCACCTTCATTATGTCGAGTAGGTTCTTGATGGTGAATCGTCTCATGTCTGTAAGAGTCTGCTTCCTCTCCCGGCTCATGCAAAAACATACAATTTGGATTTGGACAACTCATTCCTCTCAAGTATGAAGAACAGTACTTTGTGGTACCGTAAGCTGCCCTTATTACTTTACCATCCATAATTGACCCATCAACTTCTCTAATACATTTATCGGCATCTTCCTTTCTTGAAAAGGTAATATAGATACCATAGCCACTATTTCCCACGGAATTGGCATTTTGATTCCTCTTATTTACAACTACCTTCATAATTCTCCCAAATTGACCAAAATACCTATCAGATCTGAGCAAGCTTTGGAGATCATCAGGCGAGACAGTTGGATTTAATCCCACAATGTATACCAAATTCTTTTGAATCACTCTGACCCCTGCTAGATGCTTTCTGGATGCCATCTCATGCTCCTTTCTTTCCTTTTCCTTCTGCTTCTTGGATTTCTCCCTGCCAGCTTTTCTAGCGTTCTCTGCCTTTATTTCATCGGGAGTCAACTCAACGTACCTCACACTTTCATCGTCATATTTTCTTCGGCAAGCAGGGCATCTGCCGTTCAACTCTGGATTTTGACGAATGTTGTTATAACAGAATTGACAAATCTGGTACAAGCAAGGACATGGGAAAAACTTTTTATCGGAGATATCCATTTCTTCGATACAAAGAGGACAATAGTCCTCTTCATTACCGTAATCTTCTTCGTCATAATCGATATTCATGATCAGGTAAGCCCTTGTGTTGTGTTTGTTTGATGTGATTTGAGATATTTCAATAATGATTGATCTATCGTGCGTGTGATCCTCCAACGCCATTAGAAAATCTAAAGTGGTCGATCTTTCACTGATCACCCGGATGTTTATATCCGGGTAACATGATCCATCAGACGTGAAGCAATAAAGACCATGAGAATTCAATAGATCATCATTCATTTAATGAAAAAGGAATAGGAAATGAAAAACTGCTGTCGTCTTTTCAAGGCCTTTTTTTTTTTTCAATATCGTTTTGGAAAAATCAAGCGATGATCAGATCGTCCAACAGTGAAGTGTTTAGTAGGGCCTTTTTTGATGAGGATTTCACCAGTAACAGTAGTAAACCACAAAAGAATATGTACATTTAGATTTTTTAAAGGATAAGAAGAATTTTTTTTTCGCTTATTTTGCCTTTATTTCCCGTTATTTGCAAGAAATCTTTGATCCAAAATCATCAATTCATGCATGTTGGGCACGTAAAAACGAAAAAATTTTTTTTTTTTTTTTTTTTTTATTATTATTTCTGCAGATTTCAGGATTTCCTGCTTAATCTACAAACCCCTCTTAAACAAAGAAATGAATCTCCTTGGGAAGTATTTTTTGGTGCTACGGCCGGCCCGTAGACTTTTCCATACTTGCTCTTTTGTAAAGAATGCTAATACTTATTCCACTTTCCACCACCAGAAGCCCACAATTTATGCATTGTCAACAGCACCAGGCAAAGCAGCAGTAGCTATCATCAGGGTGTCAGGCCCGCAATCAGCATTTATTCTAAGTTCCTTGACCAATGGGAAAAAATTACCTAGTCCACGGGCATCCGCATTGCGTAAATTATATACTCCAGGAACTTCGTCCCAAAAATTGTTGGACCATGCTTTGGTGATCCTTTTCCAAGGCCCAAAATCGTTCACCGGTGAGGACTTGTTGGAATTACATTTGCACGGAGGTGTTGCCACCGTAAAATCAGTCTTATCAGCCATAAAGAGTCTAAATGATAATGAAAAAGGAAGGTTTATCAGATACGCGGAAAATGGTGAGTTCACCAAACGGGCGTTTCAAAATGGCAGACTCGATTTGACGGAAGCTGAAGGTATAAGAGATATGATTGATGCGGAGACAGAGTCTCAAAGAATGGTCGCAATTAACTCAATGGAAGGCTATAACAAGAAATTTTTCACCGGGTTAAGAAAAGAAATAGTCCATAATTCTGCAATGTTGTCGGCTTTAATTGATTTTGGGGATGATTATGAAGTTGACGAAGTTGACACTTTGATGAATAACGTTGCTAAAAAAATTGAATCAATACAAGGGGAATTGCTAGAATACTTGAAGAAAGCTGAAAAAACCCAGATATTACTAGATGGTGTTAAAACCGCGTTACTAGGTCCTACAAATGCTGGTAAATCTTCTTTGTTAAATCAGATTGCTAATAAAGATGCTGCTATTGTCAGCAATATCGCGGGGACCACTAGAGATATCATAAATTTCCCGCTAGATATCAATGGGTACAAGGTGATTGTTAGTGATACTGCGGGAATTAGATCCGCGGGCCAGACAAATGATATTATTGAAATTGAAGGGATCAAAAGGGCAAAGAAAAAGGCTTTAGAAAGCGACTTGATTTTGATAATTCTTCCTGCAGATTTGGATATTAAGCTTATTGAACCAGCTTTCATTGAATATGTGAAACAATTACAAAGTTCGTCTTTCAATAAACAGATAAAGTTGATTATAAACAAGACCGATTTGATCGATAATAAAGAAAAGTTACGAGAAAAGTATGCAGAAAGATTCAACTTATCTGAGGATTCAATAAAATTCATTTCTTGCTTAACAAGAGAGGGAATAGACGATTTGGTATCTGATTTGACGAAAAGTTTCAAACTCATTACAGAATCCGGGGATGCAGATCCTATAGGCCTATCTGAGCGGTCTCGTGATATAATCGCTAATGATATATTGTTTGGGTTCGAAGAATTTTTCAGAGCTAAAGATCAAGGGGATGTAGTTATGGCATCAGAAGCCTTGAACTTGTCTATTGAAGGGATTGGGAAGATTACTGGTGAAGCTGTTGGTGTTGAAGAAATTCTTGGGGTAATTTTTTCTACTTTCTGCATTGGTAAATAGGTAATTTTTAGTTGTATTTTAATGTTCTAGAAGTGCTTGTGAATATAGATTACTTTTTCATTCTCCTTGACTTGATTGCTAATTCTTTGGTCCACTCATCTAACTCTTTTGTGATCGCTTGCATATTATCGGTCTGGTTTTCAAGTTCCGTTAATTGGGAATTGATTTCCAGAAGTGCGGCATCTGGTTATTAGTAAAATGGACTGTTTTTTTTTTTTTTGAAAATAAATAGTTTATCAAAAATAGTCTAATACATACTAGAATCCCTGATTTCCTGGGAATCTTTGACCATACATTCTAATTTTTCCTGTAGCTTTACCAGTTTCAATGATTCGTTGGTATTTAACTGTTGAATCAAGTTGACATCATTAAGGAATTCTTCTGTGTCATTTTCAAACACTTTCTTCATCTCTTCTAATGAGTTTCTGATTAATTCTTTCGCAGTAACTTTCTTATTATTTGACATATTTGATATTTTTATGTTTGTCTCATTGCTAGTTGTGTAGCATAGCACTAACTACCTTCGCATTTTTTTTTTTTTTTTTTTTATTTTTATTTTTTCAAAACAAAACATAGCTTGCGATGAGCTTCCGTTAACATTAGGGTGGACATCTCATCAATCAACCATGCCAACAGTTAAAAGAGAGGATATTGTTTATCGTGACGTATGTATCTTTCAATTAATTAGTTCCAATTCTTTTCCTGCTAGTATTTTCTAACAATATATATGACAGAGATATGAGTTGAAGGAGGCCATTTTGTTCATGGTGGAGTTAACCGACGCCATGTATGAGCCAAGTGAAGAATTGCAAGGTGAAGCCCCGTTGAGGGAGATATTAAAAGCCATAAACGGTGTCATGGCTGATTTGGCTATTAGTTTGCCTACAACTGGTATTGGCTGTTATTTCTTCAATAGTAAGAACACCACAAAAGGTTGTAAAGATGGTATCTACCGGTATTTTTCCATGAAGCTGGTTAATGTTCAAGTGAACAAGAAGATCAATGATGATCTTAGTGACACAGACCCAGAAAATAAAGAGGGAGTGGAATTGAAGGAAAAATTCCCAATGATAAATTATTCTACACCTGCAGAGTTTGAGAAGAATAGAACCAGTCTTAACAATGTGTTGTATCAAATTAAATCTGAATTCATCTTCAAGACAGAAAATGCCAAAAGGTACAACTATAAAAAGGTTTTTTTCATCACCCACAATGATAAACCATATGATACAACTCTGCCTGATGCCGGCGATGTTAAAAAAAGTATCAAGGCCCTGCTTGATGATCTATATAATGCGAAGATCAACTTTGTGACATTTTTATTGAATAAAAGCCACACTGAGACTTTTGATAAAACCCAATATTCAGAGCTCATCTATTTAACCAGTGATAATTCATCAGTCAAATCTGAAGATCAACTTCGTGAAGACGGTGATTATTACGGGATTAATGTGGAAGCAATGTCAATTAAAGAAATTAATCAAAGAATCCACCGTCGTTCAGAAGTGAAAAGGGTCAATTTCAATTGCTTACTTGAGATCGGTAAAGACCTCATGATAGAGGTCAAAGGCTACTCGCTATTCAGTGAAGCAGAACCAAAGAAACCTAGTGTTGTCTATAACAAAGCCGAAGTTCCTAAAACTGTGTTGAGGGCCAGTAAATTCTTTACTGAAGGACTGGCGAAAGCCATTTCAGATTCCAAAGAAGACATCATCAGTGCTTATCAATTTGGTGATGACCTAATATACTTGAATAAGAAACAGATCTCGCAAATAAAGTGTTTGGATCAAGAAAATGGCGAAATCCGCCATGAGGGCAAATTAAGCATAATCGGGTTCCGGAGAATCTCAAAAACATTGAATTATCAATATAACATGGGAAAGTCTTCTTTTATTCATGTGGAAACGAAGGGGAATTATACCAACACTTTTAAAGTGTTTTCTTGTCTTTTCCAAAGCTGTTGTCAGATGGACCGCGCTGCAATTGTCTGGGGGGTCACCAGAAGAGATTCTTATCCAAATTTGTACGCCTTGGTACCAAGCACATACCAGGGCTTATCTGAGGGTTTTGTGTCAAACAAACATCTTCAAGGGTTTTTCCTTATTCCTTTACCTTATGAGGATAGTATTCGAGGTGTTCCCCCTTCTTTGAAACCGATAGCTATACCAGATGTGTTAACAGATAGTGCTACGAGATGGTTGAATAAATTTAAATTGAAGGATGGATACGTGCCTTCGAATTACTCCAATCCTTCATTGCAATGGCATTACAAAGTATTGAGAGATGAAGCTTTATTAGTTGACGTTCCCGAATATTTGGATGATAGGGTGGAAAATTTCAATGAGGAGCAAATGAAGGAATATATACGTTTTGATAAAAATTCAATCAAGTTGGAAAAATATCACAACGCTTCTATGAAACCTGATAGAGCCGAGGCTATTCAAGGTTTCAAGTCGATATTGGCAAAAATTTCTGATTAAGTTTTGGAGTACTGTTTTTTTTTTTTTTTTTCTGCTTTTTTTTTACTTCTTTTGTAATAGCTTATTTATATATTAAAACGAAGTAACTTATTAAATGATTATGATACCTTATTTTACTACTCATGAGGGCGGAATCCCCAATAATCCTGTTTGACTGGTACCGTACTGCTTCTTCCTTTATTTTGGGTGATACTTCCTATTTTGGATACTAAAGGGAAGTAAGTGACTTCTACTGCGAGCGGAAATCGTATAAATAGTGTTATGATATCTGGGAAACGTATAAATATTTGAATATATATTATTTATTAAAAAAAAAAAAAAATTAAATATCATCTTTCTCTTCATTTTGTTATTTCCTTGATATAATTTAATAGACGTGATATACCAATAGCCATATATCGATAATTGAAGAAAAATATAATGCGACCCTAGAGAAAAACCAGGAAAGAGCCAACTAACGCCCAAGTGTGAAGAATGTAATAATGACAAGAAGATAAAAAAATAAACATTATAGTTCATTTTTTTTTTTTTTTTTTTTTAAAAAAAAAAATCTTCTTTCCAATTCAATGGAGATGAACATATTAATATCCTTTTAACAAGACATCTGTAGACTTTGGCCGCAGTTATGGTATCCTTGATTTCAGTCTGGTGTTAGTTTATTATCGTTGTTATTTTGGTTCCTGAATTTTAGTATGTTACTCACCCAGTAGTTGGTAATGGTGAACTCTCAGGATCGTGAATTTCAATAAATAGAGCTTCTAATATAAGCCATAGACAAGTGGACCCCAACGTCTATGCGACCACCAAGAAAAACCGTTATCCGTGTTTTGGGTGAGCGTACCCTTGCGTGGGCATGCAGAAGTGTGATCCCACCGAGACATTGGGAATTGATTGAGGTGGAATTCATAAATATAAAAAGTACCATGCCTGCTTCAATTAATTTATTAGACCGTCAATTAATTGCTCTAGTTTTAAATGGCGAGTACTCTTGGGAATTTTAGGAAACACTTCAGCCGTATCTATAGTCGTTTCCCAATTTGCTTTATACTTCTGGTTCTCTTTTGAAGCCGTCAACATTATAATATCAACAGACAGCAAATTAATATAATGAGAAGACCCTTGATTTTGATAATTTCTCTCTGGCTCATTACTATTGCTTCTGCCTCTCTGTCGATTAGGACAGCGACAGCAGTTGTTGACCAATCAGAAATCACCACTGATTCTGAATATGTTGACATTTATGATTGTGGAACAGATTTTTCAGATATTACCAGCCCAGATCAGATTCCCAAAGCCAAATATGGGTGCCGCTATGCTGCTTGGGTTGGATACTATTTAAACCAAGGCCAGGCTGCATTAACAAACTTGACTTCTCTTATGAACGAATATTCAACCTACGAACAGAACTATAAGGCCTATATTGCGGCGATTCAAAGTAGTATTATGTCTGACTTTGGTGAGTGGTTAAACGAGAACGATCTTGGAAACTTGAATTACTATCAATGCACAGGTTCTAAGTACGTTTCTTCGTGTATCCATGAAAATCTTGTTGGCAGAGAACGTATTTGCACAAGTGGAACCTTGCTGAACTTGTATATTCCAGATTCCCAAAAAGCCGCGGCGGCTGCTAGTTTATCGACGTATTATAGCGCCACGATTAAGGCAAGTGATTTGACATTGATGGATAGTTCTACAACTTTCCAATTGGCTGATAACGCATTGGCGTGTAGGTTCACCGCCAAAAATATGACGTTACCTAGCGCAGGATTACTTGACAACGATCCAATCGCGAGTTTCACCTGGGACAACTTGACCAGCCTTGCGACTCTTTTGGCAACAGCCAAAGACTCCCTTGGAAAAGTTAGTCCTATTGATTTGATTGACTTCTTGACCCCAGTTCCAGTGTTCACCAACATGGCTCAAAGAGCGATGGATATCAATGCAAAGGGTGCCCAGCAAGTTGAAATAGAAAAGGAAGAACGAAAATTGGCGATTCTCAATATAATTTTCACTATTGTTGGAGTGGCGGCGATTTTTTTTGACGGGCCTGCAGCAGTTGCTCTTGATTCGGTATTAGCAGGTGTACAAGTTTTGGCAACCTGGTCAATTACTGGCGAAGTTCTGGCCGCAGATATTATATCTGCTATTGGTGGAGCATTGGGAGGTATTTTTTCTGCACTAAGAGTAGGACGTAACTTCGGCGAAGTGGTCAATACCTTTCGGTTTTCTTCCACCAGTGATTTGACCAAACAAATGCTTAAAATGCCGGACTATCAAGACTGTATACAAGCAGCTTATGGGGTGGCCATGTCAACTCTGTAAGTTCTATTTGAATAAATAGACAAGAGTGTGGCACAATTTTTTTTTTTATTTCATTTGTTGTTCTTTTTGGATGTTTTTTTCAGATAAGGGTATCAAGTCTATATTGGTAAGAATAAATCTGGTTAAGTTTTGGATGGTTTTTTCTGTCGGGGGTTTGGTTTAATTCTTTTTCAGTAGCTTATTTATATATTAAAACAAAACAACTTATTTAATGATTATGATATCTTATTTTACTGTTCATGAGGGTGGAATCACCAATAATTCTGTTTGGCCGGTACCGTACTGCTTGTTCCTTTATTTTGGATCATACTTCCTATTTCGGATACCAAAGGGAAGTAATCGTCACAGCGAGCGGAAATCGTATAAATAGTGTTATGATATCTGGGAAACGTATAAGAATATTTGAATTTATATTATTAATTTAAATAATCACGGAAAACCTAGATATTTGTTCTCTTTTCAAGAAATTCATTCATTCTACAATGGCCGATCCAAAAAGTACCAAGCATTTCTCGATGCTTAAGAGATTCGCGAACAAGCCGAGGATCTGCAACAATTCATTTTGGCATAATTTAGAACACTTTAGTGTGTTTGTTTATGAAAATCCTTCGAAAATATTAGCCAGGCACAGGAAGTTTTCTGTTAGAAATACTTGCAGCTGCTAGCTTGAGAAAATAATTGTGACAGCTGGTGTTTATTATTCCTCATCATGACGGAGGGAAGTAAATGTCACTTTCAATTCTTTCTCTCTGTTACTTTATTTATTTACTTGTTATAATTTATAATATTTAAATAGTATTTTTATTTTAATTTGATAAAGATATATTGATAATTGTAGAAAAATATAATACAACCCCAGAGGGACACTAGGAAGGAACCAGAATAAACGTGCAAGTGTGAAAATGTAATAATGGCGAGAAGATGCAAAAAATAAATATAATAATACAAAAAGATCGAAGGGGATAAAAGAAAAAAAAAAAAAAAAAAGCACAAAGTTAGGAGAATGAAACCAGCAGAAATTTCTCGCTGTATTACTCCTCATCATAAATATCGTTCAAAAGAAGAACATCGGTGTTTAAAGAAACACTGGCCTTACTTTGAGAAGTCAAAGAGACAAAATCAGCCTTGATTTGTAATTGATGATCCAACTTCACGCTGGAAGAAATAAATGAGGAAACTTCGTCTCTGATAATACAATCATATATGGAAGTATCGATGTCGTATTTATAATAAACACCATCCTTTCTTTTCATCCTTCTAAACTTGGTTAAATCAATAGTATAGTCCAAGTTAGATTTTCCAAGAAGACATTTGCGGTTCTGATTCTTGAAGATTTTTTTGCCACAACAAAAAGATACGACCGAAACCAAATCGATTCTCATTTCGGAGAGTCTTAACTTTTCTGGAAACACATTATTCTCATTGACCTCCTTCTTGTATAGTTTGGCGTATAATTCTTGGGCCGAATATTGGGATATCAAGCATAAGCTCACGGAGTCTTTCAAATCTTGAGGGACGTTGAGAACACCTTTAGCAAATTCATTGTCCAATACTTTTGAATGGGAAAAATCAATTGCCAACATAAATGGGCATTGAATATCCATGAACTCATTGAAAGTACTGGCGGTCTTTTTCTCTCGAGAACTAAATCTTTTGAAGGATATCATCTTTCGTTGCCGTTCAGATTGTGGGGATTCCGATACGTTAAACTTCCCATCAATGACCGAATTATATTTGAAATAAAAAGATGCTTCTGTGGAGCAATGTGGCAAACTTGAATTATGCAATAAACTGAAAGAACTGTATTGTGGTTGCGGTAGGAAATCAAATAAGTAGTTAGCATTCAACGTTGATTTGGAATGTTGTTTTGTGAGAATGGCATCAATAGAGTAATCGATCTTTGTACTGTCATTGCCATCGATGAACTTTACGCTTGGAGGTAAATTGAAGATTTTCTCAGACACTGATTGCCCCGGCAATGTGAATTTGAATGGGATTCTATGGGTCCCACTGGTGAAGGAATTTTCAACCACCAAGGCAATGGATTCTGTGAAAATATTTCGGTTTTCACACGTTAGAAAAGTTCCCTTATTATCCAATAATATTGTCGATGAAGCCACATTTAGAAACACCGTCAATGATTTGATGCTTATCTTTTGTCTAGTTTTCAAAGTTATTTGGCCGTGTAGGGTATCATTATTGGTGAAGAAGTTTCTATTTGGGGGAAGATTCACCTCCATGAACATTGAAGCGCTCTCCAAAAAGCTTAGCATGTTTTGTGGGACACGTTTTATTTGCTGTTATTATTATTATTATTATTATTACTATTTTCTCTTGGATAGAATTATCACATAGGAATCATGAAAAAAAAAAAAAAACGGAATATGGTCTAATTTTATCATTTATATAATTTTTTTTTTTCGAATGGCATTCTCAAATGCCGCCTGGGCATGTCAAGATTTTTTGGTGGAATGTGGGCCCAACCAACATGAGATGGGCGCAATTTGGAAAAAGAGGAACTATCTTAATCTGAAGGATATATATAACCAGAATATGCTACACTATTATAAATAGAAAAAAGAGAGGAAAGATAACACAAAAACAGATAATACTAATAATTGTGAGAATTAGTAACAACAAAAGAGCGAAAAAAAAAACAAACAAAAAAAAAACAGACTAATGTTCTTACATCCAGCTGAATAAAACGAAATCCAACGAGACTCTGTAATTAATTGATTTTGATTTAATTACTCACCCATAGATATCTTTAATTGATTCTTCTTTCTGATATTTCTTGAGCTTAAATTTGGTCTTAGTAATTTGAATAATACTTAGACTTTAACCAAAGACAGGAGCTAAGTTGACGAGTCTATAGATTGTGATATATCACATACGAAAAAGTAAATTCTTCCTCATGATAGCTTTCGAGACTTGGTAGTAGGAATTATATCTTCGAAAAATCTTTTTTTTTTTTCCTCTTTGGTGATGCCATGATGAGGTGATAATAAATTTCAGGTGATAAATTTGATGATGCATTTTTTTTTTTTAAGAAGCACGTGGAATGATGGATTCTTCTCAAAATGCTGATCACCGCAGCCCAATCTCCGAGGTATCTCAAGAAAGGGCAACGTAGCATTGGGCAAGCGGCTGTGTGTGTGTCACAATAATGGAATAGCAATTTTGCTCAAGTTTATTATGGTGATTCTATCTTCATATTGTGGGCCCACTAAAAGTAGACAGACGGATGGATAGATAAATCTGGATTTGACTACGAAAATTGAATGGCGATAATAATGATTTTGAAATAACAATAACAAATAACGATGGTAATAATGAAAATAAAATGACAGAGAAGAACTAAAAACCTCCAAATGTAAACACAAACAAAAACAAAAGCAAAAATGAATGAAAACATAGCACAGCACAAAAAAAAAAAAAAAAATGTAAGCAAAATCTTCTAGCAATTGAACTTTCTAACCAAAAACTAGTTTCACGAAAACAAACATATAACAATCGACACGATAGGGAAACTCAACCAGGAAAAAAAAAGCATTGAAATAAGTATCCTAAGCCAATATGACGATATCAGCGTTCATATTAAACTTTTTGTTTGTTTGACAACCAATCGAGCGTAAATCACCACTGACCTTCAATTGATACTCTCTTTCACCATTACAGAACTTGAAAGATGGGATATCAGATTCGATACGACAATTGAAAATATCAGGGTTCAATTCGTATTGGTAAGTGGTACGGCATTCTTTGGTGATTTTTTTGAATTGCAAGATGTCGATATCGTACAGTAATTTCCGCAAGTTTAAGAGCTCAACTTCTTCTTGCTCGACGCTGATATTGTTTGGGGTTTTACTTTTTGTAACCTTGGCCAACTTGATTACCAAAGATTCGAGACAAAGGTGACTCAATCCTTCTTTTTGCTCAGCCATATGGGTAGAAATGTCGTTGAATAGATTTGTTGGGGATAATGATGATGATAGAATAATTCTCATATGTTGGGACAAGTATCCTTGATGCTTCAACACCCCTCGTTCATGGAAATCTTTGTAAACGTCTTGATGGAAGATCAACGATATCGAGAGGGGAACTTCGTAATCATATTTTTCTTTGATACCGAGGAGCGTTCTCATTGTGTTCACTCCGTGGTTTGGCCCACTATTTACTGAAGTCTGCAAAGATGATGAGCTAGAGTTATAACTGGTCAAGGATTCGCTTCTGTATAGAGAATCTGTAGGGGATGACGACACCGAATTGGGTCTATTAATAGCAGGAGCATTTCTGAATTTAAAGCTCAGGTCAGCTGGGGATTTGGGTGGCAAGAACCCCAACACTCCTCCTGGTGCTGGAATGTGATTGTCCTTTGCTGGGGAAGATAATTTGAAAGTGTATTCAAGTGGGTTTTGTCTACTCGATTCGACAAGTTCGGGAGAGTGTGGAATTTTAAAAGCAGTGAACAACGAAGATGGGATGAATTCGATGGTTTGGAAGTCGATGATATTGTCTTTGACGCTTTTCCCTTCCAAGAAGGCTCTCACACCGTACCGGATATCAAGGTCAGACTTTAATCCACTGAACTTGTAAGATGGAGGAAGTCCTGCTTCATCATTGGAACTTCCCATATGACATTTTGAATGGCAGAGTAACTTTAGATCGTGGCCAGGGATACGGGTATTGAATTTGAAAGAGTAACTTCCTGTAGATAATTGTTTGCTGGCGATTAGGACCTCCTGGACTTTTAAAGAGTGGTGGGATTCTGCGACGTTGAAGGTGGATGTCCCTAATGCGTCTGGAGTGGAGGAGGTACAAATACCGTATAAGGTGACCTTCAAAGTGTCGATAGATATTGAATTGGGGACCTGGAGGGATACTGTTCCCGATATGATGTCGTTGTTGGTGTAGTAACTTCTGCCAGGAGGGGCGGATATCTGCAATTTGAGGGTGGTTTTCTTTTTACTGGAGAATAACATGGTATATTATTATTATTATTATTATTATTGTTGTTGTTGTTGTTGTTGTACTGGATGATTTCTCGAGACGGGAGAAACGTCATATGGGGGAGGGAGAAATAAAAAATAAGAAAACTGCTGAGCAATGCAGACATATATATATATATATATATTTATATATATAATATGCAATATATGCTGATAGACACTTGACCCAAGGAAAGCGTGTGCGGGTATTGCACAATGGCGATGGAGAACAATTGCAATATGCATGTTACCAACGACGGTGATTGTCGCTACTCTAAATTGGGTTGTTGCGCCGCTTTGTTTTTTTTTTTTCTTGCTTTCGAAGGTTATCGGTATATATGCCATAACTACTGGTCATTACGGTGTTTAATGTTTTGCCAATGTGTGTATTTGACATTATATAACGTTATGATTGCTATCTTTGTTGTTGTCATTGTTGTTGTCATTTTTGTATACATATGATGTGTGTACAGTGGGTTGTAACGGTTGTCTCGTTAGCACAAGAAGAAATGTTGTTATCATCTCTACTAACGAGGGTAATACGAATTTGATCTTCGTGGTGCCCACAGTATGCAGTGAAGCCATAATAGCAATCACTTAGGGATTGACAGCGCCAAAAAGGACTTCCGTGGAGGAGAAAACATGATAATAATCTGCTCATTTTACCCGATGTTTGATCGGCAGCTGACACGGCCAGTCCCTTTATCTCTCTCCGTAGCTCTCTATTTTATCTGTTTTTTGCCAGAAAAAATTCAAGTGCCACAGAGGTATGTTCTACATAGTAAGTACATTTATGTTGTTTGAGGGGGTTGTCTTGCTTGTCTTGTACCTCGGGTTACTATTTCATATATCACGGTACCTGGGTCCCTTAACGGTAAAATATTCCGAGAGATGGTTATATTACATATTGCTTGTATTGTTGTAGCAACGCATACTTTTTCTTCTATTCGTATTGAGAATGTAATAGGTCATCAAGGGGGGGGGGGGGAGAATAAATGAAAAAAAAAAAAAAAAAAGGCAGAAAAATTTTGTCGTATTCACCGGCAGTGCATAAATCAGCCTGGGTGGGTGAGTGGGCCAGTATCAACGATATCTCTCGAACTATTAATTGTCTGTTGCCGTTTGTGTTTGCAAAGGGCCCAACCATCTTTGATAAGAAAAAAAGTTTAAAATGCGCGTCCCCTTTCCGTTCCTGTTGCTGGTGAAAATTTTTCTTGCGAGCAGTGATGCTCGCCTGTTGTTGTTCAGATGATGGTTCTTGAATAGGAAATAATGCAATGCTTACACCTGTGTGCATTGTTGGGTGAACATAACAACACATACCCGACAATCAGCTCTACAACAACAGTGATGATGTTGGCGGAATAATAAATAAGAAGCCCCTCACATGATAAACACATGCATTTGCACCCTCCATTTCCCCTTTTCTGTCCCAGGGGTGTGAGACACTTTCCCCACCCCCGAAAGCCCGAAAGAAGAAGCCCGCCGAAGAAAAAACATCTGGCCAAACCAAACCAAACCAAAACCGCCCAGTTTGTTGTTATGTGAGGGAAGAACAGCATCACATCATCATCGATCGATCGGTCTCTCTTTACTTAGCGCCCTACCTTCATACCCCATCAATCCCTTTTTATCTCTTTTATTTTTTATCACTGGCTGGATCTGGTCATAAAAAGTATCAAAGAAACCTATACATTACAATTACAATAACCATGTCATCGTTACACCTCAGTTATCAAAAGACCAACAAACAGGTGGCTTTCGACACCGCCAATAAAGACGCCTTGCCACTAGGAATATCATCGGAAGATCTCACTGAACAGCTCGTCCAATTAAATGAATTGGCCCAGCAGTTGATCTCTTTCGATGGCGAAGCCCCAAAAAACGCCGAACCTACAAAAAACATCTCCATGGGCGTGAAAAAGTGTCATGAAGCTGGTCTTTCATGTCTCAAGACTGCGAAATTCGAAGAGGCCATCAAGCATTTCTCCGAAGGTATCAAGATCGCTACAAACAGAAACAAGTGGGAAAGTTTCCAGTTGACATTATTCGAGACACATTTGTGCTTGATGAACCGTGCTGATGCTTATTTGATGAGTGGGAAGTACCCAGAGGCATTGCAAGATACCGATTTATTGATTAAAACCATGAATGTCAACCCTGATAATTTCTACAGAAGATCTATCGCTCACTTGGAATTGGGTTTCTTGAATGAAGCAAAAGTAGATTTAGAAAGAGGGTTGGCGTTCCAACCAAACAATGAAAAATTGAAGAGACAATTGCTTGTGGTGATGGCGAAAATCTTCCAAGAAGATGGAGATCTCTAATCCTCAACTTTTCAGTTTGCAATTATTATCAATAAACGTATTTGGCTGTTTTCATTTATTTCCTCTGTATTAATTGTATGTATTAATTGTATCGATGTATCAGTGTATCAATGTTAATGATAATTTGACAGTCTGGGTGAAAGAAACACTACACAAAAAAAAAAAAAAAAACACAATGCCTCTGTATATTCCCAATAAGATAGTGCAAAAACTCTACCAGCTTTTGCTAAATTCATAAACCATCTATATTCAAGAGGAAATACACTATCACCTCTTTACACACACACATATATATATACACACACACACACGCACACACACACACATTTATTTTGCAGTTAGAATAAGAAATGTACTTTTATATTTTAGGAATTTTTCCCAATGCTACCCAACGATATTTTAACCATCTAAATAAATCTAGTGACTGTGCTCTTCATGACCAAAGACTGGGTATCCAAATACCTTACGACGGCCAATAATTTCACCCAAAGAAAACAAACCAAAAAGTTGGACACCAATAGCACCATATTTTACAACACATTCTTTGGTGATTTTGAAACTCTTGGACAAATCCAAAACCTTTTGTGGGTTCTTGACATATTGTAAAGCTTGGGCGTACAAGCTCTTGTAAACGGTTTCGAAGTCCTTGACCTTTGGTGGAGCCAAACCTTCCTTGACATATACTTGTTTACCGAGTTCAGCAACAACCTTACCCCAGAAGACAGTTTGGTTGATAAGAACTAATTAAAGAGGGTTAGTAAATACCACTAGAATAAAGTAAATGAAAACAAAAATAAAAATAAAAATAAAAAAAACCATGTAATCACAATCCCTTAAAACATACATGAAACCTTGGAAGACAAACCAGAAGCAGTGGATTGCACTTTGGAGGTAGAATTGAAACGAACACCTTGGAAAGCGGTTCTTTGGAATCTGACTAAACTGCGACCGAACAACATTATTAAATTCTTCTTTTTTTTTCACTTTTGCTGAGAGGTTATCCTTTTGAATTCACAAGATTTACTTTCAAAAAATACAGTCTCTGTTTGTTCATTTTCACTCACTGACTTTTTTTTTCTTTCTTTCTTTCTGTCCTGAGAATTCTCACCGCTTCTCGGCCGGGTACCGCCACTACCGACCAATAATATGCAGCACTTTTATTTGGGCTCACCCAATGGGCAGTATAACCTATTTTTCTTTTCATGACACGAGAAATAATGGTACCTAAGGGTCTAATTAATGTACGTGAAATGACTATTCTGAGGAACCTTTCTCTCCCCATCACCGTTGATGTTTGATACCATGGTGAGAAACACAAACAGCGAAAATATAAAACAAAAAGCAAACGCATGCACGGCCGCTACCATGCAGGTTTACTACATCCTCTAACTGACAGATCAATTGGGTGTATTTGACGTATCAATTACCAAGAAAGTATATAAATACTGGAAATATACATCCCAGTTACTCCATTTTATATTAAAGTTTTATTGATTCTTTATAGTTAGAAAAAAAAAAAAACAGCAAAGCCCTCTTGTTCCTTTTCTTTCATATTCATCTATAGTCTCTTTCCATTTTAAAATGAATCCTTTTACCCTCTCCCTCGTTCTGCTTTTGACTTCTGTGGCTATGGGTAGCCCAGTTGTCTTCACTAAAGTTGTTGATATTTCCGTGACCTCCACTGTTGTTGTTGCTCCTCCTGACCAAACGGTAGTTGTCACTGTTGATGCATCTAACAAAAACCAACAATCTCATACCACCACAGTGTCACCACCCACTACACATTCTTCTTCATCCTCTCATCCAGCATCCTCCTCTTCCTCTTCATCATCCTCGTCTTCTCTTTCCACATTTCAACAAGAAATCTTGAGTGAACACAACAAGTATAGAAGTGCTGTTGGGTCCTCTAATTTGAGTTGGGACTCTAGCACTTTACAAAAACAGTCTGACAGTTATGCTCCAAAGCTCTGTTCTTTGGGCCTTAAACATTCGGGAGTGTCAGGCATGGGTGAGAACTTATACTGGGTCTCCTCATCTGGTGTCGATAAAAAGACGCTTGCTGACGACTCCACCACCGCTTGGTACGATGAAAAATCCGAATATAGTTCCAGCAATGAAAACTCTTTCCATTATTCTCAATTGGTTTGGAAAGGAACCACTCATCTTGCTTGTTCTTATGCCGACTGTGGTAGTTCCGGCACTTATGTGGTTTGCAATTATTCACCTCAAGGTAACATTATTGGTGAATTCGACAAAAATGTTCCTACTTAAATGATTTAGGCTTTCTTTTTTATTGATTGGATAGATTTTTCAATTTAGATTCATATAGATTTTTTTTTTTCTACAATAAAACCTTACAAAATAGACAAAAATCTTATTCAAATTCAAAATGTATATATTACAAGAAATATTAATCAAATCTATTTTTCTTTCAAAAAAAAAAAATTGTATAATACAGAATTGTATCAAGGGTTATGGAGTTCATTAATATGCTTACCTTCTAACATTTCATCAATATATGTGACGATTTTTGGAATGCATTCGGCCTCAATTCTTCGCAAGTCTTCACGAGGAGTCTTGTCTAAAACATATTCTGCAACATCTCTTGAATCCTTACTTTGACATCTATCGACCCCCACATTGATCGTCAAGAAATTTCCATCGCCAAGCTGTTGTTTTATTGATCTCAAACCATTGTGACCCCTGATCCCTGCTTTTCTTTTTCTAAGCTGGACTTTCCCTACCTTGAATCCCAATTCATCATTGACAATCACCAATACTGGGACATATCCTTTGGATTCCGTATACTGTTTCAATAAATTGTAATTTTTCTTCAACGGGGCTCCCGAAACGTTCATGTATGTGCCAGATTTATAGAAAAGCACCGGTAAATCTGGGGAAGTGGACGATGACGTCGGTAAAGCGCATTTGCATTTCTCAAGGTCGTTGTTGTACCAATCACTGAAACCATAGTATTGTCGTAGTTTTTCAACCACAAAATGACCAACGTTATGCCTAGTGCCTTCGTATTCGGGCTCAGGGTTCCCGATAGAACAAATGATAAGGTATGGCGATCCGACTCTAGGACTTCTTGGAATGCTTGCAGTTAATCTTGTTGGTAAACTACCCAAGGACATCAGCAGATGACAAAATGATCTATCAAAGAACAATCGGGTTTTCATATTGGTGGTGGGTTGCAACATGGTGGTTGCGGCGGCCCCAATTATGGGTTTTGAAGCACTTATAAAAGCAAGTTTTCTAGAAACATGCATTTTTGTAAGGATATTGACCGCGGTCATTTTCTTCAATACTAATGAGGAGTTGTTGGATAATCAAGACATTAATTATAATGTGATGATTTTTTTACCTGCATATAGAAGCGATGGAGAGGGGGGGAAGAGATGAAATTTCTTGGCCGGGTAGGTAGCCACCTTTTGTTCTGCCAATATAACACTTACGCTACCTGGTTATGGATGGGTACAAAAGATAATCATAAGCAAAGCTAAATGATTATGTAGAGATATGGAATATGAAGTATAATTGTTAAAATCGATAAAGACAAGAAAATTATAAGGGCGAATAGGGCCGCACAGATAATTTAATAATCAAAACCGTCAGTCGTCAGTACTACTATCAAAGAATGTGTAGTGAACTTAGACCTTTCCACCTTTAGAATCTACAATGCGAATTGATAACAGAGATTTTCGAATATCTAGATGCTTGTGAGCTTTTATTGGTAATGTGAGTGCTGCTGGACACACATAGTGTATATCATTGTGCGTTGTTTGTCTTGCTTGGCTCGGTGGAGATTTGTTGTGAGATGGTAAATGAGGATCCCAAGAGTCTAGAGGATATCTTTGAGCTCGCCCAAGAATCAGGGAGAGGGGGGGGATCCCTTTACTCATATTCACGACGAGAAAATAATTCCAACTGTTAGAATATATTACAATAATCTTCCAAAACTTGCAAAATATCTAGTGGCAATAAAACAGATTGTAATATATTCCACAACCTGGGAAGTTGTTGGCGCGAATAATATGATGATGCGAAAGAAAAAATTGAATGTTATCCGATTGCTTTTAAAACTGCTGTTGATTTCTCAGGTATGTGTAAATTTGAAAGTTAGCATGAATCGCTTACGTGAAATTGAAAATTTGCAAGGTTTACAGAGTCTTTAAGAGTTATATATATATATATATATATATACCAATAATCATCAATTCGAGCATTATATGTGTTGGCGAACACACTTACTTCGTTTTCTTTTCTGTGCTGCTATGACAATCCAATTAATGTGAATCTTGCGAGACTGCCCAAATTAAATAGAATCACCACTTTTAAATGCTTAATCCTCTTTAATAGATGGTCAATGCTCTCCAACTTGAGGAGATCACCGTCGATAAGTTTTCTTTTTCGTCTGGTAGTAGACTGGCCACTGATCAAATATTTGAATCTTCATGGTTGTGGGACCTCTCGTCTTTCGACTTTTAAAATCCCAAAGTTATCAAAGTTAATATTGATGAGTATTTGCCACTCTTTGCAACAGCTAGGTATGTTTGAAAAGGATAAAAAGTTTGAGGTACTTGGTGCTTGAACAATTGTTTTCCAACTATTTATTTCTACTTGTAGATTGGAGGTTGTATGTCAACTAGGGGGTGCTTCCTTCCAGAAGAACAGGAATCTTCTACATGGATATCTGAATATAGGATGTATGTGGTACCTTGGATATCACCATGATGTATAATAATATTCCATAGCTCGCTATCCGCATAAGGAAGGAATGACTGGTTAGTGAAGTGCCCATGGCCAACTTGAGAAGATGGTTGGAATGCAAAATATATAACTTCAATAGATGTTTCCCCTACTAAAAAAAGAGGGGGGATACTATGCTTTTCTGAAAACAATCCATTGACCAAAGTCAAGTTTATGCCAAGCAAAGTTGGCATCGGACGGTTTATTATTATCAAAAAAACACACATGGTGGTATGATATATACCATTCCATTGGTATTCATTAAACACATGCATACTTTTCCGGTACTTTTTGTCATCTCTGATAAGTGATAGGAAGAAAAATAAATAGGATTTGTTGCAATTTGTCGAAATCTGATAACCACTGTAGTAGCGTTACTAAGATATGTTTTAAATTATATATTGTTCTTGTCTGAGTGGGATGTCCTCATGCGTAGAGATAGTGGGGCAGGTGTGTCCCGACCGTTACTGTTTGCGTCTTGCAATTCGGGGATACTCATTGATTAGTGCCAAAATTTAGGCTGCAATGTCCCAGTTATCAACGCAAATTGCAAACATCCCTGGAGAACTGTGAAGGAACACCGATTATAAATCTAGGAGATAATTTACATCTATCTCTCGTACGATAGATAAGCTATCATCCCATCTTTTTTGTAATTCTTTTTTTTTTTTTTTGTTCTTTAGTTTATCATCGGCAATTAAGGTTTAGGAGTGATGCCTTGTGGTTTTATCTATCTGTGCATACAGAGCTGCAGAAATGGAAGGCTTCTTCTTCTGTCGCACTATCTGTCTATCTATCTGTCTATCTATCTGTCTATCTATCTGTCAAAGAAATATCCACCCCCCAGCTATCACAGTGTTATCGCGGGACCCCTACAAAACTCATGCTTCTCACAAGATCCCCCTGGTCATTTGAAAGCAATAATTCAGCTTATCAATACGAAATGATAATGAGCCTATACGAATATGGGCCAATCATTAAAGAAAAATCTCTTGGTTTCAATAAAAACAGTAAATAACATGGTGATTGCCCTGTAATTTCTTATCTGCCCAACCAGCACATATAATTAATTGTTCAAGCTTTTTTTTGTTTTTTTGTTTGTTTTAGTTTTAGTTTCCGTTCTGCAAAACACCCCCAGGTATAAATACTCCTGTTTTTCCAGTTATATTTTGTTATGACTTTTTATTGCTTCCCTTACTATCATACTTCGCCAATTATACGATAGAAATTATCAATCATCATGTCCGAAGCAAAGGTTAAATCAGAGTACGAAGTTGAGCACGTTGCTGGTAGCACTTCTCCATACTCTGGCGAAGCATCCAAGGGTGGTTTCTGGCAAAACTTTGTCGATTCTTTCAAAAGAGAAGGCAACCAGTTCACCAACACAGATGGTCTCACTGACAAAGAAAAGATTATTCAAATATCCGCCAAATCACCACTCCAAAAGAACTTGCAAAATCGTCATTTGCAAATGATTGCCATTGGTGGTTCTATCGGTACTGGTTTGTTCGTTGGTTCTGGTACCAGTTTGTTAACTGGTGGTCCGGCTGGTATTTTGATTGCTTACACCATGATTGGTACTTTTATTTTCACCACCGTGCAAGCTCTTGGTGAGTTGGCTGTTGCTTTTCCTGTTTCTGGTGCTTTTGCTGTTTACAACTCTCAATTCGTTTCTCCTGCTTGGGGTTTTGCGATGGCTTGGAATTATACTTTACAATGGATGGTCGTTTTGCCTTTTGAATTGGTTGTTGCTGGTATGGTTATCCAGTATTGGAATGATCAAATCAGTCCGGCTGCTTGGGTGTGTATTTTCTGGGTCTTAATTGCTACTATTAATATTTTTGGTGTCAAGGGTTATGGTGAAGCTGAATTCTGGTTTTCTCTTGTTAAAGTGGTTGCTGTTGTTGGTTACATCATTCTTGGGATCATTTTGGTCTGTGGTGGTGGTCCAAACCATGAATACATTGGTGGTAGATACTGGCAAAAACACGGTAAGACAGAAATCGCCCAAGGTGCTTTCCACCATGGTTTCAAAGGTCTTTGTTCTGTCTTTGTCACTGCTGCCTTTGCCTTTGGTGGTACCGAATTGTGTGCCCTTGCCGCTGCGGAAACCAATAACCCAAGAAAGTCTTTGCCAAAGGCCACCAAACAAGTTTTCTGGAGAATTGCTTTGTTCTATATCATCTCACTTACTCTCGTTGGTTTGCTTGTTCCATACGGTGACAAGAGTTTGGGTGGTGCCAGTTACGACGCTAAAGCCTCTCCATTTGTCATTTCCATTAAAAATGCTGGTATTAAAGCGTTGCCATCTATCTTTAACGTGGTTATTTTAATCTCTGTGCTTTCTGTCGGTAACTCTTCCACCTTTGGATGTTCCAGAACTATGGTTTCTATGGCCGAACAAGGTTTTGCCCCACCAATTCTTGGTTACATCGACAGGGCCGGTAGACCAATTGTTGCCACTTGCGTTGCTTTGACTTTCGGTCTTTTGTGTTTCCTTGTTGCCGCTAAGAATGAAGGTCTCGTTTTTGATTGGATGTTGGCTATTTCTGGTTTGTCTTTCATCTTCACCTGGGCGTCTGCTTGTGCTTGTCATATCATCTTCAGACTTGCTTTGAAGGCCCAAGGTAGAACCACCGATGAATTGTCCTTCACCGCCCAAACTGGTATGTGGGGTTCAGTCTACGGTGTCTTTGGTTTCTGTTGTATCCTTGCTGCTCAATTCTGGATTGCCGCTTGGCCATTCGATTTACCTGCAACCAGTGGTGGGCGTGCCAACAGCTTCTTCCAAGCTTACTTGGCTGCCCCAATCGTCATTGTTTTCTATTTTGGTTACATGCTCTGGAAAAGAGATTTCACAATCTTTAATGGTCTTAAAAACATTGATTTGGATACCGGTAGGAAGGTCGTCGATATGGACATGTTGAGGCAAGAAATTGTCGAAGAAAAGGCTTATGTTGCTTCCAAGCCTTGGTACTGGAGAGTCTACAATTTCTGGTGTTGAATTCAACCAGTTTTTGGACGACGTTTTTCCACAAAACCAATATTTTTTTTTTTTTTAGTTTTAATTTTTTCTTCCTCTTTGCTTTATTCTTTAGAATATATATTTTATTGCTTCGTTATTAATATATTTTGTTTTGCGTTTATTTCTCTTTTTTCTCGTATCTGATACTTATCTCAATATGGTTGTCTCTTTTTTTTTTTTGGCTTTACTTATAACTTGCTGTTATTTTTTAATCATAATTTACTACAGTGCAAAAAAAAAAAAAAAGAAAAAAAAAAAATTATCAAATATCATTCATTTCGTTAAAAGGAAGGAAGAAATAATTACGAATATTCTTCAGTTTCATTGTCAAATGTTTTTTCTGGGTTGATATGATTTTTTCCAAATTTTAAGAACACATGCACCATGCAAACCTTATTTAGACTCTAAGATCCCACTAACTCAGCTCACGGCGATTGAAAAGCTTTATCTGCTTATCGTCTAAGCCATTTTCAATACTATCACGATCCACACACATGTATTAGAATTGTGTCCACGAATTTATAAGAACAGTGCGTGAAAATGTCAGCATATACGTACATGCACTTACCTCTTCCGCCTTGTAGGAATATTTCCACAACCCTCATTTGACAAAATTGTTCCGTGATATTTTTCCTTGGTGATCTTTTTTATTTTTATTTTTGTATGCCGCTTGCAAACTCAGATTTGCAACAAGGGAAGAACTCGTACCATTACGGAGTGCACTTGTGCGAACAACTCCAGATTGATTATCTATTACCAGTCAGGCTAGTCTTGAGGTCGATTAAAGAGCCGTCTACTAAGTTATCAACTTGTTTAGCTCTTCTATTTACAAATTAGATGAGACTACACGATCATAAAATCTTTAAATAATAAATATGATGAATGAGTGGATGGATGCCCCCTCATATTCTGATTCCGGAACATAGTACTTAGTTGTAGGAGGCCATTGGCTCCGAAAATAGAAATAATACATTCCGCATAACTAGCTTGGTATCAACACAGGTCTATACCAAACACATAGGACATTTAGTGGTTTTCAATAAGCTCACAGCAGGTTGGATATAGCATATACTGATATGGTGGTTGTTATTAGATATACCGTTACCACGGGACTCATAGTGTATACCAATATGAAGGTACTTATCACATATACCATTCACACGGTATTTATTTCAAGTGATAAATACCATTGCATCGGTATATGCGTTTTTGTTAGTAAATATTGCAATTTACCAGGCATCTCTTAACCAGGTCAAAAAAAAAAGTGTTGAAGGTGTGTGGGGCATCGCAATTCACATTAATGCTGGCATATAGTATCGATAATTGTCAGGACTTAGGCAGTACGCTAGTGGGCGTCATGGGTGGTCTTACCGGACAGGCGGTCCGGAACTCCGATACGGTAACGGATACACGTGGTGTTGCCGTGTCGGTGTAGAGTACATAGTGATAGAATCCCCAACAGACCTAGGCTTCAACGGAGGAGAGGGGGATCAAGCGAGGACCACAAGGATATTAGTTGACCGAGATCTCTCCAAATTTGACCTGCAGTCCCCAACCGTGACTATAGTAAGCTCACTTTAACCCAATCCAGTGACAGATTAGAAGTCAGAGACCAGTTCTACCGATTAGACCGGTTCTACTCGACAAATTTAACCAAGTAATTGCAAAACTATTTTTTCCAACCCAAATCAATGATGTCGACTCCACCCCAATCGCCACAACTCAACTTGCTTGAAGGCTATCTAAATACCAGGAATAACATAACAATCGGAGACATGTATAAAGCGGAAGACAGAATAAACGATAAGATCAGGAGATTGGAAATAAAATTCAAGGACGAGATCATAGAGTTTTTCCTGCTGAGGCGCGGAGAGGAGTGGACTGCAAAGATACATCTTTGTTGCAGTCCACTCCTCTGCGACAAACGAATCAGAAGTAGTTCCAAAAGCCATTCAATTTGTGGAATACTTGAAAACCGACAAGATTATTACACCAGCAATATCAAAACTATTCACCATCAAGTTACCAGATGAGGATCGCAAGCATGAAATCTTGAACTTTCCCACAATTTTTCAGGATATAGCTGCCCCCGAGAAGAGAGTTATTAACGAAACCTATACATTGTACCGAGAAATACACAGAAGAATGATAGGGCAGATGATGACAACACTAGGTTTTGGCTACATGAAAGCTGTTAGTGAAATGGGAGGTGTTCCAGAAATTTCAAAAAAATTGGAGGAAGAATATTTAAAAGACTCAGTCCCTTTAAAAGTCCTTCAAGTAAAAGAATTCTGGGAAGAAAAAATGCATGCAGACACAATGGAATAAGCATTAACGAATCTCGGAAAATACGTGGATGATGCTACTGAGGAAGAGCAAAAAATGTTGTACCATGCGTTCATGGGTTGCCATCAAGATAAATACAACATCAATGAAAATATAGACTGGAACCTGTTGCTATTACAATATCATTATGACAACGCAACTATCTCACTAAAAGGTATTGCCGAATTCTGCAGAAAGATGGGGAAGACCCATTCGCGATGGAAAAAAGTGGGAATATTGGGCGCGTCAAAAAAGAAGTTCAATGGAAAATATGATCATAGCAGAGGGCATGACGATCATAGGAGAAATAACATGGGAAGAAGATATAATGGGAACGGACACAGCACAGAAAAACAGTCAATTGTGTCAAAGTTTATTGCGAAAGGAAGTTCTCAAATGATGCCTGGACCAGGCTATGTTGAATATCCAAAGAACCCTTTTTGTGCAAGCTGCGGTCTTCCACACCCTAAGAGTATCATGATAGATGGAACTTCATTCAAGCATGTATTTGACCTCGAAAAGAAAAACCATAATCACAAGGTGGTTGGAAAAATTTGCACACAAGATTAACTTGCTCAAACCTCCGGCTTTCTATGATGAAGTCGCAGCAATCGTGTCAAGAAAACTCAAAAAGTATTAGCAACCAAATACATCCCCAAAGCCGGTAATATTATGCAACTATGAGGCAACCCCAACACCGATCTTTTTTGCAGATGGTAGTAAAGTATTGACCGATGGAAAAGGAACCATCAATCTATTTGGATACAGTTTAGAATGTCTACATGTCAAAGGCAGTTATCAACTACTTAGTATACAAGAACTCAATGATATTGGAAAATGGGTCCTCTTCGCTGCACCAGATGCTTATTTATTACCCATGGTGCCACATCAGTAAAAGAGTATCTAGACCAAAGGGCTACAATTTGGTACAAATAAGAATTGAAATCACCAAAAAACTCGATTTTTGGAATTAAGATGGATCAAGCAGTTCCTTTTGATGATTTCTCAAGGTATACGAAAATCATAACAACTCAATCAAAGACCATATCAATCGATTGATGATGAGCTTCCGATAAGCTGGTATTATCCTGAAGTAGTCGGGTACCAATTGAAAGACACGCCCTTGATAGGAGAAGGTTGTGTTGTCATAATACCAGGAAAGAACTACCGATGCTTGGCTTTCTTTCTCTATTTTGATCCGTGACGGCAGGTTTATGTTTTAATGAATCCGACTGAAAACAAATTGATCACATCCACAAGAAGAGATATGAAAAATCTTAGAACCACAAAGTGTATTGTGAGTTGGTATAAAGTATTTTGTGTGGGATGGACAGTTAACAGCATAGATATTACCTCGAGAGATAATCCAAAAAAATTCGAAATTGCTGTCAAAACAATCCAATAGAAAGAAGCTGTACATTCTGATATGAATAGCTTTGAAACCCATGATGTATTTGAAGATGTGGAGAATGTTGATTCAATAGAAAATGTGGTATAGTTAGTGTTACACATAACGTCATTTTGGATATTTACCAGAAAACAGAATGAAGCATTTAAGGCCCTGATTCTACTCCCTCTGCTGATCAGCAAACGGGTGACTGTAGCTCAGCTTACGAACCCAACAAGAATGATGATATCCAAGTGCTTATAGTGGTTTACAAAGAGTATAAGAATCGATTTTTTTTTCATGACAACAGCCGTGTAAGGATAAGTACGAGCTTCTACTGTAACTCTTAATCCAGGTCATTTCCAATGATCAATGCTAATTCTGAGCTTCGGCTCAGGGCTATGGGTCTCGTTGTCTGAGACTTACCTTGCTTCATTATTGTCTGGGATCTGCTTGATTGTCTGATTGTCACAAAGCCTTAGAGGTATATTGGGAACTAAAAGACAAATAAGAGGAATGGAAGAAAAAATAACTGCAATACTAGAGTATGATGTGTCTGTAGGTCTTAAATAAGTTTTTGGGTGATGGGAAGAAAATGGCATATGGATGGCATCCTCCTACTGTTATATTCGAATCATTAGAATCTCTACTATTTTTTTTTTTTTTATAAAAAAAAACAACATCTTTAACATGAATAAATTTAACCATATGTCTCTGTCACCCTTTATGTTACACTCTTTTTTATTATTTATTACTATTTATTACTGCTTCGAAGTACATTCTATTTGTTAGATGAAGGGCTCAACTTAATTTTTTTTTATTTATGTATATTTTTACAATATACGGCCTTTTATATGAAAAATATTGCTGAATTGATATAAATTGTGACAGATCTAAAACTCATTTCTGAGCTAAAAAGGCTATAGTAATTGAAGAAAATGATATTCAGTGGTGCGTTTAGCAATATATGTAGAATACGCTATAAAAGCATTCAAAAATGAATGATGGCATAATACGGTTGTATAGTGTAGTGGTTATCACTTTCGGTTTTGATCCGAACAACCCCGGTTCGAATCCGGGTACGACCTCATTTTTTGAAGAATTTTCTGACGATACTTCATATACTTAATGTGGATCTTCTTTTTTTCTTTTCTTTTGTTATCATATTTTTATTTATGTTTTTAATCATTATTTTCTTTTCTCTCTCCATCTCTTCATTCGTTTCAAAAATTATCGTTTTTTTTTTTATTTTTCAAAATGATATTTCAAATCCTGAAAAGAATAATAGCTGAATGAATTTTCTACAACTAATGGTAATCTCAGATACAAAAATTAATTAAAGTAATATAACATTTCAGGTAAATCAAACAAATCAAAAAAGAAAAATAAAAGAAAAAAATATAGTAAAATGGAAAATCAAAGAACAAAGAGGGTTTTTTTTTTTTTTTGTTTCATTTTCATGTTTTGTTTAAAAGTCTAGAAGAACTGTATTCTAAAGAATTCTATTAAAGGGCAGCAATGATTAGTATCACAGTAAAGTATACTATGCCTCCCTATGAATATGATAATATTGGTCAATAAATGCCGGACAATATCAGTCAACAAAAGGAACAAAAACTGGAATTAAAAGTAGGCAGGCAATGGAATAAAAATGGGGAACAATAGAACGAATAAACATAGTTTTGATTTTTTTTTTCTTCATTTTTTATTTATTTTATGGGCTACTGCTCTCCAAATGCTTTCTCATTCTAATAATTGAATGGACTCGATGATTTTTGAATTCTTCATGATGTGTTCCCAGAAGTTGGAAGAGTTGGAACGGAACTTGAATTGGAACAATAAAGATTTTCAAACAAAACCACAATACCTTCGAACTATTAAGAGCCCACCATAATATCACCAGACTATTAACAATTGAATGGAAAATTTAAGAAAAAGAAGAATAAAGAATAAGAGAAAAAGTAATAATAAGAGGGTATGGTATGGGTATTAAGAAGTCGGATTTGATGGATGTTGTTTGTAATTTAGAGGAATGGGAGAAGAAGAAGAAGAAGAAGAAGAAAAAAACAAATTTCCAGAGATTGAAATAATGCTCCACTATTATTACCTTCAGAGTAATTCAAGAAGGAAATTATCTGTACATCATCAATACTCTAAAGATCGCTTTCTTCATCGGATTTTCTGTTTCTCTTAACTTTGAAGAAATTGATTCCCCCACTTTTGGTGGCAGGTTCTTCAGAAGTGGTGGCGGCGTATGGGTCTTCAAACTGCTGTACTGGAACGTCAGTGGCGACCACTGGTTGTGGTTGTTGAGGAGGCACTGCGGTGGTAGTAGGAGAAACCACTGGGAGGGCAGGCACCGCTTGTTGGTGATGGTGATGGTGGAGATTACCCAACAATTCGCTGTGTTTTTCATTTTCGGTATAAACACTACCGTTAGCCACAGCGTGTCTTTCTTTGGCACGGAGGTAGGCTTCTCTGACACATGCCCCAAAAGTGGTGACAAGGACAATCAAATTACACACTGCACTGGCCCATACAAACCCCATCAAAGCAGGACCAATCTTGGCATCGACAAAGTATTGTTTGGCAAGGGCGACGGTGGCGGTGTATAAGGCAGCGGCGGCGAATTGTAAAGTAGAAGCAATGAAGGTGAAGATGGCAGTGAGTTTTTGCAAATGGAACGAGAAAATGGCACTCAAGCAAATGATCAATGAGATCCCGGTAAACACCAAGGAAATGAGCAAACAAGCCCAAGCAACTCTGGACAAGTAGTAGAAAGTGTCACGGTTGTTAACGACATAATCTGGGATATTAGTTTCAGTTTCAAAGTTGTCAACTGGGGAGATTGGGATTGCTGGGCCAATGTCATAACAGTTCTTGGAGACCAGGCCAACTTTTTCACAGAGACCCCAGTATGTCCAGCGGGTGTTGGCATAAGCGTTAGGGATATCACTGGTGTCAGCTTCGAGCCAGTAGAAGTGGTCGAGGGGGAAGGAAGGATTACGACTGGAGCCAGAAAGGACAATCAATAAGAGCAAGAGGGTTGACCCTGCGAGGAAGAATAGGTCAATGAAACTAGATCTGAAATGGAGTCGGGCCATATTTTTACTTGAATGTGTATATCTGTAATTAGTGTAGATTTTTGGAGGGGGAGATATAGATACAAATGTCGCTGTATCTGGAATCCTGCCAAATATATATTGTATGGAAAAGCAACTCACAAAAAAAAAAAAAAAATTGCCAACCTGCCAGGAAAAAGCAAACAAAAACAGGGAAAAAAGGGAAAAACCGAAAAATAAACAATAACACTGTCACATGACATCATCAAGGTTGCGGACAATAGACTTTTATATGTCTATTGCGATAATACCAGTAGTGGCAACAGATATATTATATTATAGGAAGAAGCACCGTATTCTATTATATATAGACACATATCTAATAGATGAATGCCACACCGTGATGGGTGGCGGTGCTTCAGTAATTTGCGTGAGAGCGACAGTGGTTGGGAGAATATGGGGTGACTTACCCCTGGTTAATACATCACACCATTCATACATTAAAGAACAGAATGCGTGCATATATTTCCCAATTGGGAAGACACAACATAACATAACATAACATGTTGTAGTACAACACTGTTTTTGTAAAAAACAAAATACAATCCTGGATATTGGTTGAAAAAAAATATAAAATATATATATAAACAATATCTAATCCCATCTGACAGGAGAGATAGTAGATGAGGAAGAAAAAATAAAAGTAAAAAATACAATCCTATATAAAGAGAAAATCAAAATATATAATCTAAATCTAATAAAACAAGGGTCGAAAGTTAATAATAAAAAGTGATCCAAAAAAAGGCTATATAAAATGTTGTACACTGTCCTTTAGCAATAACACTAGAGGCAAATAATAGAATAATAAAAATAAGGTATACAAAGTCGATCAATCAGTGAGAATTCAATTGTCTTTCTCAAGCAACATTCCACGTGAAAAAGATTCAACAAAAAAAAAAAAAACTCATAACAAGAATAATCTCATCAAGAATAAGTTCATCAAGAAAGTCAAAGAAAATAAAATAAATAAATAAAACTCAAAGGAGTTTTAAATTTTAACAGATGGTTTAATAAAGAATTTCCACCGTTATAGAGAGCAGCATTCACGCTGTTTAGTAGAAAACAAAGTTGGCAGTACCACTGGTGACACTAACAGTACAACCATCAGTACCATCACCATTGTAAACACCATTGGCGTAAACACAATCACCAATAACAGTAGCGCCATCAGCACCTTCAATCTTCAAAGAGTAAGATGGTGGGGTTTTGTTGTTAGGATTTGGAATAATACTCAAGTAAGTGATACCATCAGTCATACCAGCACCAGCAACAACTGGAGACCAGTTACCAATACCGCTACCATCGGTACCCCAGACACACCCTTCTTCAACGTCAACACCGGCGTCATTGATATAGTATTGGGAAGAGGTACCTTTACCTTCCCATTTGAAGTAAGTACCAGAGTTAACAACAGACATTGGCTTGGTGGAGCCGGCGGTCAATCTAGTTGGGACAACCATGTTTTCAGAACCTGGGTAATCGGTTCTACACAAAGAAACAACCTTATCAATTTTAGAAACAGCGTTAGCGGTTTGTTCACCCCATTCACACAAGTAGTCAGTGTTGGTGTTGGTTCTGTACAACTTGCCGTTCTTACAAATCAAACCACCACGGGATTGACCATCACTTGGTTGAGTAGATGGCCATTGAGTCTTGGACATACCGGCTTGACAAGCATAAGAACAGTAGTAACCTTCTTCACAAGAAGTTTTGGTGTAACCACCTTCGTTCATGACGGAGGCCCAACCACTAATTCCGACCCAGTCAAGGGAGACCACACCGTTACCAGTTGGGACACCAGCAGAACAGTCAAGGACACCATCTTCAAATTTACCAGTTGGGTTAGAGAAGGAAGACAAATCACCGTCAATACCAGAAGAAGAAGAGGAAGAGGAAGAGGAAGAGGAAGAAGAGCTAGTAGCAGAGCTGGATGCGGAGCTAGATGCAGCGGCACTTGAAGATGCAGAACTAGACGCAACGGCAGAGCTAGTGACAGCAGAACTAGTTACAACAGAACTAGTGACAGCAGAGCTGGAAGAGGAAGCGACAACACTGGCGGCCTCAACAGCTTTGTCTTCAACAGCAGTGAGAGTTGGAGCCACAGTGGAAGTAGTTTCCTTACCAGCGGTGATGTAGATAAGGGTGGTATCGGTGACATAAACGGTTGCAACGGCTGGGGCAGCTTCACGCTTGTGGTAATGGTGAACACCTTGTCTTGGAGCAGGAACGGCCAAGACGGCAGAGGCCATTAAACCAGTAAGGAAAGTAAGAGAGAATTGCATTTTTTTTTTTTTTTGATAGATTCTCAACAGGGATCAACTAGATGGCAAACGAATTTTTGATGTAATAGAATCTAATGGAATGACAAAAGAATGGCTGAGTAAATGAATGAATGAAAGGATTCAACTTATTGTAACTAAATGAGTGACTATCAGGACCGTGCTGATTTGAGTAAGTAACAATAGTTGATTCTTTGTCGGTTGATCTGAGAGAAGAAGAGAAAAAGAAGAAGAAGAAAAGAGGAAGTAATTTTTTTTTTTTGCAGAAAATCCTTCTTTTTTTTAACCGCCGTCATAGGGAAAAAAAAGGAGTTTTTTCCCCTTTTCTTTTTCCTTTTTTTTTTTTTTTTTTTTTTTTTTTTTTTCTTTCTCTGCGCGTCCTCGTGATGGTGCATTGTATTGCATTGCATTGCATCACACCGGGTGACATCCTTCAAGAAGAAATACCATTACGGCGGTACACATATAGATCATCAAACCCATCATCAACAACACTGATTACAATCAATAGATCCATTCAAAATGCACTTTTTTTTTTACGATGCCACTAAAAATCTCAAAAAAAAGAAAACAAAACTAAAGGAAAGAAAAAGAACACCAAATAGCTATTGAAATAGCACTTAAAAAAATATAAATGAAGTTTCAAAAAAGTAATAATACAAGAAGTATATATATATATGAAAATATATATTATACAATGAGCCCTTGGTTTTTAGAACGTCTAATATTATTCTTCTTCTGAACCCGATAAACAATCGTCGCCATGTAGCAAACTACCGCGGCAATCATAAAATAGAACCATTTTTTCACGCTATTCCACCATTCGCTTCTCTTGGCTCTTCTTTCCACTCTTCTTTGCTCAGCTTCCTTCTTGATCCGCTTCTCGGCGTTTATCAATCTTTTAAGAGTACGTCTCATTTGTTTGCCGTCCTTCTTTTGTGAAACAACCCGTCTTCTCTTGGTATGGTCATCCAACTGATATTCTTCGGTGACATCTTCAAACTTGTCTGGTGATGACGGATCATTCATAACGTCCACAAGTTTTTGGAATTCGGTCACTGGATTGCCATCATGGTCTTTCAAAGAATAAATACGAGCTTCAAAAATATCGACAATCTCCGATAAATCCCCGGTTTGGGCGCTGAAACCTACATGGAATTTCTCTGGTAAATAAACCTCTTGCAATGTGAAACAGTTAGTCCATACCCCTTCGTTTTTGTAATCAAAGTCCAAGGAAACGTAACCGTCTTCGATGTAGACCAACCGGGCCTTCACCACTCCACTCGATGGGTTCCATAAGCTTCTGGCAATACATCCGGAAATCTCATTGGCTTTCCCATCATTATCATTATCATATCTTTGAGTCCCGTCGTTCCGACTGGCCAAAACATATGGGAAAATCCCCGATCTACCATTACGGTAGGTATCGACGTAAATCCCAAACCCTTTGTAATACTCATTGACCCCGAACATCTCGCCTTGATCCAACTTATACTCGCTGAACAACACCGCCATACCATCACCATGAAGTGACGAAACCTCTCCATTGCCTGAAAGGGCGAAATTCCATTCCATGACGAACGACTGCAAGTCTACTTGCGAATTACTGAAAAAGCTCGATTTCTGGTGTTTTTTCAACAGAGTGAGCCTGACGTATTGGTCATTACGGATCAACACGTCCCCGGTGAATTCGTAGTTCTGTTCATCGACCTCATTGTTCAAATATGGCATTGCCAATCTAAATTTCGGGAGTTCGTGTTTTTGAAGCAAATTGCCTCCGGCAATCAAGGTGTTGATCTCCTCGTTGGTCAAATCACGATTCGATGACGAAATCCCTTGGTACAGGGAATCACCACTAGGCACGGTGACATTCCCACCCCGAAATACTTTATTGATGAATATTAAAGATAAAAGGGCGGTAATTATCCAGAGAGTGTAACGTAATGGTTTACTCTGGCTTATACGTCGCCGAATGTAGAATGATAATAATCCGATATCCATAATAACCGTGGGTGTCCTTTTAATGGGGAAAAAATGTGATAAAAAAAATTGGTGCAGTCAATAATAGATAGCAAATATTATTTATTTATTGTCCCTTCGGCTCCTAATGGAAAACAATATCCTATCCCTAGTTTAATAATAATAATCCCCACCCATAAAATACCCTGTTTGATTTGTCGGTCAAATCATTTTTTTTTTTTTACTGCGAACCTCCTGCCAACTGCCCTCGGAACACTGGTGCTACACACGTGTGATGGCAGTCAATTCCGGTGGGAAAGAGCTGAAGAACCATTTATTGATATTAAAATATATATTATTATTACACGGGATGTTTTTCACAATATATTATTATTATTAGATATATCCCCTTGGCAGCTATCAAGTGAGAAACATATAATTTATTTTGCTGGGACATAACTAATGAACGTACCGTTAACATGTATACATCTAACCCTTCGACATGATAAATTATCATTAATGATCTATTAAATTTACACGGAGAAATAGGAATTTGGAGAAAAAAAAAAAAGAAACAAAGAAAGAACGGAAAAAAAAAGGAAAAGAAACACAGACTATTAATCATTCAGTTATCCTTTTGGTACTTGAAAACATATTCATCTTTGGAAATCCCAAATAACCCTGTACCTATAATGCCGTTGGCCTTTACCTTCTTAACGCATTCAAATTTCTTTGCCACCAACAACTTCTTCAAATCGCTATCGAAAGAGTAACACTGCATGGACACTTGGAAACTGTCGCCTTGGGTCGCCTGTGAGATATCACCAAGGACCCAATCCAACAAATCTTCATAAATCCCGGATCTGATATACACTTTTCTCCCACCAATAGCAGTGATTTCAAACTGTTTATCATCATCGTGCTTCACTGGTTGGTAGGCAATCATTCCAATTGGCAATTTTCTATAGACCGCCACTTTAGCATTATCAACTTTGATTTGCTCAAGCTTCTTTGCTTGATTTTTCTTCACGGAGATGAATTCTCGTAGATCCACCCCAAATTGGTCTTCGGCCCCGGTGGATTCTACCAAATCACCTTGTTCTTTCAAGAAATAACTCTGTAATTTACAACATAACAATAACCCTGCAAAACTGGCCATGAAGAAAATCAAACAATGTAACGATCCACTAACATCCCATTTGATAAACTGCAACAACGTCAATCCAGCAAGCTTGTAGTTTATAAACGCGGCGTTCACCATGAGCAACACCGAGAAAGTAACAGGGCTCCAGAACAAGCTGATGGATAAGTCCAGACAAAGTCTTTGTTGGGTATCGATGGCGTACCGTAGGGTGGCAAGCCCGTACGATGGATTCAAGTCTTCGAGGGCCAAGGTCGGAGCCACTTTTACATCAAGGGCTTCGGTGATGTCTGCACCAATTTGTGGAGCAACAACAACATTATTAGATGCTGATGATACAGCAGAAGATGGCATGGTTGGTTATGTGAAGAAGATCAAAAAAAAAAACCAAAAAAAGATAAAAACTAAAGCACCGAACGAGATGAGATAAACCAGTTATTTCCAGTCCTTGTGAATCAGGGATATATATAGCAAAACAACACAATAATATTAATAATCAGCGAAAGGATGACAAAAAATATCCAGTTTCTCAGAAATACGGAATATTTTTCCACCCATATATATAATATTTCCTAATCTGAATCATCCAACCGTTGGATTCATCGAAGCATGCCCTCCTTCCCTTTTGGGCAACTAACGTGTGGGGCGACGCCGCTGCCCCCCCATCTGACGGCCGTTTAGTAATCCATCATGACACGTGCTACATCACATGACTACCCTCTTTAAATGATTCCAAAATCTACAATTCTTCTACTTCTTCAGTATTATCTTTTTATAATTAAATCATTAACGTCGTAATATTAGAAAGAAGGATGTTTCACTCTACCATCTTCTCATTAATCTCGTATAACCCATTGATAATTTGGAAAACCGCGGTGATTTGCTCCACCAAAATCTTTTCATTAGGATCATTAGGATCATTCTCCATCTCAAGCACCCCCAGACTTTGTAACATTCTCACCATCTTATCAGGATGCCATCTAATTCGTTCATTCTTGACCACATTAAAATACACCTTGTTTTGCAACAAGAGATCACTCCTGGTGGCCCCTTGCAACATTCTAGAGCACGGTTCCAGGCTATCACCACCACCACCACCGCCACTACCACTATTACTAAGAGAGTAGCAATCTTGTAGAACCACTTTCGCTCCCTCCCGGAAAAATGTTATCAAGGAATCCGAGGTCACTGAATCATACAGGTTTCCGGCACATGGCCATATGACATTTTTAATACTCCCAACCAACGACCATGACTTGAGATACTCTTTATAAGTTTGTTGGGGGATCTCACCATCATTATCTTTTGGAAGAGGTATCTCATTAAGCGGGTCCTTTTGTGAAGATTTAAGTTTGGCGAAAAATTCATTCTTCAATTGATAAGAAAAAGTATAGCCATCAACGGCTTTCGCAGGCGATTTTTGGACATTTGAAACATTCGCCAGTGGTGTTGCAGATTTTGCAGGGCCTTTTGCTATTAATTTATATCCATTTATATCTTTACCAGCTTGAAAAAACTGGCCATTAATCTTGTCATTTTCGACAACCGATGGGGGTGATGATGATGCTTCTGTTGGTTTATGATCACTATTATTATTATTATTATTATTATTATTATTATTATTATTATTATTATTATTATTATTATTATTATTATTATTATTATTATTATTATTATAATCAAATATTGTTCCAGTAACATTACAACGGGATGTTTTTTTAGTACCAGGACGATTTTCTAAAGACGGTTTCTTTTCCGTACGACGTCGTTTTTTGTTACTGTTTGCATTAGAAAATTGTGATGATTCAGGTCGATGTTCCATTCCCTTAACAAATCTAAACTTTCCTGCTAAAGGCAGCGAACGCAAAAATTCCAGATACTTCTCCCCCGCACCTCGTTCTTCCTGTTCATCTTCAGTTTCATCGTCTTTTGGCGGGGTTTTCATTCTTGTCGTGTTAGATCCGTTGGACATCGGGGTGTATGCCATTATCCCCGGTCCCAATTTCTGGGCTGTCGTGACTTCTTCTTCTTCTTCCGATTTCTGGGCTGCCATAATTCCTATTCTCGATTTCTGTTGTGAGTTATGTTTTGTATTGCTATTTGCATCCACGGACGATCGTAGTTTCTCCCAAGATCCAGTTCTTGGGGTACTAATCCCCATGTCGTTTCCTCGAGGAGTCAAAAACTCTATCACAGAAGAAGCTCTTTGAGAACGACCTGTAGTATCATTCATCAGTGATGAGGATTGCTCTTTTTTGGGTAGGTCCACTTCGAGATCCAGCGATGAGTATTCTGTCTCTGTCGAATAATCGGTAATGGTATTGTCCCCATCGTCATCTTTCGAGTGCGATATGATATTATCTTTTTTTAGATTCAGTATCTCCGAAGGTCGTGTAGTGGAAGGTGACGGGGTCACCCAGCATTGATTACTTCTGACATCTTCATCTTCATCTTCTGTACTATTAGACTCAACGAATGTGGTTAATGGCTTATTCTTCGAGCGTCGAGAGGGTTTGGTATTGATTTTATTTTTAGAGTTTTTGAAGGATAGCTTCCCAACGACAAAAGTTTTCTTGGTTGGTAGGGACGATGAATCAACAATCTCTTTATCGAAATTCGTCTCATGATCATCATTCGCCTGTTCGGTTTTCTGATTTCGTTTGGTTTCTCTAGTCTTGCTGCGAAGTTTACGACCCTTGACGAAGTCCAACATTACAATCTCGTGCAGCAGAAGACTATCATCATCATCATCATCATCATCATCATCATTATTATTATTTTCTTCTTCTTCATCATCCTCATCATCATCCTCATCTTCTTCAGAGCCATTTATGGTCTCATTAAAGGTGGTTTGCCTTTGATATTTGTTTGCAAAAGTTTCCCCAAACATCAAATCCCCACGTTCTCTTTCACCGCCATTATTTTTCCCTCCAAAATGATCAAAACCAGCCAATGAAGTCATTATGGTGCTTTCCAGACGGAAGTTCTTTCAAGTGTCCAGAAACTTGCACTGGATATGTGGCAAGACAGAAAAAAAAAAAGACAAGACAAGACAAGACAAGACAAGATAAGATAAGAAAAGAAAAGAAAAGACCCTTCTATAGAAATACCATCAATAGGAATCAATAATTCATGATGAAAAAAGCCAGGCGACTCCATCACTGACTGAAACCGCTGCTTATATTAAAACTGAGCGAGAAAAAATTCCCGATTGGGGGGTGGGCATCGATTACCCGGTGCGAATTCTCCAACATGCTTAGAAGAGACTCCGTAAATTATACCCTTACATTTTGTAATTACAAACAATGTGTATAATATATTTGGCGCGAAAAAACTTTTTCTATGTTTATCGAAACAAGATTATTTTCCTCCACATCTATCTAATATGGACTAAACTTTTGTTTCTTGATCTTTGTCTTTTCTTTACCATGTCTTTTCTTGTTCTTCTTGTGCTCTTGAATTTTATGGTTTTTATTCTTCTTTTCAGAATCGTCCATTTCGACATCAGCCTCTTCATTTTGATCAGCTGCCAATTTCAATACTTCAGTCAATGGAGAGCTCATTTCCCACACATTGATTTTACCATCTTCACCCCCGGTAAATACCAAGTTAGGATGTTTAGCACTTACCAATACACAACGCGCAATTTCTTCGCCGTGTGGGCGGTCAATTATCACCGATTTCGACATCTTCAATTTTTCTTTGGCAAACCTCACGAGTTTCACCTGATTTTTATCATTGATCGACCCGCATGCCACGTATCCTCGACCTTTGGAAGAAGACTCGACGTACAAATCCACCACGTATTCGCAACCCCATTTTTCTCTAATATCCCCAAACTCGAGGGGTTTTGGCTCGATTGCCGCTTCCACCGTCATGTCGTTCAATTCCGCCACCCCAAATGTCTCCATATGGGTTAATCCAAAGATTCTGGTACTGGTCAACCACCCTGCCGAATGGATCGATGCAAATTCCACCACTTGGTAAAGACAATCGTCTTCTAGTTCTTGCGAAAGATCAAAGACGTTGATACAGCCATCGGTGGACCCTGAGAGCAACAATTTCTTGTTTGTTGGATGGAAGGCAAGAGCAGTGACATCGTCGTGCTGGGTTTCTACCAACGACCGTACCAACTTGCCCTGGTTATTCAAATCCCAAAGATGAATATGGGCATCACTAGATTTCAATTCAGTGCCGGCTGCCAAGTATCCCGACAACGGTGAGTATGCCAAAGATAAGAACGCAATGCCCTTAGGATCGGAGAGTTCGTAGCTTGGCAGTTGAGGGGTTGGAGAATCGATGTTCCATACTTTGACGGCGTCGGTACTGCACGTAGCGATGGTGGAATCGTCAATGGCTATTAGTTTGGCGATGCAGTTTGCATGGGCTTTTATTACGAGTTTCGCCGAGGATGGGAACGACAGAGACAGGGAAAGAGAATAGATATGGATTTCCCCATTGGATAACGAGGCAGCAACAAGGGTATTATTTTTCAATGGTACGAGATCGATGATCCAGTTTGAACCGTGGGACCACAGATGGAGGAGTTTTGAAGTGATATTTTGGGACATGGTTAATAAAAGAGGGAAGTTTGCATTTGAATGAATGATGGGTCTAAAAGTATTCTCTCTATCTTGAAATAATAGAATTAAACAAGGATAGCTATATGTAGATGGAGAAAGAAAAGTTTTTATCTCATCGGGGGCCATATAGTGCACTTAGCAATATTATATATATATCACATGACAAATCACGTTTCAAAAATTGACCTGACATAATTAATTACCCTCCCCCCTCAGCCAACCAACCCAATCCCAATAGGGGAAGAAGCCAAAACAAAAACAGCGGCGGCGGCTGCTGCTGCTGCTGCTGCTGGGGACAACTGAGTGGTTGAACAAAGAGCATGGGTGTGGCACACCCCAACAAATACACATAACACCTGGAAAAAAAAAAAAAAAAGGGGTTTTCTGCCTGCAGACGCATCCAATTTTTCTCCATTTTATTATTAGTGGGTTGACACACCCACACGTATTTTATATTTATATATATATATATATATATATATTTCAATTTACTCTCTTTTGTGGCACACCATACATTATCTCTCTAATCATCACACTGTCTTTATTTCCCCAAAACAAGTTTGATTGTCTATCCTTCCAATCAGATAATACCCCCCCACACTCATACAAATTACTGTCGATATCCATATTATTTTTTTTTTTAATTAGCTGTACACTAATTTTTTTATCACTCCATCATCCATAATACTAATAATAATAATAATAATAATAATAATAATGCTCTTCAATAAATTCGCCTTGTCAGCTCTCTTGTCCAGTTTGGTCCTTGCCGACAACCAAAACAAGGTCATTCTTAACGATATCACTATTGTTACCGTCACCTATACTCCTGGCCAACCGATTTCCACTCCTACTCCAGCAGCGGCAACTTATTCGGTTTACCAAACTACCAAAACCGTCAACGGTCAAGTCACCACCATTAACCCACAAATTGTCCAGCCAATTACTGAGTATGTCACTGTGACTGCTTCTGCTGCTGCCTCTTCTAGTGCTGCTGCTACCTCTTCTAGTGCTGCTGCCACCACTTCTTCTTCTGCTGCCATTGCTGCCACCACTTCCTCTTCTTCTTCTTCTTCTTCTTCTTCTACTACTCCTGTTATTTCTTCAACTACATCTTCTACATCCTCTAGCTCTTCCAGCGCCCCAACTACTGCTGCTAGCACTCATACCGTCACCGTGACTGACTGGGTAGTCGAAACCATTTACGCTGTTAGCACCGTTTACGTGTAAATTAATTTGATACCTTGCCTCTTCTAGACTTCGTTACCCTTTTCCCCATTTGCTGCTTCCCATCACAGGCATTTAATTGCTTTATTTTCATTTATTTTTTTCAGTTCCAATATTGGTATATACCAGACAAAGAGAGAGAAACCCCCCCAGAAAAGTTATACTAGAATAATAATAATGGGAAGAGAAAACTGCTTTTAGTCTGTCTTATTTTTTCAGTTTCAAAGTCTTTCTTTCACACACACATAAATTAAAAAAAATTCATATATAATATTAATAACGTCAAAACTGCATTTCAAGAAAATTCCATTTATTATTTGACAAAAGTACTGTTGATGTTGAAGTTTCTTTGTTCTTTTCTATTCCCAGCTATCTATGTTTATTGGTTAGTGACACATCCATCTACTTTTTTAATCTTCTTTATAAACAAATAAAATTTTAATTATCGTTTAGTTTTTTTTTTTTTTTTTTTTTCAAGTTGTTCATTGCAGTAATAAGGTAGAATAATAAATAAATCTTCTGGGTATTGTTGGAGTTAAGTTAGAACTGGAGGGGGAATCACTATATATTTAGGAACGAACGAACGGCAAAACAAAACAAAACAAAACAAAACAAAACAAAACAAAAAAAGCCATCATGTTGGTGGTATCTTGAGATTCCCAACACAACACAACACATGGGGTGGGTCTGTACTTTTCTGTCAAATTTAAAACGAATCATTACCCATTATTACGTGAGCTGCTGCACTTCATTATCTACCAAAAAAGAGGAAATTATTATTGAATTCTGGTGTCCTAAAAGTTAGTAGAATTAACGGATCTTTTAGCCTGCCTGCAGTGGGTGTGGGTGGAAACTCAGATCCGCCAACCAGGCGCATCCAAAGCTTCTGGTTCATCTTTACTAAAATTCAAATCTACGGAATTACCAGGCTTCAAATATATCATGCATAATATATATATATATATATATAATAATAATAATAACTGTAGAATTAACAATAATGTCCTTCATTTCATATATATATATATAAATTATCAACATCTTCTTCTTCTTCTTCTTTTTTGTTTTTCCCCCTTTCCACGGTTTATTGATAACTCCGGTGATAAACGCATAGCGATACCAATTAACTCCGTCGAAAATAATATTTCTTATAGAATTTTAAAAACACAATGAAATCTTCGTCTCTTTTAAGTGTTCTTGTGCTTCTTTGTTCCCCAGCTATTGCTGCTCCTTTGAACCATGCGGTTTCCAGCGACACTTCCTCCTCCTCCTCCTCCTCTTCCATCAACTGGAGCACTGTTGATTACAATGTCGACTGGAACACCGTTAGCTATAACGTCAATTGGAGCACCATTAGTTACAACGTCAATTGGAGCACCGTTAGCTATACAAATGAATGGAGCACCGTTGGTTATGACAACCGTATCACCACCCTCACGAAAATGCCATCGCAAACCTTAGGTGCCGGCCACATCCATGCTCCAATCACCTCTGCTTCTTCGTCCACTTCTGCAGCAGTGATGTATGCTGATGAAGGGGTTTCGACGCTTTTTGATGACTCTGGAGACACTACAGATTCCGACACAACCACCAATGCTTCTGAAGAAGATAATGATAGCACCACAGTTTTCGATGACCTTACAGCGACCGCCCACTACACCACTCCGTCCATTACCGAAACTTCTTCTGCTTCTTCTGCCACCGATGCTGGGAATGCCGATGAAGAAGTTTCTCCATCATTTCGTACTGTCAGCAAGACTGAGACACATCATAATAACTCCACCACTAATGGCCACAAGACTCATTCGCACAAAACTAAACATTCTAAATCACACATCACCAAGACCACCAAATCTAGTGACACCACTACCAAGACCAGTACAAGTGTTAGCATCACATCCTCTTTGAATGCCAACGCTACTGAGGGAAAGACAACAATCCAAGATAATGCCTCTTATTCTTCATTGGTATCGTCTGAGTTATCTTCTTACAATTCGGCCCAATCGGTAAGAGCCAGTTCTCTTAGAGCCCAAGTGACCAATCCATACGATTATTAAAGGGAGTAGTGGTATCATTATAAAATAGGATAAATTGGGTTTTGTTTTTGTTTTTGTTTTCTTTTTGTTTGTTTGTGCTTTAAATTTTTTATTGATATATAAATACATATATAAATATACTATACAGTTATAGATTCATTGTTAGAAATATATTCGGGTAGGACCGAAATTTTGTAAAAAATTTTTTTTATCGCTTAGTTGGGGGCAGATCACTTGTCAAGAAATGGGATGGTAAATGGATATGATTCGATATGTCTTGAGAGATTATAGATGTAAATATGATATAAGCATTGTATAAAAGGGGTAATATATCACACACACATATATATATATATATATAACATGTTATCTGGTGGCATGGAAGAAAGAAAGAAAGAAAGGAAGGAAGGAAGGATATATAATAATAAGAAAGGAAGGACATCACATCACCGAAGATCGCAACCTGTCAGATAATCACAATAAAATAAGTAAAATGTCTCAGATCAGATCTTAGCACATAAAAATTTTCATTTTTTCGCAGTTTTTTTTTTTTTTATTGTTGTTTTAATTAAACAATTCTATTTTATATAAAGATATATCCCCCGTCACTCTTCTCGAGAAATGTAAATGCCCTATCACTATTCGAGACAACGACAACGACAATGGCACACGCACCAGACGACGACGACGGCGACGACGACAAAAACTGCTACGGAGGAGTCTTCTGGGTCTGCTGCCTGTGCTGCTATATGAACGACGGCAAGCGCCAACAATGCCACCAGTGCCAGCGTTCCAAGTGCGGGTTTTGCCACGAGGTGTAGGCACAGTACCACAGCGACGGGTGTCTGATGGCTTTTTTTCTGCCGTCAGAAAATTTTCTCTCAATAATCATTTGATGGGGGTACCTTGTGGGGAGGAAAGGAAAGGAAAGGAAAGGAAAGGAAAGGAAGACAGGATCTCAACAATTGGCCCCACCCCCCTCCCCCCCTCCCAACAGCAGGAAAAACCTCAAGATATGCTCCTATACTTCGAATCAGAACAGTTCCTCACAAACGACCCGAAAAACGCCTCGTTGAAGTCAAGGATCTTCGAATCGGCGGATTCCAAAAAGATAAAGTCTAACGGTAAACAGGTCCTTGCCCTAGTATCGTCCACTTTACGATACCAGCAGTTCCTCAAAGACATTATCAAACACTCGAAACTCCTTAAACCTTCCGGGACCACAAAAATCCCAAAGAAACTCACCCCCAAGTTGTCGCTCTTGCTCGTCCATGATCTATTATTGACGAAATCAGGAAGAATTCAGTCCGCAAAACATCCCATCAAGGACTACGTCTTGGCCCACAAGACAAGAATCCACTCAGAATTCATCAAGCTCAAGCTCAAACACAAAGTAAAAGATTTAAGTGAGCTTGTGAAAGACGACCAAGAAGATGATAATAACCGTGATTATACCCCGGTCAGATGGGTCCGTGTCAACACCATCAAAAGTACCGTCGACGCCGTATTGACAAAAGACCCTTTTTTCAAAAAACTCACCAAAGTAGACGCTTTTGAAAAAGTAATTGACACCCCAGGAACCATCTTCCACGACCCGTACATTCCCAACTTATACGGGCTTCACCCTAAAGATAAGGTCACCTCGACCGACGCCTACAAGCAGGGGAAAATCATCATTCAGGACAGAGCCTCGTGTTTCCCCGCCCACATTCTTCATCCTCTGCCAGGTGATCATATCATTGATGCGTGTGCTGCCCCAGGTAACAAAACCACCCACGCTGCCAGTTATGTGAAGAACCAAAAACACTCGATTGTCGCCTTCGAAAGAAATTCTGCTAGATCACAGATTTTGCGGAAGATGGTGGCCCGGGCTGGAGCTTCTAAGTGTATCAGTGTGAAAAATCAGGATTTCACCACCGCTAGCCCTAAAGAATTCAACGATGTGGTGGGATTCATTGTTGATCCATCGTGTAGTGGTAGTGGGATCTTTGGTAGATCAAAAGATGATAAGTTGAACAAAAATCAACCAGAGAAAAAAACACTGGAAAAGACCACCACCAATGAGGAGGAAGATATCGTTGAAGAAAATGATGATGATGACGAAGAAGAAGAAGAAGAAGAAGAAGAGCCTATTAGTGGGAAAGATAAAGAAAGACTTGCTAAGCTCTCGTCATTCCAATTTACCATTGTCAAGCACGCTCTTCTGTTCCCTCTGGCGAAAAAACTCGTGTATTCCACATGTTCCATTCATGCCGAGGAAAATGAACAAGTGGTGATTGATTTGCTCAATGATGGACAAATTAAGAACGCTGGCTGGAGATTATGTACCAGAGATCAAGTGATACCCGATTGGCCACGCCGTGGATGGAGTGATGAATTTGTAAAAGCAAGATTTGGCGAACAAGAACTGAAAGCTTTAGCCGAAGGATGTATTAGAAGTTTACCAAAAGTCGATGGGGGTATTGGGTTCTTTGCTGCTGCGTTTGAAAGAGATTAGAAGACGTATATTATATTGACAATAGAAAATCTGTTGTTGTATTTTAATTATTTTTTATTATATGATGAATATTATTTATAATAGCAAATGGCTTTGAACCATGGAAGTAAATAGATACGAAGAAGATTAAAAAGAAGAAGAAGATGATGATGATGATAAAGATGAAGAAGCAGATGAAGAAGAAGATGAAAAAAAAAACACACATTAAAATTATGACATTAGGTAAAGCTATTAAAAAAAAAAAACACATTAAAATTATGACATTAGGTAAAGCTATTAAATAACGTAACAAATAACTATTGATATTAGCAAAAAAAATAAAAAAAATGGAAGAATGAAAATTGCAGGAATTATTATTCCACAAAACAAGATGAATAGAATTTTTTTTTTTTTTTTTTTTTTTCTCATCAAAAATTATACTGTAAGAATGATCCACCCAAAGGCAACAATCGCAAGGGCAAGATTCATATGATTTTTTTTAGAATCCATGGCTCCATTGATTTTGACAGTCAGATTATCAACCTGACTTTTCAAGATGTTTTTAATGGTCATAGGATAAGAGTTTTTCGAATCAGTAGGCTTATTCTGGAACGACATCGAGGCTTCCCATAACATCACCCCACCAAAATGCGAATCACTATCCACCAGCTTGATGAGGGTTTGTAACTCGGCCGAAGTTTCGATATAACCGGTGCTTGAAGAGTTCACCGATCCCGGAAGTCCCAAATACACTTGAACGTCGGAGTTCAACGAGGTGTTTTGCGCGTAATCAGCCCAAGTATCCCAGTTGAAACTGCTGTTACTGTTGGCATTACAATCGTTATTGTAAAATTGCACAAACACCATGTCAAGGGAGTTCCCAGCCAAGATGGTGTTCATGTTCTGATCAGGATATGGACATTGTGGTGCCGCACTGTAATAGTACTTCTTCTTTGTGGAACTAGAGGTGTAGTTTTGTAAGGTTTCAATGAGAGTAACGTATCCTTCAGTTTGATCATTCTCGATGTCGAAATCAAACCCATCGATCACCGAATCCCCGAATGGTCTTGGAAGGGTGATGTTCGATTTGGTATGATTTTTTTCCCCAAACATTTGCCATAGCGTATGACCAAACTCTTGTGCTTGTTCGGTCGAATCAAATCCGTAGGACCCTGCTTCTCCTCCAAGAGAAAGCAAGATCTTCTTGTTACGCTTCTGACAGTACTTGATGTCTTTGGCGATCCGTGACATTACTGCGGTATTGTTCACCGAGAATTCCGAGTCTTTATGATGTGGGAACGATAAGGTTGGAATATATGTCTCGTATTTCGACGAGTAAGTCCCCGGGAAGTCTTGCATAAATGCCAACATAATGATATCGACACTGTCCCAATTACAATACCACCAGAGCTCTTTTTCATTATTCTTGAAGTTGGAAAGGTACCCTAGGGAGTTCTGCCCCCAGTAAATAGCGACGGTATCTTTCGATGTGGAGATATTAGTTGCTGGTGATGATGAGCCAGCAGTGGCAACTGCCACCACCATCATCATTAGTAGACCCGAGATTTTGGCAATGAATGATGGAACCATCTTTTCTTTTTTTTAGAAGTCGTACTTATTAAGTTCGCTATGCAAGGAGGTTATTAACACGACGAGGAGGAGTGGCTTGGTAATAATAATAATACTAAAAAAAAAAAAAATAGGTCTCAGACACTTGTCTCAATTTAGCCACCGTCAATTAATAATATGTGGAAAGTAATGAGTTTTTCAATGGGGAAAAGCAGGATAATTTGGGATTGATTCAAAGAATAGATTGATAATTCAAAGAATCGGGATCAAATATAATGGATGATGAAAAACAAAAAAATCAAAAAAAATCAAGAATTGAATATATAATACACAGATTTTCACCGAACCCCAACCTGTTATATAGTGTCTCACTTTCCGATGCTTAATGCTGGGACTAATGGGCATGATGAATAAGGATTTGTTGACGTTTTGCCTAATATGGGAGGGAGCGCTGCAGGCAGTGCATATTGACAGCCAGGCTTTGGTGAAAATGACAATATCCATCAGTTAGTGTTTATGTTTTCCTCGATTAGGAAGTGGTGGACCCTATTGATATCTCTTTTCCTTACAGTTTTTTTTTTTTTTTCCTCTTCTTCTTGGTCTTTATTTTGTTTGTTATAGTTTTTCTTATTGTGGTGTTTTCTGCTGGAGCCCTTTCATAGAAATATTTCTTACTGCAACCTTTGAATTGAGGATAGTTTTCTTTTTTTTCTTTTTTTTTTTTTTTTCGATCTAAATGTATTAGTGTCTTTGAAGGCACATATATCTATTGAATACGTAACTTATTTAAGTCACCTCATTCAATATAGCAATTATTAACTACTGTTCCTGATTCAGAATTACCAGTTTGCTCGCTATCAATTGCACAAAGCGAAATGAACGAAGAATGTGTGTGCGCGATCTCGATTGCCAATTAATTCCCCAAGAGATTGATATTTTGATGAGTTGATGGCTTAATTATAAGGGATATTTTTTTTTGACAATTAGAATGGCCCATATTTTATTTGATAAGTGGATAATTGGAATGATCCATATTTTTTTTTTTTTTGATAATTGGACCATATCGTTCAGATATAGGGTGGGATTAATTCATTTATTCATGTTATCAATAAGAGAGAGAGAGAGAGAGAGAGAGAGAGAGAGAGAGAGAGAGAGAGAGAGCGAAGTGGGGAGGGATTAGTGATAATTGTTTTGAAAAGAGTTTACCGATTGCACTGTCAAATCTATCATGAAGTCAGAGTGACGTTATGAATCAAATAGTTGTTCAGACCACTGTTGATTGTGACTTTATTTTATTTTTTTTTTTCTGTTCTGGTTCATTCATTTCCTAGAAACCTTCTTCATGAGCCTGCCATCGTGATCAATCTCTCTATAATTAATAATCAGTCTCTCAACAATTAACCTATCTGTTACTCAATCATTAATCAATCAATAAATTAAGATCAAGATTTCCATTTCGATCAAATTGATTTAAAATTTTGTGGCCATTATTTAATTCTCGCGACTTCCTCAAATTAAATGGCTGTTTCATTTGATATTATCGTGTGGTGTTAATAACATCATGGCCCTTCAAAAAAAACAACTAAAAAGGCATGTCTTCTTCAACAATCTTTTTTTAAAAAAAGAGGGCTGTAATGTAATATTCTTCAAGCGGTGATATTGGAACTTAATCAATCCATAGTCTTGGGTCTGAGCTATCTGTTCGATTTAATCTATTAGTTGGATCTTTATGAAAGATATTGAACACGTTGATGATATGACCCGGAGACATTTTTTTTTTGTTTTTTTTGAATTAATCAAATTCCCAATAATCCGTAATAGTTACTTATCGGCATCACGAATGGACTGTTGGAGAGGATAAATAGCTCAAAACAGTAAAAATAGATTCATTTTTTTTTTTTTTGTTTTTTGTCTTCCTCCCAATCTGTAATTGGATAATTGACTAATTAGTTTAAATAAGTGGCGGTTCAAAGAGAATAATAATAATAAATTACCAGAGATTATCTCCCCCCCCCCCTCAAAGTGATGGCCCAGAGATTCCCGTGAAAATGGTCGACGTCCAAAAGTTGGTTGGACATCCTTTTTTTTTTCCATGTATGTGTGCACCGTAACTGAACACTCCCGATGTGGTCATCATATTACCATTTTACTTTATCTTTAGTACGTGTACTTGTGGCAGTTGGGCTGTATAGGGAAAAGGAGCAAACACTGGAATAGAAAAAAAGAAAAATTTGCAACCGTCTTATTTTCGGAGCTGGGATACTGGGATGGAACGTGTGTGTGTGTGTGTGTTTTACAATATGTGACATCGAGGGTAATTCGCGGTCTGATCCTGGTCATTACTGCAAGAAAAGCACGAAAAAAAAAACGAACATAATGTCTCTCTCTCGAAGGCGTATCGCTCGCTATCAAAAAAAGTTTGCTATTTTTGTAATTTGGGTTGGGATGTTTTACCACATTGTTAATCCCAGAAACAAATGCTGCATCACGGTGGTGGTGGTGGTGGTGCAGCAGACTTTCCTTCCTTCCTTCCTTTTCCTACATGGGAGAACGATAATAATAATGGCGGATTCTGACTGTACAAAGATTCGTTTTACTTGGAGAGTTGCCAAATAAAATTAATGAAAAAAAAGATTCTGTGCTTTGTCTACAGATATGCCTCTCCCAATCTTTTTTTTTTTTTTTTTCCTCTATCTTCAGCCAGCTTTGACAGACAGAACAGAACAGCACAGAACAGAACAGAACCCGGTGACTGCCAGCGATGATGGTGCACCCCTCAACATTATATAACACTAAACCTAAAGGTAAAAACAGCATAATTATTATAATTTTATAAAACCAATGGGACTAACTCAATTCCGTGCTAATGAGCTCCTCTCTTTTTTTTTTTTTTTTTTTATCCCCCCTTTTGGGCTTCAATTGGATACGTTTTTTGTTTTTTTTTTCTTTCCCAAAACCTCTTTTCTTCCATACATGCAAGATTAAACAATGTCGATGGTGATAAATTACATTGTTACTCGGCAATAACCAGCCACAAAGCCATGTTGAGATGAAAAAAGGTAACTCAGAATAATTGAGCGACCGAATGAATGTCTGTACAATTAAAGAAGTAGCCACCGAAATGAAAGAAAAAAAAAAAAAAAAGAAAACTAAGCCTTAACCTCCTGACAGGGATGCAAATCAATGGATCGGCAAGCTTAAAATTCTTGGGAGAGTCTGGGTGCAGTAGACGAGACGAGACGAGACGAGTCTCTCTCTCTCTATCTCTAGAGGATCCTGGCTAGCTCCATCAAGCATGACTGAGGTACGGGAAAACATAAATATTACTACAATAATTTAGGAGAGCGGAACGTATTCAATATTATTGCAATTATTTCATCTTTGAGGGAGAGGGGGAGGGGGAGGGGGCTAATTATTTGGTTTTGTCATTAAGAGATTTATAGATGATCTTCCAATTTAATCGAATTGGCCATTTCCATCCAGCTAAAACTCCTACAGCACTGATATTCCCTGTTGCTTCGCGTATATAGGCAATTTACTTTCCTATATCGGTGGTGGTAATTTAATGGTGGTAATTGATGGATCTGCACAACAGCTCCTGTCAGATGTAAGATCGCATGCAGGTATTCTTTTTCCAACATCAGCAGCCCAAATTGTATTGGCAATGTCATATATATACATGTATATATATATATATATATATATATATAGGAACAGCATTCCAAGAACAAACATTCAGTTACCAATATCATAAATCTCTACCTTTATACCCCAAAATACCCCATACATCCATATTTTTCCGGTTTTTCTTTTTTTTTTTTTTTGGTTTTCCAATATTTTATTGTGCACCCTTCATTCATTCATTCATTCATTCATTCATTCATTCATAAAAATATTTCTGTCCCACCCACCAAAATAATGTCCAACCATCAAGCACTCGAAGTGTTTTTACAAACACCAATCAATTACAAAATGATACAAGCATTGGTCCACAATACCCTCAAAGTGCTCCCTTGCCCAGAAGACGCGTACCCTTCACCAAAGTCTTCTCCGAACCCTTGCGACACTAAGAAAAAAGCCCCATCGTTATTCTCGTTCATCTCGAGAATTGTCAAAGAGTCTAGCACCCATACCGGCACCCTCATGGCCACCCTAGTGTATTTGAAAAGATTACACGAGAAATTGCCCGCCGACGCCACCGCCCAGGACCCCAGCACCAGGCACCGAATCTTTTTGGCGTGCTTGATCTTGAGCGCCAAATTCCACAACGATTCGTCGCCTAAAAACAAAGACTGGGCCCATTTCACCGGGGGGATATTTGACATTTTCGAAGTCAACGAAATGGAATCACAATTATTGTTTTTGTTGGACTGGGACGTGTCGGTGTCCAACCCCGATCTTTTTGCAGTGTTGAAAGACTTCCTAGAGCCAATCAAGCAAGAAATCAATAATATCGTCAAATTACAAAACTTCCTTTCGCATCAACGTCAATCGCAAACGCGAAAGGAAAAAGTCTCCAAATTGAAAAAATCAATGAGCTTGGCGACAACAACTTCTTTCAAACAGACATCAAAGTCCATAGATACCCAGCAAAAAATTGCCAGAAGCACCACCGAGCCAAACCTCCTCCAATACCCACAGTACGAGCCATCATCGTCTCCAGATTCCCCGTCCATTATCGTCGTCGGTAAAGCCACCACAGTTAAAAGACTTCAACCACCGGTGTATATTTCTCCTTCTTCAAAAATCACCAAAAACGCCCAACACGAACCAAAGATCCCCGATACCCTTCCATCGCTACCACCTATCGACAAAAATCTCAACTCCCATCATCCTAAATCCAAGAATCTCAACTACCGCAGTGTCCAGTACGCCAGATCCATCAACAGTGGGCTTTCTAGTCTTTCTAACAGCTCCAGCAATGCCAGTCTTGGCAGCACATTGTCGAATTCCAGCTCGGTTTCTTCGGTGTTTAGCCAAAACCCAGGGCTTACAAATTCCGATTCCTATTCTTCCTTCTGTGAATCAGTGTTGGATGATTCCGACAATGATGATGAGGAAGAGGATTACTTCTTACAACCGGTTCCATTGTCAGAATCTTCCAGAGATTTGTTCAATTGGAAATACCAACTTGTTGAAAAAAACTTCAAGCCAAAAATGGCCAAGAAGTTAGAAATGAACAGACAGCAACACCCATTAGCGATCGTCAGTGATGACTGATTTGATTCGATTCGCAAACATAGAATTCCAGTGATTATTTTTTTCCCCTCCCCCTTCTTTCCTAGACCTCTTAATTTCTACCGTGCAATAATTCGCTCGCACTTTTCAATGTACTTTTAATAATAATAATAATAATAATTTAATCTCTACTTTGTTTATTTAATTTCATCTATACTTTGTTTACTTATTTGGTAAGAATTATCCGAAGATCTGTCTTTAAATAACAAGAACTAACTGTTTCCTGTTCTTCTTTCAGTTCGATTAATAACCTATGGTCTCCTTTTTTGCAGTTGTAAAGCGTTTGAAGCAGATTATTATTTATTATTTATTATTTAATATACATAATCTCTGACGCCATTCACGTGACATGCTGCCAAAGTTGTCGTCAAAACATTTTATTTTATCCACATTCCCTTCATAGTAGTAGTAGTGTGGACGGACTTTAACTCGGATAAGAGCGATATACTCTGGCCAATCGGATTTTCAATCATGATATGTGATACCCGCCACTGAATATGCTGATTAATGGACAAAATAACTAAAAGCTAGTGAAAAAATGCAACTCCGGTGGTAGCAATCGCAATTCGCCGTTAACTCCAAAAATACGCCGGCTTTAAAACTAAGTGGATTAGTAATTGAGGAGGAGCAATAATATATATAAGGGGCAAAATTGTTTGTGTTTCCTTTGATAGTCATTGCAATACAACATCTTTTTTGTAGTTAAAAATACAACAACAACAACAACAACAACAAAAAGATTACATACATATTAACAAACATTCGACAAGATGACCACCCCACACGTTAAAATCGTCTATGGCAGTGCCGGAATCACTCACATTGACAAGGCAGACATGAACTCTGTGGTTGATATTTTGAAGAAAAATAACGTGGACGAGATCGATACCGCGAGAATCTATCCCGGTAGTGAGAAGGCCCTCGGTGACCATGGGTTTTCTAAACACTTCATCGTTGATACCAAGGCAAGGGGGTTTGCGCCCAATGCCTTGACTTCGGAGGGAATCAAAGCTGCCATTGATGAATCATTGAGTGATCTCCAAGTCGATTCTGTCGAGACTTATTTCTTACATAGTCCTGATCCAGCCACCCCAATTGAAGAAACCTTGGCCGCGATCAATGAGCTTTACAACCAGAAAAAGTTCAAGAGATTCGGGGTGTCCAACTTCTCGCCATCTCAGGTGGAGCAAATCTATGATTTATGTCATAAACACGGATACGTCCTTCCTAGTGTGTACCAAGGTAATTACAACGCAGTGTCTCGGGCCATCGAAAGCGATCTTTTCCCAATATTGAGAAAATTGAATATTTCCTTCTACGCTTACTCACCAATTGCCGGGGGATTTTTAGCACGTACCAAACAAGACTTGACTTCGGGAACTCCAAACCGGTTCAATCAAAAAGATATGGTCGGGACCATTTATAACAGTCTTTACAATAAACCTGAGTTGGTCAAGGGGCTTGAAACTTGGGGGTCCCTTGCTGAAAAAGCCGGCACCACCAGAGCAGGACTTGCTTATCGATGGATCATCTATCATTCGGAACTTTCTAAGCAGAATGGTGACGCGGTGATTATCGGTGTTCGTAGTGTTGCGCAATTGGAGCAAATCTTTGAGTTTGTCAACGAAGGGCCTATCAAGGATGAATCCATAGTGTCTGAAATTGATAAGCTTTGGGATAATGTCAAAGATGAGGCACCAGTCAATAACTATTCCTTTGTTGAAAAGCAAATTTCTGGATGATCCCATTGAATAAACGACATTCTTTATATATATATATATGTATATATATATATATATTTGCTACATAGTTTGGATTTTTTTTTAATATCAATACATAACTTGATGTTTGATTCTTTGGATAATAATAATCACGTATATCACAGTAACACCACCATATAATAATAATAATAATAATAATATATCACCATTTACCAATATATGTCATGTTGGCCCCGGTGACGGCGTCTGGTTGCGAGCCCCCACCCCTTCCATCTGCGGTGCGACCACCTGCTTTCCCTTTTTTTTTCCGGTTGACTCATCCTTTTTTGATATTTCAAATTTAACCGTTTGATACCCCACCAAAATATTTTCCTTGACTAGAGATCACTTTTTGTTTTTTTTTGTTTTTTTCAAGTGATAATATTAAAATATTTTTATTATTAGTTTCCCCCCCTCTCCAAAAAAATGTCCTCGCAACAGTATAGATCTACCAGATCGTCCAGTACCTCACAACTCAGCTTCGAAGAAGCGGTGATGACAGGTTTGGCCCCAGATGGCGGGCTTTTCCTTCCATCGGTGATCCCCCAATTACCAGAAACCTTCTTGACCGAGTGGAAGGACTTGAGTTTCCAAGAATTAGCGTTCAAGATTCTCAGATTATACATCAACCCTCAGGAAATCGACGATGCGGGATTGCAAACCTTGATCAGCAAGTCATACTCGACCTTCAGATCCCCAAAAGTCACTCCGTTGCACAAGATTTACAACGATATCAATATCTTGGAACTTTTCCACGGGCCAACTTATGCGTTCAAGGACGTGGCGTTGCAATTTGTCGGGAATTTATTCGAATACTTCTTGACCAGAAAAAACGCCCATCTTGCTGCCGACAGTAAGGACCGTCACCACATCACTGTGGTGGGGGCCACTTCTGGGGATACCGGAAGTGCGGCAATCTACGGGTTGAGAAACAAGAAGGATGTCTCGGTGTTCATCTTGTATCCAACTGGTAAGATCTCCGCCATTCAAGAAGAACAAATGACCACCGTGGAAGACGCCAACGTCCATACCTTATCGGTCACCGGGAACTTTGACGACTGTCAGGGCATTGTCAAGGAAATCTTTGGGGACGTCGAATTCAACAGCAAGTACCACGTTGGCGCCATCAACTCCATCAATTGGGCAAGAATCTTGGCGCAAATCACTTATTACTTCTACTCGTACTTTGAATTACTCAGATCATCTAACAAATCTCCGGAGGAACTCAAGGTGAAATACGTGGTGCCAAGTGGTAACTTTGGGGATATCTTGGCTGGTTATTTTGCTAAAAAAATGGGATTGCCAATTGCCAAATTGGTGATTGCCACCAATGAAAACGACATCTTGGACAGATTCATGAAATCCGGGAAGTACGAAAAAGAATCATCCGAAGTCAAGGCCACTTATTCTCCAGCCATGGATATTTTGATTTCTTCCAACTTTGAAAGATTGTTGTGGTACTTGGTAAGAAATAACTTGGGCAATGACCAAGCTGCTGCCGATTTACAAGCCGGAGAAACCTTGAACAATTGGATGAAGGATTTGAAAGCTGGCAAACCAATCGAAGTCGATGCCAAAACTTTGGAAGCAGCCCGTGCTGATTTCGATTCTGAAAGGGTCAGCAATAGTGAAACCATCGAAACCATCAAGTTGGTGTACCGCGAATCTCTGCAATCTTACGTTATTGACCCACATACCGCCGTTGGGGTCAAGGCCACCCACCTTCAGAAAGCTAAGGACACCGAAAGTTTCGATTACGTTTCGTTGTCTACTGCCCATCCAGCTAAATTTTCCGACGCCGTTAGTAAAGCATTGAGCACCTTTTCAGGTTATAATTTCGAAGCCGATGTGTTGCCAGCCGAATTGAAGGCGTTGTCCACTAAAGAAAAGAGAATCAAGTTGGTGCCAAACCCTTCAGTCAAGGTGGTTGAAGATATCATCGTTGAAGAATTGGCCAAGGAAAATGCTTGAATTGTGATGTTTTTATGCTTTGTTTTTTTATTTTTACTTCCCGTTTATTTCTTTTTTTAATTAAAATTAATAATATATATTTTACATGTATCATTTGCTACGAATCAATAAATCTTGTCATTGATGATTTTCATTAGACATTATATAATACAAAAAGAAAAAGAAAAAAAAATTGGCCTTCATCATTGTAAATCTAAATCCTCTTGTTTGATGAACCCAACCAATTTCTTCACCTCCTCGGCGTACTTTGGATTCGACTTCATGAGCGATTGTAAAAGCTCTTCCTCATTTCCTTCTTGAATCAACGCATTGAAATCAAAATACTCTTCGTCGGAATCGGCATCATCGGCGAATTCCCCATCCCCGGCTCCTTTGTCCCCGGCCCTCGAGTCAAAATCAACGTCTTGCAAAGACGCTTCAATAATCAGTCTAATCCGCTCTTCAGGAATCTTTTTATTCTTATACAAGTACGGCAATTTGAATCTGATCAACCTTCTAATCGCTATCAAAATCCGGGGATTGTACCAGCCAAACGACTCATTAGGGACCTTGTTTAACGGTAAGTCTTTATTGAGGTCGAAAATCTCAACCACGTCGGGATCATGAAGATCTTTTACCAAAATTGATAAACTTTTCGGGAATTTGTCCCCCCAAAACTCAAACATTTGAGAATTGGTACTATTAGAATCCTCATCTTCATTGTCGCTATCCTCATCTTCTTTTAATAACGTTCCCGAACTCACTCCAACAACTCTGAACGATTCGTTTTGGTACATTCTATAACGTTGATCTTTTCTAGGATCCACTCCCATTTTAATACACATCATTCTCCAAGGACCTTTTCTAAACAAATATGACACGAATGGGAGCCCGGTTTTCAAACTTCTTTTTAAATATTTTGGCAACAGAAGCAACAACTGGCGTCGCAAATAGATCGGATGTTTCTCAAACATTTTTTGCAAATGCTCAATTGTCATTAAATTCTTGTACGCAAAGCTGGTTTCTTGGTCTCGTAACAATTCATTATGGAACGTCTGCGGGATCTTTTCACTGTGGAATTGCAAAGGTTTGCTATGGGGGAAAATATCATCCAAATCGAAATCATCTTCGTAATTAGAAACATGCTTGATTCTTTCAATCACTTGCACCACCAAGCTGGCCCATTCTTCCCATTCCCGAATAAGGGCAATATCGGGGGAACTAGGTACTTCAGGGCAATCCCACGCCATAATGGCGGCCCTAAGTCTTCTGGCCTTGTTGGTCGGCACCAATTTCGTTACTCCCGATTTCGACACTCGGGCAAAATTCTTTTCATTTTGTTGGTAGCCGTAAAAAGCCGGGACTTTCATACTGGAGAAAATTGGGGGAGGCGGAAGATCCAAATCCTCATCTTTTCTTGGTTTATTGTTAGCCGACCAAGGGTATTCGTCGATGGATATATCCAAGCTCAGAATTTTTTCCAAATCCCCCGTCAACACCGATCCGGCAACTTCTTGCGCGGATTTCGAGTTCTTGGTGATATATTGATAATCGCTCATTTCTCTAAACCGATAAGTTTTATTGATGATGGCCACCGGCTCGGTCTTTAAGTATAATGGTTGGTCCTTCTGTTGGCGATGATCATCGATGTACGCTTGCAAATTGCCGTGATATTTTTCATGGAGGATTTTCTTCAGCACGCTGATCTTCATCAATATATTATCAGTATGTGTCATCTTTCCCTCTATTGGGTGTTGGTATTTGTCACCGGGACGTAGTCTGAGTTCCAAAGGTTCTTGAGTCTTTGCCAGTTCGGCGATGGCACGGGCTCCTCCGGTCATTGCCACCGCTTTGTCGACATTTTTGATATTGAGAGGATACTCCACGCTGATAACCCGCGGGAGGTCCAAGGAATGAAGCCTGGCTTCCTGTTTTGACATGGTTTTGTGGGTGTTGATTGATGAAGAAGAAGAGTTTTGGGATGTTTTTTGTTTATATTGGCGAGATTTCACTAAATTATTTAAATTTTGTGTGCATGCGTGCGGAAAGTAAACAACTTTGAATCATTTTTGTATATGATCATGACATTGGAATTTAAAAGAAACAATTATTAGGAATTATATTTTATATTAAAAACTGGCACACAGATAAATACTAAATAATCTTATCTGTAAAAATTGGAACTAAAAAATGAAATCTAAAACTTTTAAGCGAACTATTAAAAAAAAAACAAAAAAAAAACATCAAAAATACAACTAACCAACCTACTTCTTCTGAGCAGCAGCAGCCTTGGCCGCCATTTTGGTTCCGAAACTCTTCAAAGCAAACGGCAAGATAGCATTGTTGACGGCGATCCAGGCGATCAAAACACCATAGTTTCTCCCCATTTCCCCTTTATAACTATTATTGAAGATCACTTTGAAAAGTTCTGCGGCATTGTGCAATGGATAAAAGTACCCATAACGGTAGAAATCTGGCAACACTGCAAGCGCAAAGAACGCCGAGGAGATGTTGCTAATCACCCAGAAAATCAACCAAAATCCAATTAATGGGGCGTAGAATGGGATGATGAAAAGTGCCATGTTTTCATTGGCCCCGCCTACCGCGGACATGGTGAGAAACGAGGTCATCCAATACACCAAGAACCCAGCGTTACCAAAGGTCACGGAGAAATCTACTTGGAAAGCAAGAGACACCCAACAGTACGCCAACGAGATGACAAAGTAGGAGAGTTGTGCACTGACCATCCGGTATATCACAAAGTGTTGTTTGCGAATTCTCGGAGCAATGATCTGGTGGACCGGAGCAAAGAAGTTAAACTGGAAGAATGTAAGAATGATGAGGAAAATCATCCCCACTTGGCAAGGAGCCAACAAAGTGGTGTTAGTAATGGGTAAATTATCCACAAGACGAACCAGCGGGACGTTTGAGATGAGCTGGGGAGCGGTATTGATCAAATTTGATCTCTCGTCATTGGTAAGATTATTGGTGATGATCGGGGCGTATACTTGCTCGGCAAGAATTGTGGGATTGAAAAGGTATTGATAATATTGTAATAATGGCAACACACTGGAATTCATCGCGAGAGCATCACGACCGGTTTCGTAAATCGCATCGACCGAAATATCGGTATCGGCAGTGGGATCGAATGAGGTATTGGCAGTCTTAAGAGCTTGGTATAGGCTATAAGTGGTGTTGGCCTTGACGTAAACCGCCACCCAGTAATGTTGATGGTGGATGAGATGGTTGATCTCTTGGGTGGCATTGAACGGCTGGTTATCGTTTTTGTCGTAGGCGGCTTGGAATTCTGCACCAGAGTAAATGTGGAAATCACTGTTGATCACCATCAATGGGTCTTTAGCAACATCGATGGCAGTTTGCCCAATTAGTGGAGGAATACCATCGACTTCAACATCTTCAACCACCAACAACATTCTAACGTTTTTGTAATGTGATGCTCTTTCATAAAGAGCGCCCCAATAAATGGAGAAGATTAGTAATAGGCAAGTGACCATGATGGCCCAGTTTTTGAGGAACGTCAACACCAAAATTCTTCGTTCTTTGGCAAGCTTGCGAGAAAAAAAGCCATGAGAGTTTGGCAATGATTTTGTGGTGGGAGTTCTTGACAATTCAACGTGGGATTGCTTGGGTGTTTTCTCCTCTCCGGTCTCCTCATCGCTGGGGTTCGATGGTCGTTCGCTATAAGTGCGGGAGATGTCATCGGCCCCAATCCATTCATTGCCCAACGTCTTTGGGGCGAATTGTGTTGGTTCTTCGTCGGTGTCTAATGAGGAAGCCATTATAGTGTGTGTTTAATACAATGTGAATTATTTCGGTGTATTTTAAATAAATAGTACCGGACCCTGCCTAATATACTATGCTACACGATATTAAATTATTTTACATTATACATTCGTAATGTACAATTTTTCGGGATTTTCTTTATGTCCGGCTGGCACCCTTTCCTAAACGGGACGATCCCCGATGGGGGAGCGAGCGGGCAGGGTTACGGGGCTGCGCTTTCTGGTTAACTCCGTGTCATGTGATTATCCAACAGGGTTCACAACCGCAAATCATCCACGTGATCAGGCTGCACCCCCTCTCTGCTGCTGTTTTTTCCTGTTTCTCCGCAGGGGGTGGCACCAAAAAAGACGTGACGGCCTCCTCTCTCTTGGATAGTTAGCTGTACCTACCATACCATACAGATCTAAGCCTTATACAATAACAAAGATTGACAAGAATAACCCTATTTATATTTACAAATATCCGCCACCTACAGCGCCTCCCCTTCTATCTATCGATCTGCCTTTCCTCCACCAATTGATCGGCGTGGTGGTGAATGACGAAATCAAAAAGATAAAAAAAAAAAAAAAAAAAAAATTAAAAATTAAAAAAAAAAAAAGGGTTTTTTTTTTCTTTGTTTTTCTGTTTATGGAGATATAGATAGTAGAAGTGTATGATTTATTGTCCATCATGGCTTTAATAAAAGTATTCAACCGAATAAGAAGATCAAAACTATGTCTCACAATACTAGTGCTTTTCCTAATACATTTCATTCTCTTCTCATCATCCGATAATTCCGACACCACCGTGTTATCGGAATCATCCAATCAACAAAAATCACCTAGCACCAAATCAACCCTTACCGATGAAGAAGTCGATGAACTCTTCCAAGAACCGGAAGTACCCACGTTGATCAACTTTGACGGCCATGATATTTTGAATTATATCAAATCATTTTTTCAAGATCAAGAAAAGGCCCTTCTTGATAAGTTGAAGAACTACAGTAATTACTTGGTCAGTCAAGGTCAAAGCGTGATATCAAACAACAACAACAATGATTCAGAAAACTCCAAAGGAAAATCATCAACAATCAGTGATTACGAAATCGATATCTTCAGATACGAAGACTACAATGTCCGATTCCCTCAAGGATACACCGAAAAGTATTTAGAAGAAGAGGAATTGCCAACGGTGATGAAGTATGATATCCGTTTCACTCTAGCAGCGTACCTCAATCATATTAAAAGAGAACTCGATAATTTAAATAGGGATAACAGTGATAATCGCCTCTCATTCAACATTGATATTCCTTTCCACTGGTATGATTGGGTAGATATCGGAACATTGAACCGATACATTCTTTTCAACAATGATCCCTACATCTCCCTGGAAGAAAAACAACAATATGACTGTGAATATATCAGTACCAATCTCGTCAAAGATTTTGCTGAACATGAATTACGTAAAAGGGAAGTGTCATTAGACGACAGGCACTCACAAAAGGCCACAAAAGAAAATAATAATAATAATGATGATGATGATGACAACGACGACGATGACGGGATCATCGGATCGATTTTGGATGCCGCCACTTCAGATAATAAAAACCCTGAAGAAATCAGGTACGACCCAGAGACTTTCTGTCGCGATTGGTCAAGAGTATCAGACCTTGGGTCGCCATACACCCAAAATCTTAACTCGTCCATCAATTTCAATGTATTCAAATGGACCAGAAAATCATCAATCAGAGCCAAGATGTTGCAAAGTAGATCATATCTTTACGCTGGGGCCCCGACTCCAGTATCGGTGATTTTTTTGGTTGATACAAATTTCAATACTACCGATAACAAGGATATGGAAGATTTGATGGAAGTTAAGAACTTGAATACTGATAAAAGATTCAATAATATTGTTGCCTATGAATTCGCGGTCAGAAACGGAAATACCGTCGGTAACGCCCGTAAATTACTTGAGAACTATGACCTGATCATCAAACCTTATTTGAAGGAAGTCTCAGAGACCCAAGATATTCATGATGTCACCGTGAATCCCCTTGATTCATTACAGCAATTGGTCCGCAGTTATCCACCAGAAGAATTCGACGAAGATCCAGAAGAAAATGATCATGAAGTATACATCGATAATGAGGAATTGACCTTCCGACTTTCCACCACCGAGTTTGAATACGATGATTCTGAACAAGTATCCATTTATAAGAAACAATTCCGTGAGGTGTCCAAAGAATCGCTAGTCGATGATCCAAGAGCTTTGTTAAAATACACCAAGGAAAATCATCATTGGAATTCTCTCGAGTTTTCTAGAAATAAAAAACCTTCCGAGGTCAAGAAATATTTCCATGAAGTGCCGATCGCCCCATCTTTCAACGAACAAAATATTGAAAAGAAAAATAAGGCCGGAGGGCATTACGATTGGAGATTCTTCAGTGGGATCATTGAAGATGAAGAAGAGACCAGAAGAACTTTACATCATATGCTTCGGTCGTTTTTGAAATTCACATTTGCTAAAAATATCCCCACCTGGGTCGCCCACGGGTCATTATTGTCATGGTATTGGAATAGTCTTAATTTCCCATGGGATAATGACATTGATGTCCAAATGCCAATTAAAGATTTACAAAGATTTTGCAAATTGTACAACAATACTTTGATCGTGGAAAACTTGAATGACGGAATGGGTAAATACTACGTTGATTGTGGGTCGTATTTGACCCATAGAACTAAAGGATTTGGCAGAAACAATATCGATGCCAGATTCATCGACATTGATAAAGGGATTTATATCGATATTACCGGTTTAGCATTGACCGATGCCCAATTACCAAAAAAATTTACCAACCTTAGAAGGAGAGAACTTGATGATGGTTTGATCACTCCCAATGGATCCAGTTATCCTTTCCAATTTGTCAAGGATTCGGACTCTTTGGAGAATGTCACCAAACGAGCAATCATTCCTCCAAAGCCGATCACCCCAGGAAGAATTGTGGAAAATTACAAAGATGATTTGTCGCCTCAAGAACGATACTCGAAAAATTCTCGATTACAAATTTACAATTGTAAAAATAATCACTTTTTATTTTTCACCCAGATCTCACCACTACGTATCACGTTGATTGAAGGCACCAAAGGGTTTGTACCTGCCAATTATCGTCAAGTATTGATCGATGATTACGGTACCAATTCTCTAGTGGCGCAATATTATTCCAAACATTTCTTCCTAAAGAGAATCAGACTATGGATCCCCTCATTCAAATTCAGAGCGTTTTTCAAAACCCTCATCGATCAAGGGGATCGTCATTACCGGAAATCCCTCCTGAAAGCCCTTCGTGCCATCGATAACGACGTGGTGGATATTTTGCGGTTTTTAGAATTCGACGAATCGGTGCTTAAAGGATACTATTTGCATCAGAAAATCACCGACAAGCACGAACAGGAAATGACGTTGTTGAACGAAGGAGTTTCCGCAAAACTGGTGGTGTTGGATCATGTGGAATTCAAACCTGTTTTGAAAGACCATTTCTTACACCTGGTGAATGATTTGCTCGATGAGGAGGAAGAAAATAAAGTATTGGAATCGGTGAAGGATAGTTTGCAAATGACCGGGGACGAAGAGGAGTGAGTAAGTTGGTTAAATTAGTTGGAGGAGGGGTAATTAAAGGGAATTGATGTTTTTTTTTTTCAATTTTTTTTTTTTTTGCATTATTGTTAATATACTTTTTTTATTTATTTATTTATTATATATATAGATATATATATATAAATATTTTATATTTCATTGGCTCGAGGGTTCAGTTCAACAAGGCATTTCATTATTGTTATTATTATTATTGTTATTGTTATTATTATTATTGTTATTGTTATTATTATTATTATTGTTATTATTATTATTCAATTTTTTTTTTTTTGCATTGATTTAATTATTCCTTGTTGGTTTCCTATTGATGCTTTATTCCTTATTATTGAGATTCTTTGGTTGATACAACAAGTGATAATTTATTCCTTTTCGAACAAACTTCCTTATAATAATTCATTCCTAATTATCAAAATACTACAACTTGTAACCTTGAGCAAATCATAGAGTTACATATCGGGGACAATAGTAACATACTCTTGCTCTACAGTACCCGCAGTCTTTCATGGCTCGGATGTTGTAGAGACCACAACGGCAGCAGGCCCAGTATTGATAGTATATGAAATCTCGGGAATTTGAAGGCCTTGGCATTTTCAGGAAATTTATAAATATCAAATTGATTCTTAATGGCTATAATATCTAAATAATTTAGGTATTGATATATCTCAAAGATGGCGATCTAGTGGTTCAATTTCGGTCAGGGCAAGCTGATATCTGAATGATGAGAATGTCAATGACGGCAATCTCAGTCTCTTTAGATTATTATAGGAGTAAAAGGATTTCTATTTTGATGAAATTTCTAATATATATATATATATGTATATATCTATCAATACCCACCATCAGTATTTAAACCTGGGTAGTAAGTATCCTCTTGAATTTCATTAATATGAGACGTCACTCTAAACTTTCTCCCTCATTTAAGTAATAATTTTCAGTAACTGACATGTAATTTATAGATCCAAGATATAAACCACCGAAACAATGCTGGAAATGCGCCCCCTCCCTCCCAACTAATGATGAAAGAATTTCAGATTGTGCATAACCTGGAGATTCGGTCCTTCTTAGAATCAAGTGCAGATATGAGGACTTGTCAGGACATGAAAATCACAAAATCAGTGCAAAAAAAAAGTCTCAAAAGATTTTTTCAATTATGAGTTAAGAAAAGAACGTCAATGTAAAAATTAAGAGTTTAGTGATTGTCGAAAAAAAAAAAAAGATGTCGGCTAATGATTTCCTTCGTCAAACAACAAACCGCATCTTAGTATTTATCAAAAGAAACATTCTCAATCACTATGCAAATGTCGCAATAAAGAATTGAACAAAATCATCATCAAAGAGAGTGAAAAGATGCTAACAGTGAGCCAGCTTCGTGATTTTGAGATATAATGACTTATTTTATTATTAACAAGAACAAAACCCGAAAGCTTTGTTAGGATATCCCACTACTGTACCACTTACTTGGGAAAATGATGTGTCACACTAAACTTCAGGATTATTAAAACGCTGTTATATTTAGCTCAAGGAGTCTTAAGAGTAATAGTATTAAGAATTCTAGATATTGATAAATTCCTATTTCTTGTTATTAACCGCCTTTGAGAAGGATCTACTTAAGGATAATCCGTTCAATTATATGTGCGAACTAAGAATACATTTACCAACGAACACAGGTCAAATATATCCCATCTTAATTAGAGTCTACCATATTCTTAAGAAGCCCAAGGTTTAAAGTCAAAGATGACAGGAAACTTTTTTTTTTTTTTTCCAGGGATTTCGCTTGAACAAACTGGATTTGTATCCCAAAATGGGGAAATCCTATGAATGGTAATGGGTTCCTGGAATGATCTCAAAACTGTGATTGAAAAATCCAACAACACTAGTATCGATAAGGTATTATATTACTATATAAATCAAGATTTTCAGGGCTTTTTTGAGACTTCCAGTGGAATTGATTTCATATTCACCTTTCTAGCACTCCTTACTGAGAAACTGTTGTAGCAAAAAAAAAAAAAAAAAATAAAAAACTGTCATGTCTCAGGCATCGAGGCCCCCAGTTGAATTTAAAATCTGGAAGAATTGTTTCCTCAAATGAAGAAAAAAGAGACAGAAAAGATGACACTAGCGGAGACCAAGTGTACCAGCATATATTTTAAATCAAAACATGTAATAATCATCATTCTACTATTGTTAAGAAATTACATTGTCCACGGTTTATTAGCTATAGATGTGATTAGAAGCTTTGATTGCATCGCAACTGAGAAGATAATAAGTAAAGGAAAATAAAAAACCCGAGAAGCTTATTGATATAAATATCAAAGAAATTTAAAAGTTCAATGAAATATTCAAGAAGGCAGTGTCAATGTCAAATACCAATATATGTCAACGACTACTATTGTTGGTAACGTCAAGTATCCATGGTCCTGGCTCCCCCTTTTTTTTTTTTTTCATTTTATTTTTTTTTTTCCCCATTCAATTTTCCAAATTGAGGAACTTTTCTTCCACCACCCTTATTATCAAACCAACTATTATCCAACCTATTTTTTACCTTTTGTTTCTCTTCTTCCCATACACCTTCACCAATATATATCAAATACGTCACCAATTATGCCACTAGAAGCCCCCAAGCGACTTCCTCCTCTCGCAAATATCAAAACCAACCCCCCTGACCTTATCGCCATTCAGGCGGCATTCCTTGGAGTGATCTTCGGGGTATCGTTAACATTACTCTTCCAAGTAACTTTCTACCCTTTTCCTTTATACCTTCTCGCACTCTCGGTGTTCCATTTCATGGAATTCTGGATCACCGCCAAGTACAACCCTGCCAAAGTCTCTGCTGATTCGTTCCTCATCAACCACAGCGGGTCGTACTTAATGGCCCACCTGGCAGCCATTACCGAATGCTTAATTGAACTCTACTTGGTTCCTGGTTGGAAAACCAACCATCCGTACATTTGTCTCATGGGTGGGGTTCTCATGGTGGGCGGCCAAACCTTACGATCATTGGCGATGAAAACTGCCGGGGAATCGTTTTCTCACATCATTGTCACCACCCACGATTCGCATCATCATAAATTGATCACCGATGGAGTGTACCAAATCAGCCGCCATCCTAGCTACACCGGGTATTTCTGGTGGTGTATTGGAAGCCAGCTAGTTTTGGGTAATCCGGTATGTTTTGTGGGGTTCAGCGTGGTGTTGTGGAGATTCTTCAGTGATCGAATTGCTTACGAAGAGGATTACTTGATCAGATTCTTTGGCGACAAGTACTTACAATATAAAAAAACAAAGACCACTTGGATACCATTGATCAGGTAAATGAACATGAGGTTTGCTGCATTATATGAATATTCTGCAATATACAATTTCTTTTCGATTTAGCATTTTCATGGTAATTTGCGAAAAAAAAAAACAAACAAATAAAAAGGCACCAACATATCTTGACCCGTGGTCATATATATATATACCCTTTGGCAAGCCACTACAATTCACTTTGTAAAGCATAGATTTCATGGATTTATCAAGATTAATGAATACACTTGAAAAAAAAAAAAAAAAAAAAAAAAAAAAAAAAAAAAAAAAAAAAAAAAAAAAAAAAAAAAAAAAGAAAGAAAAAAAAAATGAATAAGAGAGAAAGTTAGATTTGTGAGAATTAAAAAAGAAATAAGTTAAAATTAAAAATACATAAAAAATTAAAAATATAATATAATACAAAAACAAACTAAATCGACCCTCATTAAAATTTTGCTTAAACAAAAAGAATTGAACGATTTTAATCTTCGCCAATAAGATTCACAAGTAGAAGAAAAAAAAAAAAAAGAAGTAGAAGAGGTAGAATGCAAAGTGGAAAATTCGGAAGATTTCAATCACTATCCTCACCAGTCAAATCAATAATACCTTGGGTGGCTCTTCTGCTCAGTGGTTTCGTAACGGGATTTGCTCCAACTACAGAATCATTATTGGTGGTCGTATCACTCTTATTAGACTTTTCTTCGGCTTGTGATTTACGATAAGCCAAAACCTTCAGGCATGGTATTTTGAAAGAATTAATGATTCTGCGTATTTCCACCACCGATTCCACGTATTGATTCACGTTGTATCTCTGGGAAGAACCCTCCAAGCGAGTTACAATGGCCAGCAACAATTTCAATACCTTCTCACTAACGAACCCCCGCTTGGTTAAAATATCCTCGATCATTTCACCAGAACCTTTCAGAGATTCCACGGGCATTGTTGGTCGCTTTGGAAATTGCACATTACCAGATGGTTTAGTAGGGGTACCTCCAGGCAGCATCAGTTTAGTAGGCGATGCAAAGGTCTGAGAATTACTTGCTGGTGGTTCTGGGTTTCCACTGCTACCTTCAACCAGACCATTTCTCAAAATATTCGCTCGCGAGCTCCAAGATGGGATTCTTGGTAAGCTCCCAATAGATGGCTGAAAAGAGTTCGAAGTTGATGAAACACTAAGAGGAGTTGAAAGAGCTGGTAAATGAAATATCGAAGTTCCGGATGTTTTATGAGGATGTTCAACTCGACCAGACTTTACATTCTCAATTGGGTCAAATGTCACCCCATTATGACTGACAAACCTGGCAACATAATCTCTTGTACCTTGTGGTAGTCTTGACAAAAATAGCAAATTGGCCATGGTATCCTTGAAATTGGTGATAATTCTATTCTGTAATGCGTTTGGAACAAACGTTGTGAACACGTTCACCCGCCCATCGACAAGAATAATATCATTTATATCATTTGATTCTGCCACTGGTTTACTTAAAGTCGCCTTCTTTATCACACGAACATCACCATCATCCTCATTATCATTGTCATCATTGTCATCATCATAACTGTAGAAATTAAAAGACCTTTTCCGTGCCTTAGATTTCGGACCTTGTGTTTCCAGTTCATCTTTATTATCTTTTTCAGAGCCGCCTTTATCATCTTTGGCTACTGCATTTTCTACTTCGGCTTTGTCGCTTGCTTCTTTAGTTCCGTTATTGGAAACTACAGAATGTCTTCGAGTCCGAGAATAAGAGGTAGGAGAAGCAACAACTGTTGACTTTTCACTCACAACAACCCCATTCTGAGGAGCGACTTCCGGAGAACTGATATTTTCCGCTGGCTCGCTAGGTTGAGATCTGACTGTATTGATTGATCCGGATCCAACTGTATTAGTATTAGTCGGTCCAGATCTAATTGTATTGATTGGTCCGGATCCAACTGTATTACTAGAACCAGGTTCAGCGATATTGGAAGATCCAGTTCCAGCTGGTTTGGCAGGAGCAGAATCAACTGCTTTGGTGGGTTCTGTTGATGCAACTACATCACCAACTGGCTCCGATGGCCAAGTAGTTTGTCTTGCTGATGTTGGAACAGGCGAAGGAACCGGTTGCTTTTGCTGATTCTTTTGAGATTCTAAAATTCTCAACTGCTCCCTATGCCTTTTCAATTTCTCTTGGGCCTCCAAAAATCTTTTCTGTATGGGACTAATCTTTTTATTTTGCTCGTCGGTTTTCCTTTGCACTTCTTGAGGAGAAAGCACCTGCTTCGTCAGTGGTGGTTCTCCACCAGCAGTCCCTCCTAGATTACTCACTTGACTATGAGTGGTTGGCAAACCTCCTTGATACAGTTCCATTTGGGGGCCAATATGTGGAGGTGTTGGTGGATGAGGAGAAAACCCGTGTGGTGGATTTTGTAAATGTTGCAAATAAGGCGCTGGTGGAGGGTGATATGGGTCATATTGCGGATACGAAGGGTTGAATAAATCAGGACCTGCCACAAAACGTGGATCTCCAACAATTGGCATATGAGCACCATGTGTGCTCCCATTGGCCTGCTGCTGCTGTCTTGGATCCTGATGGATTGCACCTGCACCGGGTAGTGGGATACTCGATGGAGGAGGGGTCATAGATGGCATGACATTTGGATAATAAGGTGGCATACTGCCAGCGGCCATTGCGCCAGAATTGGGGCTCAAGGTTGCAGGATTCACACCCATATATCCATTCTGATGAGGAAATTGATGTTCTGGGCTTGGAGAAAGAGCTGGTTGAATCGGCACATAGTGCGGACCGACTGTGTAATGATTGCCAGCAAAGTTCAATCGATTGTGAGGTCCAGGAATTTCTTTCAAGTTACCAGTACTGTTGTTGCGGGCGGTTGATTTATTAGGATTAGTGACCATGTTGTCCGACCATCTAGGTAATGTGAAGCCCCTAAACGACAAATCTCTGGGTGGGCCCGGTGATTGCCTATTAACATCCCCAATATTAGACTTGCCAGCAGTATTATTATCATTAGCGGCCTGTAACGAGGAATGATTTTCCCCATTGGTCTGGTGATTTGTACGTATACTTCCTGGCATGATATTCGGGCTCCTTCCAATAAATCCTTTAATTTGATGCTGTTGATGCTGTTGATGCTGTTGATGCTGTTGATGCTGTTGATGCTGTTGATGCTGTTGATGCTGTTGTTGATGCTGCTGTTGTTGTTGTTGTTGTTGTTGTTGTTGTTGTTGTTGTTGTTGTTGTTGTTGTTGTTGTTGTTGTTGTTGTTGTTGTTGTTGTTGTTGTTGTTGTTGTTGTTGTTGTTGTTGTTGTTGTTGTTGTTGTTGTTGTTGTTGTTGTTGTTGTTGTTGTTGTTGTTGTTGTTGCTGCTGTTGTTGTTGTTGTTGTTGTTGTTGATGCTGCTGTTGTTGTTGTTGTTGTTGTTGTTGTTGTTGTTGTTGTTGTTGTTGTTGTTGTTGTTGTTGTTGTTGTTGTTGTTGTTGTTGTTGTTGTTGTTGTTGCTGTTGCTGTTGTCTTGGGTCCTTGTGGATTGTACTTGCATTAGTATTTGTCATACTATTTGGAGCAGAGGCTGTTGAAGAAACAGCCTGAGCTGAATTTTTTACTGTGTTATTATTGATAGGAGCAGGAGGACTTTGAAGTGCCTCGTTATCATTCCCAACATTTATAGGTCCGTCAAGTCCACCACCTCCGGGCCGCCGATAGTGCTGTTCCAGCACTGACTGGGATGTGGCAGTGATTTCCAAATCGTCAATTTCTTCCACATCGGTTGGTTGACCTCCTAGCACTTCATCATTATCATCATCTTCTTCACTTTCACTATCTAAAGAGATGATTTCAATTTCCTGTGTCTTTGGAGCAGGGGTTGAGGCTGACACCGCCAAATTATTCACCATACTGTCAGACTTTTTCACCAGTGATCCTTCCAGATTAGATAAACTTCCCTCACTATCACTGGCGGATGTATTATCTTCATCTTCTACCACGGCTTTCCAGCTACCATCATGCAATAAATCTACGGTTTCGACGTCCTCATTGGTATTTTTGGCAATATCCACGATATAATCACTGATGGTCAAATCTTCGACAGTAATGTGGCTATTACAAATTGGACAAGACCATGTTGGAGCTTGTTCTTGTAATTGTAAGAAGCTGAGGCAATCAAAACATTGAATGTGGTTACATTTGACAGATCTAGCGGGATACTTCATTTTGGTGTAACTCAATGGACACTTGAGACTCAAAGTTGACGACATCTCAATTAAATCATCATTTTCTTCTGAATCCCTATATTCTTTGCGAATATATTCCATGGTGGCTGCCGTGGTGATGTGGGGGTGATCTCTAGATATTCTTTCGACGATTGTTTCCACAGGCATCATTTCCACAATGTAACAATACATGAGAAAATCCTCTTTTGAAAAAGCGTAAACCACTTCAAGGGAGTTTTTGTGTGGTGGTTGGCGTACCAATGGGGTTAGATTGGCAGGTCTGGCAGTACCAATTCGATTTTTAATTCCCTTGACATTATCTTTGATCACCGACTTGTTGAAATGTATTTCTAATGGGTAAGGAAACTGTATATGTACTTTTCGGGCTCCCAAAGACTTATTATACACACCGCTGAATAAAAAAAGCTGGAATTGCTTTCCTTTGGAAAGTAAGGCCTGTTCTTGCTGAGACAATGTGAACTCAATGTTGCATGTGCCCCTGGAATCAGGTGCACTATGGGCCAACCTGGGTGAGCCATTTACTAGACGTTTGATCCTGAAGAATGGTGAATCAAAAAAATAGACCCACGGGCCCTCTTTACTCTGGGGGCGAGTGATACTTTGAAGTTGTGATGCTCCGGCTCCCGAAACTATTGTAGAAGATGTATTATTGTTGCTGCAGGTTACTGTTTGTAATTGATTTATCTGAGCCGCGCCACCAGGTGGCGGACCAGTTGGGTTATTTTTGTAGTGATTGTATAATAAATAATAGCTCTGAGGTATATTACCGGTCTCAATAGCGGTTAAAATGTCTTGGATCGCTCTAATTTTGGCGTTGTCGTTTTCACGCTGCCCGGCATCTATCACGGCAAGAATCCTTTGCTGAAGGTCAGCTTTTCGGCCTTGGCCTGATAGACTCAAGATACGGCATATTTGTTTGAGAGTGGTAACTTTTTGGGCATTGACTTTTTGTTTTATATTCTGTGAGAAATGTTAGTATAATTTGAATTCATTGTTTAAGCTTCCCAGGATAATAATGACGATGACACTAAAAACACGAATTAATAACATAATGGAGTCAATCAATAGACTCATTGAAAGCAAAAATCTATAGCTTATAATGGGTATAGATCGACCATTTGCCATCAAGATTGATCTGGGGATACAGAATAGAATGGGGAAAGAACCCAAGGGTTGAATCGAAGACTTACATCGACCAGTGCTGCTCCACCTTGTGTACCAGGCACCATATTTGAGTGAAGCTTCCAAGAGAGTGAATGGTTATTTTACCAAGGGGCAGATAGTTTTATATAAGATGATCTGATGCTATTAGTATGATGGATATATCATCGTACATTTCAGAGAAGGCGCGCTTGAAAAGTCTCAAAAAGAAAAAAAAAAAAAAAATCGCCAACATTAGCACGTGACATGGATATCCTCATCCACCAGAAGAAAACAGGCAGGTAATGTGGCCATTATGGGAGTAAAAAGGGAAGAAAAAGATGAAAATACAAACAGTTTTCAACTAATAAAATATAATCAATGTAGAATAATCATCATTTTCAACGGTAAGCCCTGAATTAAACAAGAGTTCAGTGGCTACACACGTGAGTATCACATGAATAGCCTCTCCAATCGCAACTATTGCTCTGATATTTGTTAGCAAAAAGGTGCCTTAAATCCCTAGTGATATGGGTGATAATGAAACACAGGGTAACCAAATAACCAAAGAGAGAGAAAAAAAAAGACGGTGTGTCAGTAACAACGAAGACAATTATTGGGAAATAACGTCCTCTAATTTACCGTTACTGAAAATAGATCAGATCATCCTCTACTGTCAGCCACTGGAAGATGTCGTCGCACCACATGCCCCAGCATCTACATCCTAGTGGGGCCTATCAGTCTTCTTCATCAGCATCCTCTTCTTCGTCTCAACATCAGTCTACCGCCCAACTAGATCGGCTTCCTTCAAATTCATCGTCGATTTCTCAATCAACCACCACCACCACCAACTTAACCCCATCCTCATCAACGAAAAAATCAAGAAGAAAGTCGAATGCCGAGCTAGCGGCGCAGGCAGTGGCCAACGAACGTGACATTCTAAGAAATTTGAAAAGAGTATCCATCGGGGCTTCGACTTCACTAGGGTTTGATCCAGACTTAGCTAGGGATAACAACTTTGAAAATTTTGTCAGCAAACAACAAAACAAAAGATCCTCTATAATATCAAATGATCCTACAGCATCAGGCAGTATCAGTAATCGTGGTAATAGATCGAGCACCCAGTTTGGTGATTCCACTACTAGTTTTAGTCGCACTGGAAGTTTGAGGTTGAAAAATCGTGACAACTTACCCAACTTGTCAAGAAAATCAAGTCTCACCAGCGGAAACTTAGGCCTGCCATCCTCGGTCTCAACTGATAATGACTCTCATAATTCTGCAGTTCAACTAGATACTTCGAAGTTATTATGGGTGCCTGCCACGTCTCATCCTGGGATCGCCCCAGAAAATTTCAGAAAACATGTCCAGTCAACAATCACAGAAATTACCGCCAACTTGTCCATATCAAATGATCTGCCAGCACCTGAGGAGAACAATAGCTCGATAACATCAACTCCTGTTTCTTACAGTTCCGAGCAGTCTATGCCTTCTTTGAGAGAACTTACTGACGAATTAGAGAAATTGAGTAATATCGCTGGATTGGCCGCCACTGATGCCGCAACATTAGCCAGAACTTTATCTACTTCAGCATTAAGCTCTTATTCCTCGAATTCAGATATGATAAGTGGTTATGATCTAGGATATGCCTCGGATTCCAATCTTGATGGGTCTCCTTTACATGTGGATGGCACGAGACTGGAACAAATCTCGCAATCTGGCTCGTTCCAAGGCCAACAAAGGGTCATAGATCAATCACCCAGTTCAAACTCAATATCGCGATCTCAATCAAATACTTCTCCTCAAAAGGTGTTGTACACCTCGTCCAGGGTATCAAGTCCATCACGTAACAATTCGTTAAGTGATACCCCACAAGACAATCCAGAAGGATTGGACTCCCCTATTGCTTTACCAGGAGGTGATATTAAATTGAAAAGATCTCGTTGGACTACATACAGGAAAAAAACCATCAAACGGAATGATTCTTCCTCATCTACGTCTGCCCCAGGTAGCCCATCTGCCGGAACCGAGTCAAAAGAGGCGTTGACATCCCGTCGTAAACGGTCCCAAGATTTGTCAAAACACCCATTACCTAAGCTTCCAAACTTCAGTGGGGATCAAGAACCTCAACAAAATGCTTTGCCTGAGTTGACAGCTCAACAAAGGCAGATGCTAGAGGAGGCCAAAAAGAAAGATCATTATAACAAATACCAGCAGCAGCAACAACAACAACAACAACAGCAACAACAACAACAACAACAACAACAACAACAACAACAACAACAACAACAACAACAACAACAACAACAACAACAACAACAACAACAACAACAACAACAACAACAACAACAACAACAACAAAGCCCTCAGAAATCTCTGCAACAAAAGCAGGCAGGCCATGAAAGTAGGGAAAGAGGCAGGGTGCAGCGTCGTGACGAAAGAGAAAGATTGAAGAGTGAACGGCAGAAAATCAAGATGCAAAGGTTAGAATTAGAAAAACAGCAAAAAAGATTAGAAGATATGAAGAATGAGCGGAAAATGAGAGAAAGAGATCAATTTACCTCAAAAGATAGATCAGGGGAGGATAAGGATATACCACCTAGAAGAAACTATAAAGGCATGCCAAAACAGGACCCCTCAAATCCTTTGCTGAAATCTCAGAACCAATTTGAAAATCAGCCAGTATTATCTCTGCACCAACCTCAGCATCAACCTCAGCACCAACCTCAGCACCAACCTCAGCACCAACCTCAGCATCAACTTCAGCCCCAAGGACAAGGACGATTCAACGAGAACTTCAATTATCCTTCCCATTCACAATCTCAAAATCAAGTCCAAGGTACCGGGGTGGCCCAGCTTCAACAACAGTCACAGCCTTATCAAACACAAGGTATTGGTATTGGAATTGGTAATAGACGTGATGCTGCAGGTAACGGAACTAGTATTAATCATGGAAATAATAGTTATGGGCAAGGATATGGAAATAGCTCACCAAGACAACAACAAAAGCTCCAAGAGGCAGTGAATATTCAATCTCGCAATCAAATGAATCAACAAAATCACCAAATGGGTCGTCAAACAGCCGGTCACAATGGCCGTATGGATGCTAATGAACAACAAAAACAACAAACTCAACAGCAACAAAAGCAAGTTCAACAACAACAGCAAGAAATTCAATATCAACAACAACAACAACAACAACAACAACAACAACAACAACAACAACAACAACAACAACAACTGCAGTCATCAAGAAAATACTCTAGTTCCGGTAATTCTAACTCTTCTGAGATAAAGAGGCTGGCGTCCACTTCCACCGGTGGAAGTATTGGGTCAATTAAATTGAAGAATACTCCATCTTTACATGATGATAAGTCACTGATCACTAAAGAGAAGAAAAAGAAGAATACTTTTGGCTCATGGGGGCGGTCTAAGGATAAGAAACCTTCGACTAGTAATAGTAGTAGTGCATCTCCTTCAGTGAACTCTTCCCCTTCGAAATCTAAGTCGAGTTTTGATCAGGACATGGATTCAGCAATGAACCCTACTAGTTTTACCTCGGCTGAAAGATCTTCGTCTGAACTCAACTCTACTGCCATCATTGAAGATGCCAGCGAGCAACAAGAGGATAAGAAAAAGGTATTTGGATTGTTCAAGAAAAAATCTTTCAAAAACTTGAAGGATAAGTCCAGTACTGTGAATAATCATCCAAGTTCTAATGAACCATTGCCAGTGAATGGAAGACAACAAATATCAGCAGCCAAGAGTAGTAAAAATAATGATTTTTCTAATGATTCAAACAATAATGCTAGTAACGGTTATAATGGAGTAAACAATAACAATAGTATGGGTGATAATGGCCACAACAACTACAACTATGGTAATTTCAATAATAGTGGTTATAATCATGATGACACTCAAGTTCAATCTATAGATGGTAAAATTGGTAGTAGTAGTAATGCTGGTGGACAGAGCTCCTTGTACGGATATAGTGGAAACAGTGCAGGAGGTAGCACTGTGGCCGGAAACAACATGGGAGTCAATAGTTTGGGAATTCATCAACAACAGCAGCAGCAGCAACAGCAGCAACGCAACCAACAGCCACATCAACAAATGGAAATGCAAAGAGAGCAAGGATCAGGGATTTTTGGTAATACTGGAGCAGATCAAAGCTTGGGTGAAGCCAATGAGTCTGCTGGTTACAGACATTATGGCAATAACCCTGAAGCGACGGACAATAACTCTGAAAGATTTGGTGGCGGGCATAGTTATGTTAATGACAAGTCGTTTAATTATTCAGAGTTTGAGAATAATGAGAAATCGAATTCTGGAACTTTGGAATCAGATCCAATAGAATTACAAAGAAGTGGCATCGTCGAAGGAAGAACTAACGAGGATTCTGCTAATGAATTTTTCTCTGATTCTCAACTTACTGCTTCGAACAAGATGGATTTAATCTCATCTTTAGTATCGGCTGATATGTCAACTTATGAGAAACTTCAAGTATTTAAACGTCTTAATAACTATCCAACTAAACCAAATCAACCAGTACAATATACTGATTCTGCCTTTGGATTCCCATTGCCACCTTTGACCCATTCGACCATTATTATGTTGGACCACCGGTTCCCAATGAATGTTGAGCGAGCAATTTACCGTCTTTCCCATTTGAAATTGGCCAACCCTAAGAGAGAATTGCGTCAACAAGTCTTATTGTCAAACTTTATGTACGCTTACTTGAACTTGGTCAACCACACTTTGTTATTACAGAATATGGAAGAAGGAGGAGGTGACCCACTTGAAGGTGGACAGTTAGAATTAGAAGGAAGAGAGCAAGAAGAATTTCCAGTAGCTCTGGAAAGTGAAACTGACATGATATATAATTGATGTTTTGCTTTGTTTTCCATATTATTTACAATTTTAGAGCTTTATATCCTGATTATCCCCGAATTTTTTTTTTACTCTCTCTCTCTCTCTCTCTCTCCCTCTTTTTTTTTTTATTGTACTTTATATTTAGATCCAGCGGACCAAAGAACTATGGGAAATGAGAAATCTATTACCTCAATCACAGATTTTCTCTTCTTTCCCTTTTTTTTTCTCTATTTTTTTTTCAGCTTTTGATTTATTTTTTGTGATATTTTTTTTTCTTTGTTTATTCACTAATGCCAAACCTTATGATCAAATTCTATTCATTTCAAAGTTCTTATTCTCCCCTATATTTTTTTCAATTTCATCATATTTTTTTGCTATTTTATAAACTACTAAGATACCCCATCCCCGCTTCATAAAAAGATTTACTCATCTATACACCGTTTATGTTGACCTATTTATCATAATTTGCATGATTCTTTCATTAGATTTTTTTGTTACTGTTGTAGTTTACTCATTACGTTAGCCATGGAAATATCTTTACTTTAACCTTTTTTTTTTCCTATTAAGATATGTTATTTCAAATTCTACTCCTCATGGAGTCTGAGTTATTTCATTCTATTTGCAGCTTGTTAATTATTCATGTCGCTATTTGTATATCTTTCTTTCTTTCTGTTTAATTAGTTATGAATAAAATCAATTACTTGTACTTGAAAGGAACATTATCTTTAAGAGAAAGATCATCAAAAGTAGCAGAAAGAATATTGATATCATAAGATAGCAAATAGCAAACATAATAATAATCATAATAACAATGATAATAAAAAGGGAGCTAACAACAGTAGATATAGATCTTCTCCGCCCATTTATACAACAATTATTAATGCCACTTTATGGGAGAGTTTATACTCTCAGTAATTGGGAACAATAATATTTTAAACCCAACGACTCCAACAACTAGTAGCATCCAGTACGCGTATTTCCACCATTTTCTATCACTTTCGATATTTATCAGAGGAAACCCGAAATAATTACAACAGGCATGAACAAAACAAATTCCTAGAGCGTTACCAGTTCTCAAAAACAAAAACGCCTCGAGTGCCCCGAATAATGTAGTATAAAGCAATTGGAATCCAATGACCATTATGATTTGTAACACCGGTATCAGACCTTCCTTGTATAATTCGTATCCATGATGCAAATGGGCCACCCCGAAAAACAATGGGGTTAAGAAAATCAAAACATCCGCATTGACATTGTTCAATGGAATAAGTAATGACAAAATCACACATCGATAGATGATTTCTTCGGTGATGGGGGCCACCACCAAGTTTCGTAACCCCATTACGGTTTTCAACTCAGAAATCACCGATTCCACAATACTGTGTCTTTGACCGCGAAAATCGGTTTCGAAAAACGCTTCATTAATAATGGGACCAATTAAGAGCACCATTATCAATAACCCGCAATGACTAGTGTCATTGATATAAGAAATTAAGTTTGAGATCCCAAACCGGTATCCATCGTGGGTATATTTTAATCCCGGGATGATTCCAAAGAGCGATACTGCCTGAATGATACTAGAAGCTGATTTAGAAATGAAGGTGAGGTAGATTGGGGTTAGGGAAACCCAGAAAAGTGTCAATAATATTGCACTAACAAGTCTTCGTTTTATGAGTTGTGGGCTATTCCGGCGAAGAAAGAGGGTGGTTCTATTGTAGGGTGTGTAGAGCATCGCAACATACGACGTGGCCACAACTATACAAGCAATAATCGCCATGTCTGGCAGTCTTGGATTCTTCTCTATGGTTTCCATTATCTATTTATATAATCATGAAATAGATGAATGTCAATAATGTCACAACTAGAATTAAGGGCATCAGGACATTTTCAGGAACTTTTGCTTTGTGCACTACGGACACCATCGTGCACTGATGCTTATACATGGGTAAGGTTCATGATCATCTACTTAAATAAAATGAAAAGATAAGAAAATATCACCGATGTTATATATATACAAGAAAACTATACACAAGGTAGCTCTCAATTACTGTTTCTGATATGGTAACGTTTACCTCTAACCCCAAAGATTTTCTGGTTGAATTGATAAACTTCTTGAGGATCCATATCATTCAACTCCCACTTGGTAGAGCCAAACACGTTTTCAGATCTTTCAAAAATTACGTCCATCTTGTCCTTGAAGTTCTCTTCTAACCACGCATAATCGGCCATGGAATCATTCTCATGGTAACCCGTGATAAAGATTGGACACTTAGTTTCAAGCAATCCTTCGACCGATTCTTTCCAAGTCATATTATTCGAGTCGGTGGCACCGAACCCTGGGTGGAACACAAAGAACGCATCCAAGTATGGATCATATGGGAAGAAATCTTGGTAATTATGGAAAACATGGAAATAATCAGTGTGATATATCAACTCCAATTCGGCATCAATACGTTGGACGATTGGAGTCTGGCTTATTTCCACAGTACGTTTTTCTGGGTTGAAATAACATTCTGGCCCGATGAAGTGTATTTCAATGGCAGTTTCTGGGAAAAGGTAGCAAAGTTGTTTCCAAATATGTGGTGGCAATTGTGATTCAGCTCTGGCACCAATGATAAAGATTCTCATTGGTCTATCCTTCAACGAAGAAGTAAGGGAGTCTGGTGGATATAAAGAGTAACGTAGAGCGGCCAAAGATTTGAGACCTTCGAGGGTGATTGGACCCTTTGGCTTGAACGAGTATGGAGAGTACTGGTGCAACACCGATCCGATGGTTATAGGGTACGATAACATCTTGGTGACCGCAGCCATTTGGAACTCGGTATCCATGGAATAGAAAGATCTGGTGTACGAGAAAGCGTCCCAATTACCAAAATTTATAGCTCTATCGAATTCTTGGTCTGCAGGGAAGTTGAACTCTGGGAATGGTCTTCCAGATCTTAAATCGTGTTCGTAAATGTTAACTTTCTTCAAGGTTTCATACTTCTTGGACTCATGGTATTGAGTGTCGGATTCCCAAGCCTCTTTGGAATGGTGGGTTGGAATACCGGATAAAGGACAGGTGAAGTTGACCTCTTTCTTGGTTACCGGGCATCGAGCATTCGCCTTGATGAGGGCGGCTCTGGTGCGCAAATCTGGTGAAGGTGACGAGTCCCAAGGGTGGAATCTGTTTTCTGGAGTAGGGTCATCAGGAGATGGTGGTGGGTCCAACCCAAACACGTTCCTCACAAAGTTTGTTATGTGTCTCTTGGAACCATTGGCGCTGACAAATTGCCTACAGTAAGCCTGGGGTATTAATTGGTGTTTCAATAATAACAGCGACATTTTAGAATGAGGCCGATGATATGTTTTTGTTTGTTTTTTTCTTTTCTTTTTGGGGTGTGTCTTGCCAGATGGAGATCCTAGCGTGTACTTTGTTGACAATTAAACAGCCTTATGATATATTCTCCGACCCCTCGCAAATGATATATATCAGTCTGTTAAAGATGTGGTGATTTGGCACCAGTTAAATTTTTCAACAGCTTTTTTTTTTCTTGCCGCTTTTTTCTTTTTCGCTCACGGTGGTCACGTGTGCATGGTGATACGAGCAACAGCATGAAGGAAGAAGAAGCAGCAGCAGAAGGAGAAGAAGGGGAAGCTTGAGAAGATGTGTATTCATGGTAGGATAGAGACGAGTAGTTTCTGCTCTTTGCTCTTGTTCTTCTTATTGTCCGCCTTCTTCTCTTTATGGTTCTCCTTCTTATTGTCGACGTTGTTCTCGTAATGCACCGCGGTGTCTAGCCATGCATGCTGTTTGGCGGTGCTCCCACCGATTGACATCCTTCAGAAACAGAGATCCCCGATTTGTATTAAATAACTGGCAGAATCCTTCATTCTTAATTTATTTTTTTTATTATTGGTATTATTTCATAATCATTATGCTCAACACTTATCTGTTACTTTTTTTCTTTTGATAAACGATGAAGGAACTGCCTTCAAGAACTTCTGCTTCCCATCGCAAGGCTGAGGAGGCCACCCATAGAAACATTGGGAACAGGATCTCCACTAGACTATCCAGAATATCAATAAATCGACTCTCCTTCCATATTGCCACAAACCGGAAATCCAACAACTCTTTACAAGACCACTTGTTTCCTCAGTTGCCGTATAACAACGTTTCCAGTCAAACTTCCCATGATGAGGGAATCAAAGAGATTATTGAAAATGAAGCTGAATATTTACCCGACCCTATAGATTCGATTATTGTCGATAAGATCATCGCCAGGTATCAGCTTGACTTGGACAACAAAAATAACGATCGTTACTATTACACCCACTTGTACGAAACAACCATCAAGAATCATCTCAATGATAGTAAATATCTAGCAGCTGCAACCCAAAGTGATAATACCACTGCCTTACAAGTATTTGATAATGAGTTAACAAGGACATTCTCCAAGATATATGATGTTGATTGCGGTGATTTTGAAAAATATGACCGAAAGGTGAAAAGAGAGGAAGTGTTGATGAAATTGACTCAAGATGCCTATGTCCTAAAACAATTAACTAAAGAATCTGGACTACTAGATATTGGAAATGGTGATGATATCCGCAACAGATTCTACAGTGATCTAGATTCTAATAATAGTCTTACTAATACTGAAATATTGAAAGTTCCCAAATTGGCTGAGAAATTATTTAGCCCCCAAGGTTCAATCTCTTTCGGTGATTCAACCATGATTGGTTCCAACTCTGCGAAAAGAATTAGCAGCGCTGATACCATTAACATTGATGAAATGAGTGTGGTTGATGATGCCATTGATGAGAATGGCAAATCTATTGGTTCTGACACCCTGAGCATACAGACTACACAAATAGATAGCCAATCAGAATATAATATTGATGATTGCGTCACATATAACTATAGCAAATCTTCGGTATTCGATAGTGATATTGAAAAAAATCGACCAACACAAAATTCTGGTCTTCAAAGAAAACTATCGTCTCGAACCTTACAAATGATTGCCTTTGGTAGTGCGCTTGGAAACGGTTTATTATTGAATTCTGGTAAGAATTTCACAATTTCTGGCCCATTGGGAACGTTAGTTGGTTATACTATTGCTGGATTGATTGTGTTTTCTTCAATGCTCTCATATTGTGAAGTTATCACTGTTATTCCTATATCTGATGGGATTTCAGGGTTGGCATCGAGATTCGTAGATGAGGCCTACGGTTTTGCACTTGGTTGGGGTTATTGGGCGGCGTTTACCATCTCTTTACCGGCAGAATTGATTGCCGCCATTGTCATGTTGAGTTACTATGAAATCCTAGGAGTTCCTGGAGCAGCAACCGTTGGTTGGGTGACATTCTTCTTATTTATGGTGGTTAGTATCAATCTTTTTGATGTTAGGGTATTTGGAGAAGTTGAATACGGCTGCAATTTGATCAAAATAGCATTTATGATCGTCATTAGCATTATATCTGTTGTCATCAACACTGGTAGTCACTCAAAGTCTGCTGAACATATTGGAATGAAATATTGGAATTCAGCAGAGTCCAACACAACCATTAATGCCACCTACGGTTTGTTTAGACCAACTTACGATTTGAACGATATTGGCACAGGATCTCTTGATGGCATTGGTGGTGGCACAGGAAGATTTTTAGCAATAATAACTTCTGTTGGTATAGCTTCTTATGCCTATTGTGGCACCGAAATTGTGGGAATTGCTGCCACCGAAGTTAAAAATCCAAGAAAAGCATTGCCAGCGGCGACAAAAAAAGTTTTTTGGAGAATTATTTTTTTCTACATTTTGGCAATTTTTCTTGCGGGGATTAATATTTATAGCGGTGATCCAAGGCTTCTAAGATATTTGAATAAGGATTCTGTTGATCCGTATAAATCTCTGTACGTTGTGCGCGAATCCCTAGATTTGGAATCTCGAGGTATCAATGTGTGCACCCCTAGCCAAGAAGTTTCTGGGCCATTTTCAGAGGCAAACAGATCGCCTTGGACGGTGGCCGCTCAATCTGTGGGGATGTGTAGCTATGCATCAGTTATCAACGGATTTATTGTGTTCTTTACCATCAGTGCTGCCAGCTCTCAATTATACGCATCAAGTCGCACATTGTATGCGTTATCAATCAAGAATCAAGCCCCAAAGATCTTCAGCAGATGCTCATCATTTGGGATTCCTTACGTTGCAGTATTATTTACCGGGTCATTTGGGTTTTTGGCACTTTTCGCCATGAGCAATGAAGCCCTCAGAATATTCCAATATTTTGTCAATCTTTCCTCAACTTTTGTCATTCTTGCTTGGGGTGGTATGTGTTTGTCATTCATTCGATACTACTACGCTTTGCAATTGAGACCAGATATCATTTCAAGAGATGATCCACGTTATCCTTTCAAATCTCCACTACAACCTTTCATTGCCTTCTTTGGGTTAATTGGCACCTTGCTGATCATTGTGTTCATTGGGGCCAATATCTTTGTGGATCCTCACTTCAACGCAGCGATCTTTTTGTCATCATATGGGGCATTCATCGCATTCCTCTTGACTTATTTTTCATACAAATTCATCTACAAAACGAGGATAAAGAACTTGGATCAAATTGATCTTGATATTGGACGGAAAGAATCTGATAAAGATGACTGGAACGACAGTCATGTATGCAACCGTGGCTGGATTGATAGTATCCGAAAGTTTTTCTGAAGCTAAATTTAGAAAATTTTTTTTATCTATATATAAATTAATTTTTTTGTTTTTCAGGTTTGGTTTTTGTTTTAGTTTTTTTATTATTTTGTATATACAGAAATAGACATCATTAGATTTTAGAGTTATGCATGATGAAAAAAAAAAATTAAAAAAAAAAAAAAAAAAAATGTAGCATCTTTCCATCACCTATTCACACAAAACATCTATAAAGTGTAATAATGAGCAGGGAAATTGAGACACTAGAAGAATACCCTATTGACATAAATGATTCTCTGGATTGTTTTTTCTACATTCTTGAATTGTGAGTATACCATATATATATAGCTACTTTGTGCTAGATTTCAAACAGGAAACTAACTAGCATATATAATAGAGCACCCCAGTTAGAACATTGGAAAGATGGAGAGTTGATTGATAATCTTCATCATATGGGTTTCACATCTTGGAAAATCATTCTTACTACTGCACTCAAGCGTTGGCATGGAATTGTGGGTGAGTCGATTAATGTGGATTATTTGAAATGTACCAATTATACAAATGCGTTGGATCAGGTATTTCACGTTAGACTTTTGGTAAGGGTAGAGAAAATCGAAGATGTGAAGTTCATTGGAGCAATCACCAACCATATCTTTCCCTTGGAGTTCTTGGGATTGCCAAATATTGAAAGTCAAGTGAAGTACATCAAGAAATACGATGGGGCAAAACCAGGAATCGATTTCTTTGCCATTGAAAACTACATGGTAGAAAATTCTCAGAATGAATTGAAATAATATAAAATATAGTACAAAGATTAGGTAATTAAGTGGGGTTGGTATTTATTCAAAAAAAAACACTTTTTGTCTCTTTGCTTACTTTTAAGCCCATTGGAAAAATCCGCAGCTTGTATCACTATCAAACCTATCCTTTACAGTGGATCTTCTCAAAACATCAGTGTTGCTTTTTATCGCTGGTTTTTTGCAACACCAGAATTTCCTGCCTTTGTTTTTGTCTGTCATTGATGTTTTCAATATGCATTCCTCAGAATGATGACACTCTGGGGCATTTGAATATTTGCTTCCAATAATGCTCAAGACACTTTTGCTAGCATTCGAATTTTTGGTGACCGAAACAATCTCCACGACATCACTTTTTTCAGCATCGAGGGCTTTTTTCGCTTGTTCAATCAAGTCATCATTATTGGTAGTGGGCAGCTTTGGTAGATCTTTGGCAGGTTTTTTCGCCACTTTAAAGAAACTGGAAATCGGTTTTTGATTCTTTTGATTCTCTTTCTTTCTGCTCACATAGACAATTTTCTTATTTTCTCCATTTTTGGTTGCCAAATCAATACTGATGCTGGGCTTTGGTTTTTTGGAAACTACTTCTTCTTTGACAATGTGTACATCGTTGTCATTTTTTTCAATTTTCGCAGGTTCTTCATTTTTTCTTTTACCTAGGATAGAATATTTGTTGAAATTCTTGAACATATTGATAATTGTAAGCTCATTGAGACTGAAAACGTATTTGGCCTCGAACCTTGGTACGTATGCATCTTTTTCAATTGGTGGTTGTAAGTCATTCATTACTTCATCGAATTTGAAATCACAATACACTGGACAATGATCACTACCATTCAAGTCAGGTAGAATGCCACCATCGACGAAATGTTTCTTAAACGTTTCGCAACAGAGAATTAAATCGATTCTTGATCCTAAGTTTATTGATCTATAATTCTTGATGGTATTCCAGCACGTATACATTTTCAATTTCCGACCATGCTTCACCCGTATTAGATCGTACAAGAACTTATCAGTCTGTACTATTTCTTTGATTGGTATCTTGCCAGAGCCATGTTCATTGTAATTAGCCAATTCCTCTTCTCCTTCTTCCTCTTCATCATCACTACTGACGAATAGGCCCTTAGTTGGTTCTACTTGGATAGCTTCACCATTTGCATTGTTCATTAAAATGTTATTCTTCACATCAATTGCAATTTTCTCATCAATGATTTTTGAATTATGAACAATGGAATTCAAATAAACTCTAGGAATCGTCGATTTGGAAAATAAATCAACTTGATTCTTATTCAATTTTTCAAAATCATTACCATCTAAGTTCGGACCGGTTCCTAAGTCATTCACTTTCTTGATCAATCCTTCCTCAAATAATCCTTGTATGGCCTCCCCACTGTCTATCAAGTCCATACTAATGTTAATATCTCCCATTATTAAAACTTTCTTCCCCATCTTTTGCAAAGATCGTACTCTAGCAAAAAGCAATTTTAGGAAATCCAATCTAAATGATTCTCCTTCTTCCGCTCTTTGGGAGTTGGCGGGGCAATATAAACTGAAAATGACAAAATCAAACCCAAGCTCCACTATAATACATCGCCCTTGACTATCAAGTTCAAGACACCGTTCTCTATTAAATAAGTTCACGTACCCACCAATCAAATGGTTTTTCACGGTCTTTTCATATTCATAGGACGTATCCGTACTAGTATTTGAATATCTTTTGGCTAAATCATAAATATCCTTATAGGTTTTATCACCAATTTTATAATCGTAGCATCGCAAATATCCAGAAATACCTTCTTCCACTTTCTTTATCGTTAACAATCGTTGGATATATGGCGAATCATCTGCCTGTGGTTTTCTCACATATACACCTACCCCAGAGTACCCTTTCTTCACCGATGGCAAGGTGATGAAATTATAAAACTTCTCTATCTTGCCAATGGCATTATTGATATTCTCCCTCGAAGTCTTGAGTTCTTGTAAAGATATGACATCCGCATTCAAAAACTTGAAGAACCCACTTAAATTCATCAACTTGTTCCAAGGGTAATACTCGAACAATGTCCGGAAGCCGTTAATATTGAAAGTTAAGATTCTCAAGCTGTTTTCGGACTTCCTGGGTATCGTAATTTCCTTCAATAAATCATTGACGATCAGCTGTTCCCTGCTGGACCCGACTTCATCTCCTTCAGCCACACATCCTTTACTACTATTCTGACCCCCCTCAACATACATATCTCGGCTTTCAACCTCAGTAATCTGAAAGAGAAGAGATCAAAAACCAGAAACTTTTTTTTTGGGTGTGTTGATATGCAGCCATATGCATTCCTCATATGCATTTGTTTACATCTCCGCGAAATCAAAACAAAGACAGAGAATGTGAGGAAGAAAAAAAAAATTGCACACAAAAACAGTTTCATGGCAGCTTTCCTTATCGTGCAACTGAAAGACAATAATATCACCCGCTAAATATTTGCCATGGCTCTGAAAAACAATACCTTGGAGACTTTGCCAGAAGATTATCCCCAATTTAGCTTCAGCAAAGATTACGGAAAGTACAAGGCCAACCCTGGTTTTGGTGATGGGCAGCAGGAGGGACTGGAGGCAGATAAGAGTAACCTGGTGTCCTCGGTCATTCAAAGAAATCCAGTAGTTGCTAGAAATTCCACGATCAATAAAGGTGTCTTTGGAACCGTCAATAACTCGATCCAGAATAGCATCAATGGTGCAGGTGGCATACTCCGATCAAATCCTCCTAAATTGATGAGCCCCGTAAACCAGAATACCTTAGATAAGTATAATAGCTCTAAGTTTGACAATTTGCAATCGATTTTAGATACTGGAACCAATCAAGGAACCGTTATTCATCAGTCATTTGGTAGTGACGTGGTGGGTGATGGAACTACAAAGTTTCAACCAGAAGATAATGAATATGATAAAGAGAATGTTCCGGTCTGGATGAAGAAGCTTCGGGAACACAAAGCCAAGCAAGATATGGAAAACAATAATAATACCAACAAGGAAAACCTAGAACTCGGTTATGGTGACGATAGCTTCATTTCCCCCATGATAAAAGATGATGATCATTCCCAGCTAGTCGCGGAGAAACAGCAGACATATATGAGATCTAGTTCTGATGGATCGAGCTCTTCTAAACTCAATAGCGGTGCCTCAAACTACGATGGTAACATCACCCCGGATTCATCGGTCAACAGATCCCCGCAACACTTTCCTGAGAAATCTATTCGTCCTATAACCCAGTCAACCGCGATTTCCACTTATAATTCTCGACCAGCAATGGATTCTCACCTTGCTGGAAGCTCTAATTCTGGATCCCTTCAAAGTGGTCAACAGTCGCCTTTAAAGCTTTTTTCCAGTGATAACTACAATACGTACACAAAAGAGAAAATGGACAATCTAATCAATAGTCATTTCATCCCCGAACAGACCGTGGATTCCTCAGAAAATAGCAAAAGAGGAGAACTTAATTTTGATCAAAATGAATATGATGACAGTATGAGAATCTTGAAAAATCAAAATTCAAGCTATGGTACTGGCTCAAGGTTTGCATTCAAAAAAATGCCTAGCATCAATGAAATTCCATCCCATCAAACTAGTATTAATGAAGACGAACATGTGAAATCCAGAAGCACTCATCATAGCAGAGGAAGTTCTAAAGGCAGCCAATCCATAATAGATACACTATCGTCTTCGCATCCCAAGCAAGCGGGAGATATCACAAGTCCGAACCACTTCATGGATTATGCGGATGATGTTTTTAGCAAGTTTATTAATCACGGGCCAGGGGTTGCCAGTAAAGAGTCCTTGAATGTGAACAGTAACCATAATAATAGTAATGTTGCCTCCGACACCGCCAGTTATACCAGTGATGATACCTCTTTCAATAACAACATTGCTAATATGGATATTCGTGAAAACAACAAGAATTATAATCACTTAATGAACTCCCAGCTGATTAAGGTTGGTCAAGGGATACTAAATCATCCTCACAATGCTAGGTCTTCGGAGCTTTTCAATTCAAGTATCATTCAAAATGTCACAAATAATATGTCGACTTTTGATACCATCAAGTTTAAGGGGAATCCCTCATTTATGAATGGTGATAAATATTATAGCAACCAACAGGCTGGAATTGACAAACCGAGAAATTATGGAGCTCAAAATGACTATGGAAATGAACAAGAAGAAGAAGACGAAATGGATGAAACAAATGATGGTATTGATTCCACTCAGAATATCTCTGCGACATTCATCCAGCCGAAAGTCAAATCACATTCTCAGATCATCAGTAGTCATGGTTACAAATCTTATTTCCCTAATGAATCTTATGATCAACAGTTAGACCAGACCGGATTGGTTGATGGGAAGCATCCTGGTGATTTTGATTATGACATTAATGCTTCATTTATTAAAGAGCTTAGAGGAACCCACAAGCCTAGTTTTATGAATGAAGGGAGAAGCGACACCAAAAAGAGTCCCACAAAACCTGCTGATAAGAATGCTTTGCCAAAGAAATTGTTGAAGTTTGCCCCTGGTGATATTGAAATTCCTCAAGTGCATGGGATGTTTCTTGATAAACTGTTGAACAAATGGGTCAAGAGAAAGACTTCTGAATATTCTGAGTCAAGTGAAGAACAAGTTTCAACAGATTTGAGTAGGGACGATGAAAATGTCAATGCTTTGAATGCCATTGCGGATTTGTCAACTGCCAGTCATAATCAAATCTCTAATGATAGTAGCTATGAGTTTGGACATCGAAATGGGCGGCAAGAAGGAATGACATCATATAGTGATACTACGACAAACAACAACACTTTAGCCAATAATGATATCACTTTCAATCAATTACCAAACGTTTCTAGCGTTTCTCAAATTGCCGACACCACTTTTTCCACCAGTAAAAGGATGTTAGTTTCTGCATTAATGGATGTTCTATCAAAGAATAAGAACTGGGAATTGGTAAGGAATGTGGACTTATCGAATAAATCTTTGTCCAGCTTAGTTGAATGTGATACCTTGTTGGCGAATTTGCGAATTATAAACGTTGATTACAACTATTTGAGAACCCTTGATGATTTACCGGAAAGAATCGATAACATTTCAGCTAAGGGAAACAAACTAGGGGGGTTATTATCATTGAAAAGATACCAGGATCTTGAGATTGTTGATTTTTCAGGTAATTTCTTCAAGTCCCTTCTACAATTCAAGAATTTGATTCATTTAAGATATTTGAACCTCAGTGGCAACTTGATTAATAATATTAATGCCCTAAATAATTCAGGATTTCAAAATCTTTTAACCTTGGATTTGTCAAACAACTACATCAGGGGTTCAATCAACTTGAAACGTTTTAGAATATTGGAAAATTTGCAAGAACTTGACTTGTCCAATAATTTTATTGAAAATATTGACGGGGTCAAATACTTACCAACCTTAATTATTTTGAAAGCCGATAATAACTTAATCACAGATTTCAATTTTGATGGGTTTGAAAGTCCGGAGGAATATCATAAATCTTTGAAGAAATTGAGTTTGAAGAACAACAAGTTAGAAATGCTCAATGTTCTTCATTTTAAAAACCTTAGGGTTTTGAGAGTCAATGATGCGATCGAACTTCAAAATTTACAAAAGCTCCACAAATTAGATGAGTTGTTGATTAATGGATCATACGACTCCAATGCTAAGCAATGCAGTGAAATGAACTATCAGATTTTGAGAGACGTTGTTGAATACAACACTATTAAGACATTGAACGTTAGTAATACCAGGATTAATTCATTAAAGATTCTGAAGTATATTGCTCTTGAATCAATGTTTTGTGTGTTCAATGAAATTGAGAACTTCCAAGTGCTCGTGGAAGACATTAAATTTTTGAGCAACCTCAAAAGAATCGATCTCCGATACAATCCAATCACCATTTCGTTCTATTTTGCTGGCAACAAAAGAGAACTTTTGAATGCTTATTATGATAAAGAGATTTCAAAACAAGACGAATCTATGGAGGAATATGATTTAGAAGTTAGCACAATTGAAGAGGATAATCTATGCCTTATTGAAGGATGCCGCTCCCAAGACATTTTCAAAGGGAAGTTACAAAAGCAATGGGAAGTTCAAGACCAGAAGTTTGCTGAGGCTTTGAAGATCAACAATAGAAATGTTTATAAAAAGAGAATTTATTATCAAGGACTCATGTTGAGTTTATTCAGAAAGCTCAAGTACCTTGATGGTTTAAATATCACCAAAGAGAGGAGAAGAGAAATTTTGGATGAATTCAAGAAGTTATAAAAAAAAAAAAAAAAAAAGATAGAAAGTAGTTAACTTTCTTGTTTATAGTGGGTAGTTTCTGGGATATTTAATGTTTTACTGTTACTTTATATCAATTGTTAAGTTTTATAATTTCTTCTTATTTATGTTTTATTTTGCTTGGTTTTTTGTTTTTTTTTTTATTCATTTTTGATCATTGATCTTGAAAGTAGGCAACGTTTTGAAATAAAGGTGATGATTTGCAAACCATTTTTAAATTATAGTTGTATTTCCCAGAAAGATAGATGTATTTGAGCTGAGTTATTTATTCTGAACTCATGGGTAGTATAATCGTTCACTCCGGTGAAGGGGAGAATGGTTTCTAATGTATCGGTTGTGATACTATTATGGGACATATATGTATGTCACATATCCAGGCCTTTGCGAGACATTCTTGGATACTTTTTACACTGTTTCTGGTATAGTATTATTAATATATGCTAAGATTTTTGGAGCCGAAAAAGTTTAACAAAAAGGATATCAGGCAAAAATACTGATAGGTGAGAAAGACAATAATAGCAATAGGATATAACAAGAGATGAAGTAGAATAAAAGAAACCGATAAATATAAAAACACACCGAAGATAAGAAAGAAAACAATATGAAAGAGAAAAAAGGAAAACAGCAGCCAGTATCATAGACACAAAAATTATTTACCCCCCAAAGAATATAAAAGAAAGCCACCTAATACATATAATCGTAACTTGGGTTTTTGTCACCAACTAAAATCTTCTTTCTTTCAGAAAGCTCATTGAAATTGTCTTTGTACTCTCTTGATCTCTTCTTCTTGTTTTCGTGATAAACCAAGCACACGTAGGCAATTACTAGTACTAATGACACAAATTCCCAGACATACCCTACTGTGGTGGCCTTGGTGAGTTTGATGTTGTTATTAAGAAGGATGAACAACCCATAAAGACCTGACAAATCTGATAAACTGATCATGAGAGATGTAGCCACCGATCTTCTTAAATGACCACACAAGTTAAAAGTGGCCCATCCAATGAAGTGTGGAAGCGCAGAATAGGCCCCGCAAGCGATAAAGAAATCGGTGGAGTACTTCCATGGATCTTTCATACTCACGCTGTGAATGTATCGAAGCACCATAAGACCGTATATTGTGAATATTGTGCCAACAATAACGAACGGAGACCGTATTCTAAAGTAGTCAGACATGTATCCAGTAAAGATAATGTAAAGGAACCCGCAAATCCATGGGTAAATTGCCTTTTCCATGGCCCCTTCAACTGAGTAACCAAGGAAATTGAAACTGATACTTTGAATGTAGGTGAAATCATAAGGAATAATTCCCAAGAACATGGCAGCAATCCCCGGAAGCCAAACCATTGGGTCTCTAAGGGTTTGGCCAACTTCTTTCCAAGAGAAGCTAATATTGTACCCGGATTTCCCAAAGTAAACTTCCAACTTCTTGACGATGAAGAGGGTTTCGTTGTTAGTGAAGAATCTCATACCTTCAGGGAAATCAGGTAAGATGAAGAACAAGATAAAAGCACTTCCCATAGTGATGCTACCCTCAATAATCAACAACCATCTCCAGGTTTCAAGCCCATAACGGTCATGCATATGAAGGTTGATACCGTAACAGAGAACGGTGTTGATAAGCATGGCAATGTGCTGAGTGGAGTAGAAATAGGAGATTCTCTTTTGTGATTCTCTTCTCTCATAATAATGTGCAAGGATATAAAAGACGGCACTGTCACAACCTGATTGAAACACACCATGGAAGAATTCGCAAGCGATATAGCCACTATAACTCTTCACAAAACCAGAAGCTAGAACAAAGGCACCATAGAATAGCACAGAAATACTGATCCAGAAATGAGGTCTGACGGATTTCAATATCAAGTTGGAGAAGAATTGGAAAAACACATATGGGGAAAAGAAAGCAGCACAGGCCGCGAAATACTGTAATTGGGTGATTTCGAGGGTAGAGGTGATACCATTAAGATAAAGAAGCCCAAAATGCGTACGGTCAAAATTAGCGATGAGATAAAGAAGACAGAACGGAGCCAAGACGAAAAAGTCGATCTTCCACATAAGTTTTCTTTCGTCAATTTGTAATTCTAGAGCAAGCTCTTTCACTTTAAGAGCTTTGGATTCATCATTAAGGTAAAAGTCCTGGTTAACTGCAACATGAGAGAGATCAAAATTTCCATCATCTTGTTTGTCTTCGATGTTGAAGAGCTGTATGTCTTGTTCGCTCTTAAAGTTAAGAGAATCCATGATGGGTTGAAAGTTGTGTCATCAAAAAGCTTATGAAGGAAAATACCAAGAATTAGAAGCAGCAGAAACCCACATATTTATAAGTGCTCTCTGTGTGATTCAGAGCATCGAATGAAAACCTGGCTTTACGAATGAAAAGCTGTGTCAAAGTAGTTTGTGTCTATCTGCCTGTATGCGCAGATAGTAACAAACTAGTATAAATACTAGCTAGTTCTCCCACCTTGATGCAATCTAAGGTGCGCTGGAAGTCCGTAATGCATAAAGAGTACGCAACTCATGGCCAACACAGTCGAGGGGGTTTCAAATGCTTAATACGACTTACACAACTCCCCCTCAAGATTATTACATTGCTGTATCAGTCGATGATAAGAGGACAGCTTATCTGGAGATTATCAAAAAAACAAAATCTCATGTTTCATGTTGGTGGACTATTTTTTTGTGCAATATTTTCTTTGTGAGCTGTTGAAGGCTGTTGTACTTCTTCATCAACATGATGTGACAAAAGGGAAAGGGCAAAAAAACAAAAAAATAAAGGAAAAAGATGCAAAACTATTGATTGGAACTCTCCTCTCTAGTTTCGTGGTTGGAATATGAAATTCGTAACTCATACTATAGTATATGTACCATAGATTATTGGATTTTTTTTAGCTTAGTGGTTAGATCGAAAAATGGGCATGGAGATGTACTCATATTAAAAAAAAAAAAAAAAAAAAAAATGTACTATTATAATAGCTATTTGAGATTTATCTATTTTTGGAAAACAGAGAAAAAAGATAACTCACCAAGTGAGTGTATTATTGGCAATACATCCCCTTAATCAAGACAATAGCTTCTTGGAGATTTACTCGAGTGCTTATTATTATTATTATAGTTGTTCTTATTCTTTTTCTACTTCCTCTTTTTCTTGTTTTTCTTCTTCTTCTTCTTCTTCTGGTAATATCTGGCCAAATAATCTCTTGGTTAGTTCAATTCTCAGTGCCCAAGGTGCTACATGGTGGTGGGTTGGTTAGGGGTGCAGACTGTCGGCAGCACGTCGATCAAAGCCCCCCGAGGAGGCCTGTCCAGTCAAGAGACCGCGGAAAGACAGGTAGGGTAAGATGCTTTACTCGGCCAGCAGCCTGTGCACGTCCACAACAAAGATAAAACTCTCGTATTCAACTAGACTCTAACCGTAAACAATGGACACACCATATTGGTTTAGGATACGTTTCCAAGATGATTACACACTAAAGCAAATAGATAGAACACAATAAAATAATAAGAAAATAGGGGATGGTAATAAAATGACTGCATGTTACGTTGTAACCAACTAAGTAAGAGCGTGTAGGCGCAGGAAGAGGTTGTTTTTTTTTTTTTCTTTTGGAGGAGGACAATTTCCAACATACTATCAGTGTAATACTTTGAATTGGTCTGTAAACATTTGAGGGATCTCAAAATCATTTTGGTTAGAAGCTCACGGAGAGAGTATCACCGTGAGGCTGACAAGTATTGGAACATTAATATCAGCGATTGGTAGGTTACTATTACACTTTTGAGACAGTGCACGTGATTTGCGCATCAAACTTTCCCAAAGCTCTCGCACATTTTCCTATCCTTAACGCCGACTGCTATGTGTAGGATCTAATGTAAATGTGATAAAAAATCTTTAGACTCATTCGAGTTCTAGAGAATTGAAACTTTTACGAATGTGACCACTTAGTCTTCGACTAGAAATGGTCATGGCAGGGTTGCCGTCATACGTGAGCTAATGCGCGTATTTTTTTTTTTTTCCTTCAAAGTTCGATTGGTATGGTATTGTGGCTAAATCATGATCTGCAGCATGATTGTTACGCAAAACACACTGCGTTTTACTTGCAAGTGTGGTGTGTCAGCATATTCCCTATAGGGAACCCATTAAGCCTCTCGAGATTTCTAAAAGTTTTCCGAAGCTTCAAGAAGATTGAGCGATTCAGATTTTTCAAGGCATAATCTATTACCATAGAAACTTCTGTTGGTTGACAATAAAGTACTTCGATCTTCAAAAAAAGAAAGGTGTAATCAGAATTTTTGCACATATCCAAAAAGTTAACCAGGGGAAAGAGGTATTATTTTCTTCATATTTGTAGCAAGCAGTCTCTGGGGTGATCTTTGGCTTTGAGCTAAATCATAGCTTCGTTACGTGTCACCATTTTTTGATTTTCGTTTCAGTGTGATTCAATTGCCAAAGATTTAAATTCGTATTAATCACCTGAGAGGTATTCTTAATATAACCCTTGCATTTTGCATCTATAATATTTTCCTTGTGTAATTCAACAGAATAGTATTTATCTCTTTTATCCATTCATTCCAATGTTATTCCAATGATTGTACATATTTTTCTGTTATGAGAAGTGAGTACTTAATGAAAAGCGATGTCTTGTATGATTTTCTCGCTCAATACTTTGTTGCATGGGCCTAGAGCACGAGCGAGCGGCTCTTCTACGTACGTTGCCTTCAATCATTTATTGGTGATCGCCTATTCTACTAAAGCAAAGTACTCAAACTCCCAAAAAAAAAAAAGTCGTGTTTTGCTTGTTTCAGTTTTAATTTTTTTTGCTCAGATCGCGTCATTTTACACTATTTAGATTTTTATACTGTTTCACTTTTAACTTTTATAGTAAAGTCCTCAAGAAATTCATTTCCCAGTCTTTAAATTTATCAGCTTTGGTTTCGAATTCTTTGGCAGGGATGAGAAATAAACGGGTTAAAATGTACACACATGGTTTAACTTCAAAAAAAAAAAAAAAAAAAAACATATTTTGATCCTACAACAAGAAAAACAAATAAGCAATGAATATAGAAGTGAACACCAAACTAGTCATTAGAAAATATAAAGAGAGCACGTAGATTATGTAAAGAGCAAAATGCAACCTTATTAGATGATAGAAAGAAGAACTCCCTATTTGCCAGATTCAGCCTCCAATTTCTTGAAGACCAGGGGGTAAACAGTGATACTTCTGAATCTCTTACGAATGAAATCATTCATCATTTGGACTGGAAGCAACCTGAACATAGTATAGTATGTACTTGCTCTCTTCCCTTCAAAGAGTCTGAAGTTGTTGAGGGTAGCTTTGTTGAGTTGATTATAAGCCCTTTCAGCATAAACTTCAGGATCCATTGCATTTTCATTCTTAAGCAAAGCTCTCTTCCACTTCATGTGCTCATGGACTTCTGGAGTGTTGAAAATACTGTCTTTTGGCAAATCAGTAGGAGTACCAATGGTGGTATCAACAGCCCCAGTAACCATACTGATGACCTTGACACCCAAAGGTTTCATTTCACTATTAAGAGTACGGGCATATTGGTCGAGACCAGCCTTGGTAGCAGCGTATACGGAGTTGAAAGTGAGAGGAACCCAACCGGTGACCGAGGTAGTGAAAACAATAGTACCCTTCGCCTTGATAATAAGCTTAGAGAATTCTCTAACAAACTTGATTGGAGCAAGGAAGTTGACACCATTAACGAACTCCAAAGCAGAATCATAATAGTCAATAGCTGGCAAGGAAGAAGCAACTCCGGCATTGTTGTAGAGGACGTCCAATTGTGTCAACCCGAATTCCTCTACAAGCTTCTGTCTGAGATCAACGATTTGCTCGGACTTGGTAACATCGGTGTGGAAGGTGATGATTTCTAATTCTTTGAATTTTGCAGCCACTTCTTCAGGGAATTTGATATCGATGGCAAACACTTTGTAACCATTTTTGGCGTAAACTTTACAAAGGGCGGAACCAATACCTCCGCCGGCACCGGTGATAAGAGCAGTTTTTTGTGACATTGTGGTGGTGAATTTTTTTTTTTGTGTGATAATTCTGGGAAACAGGTAGGTGACCAGGATTAATATGAACAGAATAAACAATCATATTGTTGCTGACTCGCTGTAATTTATACCTTTTTATCTCCCTAATTTTAGCGTCCTTTTCAGACCACCCATACCTCAGGCGATCTGATCTTGTTGATTTTTTATTCTGCAGCACGTATCCACACGGGTTAACTAATTACCATAGATATGTCAAGATATACACACACGTCTGTACATACCCATATATATATATATATATATATATATGTTGTGCTACGCAGTGATTGACTATGAATGCAAAATACCTCCAGATTTGTATATTGTGAATACCAACGGATGGTGATAACTGATGTTTCCAAAGCTTTATGGAACAATCTTCGGACAAAACGGGCCAAGTGTCCCACGACTCTCGCCCTGCATACGGAGTAAATTTTATTTTCCGATGTGCAGTTTGGTTCCGTGTCACGTTTTTCTCACTCTTCTTCGTCGCGCCTGTCTAGACATAATTGACAATCATTCATCTTAATTGACCCAATTCCTCAAATGCGCGATAAGAGAATACGAAGAAAAAGAAAAGTACAACGATTTTCCGCAATTATGGGTTACCCACATCTTCAGCCTGGTGATAATCTATATCACGAGAACTTATTCCTTTTATAGTTTTAAGGTGAATATGTAGACACTCTAATGCATATATCGTGGGAGAAGCAAGTGAACATAATGTTCTCACTCAATATATTCTTATTTCCTGGAGTTTCGCTTCACGTTCTGTTCACATCATCATCAATTAGATTGTGTTTTACGTTTTTTTTTGCATTAGTAATTTCTAACGGTGGTGCAATTTCGTAGCAAAAAAAAGAACTGGTTAAACAAAGAGATTATCAGAATATAACAATAAGAAAAGTCGAAATGAGTTAAAAGAGCCAAATAATTATGCCCAAAGCCAGCATATGAAGAAAAAGAAAGGAATAATGAAGAGAGAACAAAAAAAAAAAAACTATTGAAAAATACTGAAATGAGAACTAAAGATTCCCAGAGCATAAAAGAAACTAATACAGGTAATCGAAGCTTGGGTTTTTGTCACCTATTAGAATTTTCTTTCGTTCAGAAAGCAGGTAGAAATTGTCTTTATATTCTGCTGATCTCTTCTTCTTGTTTTCGTGATAAACCAAGAACACATATCCAAATACCAATACAATCGCCACAATTTCCCAGATGTACCCTACCGTGGTAGCCTTGGTGAGTTCGGCATTGTTATTAAGGAGAACAAACAATCCATAAAGACCTGACAAATCTGATAAGCTAATCATGAGCGAGGTCGCCACAGACCTTCTCAAGTGTCCACATAAGTTGAAAGTTGCCCATCCAATGAAATGCGGAAAAGCAGAGTATGACCCGCAAGCAATCAAGAAATTAGTAGAATATCTCCAAGCGTTTCGCAAACTCAAGTAGTCAGCATACCGAAGCACCAAAAGTCCGTACAATGAAAATATAGAACTAGCAATGATGAATGGAGACCGTTTGCCAAAGTAATCCGACATATGCCCGGTAATAAGAATATAAAAGAACCCAACAATCCATGTATACGTCGCTCTTTCCATGGCACCCTCAAGTGAGTAACCAGCAAAGCTGAAACTGATAGTCTCGATGAAAGTGAAAACATAAGTAACACAGCCCAAGAACATGGCAGTGATCCCTGGGAGCCAAATCATCGGATCTTTAAGGGTTTCGGTGACATCTTCCCTAGAGAAACTAATATTGTACCCCGACTTCCCAAAGTAAACTTCCAACTTCTTGACGATGAAGAGGGTTTCGTTGTTAGTGAAGAATCTCATACCTTCAGGGAAGTCTGGCAAAACGAAAAACAAGATGATAGAAGTGCCCATGGTGATACTGCCTTGGATTATCAATAGCCATCTCCAAGTTTCAAGCCCATACCGGTTATGCATATGAAGGTTGATACCGTAGCATACGACGTTATTAACAAGAATGGCAATGTGCTGAGTGGAATACAAATATGAGATTCTCTTTTGTGATTCTCTTCTCTCATAATAATGTGCAAGGATATAAAAGACGGCACTGTCACAACCTGATTGGAACACACCATGGAAGAATTCACAAACGACATAAGCACCATAACTTTTCACAAACGCAGAGGCAAGAACAAACGTCCCATAGAATAAAACAGAAATACTGATCCAGAAATGAGGTCTGACGGATTTCAATATCAAGTTGGAGAAGAATTGGAAAAACACATATGGGGAAAAGAAAGCAGCACAGGCCGCGAAATACTGTAATTGGGTGATTTCGAGGGTAGAGGTGATACCATTAAGATAAAGAAGCCCAAAATGCGTACGGTCAAAATTTGCGATGAGATAAAGAAGACAGAACGGAGCCAAGACGAAAAAGTCAACCTTCCACCTAAGCTTTCTCTCATTAATTTGCAATTCTGTGGCAAGCTCTTTGACTTTAAGAGCTTTGGATTCGTCATTAAGGAAAAAGTTACTGTTCACTGAACTGTTTGATGGTTCACAATTTTCATTTTCTGGTTCATTCTCGATACTGAAGAGCTCTATATTTCGTTGGTTCTTAAACTCAACAGAATCCATTGTGGGTTGGAGCTGAAATTTTCAACTCTTCAAATATTTCTTTGAGGAGCCCCAAGGAGTCATAGAGAAATGGAAGGAGAAGAATCCCTTATCTTCATGGAAATTGTCTCAGTTTTCATTTTTTTTTTTTTAAATATTAACCCTCAGGCAGGAGCAGAATATTGTTTTCTATACTGGTGTAGATCTACTTGTTTGAATAAACCCAACAGGAAAAACAAATAATAGCCTGCATCAACAATGTAGGCTGAGGTGAAAAAAAAAACACCATGATGCATCGACTGTACAAACAAAATCTGTTAACCAGAATAATCAATAAATGTTACGTGCTATTGGCAGAGTCTCTACTGTCAGAATATTTGAGAAAAAGGGAGATTTGCACACATCCTGTCTGGTTGTTATAGATGTGTAATAGGGAAACTTTTGTCAAGAAGAAAGAAAAAATCCTCATGATGTTAAAAAAGAAAAAAACTTTCGAATTATTGCATGTTGTTGAATAATCCCTTGGCCGACGATCGATGTGTGGTGATGTTTTCTATTCTGCGTTTGAGGAAAATTATCGGAATTTAGTACAGATGCCGGTGTAGAGTATTAATAGAGGTTTGCGCTTTTTGTCACTTTCCTGCTTTGTTTTTTTGACTCCATCAAGGTTTTAGGTAAGTTAAATAAAAGTAGAAAGCTTATAGGCTTCAAGACTGGCAAAGATAGTTCCTGATAGAACCCTCCTTGACCTTGGCCTGCGCCCCCATTCCTCACCAAGTGGGCTTACACTCAACAGAAAGAGTGAAAAAATATATCTTTATGTGCTTCACCTAACAATGCGTCGAAGGAACGGCCTTGAGGGTGTGAAGAATTTTTTTTTTTTTTTTTTTCATTATTGCAAAGCGTTGGGCTTTGTAGCAATACGAAAAAATGGAAATGACAATGCAGAACAACACCATACGATTGTTATTCATACCACCTGTAATTGTGAAACAGCAAATTTTCACCCATATAGTTGGCGGTGATATACCTACAAACCCTCTCTCCTGTGCATTTTCGTCGGTGTTTGCAATTAACTACCAGCAGTGGTCAATAATAGATTTGGACCCAAAATAAAGTTTCTTGCTTCAGCCAGTCGTCAATACTATTAGCTATTACAAATATATTTTTCCTGTTGTGACGTTTCTTTCCCACAGCACAATGCATATTGCTTCTCCCAGATTACTAAAGATAATCCACATGAATACACTACAGTTTTCGTAAGCGTTATCTACCAGAACAAAGAGTCCTTATCTACCAACGATCATATATATCTGGAATTGGAGATGGAGTTAAATACAGGAAAAAATATCAACTTAGCAGTGAGAGATTTGAGTTTAACCCATAAAGAAAACCTAATTATATAATGATGCCCAGGGATAGCCTCATGGCAAACCTTCTTAGTCCTGCCAATATGGGTCCCATTGGCAACCCAGTTTCTATTATGAGATCCATTGCATAAATTGAAAAATCTTTAATATCATATGCTGCAAAATGGAACAATGTCTGTGGGAATTAATTCACAACATTATGTCTACTAGAAGGAAATGAGGATTATCAATGTTGATTTGCGACTTAGTAATCCTCAGAATCATTAAAAAGTCCCTAGACCCAAAAATTTTAAATATTGTACACCAGAACATTACAAGACATTAGGGACTGTCATCGAACTTAAGAAGAGGACTATACCCTAAGAATGTAAGCCATGTCCCAGGCCCAAAATCACCAAGCGAATCATATATCTGGTACAGCTTCAGTAATCTTAGCTTTATTAATAAGAGTAGGTAAAATTATCCATATCTAAGGATTACTATTTAACTCTTAACCCAATGATAATTTTATGTACAGATATACGCACAAAGTGAGGTTATGAAAATAATCAACTTGAAGCATGAAAGGATCTTGCAATGAGTTAAATGCGAAAAGAAAGAGAAAAGCGCAGATTCCTGTAAATATAATAGTTTACTTCTTTTTCAAAAAGTACTCAATTTTTAAAGAGTATGTCACCACACTAATATATTGGTTTGCCAATTGAATGGCGTAATGTAGCATTAGATCCGCCGATCCAATCATGGTGCTTATCATGAAACACGGCAGAATTATGATCTGAAATGAAATAAGATTATCTTCATTTGGCAATTAAACAGCCTTCTCAAGTAGAAAAAAATCAATTTAAGGGAAATGAAAAGCAAAGTTCGCATTTTCCGCTATATCTACTCTGGAGACTTGCTTAGGGTTCCTAAGAGAGACTTTTTTTAAACGGATCAGGATATTAGGAATTGGAAAGAGAACAAAAGCTTAATAAGAATAAAAGAATGCATAATAAACACCTAAGAAAGAAAGCGAAACAAGAAACATTAAAATCAGCGTGAGATCAAAGAAATGAACGAATATTGAAAACACCAAAATATACAAAAACCGAAGAATTGAAAGAATACTGAAAACACCAACAAACATAAAGACAATAAGAAGCAATAGGGCGCCTGATTCACCTAAGTCTCTACAAAAACATCTAGTACATATAATCGAAGCTTGGGTTTTTGTCACCCATCAGAATTTTCTTTCGTTCAGAAAGCAGGTGGAAATTGTCTTTATATTCTGCTGATCTCTTCTTCTTGTTTTCGTGATAAACCAAGAACACATATCCAAATACCAATACAATCGCCACAATTTCCCAGATATACCCTACCGTGGTAGCCTTGGTGAGTTCGGCATTGTTATTAAGGAGAACAAACAATCCATAAAGACCTGACAAATCTGATAAGCTAATCATGAGCGAGGTCGCCACAGACCTTCTCAAGTGTCCACATAAGTTGAAAGTTGCCCATCCAATGAAATGCGGAAAAGCAGAGTATGACCCGCAAGCAATCAAGAAATTAGTAGAATATCTCCAAGCGTTTCGCAAACTCAAGTAGTCAGCATACCGAAGCACCAAAAGTCCGTACAATGAAAATATAGAACTAGCAATGATGAATGGAGACCGTTTGCCAAAGTAATCCGACATATGCCCGGTAATAAGAATATAAAAGAACCCAACAATCCATGTATACGTCGCTCTTTCCATGGCACCCTCAAGTGAGTAACCAGCAAAGCTGAAACTGATAGTCTCGATGAAAGTGAAAACATAAGTAACACAGCCCAAGAACATGGCAGTGATCCCTGGGAGCCAAATCATCGGATCTTTAAGGGTTTCGGTGACATCTTCCCTAGAGAAACTAATATTGTACCCCGACTTCCCAAAGTAAACTTCCAACTTCTTGACGATGAAGAGGGTTTCGTTGTTAGTGAAGAATCTCATACCTTCAGGGAAGTCTGGCAAAACGAAAAACAAGATGATAGAAGTGCCCATGGTGATACTGCCTTGGATTATCAATAGCCATCTCCAAGTTTCAAGCCCATACCGGTTATGCATATGAAGGTTGATACCGTAGCATACTACGTTATTAACAAGAATGGCAATGTGCTGAGTGGAATACAAATATGAGATTCTCTTTTGTGATTCTCTTCTCTCATAATAATGGGCAAGGATATAAAAGACGGCACTGTCACAACCTGATTGGAACACACCATGGAAGAATTCACAAACGACATAGCCACTATAACTCTTCACAAAACCAGAAGCTAGAACTAAGGCACCATAGAATAGCACAGAAATACTGATCCAGAAATGAGGTCTGACGGATTTCAAAATTAGCGATGAGATAAAGGAGACAGAACGCAGCCAAGACGAAAAAGTCGATCCTCCACATAAGTTTTCTTTCGTCAATTTGTAATTCTAGAGCAAACTCTTTCACTTTAAGAGCTTTGGATTCGTCATTAAGGAAAAAGTTACTGTTCACTGAACTGTTTGATGGTTCACAATTTTCATTTTCTAGTTCATTCTCGATGCTGAAGAGCACTATATTTCGTTGGCTCTTAAACTCAACAGAATCCATTGTGGGTTGGAACTGGAATCTTTAACTCCATCAACCAGGAAAAGCAAGTGGGAAGTTACTAAGATGTAACAATTGCCTTCATATTTATATAGATGTACTCACTCAGTGAAAGCGTCACTTTTTGGCATGAGCTCCTGGCAATTACATATAATGAGTGGTGTCAAAACTAGTATGGATTATACTGTCTAGCTAGCAGACCACACACTAAAGTTAAGCAATAGTAAAATTTGATGCAGCCTAACTCTCATACAAGATGTGCTCGATACATTCAAAAGGGTATATAGCTCCTCATGAAAAACATCAAAAAATGCTATGTGCCCGATACGTGGAGGCTCTCAGAAGTAAGACATATGTTGAAGTAAGTGTCAATAAGACAGCGGAATTCCACATTTTTTCTTATTGGTGCTGACACTCAATGTGAGTTTCAGAGCCTACATGTACTCTACAGTAGAACAATAGTGGAAAGGAAAAAGTAGCCAATAACTAAATATAGATGGTTAGGCAGTTTCCAAATGGAACAGGGCCTACAATTTCCAAAAACCGACACGGCTTGTTTCAAGAGCAAAATATCAAATTCGTCACTTAGACCAATGTCCAAGTTTAGTATTGTTTTTAGTACTTTTTAGTGTGGTTTTAGTGTGCAACTCTGCTCAAATAATGTACCCTGATGTAGAAAGCAAGAGCGTACAATTTTACAATGTACACCAGAGCAGATTTCAAAGGATGAAAAAAATAAAATAAAAGTCAATACTAAACAAAAGTGCATGTTAAATGCATTGCAAAAGGAAGTCAGCCCATTTGTGACCTTGCTAGTTGCAATTCCTGTTACTGTCCTTGCAATTCCCATAATTGCATTTTCTTTTTTCCTTTATTTCCGTTCTTCTTTTCCAATATTGTTTACTTTTCAGTTTGATTTACAAAAGGCACGAAGGTTAGATTGTTTTCCTTTTGAGTTTTATGACTAGGGAGGTGGTAATTTGTTGTGATATCTCTCAGTAATGCAGCGTCCCACGTTTTTTTCCTGGTTTTCGTGGGGTTGTGCATACGCCAAGAGCTCGGACTCGGCCCTCAGAAAAGTACCGTGGACACGGTATACATATTGGCGGACTCCAACCAATGTGGTTGGCCAGCAAATATTGCAGAACAGTCATTTTTATGAGTAATAGCGAAAATTAAAGCAGACGAAAAAACAATCGGAGCTTGTTTTTAGTAGAGGTATTCGCACAGTAATGATTTAGATAAACCGATTTGACAAAAAAAAATGCCTCAGATCTACCCATGAAAGATTACCCTATAATAGATCGTCAACAAGATGTGTTACTTTGCGTATATTATAGAATGCGCTACTTGCCCATACCTTCGACCTCCAAATGATGTGCTGTAATCCTATGTTCTACTGTTTGGGGCTATGGACCTAAGAAAGATGTTATAAGATTGAGATTTTTATCCACTCACCTCATGAAACCTACCCTATATTTATTCCGGGAGTATTTATTTGTGTGTGAATCTACTGCCAGTTATTATGTGCAATGATACGACTCTAATACCCAACATCTGCAAGTGAGGTTGACTTTCTAAAATATTGTAGCAACGGTTGAGTTGAAGACACTTACTTGATGCTTTCCAGTGCATTTCTGATGTTCCTGAAAAATAACCATTGTTTCATAACTGAAAGGAAGCAACTTCTTTTCCCTTTTTTTAGTTGCATTACTTTTACTGCTCTGGTTTTTTATATGTTTGATTTGGTCAAATTGACAAGAGAATCCCCATTTGGAGGACAATTATTGTGCTAATTTGGCTTGTTTGTTGGAAACAATATATTATTATGTAGCGATGGAAAAAAAAAATTCTTCGTAAGTACTATTCAATAGCCGAAACTGTGAAATTAGGAATTAGAAATAAAAAAGATAAGATAAGATATGAAGAGGAAAAGATTAAATGTGACTAAGTAAACAACATTATAAGAGTGACTAAGGCTGATTATATAAGAAGAGTGTTAGAGTTTAAAGGTGCTCTTTAATATTACTGATTGTACCTATAGATCACCCAATGATCATCTACTGTGCGCTCGAGCCTGTGGGATTACTGGATCCTTCAATAGTTGAGTTTTCTTTCCACGAAAACCAGAACCTCCCCACGATATATATATGTATGATATTTTCACCAATCACGTACAATTTATTATTATGCTAAGTCACATTAACCATACAAGATATCGCTTGTCAGTGAAGTATATGGCTAGTATCTCGATCATTCATCATTGGAGGATGGTACCTCACAAACGGTACATGCTTACGGGAGCATGGCTTCTAATTAGTGTCTGCAGTGCCAGCCCAATTCTTGTCCTTGTTCGTGATTTATCATCATTGCATGAGTGTTTGTCGCTTCTCCCACAAATATATGTTCCACAATTAGATGGAATCCAATGTTCACAACGCAGACCCACTTTTTTGACTTCTCTTTTCTGAAGGAACAAAAAAAAAAAAGACCCGCCGAAAATGGCTCCTTATTCTTTTTTTTTTTTTTGCTTTTTGCAAATAATTTATATCAATTATACTAAAAAATACACTAAATACTCCGCAGGTCGAGCAAATTGAAAATTTCCGCTTATAGGGGTCTACAACTGCGTAAGACACTGAAATATCTCAGACAGCGTAGTTGCTCATCAATGATTGATATCTTTGTTCTAAGACTGGCCAGATTTACTGTATTTATTGAGTAATATGACGCGTTGAACTTCTAACCAGACTGCTGATGGCGGGGGCCCAGATGGCAAAGCTTAATATTATAGGGTATACCTCTACTGTGGTGCCATCCTCCCATGTTGATTCAACCACCTCACTAAGCAGAAATGTTCTATATATATATCGAGACTTGGACTATTGTTTTCTTTTCGTGCAGTAGATACAAGTATTCTATACTTACATATCTGTGTGGGGGCTTCTGTTTCTCGTAAAACGAAGGATGTTGTTTAAGATTCAGCAGTCCTACTAGCCTACAGGGAGCGCATAGTAGAAGGATAGAACAATTAGTTCGCATTCATATGCCAGAACTTGTTTCTAATCCTATGTCTGTCTTTACCGATGACGGTCAGCTCGGTGCTTCTCAAGTATAACAACGTATTTAATAATATAATCATAACAGCAATAATCCATGAGGCATGATACTGTAATCGAATTTAAATGCAAAAAGACGGAAACGCATCCAAAATTGTCACTTTAGTCATACGATCTGGCGAATATTAGAAATTATACTTCATACCTTTATTGATCCCTAGAAACAACTAAAAACTCCAGAATCTGAGACCTGCTATACTACTGTCATACTGACAGCTATTTCAATAATGCTTATCTGTTGACTGAAACATCCGCATATTAAACAGGTTATCAGCAAGGCCTGCTCTTACCACTCCGGACTTCCAGGTGAATAGTTACGGTACATATCATGTGACTATACAGATATCCGGTATCCCTGACTTTCGCCTTATATTTTGCTTCTATTATTTCTCTGAAATACTCTGCTGAGTGGACCAGTTTTGGTTACCATATTTGATTTAGCTTACTGTGTGGGTGTTCTAATGACTTACTAATTGGTCAATTAGCAGCTTCATATCCCTGGATGCAATCGAGCGTGTAGTTAGGACTTTAGGCTGCGTCAAACCAAACTATCTTTGAACTTTGTCAGACTGGGCGATCGACGCTAGTATCAAAAACAAACCTTCTCTTCGGGAACAATAGTTAAGAATAGGAAAAGGGAGCTAACTTTGAAAATGAAAAAATGTCTGATCATTCCACGAAATTTATATAAAGATAATACTTTCTGTCTCGATGAGCTGTATGTTCCTCTTTTGAATACATCAAGAATTCTAGATTTCAATCGCCGCATGCCATGGACTCCATTAAGTCAAAGGACCAAAGAGAAATAGAGCTCTTCAACATCGAGGACAAACACGAAGATGAAAACTATGATTCGTCACATTTTTCATTGAACAATGACTTTTTCCTTAATGACGAATCCAAAGCTCTTAAAGTGAAAGAGTTTGCTCTAGAATTACAAATTGACGAAAGAAAACTTATGTGGAAGATCGACTTTTTCGTCTTGGCTCCGTTCTGTCTTCTTTATCTCATCGCTAATTTTGACCGTACGCATTTTGGGCTTCTTTATCTTAATGGTATCACCTCTACCCTCGAAATCACCCAATTACAGTATTTCGCGGCCTGTGCTGCTTTCTTTTCCCCATATGTGTTTTTCCAATTCTTCTCCAACTTGATATTGAAATCCGTCAGACCTCATTTCTGGATCAGTATTTCTGTGCTATTCTATGGTGCCTTTGTTCTAGCTTCTGGTTTTGTGAAGAGTTATAGTGGCTATATCGCTTGCGAATTCTTCCATGGTGTGTTTCAATCAGGTTGTGACAGTGCCGTCTTTTATATCCTTGCACATTATTATGAGAGAAGAGAATCACAAAAGAGAATCTCCTATTTCTACTCCACTCAGCACATTGCCATGCTTATCAACACCGTTCTCTGTTACGGTATCAACCTTCATATGCATGACCGTTATGGGCTTGAAACCTGGAGATGGTTGTTGATTATTGAGGGTAGCATCACTATGGGAAGTGCTTTTATCTTGTTCTTCATCTTACCTGATTTCCCTGAAGGTATGAGATTCTTCACTAACAACGAAACCCTCTTCATCGTCAAGAAGTTGGAAGTTTACTTTGGGAAATCCGGGTACAATATTAGCTTCTCTTGGAAAGAAGTTGGCCAAACCCTTAGAGACCCAATGGTTTGGCTTCCGGGGATTGCTGCCATGTTCTTGGGAATTATTCCTTATGATTTCACCTACATTCAAAGTATCAGTTTCAATTTCCTTGGTTACTCAGTTGAAGGGGCCATGGAAAAGGCAATTTACCCATGGATTTGCGGGTTCCTTTACATTATCTTTACTGGATACATGTCTGACTACTTTAGAATACGGTCTCCGTTCGTTATTGTTGGCACAATATTCACAATATACGGTCTTATGGTGCTTCGATACATTCACAGCGTGAGTATGAAAGATCCATGGAAGTACTCCACCGATTTCTTTATCGCTTGCGGGGCCTATTCTGCGCTTCCACACTTCATTGGATGGGCCACTTTTAACTTGTGTGGTCATTTAAGAAGATCGGTGGCTACATCTCTCATGATCAGTTTATCAGATTTGTCAGGTCTTTATGGGTTGTTCATCCTTCTTAATAACAACATCAAACTCACCAAGGCCACCACAGTAGGGTATGTCTGGGAAATTGTGTCATTATTACTAGTAATTGCCTACGTGTGCTTGGTTTATCACGAAAACAAGAAGAAGAGATCAAGAGAGTACAAAGACAGTTTCAATGAGCTTTCTGAAAGAAAGAAGATTTTAGTTGGTGACAAAAACCCAAGTTACGATTATATGTATTAGGTGGCTTTATTTTATATTCTTTGAGTTTTCACGGTTCACATTTATTGTGTTGGTTTTATATTGCTTTTTTGTTCTTTTATGTTTTTTGTTCTTTGCCGCACCTATCGGTTTTTCCCATTCTAATTTAACTCTTCATCTGTTTAATTTTAGCCTTTTCTATTATTTTGCCTGATATGCTTTTTGCTAAATTCTTTTCGCATTCCAAAAATATACTCCTAAGTAACATATCCGTTATAGACCTTTTTGATTTTTTAACCAGCGTGATAGACCTTTTACAGTCCTTGCATGGGTTTACCATACTTTCTTTTTTGTCAGGTCAGCAGGGGAGAAATTCAAAACTCTACTTGCCGTCCAGAATTCACATAAAACTCTACAATAAATGACACAATAAGTTGTTCTTTTTGGATAAGTTAGATATAAAATTCATAATAGTTACATACGAAATTTAAAATTGATAAAAAAAAAATCGAAGCAATTAAACAAAGGAAATAATACTCATCTCAAAAAAAGTATGGTAACCGTGAGATGAGACCGATAAATTAAAATACATCATTACAATTCATAATTTAATTAGCTAAAAAAGATTTTTTTCTTTGTTATTGTTATTTAAACACATAAGGTTGATTAAAAAACAATTTAGTCTCTACCTCTACCAGCTGGTCTTCTACCTCTTGGACCTCTTGGACCTCTGTTTGGTCTTTCTGGGATAGATTCCTTCAATCTGGTAGCTGGCAAAACACCTTCTGGAACGTGCAACCATTCTCTCAAGTATTCAACACCTTCGTCAGTCAAGGTGTAGTAGTAGTATTGCCATGAGAATTGAGTCTTGACGTAACCCTTGGAGGTCAAGGATTGAAGAGCCTTGATGACGAACAAGTTCTTGGTGTCGATGACATCGTGAGGAATTTCAAAGTCCTTCTTAGCAACGACAACACCCTCTGAAAAACAATTGTTAGTATTTCTGTATAATTTATGCTGGTGATAACATAATTTCGTAACTTGATGTTTTGATAAAATGTCAAACAAGATCATTTGACATTGGGGGAGAGGTAAAAAAGTGAGTTGGCATTCGAGAAAAACAGTAATGAATATCATTGATTTGCAGTGCATTTTATAGTTTGGTTTCGTTTTACCAGTTGCTCTTCCTGGGTTTGCTGAATTGCAAGATATTTCATTTTGCCCTCTTTTGATATTGAAGAAAATTTTAAGTTCATATTATCACAACTTCTAATTTTATTCCAAAATTGACCTGTAGTAATCTATTCGATGATATTGATGATGAATTATTATATTCAAATGATTCAGAGCTTTTTGATATGAAAATAAAAAAATTATAAATCTTGATTTGATAATATAAAACAACTCAGTGAGCATAACTCGATGTTCAAACTTATAAGCACATTCTCACTATATTCTGATTTCCTTCTATTAATCTCAACACATCCCTCATTCAAATCTTTATTCATTGCGCAAATCATCAAAATTGTTCCCCCTCCCATCATAAACATTTTTCAACACATTCGAATTCTCTACATACCTTGGAAAAGATATTGGTGGATCTTCTTTCTGTCTTCCTTTGGAATAAGCATATTGAACGATACTTTAACAAATGGTTACTAATTCAATCTTTAACCTGACCAACCTCTGTTAAGTGAAAAATCGTTTTGGATTATTTTTCTCTGGGCTGAAGCGATCGCAGACCATGATTTTTGCGTGGTGTTAGGGTTTGGCAAAGAGAGAACCACCGAAGGGGAATTGGTGGTTCGTGTACACGTGTGTGTCACGTGAATGCCTGTCACATGGTAATGTTACGCCCTGATGAGAATCTTTTAGCTTGTAATTTTATAGCCCTAATGTGCATCACGTGTTTAGTCCCCAAATACCGCCGATCCCTGTCATAAAGTATAACGTAAGTGTGCATTTACTGATGATTTTCTAAACAGAACAGAGAGTAAAAAGTAAAGCTTGAGATTTGGTATTAGTATCAGTGATTATTGTATATATCGTTCCTGCTAATCATTGGCGTGTAAGAAAATGTACGTATGTTATTGATACCATGTAATGATAATAATATCTAATAAAACTACCCCAATAGAAACTTCCATCGTCGGAAATCTATCTCTCAATGAGAAAGCTACCGAACGAAGAAAGATCAACTATTGTGTCTTCCCCCTACTGTCTTGACTACTCATACAGGGCACGTTCCATGGATTGACACTGACAAACCGTGGTGTTTTCGTGGATGTTTGCAATGGTATTGTCCGCTTGCATGGTAATCTTCACAAGTTACCATTATGCAGTCAACATTGCAGGTTTCACCGCATTTACCACTGGCCATCAATGCCACTTGGATAATTGGTGGCTCCATGGCTAAGCGAAGGGTTTTATGAGATACACATATAATCCATAATGAGTCCCTGATAACCAGTTATGACTTGTTTTTTTATTTTTATTACTCTTTCTTTTTTTTTTAAAAAAAAAAAAAAAAAGAAAAATAATAGAATCACCACACAACTAATGATCTCGATTGATGTTGAGACTGCACAAAAACAATCGCTGCATATTGGAAGTAATGATAAAATAAAGGTCATAAATCTTCTAAAATGGCTATCAAAGATCCAAAACAACCAGAGCTGGGGGTTTTCTGGAATATTCCTTAGCTCTACGATTTTCCATCTATTCAAGCTCACCAATAACCGAACACTACTGTCGTATCTTGGGCTACTGGTATTTCATGAATTGTTGCCACTTTTGCTCAGTGGTATTGCGTTCGTCAATTATTATTTCATCGTGTCGGATCTCGGGTATATTAAAATCTATCTCGACGAAAATAATCGACTCATCAATCGAAACTTGAGGATTATGGATGAAGAACAACTACATCAGCGCCTTATGGTGGCCAGCAGTAGAAAGATCTACTATGTCCGGTACATTTGCTGGTTATTCAGCTGGCCACTTCTTATGTTCACAATCCAGATATATTGTACCAACAGCAGCTGTCTAGAGTTATTGAAAACCCCTGAGAGCTCATTGTGCGCGATTATTCTCACAGAAGTGCTAGTATCGGTGCTACTTATCGCGTCGTTCACGTGCAACACCATCAAATGCCTTGCCGCCTTGGTGTCCCTCGCGGTCCAGATGGGATTGGTGGTGTCATTAACCCGGTCATTAGTGATTGGAAAAGCTATCCAACTGTTGGCCATGGCAGTGATGCCGATTTTTTTGATGTCGTGGGTCGCTTACTTGGTGGCATGGTCGTTTGGCGAGGGTTTTGTGGTGATTAGTGACCTCACCAAGGAAACCATTTGGGGCGTGCTGGACACCATCCAGTTTGCAGTGATCCCGCTGTTGCTTGTCTGTTTTATTTAGCTGGTAATATTCTTTTCTTCATATAATTATAATATAATAATAATAGACACGATATAAATTTTCTGGATTGTTAGACGAGGATCTCGGTGAGTAACAAGGGGTCCTGCACCCCTCACCCCGTGTAGAGAATTTTAAACACCAAAAAAATTGAAAAAACATAACAGCAGTGAGGAACGAGGATACATCCTGATCCCCTTATTTGTTTCACTAGTATTTTATTGTTGGAAGGAAGGAGTGTGTTTATCATCCTGCCCTTTTCCTCTATCTTACCGGCTACTCATTATTTTATAATCCTTAATTAATAATAATGTCGTCGTCGTCAGCCTCGAACAACCAGGTGCTTCTAACAGGGTTATCATTGATCCACGACTCGCCATTCAAATCTTCTCGAAGTCCCAACCCAAACTCCCATAATCCAGTATTTGGGTCGTCTCCTTTGTTGAATCAGTACGATGATAAAAGTTTTGCCAACCTTTACAACTTCTTGAAGACCGATTATCGAGACCGTGTTCAGAACAACGGGGTGATTGGGAACCCCAACCAGGTCGACCAAACCCTGCTGGAGAATGATTTAAACTACTTAAATGATTCCTATAAGTTTTACCTTTCTGAACTATCCAACACTTTAATCAACAACGATGTCAATAAAAAGGGTGCAGACGATCAACTGCAGCCCAACAATAACAATAATACTAGTAACAATGATCCAAAACCGGGGTTCCCGAATTTAAAGGATATCAAGCTCTCTGATGATATCAAGACGCTATTCAACGCCACCAAAAACTCCAACACTAATGATTTGATTCTTAAGATATTGATAGAAAATGCTTTATACAACTTGAATCTTTATTTGGAATCGACTGACGAACTCGAGTTTCTTCGTTCATCATTAAAGAAGAACCGGTCAACCAACACCGACAGGATCAATAATTCGACAATATTATCGCTTGACGAAATCAAGAAATTGAAGCGGAAAATATTAGCGCTTGTGGAAGAGCGCAAGGCGTTGCAAACTTCGGTAAACGACTCAATAGGGGCGTTGAAAGATATTCTCGAAAAATACCAAGCCCAAGATGTGGACCCTACCGGCATCGCCAACGCTGATTATAAGCCATCTTCTAGACAATCGCGGTTGGAGTTCGAAAGTATCAACACATTGAATAGCAAACTTGAGCGGCAATTGATCGGATCGTCATTGTCCAAGTATTTACTTGATTGTGACAAACTAAAGATCGTTAATGACAAGATCGAATCTCATCAAAAAAGGCTCTTCTCGCATTTTTTCACCTGTTTGGTCATTGGGTATATCAATAACATCTCTATCAACTTGAAACTTCAAAAAAACATCACCACCAACAGCTTGTCGCCAGTATCCACTCCAAGATCACCAACGTTTAGTGAATATTTATTCAAATCCCCAATGTTGAACTCCCCAATGTTGGGCAAGAAAAATGCATCATCAATGCAAATGATTGAAAATAAGACCGCGATTTTCAATAAATCGATCGACGAAATCGTGAGTTTTGTCGCGTCGGTAGCGGTGCAAAAAGATATTCAATTGCCTGATCCTGTCGATAAAAGAACATCAATGATGATTAGTGATTATAACTATAACAACAATGACGAAATCCTTAGTAAAACCAGCTGGGTGAAAGGTTGTATCAACAGGATCCTTAATTACGACCAGGAAAATTTATTGCAAGAGCTGACATTCCGTGAAAATGTCCATCTTAGAAACACCAAGAAAGATGATAGCCTCGAAGGTGATATTTCTCCAAATTCGTCAGAAACTAGCGTCACCAGTGTTGATTTCTCGCCATCTTATCATTTGCCAATGATGAAATCCCCAATGATCAACCGCGCCGAATCGCCATTCGGATCGCGTTCGTCGTCGGTCACTAACAATAATAATTCCAAAGAAGTCAACGACTTGCGGACCAAAATTAAAGATCTTAAATTTGCCAATGATTATTTGACAAAACAATTCAAGACCGAACGTGAATCGTTCAACAAGATCTTGGCCGAGCAAAATTTGATGAAACTCAACCTCGAAAAAAAACTCACCAACGCCATTCAGAACTTGGAACAGACCAATTTACTCTTGATGCAAACCGAGGCCAGTAATGGTGAATTGGAACGTAAGGCCAATGATAGTTTCAATACCATCAATCAATTGAATAAACAAGTCACCCAGCTAAGAATCGAAAATCTTGGCACCGCGTCGCCACAAAAATCCTTGGCCGAAGCCCCAATGACACACAAGGGGTTGTCTCTGATTTCTGTCGAGCGTCTTGATGATGACACTAGTTTGACCATGCCTGGGGCCCCTGGTAACATGGCCCCAGTGGCATCGCCAAGTGCTGGTATCATGAGAACAGAGTTCAAAAAGATCATTGATGATATCAACAATAAACATTTTGTCGAATTGACAAATGAAATAACCGAGCGGAAAAGATTAGAGAATTTGGTCAAGATGTATAAAGAGAAACTTGATGGCGTGGTGGGTAAAAACGATGGATTATTCAACTAGTGTTGCTGTAGATTGGGTTATTTTTGTTTTATGGTGTTATTTTTGGCTATTAATTTTCTTCCTTTCTTTGGTCTTTTATGTTTTGTTATCTTGAATCACCTTTCTTGCTTATATATATTGTACATTATTACTACTTTATTACTACTATATTTACTTGCTTAATTATTATTTATTTATTTATTTATTTTTTATCATTATTATAATATCCAGTTTTTCTTATTGCTACTTTGTTATCATATCTTTTGGTAAAGAAAAATGTAAAAGGAGTAATTACTGAATCTGGTACTTTGTCTCTTGACAAATACAATATTTCTGTATAATGAATCTTTGTATTAATAACCATGCTCTCTTCTATAGTTGTTGTCTGTTTTCGACTTGACATTGAGAATATCTAGAATATAATATAGTTTTATGAACTGTCAAATATGTCAAAATTAATTAAAAATTAATGAAAAAAAAAAATTAAAAGATAGAAATTAAAAAATAAAAACATGAAATAAAGTAAAGCACGTCCTCTAGAGTCCCAAAATTGTCGTATTTTCCACCTCATACAATAACACATTTAGAGCAGCTCGCAGCAATGTCCTTCTTTTTCTCTTTGGTAGATTGGTCTTTTCTGGCCTTACCAGCCTTGGTTTCCTTCTCTGTCACGGCTTTCTTTTCAGCTTCCTTAGCTTCAGTTGGAGCAGCAGCAACAGCAGCAGTAGTAGTAGTAGTAGTAGTAGCATCAGTAGACTTTTCCTTGGAGAATTCAAACCCGAATTTTTGCGATAAAATACTGGCGAATTCACCACCTTGGATCCCAGCAATTTCTTTTTCCAATGCAGAGGCTTGTCTGCTACCATCAGCGCCAGCAAACATACCAGCACCCCAAGGAGAACCACCATGGATTTCATCAAAACTGGTAAGTTGAGCAAAAGCCTTACCGTATCCAAGCTAAAGAAGTTAGTAACAACAAGAAATGAGAAAGAAAAAAAAACAGGATATCTAAATAATTGTCTCTATAAATAGAAAGCACGGTTGTTGTTCCTGAAATAAGTGAACCAACCAACCCCCTTTAGTATTTATAAAAAGAAAAAGTTGTAACATACTGGTACGTAAATCATCCCGAAATGGGCAATGATAGACATGTAGTTTCTGACAGTGACTTCTTGACCGCCCCCAGGTATACTAGTGGAGACAAACACACCGGCAGGCTTGTGGTACAATGCACCGTTCGCCCAAAGAGACCCGGCAGCACCCCAGAAACTGGTCCATTGAGCAGGCATGTTACCAAAACGAGTTGGCACCCCAAACAAGAATGCGTCGTATTCCTTAAGGGTTTCAAGGTCAGCAATCTTGAAGTCAGCGTCGGCTGCTGGGGCGTGCATCTTGTCGAGAATCTCTTGAGATAAAGTCTCTGGGACCCTGAAAAGGTCGGCGACCCCACCAGCAGATTCGACACCAGCCTTCACTTCTTTGGCAAGATTATAGAGATGTCCGTAAGTGGAGTAAACAATGATCTAATCGTGGCCATATGTTAGTATATTTCAAGCATTGGTAGGATTATAGAAGACGATAATGGACCACTATCTCCGACATTACTATTGTATGTGATTACGAAAAATACCCACCGCAATCTTAGCCATGATGAATGAATGATATAATCAATATTTTGTTATTTTTTGAAACACAGTGAAAAATAGAACACAAATGAACGTCCAAAAAAGTCTATCCAAATCAATTGACACTGAAGCTGAAAAAAAAAAAAACAATCACCGGGGCTGGTAGATTATTTATAAGTAGGGTTGTTTTTGCTTATAAATTTTCGCTTTAATAATCATTACAAATATGTCAGTGTCATTACCGTACTGCATGCTGTTGCAGGAACACACCCAGCATTTTGGGGGGGAGAGAGCAGTTTCCATTACGTGAAGCTGATTAACCATTAATGTTTCTGACTGAGAATTAGAAATTATATCATTATACTGGCATTATTTTTTATCATTTGGAAGTTAATATTGAATTATTATTGTTGCAGTGGTGTTTTTGAAGAACGCATATCGGCTCCAAATTTGTGGATTTTGTTGGCATTTTCATATCAAGCCGCATCAAGAATCACTCAGAGAAGTATTTTCAATTATTGGGATAATTTTAGGTATGCCAATAACTAGGTGGCTCTATAAAAATATGGGCATTATTTGTTTGTGTTATTTTTCCAGATTATTCAGCATCATATTATTTTGAAGAATATCCGATAAGGTGATCGAATCTGCCAAAAATCAACACCTTAATGAGGAATAAACAGCAATTGGAATACTCAACTCGTACACCCTTCGGAAAATCCATTTTTTTTCAAGATTTCTCTACTTCACAAAGAGTATTCCATTTCAAAGAAGGAAATTTTTGCTGCCTTGACCTTTTTGCTAATGGTTTTAGTAGCAGCTTCTCTAAGAGACACCCCACCGAATTTTGTCAAATACTTTTTACACAGTTCTCAATAATGCTGGTCTGCTGTGGAACCTTCTGGGCACCACTTGTCAATAAAATCCTGAAAGTACTTCAAGTTCAAATGGCCAGTACCGTAGAACTCACAACCATTAAATAGGCGACAGCCAGCTTTATACCCAGTACAGAAGATCTCCACCGCCTCTGTTGCGGGAGCCCAAGTGGTGTTCATGGTTCCAAAACCAACAGTGCCGTTGGAAACCTTGATGAGTTTAGTCATTTCTGAATTGTGATTATTGTTTAATATGTATCTGTATCTAGTTAACGTTTTTCAATTTCTATCAGGACTCGCATCAAGTGTATGGGATCCTTCAGCTAAAATTGTCCTCGACTGTAACAAAAATATTTTAGACCACAAATATCTAAAGATCAGCTACAAATTTGAGATACCATCTTCCTGGTTTTTTAGAGTCAATTCAACCAATAATAGTATTCAAAATGCAAACTCAACTGAAAAGGAAATTGAAAACCAAATAAACCAAACAAATCAAATAAGAACCAGTACCATGCGTCTGTCTTAAGTGTCACCACACACTTTTTAAGTCCAGACACATATCCTGATTCCATAAATCAATGTACTAACTGAACACTTTAACTCACATTCCATTTTTTTGCCTCAATTATTAGTGAGAGATAATAATGTGAAGCCTTTGTGGAATGTTGTCAAATTCAAATTCAAAATCAAAATCAAAATCATATATGGTTAAATGACCGGGGTTTTTTTTTTTCCTTCAAAGTTCGATGTATTAATAAATATATAATTATATATATCTATGTAAAATCTTGTGAGCTAATGCTCATTATTTATGTTAGGAAAAACCGGGTAACACCTATGGCTGAGAATCAAATTTATAAGCTACTAACTCGCTAACATATATAGCTCCGATATAGTGTAACGGCTAGCACGGTTCGCTTTCACCGAGCAAACCCGGGTTCGACTCCCGGTATCGGAATTTCTTTTTACATTTTCCAGGGACGGAAATGGTTATCTATCGCAGCCCTTTCAGTTGTTGTTATAATTTTTGTATACATAGAGGAGATACAATAGGCAGAACTCCAGCTGTAAGATTATTATCGATACCCATGGATTGATTACTAAGTGTTAGTTGATCTATCGTACGAGATATTTGATGCTTGTTTGATTCTGAAGCAAATTGTTAGGGAAGATCCAACAGCGCACCAATTACTCGGGTCGGATGATGTCACATAACCCCAATACCCTTAATTAGAGGTCGGTCAAATTGCCGCCGTTTTTTTTTTCTAACTTGAAGGGTGTTACCCAGATCTTTGGTTAGCCCCTCTTTGGGGATACTCTCCATTACTATTAGTAATAATCATTATTAGGGGGTTCGAGTTGGTTATCTTCTGGGGATAGAAACTCTCTGTCTATCCACAATTTGAAACCGTATTTCAAGAGATGACAAAATCGACAGTACACAGACACATACAATCAAATGAATGTGTATATATACGTAATGGCTGTACGCCACCTAGCAATAAAACAGGTTATAAGATCTTCAGCCGTACAAAGAGGGTACGAGGGACATTGATGGACAAGTAGACAAAAAGAGCAGCAAGAACGAGGTGGGAGGAATAACCACCAGATCCCCCGATTACCCTCCAGCAACCGAGCGGAGACACCCACTACAGCCGCACCCTCACCCACCCTGTCAAAGCGGGGTACCTTGTTTGACGTAATTCCTCTCGCCTGGCGTCGCTCGGGCCATCGATGGCAAACTCCGAAACGTTTATATCCTTAGTTAATTAGTTAGTTGCCCTTTCCCCCTTGTTTAGGCACCGACTCCTATATAAACCACCCTTTTCTCCCTTTTACATCCACACTTTTACCCCTATCAGCCCTACACATTCAAACATTCTTCATTCTTAAGCAATGGACGCCAAATCTCAATCCTCTCTCAAGATCAAAGAGGAAAACTTCCTCGAAAAGACTGCCACTGGCGGCGATGCTTCTACAAAATATTCCACCAGAATCCAATCCCACATGAAGCCTTCTGAAATGTTCCCTAACATCGATGAAAAAAAGCTTCTTAGAAAATTAGATTGGAAATTGATTCCTGTGGTGTCTACCCTTTACCTTTTGGCATTCTTGGACCGTGGTAACGTTGGTAACGCCAAGATCGAAGGTTTAACCGAAGATATCCACTTGAAAGGTAACGAATACAACATTTGTCTCACCATCTTTTTCATCACTTATACAATTTTTGAAGTCCCATCCAATATGATGCTTAAAAAACTACGGCCTTCTATCTGGTTGCCCTTCATTATGGTGGTCTGGGGTGTTGTCATGACCTTGATGGGGCTTGTTCAAAATTATATGGGGTTATTTTGGGCTCGTTTTGCTCTCGGAATCGCCGAAGCTGGGCTTTTCCCAGGGGTCGCCTACTACTTGACTCACTGGTACTGTCGTCACGAACTCAACTTCCGTCAATCGTTGTTCTTCTCTGCCGCCAGTATCGCCGGGGCCTTCTCAGGGCTCTTGGCATTCGGGATTTCTAAAATGGACGGGGTCGGTGGCCTTGAAGGCTGGAGATGGATTTTCATTCTTGAAGGGTTGTTAACCGTGGTGGTGGCGTTTGGCGCATTTTTCGTGCTTTATGATTTCCCAGATACCGCTACCTTTTTAACCGAAGAAGAACGTCAATTTATCATTTACCGTTTACAACATGATACCAATGCTGATTCTTTGGATATGGCCAACGGCGACCATTCATCATCATTTTTCGAACCAGAAGTCGAAGAGGCCCAAAAGAAGTACTTCTTCCAAGCCCTCAAGGATTGGCAAATCTATTCCCATATTCTCGTGTACTTTGGAATCTGTGTCCCACTTTACGCCACCTCGTTGTTTTTGCCAACCATCATCAAGAATTTGGGTTACACTGATACTAAAGCCCAACTTATGTCGGTACCAGTTTATGTCACCGCCGCGATCTTCAGTGTGATACAATCGTTGATTTCCGACCGCTCTGGTAAACGTTCTCCATTTTTACTCTTGAATTTTGCCACCATGGCAGTGGGATTTGCCATTGCCGTGGCTTGCGATCCATCTTCGAAACCCGGCGCGGTTTATGCTGGGGTTTACATTGGCTCGGTGGGTATTTATCAAGCGTTCCCAACTGGGGTCACTTGGCTCGCTAACAATTTGGCCGGAGACTACAAGCGTGCCGTGGGAATGGCCATGCATATTGGGATTGGGAATTTTGGTGGGGCTTTCAGTTCAAACTTTTATAGATCGCAGGATGCTCCTCATTATGTCTTGGGTCATTCTTTGGTGTTGGGATTCATTGGGATGGGGGCGATCGTCACAATTTTCATCATGTTTGCCTACTCCAGAATCAATGCCAAGAGAGAAGAAGGGATCATCGAAGGGAAATACAAAGGTTATAGTGCTAAGGATTTGGCAGAAATGGGAGACAAGAACCCATACTTCAAGTACCGTTTGTGATGAATGTTTTCTGGCCAAAAGCGTCCCTTTATACTATATTTTATTTCCTTCATTGATCACACACTCTTATCTTTTTTTTTTTTTTTTTTTATGAACAAATGCAATTTCCAAACATTTTTCAAGTTTCAACTTATCGTTTTTTATTTTTATTTTGTTTTTGTCAAATATAGATCTTCTAATTATATCTTTTGTTTATGTCTGTCATGTTAAATCTGAATATATTCCACATATGTTACTTATAGCAAAACGTTGTAATAAATATCTCGCAGCCTGGCAGATCTTGCATATAGTTTGACATGTATTGTTTATTGTTGGCTAGCTGTCAAAACAGAGCCGATATAAATGATATTAAAAATATCTCAGCAAGCTGAAAATTTCTTGTATTGTATATATATATATATATATATATATATTTAAAAAAAACACAGTTCTTTCACCATATATAAATTGCCAACTGATATTTTGTTGGGTAACAGCGTTTTCAAAGAGATGGCTGGTCACGTTCCGCAGCCTGTATTGTCTGGCAGATATGAAAGCTTCAACGACCTCCTTTTCCCTGGTCATTTTGACAAAATTCTTCATCTTTTATTATTGGATTTTACAATAGATTTGTTGGTTACACTGATGCTTGCCGAATGATTTGAATATGAAGGCAGCTATCGTAGCATTCATTGTGCATTTAGCATTTTTATGATTTATGATTAGGATCTCATATATGACCCCACACAGGGGTTTCTCTGCTATTGTAGGGAAGCTTATTCACAGAAGGGTGCTTATTTGGAAAAATTTAAAATGGTCTGATATTGAGGGGATATTGTTAATGGCGCTTATAGAATCGATGATGAGTGATGTATTGGCGCTGCCATACTCCATCGAGGAAGTGAAATATACCAGGAGAATATGATTATAATGGCGGGATCACATATTGTAGCTCATATCAGCAATATACAATCTACTGCAAATTTCTGTTCAATTGATATACAAGCAGTCTCTTTAACAGTAGATGGATGATACTGCATCAAAGCGTTTCAGAACACTGAGTGTCATAAGCATCTTAGGAAAGAGGATTTTCCCGCCCACTCATGAAAAAGTGCTATAAATACCGGACACATCCCATTTTCTTTTTGTATAATTTTATTGGGCAAGTCTTTTGATTTGTGATCTTTTATCATTTAAGAAAGGATCACAAAGATTTCTAATGGGGATTGATTTGACGGGACCTTCTTTTCTGGTTTGGGGGACTCGCTATGGAAGATATATATATATATGTACATGTATTATATATATATACATGGGCGCTTATGTAAATCAGCAATGGTTTTAGGATATCTATTCATTTGATGAGATATTTCCTGTATATTGTTCCAGTGAATATACGAATCATCATCTAGCTCATTCCCTCACAATGGCAAAGATCATCCATCCATATACCTAAAATAGGATCATGCTGTAGATCGAATGTGAAATTACTACAATAATAATAGAGAGAGGACATTAAAGTAAATGGAGATGCCGTTGGCAATCACCAAATATATCTAGAAGATCAATTCGCTCCGGCAGTCAACAGTCAGTAGCAAGAGACTATGCCCAGGAGAATTTTGGCTCCATCTTGTGTGGAATATCTGAAGATCTCCAATTTTGATATTTCAGGTTCGCTAGGTCATACGCCACTTGTGATCTATTGCTGCCTATTCCTCCACTGCTCAGTACTTTCCCAGAAGTAAATTCAAAAATATGAGATACGAGCTTCTCTAACGTGGAAATAGTAGTTCGACGTTGTAGCCACCTAATATCATCAATAGAGCTCACATGGATATACTACACTACAACCTTCAAAATATAATAGAATAGAAATAAATAAAAAAGAAAGATCCTGTAAAAGCATTAACGTATAACCTCAAAAAATAAGAACTAAACTAGAACACACACACAAAATTAAATCTAAATTGCCTGGAAGAAATAAATGAAGAAATTGAAATAAGAAAACAAAAAACTAAAATACATATATATATATATATATATATATATAATATTACTGCTTCAATTCGGTCCATACCCGCTCTGCCCATTTTTATCAAATGGTAAATTATTATGATGATAATAAAACATCTCTGGATATACATGTCCTTGCGCCGAATCAACTTGCTGTTGAGGCGCCTCTGATTGCGCCAACCCTGGGCCAGAAGCAGGAGCAAGCATCGTTGATGGATTGGCATTAGCCAAGATTAGATGGTTCTTGATCGGTTCGATATTTGCCACAAATTGCGATGGCAGGGAGATATTATTATTGTACGGTGGATAATTCACCATGGTCACTTGTGGTGGAAGGAGGGAAGAAGGGTTTTGAATCATAGGTTGTTGTTGAGGTGGTAATGGAATCTCTTGGATGATTTGCTGGGGTAATGGTGGTTGAGCAATACTTTGCTTTTGTTGCTGTGGGGTTTGATAGAATTGTTGATTCGTTTGATGACCCCGAATGAATTGAGTTGTAATAGGGTTTATACCATTATCTCCAGAATCATACACATTTGATACTGAGCCTTTACTACTATTTGTATCGGTAGTAGTCATGGAATCACCACGACCTTTATTAAGTTTCGCTTTCTGCTTCTTCAATTTATTCAAATACCCATTACTTCTATGCTTTTTCTTCGCCTGTTTTGGGATTCGCTTTTGCATCTGATTTCGCCAATCATTCTTTTCAATGGTGTCCTTGGAATCTTGAATCCACGAAACCCATTCCAGACCCAAGATGCTTGTCAAATGATCAATTTCCGTAACCAATCCTTCTATCCACCATATATAATCGTCTCTACTAACCAACGCTAAAAAATAGCTGATGATCACGAGAATCCTGGGGTCCTTGTGATGAATAAGATACAAGATATTATCGTTCCTGGATATTTTAATCGAAAATCTGATGACCACTGGCCCAATGTCTGGCTCCTTTTGGGTGGCATAAACGTGAGATAAAATCTTGATAATTTCCATCAAATCTCGATAAACTTTCTCGTACCTTAATTTATCAGCAAACTTACCATTTTCATCGACAGTACGTATCACGTACGTTGGGAAACTTTGGCATTTGATGCTATCAATTCTCACGGTTTTTTTCGCGTTGGAAATCAAATTATCTTCACCATAAATTTCTTCTTCAGTGACGCAATTGAAATAATCGAAATCATCGTCCAGAATTTCATAATTTTTATCAATTTTAAGAGTATTATAACGTTTGTCATTGGTCGAAGCTTGCTTCTTAAATGTTTCACCGTCATCATTATCATCATCCGACTCACTGTCTTCTTCTTCTTCTTCATCTGAATAGGCATTCAAAATACTTTGAATGGCCAATTTGGAATGCTTTTTCACGGTTCTTATCATTTTATCATCTTTCTGTTTATTGCTGGCCTCGGTATCATCCAAATCAGAGACAATCGTGTTTTTAGAATTACCACTAGTGGTAATAACGTCGATACACCCCCTTCCTTGCCGCTTATTCTTCTTCTTTTTGGGTCTTAAATACTTGGATTTAGGGGTTTCGATATCTTCATATACCTTGACTTTCCCATTAGCGTACTCGAAATCCTGAACTTTTAAAATATCATTCAAAAAATTCGGGAATGCTTTCACATCTTTCAACTCGTCCTTATCTGGGTGATAAAGATAACTAGGCATAATGACGTCTGGAGTGTTGGTTAACCCAAATTTTTTCTCAATACCCCGAAGAGAACTCAAAGATTTGAAAGTTTGGTATAACTTTAGATTTGTAAATTGGTAATTGACATTAATCATCAAGTACAAGCAAAGCAACGCTGAAGACATCACCAATACTTCTGAAACTTGAGGATTCAAAAAGGCTTTGGGATCACCATTGTTCATAAACGAGTGGAATGATTCCACAAACTTGGTCTTATGGATCATTGACACTTGGAGCATGAAGTACTTGTCGATTTCTGGGAACTTATCCAAAAACTTCCTTGATGCAAGTCCGTTCAAACGTTTGCGGTTTCTCTCATCTAGTTCTATCTTTGGATCTTCAACATAATCATCGGTATAGTAAATATCCAACGCCGCCGTCGCTAGGATGATATGTCTGATGAACTTGAACTTCTTAGCAACTTCATTGAACAATCTCAAAACATACCCTCTAGTATGTACTTCGGGATACGATTTTTCCATGTGGGGGCCCTCAGCGTATTCCAGCAATTCCATCATGATGTCGGTCATCAAAACATAGTCGCTGAGCAAGGCTTCGTAATTCTTACTATCATTGGTCACTCGACGCTTGTCTTGTTGAAACATGAACAGCATCGGCTGTTGGAAACGATCTGGCCCAAGCCCTGCAGTACTTTGACCACTATCATTGGAAGCCAGATGAGATGATGGAGCTGGGTATTTTACAAAATCGGATTCCGGATTCTTGGAAAACTTCGAAGATATTGACGACGATGGGGATGATGGGGTTGTTGTGGTGGTGGTAATTATTGGAGGGTTCTCTAGGTTATTATTCAAAGGCAAGTTATTATTATTATTATTATTATTATTATTATTATTATTATTATTATTATTATTATTATTATTATTATTATTATTATTATTATTCCCGCAAACCGTGGAAGATTTTTGGTTGATGTCCATGCTGGTGGTCGGCTGGTTGCTGCTGCTGCCACCACAAAGCTGAGTGTCGATTTTCGAGGTTCCCAAAAAAAAATTTGTAGTGGGATTGGTATGATTGCTGATTGAGCTACCATCATCATAATCAGCTTTGATTTTTTCGTTTTCTGGTAAAGTTTTCAATGAAGGTTTTCTGTGGATGGGTTTCTTAGATAACGATTCTTCTCGACTTTGCTTGAATTGAAAACTCGATGACATATCTTTGAACTTGAAGCCTCTCATGGTCTTCCTTGGCTTGACCTGGATATAAGAGCATGGTAGTTTCTTTTTGGCACAATTTCTGCACACTGGGTGTTCCTCATCACACTGTCAGAGACATCAAGTTAGTAAAAGGTCCAAAACGCTAACCAGTATTCAAAAAGAATTTCTAGAAAAACAAAAACAAAAGAAAACAACAGTAACAACAACAACAACAACAAACATACCTTGACTCGTCGTTGTTTGCAAACAGCACAGCCGTTTCTTGACTTCTTGTGAGGTCTTCTTCGGTTGCCCTTTTGGTCATGGCAATTGTCGTTATGGGCATCATTGTCCCGCAAATCGAGTTCTGACATAATCGATTGTTATCAGTTCATCCGTGGGATGGTGGTGTGAGGGGACGTTGGTAGCCTTTTCTTAGGATGAAAAACCAGGAGTCTCTTGTGGTTCCATTCGATAACTTCTTTTGCAAAAACAACAAAAAACAAACAAATACACACCAGTAATTTAACAGAATTATGGCTGGATTTTTTTTTTTCTGCTTGAGGATTTTTTGTACACGATCCGCCTCTGTCACCCCCGACGATCTACAGGCACCTTGCATCCTTGAGGATTAATTATGCCAAAAGCAGCCTATATTATTGAAGGTGTATGGCAAATACTATGGTTTTATACAAGCTGTGGTGGTGATCTATACATATACATATATATATTATATACCTTACAATCTCTTGATGATGTCTTCGATGACGTCGGTACAGGTCGACTTACCTCCCAAGTCAGGGGTCTTGATTTGGTTCTCGATCAAGTTGGCATCGACAGCCTTGTAAATGTCAGCAGCAGGAGCTCCGTGGCCCAAGAATTCCAACATCAAGGCGGTGGATCTGATGGTGGCAATTGGGTTGGCAATGTTCTTACCTTCGATGTCTGGGGCAGACCCGTGGCATGGCTCACCAATGACAAAGTTTTCACCAACGTTGGCACTTGGCACCAAACCAAGAGAACCAACGAGGGCAGCAGCACCATCACTCAAGATATCACCGTACAAGTTTGGAGCAACAATGACATCGAACAATTCTGGTTCTCTGAACATTCTGTACACCATTGAGTCGACAATTTGGTGGGTCAACTTCACGCTGGAATATTTGTCCAAGTGGTTGTTGTAGAAAGTTTCGATAGTTTCCTTGAACAACCCATCAGAAGTAGACAAAACGTTGGACTTGTGGGTGACGGTGACGGTGGAGTTTTGGTGGATCGATGGAATCCCAGCATCTCTAAGAGCTTGTCTTTGCAAAGCGATTTCGAGGGCAATCTTACCAATCTTCTTGGAGGCCTGTTCTGTGATTCTCTTAATGGCTTCGGCAGTCTTCAACCCGGTGCTTTCATCAACAAAGATCTTTTCTTCCTTGACGTACAAATCTTCGGTGTTTTCTCTAACAATCACCAAGTCGACTTCTCTGTCAACCCCATTATCAACGGACTTCACTGGTCTAACATTGGCATAAAGTCCCATCTTCTTTCTAAGGGCGACAATTGGGGAAGAGTAGCCTTTAGTCTTGTTGATTGGCGAGCTAACGGCACCGAACAACGCACCATCACACGATGATTTCAAAGTGGCAACGGTTTCTTCTGGTAACGCAGTGCCGGTCTTCTTGAAATGGTCGAAACCAGCCAACAAATCAACAAAGTCGAACTTCAAGTTGTGTTTAGATTGAATGGCTTCAAGAACGAGTTTACCGGCCTAGAGATGATGATGTTAATATAAATTTTCCTTTTTCTTTTTTTTCCTTTCCTTTCCTTTCCTCTCCTTTCAATTGTCCATTAATAATGGTTAGTTAAATTAAAGAAAGAACACTTACAGGAATCACTTCCTTACCAATCCCGTCACCAGGAATCAACCCGATGGTAAGAGACTTTGGGGCGGAAGAAGAGTAAGTTCTAACGGAAGATCTGATGATATTTCTGGCTGCTGGACTGAACATCTTTTGTGTATATGAGTGTATATCTATCAACCAATGGGTGAAGGACTCCTCGAGAGAAGGTGTGAATAATAATTTTAAAATGACGGGTGAAGTTTTGTTGTTATTTCTCTCATGAGTCACCTACCGATTCCGACCTCCCCCGGAATGTCACGGCTCTCTGCGAATACGTCACGCTTTTCACCCTCGGAAGCATACTAATCATACCTACACCAATTCACACAAAATTAATAATTTATCAGCAATTTAAAGCTATACAGAATTAATAATAATAATAATAATAATAAATATTTACAAAGAAATTAGCCCCATCCGTCTTTGCTCATTTCGATTCTTCTTGTGCTTCTGGGATATCGTCGAATACGTCATCGAGAGCTCCTTCAGATTCTCCAGCTTCTGGGCCGGCACTGTTTCCGGATCTAAGAGCCTCAATTCTCTTAGTTTCTGCCAACGCGTCTTCCTTCCACTTGCTCAACACTTGCGATTCTTTTTCGAAACCAACTTCAATGCTCGATGGTTTGAAGACGGCTCCAGAAAACGTGGCTTCTTCTTGGGCAACTTGCACCTCGGCCTCTCTGGCCATCTTAATCTGATAATATTCAAATCTGGCCTGGTTGTATGCTTTTTCCAACGATATTTTCTCGATGCTTGGGTTCTGTTTCACCTGTTTCTTGTTGTCTTTGAGTATGTATAATGTTCTTTGGACCACCGATTCCCCGTCCAACTTCTTGTTCAATTGGATTATCGAGGACCAGTCAAGCTTCTCGTAGTCAACCACGCTGTTGCCTTCCACCAAGATCTTACCGTCGGCAAGTTCCCATGGATGTTGGTAATAAAACAAATTTCTGAGTTCGTCTTGCAAAAACTTCAACTTGATTGGCTTGTATACATCGGTTTCCACTGAGTTTCCCTTTGTTATTCTGGTCTTGTAGAAGCCGGTGTTGGCATTGTACTGGAAGCGCTTAGTGCTCTTCTTAGCCTTGGATTCCTTGTCAGTGTCTAAGAATGATTCTTGTTCTTTGGCGACTTTTTGATAGTTGAAAGTTGGGACTTTGATTTGGTTTTTGAACGGTGGGTTGGCACCGACAACCGTGTACCAGGCAGGGGTCAGTTCCACAGCCCCAGACTTAAGGAAGTGGGACGTTGTCTCGAGAACATCGAGCGCCTTTGTTTGGAACTTCATTGTGAGTATATATTATATTATTATATTATTATTATTATTGGTAATCGCCTTATTAAACGACACTTTTTTTTTCTTCCAAATTTTCTTTGGCGGAAGAAAAAAAAAAGATCGTGATAGTCGGAAGTCATCTGGTATCAACGTGACCACATGTGACTTCCGGTCGCTCCAATGAAATTCTTTTTTTTTTTTTGGGGGGGAGGGAGATTTTGAGTGCCTCTCTTTGATGTTTACGGTGATTCTGTGATAGTTATTAGATATTATACTTACTTACCACATTTCATATTCACATAATGGCACAAGATCCTTGGGCTAAAAGGTATGTTCTGTTTATCGTTATTTGATTCGGTCCTCTAAATGAAAGTACCCCCCACTAACCATTATTATTCGTATAGAGAAGCTTGGAGATACACCGGTGCTTTCACCAGAGCTAACAGATTCAAGGGTGCTTTCCCTGGATTGGGCTTGGGTGTTGGAGCCTTTGCAGTTTACTGTATTGCTGAACAATTGTTCTTTCCTGCAGACCACGGCCACCACGCCCCAGCTGGTGAACACGCCAAAGAACAACACCACTAAATATCTCATTAATGGATCATAAACTATCATTCCCCAAAAACACACTCACCCCCTCTCAAACTAAATGAAGATGTATCCTATTGCAAAAATATCGTGATTTATAAAGATTTTGCTATATGACTTTATGGAACTACGGAATATTCCGTGCTACTGTCATCGCCAATTGTCATCATTAATGCCATCACTATTGTCATATTTTATTTATCTGTTGTTTTTTGCTTCCCACCCATTTTGTACTATTAGTTGGGCCAATACTTTTTTTTTTCTTCTCTCTTGACCTATCTCGAGCAGCAAACACCACTCATTTACATATTATAATGAAATTCTATTGGAATATTTGTCCAACTCTTTGACATAATAAATTCGTAGTTCGGTACATGTATCTTACATATTATTAGGAAAAACTATACTTTCTTTATGTATAATAAAATATTATAAAATAGAAATATCTTAATCATTTATTGGCCATCTGAGCACGGGCCTCGATGACTTTCTTTTGCAACACTGTTTCTATGCTATTCAACATATCACTCTTATTTTTGATGATTTCGTTCAACTTATTGCTATCCTCATTCAACTTCTTCACCTTCTTTTCGTAGAAAACTTTGGCATCTCCTGCTTCTTTCTCAATGAAGTAACCAGTCCCAACATCACAAAGGAATTTCTGATTGTTCACGGTCTTTCCTGGAACGTACAAACTTGCGGTCAATGGCACCAAAAGCTCCCTTTGTTGGTCTTTCGACAGACTTATCTCGTCAATATTGGTGATGTTCGACTTGAATTTCGCCACTGCAGTGTTAAGAGCCGATAATGAATACGTGAAGTTTTGTAATTCGGTTTCTGTCTCTTTCTTAAAGGTCGCCAACTGATCTATATCCAAATCTTGTAGTTTGATCGTTGTTGTGCTCATGATGATTATGGTCTTTCTTTTTTTTTATGATATGTAGTGCAATAATCCAATATGAAAAATAATATGAAATAATTGAACTCTCCAAATCAACTATAAATAATCGCTATTACTCAAACTGTGTCAATCTTGTAGAAACACTTTGCGGTTGGTTTTTTTTGAATTGTCAGTATTTATTTTTTCTGCAGAGTCGCAATTTTTTTTTTTTTTTTTTGGCCTGTGTTAATTGCAGTGGGAAACTGAATGATTAAAGAATGAGACACTATATATGAGTATTTGTACGAGTATTTTATTATGATGAACATGCAATTGATTTATTCAAAAAAAAAAAAGGGGGAACAGCAAATGATTCAAATGGTCTCATTTCTATTACCTTTTGATATAACAAAGTGCAAAAAAAGAAGTTCTTGTAAGAGGAACATTTCGTATTATTGCGTAGACCGGGAATCGAACCCGGGGCTCAACTATGGCAAAGTTGAATTTTACCACTAAACCATCCACGCTGATGTTTTACGTAGACGAAGTTTTGTTCACACTGACATTAAAATAATTGTATCACCAGGGCTCATAATCTAATAGCTCCATCAACAACAACAGCACTCTCTTCTCTATTGTTTTTCAGCGTATTTCATTGATAGTTTGAGTTATATGGAAATATATTACAGATATTCATTCTTTTTACATGTCCGACATTATAGCAGATGGATAGAAGAACCAAACTTCGTCACATCATGCTTCATAAGGGGGTTGCAGAAGTAATAATTCTCGTGCTGTCTGTATCATTTCAGCCGTAATTATAGTAATATGTGGATTGTGAATCTGAAAAATTTGTGGTTTTACTCAAGATCTATGAAGAGATTATATATGGCATAAATTTGTTGACATTAATAGAAAATCTGACTAACCGTAATTAAAATAAACAAAGGTTTTTGGACACCAATTAAAACATTGGTGTTCCTTGCTTCTTCAAAGACTGCAAGCAGTACCTTTATTCAACTTGATAAATAAAAAAAAAGAATGAATGAATTTATATATATATATATGTCTTACAATATTATCTGTTTTATTGCCACAATAACCATCTTATCGCAGTCGTCGTCATAGCGGGGTTCCATACCGCGCCCATTTACTAAGCAATAGGGTAATTGCGTGCGCAAGATTAATAACAAATTAGGAAAAATTAGATAATCGTTGACTGCCCCAATATAAACAATCAAAACAATTATCGATCAATCAGCAATGAGTTACAAACCGTGGCCAGAAAAACTAGAAGGGAAGAGTATGTTTGTACCAACTTACCAATATTATATTATTATTTCCCTACTAACACACCCTCGATAGATGAAGAAATCGACCCAACCTTTACACAAACTACTGATGATCACGTCGACGAGTTTGAAGACGTGAAAATGGTGGTAGCTGCTGCTAACAGGGTAAAGGAAAATGAAGAACCAAATCCTGAACCTTCTGCTGTTGCTACATCCGCCGCCACTATGGAAGCTGCCGAGGAGATTAACAAATCTTTGGATGAAGAGAACAAGAAGGCATTGGTAGTAGTGGAACGCGACCCGAAAGAGCGTGTCCCACCCACCAGTGAGCATTCTTTAGAAAATAATCAACAGGAGAATCCAATAAGCAATATTGCCGCAAGCTCTTTGATCGCGGAAGCCAATAGTTTGGCTCGCCAAGGCGACGGCGATGGTACTAGGGTTTTGATTGATAAGCATGGAAGACCCTTGAGTACATCAAAGAGAGCTGCCCAAAATAGAAACGCCCAAAGGGCATTCAGACATAGAAAAGAACAATACATTAAGGATCTTGAATCCCAAGTTGCCGGCGTTAAGAACCTCGAAGAAGAAATCGAGAACTTGAAAAACGAAAATCAAGAATTGAGAAATTACATCTTGGGATTACAGAGTAAATTGATCAATGGTATGCCTCCATTGAGCTTGAAAAAATAGTCACCGTGTGAACTTTACTCCTCTCATATATGTCTCCATCTCTCCCTTTTTTTTTTTTTTTTGTTTCTTTCTTCCGATGTTTCTATTATATACTCTCTGCTGAGTGGTTCTTTTCTTTGTTTTTCTTCCAATTTTTTTCTTTCTGTTTTGTGCTATATTGTCCTATTATCTTATATATGTTTTGTTTGTGTACATTAGTGTGGTATTTCTGTTGATTGATTGGTTTAGTGTAGGAAGTTTATGACAATTTACCATCAATTGTTAGGGGGTACTGAACCCCTACGAATGTCATACAATTCGCAGCGCCACGTAAAAAAAACAAAATGCCAAATTAACACAAACCGATAGTCTTGTAGATATCGGCTGGGATCGATATTTCTGCGAATTATTTATAATATAATGTCTCTAATTAACAAGAAGAAATACAGCGAGTTTGAGTCAGCTCTAAATAATCTTGTTAATCCTTCAAAGCTCGATTCTAAGGACAAGAAGTACTTGGCATCTATCGATAAATCACTAGCTAATTTCGATTCATGTCTCGAATGGGCCGATTACATTTCATTCTTAACCAGACTCATAAAGGCCCTAAATTCCCATTCGAAATCTCATTGGATCCCCCATTCAGTCAGGATATCCAAATGCTTGTCCAAATGTATATCATCAACTTTACCCAGTGGCGTTCATCGGAAAGCCTTGGAGGTTTACGAATGTATCTTTAAACTTTTGGGTCTGTCACTATTAGCACAGCAAATGAACTTATGGATCCCCGGGTTGTTGCCATTAATGTCATATGCGTCAATTGGGGTTAAACCATCGTTGATTGAATTGTTGGACAGGTATGTTTTGGAATTACCCCCAAATTACTTGAAAGTCATCACAAAAGTACTCATCATCAGTTTGTTACCAGGAATCGACGATGAATCCTCGGAATCGTTTGAAGCAACTATGAAATTGATCGAAAAGCTTCAGAGAAATCTCCATGACAATTACCATTTTTGGCAATGCCTCTTCATGACGATAATCACCAACCCTGACAGAAGGCTTGGTGCACTTGTATGGTGCAATAAGCGGCTTCCAAACTTCAGTCCCAACGACGGGGTATTGTCTTCAGAGGCCAACGAGATTGTAAACCAAGAGACCGGGTTGTTAGTACGAGCATTTATCAAAAGTTTGGATGATGAGCAAATTCTTGTACAACGAGGGTTTTTCGATCTTATGATTTCTAGATTGAAATTGTGCTCTCCGGTACTATCAGACGAAAAAAAAACTTCTAGAGACGACACTGAGAAATTAATAATGAGTGCTTGCCTTACGGTCCTTAGGAAAGATATGTCCTTGAATAGAAGATTATGGAATTGGCTATTGGGTACCGATGATTCCATATCTACTCCAGTACTAGAAGTAGCGGGTGACGTAAGTCACAATGGCACAATTAGTGATACGTCTTCTAAGAATAGAATGATGACAAGAATAAAGTACTTCACCGAATACGGCCAGCAATCGCTTGTTGAAGGGTTTTTGAAATTGATCAACTCTGATTTTTTGGATGACAGAATAAAAGGTTATAAAGTGAGTTTGGCATTCATGGACAAATGGGAGATTGGATTATTGATTACTTCCAAGATTTTTGTCCCATTCTTAAGATCCGTGCAATCTTCGCTATTTGAAAGTAACAATTTGGGAAAGCCAGGAGCCCCAGAAGAGGAGGAATCTGAAGAAATCAAGTTCAAGAAGGAAAAGTACGATGAACTATTTAAAAGTGCATCGGCATTTTTTGATACCATTGAGTCATCAAGTATTTGGTCCACCTGTTTTGAGCTCATCCACCAAGTTGCTGATATAAAGACGTTGAATGAGAATTTGAAATTGTTGATGTTTATTATTAAAAGTTTCAACGTGAGTGAGGAGGATATGGTGATAGATCATTTGCCGCTTATGTTGATATCATTAATCATATTAAAGCTAAACAATTATAATACTGCTATTGACAATGCTGTGCTATTTGAAATCATTAAAGATATTTTGGAGATGATTCCCGGCGAAGTGTTTTATAATGGTGAGGGAGAGTTCTTGAGTAAAGAACAGGCTTTATATTTGAAGGAATTATTTGATGAAAAATCAGATAGCGAGACTTTCAATCGAAATATTGAGGTATATAGTCAGAAAATTTATTCTAAGATTGCAAAGATTTATCTGAAAGAAGAAGATATTAGCAGTTTGGGAAATACTATTTTACAGGATGATGATGATGATGATGATGATGATGATGATGGTGATGATGATGATGATGATGATGATGATGATGACGAGGATGACAAATCATTGATTCAAATAGAAGAAAAATCAGACATTGATGAAACGAAGCAGACACTTGAAGTATTGAATGATACGGAAATAACAGAAAATGAAATGCTAAATAATAACGAGAGATCGATATCCGTGTTCATTCTATTCACATTCATTATGTGCAAAGCTTTAGATATCGATCAAGAAAATGGCTTATTTTACAGCTACTCCACATTATATTCCGATATGTTAGACAAGATTCCAGTAATGAATTCTTCAATTTTAGTTTGGAAGGATAATCAATTAAACACCAAGGTCATGAATAAAGCACACAAATTGATTAATGCTGTACAGAAAAAGAATTCGATTCACTCAATTAGTAATGTCGATAGGAACTTAATTCTTGATTTTTACAGCCTTGGAATAAGCGATAATATTATCGATAGACATAGTGATAATAACAGGTCCTCCATCGATGATAGTTATGTTTCGATAGCATTTGGTATCAGCAGCTTGTTTGCCAAGCTTATGATGTCGTACACTGAGCCTCATCAAAAGATGAATTTGTTGAAATTGACATTGGAATTGTTATATAATATTTTGATTTTACCGTCAAACAAATATCAAATTGAGGCCACCACTTTTTTGTTGAGTTTGGAGCTTGCCAGTGAACCTGAGTATATTGAATCAGGAATAGCGTCTATTTTTTCCAAGCTAAATTCCCAAAATGAATTCGAAAAAATTATCAAAGTGGTCAAAATTTTGTGGGGTCAAACCAGTACCATTCCTTCAGATATAGTTGTCAGAAAGCCAATATTTATCATATTAGATGAATTAAAGCATCGCAATTCTAATTACTTGATGATAAGTGACTGGATCACCTATATTCTTCAAGAAGAAAGACGTGACAGATTCTTTAACATCGTGATATCTCCGATTTTGGAATTCAAGTTTCTCTTCACAAAAAAGCTTGAATTGATTGATGATTTCGATATTTTCAACTATCATTTGGAAACGATAATTAACATTTTCCAGGTAGATGAAGCCAATGTTACAGAAGCTTTGCAAAATGAAATTCTTCAAATAGATAGCAACTTATTGGCAATTTTGCAGCAAAATTCTGAAAGCGGGAATGGTATTTCTACTTATACCGGCTTAATCATTCACATCCTATTAGAATTTTTATCATTGAAGATCAATTATGAGAGCGAAACTAGTGGAATAGGGTATGAAATATTTGAAAGTGAAAGTTTTAATAGAGCCAGTTTATCTTGCATAACTTTATTGTCATTGTTATTGGATGCTAATGAAGCTAATACCGATGAAATCATGACTAAGTTGATTAATATGTCGTACAAAAACTTGAAACATGGCTTTGAAAAGCAAAAGTTATCAATCAACCCATCCATTGAACAACTTGTTTCCATAAATTTCTTCAATTTAATCTCATCCTACATTGATAAATGTCATCACAAAGATAAAAGATTATCGATCCTTGATATCAACCTTGAATCACCAATTAGATCAGAAAGATCCCTTACAAAATCCAAGGAATTGAAATTTAATTATATTGAATACTTGGTTTTCAGTCTTGGATACGTGGAAAATCCTTTAGTTTTCAAATACTGGGTTAATTTGTTAGTGAAAACTTTGGTTAATTTAAGTGATTGCATATTTCAAGTGTTGATTCCGATCACTGAGTCAATTTGTGCGAAGATTAAAAGTTTCTTTAAATTGATCAAGTTCCAGTTAGAAGATAAGAAAGAGACCAATGATCAACAGTCATCATTCCTGAATGTTGATAATGTGGATCAAGTGATTGGTTTGCTCATGAACGCATTGGAAGAACTTCTAAGTTATAGTCATATGTATTTATCTGCCAGTGAGGCCAAACCAAAGGGTTCATCTAAAAATGTTGCTGCGGATCCCGGTTTCTTGACCTCTGTCATGTCAGGAGTGTTTTCAGTGGAATCCCCCGATGCTATCAATTTTGAAGAAAGTAATAGATATACAGTCTTATTGGCTTTTGAAAGTACCATCGAGTCGTGCTTTGACATTTGGTTATGGGGTGATAGTAAAACAAGCTTGACCAAGTACACTTCTTCTGCAAGTGCTACTTCTTTAGTTAAGCTTGGGGAGGTGAGCTCAATTATGAGCAACAATGTTAGAGGGACCTTAGATTCGTTGAAATCTCTAGAAAACACTGCCTCGAAAATCAAGTTCAAGTCAAGAAAATTATTAGAAAAATTGTACCAAATTGAACCTTTGCAGTTATTGCACACGTTGATGAAAGGAGATCCGTCATTTTCCAGCTCATTATTCAAAATGTTACACGTTCTAGATAACTCCAGACCGCAAATTACCATTCCACATATTTTCGATTCTATTAATATCAAATTGAACCCTGATGCCATCAAGAGCGATTACAAGTCCTCATTAACAAACAAGTTTGTCGATAAAAGTATTGGAATTTTTTTAGTGGAATATTTGAAATCTTTGGATATTGAAGTCATCGAGGATATTTATACTGTATCCATGAATTTTTTGAAAGATGTGAATGCCATGTCGATAAATTACAATTCGGTGATACCATATATTCTTCAGTTTGCCAGTATATTGACAAAAAAATTGAGTAAATTGAAATTTGGCGAGCAAAAGAAAATTAGAAAAGAAGTTGGGGATAATTACCTTAGATTACTATCTTACGCATTGTCTTCCCGAGGGGTATTAGGGAAAAGCCAGGCATTACCAATTATTAACGATTTTGGGGAAATTAGTACTGAAAATGGCAAACCTCTATTGAATAGCCACGAGGAGAATCTTTCAGCGGAAAAAATTAATGAGAGTGTCATCACCACTACTACGACATCTCAGGATATCGTAACCAGAAAAGATATTTGTTTAGCGTTGATCGCTATTATCCCTGATCTATCAAACCCAATTATTCAAGAGGGGGAAAAGTCAGTGACGGTGATCTCCTCGATTATTTTGAATGCCATTCAACCACTTTTGAAAAGTCGAAAAGTCTCAGAATTGCCAAACTATGTGATCGAATTGATTTTGGTGATTTCTGAGCTGTCCAGTAGCATGGGGAACAGAATTTGGAGGGGATTGATTTATGAAATTTTCACCGACCCGGACTTCTTTAATATTGATATCAATGATAAATACTTGAAAGATAGCTGGGCGAGAATCATCAGTGCATGGATTAATGATGATAAAGATAAGATTATTGAATTGATCGCCAAGGTACAGCCATTCAATGGGAATTCGTCAACATTGTTCAATTGGAATGAAGGGGAAACCACTTCCAAAGTTTTGAAATTGAAGAGAATCACGTATCTTTTGTTGATTTCCACTAATGATAAGTATATGGGCTTGTTGAAAGATTTGGTCGATAAACTTGTGGAGGTGCTTCAGTCTTCTAAGAACGAATTACATTCTCAAGTGTTTTTAAGTTTGCGGGCGTTGGTATTGAGATTTTCGGCGACTCATTTGAATAATTATTGGATTACCATGTATTCTGAATTGGAAAAAGCCTTCAGTGATTTTATCATTGAAATGATGAACTTTGAAGAAGAAATGACGAAAGGTACTGGCGAAACTTCTAGAGATCTTAGTGAACTGGTGGATGTCCAATTGTTGTTGTCCGCGTCTAAGCTTTTAGATTTGATATTGACCCTTGGGTTTGAAGAATTCCAACTAGATGAGTGGATTTTCATTGATGATTCGATGGAAACGGTTTCTAGAGGGATCATTGGTGATGGGGCTTCTGGGAAGACTTATCGTCTGGCTCCCCTTGTGATTGGGTTGATTGATAAGATCTCGAGACTTCGGGCGTATAAGCTACCGATTGCTAGTGATGGAAGAAAAGTGAAGATTGTTTCGGACGCCATGAGTGAAAATCGGTATAAGATTCCGATGTTGTACGGATATTCTTATTTGGAAGGTCTTGAGCTACTTAAGCCATTTTTTGATCTGTTGAGTTATTACAATTTTGAGCGAGTTTATGGGTTGAAAACTCCGGATTTGGATAAATGTGTTGATGATGTTTATAATGATTTGTTTAAGTCACATAGATGATAATGATGAGGCGAGCTACAAAAAAGAAAAAGAAATATATGCTATAATACTAAAATATCTGTCAGATTGATTTTGTGTAAAAAAATACATATAATAATTAGACCTCCGGTTCTTTTGATTCTTCTTTGTCAGGAATACACATTTTTATTGTATCGTACAATTCTGTGGCCGACTCGGCGTTTCCGACTCTGACGGCGTACTGAACCAATCTTTGATTCTTTGCTAGTCCGTTCTTTGCTTCGGTATTCAAATTATCGTCGGTTTCAATGGCATTGAATCTGATGAATTTTTCCGAGTGTAATGAGCTATCCATACCTTTGAAGATCTCAAACCCTGGGGCGATGGAAACGTTCAAAATGACTTTTAATACCGTCAAAGTTCTCATGATTATTCTGGTTTTCACCTTCTTCGATGATTCCGTCGCGAGTTTGTTGACGTGGATCATCCCCACGCCACGTTCTTTCCACCCGGTGGAAAGGTCATCAAGGTTCAACATGTATAATTTGGCCTTGCATTGGAACACTGCGGTTTCTTCTTCTTCTCCTGATTTGACATCTTTCTTTTCAAGGTTCACCGTCTTGTACAAATGACCCAGGGACTTGTCTACTTCCAGTGAGGATGATGATGATGATGGGGTGGTGGTAGTGGCATCTTGCAGGGATGATGTTGGTGGGGCTGGTGAGTCTTCCTTCTTGGCTTCCGAAGTGTCAAAGATGGATTTTTTGTTGGCTGCATTTTTGAACGCGTTAGAGAACTTCGATCCCGAACCAAATACAAACCCCCCTGCTGATTTCGTTGTCGATGTTGTCGATGTTGTCGTTGGTGTTGATTTTGATTTTTCTGGAGTTTCTGATGATGATGATTTAGTTGTTGTTTTTGTTTCTATTGATGGGCTATTGGAATTGGAGAATAATGGTGAGGTTGGCTCTTTCTTATCTGAAAAAATTGACGATGTACCAAACACGTTCTTTCTACCAGAAATTCCCGAGAACGCAGTCGAGCCAAACTTTGAGTTTTGACCAAAAACAAACTTTTGTGGTGCAAGCGGCTGGGACTCTTTATCATCGTTTGTAGGAAGAGTCTTGTTTGTCTTCTTGTCTTCCTCAACTGGTGCTGCGACTTTCGGTTTCTTCGTGTCGTGTTCAGCAGTGTCAGTCTCTTTTGCTTCAACAGCAACCGATACATCTTCCAAAGATCTCTTGACTGGTAATGAAGATGCTGATGCTTCTTGTTTTTCTTGTTTTTCTTCTTGTTTTTCTTCTTTCTTTGTTTCTCCTTGCTGTTGTACTGCTTCTTCGCCCATGGCGTAAGCTGGGTCCGTGGCAGTGTTGATTTCTGGGGACTCGAGGGTATGTTCTGAGGACATTGTGTTAGCACTAGTAGCTGCCGCCTATGGGATCCTCTTGTATATATGTATTATACGTCCTGAAAGAACAAAAAGACATGTTAATTATGTCTTTCTTGCCTGCCAAAAAAAAAAAAAAAAAAAAAAGTGAAAAGAAGTCACGTGGAGATGGCTACTAAGAGTGAAAACTTTCAATCGAGATTATCGCCATAACTTGTATATATGAAGAATTACTAAAGTTGTTAGCAGATAACTATTTTTTGGTGTTTGTTTTTTCTTTCTTTCCGATTGCACTTATTTTTAAAGAGCCTTTTTTTTTTTTCTTTTTTTGGAAACTCTGCTGATTGATGATTAACAGAGATCGAACGAATACAGGGTGTCGTTTGAATATAATTAAAAATGCCGGAAAACGAGGAAAAATTCTCAACCCTATAAATGAAATTCAGACTAATATCCTCTTTAGTCAGATAAGTGGAATTTGCAGGAATTCTTTCAATCTTGGAAGGAAATTCCAGGGGTTGGATAGTCTTTCATGTCTCTTTTTGGGACTGAAAGATTTGGTGGGATCTTTTTTTAATATATGTTTGTATGTAATATAGGATGTAATATAGGATGTAATATAGGATGTAATATAGGATGTAATATACGTAGCGTATGGGTGTTGTGAATTTCTAGAAAGAAAATGATTCACCTTTGAACTTTCAAGAAGGTAATTTGGTGACATTTTTTATTATTATTAGTTTTTTTCTTGCCTTTGTAATCGTTTACTTCATTCATATTAATTCCATTATCAAAAATTTACATAAACACATTTTTTGTTGCTGTTGTTGTTGTTGTTGTTAATCTGTTACAGCTTGTCACTACTAGAAAATTCTTCACCTACACTTAACCAACCAGACAAAGCGCGATGAGAATAGGAGGCATATAAAATTTATATTTCAAATGGGTCAAATGCTGATTACTTTGTCAACAATATCATGAAGCTTATAGATGAGCATATATTACAAATATCTATAAAGTGTACTTTCTTACGGGATCTGTTAACAATAACAGCTTACTTTCTTGTTTTTGGTGCTAGTCATATTCTTTTCTGGAGCTTTTTTTTTAGACACCCATCAGCAGTTTGGTGCATTTATATGACTTTTCTTCTGGCGGCGTTTTTCTTTCAATTGACTGACTAGGACTAGTCTGGACTCAGTCCCTCCTCTTAATAATAACCCACATAATCGACAGGACCATATCAGTTTGGCTTGTCTGTTGCGGCATATCTCAATTCATAGAAATGAACGAGGTTCATAGTGCTCTTTCTGTTCAAATAATTGGAGCGTATTTTGGCAGTCTCTTCAGGACTGGCTGCTGATAATTTTGTCACTCGTTATATTCAGGATCATATCAATGATCATCCTTCCCAAAACTTTGCTAAGATTATTAATTAGGCCAATAGATCTGAAGCTTTTGACGTCTGCGTAATCTTTCTTATGGGGTTTGGTATCATCGAAGTTAGCGCCTCTTTCCAATCCTCCGAGTGGTGGCCCAACTTTATCGCTATGCTATGAATATCAATCTCAGTGAACTGTTGCTCCATTGATATGCTTTTAATTATGATCTTGATGATTTTCATTCGGAATATAGACTGGTTCAAGTGCTTTTCTTTTTGTCTTCCGAGACTGGCTGGAATTCACCATCAAACACACAATCCCGAACAAAAAGAAAAAAGTTCTAATGGGGCTTCCAGGGAAATGATGGGATTTACAGCTGTCGCCATACCGTCTGAATCTCTGCGCATTAGCGCTATTGATGGTTATGTTTACTGCGCACATAACAAGGTCTCAGCCTGTATGTGAGACACAGAAACATTAAGGACACTATATAAAGAATGATCATACTTTTTTGATTCCTAATTTCTCTTTTATTTGTTGGGCTTTCAGATATTTTCGGAAAGATAAATATAGATGATATATACCAATGAATGAAAAAAGAGCCCTAGAAGATATTGGGACGTCAACAAGCGCTAAGCGGAGATCTGCTTCCCAACCAATCTCTCAATATATTAAGGAATCCTTTCAAGACTTCAAAAACTTGATATCTACCAGCGAAGTAACTATTTCGCCAATTGATTTTCAAGATTTAGGAGATAGCGCCCAAGAGCGCTGCAACTCAATCCAAGACGCCATAAAAAAAATAGGCATTAGTGAAAGTAGCGAAGAGTTGAAATTCAAAGCGTGTACACTATCTTTCCTTGAGAAAGATGTGCCATCAATTTTTTGGGGTCTTCCATTTATCTATGATATAAGTTGCATGAGTAATGAGAAGGGGTTTCACTTATTTGTATCTAATCTTTTACAATCCGTTTTGCAGGTTGTCATTCCAAATTTGACCGATGTAAAATTTGAAAAAGATCAAGAACTTGAATTTGCCTTTGAAAATATCAAATCAAAGCCTGATTTTTTGATATTCAAAGACAACAAGTCCGGACCGCCCTTGGTGACAATTGAATGCAAGTATCTATTATCAATATCCTTGTTTGAGTCGTATGAATGCTTTTTGGAAGATTGGAAAAAGAATAAGCTGAAGGCAGAATTCTTATTGACGAATCCTGTGCTATCTTGATTACAATTGATTGGTCGAGAATCGACAAGAGTATGCTCTTAACATGCAAAATCGATAGCTGTGCCAGAATTTGGGCATTTTGTGACTTTATCCATATTCAAGTTATCAATACTTCAAAGGAGCCGTTGGAAAGTATATTAACAAGATTCATTTTAACCTTTGCTGGTTCTGAAGAGATAGAAAATTCGGCGGAAAAAAATCATCGAGAAACATTGGTTAATGGCTTGATCGAAGGATCCAAGCTAAAGGAAAATGAAAGAGTCAAATAGGGGATCAGGATTGACCGACGCTTGATGTACCGGTATCTCAAAGCCCTCTTCAAGAATGGCTTTTCAGAATTGGAAATCTCGCTTGCAAAAGAATGGAAAACTTATACGGGAAGCTATATTAAGGAAATCACCAAACTTTTTGACTACGATGATGTGGGGACTTTAACACTAATGCCATCCCGTGCTATCAAGCCCAATATAATCTTTTCCGGTAATGCTAAGAAGACAAGATTGTCAGTTGTATTTGGGTGTCTTAATATTGACGAGATCTCGCCTGGTAAATCTGTGGTATTCAAAGTATATGACTATGCCAGAAGCTGCTTGAGCTGTCCTTGTATGGGGATGACAAGTTTCAGAGCACATCAAACAACTTTTTGCTTGACTACTGCCATGCTTCTATCGGAAATAAGAGCGTACCAAATGTTGAGCAGAAATTACTATACAATGAGCTCATCCCAAGAGTCTTAGACAAGGGATACCTCTTCACAGATCCCCAGGAAATAGAGCTCTCAGACATTAAAGAAGGCGTTCAAGTAACCACGATGGAGGGTCAGTTCATACTACTTGAGAATCTTGTTGAATCGGGATATGTTCTGTTACACGAGTTCCATGAGCCTGAAAATTTTAGGAAAGATAGGCTTTTGAGAAACATGTTGCTAATGATGAGTGAAGTCCACTGTGCGGGAGTAGCACATTGCAACATAAAAGGCAGGAACATTTTTATTAATGAGTCAATGAAAATAAAGCTTATTAATTTTGGATCTTCAACCAGAATGAAACCTAGGCCGTTCAAACCGAAAAGAGCTCAATCACCTTTACTTGCCACTTTGAAAGATGGGTTTCAAGATGATTATTCCAGATTATTTGATCTTCTTGATAAAAAATTTCCAGCGCACCGAACATGCGAACAAATTTTGAAGCAGTTTATTGACGGAACTGAAAGGTTAAGATATTTTTTGGGAGTAAAAATTTTCTACTTTGGCTTTGTTATTGAAATGATGGTTGAGAGAGATATTCAATCTGTGGATTGTAATGGTGCTTTTAAAAATCTTTCGGAAGTGTTGGCATTAATTGAGATTCATGACTGATGAGCTCAAGAGAATGAATTTTATTATTGTTTTTACTTTAGTTATTACTATGATTGTTACTGTCTTTCGGAAGTGTTGGCATTAATTGAGATTCATGACTGATGAGCTCAAGAGAATGAATTTTATTATTGTTTTTACTTTAGTTATTACTATGATTGTTACTGTCTTTCTTACTACGTTTGCTATTGCTTTCTTTATTAATATCACTATTAATATTATCGTCAAATTAAATAAAATTGTCTCTTTTGACTTAGAATGTGAGCTCAGTATGGTGAAATTTTCGTAGAAGTCACCAAAGTCTGGGCGTATATTATTAAAGAAATACGGTCCTTAAATTAAGTAATTGATGTTAAACGAATGAATTTTGAGCAAGGATAAGAAGTCAATTTAGAAGATCATCAATCTTTATTGGATGGCAGTATAATTGTTCTATACCGCTGGTGATGTTGGGCATAATCAATATTTACTGCATGTAATAATAGATAGGAGGGGCTCAAAATAAATGCATACTCGACAACCTAAGGAAATACCATTGACAAGGGTACTCTGCCAAGTACATAGAAACATTACAGCAATTGTAATAGATTACTACTAACACTATTCTTTATTAATCGGTGAAAGGATAATCGCTTAGCCGTAACAACTAATAATCACCATAATCACCGGGTAACACAGACACGATGATAATATTGAAAAAAATATCTCTGAGGGCGCCGTTGTAACACAGGAAATCATCATCAACCATTGGAAACAGTGAAGAAAAATGGTAAGTGATACTTGTTTTTTTTTTTTTTCTTTTTCAATCACACCCAGTTATGATGCAGAAATACTGACCCTTCATTATAGACCTCTGATGCTTCGAAATTCCCTCCCAAAATTGCCAAACTTTTCCGACCAAAACCCCCGCTAAGGTATCTTCCTCCCAATGACATCGCACCAGAAAATCGGCAGAATGTGTACATTGATGGGATTTCTGGGCTCTTACCTTCTGTGAAAGACTACATGGCCATCGAATATACCCCTTCGGAAAGTGTCCAGCAGAAACAGCAGGCGGAAAAGCGGGCCAAACAACAGATAAAACGGGCCAAACTCGCAGAGGATTTACAAAAGTGGAACCCTGAAGATGACCCCCAGATACGTGGCAATCCGTACCGTACGTTGTTTGTTGGCAGATTATCGTATAATGTCACTGAGGTGGATCTCCAGAAGGAGTTTAGCACATACGGGGCGATCGAAAGAGTGCGGGTGGTGAGAGATAAAGAAACTAATAAGTCAAAGGGCTATGGGTTCATCTTGTTTGAAAGAGAAAGTGAATTGAACCAAGCGTGCAAGAGTGCCGATGGCAAAGTGATCGATGGCAGAGCATGCATTGTTGATGTTGAGCGAGGGCGTACTGTGAAGAATTGGAAACCTAGGAGATTGGGTGGCGGAGTTGGTGGTAGAGGAGGAGTAGCTACTGGAGGAAGAACACAAATCTCCAGTCATAAACGTGAAGATAACCTGAAACGAGGCTTTAGAGGAAGGCACGGCGATGGATACTCAAGGGTCGGAGATAGCCGAAGTTATGGTTATGGAGGAAGAGATGGCAGTGGTCGATACCCTAGAGAACGGGACTCTCGACACAAGGAATATAGAGAAAGAGACCCAAAGCCATATGTGTCTGATCGTGATCGGGAAAGAAGCAAGTTCCGTGACCAACGGATCGAGAATGAAAGAGCCAGGGGAAAGCCAAGAGCTTATTAGTATATTTGGTTAGCTGCCTATTGTAATATAGTCTTTTTTTTATGCTAATGTTTTTGAGTGTAAAATGGTACTGAAATGCAGTGGCTTTTCTTTCATAATAAGCAGAAAGATATTAATAAATCTTTGTAGTGGACGTGACCCAGACAGATGGTGCAAAGATCAAAAAAAAAAAAAAAAAAAGAAGAAGAGAAAATCAAACTAAGATGAGCTAATCATCAGTGTCAGTTTATTATTCAAAGTACCATTGACTGATAACCAAACACTTTCTAAAATGAAAGTAAGAATCGCTGCCATTCAATTGAAGCCGAAATTTGGCGATGTGGCGTACAACACATTAAGGGCATCGGATATCGTGTCAAAGCTTTACAAGCAGGACTTACCAGGTCCCGACATCTTGGTGCTACCAGAATTGGTGTTCACCGGATACAACTTCAAGAGTCCAACCCATATCACCCCATTTTTGGAGAATTTTCATGCGGGGGTCACTAAAAGACTGTTTTTCGAATGCCCTTCCATAAAATGGGCCATAGAAACCTCTAAAACATACCAGTGTTTCACGGTGGTTGGGTACCCCGAGCTATTCAAGGATACGATTTACAATAGTAGTTGCTTGGTATCGCCTATTGGATCGATCTTATTCAATTACCGGAAATCATTCCTTTATAAGACCGATAAGGTTTGGGGTGCGAAAGAGAATCCTGTGGGGTTCGAGAATTTCCAATTGAATCTCAACAAGGAGTATTACCGTGAAAGAAAGGATTTATCGAAAAAGTTTGGGGTTGATGAGTCAGTGTTCCCTAGGGTACATGATCAAGGTAAAGTGCTTGAGCCATTGGTGAAAAACGACGGAATGGTGGTGGAGAAAATTAGTCGAGTGGTCCACAAGAAGACTGATTTTGATATCGCGGTGGAAAACTTGGACGATAAGTATTCTGAGACCTCGATTAAAACCGCCATGGGAATTTGTATGGATTTGAGCAATTACGAATTCAAAGCATCTTTTGAAAAATTCGAGTTTTCGCGTTATTGCCTTGACAATGACGTGCGATTGATCTTGTTCCCTATGGCATGGTTATCGTCGGTATCTCCAGAAATCACTTACGAGAAGAAGAATGACGATGTTGGAAAAGAAAAGGATACGAAGTTTTTACAAGATCAATTGGATTCCATGACCAAGGAAGTTGAATTGACCACCAACATCAAAGATGATGATGGAAAAGTCATGGTTAATGACTCCTGTGACGTCAATAGTGCCCTCAAAAGAGTGGATATCCGAGATATTGCCAATTATGACAAGAACGCCATAGACAGTTCGAATGTGAATTTCTGGATCCTTAGAGGGGTTCCGCTTTACAATAGTTTCTACAAGATGAACGCCAAGATCCCAGACAATAACAAGATAAGATATATTGTTCTCTGTAATCGAACAGGGATGGAGGACGGTGTTGTTTATTGCGGCTCCACATCGATTGTTAAATATACTTCAGAAAGTCCGGTAACATTGTACGAAGCGTCCCAGAAAGAAAGTGCTGACGTTAAGAAGATACAGAAAACTTTCCAGAATTTCCAAGAGTTGGATAATAGGAACCCAAGTGTGGAAATCCTAGGCAGTTTGCCGACTGGCAGAGAAGCAGTTCTTATCAGAGACATTGAATTTTGAAATGATTAGCAGTATAATATATTGAATATTCAGCAACACAACATTTCTGGTTTAAATATGTTTAATCCAAGATAATTGTATTAATACTTGTATTCTAAAAAAAAAAAAATAACAATAATAACGAAGGAACTTAATTTTTTTTGGTATTATCAAATTAATAGAAATCAACTTGCACTAGCACTAGTGACAATATGACCTTGCTGTTCAAACGAAATGATCAATGCCGACATTGGAGCCAATTCTTGGTCATCAATCAAGTTGAATTCTTTTACAAAACTGATAAATTGTGAAAAGAAACTGTTCCAATGAGGTTCCAAGCTCAAATGAATGATCTTATCGAACTGGTTGTAGTAAATATAAGCAAACACCCTGAACATCTGAGTGCAAATGCTCTTGGCATCCCTAAGGAAGTTTGGTGGGAACGGGTTACCATTTTTCGTTGGGAAAGAAGCTTGGTCGTTAACTTTGGCATTTAAGGTATTCAAAGTATGCTCGATGTACTGGGATGCTGGTAAGTTGTACGATTTGTTTGATTGGGGATCATAATATGAGTAATTAACTCCTGGACCGGCGTTCATCGCGGAATCTGGCTGGATGAAATCCTTTACTAATGAAAAGAACTGGTTGAGGTTGGTGAGGATTTCAAAGATATTGAGGGCAAGCCATTCGTTGTAATCAACGTATTTTGGAAGCTGGACAATTGTTTTGAAAGAACCTTTCACTAAGGTGGTACGCACAAATGGCTGACATAGAAATAATGGTGGTTCTGCTCCCTGATTTACTTGTTGAGGCTCCTGTGATGATTGTTGTTTCTGTTGCTGTTGCAGCAGCAGCTGCTGTGATATTTGTGACTGCAGCTGCTGCTGTTGTTGTTGTTGTTGTTGCTGCTGCTGCTGCTGCTGCTGTTGTTGTTGCTGCTGCTGCTGTTGCTGTTGTTGTTGTTGTTGTGATGAGATCTGTTGAGGGGGATCTACTGTCATAGGAGTATCTTCCATCGTTACGTCAGAGTTCGGCATTATTGGGGAAGTTGGGTTGGAGTCAAAACGGGCCTGTCCATTCTTGACCTTCTTTGGCCTAAAACCTCTTATCGACGAGAAGAAAGACATGATGATTTGCTGGTGTTGTTGTTGCTGCCAGCAGAAGGAAGAAGAAGAAGAAGAAGTAGGAATTTCTGTGGTTTTTGAGGAAAAATTTCTGACAAGTGGCACCGTCCCAGGGGTGTGTAACCAGGGGTTCTGCACCCTGTAACAATATCTATAGATTTTGTTATATATATATTATATATATATATTATATATATTATCTATATTATCTATATTATCTATATTATTTATATTATCTATATTATATAGCAATATCTGTAGTACTTACTCTATATAACATCTATAACATCCAACTATAATACATATCACATAATGATAGGCTCCCCTTAAAAGAAACCCTCCGCCTCCCCAAAGAATCTCCAACTATTTGTATAATACATTATTAACACATCCCAGATAAGCAAAAACCACCATAGAAAATAAAAACGCCATCTAAAGATTCTCTACTCCCACATAATCAATCAAAGCCAGGACCTCTCGAGAATTGTTCCAAAATGGAACCGCTAAAAACCGTCCCACTGGGTTGTGGCATAAGTCTCCCGCAACATTATCTAAATTCTGGGCTCGTCCTACTACAAATCGCTTAGTTACTGGCGTCCCATACAGTAAACTACCGCATGTCAACGGTAATGGGGTGCAATTTATCATCGACTTGTCACCAGATTTGCCCCATTGCACTAAACTGCTGGTACCCGTAGGATCCTTTATGATCTCAATACAAGAATCTTTACCTTGGAAGCCCTCTTCAATTATTGGCAATTCTCCAACCACCAAGTCCGGGGTAAAACATTTGATTATCCCAGACCGATAATTCATCCCGTACACTATCCCACTACCATCATCCAATTTCATTTGTTCAATGCCCCCTTTAAAGCCACCCAACTCTTCAGATTCTTTCACCCTCATCGCCCCATCCTTGAGATACCGGATATCAAACACTTTAAGTTGACCCACTGACCGGTTACTCACCAAAAGTTTTCGATCATCGTACCATATCATATCTGACGGCTTGGTGGCTGGTGGTTGACCTCTAGTAGACTTTCGTTTAATATTAATACTGGGTTGTAATGGGGCGTTTCCAAAATCACTATTACTATTGACCAAACGTCGTACCCTATCCCGCGAATCATACAACACTAGCTGGTCTTTGGAAGCACAGGCCAATACATTGGGGTTCTTGGGGTTGTATTTTGTTTTTAATGGAAACTCCACCGCGCTGAGTCTTTCGCAAACCATGTTTTTTTCAATATCTACCACATCAATGGTGATTTTCCCGGTAACCACGCATTTCGTATCGTCCAGCTTGATATCAAGATCCATAATTTCTTCAAACCGAGGTTTATCCAAGTTAGTACGGTTCATGCTAATAATATTATCATTATTTCGGTTTATGAATACCATATCCTCATTTGAAAACCCCGAAACCATTATTGTATGATGAGTGAGCGATCGAAGATGGAGTTTCTTGCAACTGTCTACGCTGGGGGCAACGTACACCAACTGGGTGAAATCACAAAGTTTGAAAGGAACCGGACGGAAAAGTACAACAGATTCTCGGTAAATCTTAGCATTGGTATCATTTAGCTTCCTTAGCACAGGATTGACAGGAAAACAGGCCATAATTTAGAGGTTTCCATTTGACGTTTTGACGGCAAAGTTTCAGCGGGTGTTTTTTTTTCTGCTTGTTTTCGTTTGACAAACAGATGAGATGTGATGATGATTTTCCATGACAATAATATGGTATGAATAACAGCACAAAGATTGATTACAGGATGTCGAACGAAATAGATACGCTTCTTGCCACTAAAAAAGATGCCTTCCACCATCCATACACTCCTTATGCCATCCAGCTCGAGCTCATGGAGAAGATCTACTCAGCGTTGCAAGATAACTACAAAGTGGGAATCTTTGAGAGTCCCACAGGTACTGGTAAGACACTATCGATCATTTGTGCTGCCATGAGCTGGCTAAGAAACCATAAGAAGTCACAGATGCTTTCGCAACAGGATAATGGTGGCAATGCTGCCGATGATGATGATGACGATGACGAACCAGATTGGGTGAAAGAGACCTATTATAAGAGCCATCTTGGAGATACCAAGGGCTTGATGGAAGAATACGAAGAACATCTCACCCAGTTAGACAAAGAGTACCTGGATATTTATACTGGTGATTATGATAGCGAAGATAATCAAGGAGAATTTAGAAACAGCTACGAAGTTGCCGGATCGACGAAACGGAAATCTACTGCTGGAAATCGAAGGCCACGGAAAAAAATTGCCATAGAAATCGAGAATAATGACGAAGATTTTCTTCCTGATGATTACATTGATGGTAGTGGTATCGACGCAAACAAATCAATGGCCCAACGGAACGCTGAGTTAAACCAGGAAATCAAATCGATGATTAAAACCATTGAAACCAAACGAGCTCAGAATGCCAAACTCGACCGAATCGAGAAATTGTTCAGTGATAGTGATACCGCCGCGGTTAAGGTGTTCTTTACTTCACGAACCCATTCTCAACTTTCGCAATTTGCTGAACAACTTGCAATGACCAAATTCCCTTCATCTATAGATAATATGATAGTGAATGAAAAGATCAAGTACTTACCTATGGGCTCCAGAAAACAATTATGTATCAATTCCAAAGTCTCGAAATTGGGAAACAACTCTTTAATTAATGAGGCGTGTTTAGATCTTAGAAAGAAAAAAACTAGCGGTAGTCTGGAAAAGGACAAACCTCACGAAGGCTGTCAGTATTATCAAAATTATCAAGACGATTTACGATCCACGGGTCAGTTGAATAAAATGGTACGAGATTTAACTTTTGGGCAAGTGCACGATATAGAAGACCTTGCCCAGATTGGCAGGCGGTTCAAGATCTGTCCTTATTACTCGACGGTCAAGCAATCATCTGATTTCTCTGCCATGTCTGAAGTGGTATCATTGCCGTACCAGCTCCTTCTTGATGCGGATATAAGACAGCAATTGAATATTGATCTCAAGAATTCAATTGTTGTCATTGATGAAGCACATAATTTGATAGATACTATTACTTCGCTTAATTCCGCTAGCATGACGTTACGAGAACTACGGTCTTTGGCCGGTAATTTGCGAGGGTATTTTGTAAAATTTATGAAACGGCTCAATAGTGGCAACCGGATAAATCTTTTAAAACTCACCAAAGTGTTGAACAAGTTGATTGACTTTGTAATCAATTATGAGAAAATCCATAAAAAAAAAATCAAGAACGGTCTAGAAATCGACGCCAACGAAATGTTGAGTGCCGGGGGTGGTGATTTGATAAACATTTACAGTTTGGAAAAGTACTTAAGAGAATCAAAAGTGGCGTACAAGATTGAGAATTACGTATCAGTGAAAGACCAAGTCCAAGGCAGTAGTAGTAATCATACCCCGTTATTGTTCAAATTCATCAAATTCTTGAAATTGGTTACCAACCCTTCCAAAGAAGGGAAACTCTTCTTTAATATTGAAACCTCATCGTTGCCACCATCGGACAAATTCGATAACATTTCTATGAATTATTTGCTTTTGAACCCAGTGGAGATGTTTAGAGAGGTGGTAGAAAATAGTAAATGCGTGCTTCTATGTGGGGGGACCATGGAGCCAATCACTGACTTCACTGACTTTTTATTTCCTTATCTAAACTTCGACCGAGATATTTTGACGTTTTCTTGTGAACATATCGTGCCAAAGGAAAACATTTCCGTGATCCCGGTGTTGCAAAGCCATGGTGGCATGAAGTATGACTTTTCATTTACTAATAGAAACAACCACTCAATGATTGTTCAACTAGGACAAGATATTCAGAGTATCCTTAGTAATGTGCCACATGGGATGGTGATTTTTTTCCCTAGTTACAAGTACTTGAATGAAGTTATCAAGGTGTGGACTGCAGATAAAGCTTTTTGGAGCCACTTCACTGCCACCAAAAGGGTATTTTTCGAGCCCAAGGATAGCGGGGACGTTGAAAAAATGTTGGACCAGTACCTGGAACATATTTCCGGTGATGTCAAAGGAGAATCGACCTCCACCACCAACACTGGTGCAGTGCTTCTTTCGGTAGTCGGCGGGAAAGTATCTGAAGGGATCAATTTTTCTAACGATTTGGCCCGGGCAGTCATCATGATTGGCCTCCCGTACCCAAATCTTTTCAGTGGGGAAATCATCAGTAAGCGAAAATACCTCGAAGACACGGTGCTTCAACAACCAGGGGGCACTCCCCAGGCTGCCAAAGCGAAATCGGTGGAGTTTTATGAAAATTTGTGCATGAGGGCGATTAATCAGAGCGTGGGGCGGGCAATTAGAAACATCAACGATTACGCCATGATTTATTTAATTGATCAACGGTTCGGGAACCGCAAGATTCAAGAAAAGTTGAGTGGGTGGATCAACAAGCGGATCATTGATGGAGAAGGAGCAAGGTCGATAGATGAGATCATGGGTGTCACGAGGGATTTCTTCAATTATCATAAGAACAGGAAATTGTCGTGATTTGCCATCAGATCGATTATTAAGGCTCGTCGTTGCCATGACTGGATTGATTACTCTTAACCATTGAATAGATAATAGAGGTTATAATATATATATACCTTTTACAAAAATAACTTCTGAATAGCGAATAAGACTAGAAAAAATATCAACTTTTCCTTTTATTAACACACTTGTAAGCAAGATCTATATACATGATGCCGATGAATTATTGAAAAGAACAACCGAAGTCCTTTTTCCTCTATGATAGAGGGGAAAAAAAAAAGAGTAAGAAAATGATGTCCTGAATGTTACCATAATTTAAAAGAAATAAACAGAGAGAAGATTTAAAAGAAACAGAAGAAAAAAAAAGCAAATTAATGAAATTAAAAATACGAATTATTATGTGTTTGAGAGAACGAATGATCAACTGAAGAAATATTTACTTTTAATAACTTCCTCAACATTCAAATCACCTCTTGGTGGTGTTGCTGGACACCTAAATGGTAAAAGCACTGTGGTATTGCCCGTGGCAGTCTCATCTTCCTCGGTAATACTCATCTCTTCAGTGTTTTCACTTACCATTTCTCCACTACCGCCAGATTTCAGCTTTGGTTTTTTCTTGATCGATATCTGACGTTCCTTTTGAACGGTATTCCATAAACCGTACAATTCTCTAATCTCGTCGTCAGTCAATATAGAAACAGTGGTTTCCATCGCTTGGGCTTCTGCAATCAACTCAGGGTCACCAGAATGCAATTTCTTGAAACGCTCTCTTTCTAATGCAAGTTCCTGTTTGAAAGTGAATCCCTTTTTCTTTTTATCCAGGACGTGCTTCCCCTTCATTTCATTTCTCAACCGCACAACCTTTTCGACAATAGGATTGTTTCTCGGAACCTTTGCCATCAATAAATTAGCGCTATATCTAGTCTCTAATTCTTCTTTAAGTTTTTCAATCAAGTTCAATTGATGCAATTCAACAAATGAGCTTCTCAAAATTTCGTTCATTTCATCAACGCTGGAAGCATGTGTCCAATAAGAATCGTGAACTGAAGCAAAAGTGACCCCGTTTTTCCCACATTCAATTGATGATAATAACATATGGGTAGCATCAAGAGAATGGATGTAGTTCGGAGCAAACCCATTGAGCTGTCTGCTAGAACTAACCTGGTTCAATTCGAATGGATCTTGTAAGAACAAGGTCTGGATGTTTGTGGCAATTTGCTTCTTACAAGCTTGTCTGTATGGCTGAACAACAGGCAAACCCAAAGGACTGGTCCAAATAACAGAACTCATGTGCAAGTCAGCTTGAGTTTCTTCAAACTCATCATCTGGGATGTCCATTAAATTGGTAGACTTGGTGACCCTTCTAGCAGATTCCCCAAGCCAAGTTTGAATCAAATTCGCCCCGGAAAATAATGTACGAATGGATTCAAACACAAATCTTGTTAAGTAAAGTGATAAACGATGGGCCTCATCAGGGTCTGAAAAATAATTTTTCAATTGTTTTCTAATTTGCTGGGTAGCGCCAATGTAAGTAACCCCGTAGACATTTGTCATCACCGTTTGTTTAATAACTTTACGATCAATGACCTTCAAAATTTTTTCTGCATCCTCTTCACCCTTCTCCGATTCTATTTTCAACAATTTTTTTGTAATACTACACACATGGTTATAAACATCCTGTGGCCTTTCACTTGCAATCAAATTAACTTGCTTAGCACCTTCGATATCACCACCTAATGCGGCATAATGCTGCAAGCCGTTACAAGTACCATCTTGATGGACTGGTTGATGGGAAACAAATTCTGCTGGATCATCAAGTTTCAAGGCATCAGTAACTTCAAACATCACCGCCAACGCTTGCCAAGGATCTTCTGCTGTGAGCCAAAATGCCTTTTTATTATAAGGATCGGTAACCGAAGCCTCGATATCTTTCATATGGTCGTCCACAAAAGCGACTCTTTCAGAAAATGGTAATTTGGAATGACCAAACAAATTAGCCAAATGGACCTTCAACCAAAATAAACCTTTTGGACCCAACTTCTTACCTTCCCAGAAAATCAACAACCCTCTACTCAAATCATTACCCAAATGATTAAAATGAGGAGTTATCGGATAGGCCCTACCCCTAAAGTCTAAATTATGTGGAAAATAAAACCGTTCACCGGCAAAAGCTCTAGCAATCTCAAGTTTATAATTGGTATCACAACGCAGAGATCTGTTAGTACTATAGATATTAGCAAGTTGCCTAGAGGCTCTTTGCCAATCTCTCTTGACAATTGGGTCACAGTCTCTTGGCGGGACTGGAGGAAACTCTATATCCTTAAGGATCTTTGGAATGGCCAAAAATTCTTCTTCGCTGTTCCAAACAGTAGTCAAGATCTTCAAAACACGCTCATTTACGGTCCAAGCAGTGTCACCCAAAACATTAAGACCTTCATAAACTTTGTCCAAGCAACTTCTGGCAGACGCTGCCTTAATGTATGCCATTTGTTCTGGTGAATTCTTGCTTCTAATAATATTGTTTCTAGAAAATTCGTACCCACCGCTATTAAAGGTAGTCCATTTCTTTGGCTTGGTTAACATTGGCAAGGATTGTGGGTAGATGGAATACTGTAGATTTTGGGTACCTAATTGAGTTAAAAGATTCTTATGGAGACGTATAATCCCCAATTTTGTCCCCAAACAATATTGATAAGTATGGCTCATCGCCGGCACTTCAGCGGTGACCTCTTTACCAGTTCTTGGATCGATAGCAGTGACGGAGATTTTCGCAACTTTGAGTAATGCACTAATGAGGAGAGATCCTACTTTAGCTTTAACAGTGGTTGGCCAGTCAATTTCATCGCCCAACATAGTATCACGTAATGAGGCTTGGGATCTTTGGATCATTTTTCTTAAACGTTGACTTTTTTCACCTTGACTCATACCTTTAAATGCCTCACCTTCTTTTTTCAAAACGATTTCAGATTTATATTCGTATTCAATGGCCTTACCAATACTCATGACTGCCCTGGTGGTCTTCATACCATCAACCACACCACCAGTAGAAGCCAATCTAAGCATCTCAAGAATAGTAATTACCGTCATTTTTTCTGGGGATATTAAAGTAAAAATCGAACAGATGTCCAAGTGTGGTTTTATTTTGGCATATTCCGCAGGGGTGAAATTCGAGGATATTTCGCTCCTACTGAGAATCCCTCCTTTAGTGAGATCGCTGTATCTTTTACATAATTCAACATCTTCCTGAACCAATGGGAGCATATCTTTAAACCATTTCCATAGCAAAACATTGATCTGTTTGTCTTTGAACATAAGACCTCCATGCTTTTTTGATTCTTCTGCTGTGTGTTTCCAACTTTGCTCTGCCCCATCAATGGTTCTGGCTTCAAGTTGACGTTGTCTTTCATGATTGAAATCATCCAAAAGCTTATGGAATAACTGCTTATCTTTATCAGTTTTCAAAGATTTATAAACTTTGAAGAAATCTATGGTTTGCAGGTCAGTGTTCACATAGTCCTCAGGATGTTCTAAGTTTGAAAGGATTTTCTCGGCAAAATCTTTACCGCCTGAAAGTGACAATGCGAGCAAACTATGTCTGATAACCTTTAATCCAAAGGAGTCAACGGCCTTGAGTTCGTCATATCCCAACTTTTGTAATGTTGGAGGAACTTCTGCTGAGGATAGCTCTTGTGCATCTTGGGCCATCGGATCTTTTTCCAATTGCTTGCTCACAGCAGCGTTATCAATTTTGTAGATATTCTCGGCGCCGGTCACCAATTCACGATACTGTTTTGGGAAATCATTGACATTTAACTTCAAATCCTCGTAGATCTTCTTCAAGTTGACGATGGTAAGCACGTCTACGTTGTTAAGAACTTCAATAATCGGCTTCCCATCCCTGACCCACAGCTTGAGAAATTGTCTATAACTGGTACCTTCAGCCTTATCAATTGCGGCTCTGGTTAAAATCGCCACAGTACGGCCGTCAAGAAACATTTTTGGGTAAGTTGCCTTTGATCTTTTAAGGAAATGGTTAACCTCATCCATTTCGACAATCTCCGACTGGGTCCAGGCAAACAAGTACTTGTTGAAAGCGTCAATAAATGTAGCGGCGGAACTGGCACTTTCAAAATTGGTGATCTTGTATAATGTGTCAATCAATTTCAAACTACGATGGAATTGCTCTTGGTTAAGCAAAGCGTCGAGCAAAGACCAGATTTTGAGGATTGACGAGGCAGTTTGATGTTTTGACAAAATATCATAAGGTGATGGATACACCTTATCTTCTTCCATGACCCCTTTTGCAGTGCTATTAGTGCCAATATCACGAAACATGTCTTGAACCTCATGAGACCCCACCACCGTCAGCACTTTGAAGCTGTTGCTGGCCCATCTTTTCGGCCTTAACGACGAGCCCAACGCCTGGAGCGCTCTTCTGTGGAGCATCAGCTGTGTTGCAGATCCTCTGTGGAGCATCATCTCTGTGAGAAGGGTTGGCTATATGGATATTAACTGGGGGCGTTTGGTTAGAGAAGCTGAAAGAATTAAAAAAAAAAAAAAAAAAATTTTCTCTGTCTCTGTTTCTTTTACTGGTGATGCCCGCCAGGGCTGCGCAACTATTTTTTTTAGGAAGGGGAAAAAAAAATAACAGAAGAAGAAGTCGATGAGTACTGTGATTACCGTGAGATTAGAACTCTATAAATATCGATAATAACAGCAACAATGTGGAGCTACATGTTTGGCGGGAATACCCAGAAGAAGAAGGAGGCCCCTAAGAAGGCGATCATCCAGCTCAGAGAGCATATCACCATGCTCAACAAGAAGCAGGCACATCTCGAGTCACAGATCGAGGCACAAGACCAAGTGGCACGCAAGAACGTTGCCACCAACAAAGCCGCGGCCAAGAATGCTTTGAAGAAGAAGAAGAACTACCAGACCCAACTTGACAAGATATATTCCCAGATTGAGTCGCTCGAGACTCAGCTCGATGCCATCGAGTCGGCCAACTTGAATTTGGCCACCATGAACGCCATGAAGGATGGGGCTAAGGCAATGAAGCAAATCCATGGCGATTTCAACATCGATAAAGTTGATGAGACCATGGATGATATCAAGGACCAACTCGATGTTGCTGCCGAAATCTCCGATGCCATTTCCAGGCCTTTGGGTAACGAAATTGACGAGGATGAATTGGAGGATGAATTGAAGGAATTGGAAGACGCCCAATTGAATGAAGAGCTCAATAAAGTTGCTGCCGCCTCGAAAAAGAATACCGAATCGGAAGTCAAATTGCCAGACGTTTCGAAGTTGCCTATTTTGAACCAAAAGGCCCCAGTAGCCGAAGAAGAAGAGGATGAAGATGAGCGTGCCCTTAGGGAACTCCAAGCACAAATGCAAATATGAGAACGATGGAACATCTTGAAAATATGGCTTTTTGGTACTAAATTAATCAATCGGGATTTTTTTGTTGTGTTGGTCGTTTGATAGCTTTATTATTACTCACCTAGTTCATTTTTTTTTCCTTTTCTATTAGATTTTCTCATTGTGGTTTGATTTTGTTGTTTATGTATTCTTTTTAATGTCTTCTTGTCTATGCGAACCAGATTTCTACATATAGATGAGACTTTCTCTCTCTCTCTCTCTCTTATTTTATTATTATTATTATTATTATTATTTTTGCTTTCCAGGTTTGGCCTTGTCATCACTCTTTTCTTTTTATTATTATTTTCGTGATTTACTTTTAGCATGCAGTGATTATGATGGCTTTCCCCCAGATATAATGTCTAGTTCATTAATCGATCTATATTAACTATTCTCATGTGTAGTAGACCGGGAATACCTTCTATCACATTAATCTTCATATACATGAGTTCATCGTTGTCTATCATTTCAAAATTATCTATAATTATAATATACCTATTTACACTTCACTTCTCCAATCCTTCATCTCTCCAACTCTTCATGATGATTCCACTACCCAATAATCTATTGTGGTCTCCATAAAGAACCAAGCTTTGTCCTGGAGCGATTGCTCGGCTCTTGGTTTTGAACTTCACCTTGATTCCTTTATTAGTCTTCAAAACCTCGCTCACTTCAACTTCATCTTGTAATGACCTATGTTGAGCAGTGATTTTCTCGTGTGTCTTGAAGATATTGTCGCAATCTATACTAGGATCCAACCAATACCAATCTTCTACAGACATAGTATCAGTGTAAAGCTCTTCATTAGTACTGCCCTTAACAATCACCAACTCGTTGGTATCAATTCTTTTTTCACTAACAAACCAAACCCCCTTATACTTTTCATCTCCCTGAGGCATTTCAACACCAGCTCTTTGGCCAATGGTCGCATGCCAAAGCCCTTCATGCTTCCCGGAAACCCGACCATCTTGGGTGATCACATTCCCTGGGTTAGGCTCTATATATTGACCCAAGAAGTCTCGGAAGCTGCCCTTTTGGGAAACAAAACAAAGTCCTTGAGAATCAGGCTTCTCAGAGGTAGGCAAATCATAAACCTCTTTGGCTAATCTTCTAACCTCTGGCTTGGTCATGTGGCCCAAAGGAAGCAATACCCTTTCAAGAACCGGGGCCAGGACTGTCGATAAATAATAGCTTTGGTCCTTAGGATCATAAGACCCTCGTAGTAAATGATGCTTGCCTGTTGGTTCATGACGCATGATTCTTGCGTAATGACCAGTCACCAACCACCATGGTCTGCTGGTGCTTCCAAATCTTTTAGCCAAATGTTCAATCATGCTACCAAACTTTATGTATCTATTGCAACTAACATCGGGGTTAGGGGTAAGACCACGACGGTATTGATTGATCATCGGTTCAAACACGTCGATCCAATACTCTTTTTCGAAATTCACTCGTTCACAAGGAATCCCAATCTTCTTGCACACCAGTTTTACGTCTTTCCAATCACGCTCCACACACTCTTTAGTTTGTGACCAATTAGCCATGTAAATACCCCTGACATTTTTATATTCCGAAGCAAAAAGTGCAGCACAAACTGATGAGTCGACTCCCGAGGACATTGCAACGATGATCTCATCATCGGCAGAAGGTATCGATTGGACATATGCTGGGCCAAGAGATGGCGTCTTTTGATTAAGGAAGCTCGAAGCAAACCTCTCAGGCGAGTATCGTAGTGGGTGGTAACACCGCAGTACTCGTCGCGATGCTCCAGATAGTATTCTTCTTGTGAACATCAGGCCTTCAGGTTGGAATACTAATATTTTGGTTAAAAGAGAGAGCGTTTGCTAGAAAAAAAGATGAGAATTTTTGATCTCCCGGAGCATCGCGGGGGGCTTCAAACCACGCAGTGCTTTGATGTTCCAAATGTGTGGGCATTTTCTCGAATTTATTAGTGGTTTGTTGTTTCTAGCTACGATTTCTGGCTGGATTCTAGCATATTATATATGTGTTTCTTCTTCTAATCCTCAATAGTGTCAAATAGAGAGAGAAAGAAGCACTCAGAGTCCCTACCGAGCACAGAGCTTACACCGGTTCTTGAACCATAGTGAGAAGACATTATGGTGACATTTTGCATGCTTACTTTTGGATGGCAATTCAGTGAGGAATCAGCCTCATGATGGCCTGGTATAATCTGTTATCTACTGAATATGACACTTTATTGTGTGATATTTAACAGCCAGCAGTCTGAGAAGTGAATTTCCAGGTAGTTACCGAAGAAAGTGGGGTATTTCATTGAGATATGATGGTGGCTAGAGTAGTCTAATGTGTTTCCTAATTATAAATGTTATCCGAAGACATATTACATATCATGCCACATCTTTCCAATACACTACCCCCTTTTTTTCTTTTTTGTTTTTTCAAAATTAGTATCCCTTATAGTATCCAATTAACCTTTTTTCCAATTTTTACAAGCTCATTAGAGTTGATTAAGCTCGTTTATTAAAAATATAGGAGTTGAATATTATGCAAACTAATCGTGTTCCAAATAATAAATGATGTGTGGCACCGTTATCAAAGAAAATGGAAAAAAAAAAATAACTTTATTGAATTTCTTAGAACATCAGTGAATGATAAAGAACTTGAGATGGTGGTTTATTGTTGTTGTGGTTTATTGATCATGATAAGAAGATTCATTAAATCTATGGCTTAATGTTACCAGCAAAGTTACCTTCTTCTATACATATGTGTTAGTAAATTGCATCTTTCGCATCCTAATCAAATATGTTCATATATAAAAATAATCAATTTGATTGGAAACAATCATATCAAATCATTCTGGTTGAAATTAATCTGATTGGAATTATTCTGGTTGAGATTTATAATTCCCATATTTAACCAGCCCTTTGAATCAAAGAACTCATGGAGCTTGAACATTATTACTGGCAGATAGTAAACATACCTCTTTGGGTGTCCCATTTTTCAATCCAGTCGACTGGACACAAGGCAGAGTAAGTCTTGAAGAAGACTTTGCAAGGAGCAAAATCTTCACCCTTGGCGTTGATACATTTGTGGTAATCCACATAGGATTGCCAGCAGTGCTTGGTTTGGTTTTGATTTGGGAAACGGGCGTCGAAGCCAACGGTGTGCAATGGAGAAGACATCTTGAGGAGTTATTCGATAATAGGGGATGATAGTCGGTAGCTGCTGAACTGACGTCTTCTTTGAGTCTTTTTTTTTTTTTTCAATCTGATGTTTTTTTTTCTACTGGCGCCAATCGGTGACAACCCGATTTCTTCTATTGGCGAAGGGCTGCAAACCATTGGTCCCGTGATATTTCCGTTATGTAATCAGCAGTATCACGGATTATGTAATCGATGACCACAGCAAGTAACTCTCTTATATTAGGACGTTGTTTAACAGAGAGGGTGTGAAACAGTTTATGGATATGGATGAGCAAAAATACACTCAAGATTTCAAACAAAAAAAAATGGAAAAAAAAAACATGAACATTCTATTGGCAAATAAGATATGCAGTTATTATTCTTTCTTAATATATGTTATTACTATTTTATATCCTTCCGCCAATTCTCGATTCCGTAAGACATTCTGTCCAATCATTAAGCTTTCCTTTATCAACCTGGAAAAGCGTGGTAGTAGAGTACGTGACTACTGCAAAGATCCCCGAATAGAAACCACGTTCAAACCCATTGTTAGGGTTTGGCGACCCGTAATTCGATTCCATGATTGGTGAGGTCACATTATTATTGGTTTTGGTGGCATCGGTAATTACTTCTTTAAATCTAATTGAAGGATGGGTCAAATCAATTTCTGACAACGCTTGGTATTTCAAGAAATTATCCTCAGCCGCACCATCAGTTGGCTTGACATACCCCGGTCTTTTCCCAAGAATTAGAAGTCTTCCTTGTGAAGTCACCAAAATCATCCGGCTAGCATTAAATTCCAATGTTGAGTTGCCTTGCGATCCTAAAATACTTGAGCTCATCGCTGATTTGGTATTGCTCAAAAATTTCTTAAACATCCCATTGCCTCCGCCATGATTTCCATTTACGGTGACGGTCTTTGCAGCAGCATTCGATTCGAGTTCACCTTCGAGTTCTTCAATATCTGGGGTCTTCACATAATGGACAATCCCCAAGTTTTCTAAATCGGTTTTTTTCTTAGTGTTACTACTCCCGCTGCTAATTGACCCTTCACTTATACTAGAATTACTATAATCTCCTCTAAGTCCTGATCTGCCATTACCATGGACCATTTGTGTTAACAAGCTATAGCTACCGCTTGCACCACCATTGGAAGTTGCTGGGAGGCCGCTGCCACTCATACGTTTCCCTTTGTAGTATAATGGCAGGTTTGCCAATTTGCCTTTAAATTTTCTTTCAAAATTATCGGTGGTGAGATATTTCACATAAAGTACCCCTACACGAAGAATATGTTCTTTAGGATGCAAAAATTTACCCCAAGACACATCTAATGCTGAACGAGCACGCGATGATGATGAAGATGCTGTTGCTGCTGCTTCCACTGCTGTTGGGGTAGCTCTTTTTCTATTACTTGAATGCATGTGGTGTCGAGGATCTTGAAAACTGGTTGTATTTTCCAACTGTGGGCTTGCAAACGGCGTACCTGGTGATGACATAAGTGGTGATGATGGAAGCGATACCGATCCTTTTTTTGACCGTTTTTCAGATAATTCACCATTAGCAGGTGCTGGCGAAGATGATGACCAATGATTAGCAGTCGTACTAGAAGTGATGGTAGGCGAGTTCGCGCGTGGTGAAGTACTAATATTATTTGCAATCCCATCATGATACTTCATCCTAAGATCCTGGCCACGTTTACTAGAAGGTGCCGAGTTTTGGCGATGATGATCTTTCAGTGAACGTCTTTTGGGTTTCCCATCATGAGCGGAGACATTATCTGCCAAAGAAAGCTTTGTCAACGCAATCACTGCGGCATTGGCAGATAAATTCTTTTTCAGGTCACCATTATTATCCATTACTGGAACACTTGGCAGCGACCTTGAACTATTATTTCTCATTCTTGGCTTTGGATGATTGTCACTGAGGGCAGGAATTGGCTTCATCGATTGAACAGACATCTTGTAAGGACTAAATTCCGGAGGAGGAGTATACCAGATTGAAGTTTCCGAGGCTTTCCAATTGATATCTTGGAAAAACAAATGTTTTTTAATTTCTTTTATAGTAGGTCTATCACCTGGTATTGGTACAAGGATTCTTTTGACCAAATCTCGGATAATCGATGGGAATCCAGCAGAAAACGCATACTTCACTTTCATAACTTGTTGAAACGTAAGATAATCGTTTGTCGCTTTAAATGGCGGTTTCCCAGCAATCATTTGGAAGATGATACACCCAAGGGCCCAAATATCACAAGGTTTCCCCACAGCCTTATCATTCAAAAGTTCAGGTGATACGTACTCAGCCGTTCCCACAAATGACTTAGCTCTACCGTCATCAATAAATGCCCCGGTAGATGGATCTTTATCTAAAAACTTGGCAGTACCGAAATCAGTTATCTGTATCTTCCAATCCTGATCAAGTAAAATGTTTTCCGGCTTCAAGTCACGGTGAATAATTCCTGAATCGTGAATGTATTTCAAGGCATCTATCAATTGACAGGTATAGTATTTTGTCACTTCTTCATTTAAAGAGCCATACTTTTTGATCAATGATAGCAATTCCCCATTTGAAGCGTAATCAAGGACAAAATAAAGCGAGTATTCATCCTGGAAGGTGAAAAATAAATGAACTATTCCATTGCGACGACCCAAAATATTTAACGACTCCTTTTCAATGTTAACATACTTGACTTTTTTTTCCTTGACGATATGACGTTTATCAAGGACTTTTACGGCATATGGCTTTTCAGTATGAATATCATGAGCCAACATCACCGTAGAATATGATCCTTCTCCAAGTTCTCTTTCGAACTTAAAGTCGCTAGATGTGCGGCGAATGATTCTAGTTTGGGTTGTTCCATCACTGTTTTTTTCAACCACTTTCAATTTGGCAGCCCACTCTTCACTAGGATTAGACATCTTGAGGCATATTTATGTTATAGAACAGAATTGGTGGTGGGTGGTTTTCCAGTGGGAGAAGATATAAATAAACAATGTGTGAGAGAAAGTCAATTCACCAGATGCTGGTCTCATTTCGGTGTTTTTGTTTTTCCCTAAACTTGCTCCGGGCACAATTCCGAGCCCGGTCGTCAGGAGGTCGGAAAACCAATAAAATATCTCTGGGTGATGGTGCTCAAGGAACAATTGAAGAATATATATCTATCATCTTAGAAGTTTACGTTTTTTGTTTGTTTTCTTAGTTATGAATTACTTTTCCATGTTCTTAGCTCCTAAAAATTCTCACAAAAACTACGAGATTTTATAAGATTTTAAGATCACCGGAATGCAGATAGCAAAGCACCCATCCGAAAACACAAAAAACAAGCTTAGAATTTGTATAAACATTGATTATTTTCATAGAAACAATATTATATAGGCCCTTATTTATTTTTGTATCCTTCCTTTGCTTTATTTTTTTTTAAAAATAAAATATAAGGTACATTGATAAGATATCTCATTTGTTGTTGTGGTTCGTTAGAATGTTGCCGATCATGTTATTTCCGGTTATTATTTACAACATTCAAGGGCCCGCAATTAATTACCGGGATGTTTTTTTATCATTGACCAATATTTTTACAGTTACATCATCTTATTAACTGTCTTAGTTCATACAATTTTCTGTTTGTGATTCTTTATACGATTATCTCTAAAATTTCTTGTTTGTTTGTATACCCCTAATGTTCAGACGGGGAAAGTTTCAATCGGAGTTTGGCAGTCAATACTCAACTCGCGTGACAGATGAGCCCGTAGGATTAAGCATTGTCTACTATATCTGCTGTATGTTACTAAATATGTTACCAGTGTAAGTTTGGGGCTCTCTCCACTGGTTTTTGATAAAATACAAGTCACTACGTAATACAATATTGTGGGAAAAGTTGGCATGACGGGGTTCTCATTATTTAAAAAATCTAGAAAAATATCCAAAATATTGTGATATAAAAAAAAATTAGGGACGCTGAACCCATTATATAATCAACATTCGTATAGTTAGAGAGACCAGCCATTAATAACAGAGATTAATGGGTGAAATATTAAATTGCCAATTATAGATTATGAGGTATATGCTTCGCGGGTCACCCGGACACAGTGCACATAACCCCAAATGGAATATAAATCACGGAGAAACGCCCCTAGTGTCCTTCGGGACATTTGGTCAATTTGTTACAAATACAGAGAAGATTAGCATGGCCCCTGCATAAGGATGACACGCTTTACAAAGAGATTTAAACGTTTTTTTTTGTCAAGACGATGAAGAAAAATCCGGATAATTTAATTCCGTGGTCAGCTAAAGTATTGTTGTGAAGTTGTTGCACCATTTTTGGCTTTTTCTTCTATTTTCTTGCCGAATGGGAGCCGCAGAGATTTGAACTCTGGATGGTAAAAATATTATATGCACGCTGCAATTGACAAGAGAGTAAACAAACAAGCACTACACTAAGCATAGTATCACCATGATCCGTAGTGTTAATATATATGGAAATTAGTCCGTTGAATTACCAAGAGATGCTGGATTAAAACTATTTAAGTTTGAGAGGAAGCGCCCCATTTTCCGAGAGTTTTGGAAGGCTTGTCACTAAGCGCTGCAATCTATTGATATTTGATTTAAACTCTGCGATTTCCTATTGCTGTCAACTAAAAAAAAAAACATTCCTTGCCATCTATTGTTCTTCAACCTTAGCATTTTCCTCCATAATATTCCAAAATAAATACTAGTAGTAGAAGATTTAATTAAAGACTGAGGTTAATTATTTTTCTCTCTTTTTTTTTCTGAAGAAAAGGGCCAAAACATCATATGAGTTGAAACCCTTGTGTGCCTTGTTGATCCTTATATCATCGCGTTTTTCTTACAACCATAATGTCAGAGTTTTCAGAGGACGATATTCAATCTTACCTCAATATAATCGTTGATAATAATATACCAATTGAAAGTGACTCTGATGGTGTTCCTACAATGCAAAGCGCCGAGGTAGATCACTCAAAAGGGCTTGATAACTCTGGATTCGCAACAAATGGCTCCTTCAATTCTTCTATTCACAACGGTTCAGAGCAAACCATCAACCCTGCCCATATGCATCATGATACCTCAATCCTAACTGCTCTCACTACGAGCAGTACCTTTGGGGAAAATATTATCGGCCTAACTTTTGATAATGATTATATTGCTACTGGTGAAGAAACAAGCTACCCCGGTTATGAGATTGCCCATAATGATGTTTTTGACAATTTCCTTGGTAATATTGATGACAAATTTCCCATTGATGAATATTCTGAAAATGAAAAGGCAATGTTTCATGCTCCTATCAAAAATACTACTCCTGTTGTTGATGACTGTGATAAGAGAAAAATTAACAACAAGCCCATCGACAAAATTGTGATAGGGTCAAACCTGGGATCCAAATCCAATTCAATAGCCAAATCTAAAATTTCAGGAAGGATTACAAAGGCAGCCACTAAAAAATATAGATCTCGGAATCCACTTTCTAGTTTTGATTCGAACAAGCTCAATATTATGAAGAAAAAGAAAAATAAGGCTGATGATTCAAAGAGAGCTTCGATTGTGAAAGAGAATTTTAGTTCGGAGGTCTCATCTGATAAGATGCTAAAAATTAAAATGGAGGAGGAAGTACCTCAAATTGATGCTGATGAAAAAAGATTAATGAATCCCCCACTCAATAACCCATCTGATAAGATTATCCAGAAAAATGCTTCTAATATTAATGAATATCATAGTTTTTCTGTAATTGACTACAGGACATCTAAAACTGAACCGGCTTTCAAAAGCTTTGATAGATCTTGTCACAGAAGATATTCTGGTCGGGTTAGAAAGCCAGTGGTATTTTTTGATCCTTCTGAAGAACAATCTAGGGCATTCAGATCTTCTTCTATAAGGTCTTTGTCTAATAATACTATCAAAAAATTTTCTGAAAACAGTAATACTGATCTTACTACTTCTCGCTCAGAGTCTCAATCTCGTATTAGACAAAAAGCTGAGCGTTCAAAGAATGGTTGTTGGACTTGTCGTGTTCGTCGCAAGAAGTGTCCTGAAGGAAAACCTGCTTGTAATCAATGCCTACGACTAGGCCTGCTATGCGATGGATACAGTGAAGAGCGACCAAGATTTATGTTTGATAAGATTGCCCAAGCCAAGAAATTGAAAGAAATCAGGCAACAAACTGATAAGTTCAGAATGGCAAGAATCAAGAGGCTACATGAATCTGTCCGAAAGAAATCTAGGAATATCACTGAGGTCTGAGAAATAATAGGATGATATTTTGAAGTGATAATTCTAATTCTAGGATATGATAAGCTGTTTTTTTTTTTTTTTTTTTTTTATTCTTATTACGAGAGATTTTCTTTTGAATACTTTGAATTGTTACTGATTTGTTTCTATACCACATGATGATATCATTGCTGTGAAAGGGCTTCTTATGGGTGAGAAGACTAATGACAATCAACTATTTTTTACTCCATGCTTATACTTTCACATTTACAGTTTGCAACATATCGACAGAATATTCCTTTCTGAAATTATCATCATCGGTACTACAAAATAAGAAGAGATATGTATTTTTTCTTAGCAATAAACTTCTACCATAAAATGCCTAGTTTGCTTTCTCTAAATATAACACAACTTTTTTTTTTTTTTGAGTGCTTGTAAGCGTGGCGAGCTTTACCGTAGTCTTTTGGAGAGGCTTTTGGGGAAAATGGTATTTATTTTTGGATGGTACGTTCCATTTAAAATAAAAAATTCATTCCCCTACCATGGGAGCGATTAATATCCACTTAAACCTAAGTGCCTGATGTTTCCTGATCAGCCTCATTTTGTTCCTGCCGTTATGGGTATTTTTGTGCAGCGTACCATCATCCAGTGCCCACGCATGCAGCAGAGGCGTTGCTCAACATTGGCAGGTATGCGGACGTACCACGATCTGGTAATATATAACAGGTATGTGATATTTCCATTACAGGGAAGAAATAGCAAAAGATATTTATATAATAGGGATTGGATACCTGGTTTGATACACTATTGTTTGAAACATTAATTCTCTATCACCACTACAAGACATTCGTTTTCAAAACTTGTTCTCACGCTTCACTTCAGTCACTCGTTATTATTCTCAACTTCATTACAAAAACAAAACTAAACAATACCACCACCACCGCAACAACAACATATATTCAAAGATGTCTAACTTAACTACCATCACCACCGCTATCATCTACACTTACTTCACTACCAACGCTCCATCCACCGAGACTTATACCGTTGGTACTCATACCATTGAAACCGCTGGTGAAATCACCCTTAAGGACTATGGTATGTTCACCTTGACTTTCACCAATACCATGAACAGTGCTGAAATTGCTCGTTCTGAATCCTTGCTTTCAAAAGCTCTTTCAATTGCCTCCAGTATTAGTGAAGCCAGTATCTTGAGTGCCGAATCCGCCGCCAACGCCTCTGCTGAAGCCACCGAAGGATCATCCACCATTGCCTCGATCACTGCAACCACCACCGGTAGCTCTACAGATGACTCTACTTTCTCTACCTCTCTCTCACAATACGCTTCTACCAAGAGTGGCAGTTCTGCCAATGGAGCACCACAAAACTTGAACAACGGGATCTTGGGAGCCAGTTTTGCCGGTGCTTTAGCTTTTGCTGCTTGCTTGTTGTGATCGAGATATCCCTCCCTCAGCTTTACTTCTTGATTTTCCAAACCTCAAAAAGAAAACCAGTGCGTCATCTTCACAATATTTACAGTCTAGTTCATCTCTGAATCTTTTTCACTCTCCTTATTTTTTTTTTTTCATTATGTTCTTATACTTTGATTTTAATTTTTTTTTTTTTTTTTTTTGTTATCTCTTCACATTTTTTAGATTGGTCTTTAGTCCTAGATTACTGGCCACTTCTTGTTTTGTTTTTCAATTCTAGAGCGGTGGATGAGCATATGTATTATATAACCTCTTATTACTTTTTTCATACAATTTTTCTCTTTTAGAACCTGATCTTTTTAGTTATGAATGCTATTTACTTTTCCCTAAAAAAAAAAAAAAAAAAAAATTCATAATTGTAAGGCATAGATTTTGGGTCACGATCACAGCATTTGTCTAAAAGAACAGACATACTTTAAAGAAACTTAACATCAAAAATATTTTCACATGATGTTATCAGTTTTTTGCAAGTTTCCCACCTTCATGGCCGAGATCTGTCAGAATATGGCCACTACAAGCCACATCTGCCTCATAGCAGGCAGCCACTCCGGATTACCTAATGAATATTTCCAGTGCCTGAAATATGATTAGATCAATATCTTTTGATAATGTTTCACTTCAATTTTTCGTTTTTGTTATTTATCATGCATCTCTAGCAAATGAAATAGTTTATTTGACCTATTCGATTTAACTTTCTCTTATTTGAAATGTGTGGATTCTAACAAAATTAATCTATGATGTGTCACTGCTTCTTCTTCAAACTAAATTAGAAACTGTTACAGGAAATCAGTTTCAAACATAACATAATATCATTAACTAAATAAGAACAGCAAAAAAATAACAAGCAAAAAAATAAACGTAGACACATAAAAGCAAAAGAATCTTGATATCGTAATCATAAACTGGAGAAGCCCGAAAACAACGCGACATTGTCAAGTTGAATTGGAAATGGTGTTTCAAGTTGAAAAGCGAATGGAGCATCAAGTTGAATTGGGAACGGAGCAGCAATATTCCGTTCGACTAGTTGCTATTTTTGTTTCTTGTATATGAAGCCAAGCATTACACCTGACCCAAGAAGGAACCCAGCAAAAGAAGTAGCAAGAACCGTGGCCTGTGGACCTGGACCTCCTGTAGAACTAACAACTGTAGAACTGAACCTTTTGAAAGATTTCTGGGCAAGGGTTCTAGTAATTGGAGAAATCATGATTAAAAAAACAGTAAATGAGACAAGACAAAAAATAACAACAAAAATAATGACAGAAGAGAAAAGAATAAATAGAAGTGAAATGAACTACACTTGAAGTAAGAGCCAAATTACTCTTTTATATTATTGCGGAACAAGTCGGGGGCAAACAATCAAATGATGAGGGTCGCTTGATGCTGTTAGTAGGATATCCGCTTAGTATGCATTGCAGCCCGCCAGCGATGACCATGCCCTTAGCAAAAAAAAAAAAAAATGAAAAATAAATACCAGCAGTGGCATGTTACCAGCTGAATGAATGTCAGAATGAGGGATGCATAATGTAGATAACATGTTCCTTAATTATTCAGTACGAGTGGATGGTGATATTTGGTGAAAGTGCAAGAACACACCTACAAATCATCATGAATCCCAGCAATACCTTTGTACGTGGGAAATACATAAATATATATGTATCAACAGCAGAGGACATTTATTCTTCAAAATATATCAAAGCTCTTCCAAGGTATTCTTCCCAACCAGTACTATTAGTATTGGTATTATTATCTGTTGCAATGTACCACCAGGATGGTAACCACAGGACGATTACCCGACCCAAATTTCCGATGTTTTCCGGGGGTGACAATTCTCCGGAATTATCACCAAAAATCATGTGACTAAGCGATGAGGCGATAAATGTTTTTTGACACCACCCAGCCATCGTCATCTTGTGAGATAAGTCATCTACCCCATTGCCACTATTCGCTATTTCCCCCAATGTCTTCTGAATGTGATGCTTTCAGGAACCCGCCTGTTGTGGGAGTGGCTTTTGCTTTGGTTTTAACCGTTGGAATTGCTATCTCATATATTCCACAACACCTCAAAATCCTCCACAGACGTTCCAGTGAAGGGCTATCCCCGTTGTTTCTATTATTGGGGACATCTTCCGGTATATCTGCGTTCGCAAACTTGATATTGATATCCTCTAAATCCGTGTATTGCTGCTCTAATGGTGGTCTCACACGATTCGAGTGTCTTAATGGACAATTAGGACTTCTTCAGGTGGGAACCCAGGCAATGTTCGCTGCGGCAATACTTGTACTATGTGTTTTCTTCACCAGAGGCTCCTTACTTCAGGATAAACACGAATATGCAAAAATTTACAAAATATATTTATTTTGCATTTGGTACACCGTTGGCCACGGTGTCATTATTCTCTATGTTTTGTTTTCCAATAGACCCATCTTATACGGGGTGGCAGATTGTTTTGGGATATTGGCAACGGCATTGGCATCGTTTCAGTATTTCCCACAAATTTATACCATCTACAAATTGAAGCACCCGGGATCATTGTCAATTTCCATGATGTGTATGCAAACCCCAGGAGGTTTTATCTGGAGTGCCAGCTTGTTCATGAGTCCCAGCGCCGTTTGGAGCAGTTGGTTGCCATATTTCACCGCAGCATTATTGCAAGGAATCTTGTTGACAATGTGTGTGTATTATAGCAGAAAGTTCCCAGAGAAGTTAGATGAGGAAAGAAGGGAAATTGATGAGGCTAACGAGCGTCGCGGAGAACAGGAACCATTATTAGAACCATAATAATAATTATTCAGAGGTGTTTTCTTTTTTGGTATCAATTGGTATTTGAAAAATTAACATCTCCCCATAACTATTGAATCAAACGTCTTATTTTTTTTTTTTTAAATAGATATGTATACAGTGAAGAGATAATAAACTATTTTGTCTGCATTGTAGTAATTTTCTGTGCCTGCTGCGGGGGTTATGCTTCTCACGCATGGGATTTCCCCAACATGTGGTCTTTAGTAGAACCGAAAGGAAAACAGAAAAGTGAATGATAAAGAAAAGGTTGAAATTAAAAATAATTTTAGGCTCAAAATACTATATATAATATCAAAAAAAAAAAAAATAACATTGGTGAGACTCACTGCTGAAGATGGTCCATAACTTGCTCCTGAAACTTGAATAGAGACAAATATGAATTATTCATAACAAAATTTTCTTTTCTGACTCTCTGTTATTTTCTGGGAGATAGAAACTTATCGGTATTATTCAATTTCCCAATATCACCCTTATATATTGTTCCCTTTTCACAGAATCTAGCGTCTCTATAGTCAGGTAGACCAGCGTTTCCAAAAGCATCAGTACAGAGATTCAGAACCTTGAAATCGTAATGATAGATCTCAATATTATACAAAATTTGCAACTGGTGTAATAATTTCTTCATTTTTTTCTTATCATTAACCAAATCACTAGCATGCTTGAAGGTCACCTTCTCCAGAGTAAGCAGCTAGGCACCGTGGAAATCGTCACCATTTTTGCACCAGTCAATATTACCGTATTCTAAAAATTTCTGGGCAATTATTGGGTCTGATTTCCCAGCTTCAAGTAATTTGATTTGATGACATAGGTAAATGAGCTCTGTAGAACTCTGTAATCCACCGGTACATCTTATGGAATCTATCTCTTCCGGTGATTTTCTTACGAGCTCAAATGCTTCTGTCACGATTCTTTTAGCGACCTGGTTATCGGATCTGAAAATGTAAAATAGGTATGCCGCTAAAACAGCCCTCACTGTGAAGATGGTATCGGTGATTCTGATTTCGCAATATTTGATTTCATGAGCCACTTTATTCGTTAGCAACTCCCATTCAGCATTCAAAACGCCTTCATCGCCACTACCATTTATCATACTGTCCATCGTTATGCTTAGATTATATCTTTTAAATTCTATTAGCAGTCTTTTTTGAGCCCCACTGCTTCCTATGAAGGTAAACATGTCATCTGGAATGCACCTCTCAAGACCTTCTGATGCCATACTGTTCTCATCAGCAATATATATTATACTCAACACTCAACCCGGATTATAATATCTGTGGTCAAAAATTGCTCGGGATGAAACAAGTGTTGACAAATATATGCGATATCATCATCAGTGAGCTCAGGAGTTATGATAAACGGATAAGCAACGCTCTGACCTAACACTTTTGTGCTTTTTTTTTTGTTTTATTATTATTTTATTTTTGGCCATTTGTGCTATATTTGAAAACAAAAGGAATGGTAAAAGACCAGTTAGAAATTTAAGGAATAATTAGGATCGCACATATGCACAAAAAAAACATGCCAGTCAACCGTTACCATCAGCCCCAACTTTTTTTTTTTTTTTTTTTGAAATCTTCGTTTCACTGTTAATTAAATCAGGTTGAATTTTAAAAAATTAGTTTTTTTTTTTTTTTTCCAGTTGATTGTTCTTTCGTCTGTTTGCTTAGAGAGTAATTCAATAGTGTTACCACAACTGCCCTACATATATTATGTCATATGGCTATTAACCGAGTAGTGATATCCTCTTCTTACAAATATTATTAGTTCTATTTGCCTTTCAATAACCTTGAAAAACTGTTGATTTCTCACCCTATAGCGTGGTTTGACTCACAACTAAATTTTTTTCCTAAATTGAAATGCTGCTTTACCACTATCATGAAAACCCAGAGAATGGATTGTATTTTACATATTTGCAGTAACTGAAAAATAACATACATTTTTATAATATAGAATAGATCAAACACTAATAGTTTTCCAAATGTTCAACCCATCTTTACCGGTAGATACCAAGGCACCTGGAATTTGTTTGTGCCATTGGACTTCCTTAACATCTTTTTGCCAATGAACAAACAACAATTGTGGTGGGATATCTTCCATTTCCTTGATATCATGTTTTTGTTGTTTAATTTCTTCATCATCGGCTTCAACAGCCAAATCCCACAAAGTGACAGTGTTATCTTCACTACCAACTGCAATAATAGATTCATCGAGCGGATTGAAGCTTATCGACGTGACTGGGGCTTTGTGGAAGTTATACAAGGCTACTGGAGTGACCTTTTCTTTGTTTGGTTGGAAATTTCTCAAATCCCAAATACCCCAAGTACCATCATCGTGGCCACTGGCCAAGAGATAGTCGACCTTACTACTCCAGGAAATGACGTTCACATCGCTTTCGGAAGCAATGACATTGATAGATGGCTTGTGCTTCTTACTACGGGTATCCCAAATTCTCACATACCCATCACATCCCCCAGTAGCAAACACAGTCTTCTCGGTCTTGGACCATTGAATATCTTCAATGGATTGATTATTATAAGTGAAAGGAGTATTATCAGTGACCCAATTGCTTGAAGTTCTTTTTGTCAAGAAAATTCTCCCACTGACATCCCCACTTAAAAGGGCCCCGGTGTCAACGGTTGGCGACCAGTCCAACCCGTAACCTTCGACATTTCCGTGGGCTCTAACGGTATATATTGGCTTTTTCGCATTCTTTGGAACAATATGGCCTGGGGAGTTTAATGATTTGAATTGTGGTGACAAATCATAGATGCAACAATCACCACTTTCCATCATTGTGGCGGTGAAGTATTCGCCAGTTTTGGCAGCGTGTGGTGATACTCTAAGTCTGTTGGTAACGTCTCTGACCCCGATGGTCTCACTTTCCATGACTGGGTCTCCTTCATACTGGTCTTCGTCGTCTTCATTCTGGTCTTCTTCATCATCATTGACTAAGGTCTTTGCCAATTGTGTCAATTTCATCATGATCAACTCGTTATCTTTGGCCTTTGGTGCCTGAGTGGCTGTAAGCACGGACATTGCCGCTGGGAACCCTCTTCTTTCATCGCCCAACGCGTCTGGCATCACGTCAACCGTGAGACATGACCATGGCAAATTGACATTATGTAACATTTCGTATACCGATGGATCAGCCTCGAGCACTTCATCGGCACCCAATGGACGGGATCTGTGGGGCAAATAAAGCGTGCTTTCTTCAAGAGTCCCTTCCATTTGGTCGTCTTTTTCTATATCCCCAGCAGCTTTACTACCATCCCCACCTTCTTCAGTGTCTGAATTGATTTCGATAATTTCACCATCACTTTCAAACTCGTCACCATAAGGGTCTTCAAACTCTCCCATTTCAACATCTTCTTCCTCAATTACTACATTTTTAGGAACGCTATTAGCGTCGGTCTTAGCCGCCGCTTGCTTTCCTTGGTTATCTTCTTCAGCAGGTCTTTTAGCCATCTTTGATGTTTCTCTATAATTTATGGTCTCTCTATTTTAGACGGTCAAAAAATTTTTTTTGAGATTTTTTTTTTTTTCTAACCATACGATGCCCTGCACGTGATTAAATTTGCAATAATAAAACAAAGAAGAAGAAGAAGAAGAAGAAGAAGGAGATGGCAAAGACTGATTTAAAACCATTATAGAAAAATGGAGAGAAAAAGCTTTCTAGACCTTCCTGCTCCCGCTAACTATGTTGCCGGGGTGGGACGTGGGGCCACTGGGTTCACCACACGGTCAGATATTGGTCCTGGAAGATCAGGTTTTGTGACGAGAAATGGTGGTGGGTCAGATAACGAAGACGACGAAGATGAGAATCGCGATTCTGCCCAGTTAGAACAATCAGAACAAGGCCTTCTCACAAATGGAGGGGTCAATGAGGATGACCAAGAAGCCGATCGGGTTTATGAGGAGATTGAACAACGACTTCGCTCGAAACGAAAACATGTTGAAGATGATGAAAGTTCCAATAAAAAGAAGCGACAGGAAGTTTACAAATCCATTAGCAGTCAGTTCTCAGATCTAAAGAAAGGTTTAAGTAGCATTTCCGCTGACCAATGGATGAATTTACCGGAGGCCGGGGATATGACGAAACGGAATAAGAGGGAGAGAGAATTAAGCCAGCAACAGCGACGTACTTATAATGCTGGGGATTCTTTAATTGCTGGGCTTCGTGCTTCAGGAGCCACCGATAATCATGAAACAATCTTGGATAATGATACTGATTTCGGGATGATTTCCCTGGCAAGGGGCAAGATGTTGAGCTCGAAGCTCGATGGTTACACCGATGTGATCGAGTCATTTGACAGTAAAAACTATTTGGACAAATTACAAATTGAACAAGAAAAGATCCAGGAACTTAATGAAGACGTCGGTGACTTGACAAAATCCCGAGCCATCTTCAAGTCTTTGAGAACTACCGAGCCGTATAATCCCATCAATTGGATCTCCAGTGCCAGAATCGAAGTGAAGGCGAGGAAATTCGATTTGGCCAAGAAAATTATTGTTGAGGGCTGTCATAAATGCGCCAATGATCAAGAAATATGGTTGGAAAGTATTAATATTCATAGCTCTGACGTGGTTAGCTGTCGAAAAATCGTTGCCGAAGCATTGACGTTCAATTTGAAAAGCGAAAAATTGTGGTTGAAGGCGATTCAATTGGAAAATGACGTGTTTAGTAAGAAGAAGATTGTTCAAAAAGCTCTCAAGAACTCTCCAAACAGTGTTGATCTTTGGAAAACCGCCATCAGCCTTGAAGATAGTAAAGAGGAGGCAAAGAAACTTTTGAATGCCGCGGTAGAAATCATTCCCGAAGCCATTGAATTATGGTTGGTGCTAATAAACTTGGAAAGTGATGTCAAACAGTCACGGAAAATCCTCAATGATGCTAGAAAAAGTTTACCTAAATCCCATGAAATTTGGGTCGAGGCTTGTAAATTAGAAGAGCGTAATGGAGCAGAGCTGTCAAAGATCGAGAAACTCATGAGCAAAGGTGTGGCCACCGTGATATCTCATGGAAATACCATTAAAAGAAATGCTTGGTTTGAAATTGCCAAAAACTGTGAAGATTCAAATTTCCCATTGACGGCAGTATCAATTATCCGCAACACTATATCATTAGGATTCGAGGATACTGATGAAGTTGACAAATTGATTCTCTGGCAAGAATACGCGGAAAAAATGATAAAGTCACAACACTTGGTGACTGCCAAAGCAATTTATGGTTGTACTCTTGAGAAACACCCTGAAGAAATACCAATCTGGAGAGCATATTTTGGGTTTCTCAAAAAACATGGCACGGTGGCCCAATTATACGATGCTTTTGACCAAGCAATCAAAGCTAATAGCTCTTGTGAGGAATTTCGGCTTCGATATGCTAAAGAGAAATGGATCAATAATGATGTTGAATCTGCCAGAGCGATCCTCAATGATTCTTTCGAAAAGGATCCTACAAATTCAGAGATTTGGCTTGCGGCAGTTAAACTCGAGACTTCTACCAAGAATTATGAAAAAGCGTTGCTTTTATTCCAACAAGCTCGAGAAAAGCTTCCCCAGAACCCAAGGATATTGTACAAATGGGTGACATTGTATCGTCAATTGTCGCGCGATGATGATGCGCTAAACTTGGTGGAAGAATCCTTATTGACTTTCCCAGAGATTGACAAATTCCATATACAAAAGGGGCAAATCCTTGGAAATTTGAAGGATTTTTCTGCTGCCAGAGAGGCCTACGCCACGGGTGTGCGAGTTTGTGAGAACTCTATTCCTTTGTGGTGTTTATTGGTGAGGAGCTTTTCGGAGGAAAATATGATTATCAGGGCTCGGTCAATTCTTGATCGTGCAATTGTGAAGAATCCTGATAGCGATGAATTGTGGGTGGTGAGGATTGAACTTGAAAGGGTGCATAAAACCAATAAAGAAGTTGAAGCGATCATTAATGAGGCGTCGAAAAAGTTTCCAAAGTCGGCTAAGATTTGGGCGCAAAGGTTACAAGCCATCACCAAAAGATCAGAAATGAAGAAGCATTTATTGGTGGCGATGAAGGAGACGAATTCCGATTCGCAGATTTTGCTAGCGGTAGGGATTAATTTCTTTGTTGATGGGAAATTTGATAAGGCTAAAGTATGGTTTGAAAGAGCAGTTGGTGCGAACAAGGATTTTGGCGATGCATGGTGCTGGTTATACTTGTTTCTTAAGAAAAGGGGTCTGCCAGAAGAGGTTGAGCAATTGTTGAAGGACGCCAGTGTGGCTGAGCCACGACATGGCAAAGTTTGGCCGTCAATAAATAAGGACGTCAAAAATTTTGATAAGTCTATGAAAGAATTATTCGAGATTGCTTCAGAAAAGTTATTAAAATAGGATTTTCAAGTGTGTAAAATAGAGATGTATTATTAAACATTATATACGTTATAATATATATAAATTAATGTTAGTTACTTTTTTGATAGTGAGGAGGTTGTATGATAATGATTTTCATGAATATTGTGATGAGCCATAGAGCTTCTCTGTGAGCAGCAAGGTAAATAAAGAGGTGATGTAATTAATGCTTATTGGTGTTCATTTACTAGAGAAATCACGGTATAAGGCATACATCATGACTAAGGAAAGTGTAACTTACAACTATAAGCATGGGAATTCAAAGTGTGCTTATCATGTTACAATAAAAAGACAAAACTGTGTAGTAATATAAATAGTTAGAAGATACGTAGTACTATAAATAGCTCAAAGATATAAATAGCTCAAAGATATGTAGTAATGTCACAGGATTATTCTAAGATAATAAAATATGTAAAAATTTGAAAAGAGCTTGGTGATTTCTATTATGTAATTCTCACTTCAATGGTATTATTTTAATAATGTAATGTATAAATAGTTTTATAAGATCTAACGTCCCTATCCAAAGGCTCTAACTAAGAACAAGTCCAAATAGTAATTCTACTTCTCTCAGTTTTCTCATCATTCAAGGTAATCGCCATATTTCACGTAATCGATATTTCCAAAAGAGACACTAAGACCATGATCGAAAAATCTAAATATAAGAAGAGAAAGCAAAACACACACGCCAAATCCGAGACCACAACACCCAACAATAAGAAATGGAAATCTTAATTTTTCATGACTGTTACCGCAATAAAATATTATTGAAGTGATGAGTAAAGCCAAGCTCACAGAGGAAAATGCCATAAGTGAAAACAAAAAAAGCCATTTAATACCAAATTTAAGAGATAACCAAACAAATTTCCAAAAGAGATGCGATCTAGAAATATCTGAGAGAGGTTCATTGGAATTTTCTTCTTGAGATTGGGATTCTTGCTTATTTTCTGCGGCCTGAGATTCTGCAACGCTCCCTTCGGGAGATGGATTGGCGTGAGATTCTTCATTGGTTCCCTCGGTTTGTTTGGCCTGGAGTTTTTCCTTCTCCTCCAGCTCAAACCTAAAGAACAAAAACGTCCAGAAAATTAGAGAATGAACCACCTGGAGCACTCCCCCAGTAATGACTAACCCCAATGCCCAAGGAAAAAATACTTCTAGCGCGAAAAAAGTAATACCGGTAATCAATAAGCACACCACACACGCTTGAATAATGCAAACCACAACTTTCACTAGACAAGGCATATCTTCCCATACTGCGGTACCTTCGGCATTTCTGTACATCTCATCCCTTTCCCGAAGAACCCTCTCTTTTTCTTCTTCCTTTTTCTTCTCGTACTCTCTGAAATTGCAATGATATGGAAAGGTTTCAATAGGGATTCTCTCTGTAACCCCATATCCTGGTGGTAAAGGTGGGAACAATGATCGACGAGGAATCTGGGGTCTTGGAGTATAAACACTCTGAGCTGGTTGGTTGTAATGTGGGTTTCCATAATTGGATGGCATATGCTGAGGTGCGAAAAAATCATCTTCATCATTCACCAAAGTGACCGAAGTGGCGATCGATGCAGAACGAAACATATTATATTTGAATACTTTTTTTTTTTGTATAAGATCTTGAAATATTGAGTCATAAAATATTATATAAAGATGAAATATTATAGTAAGATATGGTAGATTCATTTTTAAAAAGTTAGGGAATTTACCATCTTAAATAGTAATTTTTTTGGTTTTCCTTTCTTTGCTATCAGATGAAGGAAAACCTTGTGCTTGAAAGATGGGAGGAGAATGGACAGCAACTGAAAGTTGTCAAGCCCAAAAAATAACAACAAGAGCAATTTTTGGAAAACAAAAGACAATTATCGGGAAAGAAGATACACCCAAAGGAATGGTTGGTATATATATATGACCTATTCATGCGCATGCCGATCGTCACCCAATACTCCATCACATTATTACAATATAGTACTCAAGAAAATTTTTTAAAAAAAAGAAGACAAGCAAATAAAGACAAAGTATATAAAGGATAATATTATTTATTGAAACTTGCAAATGTGAATAGCAATTATTTGAGAAATATTGTTTATTTTTTGCTGCTTGAATACTTGCCGAATGCATGTTAAGCAACGATAACCGCACCGCAATGCAAAACACACTTCAAGAAAAAAACAAAAAAAAAAACAAAAAAAAAAAAAGGTTTTGACGGCAAAGGAAGAGAGGAGCCAGCCAGTGGTTAGTAATGGACGATACAACACCGTCCAAGTCACCGCCGGTCACAGCACTAGTGCTTGACTTGGATCCGGAGGCAGCGAAGCTAATCGATTTGCGAAATCAGGTAGTATCTTGCCCTGACAAGGATTTGTCTGAGAAAATTGAACGGCTTCGTATAAATAAGTACATCATCGGAGCACAGACGTACAATATTGATCCAAGACCGACCCTCAACAAGAACCCGTTTGTGGAAGTGACGAATTTCCGGATCATCGAGCCGAATAACGTGAAGAGTTCTCAAGTGGAGCACGCGTTTGATGATGGAGTTTATCGTGTACTAAGTAAGGATTTGGGGGCTGATGATGGACCAACGTATTGAAAAGATGTTCAGGGGAAAGCTTTAATGAGAAAGGCTCAACAATTGATGATTTTACAATGTAAGTAGAGACAGTTAATGATATTTTGTGATGAGAAAGGGTGCTGATATATATCAGCGCAATATATATTTATATAAATAGGTGTGTATTGTAGAATACTGTGCTTTGCGTAGAGGCAAGGCTAAAACGTTGAGGTCATCTTCATAAATCATATACAAGTCGAGTGAGAAAGGGAAAGGAGTGCTATCTAAAGTAAGCCGCACATAGAATATTTTGTAAAACAAAAAACGGAAAGAGTTTTATCAACAGAGTTTTTTTTTTTTTCACTTATTTTATATCACTATCTTTTACTATTGAATCTCATCAAAGGCCTATTTGAGTGCAAAGACAAAGTTAGTTGTCCGGGTCACACAGCTCGAGCGAGCCAAAACACGTGCCCATCACAAAGACTAAGTAATTACATAAGCGAAAAGGTCTAGACCTCTATCCGATGCACGTGACAGAGGTTAGATACCGATGGGGGCAGAATGAGACACTGACACGCCAGGTGGTTGAAGGAAGAATTGAATAATTTGTTGAACCAACAGTACCACCCGTCCAGACGACCACTGCCGACTATTGTTAGGGATTATAATTATCATCATCATCATCATCATCATCATCATCACCCCCTCGTTTACATTACCACTATCATCATCATCATCATCATCATCATCATCACCCAGTGCTTGCTTGTTTATTATCCATTATCTCGCCATCAATTATTATTAAGCTACACCCGTCACTTATCTAATACCATAATAGATAGTCAAATACAATATGGATCAACCCACAACAACATCCTTTTCCTATAAAAGGTCACAAGAACCAAAAAATACCAGTGGGTCCGCCAAAATTGAAGACACCAAACCTTCCGAATTAGAAAATAGCAAACCTTCCGAAGTAGGAGGTACCAAACCTCTCAAAGTAGAAGATATCAAATCTCCCAAACTAGAAGATGCCAAACCCTCCAAAGACTCTAAGGAGACTACCGACTCACCTCATAGACCACCACCCTCTTCTTCTGGTAAGCCCACCGATACAGAAGATAAAGATGATGAGAAAAAAAAAAAAGGACTAAAGCCACAAACTGTTGAGACATCCCTTAGGTTCATGGATGATGTACAATTCTTTCTTGCCACAGCCCCTGCCAATTGGCAAGAAAACCAAATCATCAGACGTTACTACCTTAGCCATGATGAAGGGTTCGTGTCGTGCGTGTTTTGGAGTAACCTTTATTTTGTCACCGGGACAGATATCGTCAAGAGTTTAATTTATCGATTCGAACAGTTTGGGCGGGCGATTACTGATAGAAAAAAATTTGAAGAAGGAGTATTTTCTGATCTTCGAAATTTAAAATGTGGGACCGATGCCGTGCTCGAACCCCCAAAATCGAAATTCTTGGAGTTTCTATATAAGAATTCGTGCCTTAGGACCCAAAAGAAACAGAAAGTCTTCTTTTGGTTCAGTGTTCAGCACGATAAGTTATTTTCCGATGCTCTTGAGCGTGATTTGAAACGAGAAATACTCGATCAGAAAACCACTACGGAAGCCCAGCGCGAACCTGCCCTAAGTTTCAAATATGACGATGACGATTCAAAACCACTTTTTGATCAATTCACAAAACATATCCAAGATATTAAGAGATCTTTAGGAATAGCGTCGCCCGATCCAGTAGTGACGGGTACCACTACCACTACCACCACCACCACCGATATCTCGGCCGCTGGTCAACCACTACAACCACAACTTCTGATACGCGATCACCCATACAACTACATACATGCTAACCAACAAATGCCGTTACCGCATGGTTATCCTCAACTTCAATATCCTCAACAGCTAATGCCTCAGAATGTCTCTGCCGCTGGTTTCGGCGGTGCCCTTTCTCAACCATTACCTCTTGATCAAGAACAGCAAGCAAGTGTCCTCGGAGCTTTGACATCTGAAGGTCCTCAGTCCAATTACATCACCACCGAAGATGATTTCCCCCTTGATTTTTTCCCACAAAATGATTATATTAGTGAAACCATTGACCCATCGCAGGCGTTTATGACCAATAGTGTGCCATTATTCGATCCAAACATTTTTCTCAACCCTAACTTGATTAGCGGAGGATCTGCCGATCCTAACATGGGAATGGGCAATGATTTTGCAACCACAGAATTCCTCATTGATAGCGCATCTCCATTTTCCCCAGCCCATGGACTCGTAGAAGATGATTTGAAAGATGAAGAGGAAAATCTAACGGAGATCAAATTGGAAGATGGTACAACTGTGGCTGCTGCGGCTGCTGCGGCTGCCATACCAACAACCGCTACCCAATACGATATCAGTGATCTTGGGGCACATTCCACGGTGCAAGCTGCTGGCCATCCTGCCCGCATGATCCCTGGAACAGAAATGATCAGTCCTCTTTACAATCCATTGTACCAATCATCGATGAATCAACAACTTGCGTTTGCCAGCCAAGCCCAACTCATGAACCCATTAATGGCCCCTGGGAGTGAATTCTTTGTAAATCCTTATTTGGCTGACCCAGGTCTCATGGCGACTGCCGGCAATTATTACGACCATATGTCGGCTCTTCAAGCTCAACAGCAAATGATGACCATGATGAACCCAGCATTGATGGGCGCTGGAGGTTTTGCTCCTCCTGCTACCGCTAGTGCGATTAATCAATTACAGCGCCAGAAATTGATGCAGCAAGGGGCAGTTAATGGACTAATGACGATGGTACGTCAACAAAGATCTCAGAACCCTGGAAGAGTGGAGAAACCAGGTAATAATATATCGAAGGATAAAGAATCGGAGAAGACTATTGTTAAGAAAGAGGATCAGGATTAGTGTTGGAGTTGCATAATGATTAGGTTTTTTTTATTTTTTTGAGTCGTCAGTTTATTATAATGATATTGATATTCGAGATATTGAAAAATTACATATACCTCGCATTGATTGTGGTAATTATTTTCTGCCGTTTTGTTTTTTTGTTTCTTATGAATCGTTAGAATGTACTTCTAGAAATTATTGTACTTTTTGTTTTTGTCAAATTATTCATTTCATTCAACTGTGCTTTTCCTGCTCTTTTTCCTGATATTTGTTTATTTTTTGTTGAAATTTCAAAGCAGTTTCAAGAAACTTTTTGCTTGTTTTTGATTGTGTTCTGAGCTTCGTCACTTTTTGCCTGTTTTTATAGTTGTGGTCTTTGTTACTTGCTCACTTGTCAACAAATTCTATGTCCCATTATTTGTTTCTGTTCATTTTATTGTCTAGCTTCCAGGTATAACCCTTGCTTGAAAAATCAACACCACACACTTTTCATTGAACTTTCCATAACACCATCATCATCTTCCTTTTTTTTTTTTTTCTCTCATAAATTTTCTAGAAATGGGTATAGAAGTCGTTTTTGGTTATGATTTTTGCTTCAATTTTCACATTGGCATTTTTTTTTTTTTTTTTTTTTTTTTTTTTTTTTTTTTTTTTTTTTTTTTTTTTTCGTTCTTTTTTTTTTTGTTCTGTTCATCACTGAATATGATGATTTCAAATGGTTTCACTGCATTTGTAACTAATAATAATAATAATAATAATAATAATAATAATAATAATAACAATTATACTTAGTTTATGAGGAAGAAATAGGATCATCTACAAAGCCCACATTCTGCCCGTTGTCGTTCCCTTACATAATCACAGTGAAGAAGAGAAAAGTAAAAAAAAAGCCAAATAAAAAAATTACTGAACAGGGTGGAACCAGCAATTTCAACTGAAAGATCACCACTAATCACTAATTAAAAGCGGAACTGAACCCACAAGAGTCACTCATCTCAACCTCCGTAACAATAAAAATACATCATATTCTCAAAAATGACCGGCTCAGGTCTTCATTCAAGGAGTCTTTCTGACACGATCGACGTCAATTACGGCGGTGGATCATCATCATCAATAGCCACCACTACTACTACTTCAAATACCTCAAAAACTAATTTCAATAAACCATTACCTCCATTAATACTGTCAGATACAAACCGATCATCAAAGAAAAAGAAAAAAAACTCGGTACGCTTCAATTTGACCCCAATAATCAACGCCCCGGCCCCTCCTCCGAAAGACTCGAAATATAATTTGGGCTCATCGAGAAGAAGGCTCTTGGATGATTTTGAGGAGTTTGATATTGATGGCGATGATTTTGAAAGCAAGGACTCTCCTGTGGCAACAGCAACCACACTAAACGATGATGATGATGATAATGGTGGTGGTGATTTGGGGAACCGTGGTGGTGGTTGGTTACAATCAATTCTCCACCCGACAAAAGATACTCTTGTGATCTTGGTGTGTATTGTTGGATGGTACGTGTTTTCACTTGCGATCTCGCTCTATAATAAATGGATGTTTGATAAATCCCGACTAAATTTCCCATTCCCAATTATCTGCACTTCAATCCATCAACTAATTCTCTTTTTCTTGAGTTTACTATTAATGGCGATCGTCCCGAAATACCGACCTCCAACCAGATCTCAAGTGCAGTTGGGGAGTACTACTACTACCACTCCCCAATCAACTGGAGGGAAGTTCAAATTCACCGAATATTTAATGGATCTCAGGCTTTACTTGATCTCGATTGTCCCGTGTGCGTTGGCCGCCAGTGGGGATATCGGTTGTGGTAACGTTAGTTTCCGTTATATCACCTTGAGTCTCTACACGATGATCAAATCGTCGTCGATTGCATTTGTGTTGATCTTTGGGGTATTATTCAAGCTCGAGAAATTGACGTGTAACTTGACGAGTATTGTGGCGATCATGATTGTTGGGGTGTTGATGATGGTAGGAGGTTCTTCAGGGGGGCTGGGAAAAGCCAGTGGGATCAATTCTGACGTGATGTTCGGATCCCTCTTGGTGCTCGTGTCCAGTTGTATGTCGGGGCTTCGCTGGGCATTGACCCAATTAGTATTGAAACAGAATCAGTACGTGGCTAACCCGGTAGCGACAATTTTTTACTTGGCCCCTCCTATGTTTGCCTCGTTATTTCTTGTGGGATCGGTATTGGAAAACTTGGTGGAATTCATCAATAATGACCTTTGGCAACAGAAAGGGATCGTTAAAACTATTGGATTATTGACGATGCCTGGATTCTTGGTATTTTTCATGTCATTGTTCGAATTGAAATTACTCCAAAAATCTCATGTTGTCACCCTAAGCATTGCCGGAGTTTTCAAAGAATTGTTGACCATTGTCGTATCAACACTTGTATTTGGTGATAAATTGACAATCATCAATTGTTTTGGTTTGGTGGTGACTTTGTTGGATATTGTATGGTACAATTACTATCGATACTCTGAACGGACACAAAGTACAGAAAAATACCAAAAGGTCGATAATGATGATATAGAATTACGAGATGTTTGATTAGAATTACAAGACATTTGATTCTTGTTTGTACATATATTATAGAGATATTTGAGGTTTATTATCTATATACTTTTAGAGGCCTTTGAATGTTTATTATTATTTCATTTGATTTGACTTCTCCATATCACATTGCACTATGGGGATGCTTTTTGATATATTCCGAGTTTTAAGAATTATTTTCATTACTTCATTTTCTTCGTTGTTCTACAAAATTGGCGATTTAATGCATGTTTTACATCTATACGTTCTTTTTTTTTTCTTTTTTTTTTTTTCTCACTAATGCACATTGTATTATCCTCAAACTAATCTAAATAACCAATTTATTCATTTCTTGGATGGTATAATCCAAAATGTAACTATCCTCGAGCAATGAATCAATTCTTTGGTAATGACGAACGTTATAAGGAATCACCGCCTCAATGACCTTCATTAACCCAGGGATTTCCGTCAATTTATCCACTGGATGGTAATGGAAAATACATTTGAGCAACTTTTGACTGATTTCAAAGAATTTGAAATTGACATTCCACGATCTCAACTTCTCAAATACCGATTTCAATTCTTCATCACTGAGATCTTCGATACACTGGTCTAATTCTCCCGATCCTAAAAATGAAGATCCGCCATTGGCTTCTTCAATTGACGATCTCAAAACATTGTATAATCTCATTGGATGATTAAGCTTCAACGCCAATTTGAACGCTTTTTGCCATTGTTTCAACCGGATATAATTCTCCAACGATTGTTGTTGTTCCACCACCTGCTTGGCATTCTTTTGGTTTTCCTTCATGACTTCCAAAGTATTGTCTTTCCAAAGATTAATCATCCCTTCGTTATCGGCACTAATGAACCATTCACCATTGTTTTTCGATGACATACACCAAATCTTATCGATATGATCGTCTAAAGTCTTGATAATTTCCCCCGATTTTAAATTCCAAAGTTTGATCAACCCATCGGCCCCACAAGAAATGATCTCGTTATTGGTAGCTCTATTGAAATTAACGTCCAAGTTACTGCTCATCACATCGTTGGCCAAGATTTCTCTACGATTGACAAATTCACAATCAAGCACCGAATTAGAATGGCCTTCAAAGGTCCGCACACATTGATATGTCTCCAACGACCATAATTTCAAGGTCTTATCCCCAGAACACGTCAATACTAATTTATCAAACGGACAGAACTTGATCTTCCAAAGTCCTCGCTTGTGACCTTTTAATATCCCCACGGTTTCCCCAGTGGCACAGTCCCAGATTTTCGCGGTCTTGTCATATGAAGCAGTGGCGAAAAATTCATCGTTTGGTGACAAGTCCACGGAATTAATATCTTTTTCGTGGGCTTTTCTAGTGTACTTGGAGTTTTTAATTATAAGCGGCTGGTCCATTAATTCCTCAATATCTTTGATCTTTGGAATATCCCATTTTTTAATCGTCAAATCACTACTGGCAGTAATAATAAACGTTGGTTGTTTACCATTGTAGACCCTCGACATGCTAACTGAAGATACTGACGACGCATGGCCTTGGAAAATCGCCACGCACCGGAAACTGGTTTCGTCAAACTTCCATAATCTGGCATCATTATCTTTAGACCCTGTCAAAATCCATTGACCATCTTCGCTGACATCCAAAGAATTAAGCACGTCAGTGTGTCCTTCAAGAGTTTCCATTTCAAACTGGTTACCGAATGGTCTAATGATTCTAAGGGCCGGAGAATTCGTGGCAAGGGCCACCAAGTCTCTATCTGGGCCAACGAAGGAAATATCCGCGACAATCCCGTGGTTACCCCCATAAGTCTTTGACACGGTAAATGAATATTTGTGATCTTCGTTGAGGGTTGCGTCGGTTTGCAAATTAATAATCTGGATCGTTTGATCTGACAATACCAATACCATACGAGAATCAGAAATCTTGATGATTTGGTTGATCAGCAATTCTTCAGTGGTTTCTATAGGCATTTGTGATGCCCCAATAAGCATATTATTCAAAAAATCGTAGATTTGCAAATAACATCCGTCACCCCCAAAGAAAATGTAGTATCCGTTACTTTCTTTTTCATTGCCCACCTGGCTAACAAACCCACATTGTTCTATCAGCTGGTTGGTTGGGATCGATTTCACTACTTTGAACCCGAGATTACCTTGAGACTTTGTCGTGATCTCAAACACGTTAATGATATTGTCTCTACCCCCACTCACCAAATACTTGAGATCCGGACTGATTTCTAAACCTCTGACTGGAGAATTATGTTCATTCAAAGTGGCAATACACTTTCTTTTCACCAAATCCCATACTTTAATCGTCCCTGTAACATCCCCAGACACCAAGTACCACCGGTTAGAGTTCAATTCTCCATAGAATTTCAAGCAGGAAATGATCCCGGAATGACCTTTAAACGAGTGGGTAATGTATCCATTATCAATATCCCACACTTGGATTAACCCATCGGTTCCCCCAAGGGCAAACAAAGTCGAAGTCTGATCAACGGCGGTTGAGTATACTGGACTCAGTAACTTCAATGAATGGGTCACCGTCAGCGCTTCCACATTATAGATCTGTAGCTGTTGAGATGCCGACAAGATGGCTAAATGCCCACCGTTTGGAGTGAGTTGCAAGGCGGTGATGTCTTCGCCATCCCCCGGGAGCTTTGCAACAATTTCCCCTTGGGGAAGATTAGAAAGAACGATTTCTTCATTGATCGCCGACGCCAACAATTCGCCATCTTGGGAGATCGAGGCAAAGGCGTTGCCGATGTAGAACGGCTGGATTTCTGTGTTGTTATACGATACCAGCAGACTGCTCATTGTATGGTGGGAAGGGAATATATATAATATGGTATTTTACTATGGTCTACTTAAAATGATTATTATGAAAATTTTCAAACAGAAAAAAAAAAAAAAAAAAGTTTGAGATGATGGGGTGCCATACCCCATAAGGTCCACAGTGGTGGATCCCCCGTGATAAAAATTGACTCTCTCTGGTTATATCTCTTCTGTATATCGGCGAATGTTGGACCCTTTTGATCAGAAGACTTGCAAACCATAATCGAAAACTAAACTTTCATCATTATGACTTTCCAGATTCTTTAGAGGTTTTTACTACGTAGGGTGCTCTGAATGCTCATTCCCTCGTGCTTGAGGCTGTAGATACCTTATTCATGAAGTTAAGAAACAATTCAGATGATTCTGGAGTTGACATAGTAGTATTTCTTTATGTTTTGACGAGAATCATATCCTGTTTATCTGTTCTGTATTTTAACATTAGGGACATCTCATAGATTTATCACCACACAGATGCAGCTTTCATTTACATTTCCAAAGATTACACAAAGACTGTGAAAACCATTGGAAATTTCTTATGAAACTATGTTAGCTGAGCCATTATGTTTTTGGGAGCCTTATGCTATTAATTGTTCAACTGGAGCTTCAAAAGAAAGATCTATGAGAAGAGTACGGCAAGGAGGTAATGCTTCTTGTAATCTATATAGTATTTCAGGCACAATATATACTTCAACAAAGCATTTTCTTTTTTTTTTTGGGTAAATTTTAGGAGTTATTTGATTTTGAATGAAAATCGTGAGTATAAATTTTGTCAAACTAGGAAAGTTTAGGATATTGAGATATAAGGACCTACAACATCAACATTATTCCACATCGTTTTTCATGAACTATAAAATTATATATTATACATATATAGAAACTTTTCCTTTATTATTCCGCGCTGGCAGCAGAGTCATTTCCGAAATTTTTATTTTTCCCGGGATTTTCACTAGGAGACTCAAATAATTCAGCGATGTCAACATTTTCATCAGTTCTTGGTAATGATTTGAGTGTTTGGGATGATACTGAGTTGAAAAAATGAGTCGCGATAATTGCTCTTAGAGTTACGACACGAGAAGTGAGTGTCAAAAAATGATGGTCAAGGCCAAATTTACTCCCATAAACGCCATTGAGGCGAGTACATGCGTAACGATAGATTCCACTTCAACACGAGTAGGACGGTTTTGGCAGGATAAATCACCCAACCCCATCCTCGTGTATTGAATAATCATGATTGGTCTGCTTTGCGATTTAATTATTGTTCCCATTCTCATAGCCTCAAATGAGGTGCTTGCAGGACCTTCACGTATTGGATAGTGTGTTTCACCAATGCCCAGACTGTAAAAATTGATGCCCCAATCCCTAAAAAGACGGATGATTGGTTTTAAAACACGATTTTCAAATTCCATTTTACATTCCAGCTTCAATGACAAACCATTTAAAACATTATTTAGGATCCCATTGAACTTAAAAGACCAATTCCACTCAAATTTTTTTCTATCTAATGAATGTTCTTCTAATTTTGCTCTTTTAGCAAGAAATCTGTTTAATTGATGAGATTTTCTGATTATCTTGAAGATAAAGATATTAGATAGTTTCAATTACAAATACAATAATTTCATGGCTACTAAATAAGGAAAATGTCTGAATGAGCCATGCCATGTATATCACGTGTAGCAAAAAATGCACTCGTTTTCCATAGTGTTTTACACACTTCTTTTACTTTGCAAGCAAAAGGTTAAGTTGGCAAGATTCACTGGAATATATTTTCTGTTGAAATAATGGAGGATTGTATAAGTAGGATCAAGCTTTCGGAAACCTTGATTTAAGGCTCCATCATTTTTTTTTTTTTGATTCTGTAACTTAGAAAAAAGCACTACCAAAGGAAACTACGACGTCCTCTTTTTTTTTTTTTTGATCTTTACGATGATTCAAGTGAAAAAAAAATACACAAGATTCACTAGATCAGCTTGGTGTGGCTGTTCCTATCTTCGTCATATGCTGTGGAGAGAGAGATGATTGTAGATTGTCGTGCTATTTGACGTCTGTTGCACGTGCCCATTCCATCTCTTGGGTTTCAACAAAATAATAAAAAAGTTGATGTTTACCATGATGCAAGTTGAAGAACTATTATTATTATTATCATTGTTAGTTTCGACGTTGCTGCCATATTTATTATCATAATTACCTACAATCCCTAAGCACACTCCTCCTTGATCATTTCTATGAGCGCCACAGAGATTTATCCCCAACTTTCCCTACAAGACCAGCAGAACCAATACATACTGAACCTTATCAATGATCAAGACTGGTTGATCCATCAGATCATCGTCCCTAAACTTCCTTCTTTGATAACAACGGTGCGTTCTGTTCTCTTCTATTTATTGTTAGATAAACCATTCAAACTCCCGATCACCTCCAATTCCAATGATTATTTGAAAGGAGTGATCACCAGAAACTCTTTCAAAATCTCTAGCTTGAGCCTTCAGATCAACAAGTTATCGTTCTTCAACAATGCTAATCCTTTCAAAATCTCCTTAGATGATGACAAACAATTGGAATTGATTCAGATAAAGATGATGATCAAGCGATTGGAGTTTTTGGTATTACAACTAGATAATGTTGTGAAATTCATCCGAGCCATGAAACAGCAACCAACAGAAAATATCAATATTAAATTGAAGAACAATTTAATTTTTCTAAAGAAATTCAACCAAATTTTTCAAAACATTTTGCTAATAAGCGGCGAGATTGATAACCCTGTACAATCTTCTTTATTCCCCGAAAATCACTTGGACCCCCAAAATTTCAAACCCGAACTCGACCTAAACAAGCTCTCGATCGATTTATATTTGAATTCCGGAGAAATTTTCATCGAGTTGATTTTCTTGAAAAAAATCAACATCAAGCCCTGGTGCTTCATCAATAAGTACGGCATTTCTTTCAATGAATTTCTAACAAAGAAATTTGTACAAAACCGAAAGTTCAATAACATTAATCACCTAATTGAGCATTACTTGGAAGAAAAGAATTGGCCAAAGTTTTGGGAATTTGATGATTCCGCAAACTCCGATAGGAGAAGTATCACATCTTCCTCATCAAGCAGTGCCACTAAACATAATGATAACCGTCTATCCCCAAATATTAACAAAGAATCCGCAGAATCCCATAACAGTTGGTTCAAAAATATTCTCAATTTCCAAAACTCGTCGGAAGTCAACCAAATGTACCTCAATAGAAATCTCAAGTTTAATAATGCAATTTATTGGATTCTTAAGAATCTCCAAGTGAAGATTGCCGATCCAATATTGATTATTGTTAATATCAAATTAAATAGTATTAGGGCGCTAGTGCAGAATAACTTGTTGAACTTGAAGAATTTAATTGTCAATGGTGATTACTTGAAAAGTGTCATTGAAAAACAACCTAGTTTTACCAGGCTTGAACAAGCCAAGGATGAGGAAACTTATAATCTTTTAGTGAATCAATTCTTCAGTAACAAGAACCAGGATATTATTGATCAAGAATCACTGTTTGATTTAGTGGAGTACCTTAAATCCGGTGATGATTCCGAGCTCAATAGTCTTGTGGACGAGGGGACTTTCAATCCAAATTCCAACAGTAGAAAATCTAACCACGAAAATTTGGATACTTTGGGGGTTAATTTTGAGCTACTCAAAGATATTCACCCAGAATATGAGATGTTCAATGATAATTTGGAAGAATGGGATGGCGAACTAATAAAGGAGATCAGCTCGTTGATAAATAATGACCCAAGTAATACCACGGTTAACGACGCATTCAGTTGCTGTGAATTTGATGTTTTTGATGCCTGATATATAACAGAAATATATATTATATTTATTGTGTGTGTGTGTGCGTGTGTGTATTTATATATATATATTATACAAAATTTACGAGTTATATCTCTCGTATGTATGCATGCCAACGCACCTGTCATGATGACAAATTTTGGCACGATGATTGGTCTTCGCTATGAGTCATGAAGAATCAGACATTTTAATGACATGAAAAATAAAATAAAATGTCAAATGTTAAAAATTTTCATTGACCTGAACTGATTTGCTATAATAGAAAACATTTCAAAGATGCTCAACCTAGTCCAAAGAGTCTCTAAATCGAGGAATGCTGTAACCCTCAGAGGGTTCTCAACCTCATCTCAAACCCTTTTGGGACAGAACTTGACAGAAAAAATTGTGCAACGTTATGCCGTTGGATTGCCAGATGGTAAAGAAGTCCATTCAGGAGACTATGTTTCTGTGAAGCCTCGTCATTGTATGACCCACGATAACACCTGGCCAGTGGCGTTGAAATTCAAAGGTTTAGGGGCCTCTAAAATCAAGGATAACCGTCAAGTTGTCATGACTTTAGATCACGACGTGCAAAATAAGACGGAAAAGAACTTGACCAAGTACAAGAACATTGAAAACTTTGCCAAAGAACACGGTGTGGATTTCTACCCGGCTGGCAGAGGTATTGGCCATCAAATCATGATCGAAGAAGGGTACGCTTTCCCAAACTCCGTGGTGGTGGCCTCGGATTCCCACTCCAACACTTATGGTGGGTTGGGTACCCTCGGTACCCCAATTGTCAGAACCGACGCCGCATCAATTTGGGCCACTGGTCAAACTTGGTGGCAAATCCCTCCAGTTGCTAAAGTGGAATTGAAAGGTAGATTGCCTAAAGGGGTAACCGGTAAGGATGTGATTGTTTCTTTGTGTGGTATTTTCAATAACGATGAAGTTTTGAACCATGCCATTGAGTTCACTGGTGAACACATTGAGGAATTGCCAATTGATTACAGATTGACCATTGCCAACATGACCACCGAATGGGGGGCGCTTTCTGGGTTGTTCCCAGTCGACAATACCCTCATTGAATGGTACGAAAACAGATTGAAGAAAGTGGGACCAAACCACCCAAGAATCAACGAAAAGACCTTGCAAGATTTGAAAAATAACTTGACCAAAGCTGATTCCGACTCTTATTATGCCAAGACATTGACTATCGATTTGAGCACTTTGTCTCCATTCATTTCTGGGCCAAACTCCGTGAAGGTCTCGACCTCGCTCACCGACTTGTCCAACAAAAACATGAAGGTTAACAAGGCTTATTTGGTCTCATGTACTAACTCACGTTTATCCGATATCAAGGCTGCCGCAGATATCATTAGAGGCCACAAAGTGGCTCCAGGGGTGCAATTTTACGTTGCTGCCGCCTCCTCCAATGTCCAAAAGGACGCTGAAGCCTCCGGTGCCTGGAAAGACATCATGGATGCTGGTGCCATTGCTTTACCAGCCGGTTGTGGACCATGTATTGGTTTGGGTACCGGGTTATTAGAACCTGGTGAAGTGGGGATCAGTGCTACCAACAGAAACTTCAAAGGTAGAATGGGGTCTAAAGACGCATTAGCCTTTTTGGCTTCACCGGAAGTGGTTGCCGCGTCGGCAATTTTGGGGAAGATTGGGTCACCGGAAGAAGTGTTGGGCCAAAAAGTTAAGGAAACTAGCGAAGTTTCCAAGTCGATAACCATCAATAAAAAACCAGAAGCCGCTGGTGATGCTGCTGCTAGTAGTGCAAGTGGGGTTGAAGTTTTGGAAGGTTTCCCTAAGAGAATCACTGGGGAATTGGTTTTGTGTGATGCGGACAATATTAACACCGATGGGATTTACCCAGGTAAATACACTTATCAAGATGATGTTCCAAGGGAGAAGATGGCAGAGGTCTGTATGGAAAACTACGATTCCGAGTTTGGAGCAAAGACTCATGCTGGCGATATTGTGATTAGTGGTTATAACTTTGGTACTGGTTCTTCTAGAGAACAAGCTGCGACTGCCATTCTTGCAAGAGATATGAAATTGATTGTTGCCGGGTCTTTTGGCAATATCTTCTCCAGAAACAGTATCAACAATGCGTTATTGACCTTGGAGATCCCAGATTTGATCAACAAGTTGCGTGAGAAATACAGTGGTTCCGAGAAAGAATTGACCAGAAGAACTGGATGGTTCTTGACATGGGATGTCTCCAGTGCCGAAGTGACTGTCACCGAAGGTCAAGATGGGCCAGTGGTGTTGAAACAAAAAGTTGGTGAGTTGGGATCCAACTTGCAAGATATTATTGTTAAAGGTGGGTTAGAAGGATGGGTTAAAGCCGAATTAACCAAAGCATAGATTTCTGTTCGCATTATTTTTTCTGTTGTTTGTTTTCTGCTTTTTGTTCTATACATATTCCCAATTTACATTGTATTCTATTTATTTTATCTATGTGTTTTGTAGTGATTTGTTATTACTTCTACATGCGGTTTAATGTAATGTAAAGCGTATGCGGCGTGGACCTAGCATAAATTACGCGCTTGGAATTTTTTTTTTTTTTATTTTTTTTTTTGGCGTCAAGAGATTATCGTTGCAAATGTTATTGTTAAAATTATGCCAACATCAGACATTTGTGAAGATAAAGGAGATATACAGATATACGTTGCTGATGGAAGAACAATCTACAATTGCAGTGTACTCGCTATCCAATGCAGAGTACGAGATAAGGAAGAGGCAAATCGATGATAAGATTAAGAACGCGTGGGAGTCGATCATCGCGAAATATAGCCAGTACGACTTGGACAACCAAGGTGATGTTGTGGATATCCATACTGGAAAAATCGTCGAGGACAATGGGCATCTCAGGTCACTCTCGAAAAAAAAGAAAAGTGCCCCGAAACTAGGTGCCAATCTGAAGTATTTGACTTGGAAGCAACCGAAGGATAAAGAAAAGTTAAGCCTGGCACCAATATCCGAAAAGAAGTCGAAATCGAAATCAATGCTGAAGCAAAAGTCGGGATCTGAAAGTCAATTGGCATCAAAACCAAAATTAAAACTGGAAAACAATAGGACATCGAAAAGAAAATTGACAACAGAACAACAGGTCTCAATCCCGGTATCAGGAAGCAAATCTACATCTACATCAAAACCAAAGACATTATTAAAGACCAAATCGACGTCAAAAACAAAACCAAGATCAGGAAAATCTATATTAAAACCCCAATCGACATCAAAACCCAAATCGACATCAAAACCAAAATCGGCATCAAAACCAAAATCGGCGTCAAAGGCGAAATTAACATTGGAAAATAAATCTATAGCAGAACCAAATGCTACAAAAAAGTCAAAGCCAGCATCTGAACGAAAAGCAACACCGAAATCAAAACCTACATCTGAACCGAAATCAATAACCAAACCAACATCAAAGCCAAAATCAGCATTAAAATTGACCCTGAAAGCCCAGCCAAAACTTGCCTCACAGTCAGATTCGACACTCAGCTCAATATCAAAACCGAAAATAATACGAAAGTCATACTCCCCTAACAAAACCGCATCTCTCAAAGATACAATCAAACCTAATACCAAGAGTGACAATAATGATGAGAGTAGTGACAAAGATGATATGGATCCTCCTGTTCCAATTATTGTGACTCCCTTGAAGTTGTCAGGGGGGGATCTCATTGGCAGTGGTGGAGGATCTTCAAAGAAATCTCACGAGCTAACCGGAACACCAACACAAAAACGGGTCACCAGATCAAAGTCTTCACGACGTCATAATATTGAAAGAAGTTTGATTTTAAAAAGAATTTTTGATACACCAGAAGCCAATGTTGAACCTGATCAATTGAATTTGCTATCGCCCGAAAGTACAGCTAAAAGCCCAGCGACCAAGATCTCGTCATTATTTAAAAACATTTCATTGGGGAATTTATCTTACAAATATAATACTAACGATGCCAAGAGGAAAAGAAACTCTCAGTCTAGATCGTCTACCATTACTGTATCCCATAACCCTGCCGATAATTCAATTGCCGATATTATCCAAGAGGATGACAATAATGACACCAGTATGATAAGTATCGATCATGATTCGCCATCCAAAACGACTCGAGACAGGAAGGTTATCATTGTGGTGAGTGATGATGATTACGATGAACGCACGTACGATATCGGCTACCCTAACAAAAATGCGACTGATGATGGATTACTGACCAATGCCACTGATAATCAAAGTATTGGAAATGGCAATTCAGGAAATATGAACCCAATTTTCTCGGATCAAAATCCTCTAAATCGGAATGCTCTTAGTAGTTTGGAACAATCAAGAGATCCCGCAATTGGTTCGAACCAGAGTCTTGTTATACATGATATGGAAGATGAAGGGAAACATTCCAGCAGACTGATCATAGCACAGCATTACTCAAGCCTCACTGATGATGATGATGATGATGATGAGTCGAAATTGGATCATGCAGATGATTTCAGGCTGGGATACGTGCTGATTGCCCGATCTTTCGAAGGGACTCCTGACAACAGGGCAATGCCTCGAGATAATTTTCAAATACAGTGGAGGAATAAGAGACCCAAAAACCCGTTGTTTGATGATTATGCGAAGGAAGTGGATGACATGTTTGATATGGGAGAGTACGATAATAAATCGCTGCCGACCAAAAAATCGCGACTTGTTTGATATATATGTATATATATATATATATATATTACTGATCCAAATAATGAATTTGATGCAATTAATTCAATACAAGTAATTTAACAATCAATTTTTTTCTGAGTAGCAAGAAGACGTCTATCTTATTATCCAACAGTGAGGCTAACGGCTTATACCACTTGAATCCCCTCCAATGGCCGGGTAGCGACAGTAGTGCAAAAAATATTTTTTATGCATGAAAAATCAGTTGAGCAGAGATGGAAATTTTACTGCGAACTCTCCGTTGTTTGATTGTTTGTCAATACAATATATTGTTGGAGTGGGTTTATTACCAAAAGTTCGGGTGTTCTAAATATTATAGTGGTACTGCTTGATTGTTATTATTATTGTTTTGCTGATTGACTTTTAGTGGAAGTAAATAGAAAAGCGTCGAAGATCCCAAAAAAAAAAAAAGAAAAAAAAGAACAGATAAATAATTGATGGGTTTTCGTTTTGTAATAAAGAAAGTGATTTGTTAGCATAGAGAATACCAAGCAGAATAAATGAAGCTATTAAGGTACCAGACGGTGGTAAGGGTACCATTCGGTCTGCTTCTACGAAGCAAGAACCATCGGCCACCATTACATCACCACCATCAGAATATCGAAGGAATATCGAGAATACCCAGAAGATTGGCGTCAGCTGCAATATCTTCAGAGACTAAGGGTCGTGTTAATAGAGGAAGGCAAAGAATGGCCCGAAAACCAAAAAATTCATGCGAGTCATTGGGTGAGGTTGCCTTTGATACCCCAATGCGGTACTCAGAGATCAAGTTAGTGTTTGGTCAGTATTTGGATGAGTTACACTCCGTGGCCCACGTAATAGACGCTACAGAAGGAGTGATGTTGAAGATCGAAGGAATGATGAAGATAATGGATAGAAAACATCAAGTGACAATGGAGTTGTGGAATGAGTTGTTTATGGTGTTACAACAATATGTGCTACAGTATCCTGATTGTGGGTTTTGGTACTCCAAGGTGTTCAAGCTAATGTGTTTGGCACGATATGGCAGCTTTATTCCAGTGGAGGCGGATGTAGAAAGTTTGGAATATTCTGTGGCAGTAATGTTGGGAAAGATTTTAGGAGATAAGAATACGAAAAGCTTGGATTTTTTAACAAGCTGTGAAACACAATCATCCAAAGATTGGGAATTGTTTGATCCGATCCAAGAACTTACAGGAATAATCCTGAGGAAATTGAAGAGTGGCCAGAAAATCCTGCTTGAAGAATTGGATTTCAAAAACGATCATAATATCACCATGCTTTTCAAAACCACCACCACCACCAACAACAACAACAACAACAACAACAACAACAACAACAACAACAACAACAACAACAACAACAACAACAACAAGCATAATCGTAACATCGACGAAAGTTTCAATGGGTTGAATAAAATTAACGATTTTGAATTGAGTGCTAGCGAAGTCACCACTTCGTTAACCTCTGAACAAACCACTGAAATGATTTTAGTTCCGGCTGCTGTCCGTCGTAATCTAAGATATAGAAATACTCCGCTACTCACCGACAATTTAAACAATTGTCATTCAGTGGAGCTCCGGCACTTGTTCTATCAATTCATAAAGAATGTTGATCAATCCCCAATGAACAGCTATAGAAAAATCAATGGGTTGTTCACATTCTTGACGCATCAAATCAGTGATGCCGACATTCTACTAAATGAGTTTTTACAGGGCATGCTTGTTGAAGTAAAGCAAGGCCGCCGCGTCGACTTCTACCTTGCTTTGTTTAGAGATTATATGATGAAAAGATACGGGTCCACAGTAATCGACAGCTACAGTGATTTGGAAAAGAAATTTGTGGCGGAGGTCCAAATCCGAAACAAGATGGAAAATAAGGTTGAATCATCTAGGGATAACAATATCGTTGATGATAATGAAGAACGGGCTAGACAAATCTTTATGAGAATGAGAAGTGGTGGAAGAGTGCTGGTGGAACAAAATGATTTTAAGGCCGATCACCAGTTCATGAGTGCCAGAAAATCTAAATGGGCAGGATCATTAAACAATTCCGTCATCAACTCACAAATCCTTTGTTCTACTCCACTTATCAACACGGATGTGAATGAATTGGTGATTATATCTCCAGAAACTAGAAGAGCGGCAAGAATCCCTAATCTTGAGCAGTCGTCAAAATCATCGGCTGCCAATGACACTAGGGTATTCAAATGGTTTGGTATTTACCAAGATTGGAAAATCGAGAATCTTCATTCCCAAGAGCTTGAATTCTTGTTCAAGGTTGCCACCATCTACGTTTCTCAAAACCCAGTCAAGTCAGTAAAACTTATCAGATCATTGATGACATATGTCATTGAAAAATTATCTGGTAATGAGGCATTGATTAATAGATTTCTTCAAATCATGATTGATGATATACAAGTCAGACCAGAAACTCTGAAGATGTATATTGAATTGTTCAATGAATACTGCCAGTTGCAGTACAATGGAGTCCCGGAGATTTCTGAGGAGAAATATCCTATGGAATATCGGCTTGTGAAAGCTATCAGAAATGTTTTACAGAAAAAAGATCTGAAACAAATGAGCACTATACTACCTCATTTGGCGGCTGCCAGGATGTTGCCATTCGATGATGCTGTGGAATTTAATGATAAGTTTGATTTATTGCAAGAACAAGCAAGATTGATTCATATGAAAATCAAAGAAGGTAAAGAAAAGCTCAAAATCCAAGAATTGAATTTCCGTGCTGACCAAGCTGTGGTATCTACCGCCAGACTGGGATGGAGCTCAAAATGGAAAAACCCTTCCGCCAAGTTAGTTCCACAAGTGGTCAATTTTGGTGGACCGGCTGCGCTGCTTTTAGGGGAAAATTGCTGTCATCCGATCGTTCTTCTCACTCCAGAGGTTCGTCAAGAATTGAGATATAACCCCCAATGCCTTGACTTGGCAAGATCAGTATTCAATGGAATTGCGATAAAGGAATTACATACCCAAGAAATGGTGATACTTTTCGATAAATTGACTGAACCTCAAAATAAGCCAAAATTCGTATCCCAAAAACTTGACGAAATGTTGCATTTCTTGATGACCAGTGTTAAAACGCCGCATGTGGTCACACATCATATGATGAAGATTTTAGCTGTAAAGATTCTGGAATTGAAGAGCCCAGCTGATAATAAACAGGGCCAAGATTCTGTGACCTCGCGGCTTGGGAAACTTGTGGGAATGTTCATTGAGATATGTAGTTATCAACATGGGACTTTGGCATTCCCTAGCAGAAGATACCAATATGAACATCTTGTTCTCGATGCTATTCGGTTACGTATTGCCCCTTGGCCACTAGATGTGGTGAGGTATGCACTATCCAGAGAAAAGTTGGGGATTGATAATGTTCAATACGGACAGTTCTTGTCTTCCATGCTTTCGAACGCTCATTTTGCTAGGGACTCAAAATTAATGAGAGAGTTTTGGAAATGGAAACCAGATGGATATAAAACTCCTAGAGATTTGCTTGTGATGTTGAAACATTTAGTTCAGGATGAAGATTACAAAGAAGTGGTCAAATGTGCGATGAAGTTTGAAGATTTGCAGGACGAAAAAGTGTTTAATTACTTGTTGAGATCCTTGGGGAATTTGGCTGACTGGAAATCATTGCAAGCATTATTCGAAGGTTTATTCAACCATAATGAGTTACCAAACATCGAACATTATGGGATCACCATGTACGCCTTGTCTTATAAAGGTAATTACTCTCAAAACTTGGAACTTTTCAAGAATATTAGATCGCGGAAAATGATGCCTTCGACATTAGTGTACATGTCAATGATCAGATCAGCTTATTATACTGGTAGGTTCAAGGATTGTATTAAATGGTTCACAAAATACATGGCATTCAAGAAAAAAATGCATGTAATGGGAGACTCGGTGAATAGCGCCCCTGAAGCAACCTTACATAAAGACTCTGCTCTGGAGTTGAGAGCGGTTTGGACAATGGTGATGCAATCTTATAGTCGGACGAAACGTCCGGACGTGGTGTTGAAGATGTTGGATTTAATGGAGAAGGAAGAGGTGAAAACCCTTGATGGAACCCCATCGACTCCTGATTTGAAAATTTATTCTACTGCATTGTTTTCGGTGGCAAATGTTGGTGATTATAAGAAATGTGAACATATCATGGAAACAATTCGCAAGGATCCAACCATTAAACCTGATGATGTCTTGATGTCAATATATATGAAAGGATATTATAATGGTGAAAAATTTATGAAAGTTGGCGAGATTTTTCTGGAATTGCAATCAAAATATAATGTCGAGCCAGGTCCTAATACCATGGCAGTTTTCATGGCATCATTGTTGAAGACTAAACAAATCAAGAAATTCGAACATTATTTGTACATTGTTTCTTTAAAGAAAGAGTTTTTGTCTCCGGATATATTTAAAGTCTTTATCCGTTACTACTGTTTGTTGTACGATTTCAAACATGCCAGAAGAGTGCTTGACCGAATGAGTACTATGAAAGGAGCGGCACCAACTGAACCTCACTATTATGAAATGATGCAAGGATATATGAGAGGTAGAGATTTCCGAGGAGTGATTCGGACATATAAATCTATGGTTAGCAGGGGTATCCGTCCAAAAGATCGATCATTAATTTTATTAACTAGAGCATTGATTGTTCCTGACTCTAAAGCACATGGATATGCGGTTACTTATTCGTTGATCGATCAAATTTTGAATAACCGAAGTGAGGTGAAAGCTAGTACCAATTATGATGGTCCAACCAATATTAAATTCCCAATGAGATCGCTTTTACAATTGCTCAAAGTGGTGGGCAAGAAAATGAGCGCCACACAAACTCAAAGAATCTTGGATTCGTATGGCAAAAATCATAACTCTCAAGCATTGGGGCATAAATTCTCCGACTCGATTAATATGATGAGAAATGCCATGGTGGTATACGGTGAGCAAAAAGATTGGAATAATGTGTATCTGATGTTTGACACCATGATGCAGATTTTGAAAGAAAATAGAGCTGTTGAAGAAAAACCAGTGAAAGGAGATAAATTCGGGAAAACCACTACGAGAATTCAACGTGAATGGCGGTACTTTTTCAATCCGGTTTTGAGTTATAAATTCAAACAAATGGTTTATGATCGGCAATTAGGGTCATTACCAAAATTATTGAAGGATATGAAGCTTTGTGGATTCAGATTTGAACCGGGGAATTTGAACATTGCAGCAGTGACGCTTTGTTCAGAAATTCAGTATTTTGAAGAAGGATTGATGTTAGCGGAAAAAGAATTGTATCCTGGGTTCGACTATATTCAGAAGATCAGGCCACTTCAGCAAGCAAATAGAGCAAAGAAGATTGCATTACTCGGGGGAAGAATTACAAGAAAACTCCGGAGTAATTCCAAGATTACCCAATTCCCAGTTTACAATGGTAAGATATATTTGAAGAAGCAGTCGTTGGTAGGAATTAGAGAAGGATTGGTGAAGTATGTTAAGTTCCGGGCAGCCAAGAATGAATATACTGCGGATGTTGTTAGGGAATTACAGGATAAATGTCCTAAAATGATGTCTCTTTTGTTACAATATGCTGACGATGCTAATATCCAAAACTCGAGATTTAAGAAATAGATGTAATGGGGGGAAGAGAGGTGTGTATTATTTTGCTAGTGCATGTACATATTGTGTAAATATAATTTAATTTAGTTATGAATTAATGAATTTGTTTATTTTATTTTTCTATATTTTGTTTATGTGTTGTTGTTGTTGTTGTTGTTGTTTTTGTTGTTGTTGTTCTTTTTTTAGAATGATGCGTGAATGATTTGTGTATTGTATAGATATCTTAATTCCTTTAGAGGCTCTGGGTGACCCCAACGTGGATGGTTATGTACAGCTGTGTACAAGGTTGAGGATCGGTACTTTCTAGGGAAACAGAGGAGATCTTATTGACATACATGCCTCGTACCTTTCAATAAATAAATATGATAATCCAGGCAGGTTCTGGTGCCGGGGATAATTAGTCGTTTCCCTGCCGCAGCAATTAAGGCTGCTATTCTATGTTGGAAGACGTGCTAGAAGGAAGGGAAGTCCTCCCTAATGATAGTATGATCTCATATTACTATGGTTTTATATACTAGTATGATATTACATACTGGATATATATATATATATTTATATAATAATAATAATCACAAAGATATAGAGAAACGACACGGTGGTGGTGGGGCGTGGTGTATATCCATGTGAGATATACAGCATTGTGCATGAGACTGAAATCGAACTTTTTTTTCCAACAAAAATTCTCAGTTGTTTTTGATTGTTCTCTTCCTTCTTTTTTTACCATCTTCATCGTCATTATTACGGTTATCCCCCCTCTGTTCTGTTCTTTTCCCTCTCAGAATTAATAGATTCAGAACAACCGTTCCACAATTATTGTCGGTGTATTTTTCTTTTTTTTTTTTGAAGAGTACCCGAATCATCATCAAGAACAATAATCACAATCTTATCTACCTCCCTCCCCCCCCCCTTATTCCACTCCAATTGACACAATTGATGAGATCTTCTTTTCTTCAAATACACTGTTAATAATTTATTTCATTTTGATTTAAATTTTTTGCGTTATTGTTGTTTTTTTGTTGTTGTTTTTCTGCTGCTGCTGCTTCTACATTACTCATACAGGGTTTCCCGTTGTTGTTTTTTTTTAAGGCATACTTCCATTTCTGTTTGTGTAATCCTCAGAACAACACTACAAGTCCCGGATTATATCCTATTACTATCAATATCGCACTATACTATATTATCTAGCAAATTGACAGTGGCTAACAATATTTTCTATTCAACTTCAATAACAGAGAAGAAAATAACAATCACTTAAAATTTGAACCTTTGTTTTCCTCCAAATCCAAAAACATTCAAACTTTTCACAATATCAGGATCATTATTAAGGATTAAATTATATTATAATCATTTCACTGATCATAATTCATCCCTAAGAGTCTCCAATTCAATTTGTGAGATTCCATCTATATTATACCCTTTTGCATATAACATTGTACTATACTATAACCAATAACCGTCCACAACAACAATACCTCATTGACGATGTTATCCTCAAAAGTCAGAAATGAAAACCAAATAAGATCGTTTCCTAAAAAGGTATCCGAGTCTTCGACCAATCAAAAACAACATCAACAACTCCCAAAACTCAAAAGAGTGGCTCTCAATGACTTGACTGATTACTTGAACTCCAAACATTCCATGACTGCTGCTGAAAGCACTACAATCATTGATGATGCCGATCATTCTTTACCTCCAATCCACACCATGAAATACAATACCTCCCTTAACCAATACGATGATACCCAATCCAGTGATACCGACTTGGATGCTAATTTAAATTACGTGCAGTCTAATTCTGATGATAATGAGACTGGAAACTTGAATTCTGGTGAATTAATAAAGAGGATTTATGATGGTCAAGATTATGATGATGTGACTACCGATGAGGAAATCGATGACGATGATGATTATCAGTATGATAAAAAAAATTATCATCATCTAGACCACCGCGCTGAAGATTATGAACAGGAAGTAGAAGAAGATTTTGACGTTCAAGCCTTGGATGATGATGAAGAAGAAGAAGAAGAAGAAGAAGAAGAAGAAGAAGAAGAAATTACTGAAGATACCCCGCCAAAACCATTTGTTATCAAAAGATCTAGAAAGATTGACCAACAACTTTACAAGATCTATGAAGAATTCCACATAGATCATTTAGATCCAGAGGATCAAGATACTTATGAGACCTCGATGGTTGCAGAATATTCCCCAGAAATTTTCAATTATATGCATAAGTTGGAATTAAGACTTCGGCCAGATCCTAACTATATGACTTTGCAGCATGACATTAAGTGGTACATGAGAGCCACTTTGATAGATTGGTTAGTACAAATTCATTCAAGATTCAAGTTATTGCCAGAAACCTTATTCCTTTCAATTAATTACATTGACAGATTTCTCAGTAAACGGACTGTTTCCCTTAATAGATTCCAATTAGTGGGATCGGTTGCGCTATTCATTGCTGCAAAATATGAAGAAATTTCTTGCCCGTCGCTAAAAGAAATTGTGTCCATGTCGGATCATGTCTATTGCGAGGAGCAAATCATCAAAGCAGAAAAATTCATGATCGATGTACTTGAATTTGATATGGGATGGCCAGGACCAATGAGTTTTCTTAGAAGAACTAGTAAAGCAGACGACTATGATTTCGAAACCCGTACGCTAGCAAAATACTTGTTAGAAGTAACGATCATGGATTATAAATTTGTTGATGCTTTGCCAAGTTGGTGTGCTGCCGGAGCCCATTTTTTGGCAAGATTGTTATTAAACCGTGGAGAATGGACAAAGGCCCATATTTATTATTCAGGATACACTTCAGAACAATTAATGCCATTTGCCAACCATGTTTTAGAAGCGTGCCGCCATGCCGAAAGCCATCACCATGCAATTTTTGAAAAATATCAACAGGGATGTTTTAGAAGAGCTTCGATTTTTGTACAGAATTGGATTAGTGTTGTCGGTGAAGAGGAAGATTAATACTCTTCAAGACAATTGTATAATCTGATATTAGAATGCTACCTTTTTTTCGTTTTTTGTTTTCTGTTTTCTTGGGGCTCATTTTTTGGCTTTTGGAAAAGAATTAAGAACAAAAAAAAAGGACAGGAGTTTTATACCAATAAAATCAGTCGCTATTAATCATTCCAACATGTGATTACATTCCCTTTTACCACTCCCACAACAAAGTTATCAACTTCATCTATATTTCAACCAACTCCATCCATCATATCACACAATTTAAAATCATATCTACAGATTTTTTCTTCTTATTTCAGTTCGTTATTAATATTTTTTTTTTCCTTACCTTTTCCAACATGCGACTTCTGGAGGGACTCTGTCATGGTGAAATTTCAGGAAGAAAGAAAAATAAAAGGGTATTCTTTATGGTTCCTTTGCTTATTTATTTAACTTTTTCTCTTTTCTCATTTATTTGCTTGATTTTTTTTTCTTTTTCTTTTTTTTTTTATTTTTGCATATTATCATTGATACTTTAATCATTTTATAAACAGCACCTTCAATCTATATTATTTTCTTGGATAACTATGGCATTTGGTTATACCCTGATCATTTGACCCACGAAAATGGGTCGCATCCCAAATAGGAAACAGGGGTCCTGTCATTATAATGCCACGTGACGTAAATTTCAAGAGCTCGGTGATATTCATAGTATGAGGTCTAATATGGGATAATTACTTACAAAACGGCCTTCAGGTGAGCTCTGCTATTATATTGAAAAGAGCATGGGTAATACTCTAGAATTGACTGATGTGTCGTTCACAGGGCGATCTTGAAGCAAACAGTTAATAGGTAAGAGGTTTCACAAACTTGGTATTCTTTTTAAATTACAAAAAGGAGAACAAAATTATCGTGATAAATTCCGGCAGATACCCTTGAATATTGTGATAATTTATTAATCTATAAGAATATTGCAATTCTTTTAATGTACAGTGTTAGTAGTTTCATTGGTGCTAATGAGCAAAAGGTGCATAACCTCAAAAAAAAAAAAAAAAAAACGTTTTTGCACAAAACCAAAAATTGAAAGAGTAAAAAAACTAATACTAACAAACATATTTATTTCATTAATTGAGATATTTGCCACTCTTATACATATTAATCATGAAAATCCTTGATCATATTGGTATTTATCCTTGGCAATTATACAAGTTAAGTACCGCCAAAGTTCTCAGGGTGGTGGTATTTGTCATTCTGATTTTTAGTTATTGGATGGCCTATCATGTGGTGTTATTCTTTTGTACTTTTGGGGCGCTTGTATTTCCTTCTGTGTTTTTATTGGTGAAAAGACACGCTGCTGGAGGGTTTTGGCGATTATGTTTGTATTGTTTGGTAAGTCTGGTTTCCCGATATTGAAACACTTAGAAAGATGATTGGAGTTTCACTTTGTTTCCAGAAATATACTAACTTTGAAAATTGAAAATGAAAAGGAGCAAAACAAGATTGAAATCGTGATAACTGGCGATGATTTGGATTTCTCAGAATCTTCGCTTTTAATTGGTAAGTAGAACCACTAGCTTTTTTTTTTTCTTTTTCAAGTTTCGTAAACTAACTTTTTGGTAGTCAACCATCGTTCTATCAATGATTTTTTTATCATTGCGTATCTATCAAGATTGTCTATAGAGGATGCTACACAGTTACCAACTCCTAGATTGAACTTCTTCACTTGGTCCACAATATGGAGAGTCCCCACTGTCAGATTACTTACCAATATCGTGAACAATGATGAAAATTGGGAGCTTGATAATTCAGACATTGTTTACAAGTTATTGAAAACCAGTGATTATTCGGTAGAAAAAACCGAAAGTCAATTATCAGGACAAGAATTTGAAATCAATAATTATCCTGAATGGTTAATTTTATTCCCCGAAGTGAACATTTGGAATAAAACTGATTTATACTTACAACAGAAACAAGGCGAGAAATATTATTTGCCAAAACTAAATCATTTACTATACCCAAGGTTTAAGAATTTCAATAAAACCATTGCAACAATTAGAAAATTGAAAGGGTTGAACATCCCACACCTTCATAGCTTGACAATTTTCTATTATGATAAGTTGACCAAGCATGAAATTTGTCCATCATTGATAGATTTCGTTGGGGATCTTCCTTCAAATATTTTGGTGAGAGTTCATATAAAATCAAGATCATTAAAAAGACTTCCTACTAGATCCAATAAATTGGAGAAATGGCTAGAAAATGAATGGGACTCTAAGGAAAAATTATTGGAGTCTATGGAGCGAAGCATTGGTCATTTTCTATGAATGAAGCAACCCCTTTTGGTAAATTTTAGGGCCTGTGGATAATTTGCTTGGGCTGGAAAACACAAATTCCCCATATAAGCAATAAATTAATTCGCTTCAAGATATATTTTGGGACATTTGTCTTATATATAGTAGCCTGTTGTGATCTCTATTTATGAATATTATTACGGTTGAGGTTTCAATCTAATACCCTTATGCTCAATTCCTATTGAAGATTTGGATTATTTATTTAAGGAAATTTATTAGAACACTAAATGATAGGGTGTCATGGTTAATTTGGCTTTATTTAGCATATTGAAGCATAATTGCTCAAAATAGAAAAGTCTAGATAATATTTTTGTAGCACAAGTTTTGCCAAAACTTACAAAGGGTTAGGCCAAAATAACAATGGCAATATATAGATAGATAGCTGTTAAAAGGGAACAGAAACAATAGTAATAATAGAAATGAGTACAGGAAAGAGCTTCGCGATAAACATGCTTTCTTTATAGTAAAGTATTGTAAAACAGCAGACCATTGCGTATATATATTTGATTGGTGATCGGATGTGTCTGAGTGTGTGGGTGGAAAATCAAGTCACATGACCATGTATCCCAATTTCTCCTACCAAAAGCAGTAATTTGTAAACAATGCACATCAACCCAGTAGCGATTCCAGCAACATGAACGAACAAGTCACCGCCAATTCTAGCATCAATCATAGCAGTAATACAAGTTAACGGAATCAATGTGTGTGATTATACTGAGCTGACCAAGTATATTGTCCACTCTGAACGTGCTGAGGTCAAGACACTATCAAAAGTGAAGCCAGGAGATGTGTGGTCACGCAGAGCACTAAAACGGTGTTGAAAAGATGGTTTCGTATCAATGAAGATATAATTTGGTGCAATTATGGAGATAACAGCCTTATTAGATTTGTTACCATATTGCAGCCCGGGGGTTATATTATCGTTTATATCGTCCGCCTCAGTGTTCTTAAAATACTTAGTAAAGTATTTCAACAAGCCGATAGTCCAGCTTCATACCCTTCTTGATGAAAGGCTGAAGCACTGGCTATCAATACTTGTTTAGAACGGGGAGCTTGAATTGGACATTAGTAAGTTGGGAGAGTATATATATCAAGCACTTACACAGTTTGTGCTCAAAAAATGATAGGATTATTGAAAGTGATGAAAATGATATCAATGAATGCCTCAACAATGTTGGACGCATGTTTAACAGCCCCTGCAGAGAGGAGAAGCTGAAAGATGGATTAAACAAAATGTGTTTCCATCTGTGCGGTAGTACTCCAAGATTGGATAACAGTATTGATTATGTCAACATACAGGAATTGAGGGAATTTGCTAAAAAACTTTATTAATATATCAAACACAAAACCAGGAGCAAGTTTGCCTAATGTGCGGAATATTTTGGGTGCTCACCGCGATAATTTAGAACCACAAGAAATTTTGTCTCATCTACGAATCAAATCGTTTTATGAAGCCGCACAGGGTGATGAATTTTTTTCCTCAAAATAAAGAATAACAGTTCTAAAAAAGCTTATCCAATCAAATAGTTGTGAGTTGCTTCCAAGGTACATTACATCTACCAAAAAAAAACTGTGTTTAAGAGAAGTATCTCAAAAAATTTGAACAATAATGATGAATGAAACTTGGCTTGATGGAAATGGGGAAAATGGTGACAATGAATTCAGAAAATCGAGCTTTTCTGAAACTGAAGACATCGAGGACACCAAGGAGCTGTAATTAGAATCCTATGCAGCATTATAGCCGAATTTCAGAATGATTTAGGACTATCCAGGGTTCAAAATATCAACTCTCCTCACATGCCATCCATCAATTAGTGTAGTTTCTTACTATTAAAGTTTATTTTTCCTTTTTTTTTTTTTTTTCAAAGACGGTCAGACCACTGAAATTGCTATTGATAGCAGATGCTACGTATCTAGAGTAGAGAAAGGTGTGTATCAAACGTGTATTCAATAATTGATAAAAAAAAATGTAAAATATCTCTGCGATAGTGACAAATTTATAGTCTTCTTCTTCTTCTTCTTTTTCCTTTTATCTTCTTTTTTCTTTTCTTTTCTTTCATTTAACCCATGTAATCCTTTTTTTTCATGTTTTCTGTAAATAGAAATTCTCATGACCCATATAAAAAAAACCGCCCTTTCGTTTATTTTACTCGAAATTCTCATAAACCACGTAATTCTTTGGTTTCCTTAGAACTTTTTTCGTTTTCTTTTTGTACGGTACCGGCTGACCTTTGGTGATGGTGGTTTTTGAGATGGTATTTTTGGAGGTCTTCGAGGTCTTTTTCGCCGGTTTGAAGGTTTCGGGCATGATATTAATGGAAGTATCGAGGGACTTTCGTAATACTCCGGGGTTGATCCGATTACTTTTGCGTTTGTAATTTTTATTTTTCTGGAATCCTGAATCTTTCAGATTACTTCTTTGTAAAGATTCTTTCAAGGAATTGACCCTTTGCAAAGTTTCCTTACTATCCTCATAAATCAACAGATTACCAATTTTTCCCCCTTGTAGTTTTTGGATTTTTTCATTTAATAACCGGTTTTTCTCGGTTTTCAACCGCAATTTATCCACTAACCCTGCCATCTTCCCTTGGAATTCTTTGACGGTTTTCTCATGTTCCAAAATAAACGATTGTCTAAGCTGATCCAATTCGACCGCGTAATCCTTAGACATCAGCTTGATAGGACTAGGACTGTTGCTGTACTTACCCGAAAGCTCTTCACGAAGCTTCTTATTTTCGTGGTCCAATCGAATATTATCATTATTGAAATTATTGATTTGTTGCTCCAAGTTCATAAGGGCCTTATTGTCCATTTGCTTCTTGAACAACAATTGTTCGTATTTCGTCACCGCTGCGGAGTTCTCCTTCAACAAGTCACGATTATCTTTGCGTAACCGATGGATTTCCTCTTTCAGGTCTTTCACCAACATCTCGAGCTTATCGTCGGTGGTCTTTATGTTAGTTTCCTCGAACTGTTGCAAGAGTTTCCGATGGTTTTCTTCGATGTTACTAATGATCTCACTGTATTCTTTGGCGGCTTCTTGTCGGATACTAAACTCCATTTCTGCCATGTATTGGGCACTGGCCAGTAATTGGGATTTTAGAGTTTGGACCTCCGATTCTAACGCGGTAATTTTCTGCTTCAATTCGGAGTTCACTTTATTATGTCGAATGAACCTGGTTGGTGATCTCAAGAGTGAAGAGGTACTACTATTAGTAGTTGTAGAGGTACTGTCAAATTTGTTGGAGTCGGTGGTATTATTAAATGATGATGATTCAATCTTAATTGGAGAATGTATGAGTTTGACTGGGGAAGTCGACGACGATGATGCAACAAATTTACGTTGTGGTGATGTTCTATTGACAATGGCACTTCTGGTGGTAGTGCCTGGAGATTGTACTAACCTGACTTGCGAAGCCGACCCTGTTGTCGATTTGTTAGAATACAATTCACCAGGGGATCGGGACATTGAATAAAACGAAGTATCTTTTATGGATTCCGAATTGATAATGTTTTCCACCGGTTTTATGATGTTGAGCACCGAGAGGATTATCTTGGCATTTACAAACGGATCAATATTGACAAGAATTGTGAGTTTGTGGGTCTCGTTCCCTAGGTAGTCATGGAGTAACAATCGGGTCATTTTCGAAGTCCTCAAGATCGATTTATCACTTTCTTTCAAAGGTTTTTTAAGCGAACTGATGGTCTGAAGTACTCTTCCCAATTCCGATAAACTGGCGTTTGTAACATTCCCTTCTTTACGCTGGAGATGGTCCACGGTCGATCGCAATCTTTCGGTACCTGCCAAATCAACAATGTTCAACCTTGACGTGGTGACCTGACCGTACGATATCTCGTGGACGTTGATATTGATGAAGATATGACTCCTCGAGGAGCTCTTATTCATTTCTGTACGACTGATATGTCTTTTTTTGATGGCCGAGTTTGCAATTTTTTGGGCTTCTGTGAGGTCTTCGACGTGCTTATACATTAGCCCCACTGGTCTGATCTTGCCATCCTTAGAGTCGATAAAGATGTCTCTTTTGGGGTGATTATCCCCAGTGGCTAGTAAGTCAATGATCGAATCTTTCCAAAGTTCAAAGATATTGAGGGTAACAAAGTACTTCTTCAGTAGTAATGATGATGATTTGGAAACATTTGCTTGACCATTGTAAACAAACGAGTCACCATAATATTCAGCCAAATGCTGTAAATAGCAACGTTTTACGGTACTTTCCATGGTCCCATTAAGCAGCCCCAACTTGTCAAAGATTTGTTTCAAAGAATATACCAACATTCCCGGGTGTGAGGTATTACCAATGGTCGAGAAACTTTTTCCTGATCCACTGGGACCTATTGTGAAGATTGAGGAGTCGTTTCCTTTCAAGACATTATTCACCAACAGTTCACCAATGCTCTTGAATAACTTAAACTGGGAGGTATCCAGATTAAATACCCTATTAAACCCGAAGGTTGGGATAGTTTTGGTGGGAGATCCATCACGGATTTCGATCAGATGGCCATCGATCACCTTGACGTTGGAATGGCTGTCTTTCCTCAGGGAGCCAACAAATGGTTTGAGTCTTAAATAAGTGGGAATGCCGTTGCTCATGGGGGTCAGGAGGTGAGTAATAACACAGAAATGCGCTTTCCTTTCTCTATGATGGTGTTGTTTGTTGTTGTTTGTTGTTGATGATTTATATGAAAGTTTTGTTTTTGTTTATTTTTTTTATTTGTTGTCTTTTGTACTGAGGTACAGCACCCCCAAAATAGTGTCACCCAAAACTTCCACCATTCATCGATTTTATCCTCCATTTTCGTCCATTTCATATTGGTTTAGATGGTATTATTTGTGTAAGGTATACAAAATGCCATCACATAATAAACGAATTCTTATTTCCAACCTATTCCGTATCTAATTACTCAAGCAATAAAAGCGCGTTCTGATGGTGGCGGGGGGTATAGACAGACACGAAGAATACACGAAAAAATGTCGCTGTACACTCTAATTTGCATTAATAGTCAATCGACAGACTATGATCATCACTGAAATATCAAGTCATTTCTACTAACTCTTTTCTATTCGAAGTGATTATTATCATGCCGTTTTCACTGAGTCATCAAAGGAAACACCATAATGACCAGTAGGTATTTATAACCGTATAACTGTCATCGATTTTTTCTTGCTAATGATTTTTTTTAAGTGAATTTACAGAATGTCTATGGAAAATCATTGAGTTTAGATAGTAGTTTTTCCATAAATCATATTCTGGATTATCTACAAGTATTTTTCCATAGTCAATATGGAAGAGATAATATAACAAGATGTCATCATGTAGGGCTGGAATACAAGACGTATATATAGGAACATTTCTAAATGAATAGAGTGCTTACAAATCAACAGAAATATTTCAAATGATATTTGCAATTCTAAAAATATTCTACATATCCACTATCTCATGAAGATGATAAATTATGCATAAATGGTCATACCTGTCAAGTGTCAAATGTTGAACGGCGATTAACATCGAAAAACGAAACTGAAGAAAAGAAAAAAAAGCGAGCATGGATTAGAAAAAAGTGGAGAATAGCATATCAAAAATAAACAAAAAGGATGAGAAATGGGATCGTAGAATACGAGAAACAAAACAATCTTCTGTTGTTTTATTTATTTTGATCCTCGAAGTATCCATGATTTACAAGGTGTCTTTTTTTTTAGCGAATAATTATTATCCCTGAAAACTCCACTGATTTCGATTTCAGGCCAATGAAAAGACCACATTTAACAAGAGAGTTACAAAAAAGGAAAGATAATGTTATTGTCAAACATCATGAATTAAGGTAAAGCAGAGAAGAAATCAAAAGAAAAGAGAGAGAGAGAAAAAAAAAAGGTTGAATAAACAACAATGCATTTTATGTATTGGAGATCTGGCCCACCCACCTGCAGCAGATGACGACGACGACGAAAACCCTCGGAAAATTGGAAGTTTCAACAAACCCCAAGACAAAAAATATACTGTAACTACTGTAAATCATCGATAGAATAAAAAAAATGACTATTCACTAATAAAATTTGCTGAAAAAACTTGGGTTTTTCTTTCTTTTTTTGGTGTGTGTGTGTATGCCCTCATTTCTTTTTCTTTCCCCTTTAGCTTTAAAGTTGCATGCGCGACGGTTGGCGGCATTTGGTGAGATGACAATTTTTCCGGCGTTTGCTTGTTTCTTTCTTTTATATTTAATCGGTGGTGGTGGTGACTATACTATTGGCAGGAAAGGTGATATTTATTTATTCTCACCAATACACACCTCATTCCAATCACTTTGACGAAATATCACAGACCAATTAAGGGAAATAAGAAATGCTTGGCTGTATGTATAAGGTCTAGACCCCCTTGTCGAAGAATTTATTCACGTGACACATCCATCGCACCATAACCAGTTGGTGTTTAAATAAGGTTCATGTACCATGCAAAACACTCACATAAAGACGCGTCAAGGCACCGCATGTTTCTTTTTTTGGGAGCACAAAAAAAAATCATAAAATTTTCCTTTTTTTCACGCCAATTTTGTTAGCGGTGGAAAAAGTCCCACACTAAGCCTCTCAGCCTACGCCCCTATTTCTGTCGTTGATATAAATACACTTACAAAACAGCTCCACTTTTTTCTAAACTCTTTTTTTTTTTTTTTTTTCTTCTGAAGCCACAAATCACTTCAAACACCGACTATCATTCATTCATTTTATTTCTGTTAGTTTGGGGAATCATATTATAAAATACTATATTTATCACTCCTTATTATCCATCCATAGTAACATTCCAAACAACAACAACAAAAACAACAACCCTTCAACATGAAATTCTCTGCTTCCTTCGTTGCAGCAGCCTCAGTGTTCCTCACCAGCACTGTTTCTGCTGGTAGTACCACTTTTGTCAAGTATTCTGGTCTCGGTTACAGTGGCCATTATAATGACATCACCGATATGGATGAGTCTAGTGGTACTTGTAGCTCCTCTTCCAAATCTTTCAGCGGGAACTTGTCTCCATTGGATGAAGAATTGTCTGTCCACATCAGAGGGCCAATCAACTTGAAGAAATTCGCCGTCTACACCGCCAGCTCTACCTCTTCTAAGAAGAAGAGATCCGAATGTGAAGAAAAGGTTAACTTGAAGAGACATCAACACAAGAGAGAAGCCAACACATACACCGTTGACGTTACCCAAACCGTTTATGTCACTGCCGGTCAAGATGAAACCACCACCATTGGTAGTAGTTCTGTTGCTGCTGTTGCCACCACTGCTTCTTCCTCTGATGCCACCTCAACCATCACCAGCTCCAAATCTTCTTCCTCTTCCTCTGCCTCTGGCTCTTCCTCTGCTTCTTCTTCAGCTTCCTCCACCTCTTCTTCTTCTTCTTCTAGTGCCTCTGGTGCTTGGTCTAGATCCTCTTACTATGACGCCTCTGCCAGCTCCGCTGACAACGTGGTGTTCATGAACCATTTGGGTGACACTTCTTACTCCGGTACCTGGTCTTCTACCTTTGGTAACTCCATTTCTTACTGTAATGCTGCCGGTACTGGTAAATCTGCCACTTCCGTCACCCTCAGTGACACCACTTTGGCCTCCAACAAAGAAGTTGTGATGTTCTCCGGTAGCGAATGTGACAGCGACTGTGGGTACTACAGAGAAGGTATTCCAGCTTACAAAGGTTGGGATGGCTCAGCCAAGATCTTTGCTTTCAACTTCAAGATGCCAACTGACTCTTCTGGCGATTCTAGTGTCGATAACTACGATATGCCAGCCGTGTGGTTGTTGAACGCCAAAATTCCAAGAACTTTGCAATACGGTGATGCCTCTTGTTCATGTTGGTCCACTGGTTGTGGGGAATTGGATTTGTGGGAAGTCGTCACTAGCGGTTCTTCTCAATTGACCAACCATTTGCACGATGGTCAAGGTAAGGATGGTACCAGATACGGTGGTGGTGGTTCTTCCGACTACTTTACCAGACCAACCAGCGATTACGTCACCCTCGTGGCCGTGTTTGACGGTAGTGACGTTTACTTGACGCAAGTTGATGATTTTGACTTTGACAGTTCTCTTGATTCTTCTACTGTTTCTGGCTGGTTGACCGGCACTGCTTCTGATGCCATTTTGGTTTAAGCATGAAGTGGGAAATGCCAAAGGATACTGTTAAAATGAAGAGTGTTCAAGAGATACTATCAAGTGAACAGCATTAAAAATATTCTTCATTTTTTTTTATATATTGTTTTACAACAATGTTTACAGTGTCCTTTTTTTTTTTTTTTTTTATTCTTAGTTTACTCGTATTTTTCTCCCATTCTTCTGAAGTGATTGGTTTGTTCCTCTATGTTTTACTTCAAATTATCTTAGTGTGTCTAGGGTATATTTACTTCTACAATGTTATAATTTTTAGAAATTTCAGAGATCTAATATGTGTATATATATTTTCTCTTTTTCTTATATATTTTTGTTTGATTTACAATATTTTTTATTTGATTCACAATATTTTTTTGTTTTTTGTTTCTTCTATAATGATACATTGTTGTTATTGTTATTATTGTTCTCTTTTTGTTATATACGTTGTATGTATGTGTTTGGTTATTCAATTTTATCGAAACTGTATTAATGGTGGTTTAAAGAGAAACTGCCCTCTCAAATATTAGTTACCATAAAAAAGTTGCCTACTAAAACCTTATTATAGCACTTATAATTTTTACATCTCGGTTAATAGTGATCACAAATTCTTTCTAAAACATTATTACAAAACTAAAACAAGTCAAATTGTACAAATAAAACACACACACGCACACAAAATGGAGCCACCACAAGTGCTAGCAAAAGATATAAATCCAAATAATAATAAGAACGGGGTAAATGAATAATGAATAGAAAAAAAAAACAATAATAACAATAATAATAATCCAGAATTTCAAATAATCTAAACACAATTAAGTCAAATAAAGAATAAATTCACGCAACCATCTCGCACAATAATCAATCACCAATCAGAATTAAAAGCAATAGAGTATACCGAATATCTTCAACACAAAACAACAACAAAAACAAACTAAAATTACTAACACACATCATCGTATCAACATTAAAAAAACAGATCAACGCAATAAATAAATTAAAACATAAGCGGTTAGGAAAGAAACCATCATAACAACGTCTACCTTCCTTTTTCTTTTCACTTCAACCACTATTCTCATCAGTGATAATAATCAACTTCAATTTAGGATCTTTCAACATCAACTTAGTCAAGAACTCGTCATTGTCAATTTCTTTACTGGCATCATCACCTTCACCATCCTTATCATTGAAATCAGCGACATTCTTGCTCTTGACAAATAATTTGATCTTTTCCAATTTATAATTAATTCGACTAGCAATCTTGGTCTTCAAATCTAACAATGTAGTACTGGCAGGCACGGAAATCGCAAAAATATCGTCCTCATAATAGAATTTGACCTTAACGTTCTTCATGTTTGTAGACAATGATATCGAACTGCCTGCCGTAAGCAACGCAGCATTTGGGGTAGCAGATGCACCAGCACTAAGAAGCGTCACATTATTTGGGTTTGGCGACGATGGGGTAGAAGTGGATATTTTCAATGCCGGTCTTTCATTCGTGAGTTCTGGACCTTCAACTATATCATCTTTCAGTTCGGTCATCGCTGCTTCTGAGTTGCCGGTGGAGATTGAATCAGTCTTCAAATCCAATTGTCCCATTTGATAGCTCAACAGCGATTCCTTGGTAACGGCACTAGATCTTGCACTACTAGAATTCAAAGATGGCGGAGGTTGGGTATTATTGACCATTTCTTTAGATTGGGCTTCCAACCTCAACCGTTCTTGTCCATCCTCATTATGCCCCACCACACTTGGCAATTCAATAGATTCGTCATCTTCATTGAATTCTTTATCCACACCATCTCTCAAGTTGAAAAACATCAATACTGGCTTAGATTTGGAAATATCCTCAGGAGTATGGACGATTGCCGACAAATATTCACTCAATTGCTGGAATCTATCAACGGCTATTTGGGCATCGACAGCACGATAATGAGGTGGGAAAGCTGGAATAATCGATGGATCACTCGTCTCGCTAGCAAAGTTTTTCTTTATTTGGGCTTGGAACTCGTAGAAATCATCATAATATCTTGCCAAAGATCTGATTTTATGGTTAGATAGCTTAGCCACCACATGGTACCAATATCTTCCGTGTTTGTCATCAAATTTGCTGTAATAGAAATTATCGATTTTAATATCGGTAACAAACACTCCTTTATCGTTCAAAGAGCTGGTTTCTAAATCATAAGGTGAGCTAGTGAAAATCGAATAAGAGTTCTGGGATGAATTATGTTGATTCTGTTGACTGGCATTACTGCTATTATTGATACTAGAATTGGTGGTTACTTGATCATCATACTCGTATAAGGTCTTTTGTTGTTGAACAAATTGATTTGATCCACCATTATTCATGTAGTGCGATTCTTCTTCCGTTAAATTTATCAGAGTGGCCTTATATTTGGCGGTTTTATTTTTCCATTCTGAAACTGTTGGTAGTCCCGATTCCTTGATTTCTTCAACAATATCACCACTGCTCATTTTTTTGGTCGCCAAGTTTAAAGTCTTGATATAGGCAACCGGGACCAACCCTGGACCCCCCAATCTGTTGATTGGTTTGGCAATAAACCATTCGAAATCATGATGGGCGCATAAAATTAAATATTCACCTTTGGTCACGTCTAGTTCATCAGAATCGGCTCTGGCCTCAAAATCGTACATTGCCACCCCATAGAGAATGCCATTTTGTCCTGGAGTTCCAATGTTGTTTCCAAGTCCAAGATTACTGGTTTGGCTGTTGGCGTTGGTGAATGAAGGTCTTCTAGAGCTAGAATTGCTGAATCTTTCGGTGGAGATGGAGCTCGGCGAGTTGGATAAGTGTAAATTACTGATGATGAAACTGTTATTCTTGGTGTTATGAGAGTCTGGTCTTTTTCTTTGATTCATCACTTCAAAATGGGAAACCGGTACCAACCCCTTAATGTTGGTTAACGGGTTACAAACTTCGTAGAATTCTTGGTCGTTTTCTCTGGCCACCACCCAAAAGAAATCACCACTTTGGAACGATATTTCTCCTTGGGCCTGGGCTTTGTATTCACTGGTGGCTTTGATGATTTTCTTTGGGGTTTCTTTGCTGGCGGCTTGGGCAGACATGGAAGTGCTAGACGATGCCACAAGCGACGCAGTAAAACTAGAAGACGAAGATCCATTAAAAGACGACATTCTCGAATGACTACCCCCGCCACTAGCACTTGATGCTCTTCTTTCTGTTTTCTCTCCCTTGAGAGACTTTCTAATACCCTATTAAGTTTGGTGTTAGTAAGTGTAATCCACGGCGCTGCTGCCACTCCTCGAGTAAGTTCCAATTTTTGAAAAGCATCATTTATCCAAGGATCACAAGGATCAGTAGGAATAAAAATACTTTGTCATAAAGTTAGAGAAGAGTGGGAGAGAAAAGAAAATAAATTAGAAGAAGAGGCTATTCATGATAATGAAATGTATGAGATATACGTACTCTTATCATCTTGACAAGTAGCGGTTAATTAAAAAAAAAAGAACTCAGATAGGTCGCTTTTTTTAGTTTTTTTTTTGAGTATTTGATTCCAAGAGAATGTGTATTTGAGCTAGCAACGACCCAGAGATGCGATAATAGCTAGATAAACGATAGCGCTGTGTTCAAACAAAAAAGGACAACGAACGATGGCTTTTTGGCGATGAGATCCTTCTGGTTGTTCTTTCCCAGGGCGTTTGAAGAAGAAAAAAAAAAAAAGAAAAGGGAAGAAAAACTCTGGGCCCACCGAGAGAACCGGGAGTATGCACGTGATAAAATTCCCAGTAACCACTGAAATTACGAGGGCGACCGCCGACCCCTGGCAGGTGATCTGCGTTACACGTGACAATGGCGATGGTGGTAGTGTGCCCTGGCATACCCTTAGAGATCCTCTCGTCTATAGACTAAATCATATTATATCATACTATATTCTATGGTCGTTCACACGTCATCGTTATCTAAGCTGGTATTCAAGTACTCAACAAATAGCGGGGCAATCCTGTTGGTATCCACGGCGCGTACCCTGTTCAAACTGATGTAAGTTCTTCTGATCCGTTGCAATTGCGCCGTCGACACCGTCTTCAACGGCAATTCAACGGTAATATCGCTGATCCCTTGATCTACATCGCCCTTCTGGATTACCACTGAACCCCCAGCAGTGCCTAGCCCCCCTTGCTGATACTCCACCACCCGATTGACAACTTCTTGGGTAGCTCTGTCCAACTCTTGTAAGAAATTCCCGGTATTTGCCTGCTTGGAAATCGTGGCGTTATTCGGCTTCAACTTTTTGGCAGGATACACCAACGCTTTCCAGATGTCGTCAATATGAAGCTCGTCCTCGTTGTAGATGATTCCGATCAACGGCGAGTCCCATCGGTTTCTACTATCTGGTTCTTCATACCGCATTTCCAATTGTTTGATTAATTCAGGATCCCACTGAAGTCCGTCATCACGACTGGCGTTTCTTTCGAGACAAACTTCAAGGGGAGCCATCATCTGGATCGTACAGTTGGTGGTGGACAAACTTTTGGCCTCACAAAATAATTGGTACCGGAACCCTTTAATGTAGCATAAACTGTCCAATATCACAATATTGTTCCTGGAAAGATCTCTTTTCACTGCGGTCATCTGGTTACCTCTTGACGATTTCTCGGTCCTTGACTCCCGGTAATCATCATGCTGGATCCCCAATGACTCGTCTGCATGTAAAATAATCTTTAAATTTCCTCCTGGCTTCTTATTGGCTTGTGCTTCAGATATTTTCTGTTCGAGGGAAGTGATAATTTTTTTGATTGCCGTGGTCTTCCCAGAAGAAGGGAGACCTGTTACTATCACCAAAGGCATTATATTTGATTATATTTTTTAGAGGTATTGCTGGGGGTCTATAAAATATGGTCCATTACACCAAAATATTTCACTGATAATTAATTAATTAAAGAAAAAAAAATTGTTCCCAACAGGGGTACGAAACCGTATACACGTGATTATTTTGACGTGGAGTAGCCCATATATATGAACATACTTGATATCTTCTAATTAGAAGAGGATGGAAGCCTGATGAGAATTTATGTTACCAGATGGATCTTACGAATTCGCTGGAAATGTCTCTGACAATTCTAGGGTCGTTCATACAGGCCAACCAAAGATGAAGATAGGATATTCCAAGTACAGAAGACCAGAAACTAAAATTTTCACACCTTAACGGAATTACACAAAATCCTTTGAGGATGATGCCAGACAATACGCCTCTTCATATACTTATAACCGACAAACCAAGAGAGCTGAAGGGATTTCTGGATATAATAAAATGGTCGACTAGGGAATTCCTAGAAAGTTCATCTGAATTGGAACATAAATGGGATGAATATACAGAATATTATCTCAGTAAATTAGCAGAAGATGATAATGTGAAATTCTCCCAATCACTTCTTACCTTTTCCTCAAGAATGCAGTTTTCTTTATTTGAAAATTTACTTAAACAAAGTTACCCTGCTAATGGTCACCACAAATGGGAAAGTGGATGGGCTAGAAAAGAAAGAGAAGGCATGAAGCAAATTTTTGAAGAGATGTTGAGCACCGAAAGTGATAGGATTCTTGGAAAAATGGAGGGATTAGTAAAGACTAGGCTCGAGGATCAAGAGATGAAAACAAATATTAAAGTTTAAGCAGATGGTGGAATAATTTAATGCTAAATTGAAGCAACAAGCTGAAGACTTCAATTGCGCTTTGGAGGAACAGGAGAAGAGATTTAATGAAAGGTTTTGCAGATATTGGAATACTAAAAGTATTGAACATACAAAAACAAGTAATTTACTATACTGACACTAGTGCTATAGATATGGTTGGTATCTTGGGTCAATTTGATGATTAATACCAAGCATTACGTCCCGTCGGTTACCATTCTAAACGATTTACTACCGCCAATATGGCTTACGGTATTACCTACCTTCGTGAGTTTTGTTTCCGCTTACTTTCTTGTCAGTCCCCACAGCCTTCCTTCTTTTCAGAGCTGATCCTTCATCTTTGTAAGCCATCTCGGAAGGGACAGCATATGCAGCAGTAGGAGCATAGTGATCCTTTTTCGCTCCTAGGAGGCTTGTACGAAGTTTGTCTCTCAGCTTTCAATTCTATGATATTTTCTAGGGCATTCTCTTCCATGGCTTTAATATAACTATAATAATCCAACAATTCTGGTGTCAATAAAGAATTGTCTTCGGCTCCATCCTAGTTCTCATAAAACCAAAATCCTGAAAGTGTCTTTTAGTATAATCATTATCCACAACCAGTCTCTTTGTGGTCTGAAATAGATGATTTAATGTCTGATCCTAATGTGCAGGAGGTACAATTAGTAGCAGATGATGATCGTGATGATTGGAAAATCGCTGCGCTCTCGGGGATATTTTACCGAATTGTCCTTCTTCATACTCACCTTCTGTATTAAAAGATACGGAGTTTCCACCCAGATAACTCTCATCCTCGATCTCGTCAAGCAGTAGCATCATATTTAATCTCTTTTTTGTTAATCAACAATATTTGGCTTTGATTTATGATACACACAAATATATTTGTTTATGTCATTTCATTTTATTTTTCTTCCTATGATTTTTTGTATGAGATGTTTTCTTTTTCTTATTCTTCTTTAGAATTGTCTAACATATCATGAGAAATGTAGTTCTTTTGTATAATCACCATATTATACCATTATCACCGGTGGCAGAGGATAGCATACCCATGCATTCTGGTTGACGCTCCGGGTAACACATGTTATATATTTTTTTGCATAAAGAAAGTTTCTGAGATGAGATGATGGCGATGGTGATATAATTAAAAAGGAATAAATATCCCGTCCAAAGATCAAATCATGTCCAGATTTATTCCCCGGCTCAAGTTTCCTGACTACAGGATTCCCATGGCCGATTTCAAAGGTCACCATGTCAAGGCGCTCAAACGGATCGGGGGGCTCGCACCACAAATCGATTTGGTACTAGAGATCAGAGACTCTAGAGCCCCCATCAGCACCAGAAACGTCTTGTTTGACCGGGCCCTCAAGGGGATCGACAGAGTGATCTTATACTCGAAGAAAGATTCCACTGGGGTAAATAAGTCGCTTCTTGATCAATGGCATACCAACGAAAGTTACATGTTCATTGATTGCCGCAAGAAATCTGATGCCCGATACTTGATCGAGATTGCCAAACAGAAATTCCAACTAATGACCCCTCCTCCACCCCTTGGGCTCAGGATGTTGATCATCGGTATGCCCAATGTTGGGAAAAGTACTCTAGTGAATAATTTACGTGACGTGGGGCTTCAAAATGACGATAAGGCGAATAATACCATTAGTGGACCATCGAAGAAATTGAAAAAAGTTGCCAAAACTGGAGGCATGCCAGGGGTCACCAGGTCGACCAGTGAGATCATTCGAGTCTCTAGAAATCCTAGCATTTTGCTTTATGACACCCCAGGGATCTCGTTACCTAAGGTGAATAATTCAGAGACCATGATTGTTCTATCATTAGTTGGTAGTATCAACCCCACGTTCATCGACCCGGTGATCCAGGCAGACTACTTGTTGTTTTTAATGAACTTACAAGACCCTTCAGGGAAATTATACTCGAAGTACCTCAAGGAACCTACGAACGATATCATGTTATTGCTAAAGGCCATTGCCAAGACCATTGGGAAAGATAATATCAGAAACAAGTACACGAACGAGAAAACCTTCGATGAAACCGGGACGGCGATTTATTGGGTCGACCGGTGGAGGCAAGGTAAAGAAGAGAAGATCATTTTCGATACCCATGCTATTGAAAGATATACCAAATTCATGGAAAAAGTTGTGGATTACAAGCAATTAGAATCGGATGAGCGAGACAGAATCGATCAAATGGACGTGGTCCTCAACAAAAATCCAAGATTGGATAGCAAAGGTAATTATAAACCAAAGAGTTATATGGAAAAGCAAATGGATAAACAAAATGTATTGTTCAAATTTAATAGGGGATGAAACAGGCTTTCTTGTATTATAGATGTGTATTTGTAAATAAATGGTATCAAAAACGTATTTTTATGCATTAAGTTGGATACTTTTCGTAGAGAGTCAGTAGTGATTTATTATATATTTGGATATTCTGGGTGAAAGCAATGAATGAGCACCACTATTATTTATTATTAATCAGCATCAATTCATCTTTCTTCTTTTTTTCGATTATTCTCCATGATGTAGGTAGTAATTGAGGACCACTTTCTTAACTGACAAGTTTAAACTAAGCACTACTGTTTTCAAAATTATCCAACATCAAAGAAAGTCATCAATTATTATTATTTTTATTCTGCTCATAAGAAATATCAGCCATTTGGGCCTACATGATGAAAGATCATAAAAAAAAATGGGGTATGAAAACCCCTTCAAAAAAAAAAAAAAAAAAAAGCTTAAAAAGCTTAAGCTATCAAAAAAAAAAAAAAAAAATAGCTCAATAATCACAATAATAGCAAAATTATTTATTATTGAAACTTTTTATGATACCTTGATGCAATAATGTAATAGTATCGCCCAATAATTCCACATCGCAAATCACCCAATCTGCAAGGAAATGAATCCGGCCATTAGTTGCAGTCTCCGAATTGCTACCATTGCCAGTACCAGCTAACCTCGAGGCGACATCCCCCAGCATTCTTCTTAATCCAATACTCAAACTTCTCTTTTGACGGATCAGCGGGCTTTTCACTTCGTTGTTCAACTGGTTTTCAATACAAATTGGCACCAACCGTATCTTGACCCATTTTCTGCCTCGCACTTCAGTGAACCCGATTCTAATCTCGATCAAACTTCTACTAATCACATTAGAGAAATTCGTTGATTTCTGTTCTTGGCGACGAATGACGTGTTTCTTGACATCGTAAATCAACGCATAATCCACCAAAGTATAGCAAATTGTATGATACTTAATATCAAGCGATACCGTTTCAAGAGCACTGGTCTTGGAGATTTCTTTGAAATGTCTCTTAGTAGAAGCCTCGAAGTTTGTAATTGCGGTGACTATCGGCTGGCTAAGTTTGATGAATTTAATCACCCTACTAACCGCATTACCGGCAGAATAATACGATTGAGATGATGGTGATGATGATGACGATGATTTCTTGTAAATACTGGAAATTTCAATCACCCCACACTTGTCATCTAACAAATTTTGTAGCTGAACATTAATAAATTCATGCGGTTGTCCCTTTTCTACTTCCAATCTCAATGGTTGCTTGTCATTCTCGACATCAATGTGAAAAATATATCTTCCTCCATTATATTTCAAAACTACTTTGTCCAAATAAATCTCCAATAAGTCCAAATAATTCTGTGATTCTTTTTTCAAAGATCTTGATAAAAAGTTCACCAATTCAATCAACTTGCCAAACCGCTTTAAAAGCATATGTACACGATGGAAATAAACGAGCTTCTTTTGTTTAAATGTCGGCAGATTCAAGCTGACATTTGATGCAATATGGAAATACCAACCAGTAGTATCAACCTCAATAAATGCGTTATCATTCTCATCCATTTGACTAGGGTCTTGTAATAATGGCAATTTAAACTTCATTTGGCCGTATAAATCAACCCCCATCTTGGAATTAAATAACTCAACCGTGAGAATCAAATTATTTTTCAAGTTCGGCACCGAGATCAAACCACTGTTAGCAAGGACAATAAGCAGTGACAGATCTTCGGAAGAAGTTTTCCCACAAGTGGCCATATTTTTCTTCTTTTGGAAATCAAGCCCATGAAGCATCGATTCAAGACGAGCCTTCTGAGAGTTCCCAGGAACATTGGTTTTGGCATTGTTACTGATGAGTTCTTCCATGACAATATGGATGGAAATCTTATTGGTGGCACTTTTACCAATCATCATGCTGGCATCATAATCCAAAGAATTTGCTACTTCTCTTGGACCCCTGGAACTTGTAGGCATCACAGATTTCATACGCAACGGACTATGCAAAGTGATGGTCCATTTACCATTGATGGATTTGATCTGCGCTAACCAAAAAAGTTTACTGTCACGTTTGTTGGAGTAGGTATTTGCAATAAACACAATCAAAAACCAATTTCTTGGCCAATTCTTCAATTGGTAATATTGTAAAGACCAGAAATTCCTGTAGCTTCTCAACACTACCGCAAATGATTCTGGCACTTTATTGAATTTCTTGGTAGTGGTGGTGGTGGTAGTAGCAGTAGTAGTGGTAGTGGTAGTAGTAGTAGTAGTAGATTGCGGTTGTTTGTTTTGAAGCTTGGAGATTTCCCCGAGCTCAAGGCTGATAATAGGGCAATTAATCCAATCAGTAACCGACAAAACTTTGAGAGTTTCGTGTCTAAGAAGTTCCATGCGGAAAATAAGAAGTTGGTGAGCAATAACAATAGTCTCTTCCAAATCAATAAAATTGCTTGGCATGAGGAATATAGGTCCAGTTCTAATTTCACGTTCGGTCGATGAGCCAGTATTGTTATTAGCGACATTAGCAGCCATCACGAAATTATGGAACTGATACTTGGAACAAATCGCGTTGACAGATGGTGATGGATTGATAAAGAACAAATGGCCAGTGAGATAATCAATTGAAAAGTATATTGACTTGTTATGGTTCAATCTGATCAAAAGATAGTACTTGTCAATAAGTTCGATGAATTTTTTCGTTACTGTTCCTGAACCAGAATAGTTATTAAAGCCAGAAGGTTTGTATGACTCAGTACCATTAGCTCCGCCATCCTTCCTAGCATTTTCTTCCATTTCTTCTTCTTCTTTTTCTTCTTCTTCTTTTTCTTCTTCTTCTTCTTCTTCAGCCTCCTCCATTATTACATTTTCACTATTTTCTTTACCAGCCAGAGTACCCACTTCTTCAGTTTCCTCGGTTTGAAAGATCGATGCCTCAAAAGAATCCTGAGCCTTTTGGGCAATGCCATCTAATTTACTGTGAATATTTTTAATCATGATCTCAATATGCTTACTCAATACTAAGCTTAATAACGTTTGGATCGAAAACTTCTGATACTTATCATTATCAAAGCTTCCCTTAAGGGACTCGTTGCTGGTGGCAGGGATTGTCGCAATTCCTCCCCCAGTTTCGGCAGCCCAATTGGTATTGACTTTTGACCCATTTCCTAGTTGCTCAAACAATTCATCAAACCCGTGTCCTTCGAATATCTTACCATCCTTGAACCATTTGAATAATAATTTTCGGTGGCTTGTTTCATCATCCACCACACAAATCTGAATATACGACTTGTGCTTAATGAACTTCTTTTGGGTCCAGTAGAACACTGTAATGATACTCTTCTCAGGGTTATGTGAATACTTCAAGTTGGAACCCCAGGTTAGTTTGTTTGTGCCATTTAAGGCATTAGCAGAAGCATTCGGGGCTTTGCCATCAGCAACGGTTAAAGAAGGGGAAATCCCATTAACAAGCATGTTGAGTTGACTGTTTATCAAATATAATTTATAGTTAAGAGAGTATGAATGCAAGTATTTATAGAGATCGACTAGCGGGTTTTTGGTATATTCCAGGGCAGCTTCTTGGGTTTGGTAGAGAATGTTGCCATTCAAAAATGTGATTAAATTCTTGAGGTTTAATAGTGGTAGCTGGTTATCAATGTTAAAAATGATATTTCCAAAATCGTCCAACCCAAATTTGAATTTAAAATCTAACACCACAAACGCATAATTTTCCAAAACTTTATTGGCAAAAATTCCTTTACTATCGGTGTCAATATTTACCAAACTTAATATTACTTCAAACTCGTTATTGATACTTATGGTAAGCTTACCATCTTTGATCACACAATTTTGAAAAACAATCGAGTTCATTGGGTTTGTTGGACATTTCAAGAATAATTTGGATAATTTCAAATGAAGAAATGAGTTCAAGTTTTTCAAAAGTTTGAGAAGAAATTTGGAATTGAGTTTGGTTGGCTGAAGTAAGTTATAACTTGGTAATAAGCTCAAATTTCTTTCGGTTTGAACCGTATGGCTTTGGTTATTGTGATAATGTGCGTCATTCAACACGATGAAACTGGTGATCAAGTCATGGTTTGGGAGTTTGGCAAAATTCAAATCTATCTTAATTCTCTTGATGTTATCGACCAAAGAGTCATAGAATATTTGCTGGCCTCTGAGCCAATTCAATAAATCGATCAATTTGCTGAAATAGGTGGAATTCGCGCTCCATTTATTCAAAACGTACAACTTGACAAAATAGTTTCGTATCTTGACAATCAACTCTAACAATGTTTTCTTTCTTTGGAGATCTTCTTCAAAAGAATTACCATAAAATCTTGCGGGATCATTTGCCGATGGTAATGTCTTGATCAACGTTACAAGTTCATGGTAGGCGTGTTTTGATATTTTATCAATGACTTCGGAATACGGCTGGATATTCACGGTGATATGGGGGATCTCAGGAACCGTTGACCCATCAATATTATCATTTCGCTGAATCACTGTGTTATCTTTGATATGTTGTTGGGGAGGTTCCTGAAGATTCTGGAATCCAGTATTATTCTCTGACGACAACTTCTCTTCTTTCTCTGGGGCGGCGGCGGCTGGTACCGTTATTGTATGTGGCGGCGGTTGGTCTATTGACACACCATTCATTGGTGGCAATTATTTTGGTTGATAATACTTGAATAAAGTGATAATCACAATAATGTTATATTCCTTGGATGATGAATGTTTTTCATCTATTAATTTCAAATCACTCGAAAAATAAGAATTTCAAACTGGGCTATTGTTCTATTATTAAAGAGGATTACCTGGGCCAATCGAATGAGATAGTATACTAGGTATAAAACAAGTGCAATTTTTACTGAGATTGTTGCTGTATTATATTTTAAAACCAGTTATGCCCTGATATTTGTGATCACTTTCTTTCTCCTTTGCTGGGAATTTTAAATTTATCATCAACTGACCGGCTTTTTTTATTTTTTGTGTGTTTTTTTTTTTCATCTACGCCGGCACACCCGCACATCTCCTGGTGAAACACCCGACCACCAACTGTATAGATTATGCCTGTGTTGTTATTTCTCATTTATTGGAGGTCTCTTGGGAAATGGGGAGGGGGGCAGTCTTTGAGGTTTGAGATGTACTAAAGATGTTAGAAATACCATGTTTATTTGTTTATTATTATTGCAATATCTGTAGATACCAAGAAAACCATCAATAATTAATCCTCAACCAATCAATAAGACATCTTCTTCTCTACACATTTCTCCAAATTGAAATTATAATTCATGCAATATTAAGATCAGGGAATAGAAAAAACAATACTAGTTGTAAAAAAAAAAAAAAAATAATGTTTCAAAAATAATGGTTAACAGAACTAAAAGCCTTAAAAAACGGGGAAAGATGACAATCAAAACTAAAAAAAATAATGTAACAATAATGGCAAGCTCTAATTCATATAAAAGATTGTCTAATATACAATATTGTCAATTGGTTTTCAATCTTATTTTACTGAACTTTCTACTCAAAACCCTTGTAAATCCACTCTTTTTTTCATTTTCAGAATGGTGATTCGTAAACAATTTATGGTGTCCACTGATACTTCTCATGGTTAAAGATTTTGGGAGTCTTGAAGTTATCAAAGACCCGGCTGTACTAACTTCATTGGGTGTTGATGTGACCGGAGTAGATGTAACAGGAGTAATCGCAGAAGCTTTGGAAAAACTATGGTTATCTTCGTACTCAATGTCCAGAATATACATGGATGACGCTTCCTGCACATGCTCTTCTTTTTTCATTACTATTTCCTCTTCCTTCTCATCTTGTTTCATCAGTATGTCGCCATCACCATTTGACGACTTAAATCTTTTTTCAAAATCTTGGAATTCATCATCGACCCAAAAATCTTCGTCAGTGTTGTTCCCACTGGTGGTGGCACTTCGATCACGACTGAGCTTTTGGTTCATGAAAACGCTTGTATTATTCAAACCACCATTCATGAAGTAATTATCTTTAGACAATAAATTGGGGGGTTTAAATCGTAAGTCAAATTCATCCCCCATCCCCACAAATCCTTTGTTCAACGATGTGGATCTTGGTATAGACATCATCGACGAAACATTGGTCATCTTGAGATTAATGGAGTTGGTAGATTTACTTTGGATTAACCCACCGCCAAACAACAAACTATTACTCCGTTTGCCATTCATAGTATGATGGCTAGTCCCCGTCAATATCGCAGTTTTCGGTGAGCCATTGAAAGTCACACTAAGATTCAAATTCGAATTAAATGATGACGATCCGTGGATCCCAGACTTGCCATTGATCATACTATTTGAACCACTAGAATATCCAGTAGAGTTTCGAAGGTTCCCAAGGTTGCTATTAATATTATTGGAAAAGCTTCTTTTGTGAACAAATCTGGGATAACTGACAGAATTGGAAAGTGATAAGGGAGAATCGGCATTATTGCTTAAAGAGTTCGAATTCTGTGAGTTGACCCTGAAAATCTCTGGTAAAAAAGGTTTCAATTCTGCATTATCGATTTGAAGATCGGAAGTTTCTGATTCGAGTTCATTGGAAAACTTGTCACTACTACTTGAGTCACCGGTTTTATCCATTGGGTTAGGGGTAGTAGAACTGTTCTCTAGAAATTTATAATAACTTCGCGATCCACCAATACGATCATTGCTCTCGCTATGGTCAAATTTTTGATTTCCATTATGTTTATTTCCAGAATTCGGTTTGGCTTGATTATCTCCTTTATTCATTTCTCCTTGGTTTTCTAGGCCATTAATTTCTTCTTTGTCCTCATCATCTCCTCCTTTTCCTTCTTGTGGTTGGTTCCCATCTTTTTCGTCGTTGTCTTTATCCTTCTTTTCATTATTGTCATCGTTTTTTTCTTGCTCCTTTTCATTATTATTTTCCTCTTCTTCTTCTTCTTCTTCTTCTTCTTCTTCTTTTTCTTCTTCTTTTTCTTCTTTTTCTTCTTTTTCTTCTTCTTCTTCTTCTTCTTCTTCTTCTTGTTCTTGTTCTTCTTCTTTTTCTTTTTTTGCTTCCTTTTCTTTTTTTTCTTCTTCTTCTTCTTCTTTATGGAGTTCGTGCTCACTAACATGATCAAACTCAAAAATACTTGGGTTTCTCTGATTTAGTGTGTAATTTGATTCATTGCCACTTAATGATTCGTTGTAATTAATATTACTTAAAGGGGATCGAGAGATTTGCGTAGTCCTCGGGTTTAATGGGTCATTATCTTCACTGTCACTGATCAGTGTCCCTTCTTTTGTGTAACTCACTTCTTCAATTGAGCGATTGGGATATGTAGATTCCACTGGTGAAGCTAGCCGGGAATGGGCATTATAAAAAACTTCTTCATCAATATCGTCATCAATTTTCATAGTGGGACTTACATCTTTCTCATCATTTATCTGATCATCTTCACGATATTCCTGGTCCTCGACTTGTCTTTTCGCTTCCTCTTCCTCTTCCTTTTCCTCTTCTTCTTCTTCCTCTTCTTCTTCTTCTTCTTCTTCTTCTTCTTCTTCTTCTTCTTCTTCTGCCTGTATTAGCTGACTAGCTGTGAATAACTGCCCATTTTCTTCAAATATTAGCTCGACATATTCTTCAGGAATCAACCCAGTATTGTTTGTCTCTGGATCTTCACCAACTAGCCACCCTTGTCCGTGTCTATACAAAATGTTAATGATCTGACTTTCCCTAAGTTCGAGTTCATTATCGTTCTCTGCTTGAAAGTCAAATAATGCAATGGCTCTTTGTACCGAAGACTCTTCTGGGGCGGTCGTGGCGGCGGACGCGTCATTATCAACAACGATATCTTGGCCACCACCACCACCAAAGTAGTTGAAACTTTGATTGTTGTAGTTATTATAATAATTGTCCAACTGTGAAGACGATTGGTTATTAAGGTATAATTCGTAATTGGATAATCCATAGTGTAACGGATTGGATGGAGGGTACCCAAAATCTCTGACGGAAATCAAGTCATAAATCTCCATGATCGAGTTGATATCTTTGGACATTGAGTTCTTCTTTGATTTGAAATTCGAGTGAATAGAGCTTCTCAAGGAGTTTCTCAAAGAAGGGATCATTGGGAACGATGATCTTTCTGAAGTTCTTCTAGAGAGTTCTTTCAAGGTTTCATCATCGTTCAACTGTTGGGAGATTCTGAGATTTGTCAAACTGGCGTTGATATTGCTGGACTGCGACACTCTTCTAGACGACGGCCGTTGCTGTAATGACGATAAAAGTGAGTCTCTGAGCCCACTAGACTTTCGGGAACTTAGTGATATTCTTTGAGGCGAAGGGGTCTCCGAAGGAACCTTGGCGGCTGATGAGGATGAGGATGAGGATGCTGTTGATATCGAATTATTATTCACGGGGGTACTGGCAGATCCCAGAGTCTCGGATGCTAGAGGCTCCTGCACTAAGGACGAAGACATTTGGGTAGGAATGTATCTGTTGTGAGGAATAGACGATGTATCTGTTGTTGTTGTTGTTGTTGCTGTTGTTGTTGTCACTGTTACCGATCTATCAATAGTTGTCTACAAAATTATCGGGGTTTCATCTTTTGGTGGGCTGTCGGCACGTCACGGGGTCGGTGGTCGGTTGTCTTTCTCCTGGTGTGTGGGTGTCATGCTTTTTTTCTTTCTCTCTCTCTCTCTCTCTCTATCTCTCTGGGTTATTATGCTTGTGTTGCACGTCTGTCTATAATGTTTATCATAATAATGTCTCTGGTTATTTTTTTATTTTCATTTTCATTTGCATTTGCTTTTTTGTTTTGTTTTGTTTTGTTTTTTTCACTTTTCCCCTTCCTTGCCATCAATCTTCCAATTCTTTGGTAAGGGATACTCTCGCCTGCAAGTCGACAATAATTGTTTCATGTCTACCATCGTATTGTGATACAGTGTTTTCATTTTTTATTCGTACCAACCACCGGAAATGTTCATACCAGTGGCAAAAAATAATTCATACCGACCCCCGGTATTTTTCGTACCACCACAGTGGGATTTATTCAGACCATCTAAGAAAAATAGTTCATACTATTGCACTTCAATTATTCATACCAACAGAATATAAAATTCATACTAAATGCATAAAATTCTTATGCTTTCATTAATATTTTATCTTTGATATTATTAAACATGTTATAGGGGACCCGCACACCCAATAAAGCCCCTTTGCAATACTCATTTACCATTTCAAAGGCTCATAACCAAATTTTGGAGTGGTTTCGTCCTTCCTTAAAATTTTAAATTTTCATCAATTTGTTTTTGAGCCTTTTTGTGTCTTTATGTAATTTTTTTTATAGTTTTTACTTTTTTTTTTTTGGTTTGTTTTCTAATTTTTTTTCTTCATCTTTGGTATTTGTTTTCAAAAGAGCTGCTGTTGTAAACAGAGATCAATATGTCTAGAAGCATGTCTGCAGAATCCCTTGTAACTATCAAGGGAAATATTTTCTGTGGCTTCTTTCACCCTTGGAGTTAATTGCTCCTTCTTGCTCAAGTTTGATCTTTTGACTTTACTCTTACATACTGACCAGAATTCTTCTATAGCATTCAACCCTGGAGAATAAGGAGGTAAAAACACAAGTTCCAAGCCACTCAGTGCCACTAGTAACTGAAGATCACGTCGTTTATGAATGGCAGCATTATCAAGGATCAAATATTTCATACTTTTGAGCTCCTCATTATTTTCTATTTGCTGGATCACTGACTTTACAAAACTGTAGAAGTGATTAGCTGTAGTACCTTTACTCACTTTGTCAATGGTCGTTTCTGAATCAAGTTTTCTCTTCTTATTGGATGTAGCCACTGGAGTTCTGACCTTTAATTCAATACAACCTTTGACAGAAATTGCCCCAATGAACGAAATATTAAGCCCTCTGGTTACGGGAACAGTAAGAACTGCTTTTTCACCCACAGCAGACCATCCATACTCACGCCGCATACTGATATTGAAACCTGCTTCGTCGATGAAAATACAGTTTTGACTAAAGTCGAGCTTGTCTTTATACTTCTCTGCCCACTCGAGTCTCTGTTTCTTCAATTCCTCCAGACTTCTTCTCAAAGCCCATTTAGAAATACGTTTGAGACTTAGCTTACAGACCTTGGTTACAAAGTTATAGATTGTTGTAGCCTTGGCTCTTACATTGGTGAAGGCTTTCTTGAGTCTCTCCAACATAAAATCGAGAGTCACTGTAGCATCTTCCTTTATCAATTTTTGAAGGAATTCCTTATGTTCATCAGTGAGAAGGGGTTTACGACCTCTTTTCTTTATTGGCTTCGAGATACCATTTAATTCATTGACAAGTATTTTGTTCCACTTTCTTTTCCATGTGTAAGCAGTTTGCAAAGGTATATCTTCTAATTTTGCAGCCTTGTAAGCTGATACACCTTCTTCCATGACCAAGTGCCAAAATCTTTGTTTGACAGCTTGATTATAATACCGGTACGAACCTCTATATCTTCGTTCTTTCATTTCAATTTCCATCTCGGCATTTTCTTCTTCTTCGAAAATAGGATCAATTTCCATGATATCCATGATACCTGGTTTTTCAAAATGCTTATAGTCACTGTAACTAAAGCAAGCTTCAACTGGTGCTATTTCAGACTCTAAAGTCATTTCACTGGGTTCAGCATAGAATCTATTACCTAGGCCATCAACATACCCATCAGTTAGTAGCTTGGCTTTCAAGTCCATACTTAGTTTTGATGGTAAAATCTTATGCTTTTTTTTGTAAGTAATCTGGTGATCACATAAAGACCGAATTGAATGTCAAAAGTGGGAATTCATCATCTTAAATGGAGAACAGCTCCTACCATACATTCGTTCCCATTTCTTGAAAACCGTAATCACGTGATATTATTGATATTATTATAGATATCCGGTTTTATAGAAAGTAGCACAGAATTATGGAAAAAATGAGTATAATTTGTTTAAACTGAGTAGCTTAGAGGCTTATAGAGCCAGTCACATAAAAAAAAGAAAGGAATTAATATGAATTTTATATACTGTTGGTATGAATAATTGAAGTGCAATAGTATGAACTATTTTTCTTAGATGGTTTGAATAAATCCCGCTGCGGTGGTACGAAAAATACCGGGGGTCGGTATGAATTATTTTTTGCCACTGGTATGAACATTTCCGGTGGTTGGTACGAATAAAAAATGAAAACACTGTACGACACCTCTATATGTGTTACATCACTTTGGCCACCAGTGGGGTCTGTTTTCTCGGAGGAATCGTATTGTCTTCTTCCTCGTAAAAAACTTGTTTCATAGATATGTTTAATCTGCGTCTTGCTTTATAGTTTGTGGACATTACCAACGTATAACATGCAGGCATATATATATGGCGATCTTGATGGTTCGTGAGATGGATATATAATTGACAAGCATCCCTGGATTTCTTATCTGATAAAATCGTATAGAACCAGAATTATCCATATATATTAAGCACACACACACACACACACACACACACACACACACAAAGCGCTATGAAATCATCATCATCATCATCATCATCATCATCACTTTTAATGCTCCTAATATTGAGTATTGGTGCAGCTGCAACCGCCACCCAGAAAGATGCCGATTACGTCGACATATACAATTGCAAAAACATCAACACTACAAACTTCAGTGATATCAAGAAGGCCAAATACGGTTGCAAGTATGATTCTTGGGCGTCATATCTTATCAATCGGGGGTCGGAGTCGTATAATAACTTCACCTATCTCTTGGAAAATAACTCCACCTTCACCAAGAACTACAACGCATACATCGATTACTATCAAAAACAACTCCTCAGTAACTTCACCTTATGGTTCAGTGGCTACCCAAATGGGAAACAGTATTATTTATGTGATGGATCCTCGACTTTAACAAAATGCGCCTCCGAAACTATAAAACAATCACCAGTTTCCAATCCCTTGATGGGGGGTATCAGTGTCAGTGAAGGGGTATGTATTGATGGGTATCGAAATGTTTATATTTCCAACGATAAATTGAAAGCTGCCGCTACCAGTATGAGCAATTACTTCAATGCCAAGATCACTGCTGATGATATTGATGTGGTCTCTTCGAAGTTCCTGGTGGAATTGAGCGAGGAAATGCAAGAATGCGAGATCGCGTATTTCCAAAACGTCACCATGCCAAAGGCCATGGACATTATCCCTAATCCCATGGCTCATATCACCAAGACAAACGTCACTGATTTACAAAATATCATCAAGCTCGCTAGACTGGAATACCAAGGGGTCAGTGGCATGGACCTCGTAACGATTCTTACTCCGGTGGTGGTGTTTGCCCAAACTTCAGAAGTGATCATGAATATCAATGCCATCGGTGCAGAAATCGTCAAGGAAGAATCCAAAGAGCGTAAACTAGAAATTATTAATCTCGTGTTTGGGTTTGTTGGGGTGGCCACCATGTTTTTAGGACCATTGGAATCGATCATTGCCAATACCGTTCTAGGGGTTGCCGACATGTTGGCAAGTTGGGCCGTCGAAAATACTCAAATGACTCCAAAAGAGATTGGATTTGGGCTTTTAGGAGTTTTTTTAGGAGTTGTTGGGGGAGCTGATCTTGGTAAAGGGATCGAAGAGTTGGCAAATGTATTTAGATTTGATGTTTCATCTCTGCTCACAAAGAGTATGACGCATTTTTCGGACTTTTCGGGAGCTTTAAGCTCTATATATGGTGTTTCTGTTGGGAATTAAGATGACTATAGATTTCATTCAGGCATTTTATTTACTTTATTTATTTTAACAAAGAAATGAACTAGAAATCCGGGTTTAACTAGAGAAAATATATACAAAAATTCAGGGTACGAAGATTTCAAATGTACCTTAGTTTTTTTTTTTAGATGAAATACAATCTATAGTAGACTTCTGAAGGTATTATGAACAGTTGCTGAAATAATGATACTGATACGATGATTTATACACTAACATGAAATGATATTGATGGCACAAGGCGGTCTTCATGTAGAGATACGCACAGCTTATTCCAACTATATCATTAGCAAAAGTGGGTATTCATTATTTATTATTGTATATCAAAAAAAATAAAAATTTTAATGTTTTAGAGAGAAGTGAATTACTCTTTGTTTGTAGCCTATCATTGATATCAAATGAAACTAGAAGTACACTATTCTCTATGTGTGTTCACTGGTGGTAAAGGGCACTCATGTACGGAACAGAAATGATTGTTTCAAAACACTGGTTTTGGAAAGTAGCCACTAATTGGAATGAAAGAAGATTTACAAGATGAAAAAAAATAATGGTACTCTTGTAAGATAAAGGTGAGATGAAGGCTGTTTTGTTTTTAAATCCTCGAATAGGTAGGATCCACCTTGCTAATCGCAACCAATAACCCAGAAAGTTACTCACTCCATTTAGCTTTAGATCAATGATTATCTCTACTCGCATTCCGGTTCCAAAGTTATCCTATCGTCGACAAAAAAAAAAAAAAATTCGCATGTTCTGTATTTTTGCCTATTTCCTCTTTCCTGATCAATGAAACAAGATAAAGATATCTCCAACTGATCGACAGCGCAGGCTGACATGACATGCATAACTTTCTTTTCTTTTTTCTTTTTTTTTTTTCGCATAAATATATCATTTTTATCATTCCAACGGTATTCAGTGTGTGATTTTGATTTTTGTGACATTTCATAGAATAAAATATCAATAAATCTATTATAAATTTGAGTACAAGAAACTGCAGAATCAATGATGCACCTCATCATCCATATATCTAATTACGATCGGCAGTTCTCGTTTGCAAATTGGGGGGTATCTATCTCCAACATGCATAACTGTTGGCCCTGTGGTGTCAATAATAACGAGAAATACAGCAATGACAAACAACTGTTTGTATGTTTTCCGTCAATATAGATATCAATATTGGGGATACAAAATGTGGTATCGACGAAGTCTCCAGCGAATTTGACAGGACAGTTGAAAGAATGTGTTTGAAACTCGAAGCATCTTTGGAGTTTGCAACAAGTGTGGTACATTTCTTAGGTATACCAAGCCATTAATATGTAGATAGTTGGCATTGGTATTAGCAGTGGGGATGATATATTAGTATATCCTATCTTTTATTTGCTGGCACAGAGCATACCGGAGTATAATTTAGGAGTTTGAGATATTGTTACCCGATGAAAAGACAAATATGGCAGGCAGGGGTTATTAACCAGATACCGCTAACAACAAAAGGCGGCCCAAACTCAACAGAAACGACCGAATTTGTCAAGTTGGCACCACGCGTGGTCTGAGACAGTACTCCCAATAAGAAATCTCCGCCCCGCTCTCCAGACGATTTCCAAATCCAGAAGTGTCCCAGGCCACATTGATCCATGATGGGTCAGTTAAGCGCCGGTGGTGTGTCTGACTAAAGAGGGGGCAGACGAAAGAGAGAAAGAGGGAGTGCTTTGGTACCAGAGTCAAATAATAATCATAATAGTAATGATAAGCTTCCCATTGGTGGGCTTGTTGTTAGAGCGGATATATGATATTATTCTTATCAACACCACTACACAAATGAGGCGCCTTTTCCAGAAGATCATCCAGGGTATTTGCGGCGGCATTATTTAGCGTAAGCGATCTATATACAACCGCATTGCGCAGAAGAAATGATCATCAATAGGCAAAAGCAACAACATGAATAATTGCCACCTTATTTAATATATGGTATGGTTGGCTGGCTAATATATATATATATATGCTATTATATATACTATTATATATCAAAAGTGTTCCACAGATTCCTGCATCGTCCTCGTGTTTATTGGTGGGATTGGATGGTCTTGGGGATGGGAAGCATGTCTGATATACTTCAGTTACCCGGTATACCAACCAACCAACAAAGAAAAACAAGGAACAAGGGAATCATGTACAACATCTTATATAACAAAAATATATATGATATAATCCAGTCTCTCAGAGGAAAGTATATCCCGTCCCGCACTAATCATCAGGTTACATAATATTCCACCGCTATAACAGCGAATCCAGGCACCTGTTCATCTATCACCATGCTAGCGTGACAAGGAGGACATTTGTTGGTGCTCTAAGACATGCTTGGTGATACTAAATTATAGGCAGACATTATATCGCCACCCACATAGTTAATAAGGTTATCATAAAAGCGTCCCACCCACAATTTTGTACGCGGTGGTGGTGGCCAAATAAACTTTCCTCCCGCCAAATGCATCGTGCTGCACTGCTGCGAGGTGTCACATTTTGTCCTTCTGTCAATTTTTCACGCTGGCGCTTGTTCTTGTTCTTGTTCTTTATAAATATCATCACCGCTCCTTGTTTTCTGGCCTTGTTTTTTTTTCTGCTAATTTAGTTTCCTTTCCGTTGCCTCTTGGAAAAAATAACAAGCTCTGCTCATCCTTTTCGTCTGGTGGTGGCTGCTATCTATTTTCTTCCCCCTTCCTTCCTTCTCTTGTTTGATCAACTAGCTATCCCAACCACCCTGTTCTCTATTCTAAACAGGTGCGCCCCATTTTTCATTGTTGTGAAAAATAAAATAAAAAAACAGAACAAGGGAAAACAACTCTGCCTTCTCTTGTTCTCCCTTAAACAATCGCTTTTAATACCATCTCAAACATCATTGGGGGTCCAGGAAATACCCTTGTCATACACCCACCCAAGCCAAAACCAAGAAACAAATCCATATCTTCTTGGTCGATTGGTTATTTGTTTTGTTTGAAAAATGGCTCCTCGTAGACGCAAGCAGACTTTCTCTAACCAAAAAAAGGCCCGTGGTAGATCCAAAACCTCATCATCAGTCAAATCTCGCCCCTTTCATGTCCTCAAATCTGCCCCGGTTACCGAAAATTTTGTCAACCATGGTCTCCACGAAATTGCAAGACAATTACCACGTCTCGTGAGGATCCCAGCCCTCATTGAAGACTGGGAATACCTAAAAGACGCCGATGGTTCGTTAACCCTTGACCTCGATGCCCCGATTCCTAATCCTTCTGTCAATGCTGCTGCTGCTAACTCCGGGGTGCCTGGTGTTGTTAACTCCGATGACACTTTGTCTTGCCATGACCCATCTTACGTTGAATTACCTTATGGTACTTACCTTGCTCACGGCTATGGTAGCACCGCTACTGCTAGAATGGCTGGTCCCGGTAACTACGTTTCCAGTTGCCAACAATCAATCAACTCCAATGTATTGCTCGAAAAAGTCACTCGTGGCACTCTGAAGAAATTACGGGGAATGTTGAGTTCCGCTATTCCTACTGCCTCCATTTCCAAAAATAACTCTTCCAAAAAAAAGAATTTCATGTCCAAAGATATTAGCAATAATACTACCTCTCCTATCATGGCCCGTATGGCCAATGGGTTCCTCAAACCACAAAAGAAGTATTTCGATACTAGGCTTGAGCTTGCTGAATTCTTGGATGAATTCAAAATCTCCAGACCCGGCTTCTGCTGTGATAAGAGATGTCTGTTCTATCACTTGGGATTGGGGGATTTCAGAACCGCTAGAAGACATATATGGATGCATTGCCATGAAGTGGTCACTCGTGGCAAGGGCAAAGGTACCGGAGTGATTTATCCACCATCAGAACGCTCAAATGATCCAAGCTCAGAATCAGACCTGAGTTTTAATAGTAAAGGCCATGACTCTCTCCAAGAAACTTCCTATGATACCCATAGTTCACCTCCTAGTTGTTTTGCCTACAACAGTTGGTGTCAACCCGAAACGGTGTATGATAACTCCCTCGGAGTTCCAACTCCTCCAAATTCATCTGTTGCTTCCAATCAACCCCCATCTAATTGGGGAGAAAGAGAAGGAGTGTTGCCTGGTTGTATTCTCAGCACTTTTTATTTAATGTTCCGTTACAAGTGCCTTCAATGTGGTGATGTTTGTTACATAGATAATGCCAAAGATCATAAAAAAGTCTGTACCCTTCACCCCTCACAAGCTTCTGCCAAAAAAAATGTGAATCCTAAACTCCGCTCCAAGAAATTCAAAAATCAATACCATGTCATGTTAAAAGGTTCTACTAAAGATAATCCCAGCTCCAGCTCCAGTGATGAGGAGACCAACACTGATAGTTCCAATGGTATTACCCAGTACCATGACAGTGGTTCCCATGATGATGATTCCGAAAACGAGGGTAATTTATTTAGTGGGGCATCCAGTACTAATGTTCAAGATAGTTCCCTTGTACACAATAATCAAAGCCATACAAATTCTGGATTCGGGGGGTTTTCTTCGCTATTTTCCCTTAACTCCCACCACGGAGTTTCCGGAAAGAATGTCGAAGTGTTATATGTCAATCACCGGAAATGGCTGGTTAACTTTCGAATTGGAAACAAAATTCATTACGAAATTGCTTGTTCCAATAATCATTCATTAGACACAAAGACCCTGGCTGTGTTGCGCTCCAATAGCAGTAGATCGACGGAAAGCAGCTGTTCCCGGCGGCGTCAGCGGAATGGCACGTTAGCCGATGAACACATTTATGAGAGTGATCAAGGCGATAACCTCAGAAAAAAAAGGCACCGTGGTTCCAAATCCATTATTGGTTATGCTGATGATGAGGAAAAAATTTCTCGTTCAGTTGGCCATAGTAATGTGTTGAATAATGCGGTTTTTCCTCAACTGAAATATTGTACTAGTTCTAGTGGGCAAAGCACAGATGACGAGGAAGATAATAACAATGATGATAGTGCTGCTGATACTGATGCTGATGATGATTATGGTGATGATTCTGGTGAAATATCTTCAATCTCAATCACCTCAACAGAGACTGATAATAATATTGGAGACAATAATGAGGATGAAGATGATAATGAAGATTCTGAAAGTGTTACTTTTAATGAAGACGTCAATGATAATGATACCTCTGGGTCTGTTGCTGACCATGAATTTAGTGATGATAAGGACTCCTCAGGGATTACTTATTCTGAGAATGATGAAGAAGATTATTATGATAGTCATTATCAAAAAGCTGAAGAATCTGTCGATTTTTTCAATGAAAGACATGGGAGCACATATACTGATGAGGCTAGTAAATCAGGCGGTCAATCAAAATCACATTCTTTTGATATTCTGAATGGCCAGGAAAGCAAGAAATATGGATTGACTTCAGATTTTGAAATTCAATATATTGACTCAAATATCCAAAATGCAGAAAGGTTAACCAGTACAGATTGTTCGCTTTATAATCCAGAACCTTTCAGTTACGACTTCTGCATCAATGCTGATTCTAATCACAAAAACAATTTATTTTCATTTGGCTCCTTCCAATTATTTGGTGACTCCAATAGCGATAATGTTGACTCTGACTGGAATTTAGATGATTATCTTGATGATTTTTCAAAGGTTTGTTCCACAGACCTTAGTAGTAGTCAGGAGGTCCAAGTAATTAATCAATCTGCTGAGCTGGTGGTTGGCAATTATCCAGACAAGCTGGTAGATAATCTGACTATTCGAATGGATTCCACCATCGGGACCATAATGAAGTGTGATAAATTAGAATCAGGCGTTATTCCATGTGACCTACCTGTCAAAAGAGCAAAAGGTGTGTTTGCTGCTGATAATAGTTCCGCTAAAGCTTCCTTTGAAATTCCGTTGCTGGCAAGTTATGTTGAACATGTTGAAATAAAACCACAAAATAATGGGGAATCTAAAGGGCAGCTAAGGGACATGATCTCTAATAAGCCTACTTACCCATTGTTTGAAAGAAATAAAGATAAACTCCTTGAGTCTAATGAATCCTTGAACGCTGCGGCTGCCACCGATAATGCTAATAAGCTGGAATTGGCCACTTGTGATAAAAATACTCTGTTGAAAAGTGTGGTTACTTTCTATTCTTTTACTAATTCTTCTGGGGATGATTTAGTCTTTAGAAGCTTTGATTCTACTCCGAGTGTGAGAACTCTGGTTTCCAGTTCACCAACAGCCATTACTCCAGAAAGTCTGATAGCCAGTCCTGGTATTGTCTCCAATAATACTTCTATCCCAAAATCGTTGACTCGTGAACACAAGCCGCCACACATCATGGCTCCTCCAGAACCCATGACCAATTCGAGATACCTCAATTCATATACCCCTAATACTGCCTCATCATTCCTGAAAGGTGTTGAAGGCTTTCCAATCGCTAATTCCATTATACCGAAGAATGAGGTGGTTACTTCTGGCTTTGTTTATCAAACGCCTACAGAAGCCACAAATCCATTTTATAAACCAATTAATTTCATCACCAAACATGGGATGCTCTCTCCACTCCCTAGTAATGGGAATGCTAGTATTATGAGCACTCCATCTGGGCATATGGCTGGAAACACAATTACACCAATAACTACTGTTCAAAATGTTCCACCTTGGTATTGTGAGCTGACTACCACGAGTAACCTTTTTGGAGGAATTGTGCCTGTACCTTTGCAGCTTCCAACTGACTCACAATTCCTGATTCCGTACTATCATCTTCCAAAACAAGAGCTTCTTTGCCACAATGATACCTTGGGTTGTGGAGGACAATTGCAATCACCGGCCCCGATCCATCGCTCAAATCCTATAATCAAAAGAGATCCAGAATCAAACCCTATTAATTAACTATTGAGAGAAAATTGGTTCGATCCATCTAAAAAAAAATTTTTTTTTGTTCATTGTTATTATTTTGATGTGAATATGACCTTCTCAATATTTGCATATATCGCAACATTATTATTTTTAATTGTGAGTGTTGAGAATCACTTTTTTTTTGCAGTTTTATGCTTTTGGGTGTTTATTTTTGTGTTGAATTGTGGTTGCCATTGTTTCCTTTTTGTTGTTTTCTCTTTCGTTTTTCCTTTTTGTTGTTGTGGTTTGTTTTTGCTATTATTCCTTTTCTTTTCTTTCATACTATCTTGTATTCTTATACCAAAGTTTCAGGTTTTTTTTTGTTTTTTATTTTCATGGAGTGTGTTTTATTTTTAGGGAAGACTGCTCTATTCATAATGTTTATTTCATTTATTTCTTGTGATTTTTGTTTTTGGGCTGTTTTGAAAGAACTTTTCACCAGTACTTCGAATATAAATGCTACAATGTGTTATTGTTAATGATGTGTCTCCACCATCACCAAAACTCTCATGTTGGGCTATGTCGCGTGACTTTTGTGCTTCCTAAAAAAAGAAGCACAATCGAATTATCCTTAATCACATCTTCATTTTACTATCATCTTCACTAATAGAATATCTTTGTCATGAAATGATATCACTAGAGGCCGCCAGAGATGCCGGCTGCTCACTATTTGTCTTACTAAATGGATATGTCGCGTTCCTGTCAAATTTATCGGCAAAGATCTCATCACCCATCAACCAATATGCTTCGTCAGCTTTCCCAGGCAGTTACGCAAACCATACCCTCTACTACCCATATTTCTTTCTTACCAACTGCTCGCGGTACACCGAGTTAATATCAACTTCTAACACTTCAAATTCTGATTACTATTACCGTCAGTACTTGTCAATTTTCTCAAACTTGACCTCGCTGGGAAATAGTCTGGAAACGGCCACCATCGTCAGTAATATCATCGCCGAAGGGTCGCTGGCAATAAGAAACTCCTTCCCCGATGGGTTCATCTCGATTTGCTACGTGGTTTGTGCGGTAACTGTGGCCGCTTGGTCGCTAGTTTTATTGCTTGTATTACTGACAAACCCAAGATCTAAACTCGCGAATTTCTTGACGTTATTCTACGCGATTGCAGTATCGGTTCTCCTAAGCAAGACCACCCTGCTCTTAGATGAGCAGTTCGTTGCCAACTACCAAGACGCTGACCAATTCAGCGGACGTGTATTGCGTGATAAAGTAGCGTATACCCTTACTGCGTTGGTCAAGACGTTCAGTTGCCTTGCCTGGGGTCAACTATCGGTAATATTGTCCCCGGTTAGATTCCACAAGAAGCTACGAATCACCACGCTGCTCACGGCAATTTTGTTATTAATCTTTAATATGTTGCACTACACCTACCCGGAACCACGCCAGGGAATGGTGTTTGAATTCTACTATGTCATGGTCACCCTTATTGATCTCGCAATATACTTTTCATTTGCCGGGGGAATATATCTATACATTTACACTAAACGACAGTTTTCTTTATCGAGGCAAGTGGCGCCAATGAGTGTGTTTACCGGTTTCATTCTAACGGGACCCCCGATTTTTTACTTGACATATGTGGTGTGTGATGAGATCGATAATTGGGCAACCATCATTACCGATTTCTTCCTGGTGTTAATCACCATCTTGGTATGGGAATTACACGCTAAAATCACGATTGGAGAAAAAAGACATGAGAGAAGAACAGTATTGGGTAGAGCCATCAGGCACGATGAATTGCCAATATCCCATGATGGGTTGGCCAAAGGCGGATTATCGATCGCCAGTAATAACCCTGGAACAAAATCCCGGCATATTGGATACTTTACCAATCCGATCCTACGAACGATGCACCATCGTCGTAAGATTCGTGAGCTAAGACCATTAGACTCTCCAGAAACGAAAAGGAAGAAGATGATGAAGATCCAAAGAAGGAAGGGGAAGGATGGCGATGGTGATAATACCAAACAGAGTGGTCTGGAAGTTCAATTACATAATTTGACAGAAATTCAGCTAAGCACTCCAGTGGGCAATGAGGATTTGAGGGACCAGAATAGTGGCGATACTGACTCGACCACTGGGGAAGGATTGAATACCTTCACCGAAAATGATATCTATGATATTCCAGCTGGAAGCAGAAGGAAAGATGATGGTGATTTTGGCTGTGGTTATGATGATGCCAATCCACTAGATATTATAACTGAGCAAGTATGGGAAGATGAGGATGAAGAAGAAGGTACTCCGGGAATTGTGACTCACGACACGCGAGGCTAGCATGATCAGCGCTATTCAAAATATTTTATATAATTATGATTTTTTTTTTTATAATGTGTTGAATTTTGTATTCTATGAGACATGCTAATAATTGAGGAAACTCGGTATAATTTTACGACGAATTAATGACTTTTTTTTATATATATCTTTTAACAACAGTAAGTGGGATTTTCCGCGTAGTGTGTGTACTTTATGGCACGATCGTGGTCGAGGGGACAGACTTTTTTATAATTTATGACGAAGTTGGGTCATTTTGTGACTTAATGGAGCAAACAAGGTGATGTTTTTTTTTTTCACATATTATCGTGGTGATGGGCTGAACTGGAGTTTGAAAGGAAAGACAGGATTATAGTGGCAGCAACAACAGAAAGTTTTAAAAGTTTAGCCTCATTAAGAGTTCCGGTAAATCTAATAAAAAGAAAATGAAAATGTGTAGTACTATCAAGTTCATTATTAATATCATTGCCTCCATTCCCATATCTCTTTCTTATTGCAGATTTTTTAGATTATCAGGTTTCAGCCGGCAAGTTGAATAAATTAAATATCTATTCCCCTTAACTTTATCAGCTGCCTACTTGGATAATATGACAATACATAAAGTTGGATTTACACATTTTGTACGTTCCGCCAGGAAATATTTATACAAATTTTTATGTTGGTTTTTAACTTAGATCTCTTCGTTGATTCATAATTAAAAAAAAATATAATAATCGATTATTCATCCTAATGGATAGCTGGTAAATCGATTTTATTTAACCTTGGTGTTAATTTCTACATATTTTTGATATTCTTGAGATAAAGGTTCAGAAAATTATAGTTTCACCTGACTTGAATGCATTGGTGGTTATTATGGCCTTTCACCCACAATACAAATAAATGCATGTCAACATCTGAGGTACATGCACGCTGAACTGCTAATTTATCTTTAGACTATATTCAACCAACTACCAATGAGGATTTTCAGGGATTTTCACAATAGACATCACCAAGGAAAATTTAGGGTGTTCTTAGTTACAATGACTGCGAATTTCTGGTTTTTAAGAGCAAGGATATGCAATGGAAATAGAATATGCTATTGTGATATTCCTGTCTTGAAAATAATGTGCAGAGCACTCCAGTGATTATCGAATGAAGTTTCTTATTTGACGATCTTGTATAATATGATCTATAGATACTAACTAGCTAACGAAGTTAACAAATCACCATGCCACATCATAATCTACATAAAAACACATAAGCTTCTAATGGCTAATCGATCTAACCTTACTAACGGTGCTGTTGGTGGACCACAAAAGTCTGGATCTACTCATACCAGTGTGTTTGTCCAAATAATAAAGGATATTTTCTAACACCCTAATGTTTAAAAAATAGTTCAAATAAACTCAATGTAAGTTCATATTCAAATGATTCCAACATAATATGAAGACACCTTGTAATGTATAGATGTTGCTGTATCTGAATCATACTCAGATTCTATTATTCAGCAAACCTCATTATCATTATTACGCTTAAATACATGTTGTGGTCTCCTTTATGTTTCATGCTTTATTATCTTCTTTACTTGTTATTGCATTTACTGCGTCTAAACAGGCCGCAGTTATTCTAATTGTTATATAAAAGGGTTCAGTATCTCTATTAATTCATCTTTATGTATCTTATATAACCTGCGCGTTTTTATACGAATATATTGCTATATTACTATGAATCATCTTTTAAATTGTAACTACAGGCCATGAGGAATATGAAAGCCGGGTAACTTAACAATTTAAAAATCTGGAATCTATTCTTCATTGAACGAACATCCTAACATCAAGCGGATTTAGCTCAGTTGGGAGAGCGTTAGACTGAAGCATCGTCTGTTGAAGTCTTGAAATCTAAAGGTCCTGTGTTCGATCCACAGAATTCGCACTTGATAATTCATTTTCCTAGCGGATTTAGCTCAGTTGGGAGAGCGTTAGACTGAAGAAGTAAATTCAAGTCTTGAAATCTAAAGGTCCTGTGTTCGATCCACAGAATTCGCAAAGAATAATTTTTTTGTAGTTTGTTAGTATTACACATTGCCATATTACTGGTACTTCACTTTTTTTTTTCTTTTTTGCGGCTCATGTTGATTCATTGAAAAGTCATTAATCATATATTCGTAGTAAAAAGTAAAGACAAAAAGGTCAATTTTGTTATTAACATGAAAAACAAGAAGCAAAAAATCATACAAAAATAAATTTATTATCAAGTACCATATCCATTATCTTGCCATGATGATAAAAAAACCAAAGAAATAAAAAAAGAAAACATGAAGAAACCATTAATCCATTATTCATCATAATCAACCCATAAATCCTTCAGAACCATCATGTTCAACACACAAATCTTCTCAACTGTTTCAAACCTGCGCCCAAGTTTTGAAAAATATTGAATCCGAGCTCACAATCCACAACATCATTGAATACAAACTCTCCTATCTTCAAAACTTTGAAACTCAACTTATTTTGCTCTTTTTCATTATACAACCCCCGACCCTTCGTAATTCCAAATATATCAGGATTCCCTGAGGCTCCAATTAGCTCTTGTTTAATTGGATTACTCAAATCTCCTGCATCATTGAAATTACTACGATATCCATACCATTTGCTACAGAACTCTTCAATTTTGTCCACAATTTTGACCATGATCCGATAGTATTGCAATTTCGTCACTAATGATTCATCTTGGAGTAATTGGAGGAATTTCAAGTTGGAACTTGAATTGGTATGTGGACCTGATGATAATGATGATCTCAGACCACCATTAAAAAGATTAATCATGTCATTATTGCCATCACCAGCTTTGCAGGAATCTATATTATATTGGAATTCCCCAATTACTTTCTCAAACTTGATGGCAAACTGATAAGTCAAAACAAAGACATCAAACAAAACTTGGACATTCAATGACAAGCACCTTGAGAAACAGACACGGGAAATCATGTGGTCTGATAGCTCACTATTAAGGGAAGATTCAAGAGATCGGAAGAACTCAGAATCTTTATCAACAAACTGATTTTCTTGAATCAAATTAAATTTATCATTAACTGAGCTACCAGAACTTCTGGGTGTACTAAGATCTAACGAATTATCAATAGTAGAGTCTTCCATAAAGAAAAAATTCATCAACAACTTGATTCCTAACTTGATGGCTTTCAATTCATAATCTTCATTGTACATTTTTCCTGCGCTGCCACCATCAGTTCTATGAGCTGCTGCTGCCAACTTTGCCAATTTTTTCCAGTTCTTATTCCAAATACCGTAATATCTCACTTCATTCAAATCAAGAACCCCATCGGCAAAATATTTGAACATCAAATAGTGATTCAAAATCACGCAATCTATTTTCAATAAATTAGAGTTACTGGTGTAAAAAACACTAGAATTTTTATCGACAGGTTGTGAAGTTTGCTCTCTGAAAGTATCATTCCAATAACTAAGCAAAGTGGTTGTGATCTGAGGTGTTTTTTTATCAAGATATTGATGCAAAGCAAACTGAAGACTGACTAGGCCATATTCTGAAATTTTAAATGAGATGGGTTCATTATGAACAAGTTTACTAAACACATGTTGGAACGAATTTTCACTTGAGGAAGAAGAATTGAAATTAACATAATCAGAGTTACCTGGTAAACTCTCGTAATGGTCTTCAAAATCTGGTAATGGCAACCCTACTTCATCAATTCGGAAAATCTTCTCTATTTTCAAACCATAAAAGTAATTCAATAAGTTGGAAATATTGAAAATGGTGTATACTGTTCTCAATTTTGATTGATAAACCAAGTACTCTTGGGCATCTCCTCCTTGGAACAGCAATTTATTCAAATTTGATGACCTGATCAAGGCAATCAACGCATTCACCTGTTTCAATATGATATCGGAGCTTGAATCAAATTCAGCAAACAATCCATAAATAATACTCAATGTCAATGATTGAATCAACCAAAGCGGCGATGAGACCGATCGTGGGCTGTGACTCTTCTTTCTCAGGTCCAAATAAACATGAATACACCGACGCGATGCCTCATACAAGTTAGACGCCTCTTTTTTACTATTTGCAACAATAGCACCCAAAGTGGCGATCAATAATGGCAAACAAACCGATGCAGCGTCTTTTTCATAACTCATGGAATAGCTACTTGTCGTTTGAGCATTCATATCATTGTTTGCCCCACCTTCCCAATAATAACTAGTCAACTTTTCCATATTCTCCTCATTGATAAAGAAGTTGTGAATGAATGGTAAATGGTTTGTAAACTTGGTTTTGAATTGTTCTACAAATCCATTGAGACGGTCATTTTCCACTATTGTTGGTGATGGAATGCCAATGAATGGATACTTCATTAAAGTTTTGTAGATCTTGTTACGCAATACTTTAGTGAATAGACAATTATCCAGGCTTCGAAGCGCGAGATTATTGGTACCGTAGTTGAATAATGAATTAGCCTCTAAAATATTAGGAGAAATGTTCCGGTGAGGAGAGGTATCATGAGAAAGTTCTGCAGAGGTGGAAGAGTTGTTGGCAGGATTAATATCATAATAAGAATAGCCATTGGAAATATTATTGAAATGTTGAAAATAAGGATTGCTATTATTATTATTTTTATTTTTATTATTATTATCATCATTATTATCATTATCATTATTGTTAGTACAATTCTTATGACTATTTAAAATGGCTTTGAAAAGTGGAGACCTTATGTCATTATTCATGCTGCTAGCGGAACTAATCATGGTTTGAGTACTGTTGGTAGACTTGCCACTATCATCTCTGCCCATCTGAGTCATATCATCCCCTTTATTCAACTGAAACTGGAAGTTCTGCAAATTATTAAGTTCAGAAATTAAATCGTACTCATGATTAATTTCCATTTGTTTATTTGTATTACTGCTTTCGTTTGCAATCATTTCAGCATCTCCTTTCCCATTAGACCCTGACAAATGCATCGCACCATAAATCCCATAGCTATTTCTGAGTTGCTGATCCATTTCTCTACTGATTTGACTAGAATTATCATTGCTGCTAGAGTTATTCATACCATAAAACTCGTCAGTATAAAAGGAATATCCATATAATGAGCCGAGACCGTTTTCGTTATTATTATTGCCCTTTCCTCTGTCATTATTATTATTATTATTATTATTATTATTATTATTATTATTATTATTATTATTATTATTATTATTATTATTATTGGTCATATTGCTCACCGGAGAGTTCCTAACATTAGTAGAATAAAGAGACGACTCATCGGATGATATTTTATTGAGCTGATTTTGGAACGCGTTAACTTTTCTAGTGAATTGATTTGGGTGACTGTTGCCACTGGTCTTGTTTTTTAAACTTGATAAAAATTCTATCTGAGAGGACTCAAGAACTTTATTAACCCAATCTTCGGCATCTGGGCTCTCAATTCCATAAATGTTATAGTCACCATATACCGGAGAATCTTTCTTGTCGATATCCATCTTTGTTGGTGATTGTTGTACATTTTTCAGCTCAACCATTTTTTGTTCATTGGATAAATGCAAATCATTAACAATGTTATTTATTTTGTACATTTCCGAATCTTGTCTTTCTCTTCTAATATCTTTTTCGTCAAAATCCTGAAAATTGAGGTGCTTTTTGTCATTACTGAGAAAGAATTCTGGAATACTTGATAATTTGTTATCGCTTCCCGATGGGATCAATTGGGGTGTTGCAAACTCAATCGTGTCGGAAAATAAATAATTGTTTGGGGCATTTCCCGCAAATGATTCACGATTCCGAGCAGTTTTCATTTCATTCATTTTAGAAACCGATGGGTACCTTGGCACCGCATAATTCTCACCACTTGAAGCACTGAATGATGCTCTTCTTATCCGCTTTGATCTACTATATTCTTCAAAGTCTTCATCTTCAGGGCTAATATCGTATTGATATGATTTGGAAACAAAATTCTTGAACAACGAGCCCACACGGATATTAGAAGCAGCGCTGTTCATAGGAGAGGTAAACTCAATACTATCGCTATAACTATGGATCATATTACTACCCTTAATATTCGTTTTCAGTGTCGTGACAGGGTTTGATATGAAAGTTGACATTGGGGGGCCGCTTTCTGGTTCTGGTTCTTGTTGTTTCCTAGCATTCTCTTTATTAGCAGACTGGGATTTCATCTGCCGCTGTTTCTCTTCGTCTTTCTTTACTGCTGATTTACGTCTCCTTCTCAATCTCTTCACCGCATCGGAACAGCCTCCATGAAGCTTTTCCGCGTGTCTCAACAACAAATCTCTGCGACTGAACTTTCTGCTGCAGACCCCACAATTAAATGGCTTTTCTTTTGTATGAGACCTTTCATGTCTTTTCAAATGTTCCAACCTAGCAAATGATCGTAGGCAAGCAGAGCATTGATGAAGCCGAGGTTTCCCTGAAGGGGTATACCCTAGGGTTGCTGACCCACCGGCTTGTGAGTCCCGAGGGGTATCTGTTTTGATTTCGTTCATCATGATTATTCCTTCTCTCCTGATTTATGAGAGAGAGACCAAATCTATTAATGTCCGGAAGAAGAAACATTACCTTTGAAATAGTTACCAATTATGTTTTTTTTGTGTTTCCTCCGCAATCCAGCAAAAAAAAAAGGATGGGGTGGTCACACCCTGCGTCCGTTATGTGTCAAAAAATGCGGGGAAAAATAAGCAGGTGATATGAAGCGTGACTTAAGGGTCAGGTGAGTGTCACCGGGTGAGTGATAACAGTCAGGTGGAATATCACATGACGTATAACGGGTGTCCAGGTGTTGAAACATTCAAACATCCAATAATACAGACATCCAATAATACATTCATGTCGAGATAAATTCAATCCTATAAACAGTTATAATACATAATAAATATCTCAATTAAAAAATAAAGATCACATATGCGCAGCCAACTTATAGCCATTTGAAACACAATCAGGAACACCAACTCCTCCATTAAAACTCATACCACTAACCGTAAGTTTCCCCTGGTATAATACATCAACTTTATCCAAAATCTCCTGTTTCGTATCTTCAAACCCTACATTGTATTGAGGAATACCTTCGTCGGTCATTGCTGTTTCAATTATGAGATCGTCTTCACTAATTTCATTCAAATCAATGTTCAATTGTTTTTTCAATACATCTTTGGCATTCAAAAGTGCAGTTGCCTCATTAGGGATAACCTCATTTTTCCAATAATGACCCCCCATCATTAGGGTTAACTTAGTATACTCTTGAGTCGATGACACTTCATGGAACTCACCCTTATATTGCGCGATTTCTTTATCGGTACCTTTATTTTTCCAATCTTCTCCATTAATCAAGTTTCTCTTATATTCCTCGACAGTTTCCCCAAGCTTGGCAGAAAATCGCTTGGTTGCTGGGTTGAAAATTTGCAGTCTATGTTTTTCGACATCCGAATCAAATATAACTCCAAGGATCGCTTGGTGTTTCAAACCAGGATTATGTTTGTAATATGCCTTAGGAATCAAGTACCCAAAGCCCGGACTGTCTTGGATATAGTTTTTGTTGCGCAAATAGAAATTAACTAACCTCACTTTACTGTAAGTTGGGGCTTTCAATAAGTTTGACAATTTTGGATCTTCAACCATATCACTCAAACCTTTTGGAGATACCGTACAATTAATATGGTCAAAAATATCACGGTGCTCGGTCCCGTTATGAGTATAACTGATGGTAATGCCTTTTTCCCCATTTTTAATTCCTGAAATATCACAATCGTAAACATATTTAACGTTAGAAATTCCTTGCAATTGATCCCTAAGTAGATTTGTCACCGATTCCATTCCGTTCTTAAGAGAAATAATCGGCATTTTTTTCAAAATATTTTTTAAAAACCAGACATTCCCCGTAGAAAACTCGCATTGGTAATGTCTCAACAAATCACTCCCGCCGCCCCATTTTTTCTTTAAGAGACCCAACATCGTCAACCCGGCCCTGAATAATCCTTTCACACCAGTAAATAATCCATTGGCCAACCGGCTGGTGATATGCGCTAACACCACCGAACGATGCAGTTTTTTTACATCAAATAATCTAGGCATCACCGATCGGATACTCAAATCCCCAACGTCTCCTGCGTAGATCCCATTATAAATAGCACTAACAACATTATCGGTGACTCTAGGACCAAATCTGCGGCTGAAGAACCCTTCAACCGATTCGTCTTGGGTAATGATCGGACCAGGTCTCCATGGTTCTTTCAAAATATCATTGATTAAACCTTTGGTGAGTAAGTTACCACCAAATAGAAAATTCCAAGCAGTATAGAAACTCAGAGGTGCCTCGACTAAATGGTTTTGCCAGTCCAAGATATACTTCTTGTTCCCCAATGACGTCTTGGCTACCCCATATACTTCATCACATCGGCCACAACGTTGGAAAAGATCAGCAATCATAAGCGTACCATCACTAGCAGTCCGTAGAGTTCGAGGACCCTTTTCAAGTATCACTTTATGTGATTTATTATCCAAAGGAGATGATATATATCCTCCAGTTCTGGAAGATTTCTCAAAGATGGTGATTTTAATATCGGGACGAAAATATGAAAGATAGTAAGCAAACGAAAGACCAGAGATCCCTGAGCCAATGACTGCTAGAGAGCCAGCTTTGCGAACTATTGTCATAGCCTTCAAACACAAGAATTGTCAATAATAAAATATAACAGGGATAATGTTAGTGGTAGAAATGATCACCTAGTGATGTGAAGTTTTGTTTCCAGGCATTTACTCTTTTACGCTTGCACGTGATGGTGAGTCGTAGAATCAATCCTCTTGATATTATTGCTTCTACAAGTGACACCAAATAATAATTATAGTTAGTATATTTCAAGAGAAAAGAAAAATTCAATAAATTCAATAATTGTCAATCCAAAAAGAATTAAGCTTTTTACGTTCCACCATCGACCAACTGACCAAACCCGCTAAAACCAACGCAGCAATGGTCAATAATAACTGCCCCTTATTGAAACCGGCACTTAGCACGTCGAATTGTGATGAAGGGTACGCCTTCGTACAGAAAATATCATTACCAGCATAACATATGATGGTAGTACTCTCAAGGTTGGTCGCCACTGAAAACATTTGGGCTTTATTGTCTCCGACGATAAGACGTTTATGGTTGATTATGGCGTTGTTATTAATTGGGAGATTGGCATCGTACGGAATATTCATGTACTCCATCTTTTCAGAATTGGTGAGCTCCCGGCCTTCAATACGACGAGAACTAATGAGGAACTTTGGAATCAAATATATCTGACCATTCGATAGTTTCATAATGATGTTCTTTGTGGAAATGTCGAATTTCGTTGATGTGAGAGCCAATTTCTCAATACGATGTGCGAAGTTGTAAGATTTGAATCTGATGAATGGTTGCACAGCATCATAATCAAGAATAGATACCGACTGGTTGGTTATTGACGATAATGATTTTTGGTCAGATTTTTGAGACTCATAAAACTCAACCACATGAATCTTTGAAGATATTGTTGGATGGTAGCTGTAGAAAGAATACACCAAGTAATTGTCTCCTTGAATCATTTGAATACTGGTGTCATCAATCTTGTCAGTGGCTGGGTGGAACACTGATTTGATCAATTTACCAGAAACGGAATCAAAGATTTTGATCGACAATTCTTGGGAAGCATCATCGAAAACCGCAAGAGAGATGATATTTGGATACAAGTACTTGTATAAAGTAGACTTATCCCCAAGGATCAACCCAATCGAAGCCATGGAGTTAGGATTACGAGCCGAAGAGGCAGTGGCGACAATTTTCTCGTTAGCATCAGTTTGAAATTTCCAAGCATTAACAAGGGCTTTTGAAGATGGATTAAACATAAACACTTCGATGGCCGTAGAGTCGTCATTAATATAGGAAAAAAATAAATCTTGAGATAATTCTGGGGTCGCATCATTGTTGGAAATATACTGGAATTGATCACCATCAAGTCGCAAAATGAGATCATCATCCAACAATCCCGCTGGTTCTTCATGAATAAATTCGTTCAAGTTTACCGGAATGAGTTTTTTGTGTGCTGGTATGCCATCAACGGTGGTATGTTTGACCATGCCATTAGCAATATCCAAAGTAACCACGAAACCGTCATCAAACCAAATTTTGATGTTCTTGTTATTATCGTTCAAGAATCCGGTAATCGATCTGTTGTTGGTATCCATGAATTTGCTCAATTGACTAAACTTCCAATTAATTTTCCCGGTCTCCATATCCAAATTGAAAACTTTGTTGTTTTTAGTTAACACCACTAGTTGCTTATTCAATCCAAACTCGATCTTTTGTTTGGCGTCAATTTCACCATCACCAAATGAGAAAATATTGCCAAATCCTCTCGTAATTATTTGATCCAATTTCTTTAATTGTTGCCAATGATCTTTCCAACGCGCCATGAAAGCCCCAAAAATGTCGACATTGTTTTCCTCTTCTAGATAATGCTGGAAATTTGCCACTTCTTGTTGTTGTGATTGCAAATTTTTGGAAGGATCATACACAATGTATTCATCCACTTCTGATAATGATTCATCACGGTTCCATAACAAAGCATCGTTGTAAATAGAAGTAATTTCCTTATTATAATATTCAATCACCACATGAATATTATGGCTTGCTCCATCAGCACTAGGGGTATATGCCACCTTGATATTCTTAGCCCCATCAAGATCAAGATCCAAATTGTGATTGTATTTGACAATTTCAATGCCTAGTTCACTATCGAATAATTGGATATTATTATAGGATAAAGACATCACCAAGTTTTCATCATAAGTGTAGGCGTACTTAATCGAGGACTTATCCTTAGTAGTAGACGCATAGTAGTCAAAGTTATTCACCAAGATGTACGAGTTCAAATCGAGCAATTTGAATAATTCTGATTGATAATCGGTCTTGATTTCCTTAAATGAAGACTTGCTGACTTTTGAATGATCAGAAAGTACCAATACATTGATAAGGTCATTTGGGGTGACAAAGAATACTTTATTTTGGTGCATTGTCAAAATCCTGGTGGCTTCAATATTCAAATCATTTTTAAGCGATACTTTAGATAAACTAGATGATCTAAGATCCACCAAATATAAATCATCAGAATTGATCAATATTACGGCATTACCATTATTCAATGAGGAAATTTCAATTGATTTAATTATCCCGGTTTCCAAGGCTGCAACACTTGACACTTGAAATAGTGAATCAACTTTAGATACCACCCCCGATGAATCCACTACCATTAATTCACCATTGGAAAGGCTTTGGATCCCAACCATTGGAGCATCTAAATAAACCGAGCTGATCAAGAAACTGCTGGTAGTGTTCCATAGCTGTAAAAGGTTATCAGTACCACTAACGATAACCTCATTGTTCAACACACCGAGAAATCTTTCCCCATCAGTATGTTGTTCCAACTGGTGTCTCCATTGAACAAGCCCATCTTTGCTAGTGTTATTGAGTACCGAAAGAACCCCGTTGTTGGAGATGGTGATATAATTAGTGGCGGTCAATACCGACAGGTACACTTGATCACCAAGGTTGGCGATTTGCCAGTCTGTCCTGAATGCCTCGTCACTATATACTGCCAGTACGGCTTGTAAGAAAAAACACAATACAAAAATACAAAATGGGACCATTGTGTAAGTAATAATTGTATTCTGAAGTATATTGTTGATGAGGATCCCAATATTCACTTTGGGCAGCGCTGCGATTTTTTAATTCCAGAAATTCCACCGACTTTTCCGCGCCCGGCGCGGTGCGGCAGCAGATTGTTAATTCTCTACAATTGGTTTATACGATTTTTATTTATTTATTTATTGATGCAATGAGAAGAACAAGTCAGGTATTCCAGAAAAATCCAGTTTTCTTGATTCCCAGTGGCCTTTTCTTCAACTTCCGTAATTCTTTCTCGTTATTCTTAAAAGTTTCTGCCCGACGCAATTTCTGGGTATATCCCACCATATTTTCCACCACTGCTTCGAAAGTTTCATGATCTTGGATCAATACTTCATGTTTGTCATTCCACACAGACAACGTCTTTTCCATCTTAACGCTAAGCTGCTTGAAGTGCTGCAATACTTTCTCGAGTTCTTCGATCTTGTTATCGTGGAGTAAGGTTTGGTAATACGTCACTGATTGTAAACTATCTTCCACTTCTTGCAAGGTCTTATTGGTGTTGCTGACGATCTCATCATATTCAGGCTTCTCGATATGAAGGTCGCTAATGGTATTGATTAATATTGTGTTACCAGCTTCTTCTTCTTTAGTTGCAATTTCCCGGGGTTCCACTGGATCGATTTTTTCTTCCACAGTGGTGACATCTCCATCAGAGGTATCTAGAGGTTCTAAGTTATTAATTTCTTTCAGTTTTTCGACATTTGGTGTTCTCAGTTTTTCCTTCTCTTCGCCATTATCCGAAGTTGGTGAATCATTTTTGATGTCTGTGTTCTCCACTGGTTTTCTCTGTTTTGATTCTTCTTCTTCTTCTTCTTCTTTCTTGGTTGCGGCTTCCGCAACTTCACTTTCAGAGGTTTCATTTACCTCAGAATCCTTCTCGGAAACGTCTGTATCCAATTTTGCTTTCTCAGTGATCTGCTCATCCAATTTTGCTTTTTCTTTAGTAGAGGTGGCTTTTTTCATCACTTTTAGCTGCTCTCCAGTAATCTTCACCTCATTTTCAGTATGTCCCACCTTAGGGGGCGTGACTTTTGACGTAGAACCCGACTTCTTGCTCAAACTACTAGCAAACTCAATTTTCGGGATTTTCCAGCTGTTAACACCATCACTACTATTACCATCGGAGACCAGCACAGTATCCATGGTGGCAGAGGCCCGCGGATTAATATTTGGTGATCCAACACTACTTCCTGGCAAGACTTCATCTAAATCAATAGGCACTCCAATACTAGTCAAGAAGTGTCTTCTTATGGAGCTTCTTTTCCAATCAGGAGGATTCAACCTGGGTAGGGTTTTCAATTCATTCCATAATGCCTGGGATCTAGGAGACATGATGTCCCCAGGTGTCGGGGTACTTTTAAGAGTTTTGCTGCTTTCCAGGGTGGTTGGGTTGTTAATATAAATTTTTGAGAGAAGTCCTGCTATGGAGATAGTAAGAGTTTTCGTATTGGAATAGGTTTCCTCTGTTAGCTTTATGTAGTCATTTATAGGGGTTTGGTTTGGATCTACTGGGGCAGGAGGAGCCTGGATTGTTACTGGAGCTGGGGCTTCGAAGTCATCGAAGGAAGCGTCTGAAAAATCACCGAAATCGTCATCATCCTCGTCATTATCTTCAACTTCTTCATTAGCAATTGCATTATTTTCAACCTCTTTATTGTTAACAACTTCATTGATGTCAAGGTCTTTATCAACTTCCTTTTCATGAACTTCTTCCTGGATCTCATCATGCGTTGACTCTTTCAAATTGGTGACCTCGCCATTGTCATTTTTGGCAGTTCCCATTGTAATTGACACAGCCTTAGTTTCTTCAATAGATTCTTCTTCCTCGACATCATTTTCCTCCCTATTTTCCAATGCTTTTTGTTGGCTCTTGTTGTTCTTTCGATCATCCAGTATTTCGATTTCTGTCAGTTGTTCTGCCACTTGCTTCTCTACCTGCTGATCAATGACCACATCTTCTGATAATTGATTGTGATGCTCCATAGTGATAACCACTAATCCTTTTAATCCCTTATCAATCCTGCCTAATAACATCTACACATTGTTGTTGTCGTTGTTAATAATTTGCACGTTGTCCACAAAATTAGGGTTACGCAGCCCCTGCAAAAGCGATGTGGGTATCAAAAAGATGTCAGAGATTCAACCAATCTGTGCTATTTTGATCACCATCATTATCAACATTATTGAACACTTCATGGCCCAGCAACGACAGGGAGCCACTCATAAAAGAGTGTTGGGATCCCCAGCGCCACCTCGACGATTGTCAGACATCTCCCAACAACCAGCGATGGAACAAGAGATCCTTAAAAACTCATTAGAATGTCCTATTTGCGGGGTCCTCGTCAAGAACTCTACTCAACTTAACCAACACATCGACGATATTCATTTGGTAATTGAAAACCATGATGAATCGCCATCCGATAATGCAGTATTATTTGAAGACGATATCAAATCGTGGATTAAAAACAAGATAAAGATCCCCAATGTGAAATTATTTGATACCAATAATTTATCGCTTAGTGACATCAACAATTCGTTACTCAATATCAATGACTACATCCTAACCCCAAATTCATCTTCTTCATCATTATCAGAACTTGCTAATACCCCAAAATCTCCCCGTAGCCCACAAAGGGCAACCACCCAATTAAAAGATGCAAAGCTCGCGAAAAAGTACCGGCTTCAAGTGATGAAATCAATGGATAAGTCAAAATGGCGTAAATTATCTCCCAGGCATGTCAACAAATGTTCAATTGCAAATTGTCCTAATACTGTTAAATTCAAATACGATAATTCTCCCGATGGTCTAGGGTATGATCTTGAGAATTTCGAACACAACTGCTTTGTGTGTGGCAAGATTTTTTGTGGAGAACATTTACCGACCCCGGTAAAGATCAATAAACATGGAGTGCTCGATCCAGTAAATGGGATTTGGTTTAAGTGCTGTCACTCATGTTATGAAAAGAAACCAGGTTATGTGACAAATGACCATTCTACCGGAGTTTGTAGGAATTTGTACGGTTCATTCAAGAGATTAAGATCGTCAAAAATCGAGCACAACAAACTCCATCATTTCAAGATTTACAAAAGAATCGAAACTTACATTAGTCAATTGATTGACTCGTATTATGATTACTACTATGGAGTAAACAAGAAAAGTATATTTAAATTGGTATTATTCAACGAGGCAAAAAAGAAACTCACCACCGAATTGATGGGGTATTGGCAAAATGATTCAGACTGTTTGAATTGCGGGATTTGCACCAAAGAATTCTCAAACTTGTTTTTAAGAAAACATCATTGCCGATTATGTGGGTCGGTGGTATGTGATGATAATTGTTCCATGGAAGTGCCGGTGGCACTTTTAGCTCCGTTGATTTTGAACCCCATCAATTCTTCCAAATATCAACAAGTGGGGATGAAAATGAAGCACGAAGTACTACGGATCTGTTTAGATTGTAAAAGTATCTTGTTCAAGAAAAAAGGGTACCATGAGGATGTCACAAATCCGTGCTCGACAATCATCCAAGAAACCGAGAACTTGTTGGGGTTGAAGACCCGAATTGAGTTGACGGTACCGAAATTCACCAAATTATTGAATATTTTTGAATCAAGTGATGATGAGAAATTATTGGAAGACTTGGAGCGACTACGGAAAGAGTTGACGAAATATTTGACGAGTTTTGAAAAATTATCAAAAAAAATCATCTTGATGGGGGTTCCAGATAGTGCTCAGGACGATGAGGCTATGATTACCACTAATGAATTACAATTAATCATGTCAATTAAAATATTTCTGATAGGGTATTTGAAGCGTCACACCCTGGTGTTGAAGAGATTCCAAGAAGTATTATTATCACGGCGCAAGTTGCAGAAACAGGTCAATAATCAAAAAGTAATCGAAACCCCGGTGGGAAGTTCAGCCACAAATAAGTCGTCGTCAATTACTACCAATAGTAATAATAATAATAATAATAATAATAAAGATATCGCTATCACCGTTGTGGATCTTAATAATACTGCTTCTCTAGAATCGGCAGATGAAATCAAACATCTTCGAGAAGAATTGATGATTTTAAAAGAACAGCATTTTCTAATTGATCAAATGATTGATAATGCGAAAAAAGAACGAAAGTTCGACGAAGTGGTTACTTTAAAGGAAAACGTAGAGGAACTAAATGGGAGAATTTCGGAAATATTGGGGCATTTAGGGGAGGAATATGGGTTTGATTAGGTGATGAAGAGATGAATTACTATGATATATCGTTTTGCTACAATTTGTAGAAAAAAAAAAGATAATAAATAAATTAAAACAATAGATTATAATACAAATAGGTCATTAAAATAATTGGTCATTAGAAGGAGAGGGCATTTTCTATTGGAAATTAATTGATACATCAATTCTTCTTCTTCTTTTTCTTTTCCATTTTCTTTGCACAATCAGGACAATACCATTTTCCAGTAGGTTCTGCCGTTAAACCAACACACTTGTAATGGAACCATTCATAACGACACTTATTATTATCACAGGCAATCATTTCACCAAAAGAAACTTGGCGACAGAAACAATACAATGTTTGATCTTCCCCATCACCATTCTTGGTCGGGGTATTAGTAACGCTTTCTCCAACGCCAGTATCATCATTATTATCCCTCTTATGACCAGCGGCCAGTGGGGATCTCGCACTGGCAAGATAATTCATTTCACTAATCAGATCATTCTCGGTCTTTACCTTATGATACAAATTATCACCACCTTGCCGCTTATCACCACCAGCTCCGCCAGATGATAACGCTCCCGGAGTCATACTATCAGTTTTCTGACGTTTATTGGATCGTACGGCTGCCACTGCAGAGGTCATTGAATGTCTAGTGGTGGTGGATTTCCTTGATTGGGTTCTCTTATGTGTAGTATTATTTTGGCCACCATTCACCATAACGCTTCCCCCCTTGGTATCATTGGTCATTATTGAGGTGGCATCATCTAGATAATCGGTATCGGTTGGGAACCCCATATTCTCCTCATCAATAAGTTGGAACAACCCATCCTTTTCTAAACTCTTGATGTCGACTTCAAGCGACGTCAAATGTTTCATCACCAAGAACAACGTGGTATTGGCAAGTTTGACCTTTTCTTGTTGGACTTTCTCACATTCATCAAATAATGCTCTTATCTTGGGATATAGTTGGGATTCTTTGGGGTTATTTGCGAGAGAGCCGTTCTGTTTAATAAATTTGTGGATTTGGCCATCGTATTGTTGTAATTTCTTACGATACTCGTAAAACTGGAGATCTTTTTCTCGTAGTTCGTTCAATAGAAACGTGAGTTCTGTTGGTAAGTTGCTTAGGGCACTAGTATATTGATCAAGCACTGATCCGGGATCCATTATTATTGTATTGTTGACATTATCTGTTTTATTAGAGCTGACTCTGCTTTGCTGTTGTTGTCTGAAGTGACAAAAAATTTGAAGCAAACCTATTTCGAGTCACGCGCTTAGTCACGTTATTTATTGAGGGCGAGATGAATGATATCACGTGTATCATCACGTTATAAAGTGCGCGGAGACTCCAAGCAGCTTGCCAAAAAGAAATTCCGCTTTCTCTGCTGCTGCTGCTTCCTCAGCTTCCATCTGTCAAGCGAGGACAGCAGAAGATCAATGAACTTTTACGTACTTTATTGGTACTTCCTTATCATCACATCCTGTCACTTTATGCTTCTTGCCTCTCGTAATAGTAAGCAAACTCTGTCTCTTTTGCCCTGATTTTATCAATATATCACTTTTACTAACCTGAAATTGAATTATAGCTGCTCCGGTTAGCAGGGCCCTTAGATCCTCGATAGGTCGTCATTTTTTTGCCACCACTAAACCCGCCACTCGTCGTCATTTCACTTCTTCCTCTTCCTCCTCGTTTGATGGATCTGCTGCAGGGTTCAAGTATAATGTCGCGGTAGCGTACGCTCCAAAACTCCGGTCTGAAGAATTAGATCCAGCAAAGTATCCTGCTGGTGAAGATAGTTTCATCCATGGGGCACGCCAGAGTGATGGGAACTTGGTCCTCGGGGTGGCCGATGGGGTTGGTGGGTGGTCGGAAGTTAAAGGATGCTCTAGTGCCGATATGTCGAATGTGCTTTGTGGATTAGTGTCCAAGTTGTTTAAAGGGCAAGAAGTCGGTGGTGATAACACCAAGGATTTACTCGCCAGAGCCTATAAAGATATGAAACTTGCTAAAGTGGTGAAAGCCGGGGGTACTACCATTTGCTACGGGGTCCTCAATTCCCAAACTGCAAATTTGGAAGTATTAAACTTGGGAGACTCTTGGTGTGGGGTATTCCGTGACTTCAAGTGCGTGGAACAGACGAAATTCCAAACCTTGGGATTCAACACCCCAAAGCAATTATCAATCATCCCTAAAGACTTGCAGGAAAAAGCTGCCCGTGAAGGAAGAAGATATATCACCAACACCCCAAGCGATGCAGATGTGTACAATTTCCAGCTCCAAAAGAACGATATTGTAGTATTTGCCACGGATGGGGTCACGGATAATGTGTACCCTGAGGACTTGGAGATGTTCCTTAAGGATTCGTACGACAGTCAGGTCGATAACAAAGATGTGGATCTCCAGAAAGTGACGGATAGTTTGGTCAATGGGGTTAGAGTGTTGAGTCAGAACCCAAAGTTCCCTAGTCCCTTCAGTCAAGAGATGTCCAGAGTATATGGTCAAAAATATTACGGTGGGAAAGCCGATGATATTACCGTGGTTATTTTGAAAGTTGATTAAAGAATAAAGTCATTTAAATAGATTAAGATCTTATAGGTGGAAAATATTCACCCAACCAATATTATTTAGTTTAGAACTAATTTTACAAGAACCAATCGGAAAAACATCCAATAAAAAGTGTATTTGTAAAATCATTTGTAAAACAAAAAGGCATCCATGAAAAATATATATATATATAAAAAAGGGGTAACATATAGGTAAAAGGTATCAATGAAAATGCAAGCCAGTGGGTATAAAACAATTAAAAAAAAAATTAGACAAAAATCAAGCATTATCCAACAATGCGTCAAATAAGAATCGTTACAATAAGAAAAATTCATAATCATTATCCAGCAAAAATTCAATCAAACTTCATTTTCATTACCATTTTGAGTCCGATCCGCTTGACTTCTCGCAAACCGTACCAACAAATCTCTGATAAATGATGCTCCACCAAATGTTCCATTTCTGGCACCACTCTGCATAATGTGTTTAATAATCACTTTCTTCCGGTTCTTCTTGTAGGGATCCTCGATCTTCTCACGACAGTATGGGCAAGTGTTACTGTTCTGGAACCATTCAACAATACACGATGTTCCAAAGGCATGGCCACAAGGAAGTTGCGTTGCCCCATGAGAATTTTTAAGGGATTCAATGAGTTCTTTGCGGGCCTCTGGAGAAGAAAGATCTACTGAATCTCCAGAATTAATATTATCATCATTATCTTCTTCATGAGAAGGTTCCGTTAAAGCTGGGTTAAAGATATCTTGAGGAGAAACGTGCTGAGCAGTTGAAGTTTCTGAAGCTTCAATCGCCAGGGAATCGACATTGACAGTCGAAGGATCGGTATTGACATTTAAAGATTCCTCTTCATTGGTCGATATTATTTTTCTTTTTTTCTTCTGTCTTTGCTCATCTTCAATTGACTCCTTATCATCACCATCGGCCGCTCTTTTTTTGCCTTTGTTAGGATTTTCTGAATCTTGACAACCACTATTAAACATGAATTCGTCATAACAAATACCACAACAATTATCAATACATTCTAGTTCTTCCTTAAATTCTATCGTACCTAATTCTTTGAATCTTTTAACTGTCAATGACTTATCGTGATGGCAATTATGACTAAATATGATGGCTTCGGTAAATAATACTGGGGTCCCAGGTAACCTTCTTCTGCTACCTTCAATACTGTGATCCACCCAGGCCAATTCAGTGGCACCAAAAGTCAGAGATGGGCTTGAAGAATTGTCTCCAGTTGGATCTTCTTCTTCATTATTATTATCACTATTATTATTTGTCTCATTGTTGTTGTCAGTATTTGAATTTGTGGAATCTATGGCCTCCAGAGAGGTTGCGGCATCTGTGCTTCTAGATCTATTTGTCGACGTAGAGGCAGTATTAAGGTAATCCATGAACCGTCTTCTTCTACCTCTTTCTCTACGCCGGCGAGCCCTTTCCAATGACTGGTTCATGTCAATGGAGACGGTTACTGGATCATTAGCATTGGCATTACCACCTTGAGGGTTGCGATTATTAGTAACCCCTGTCAATGGATTCGCATTCGTAGTTTCCACCAGAGATTCGGAATTAGTAGCTCTATCCAAATCAGTGAAGATATCAAAAGAGTGCTGGCGAGTTCCTATGCCGTCTCTCAAGTACCGTGAGATAAGAATCAAACCCCCTGAAGCATTAGGGAGGGCCAATTGTGACGATGATCTACCTGATGCTTCTGCTGGGGAATCAAAGAGCGAAGAAAATCCAAGAGGAAGAGTATCATCGCTCTCTCGTTGGGGGTCTCTGGCACCATCATCACCAACACCACCACTATTACTATTATTTCCTGACATTATTAGCGAAGGTTTTATCGTGCAATAATAAATAATAGTCACCCACAGACCACAAACGTGGAATCATCGATTAATAATTTGTATCAGCACACCAGGGCTGCGTAACAATCAACCGATGCGGCTAAATCAACCGGTGTTGGTAGTTCCAACGGCCATAGAAGAGAGAGACAGAGATACAGAGACAGAGAGTGTTGCTAGGATATATGGTAGTAACACACAATAATTATGGTTATTTACAAGAAGTTATTGGTGGAATGTAACAAATGATTGCATATTGGTGGTGTTGTGAAGTTACGCACCAAATGCGCCTGGTCCTCGCTACATCACCAATCGCAATAGCACCACCCAATTACTCATTTATTTAATTACCAATCATCAATTATTAATAATATAATACCAATGGATAATATCTCCCGTAATACTCGCTTATTAGCCCGGTTTTTAACATCCACCCGTGCCAGTGGCACCCCAAATTCCGTCCATGTGACTCACCGATGAGCAAAAATTCTTTTCAAGAGCAGCGTTTTATTTCTCTGATTCTTTTCACTTTCTCTTTCTTCTCTTTAATTAACACCAACGCCACTTCCACTCAATCACACCGAAATGTCTGTTCCTACTAGACCAAAGGCCGCCTATTTTGGAGCCGGTCCTGCGCTTCTCCCAACCTCAGTGCTCCAGCAAGCATCAATTGACCTCATAACTTACCTTTCTAACCCAGTTGGTGTCGGTGAAATTTCACACCGTTCTAAAGACGCAATCAATATCATTGATTCCACCAAAGCCCATTTGTCAGAAATCCTTAATATCCCAGACACTCACGAAGTGTTCTTCCTTCAAGGTGGCGGGACCACCGGGTTCTCTTCTGTGGCCACCAATTTGTTGGCGTCCTTTGCTGCCAAAACCGGCAAGAAAGGTCAGCCGGCCTATGCCATCACCGGCACTTGGTCAAAAAAATCTTATGAAGAAGCTGCCAGATTAGGGTTGGAACCGCAAGTTGCCACCAATGGTATCAATTCCAAATTCACTGGCATTGCCCCAGTCGACCAATGGAAGAAACTCGATCCAGAAACCACTCCATACATTTATTATTGTGATAACGAAACTGTGAACGGTGTGGAATTCCACGCTCCTCCAGTGGAAGCCACTTGTGATGGGAAAATTCCTCTTGTTTCTGATATGTCCTCGAACTTCTTGTCCAAAAAAATTGACGTTTCCAAATTCGGTCTCATATTTGCTGGGGCCCAGAAAAACGTGGGGATTGCCGGGATCACCATCTACATCATTAGAAAAGATTTGATCCCACAAGTTGGTACTGAAGAACTCAATAAGTTGAATATCCCAATCACCCCAATTGCTTTCCATTACCCAACCGTGGTCAAGAACAACTCGGCGTACAACACCATTCCAATATTCACCGTCCACGTTCTTAATCTCGTGCTTAAGAATCTTTTGGCCAACGGTGGTCTTGCTGCCCAAGAAAAAGAGAATGTTGAAAAGGCACAATTGCTCTACGGAGTTCTTGATAAACACCCTCAATTGTTCAACTTACCAGTGGCTAAGGATTCCAGAAGTAAGATGAATGTGGTGTTCACAATCAATGGTGAAGGCAAAGAAGAAGAATTCGTCAAAAAGGCTGGTGAACAGGAATTGTCCGGATTGAAAGGTCATAGATCAGTCGGGGGTATCAGAGCCAGTATTTACAATGCTATCGATTTAGAAACCGTTGGAAAGTTGACCAAATTCATTGAAGAATTTGCCAGTGCTTGAAAAATTGGATTTGCAAGGCTTAATGATTTTCAAGAACTTTTTAATTGTTTTTATTGCGCTTTTTTTTTTTTTTCTTTTTTTCTTTTTGCTCTCAATTGTTGGAGGCTTTATAATTTAGCTTTGATAAATAATTTCATTTAGGTTGAATGCCTTATAATGTAAATAACCGTATGTAACACTTTATCAAATGAATTACCAATTGTCTTCCTTTTCTTCTCATTAAGAATCGATTCTATAAAACTAGAATCCTATTTTTTTTTTCTGGCCCTGCTACAAATGGGAAAATCCTTTGGGAAGATTTTATTTTTCACTTTCATTTCAATAAATATTCTCACAATTCTATATCTCCCGTCACGGCATTGATATAATATATAATTTCTACTTCATCAGTATCGTCCAAAGAACAATGTAGTACCACTGCGGACGACGCACTCAAGATCAAAATGACATGGCGGCAATTCTCAACAAACCTAAGCCCGTTCCTCCAATCCTTAAGCCGGACATCAACAGAAATAAACAGTCCTTCATCGTCAGATTCTGTTACACTATTGGTGATTTTCCCCCGATCAAAGGTTGGATCTTGAATATTACCGGTTTCATTTTGATCTCGTTTCTCGCCAGCGGCTTCTTCACCCGTAGACTCTCGCTGGACTAACAACTTTTCATTCCACAGAGATGTCACCCTTAACCCATCCTCATCCAACATTAAGCTTAATTCTCCTTGATTCGTCCCGCATACAGAAACGTTTCTGGTTTTCTTAAACCTTTCAGCTCTTCGGAACAACGCTCCAATGGTTGGTGGTAATCTTAATACCAAATCAATGGCGTGTAATTCGGGCTCAATGATCCTTTCGTCACTTTCTTTTCTTAATAATCTAATGGGGATCTTCACCGTATGAGTTACCGAGGTGGCGGTCCCCGTCAGCGAATTAATAGATTCATTATACGAAAACGTCAAACTCGCTAGCCGTTTAGCACTGGCACCTTTATTTATTGTTCCATTATCATCAATGGCGTTTGCCAATTTCCTTTGTAGTTTAACGACCATAACATCACTATTGGCACGCTCGAAGTTTCGAAGGACCGTAAATAACGATTCGGCGTTGATTTCCATGACGATCAAATTATCTCTGATACTTTCACACTCGTAGGAGTCAAACACTTCACTAATGATCTTGGCCCAGACTTGGGGCTCAGAAATCGATGCCAGGATCAATTGAAGGTAAGCTGGGGTGAACCGAAGCACGCAAAACTTTCGTAGAGCTAGCAATGTGGAAACAGTGCCTTATTTATCAAGTTAGTTTAAGAAATATGCAAATAAGAACTAATTATAACTTACTCCTAAGTTGGTCAACACTGGACATGGTGATTCTCAATTTCATCTTGTACTACTGTTTTCTAATATACCATATACCATTTATATATATTCCGCTAACTTTACTCTTTGCAAGTTTAATAGATTGAGGATTCATTATCATCATCGACTTTCCTCATCGCATGTATTCTTTGTCACGTGCATGGGAAACGTCTTCTTAGTAAGGGATTTTCCATCCTTCCCATAAGTTATGTATGAAAGTTGTGGTGATGATGTGATGATAGTGTCGAGATTGAGAAGGTTACACAATTCCATACTTTATTATAGTACTTACTTTTATGGTATTTCAATGTTTTTACAGTACTTTTTCTCTTGCAGACCTGGTTGACAACATACAAGAGACATTAATAATTGACAATGAAAAAATGCAATATGAAATACAGCTACAACTGGGAAATCGTAACAATATACTACTACTACTACTACTACTTCCACTAATAATAATAATAATAATAATTATAATAATAATATGCTAAACACAGACCTCCGTTCATTTAAACTAAATATACAAGACAATACCAGGACATTCATCAAAGATGAGTACATGGACAACACACTAAACACCATTCAAACACCATTGTATCTCAAAAATATCCTGAAACGTAACAATAAGTTCATTTTTCCAATCATAATAAACCCATTTCTCTTCATGTATGATTAATACATAGAAAGAGAGAAAAAAAAAGACAGGGAAAACCCACACAACTAGAAGTTTTCTGGGTTGACTCTATGGGAAACCTTGGTCCATTTTGGAACCTTATGGAGCCCTTTTCTATAACCTTTCGAGTGTCTGCTGAAGATGGTGTATTTGTCCTTTGCAGCCATTTCACTTTCCTTAGGGAACACCGCAGGGTCGTTCAATTTTTCAATGGCTTTGCATGTTTGGTTGGTTTCAGCCAAAGATTTGGTCAAAAGTTCGATAGTATGGTCAACTTCTTGGAGTCTTTTACGTTGACGGTACTTTTGTCTCGATGACATTCTCCATGGAATTTTCCTATTGAATTAATTTGGTCAGTAAATGGGGACTTCTGTACGTTGGTACTCTACAGCACCAAAAAAGAAAAAAAAAAAAGGAAGAAACCACAAAATAACTTACCATAACAAACCTCCTTGAGGCACAAAAGATGCTCTAAATGGACCAAACATGATTATTTCCTAATAGTTTAACCAAATGCTCAATAATGAGGAAAATTCGTCGCTTTTTTTTTTTTCTTCTTGTTCTTCTTTTTGGTGCTGTTTTTTCGCAGTGCACAGAAGTTGCTAAACGGCACTCCAAAACAAATCACCATTTTTTTTTTGTGTGTTCGATTTGTGAAGTGTCAAAAGAACAATAATAATAATGGAGAAATATATATATATATATATTATACAACACCTCACAATGAACCAAAACATAAAACAGAACCTCGCCACAATAATTCAGCTACACACTCTGTGTCAATTCGCAGTGCATGACTTTGCAAAACTAATACTGACGATCCAACTGGCAGACTTCCAAATACCTGAACCATACCCCGAATTCACCACATCGCTCAATTCTCAAGTATCCACTGTGGGTCACAATATTTCCAAAGCTCGTAATTTGTTAAAAGTCAATTGGCTCATCATCCAAGGGATCACGGTAGAAGAAGACAAGTTGGGATTCTTAGTCGAATACGAAAAGTTCTCATGGCGATTCAAAGATTTGCATGAGAAATTGAATGATTTGAAATTGGAGATCTTTGATTTATACCAAAATATTTTGAAATGTCAACGCCGCCAGAAACTCCAAAGATTTCAACTCAATGAACAACAGCAAGAACAAGAACTGGGAAGCAACAACCAGAATACAAATGATTTGTTCGCTGGTAGATCACAAACATCACCAACCACAGACTTGGCGTCGCTCTCCACTAATCAAAAAGTGCTTAAGACTAACCAGTCCATTACCCTGGTGCTTCAATCCACATATTCCATGATGGAATCCAATGTAATAAATAGCGATCTCCTCATTGACACATTTTCCGAATCGACAAACTCGTTGACAAAACTTTCTGATCGTTATGAATTCTTATCCACCACCTTGCTATCTTCGAAAAATTTGGTCAACGAATTACAAAAGGCCGATAGCTCGGACTTGAAACGAATGAAGATGGCATTGGCATTCTTTGCCGCCTGTTGTTTTTGGGTTATATGGAGACGGGTGTTGAAATACCCTGTGAAATTCTTTATTTGGATCATTTGGAAGACGTTTGTTGGATCACTCTATCTATTTGGGATTCTTTCTGGAGGTTCTGAGGAGGCAGTTGGAAAGGACGGAGTATCATCAACAATCGATGATGTAGTTGTTGAAGCGACAACTTCTATCGTGGAGAAGGTAAGTGATACGGTGGTGGAAATAGCCCTGACATTGATAAATGATGAATTGTGAGAAAATTCACTATACGAATAGCATTATATGAGCTTACGTCAATATAGATAATAATCAAATGACATGGAATTCTGTTTCAAAATGTAATTTGTAGAACGGATGTGTATATTAAGTTAAAAAATCAAGTCATTTATAGTAAACAGTCTCTCATGCCCCCAGCATCATATATATATGTATTATTCAAATCATCATCTTTTTTTTTTTCTTTTTTTTCGTTATCAGCTACCTATTGCTCCACCGCAATAATAGTGGTGATGTAATCTATTAATAATCTTTCCCCTTCTGAGGTCATTAGTATTGGAGTATCGAGATACGTAACACCATTTTTGATAACGAGAGATTTGGTGAGACTCAATACCAAAACCCCAGGCTGTAAAGACCCTGGTTCTTCTACCACTGAACCACCAGCGTTTACTTGTTCAAGTAATGTCAAAGTTTTGGATCCCTGCACAGAAATGATAGTTTGTTCTTTTTTAGATACCATTGACGCCGATTTTATCAAGCTTTCTGCGGAAGCACTGGCTTCTGATATGATAGAGGCGGCAGAGATACTGGCGGCAGATATAGAATCAGTGTTGGTGTTGCTACTTTTGACGTTACTTCTGAATTCGAATAACCCATTGGTCAACCCAACGATATTCGAAAGACGCTCGAGTACTGGTTGTGGGGCTGCTGAAGGCTGTGGTAAAGGATCAGGAGACGCTCCTGGTAGAGGAAGTGGTACTGCATTTGTCCTTACTAATAACAATGTTGTCAATAGGCAAAATAGGAGTAGTGAATTGTGCTGAGAGGTCGATGACATTGTGTATTGAGAATTAATTATATTGTCGAGTATTTTTTTTTTTTCCAAATTGTGGCCCAGCCCAGACCATCAAAGACAATAGAGACAATAAGAACAATGCAAATTGCTTGGTGAAAAGAAAGTTATGGATGATTGTTTATGTTTCTGAGTTTGCAGCTCCAGAACATTATATACCATTGGCATAAAAGGCCATCCATTCCCCATGTTGGGGACAAATCGCCGCATAATGCAAGTCACTTTGTATAGAAAAAAAATAACCAAGAAGAATAAATGGCGAAAGAGACTACAATCAACGGCAAGGCAAGGCAAGGCTTAGTCTCGTCCCTTTCAAGTAGTTATTCTTTAGGGGAAAATAAGTTCTCATCATCAAAAAGGGCTCTAAAATGGAACAAAAAAGAGGAGTCAAAAGTGCTTTTCGATTCTTGTAAGCGGACCGCGGACATTGCACATGGACCACTGTAAGACGGCAGAATTCTCCTAACAACAGTAGTCAAACATCTCAACCATTGCTATTACGTTTTTTTGAAATATTTATTTCTATAATATATACAATAATTCATCTATTAATTATATAATGCTAAATAATATACTCATGAAAAGGCTAAATTGGATCCTTTTTCTTTGGTGATTGGCCTGCTAACGGCACGCTTTGCCATCTTACTTTTCATTTTTTTTCATCTTCTTCCTCTTTGCAAGAATATGCTTTGATATGGGGTTACCAATCATCAACCAATGGCTTTTGGTAAAAATCACTTTCCAATCAAAGGAAGAACCGTGCTTGTTGCCGGTGGGTCTCAGGGAGCAGGTCTTGAGGTGGCAAAGCTCCTTGCCAACAAGGAAGCAGCACATATCGTCATCGCATCAAGATCAGCTCAAAAGCTTAAAAATGCGGTAGAAGAGATAAATAAATGCCATGACAGTCTGGAAAACAAGCCGTTGGTCAACTACGTTGCTGGAGACTTGGGGAGTTATAAAGGCTGTGAGTCAACAATGGATGAAACGATTGGATTATTGAATGGTGAAATACCGGATATCGTGGTATGTTGCGTGGGGTCGTCAGTTCCGAAATTGTTTGTCGATTTGACCCCGGAAGAGCTTGAATTGGGGATCAAGACAAATTACAACCCTGCATTGTTCTTATCCCATGTGCTTCTTCTGCGTATATCGTCTTTGTCTCCAGTGAACGGTGCTGATGGTGGTGTTGTTGCTGCCACTAAAAAATTCCCGTCCCGTCATTTGGTGCTTTTCAGTTCGGTTCTTGCCCATTTCTCGTTCATTGGGTATTCCCAATACTCTCCACTTAAGGCAGCTCTAAATAACCTTGTGTACACTATCAGACAAGAGGCAGCTTTGTATAACCTCCGTGTTACTCCGGCATTCCCTGGGAATTTCATGAGTCAAGGTTTCCTTGAAGAAGAAAAGACCAAGCCGAAAGTCACCAAAATGATTGAGGGTCCTTCAGATGCCATTCCCGCCTCAGAATGCGCACGACTTGTTGTGAAACAATTACAACAAGGTAATGAGTCCGCCACTACCGATTGGATCGGGTATGTATTGACTTGTTTGACTCCAAGGGCTGAGTTAAGTTGGGATTGGCCATTGCAAGTGTTTCTTGCAATGATATTGATGTTTGCTTCTCCTATTGCCCATCTTATTTTCAAAAGAGATATTAAATTACATTACCAGCTGGAAGAACAAAGTAAAGGTGACTCCTTGAAGGAGGATTGATTTTGTTCTTTCTTGTTCTTTTTCGCTATATATATATATATGTTTAATACTTTTATTATTTCTGTTCATTCAATCATCATTACACTTATTGAGGTAAAAGAAATTCATGTATTAATAATAAAAACATACAAAAACATTATGGGAGATGTGATAAAAAAAAATGAAAAAAAGAAGGAACGGAAATCATTGCACGGTATTCTCTTGTTTTTGAACCACTGAGGCTAAAACTTGACTGGATCTGAATGACAATCCTTTTGTCTTCTCGATAACTTCTTGGTAAACACTGGTAATTGGGTGGTTCATGATGATTGTACCCTCACTTTCATCAATCTTGGCGTTCATTTTAGAATCTCTGATCAATTTGGCAATCCATTTTTCTCCATCTTCGGTAGACAAGTCCAAGTAGTTTGATAATTGAGACAATTCAATTCTTTGATGCACACGGCAGTACACTTCAGAAATCAAGTATCTGGCATTTTCAGCAAAGTTGGTGGCACCACTAGCAAGGAAGAAGTCGGTCTTGATCACCGCAGTAGCTTCACTTAATTTGTCACGAGCCAATTCAAAGTCATACTCGATATAAAGGGCCTTGATGAATTCGGTGAGAGGATCATTGTATTCGTATTGTTCTTGACCAACCACACGGATCAAGTCCTTCAATCTCTTTTGGAAAGCTGGAGAGCTGGATTGTGATTTTCTAGATGATGAATAAAGACAAACCACCGCGGCAACCAAGTAACGGGAAATCCAAGGGCATGAGGCCTGGATGGTAGATAAGTACGATGAGCTGAAAAACAAGTCACATAATTGATCTAAACCGTTTTCAGTGTTGAAGAATGGGAAAAGAGACCAGTGGATAATCCAGGTTCTATTGTGGAGTTGCATGAGAGGGTCATTGAAAGATCTTGAATCAACCACTTCACGCAACTTGCTCAACTCTTGTAAAGCGGTGTCCCATTGTAAACTGATGATTTCTGAGGCCAATCTACCCCAAGTGGCGCTGACAATAGCATCGACATTGGTCGACAACACTCTGAAGTTGTTCAACAAATCAGAGGCCATAACGTAATCACCACGGTTATATTGGAATTGGGCAAAATCGTACAAAGCCTTGATCTTGGCTTGGGTGATCCCGTGTTCTTTTTCCAAATATTGGGTGTTGTATTCTTTATCTTGTTTCAAATGGTCTTGCACTGATTTATCAGACAAAATATTCAATGTTTCTTTGGTTTCTTTGTCCAATTTTTCCAATTCACTTTCGACAAACGTTTCTTTGGCCAAAAGCTCTTCTGGGAAAGGTTTACCTGGGTTCAAAATCTCGAACTGTTGCTTGACAAAAGTTGTCATGTTGGTGTCCTTCAATAAATCATAGACAAGTCTGGTAACTATTTGATCATTGTACAACAAATCAAGGGATTCAAGCAATGGGTAAATCAAATGACGATCCAAGAACTGGCTGATCTTCCCGGTCAAGTCGTACTTGCGGGCGATCTCGAGCTCCTTGGCAGTCAACTGGGATTCAGTATTCTCGCTCATTGTCAATATAATATAATGTATTATAATATATATCAAATACCTGTGATGGTCGTCAAATTCTATGTGGTTTGAAAATTTTTTTGGGATTTCTCTTCCAAACATCCGTGCACCGAATTGAAGAGGAAAAGGCCTACTACACCCAAACATCAGAAAACGCGTCAATCAGAAAGAAAAATAATTTTTGGTGAATTACTTAAAATCAAGCAAAACACGAAAAACGTTTTATTGATAAGAACCAGGTCAATCATGGCAGAACAAGAGTATCTTGATAAGAAATTGTTCGAGGAAAGTCTTCCTGTGAGTGTTACTGTGTATACTCTATCCTTGTGGTTATATACTAACTGAACCAATGAAAAAAGGTAACTTTCAGACTCTTGAGTAGAGAACTCAATGTCAATGCGAACACTGCAAAATCATGGCTCGCGGCTTTCTATCAATCGCATCAGAACCAAATTTTGCCATCTTACTTGTTAGCAGGAACCAAAAAACGCTCGCCTCATCTCATCTCAATAACAGTAGTGCCTGATCTGTCTAGTGAAAATATCCCCAAGACTGCCAAAGAAGTGGAATCTCTTTTGACCTCCACCAAGGAAACATATGAAACTATCAAGAGTTGTCATATTTATAGTCTTAGTCCCGTTAGTGTACCATTGACAATAACGGAAATTATCACCGGGACAGAAGCAACTATTTCTGAAAAGTTCAATATCAATGAATGCCGTGATAAGCTTGAAACCTGGGGAGTAATCAAGAACCCAGACCCATTACCAGATTTCTCTGCTGTGTCAAAAAAGAAGAAGAATATGACCACAGTATCGAATAATCTTAAGAAGGAAGCACCAGTGAAGAAAGAAGCACCATCAACAGTAAAGAAAACCTTTGATACTGGATTGACCACAAAATATGTGTCGCGTAAACAAGCCGCTGGTTCAAATAATAATAATAGTTCCAACTCGAAGAATAATGTGATATCCTCGATGAAGTCCAGCATGAGAGATACAAATCGTTCCAAGACTGATCCCTTACCGGCAAAGAAAACTTCGAAACCAGCGCCAACAAATACTACAATATCCAAGCCTGCATCATCGTCATCAGCATCTAGTGGGTATAAATATGTCTCACGTAAAGATGAAAAATCAAAACCAAAAGAAAAGGTTATTGTGTCCGAAAATCATGTGAAATCCGAAATTAAACAAGATGAGGAAGATGTTGATCTCAGTGCGGTCAAGGCAAGAAAGGCAAAGGAGGAAATCCAGCGCAAAGAATTGGAGCAAATGTTTAACGATGATGATGCTGATGATTTCGGTGATGATTTAGATGAAGGTGATATTGTGGAAATCAAAGAGGATGCTGGGGAAAAGAAGAAAGAAGTTATTGATAGTACACCAATCACCATCAATTCCACTTCCATCAAAGAAAAAGAAATCATCAGTGTGAAGACCCAAACGCAAGATGAAACAATTTCTCAACTCAACGAACTAGTAAACGATGAAGACGACGAGAAAATTGAAAGCTACGTTGATGAGGATGGATATATGGTGTCCACCCGTAAAATGAAACCTACAAAGCCAAAGAAAGCACCATCGCCACCAACTGCCAAGCCAAAGGCTAGGACCTTGAATAGTCTGGGCCCTGCAAAGAAGCAGAAACAATCTACAATCATGAGTTTCTTCAATAAGAAATGAGAGATGGTTTCAGGTACAGCTTTTTAGTGGCTAGCTTATTTTGTAATATATGTATACGAAAAATTAAAGATACTAATTATTGTGCATTGATATTTTAGCCAAACTATAAGACAGCAAAAAAGACGAAAGAAAATGACATAATACCAAAACTAGTCCAGGCATTATTATTAATTAAAAACTGTTTCAAAATAGAACAAAGAAGTAAAATTTTCTTTCTCCCTCAGTCCACATTTGTATAGGATTTGTCCATAGCAGAACGCATGCTGGATAATTGTTTAGGTAAAAAAAAAAAACTAATTTTGAAGAAACCAAAAAATAGAGAAAAAAAAATGGCTTAACATTTATATATATATATATATATATATATATATATAAACATATATCTTCGCTTTAACAACAGGTATACACGAAAAATAATACCAACCAACCCATCTGATTATTCTCCACCACGTTGTTGACATAAAGTTGCACACCCCCTCCCTCCCCGGAATGCACCCTGTCCTGTCACGCAGTGTTTACCCTCGGTGCTGCCCCAAAGTGACGTCTTATTGTTGCTCTCCAGCAATTTGGTTGCTCTGTATATCTATACCGACACAAATATATATAAGCTGCCGCACACATATATATATGACATATCTATATAAATATATTGAGCTCTTAAACCTGGAGATCAACTGAGTGTAAAGATCTGTTCTCAATCAACTTTAGAAACTTCATAATACCAATATTATTAACATTATCATGTCTCGCTATCTCAACAAATATTTCTTCACTGGTGCCGTAATTGGTGGAGGCTCGATGTACTTGTACCAACAGAAACAAGAGAAAAGACGCTTGGATCTCTGGGCTTCAGCTTATCGCAATGATAACGAAGATGTTAGTACTGCCATCAAGAACCGAGCAGAACGTTTGAACCGGGACTTCAAGAGCGATGCCACGGAAGCATTTGATAAGACCAAGGCGTCGATTAATGATGCCAAAGATGTTGCTGTGAAGAAAACTACTAGCGCCAAAGACTCAGTGGTCGATGGTGTTTATGGAGTGAAGAATGCTGTGGTGCATACTGCCGAGTACACCAAGGACCAGATTTCCGGGGAGGCTGCCCAGGCCAAGAAGGATGCTGAAGCAGCAAAAGATTCCTGGTTCAAATGGGGTCAACAGAAAACTGATGAAGCCAAAGGTACCTTGGACCAGGCAAAGAAGGATGCTGATGCGAAAGTGCAGGACTTGAAGAAAGATGCTGAAGCCACCAAGAGCTCCTGGTTCAGTTGGGGTCAACAAAAGAATAATGAGGCCAAGGAAAAATTGGATTCTGGTCGCCGTGATCTTGAAGGAAAAGTTGACGAAATCACCAAGGAGGCAGAAAAAACTAAACTGTCTTGGTTGAGTTGGGGCCAAAAGAAGTCCGACGAGGCAAAACTGGAGATTGACTCGAAATATGATCAATTGAAGACTACTACTAACCTGGAGCTAAGCCATTTGAGGAGTGACATTGATTCCGAGGCTGACAGAGCCAAGAAGAATGTCGATGAGTTTGGTGCCTGGAGCAAACGTCAGATCGATGAGAAGGCCAAATTGACCAAAAATATCACTGAAGAAGAATTGGCCAAGCTTAACAAGGTATCATTAAGCGGCTGGGGTGAATCAGCTGCACAATTTGCGGAAGACGAGTACGAGGAAGCTAAAAAAGCAAAGAATTAGGAAAAGAAAGCACCCAATAAAATTTATATTGTTCTGTTTGATTTTGATTTTTCACATTAGTTGCTACCACCTCTCGGAGACTTTTGGGATGAAGAGGTTTTATTATGTATATATATAAAATCTTTAAATGGTACGAAAATGATATCTTTGGTTGTGTTTTGTAGCTTATTACGAATGATGATGGGAAGCGAAGGTCACAGGGTCTGCTGATTAAGCAAGGGAAAAAAAAAAGAGCCACAGTAAAAATTACAGGCACACTGCCGAAGAGATAAGACGTAGATCTCTTTATTCTATATATTTTCGCTGTTTATTCGTTTTATTTATTGTTGATTTTTTTTCTTTTGGCTCGGCTCTATCCCTTTGCTTTCCATTTTGCTTACAATTTTTGGCATATTCCATACATGATTGTTATTCATTGCTATTTCGATTTCTAGATAAGGACAAAAAAAATACTACTCGATATCATGAGTTCAAAGAAGATCCGATCCTACCAATTACAAGAAGATGATGAGATCAATGAGTCTCTGGTATTCTTAAGATCAAACCCTGCTTCCACCTCAGATGAGGAAGAGAGTTTACAGGTGCAAACTTTTGAGGCTCCAATTTCTCAACATGATGAAGATGAGGATTATTACATTAATCTTTCGGAATCGAAGGTTCTTGCTCACAAAAAGGAGAACTTGTTCAAGATCACTTTGGTTTCTATGATGTTCTTCACTGCATTTGGTGCAGCCATGTCTCCATTAGTGACCTTACAAATATCCAAGATCTGTCGTGACTTGTTTAGTTATGGGCCAGATGGTAATACAAATTCTACAGGATTATACTATACCCATAATTGTGATGCCGTCAAGGCCCAGCAAGTTAATTCCCGTGTCCAGTCAATGTTTTTAATCCTTGCCTGTCTATTGGCCATGCTTACTGCCGGTAAAGTGGGCCAATTATCCGATGTTCATGGACGTAAAAAGATCTTGAGCATTTGTTTGAGTTTTGTTGCCTTGCAAGCAAGTCTTATGGCTTTCTTGCTCGGTGATCACGTCCCTTTCAACTTTTATGTCTTTGTCATTGCGAAATCTCTCGATGGCGCTGTTGGGGGTATCAAGGCGATCATTGGAATCTTTAGAACCTATACTATTGATCTTGCCGATCCTAAGGACCGGGTTGCTAGTCTTAGTGTTGTTGGAGGGTCAGTGTATTTTGGATTTGCCGTTGGCCCAATTATAAGTGCTTTTATTAGTAAAGTCAGTGGGGGTAACGATTTTTACATTTTATATTTCGAAATCATTGGAATTCTATTGACCGTGATTTTCCTTGTTATATTTGTTCCTGAAACACATTATTCTCATCTTAAACATCATCCGCGCAGCTCCAAATCCATCTTTCATACTTTCAAATGCATCAAACTATTTTATATTCCGGAATCACGGCCTCGTCGCATCAAGGTTTTATTGGTATTGGTAATCAATTTGATAATCAGTGGGACTTTGCAGACGGCCGGCCAAGCAATCGTGCTTTGGTCAACATTGAAATTCCATTGGGGAACCGCAGAAATCGGGTCTTCTTTATCATTCATGGGAGCGTGCCGAGTGATCAATTCTTTTGTGACCGCCCCGGCCTACATGAAGCTTCTTCGAAGTGGAGGCTATATTCTGAACTCCATTGAATCCCACAATGGGCTTACGAAAGTGGATATTTTCAATATACAGTTTGCCTCAGTGGTGACATTGTTGGAAGTGTTGATTGTCCTTTATGCGGATTCTGAAAAATGGCTCTATTTGGCCATGGCTGTGGGGTCTTTCAATGTCCTCAGTGGATCTACCATTCAAACTGCCCTTGTCAAGTTATGTCATGAAAACATTACTTCTCATGGGGATATAGAAGGTGGTGCCTCGGATACCAAGACCGGTGAATTATTCGGGGCTTTGAGTTTATTGGAGACCCTCTTTATCATGCTCATGGGGAGCGTTGTTATGATAACTTTTTCAAAAACCGCGTCAACTAATCCAAATTTCTGCTTTATGTTACTATTTTTGATGGTTTTGTTTGCAGTAGTCTGCGGGTTTTTTTTGATACCGGATGATGGCGATGATTCAATTAGAGAGGATTATGAAGAGCAAGAATAAGCTGAGTCCCTCAACTTTCTATCTCTCCTTTTTTGGGTTCAAGTGTATACTATATTCCGTTTATTTTTCTCATATTTCTTTTTGTTTGTGCTCATTGCTCTTCTGGATTATACGTATTGTGTTTGTTAAGGTTTTTACATTGTGTAAATTGTTTATTTTGGTATTTGTAACTTTATAATTACTGCGCATTTGTAGTGGACGCTATTTATTACTACAAGGATTTATTTCAAGTGAAGCAGAAATATCACTTATTGCTAATTCACACATGTTTACTCTAAAAAATAAAAAGAAAAAATATTCCAAAACAATAATTCTTGAAAGCAGCCAAACAATCCAGGCGGCATGTGGCGCATACCGCAGTTTTTCTCCAACATGCCTTTTAACGTTGATGCGGCAGATCAAGTAATGAGTAAAGAAAATGGAAAAATTTGGGCCTACAAATGAAAAAAAGAAAGAAAATTGGAAAGTGTTAGGAATTCCTGTTACAGTAATAGCCTTGTTAGAAAAAATGGATGGTATCTGGAGAATGTGCAAAAACTCATGTAGCCAAGGAATGCAAATTTTGACAGCCATTTATATAAACTCAAAGACGTCCATCAAAATATACATTTGTTCTCCTCTTTGTTTTGTTTTTTTCAGGAATATTATCATTCATTTTCAATTATCATTTACTTCTAAACAATACATATAACTATAATGAAGCTCGAATTTTTGCCAATCGTTCTTTTGGGTCTAGCAACCGTTAGCTCATCTGCTCCAATTGATTCAAGAGTAAATTCCCAAGATATCATCAAGAGAGCTGACGTGACCCCAGAGGAAAGCAAGGTGATCTCCAATGGCATTGATCATGTCGAAGAAAATGCATCTGAAATCAAGCAGAGGCTCCAAGCTTTGGAAGAAAAAGCTAGTGCGCAAATTTCCAAGGATAAGGCGGCGGCGGCTCAGAAAGGAATCTCTGCTAAGAAAGCTTTGTTGCTTGGAGGAGGCGCTGGTCTTCTTGGTAGTATTGGCGGTAGTTACTTTGGTGGTAAGGCAGGAGGCTTTGTTGGGGGTACTGTTGGTGGAGTGGTTGGTGGAGAAGCAGGTGCTAGTATACATGATAAAAACTCTACTCTGGTGGCTTCTGTTCATTGAGAGATTTTCCATTAATTTTTATTTGTTTTACATTCTTGCAAGCTACTCTGGTAAGTAGCCAGCTCATTCGTTCATCTTCTTTCAGTTCTTTATTATTATAATATTTATTTACTTATACAATAAATTCTACTTATCAATGAATTTTCAATTACTGCAAGTAAAAAAGAAAGAAGCTCTCCTTTTATTTGTAGCAATATTCAAAAGAATAGTGTGGAGTTAGATTTGAACCTACATATTATTAAGAACAGATTCTTCGAGCCGTGCATAAATTTATATAACAAGATCAATACCCCATTTTCTTCTTATAAAAATTATATAACATAAATAAATAGTGTTGAGAATTAAATTGGAATTGAATTTGGATCACCATAGTAACTTCAAAACTCCAAACGGACAATATGATCAGGAATTTCCTTTATCTTTTCTTCAGAAATATGCCTAAATACCAAATATCTCAAACTTTTGATTTCTTTCAATAAGTCCAATTCACCCCCTCCCCTCCTCCCTCCATAGATTTTTATTGCACTGTAAATCTAACGCTCATAATTTTGGAGTAACAAGATTCGGAAAATGATCAATGCCACATCCACGGAGGTTCAAATAGGTCATCAGTGGCCAGTTCAAAACAACACTCTCTCAATAAATCCCCTTATAGTGAATATCCCTCCAAAAATTCGAGATTCAAGATTCCCTCGACTAATATTATACGGTTATCCGATAAAGGAAGCTCTATGAGTCTCATATATATTGCAAGCCATCTTATGACATTTATTCCCGTGTGAGACAACATGCAAACTTCCAAGTGTATCTATCATATTGCCAACAGGAGTAATATCGTCTATTTCAGTATGTTTAATTTCACATTTTTTTAATGTTTTTAAATCCATATCCAATAATTCCAAGTGGTTAGGACTCTCAAAGTGCAACACTAATTTTGTCAAAGACAGAAATTGACTCCCGTTGATTTAGGATAATAGATTTCCAAAGCATTTTTATTCTCAATTTCCTGTACCTTTTTACAGCTATACAGGAACAGCTGAATAAGCTTAAATTTTCATCATCATAGTAAATTTCAACCTTATTAGAAACAAAATTTCATAAGAATTTAAGAGATTTAATATTTTGATTTTCAATTCGTTTGGTAGTCTCCAAAACGAAAACACTTAAAGTCAGAACACATAATTGGGAGTGATTGATCAGAAACACATGTTGGTGATTGAGTTGTAATTGAAAACAATTAAAAAGTTCAGTACTATGAACCAAATTTAGAGCCTTTATATTATAGAACAGAAAAATAAAGCAAAGAATAATTTAGCAGTCATATTAATAATGTGAATTGCGCTTGATAGTGAAGCTCTCAACTCTGCTATCATTTTGTTACTTTTGAAATAATGATATTTGCATGTACGAGCTCGAATCCACTTCAAGATACTAGCATATGACTTAATGTATTAAGAAAATTGTTTCCATATATTTTATGAGTAAACGGTCATAGGGAACTAAGCTTTCCAATACCGTGATCGTCAATTCATTTGGTAGAAAAATTCCAGTGCGCATGATTACAATTTTTGATAGAACATTCAAGTATCTATCAGGATCTATGACTTCATATGGAGGTTGTATAAATATAAAAGAGAAAAATAAAAGCTAGAGGCAATCATGCTCAATATTAATATTACATTTTGTGTTGCATTAGGAAGTTGTAAAATTTGTATTTGAACATATACACATTGGGATCCACCAAAAGTATTAAAATATGAGACAAATGCCATAGACGAGTGTCCAATTAAAAAAAGGAAAAAAAATGGAAAGATAAAAATAGACATTCATCTATGGTATCTAATCTATTGTGACGTATCCCCGTCAACAGCAAATACAATCGTTGGGTGTCATAAATGTCGCCCCGGCGCCTTCTCCTGCGTAGAACAATCAATATGCAGAGAATTCGGCATTTCAATGCATATGAAATAGGCGACATTCCAACATCGCCTTACACCGAGGTGTCAAACAAAAGGAGGATTGAAATCTATATAAGGAGGCAAAAATTTTAAAAATGAGCATTCAATAATTATCATAATTCTAAACCCATCACTTGTTTGCAACATTTATAGCCTATAACGCACAATTAACACAACATGAAGCTCTCAGTTGCTGTTATTTCCTCCATTCTTTTGGCATCTGCCACAACTGCTGCCCCAATTCAACAAAATGCTACTCTTGAAAATAAAGACTACAATGGACTCCCGCCACCTCCTTCGCCTCTATCTCCACCTCCATCTCCCCCTTCTCCAAATAATGGTCCGGGTGGTCCAGGTAGTCCAAACGGTCCAGGTCACCCAGGTCTGCATGATGTAACTAACTCTACCACTACCATTTTAAAGAGGGAAATCCAACACATCAACAGTACCAGTGTTGAGCAAAAGGGTTTTTTAGGTGGTATCATTGGTGGCTTGTTGGGTCCAAATGGCCCTCCGCCACCACCTCCAAATAATGGTCCAGGTGGTTTCGGTAGACACGATGTTGTTAACTCTACCTCTGCTTCTACCTCTGCTTCTACCTAGATTTAATCCATGACATTCTACAAGACATTTTATCCTGGTGCTAAACTATCTTGTGTCTCATTTTGAATTCTGGGCGAAAAAAATTCATTTCATATTTTTTCCTTCACTATGCCAAATAGTGGAAATTCAATTCTCTAAAATCATATCTTATGGTTTTTATTATGATTATTTAATTTTCAATTGTTAGTTAGCTGGAACAAATGTTGGCAAATATAAGTTAACCCATTAACACAAAGAACCCCCTGGAGCTTTTTAAAAATGCCCTCATTTAAAAATTATTATTCATTATTGTCATCATCTTTAAAGGATGTTTCTTGAGATAGCTGACCAGATTCGTTCTGTGGTTTATGAGATTTCGGTTAAACATTATTGACTCCGAGATGCAATATCGGAAGTAACAATTCCATTAATAACTCTTGAGAAAGAATTTGTTTTTTTTATTTCTGCTAGTATTCCAGGTATTTCAGTAGATCCACCTTGAACCAAACTTACCAAGGCATCACTGTAGTTATAAACTACCGAATCATTGATGTTCAAATGACTGAACTTTTTCAAAAAGTTTTTGGCCTTTGGCAATGCGTCTTGCAATAAATAAATTTGGACAATCACTGAGAAAACTTCCAAGTTCAACTCATCGTGGTTTTCCATATTGATATCCGGAGTCAAGAGCTCGATAGCGTCATCGTAGCGTTGGTATTGCTTGACAAGTACAATGGCGGCGAGAATCTGGGTTAATAATGAAGGTTTATTGGATTTCGCATAACTGACAAATTCATCAGCGATTGACTGATCACCAATATGTATACTGAAAGTGATCAAACCCTTGGCTGGTATTTACTTGTGAAGGATAATAAATAACTAGCATAGTTTAATCATCAGTATAGCATGCACATATCTCTATTGTTCTTGTATCAACTCTTACTCTTTTCTTCTTCTTGTACTTTCTATTACTCTTTTTTTTTCAATTTAATAATACTCCTTTGCTAACGTCTACCAGGAGTGTCTGGTTCCAATTGTTGATGATTATCACCTTATTGCATAGTTTTATTTAACAACAGGGTGTTCCGGAACACGCGGCACCTGACAAAAAAGAAGATAATTTACAAATCAGTTGATACTCTTAGTGGTATATGCTTTTGCAAGGCAGAATATTCATAATTGGTGAAAAAAAATACGTATTATTTGATATTCATCACAGTGGATCGACAATTCCCAGGATATGAGATGATAAATTACGGTTGGGGATATCCTCCGCATATATCGGGGAAATAAATAACACACCAATAACCGTAAATATATTGGTAATCCTCTGTTAATAAGAAATACTATCATAGTGATAAATATGATAAATAATAATAATGATAAATAATAATAATGATAAATAATAATAATGATAAATAATAATAATGATAAATAATAATAATGATAAATAATAATAATGATAAATAATAATAATGATAAATAATAATAATGATAAATAATAATAATGATAAATAATAATAATAATGATAAAAAGAGGAATCACCCAAAGTATGGTTGAGCAGCCCTGTATATATACGACTGGGTACGACAAAAAGCCCTATCAATTTTCCAGGATTTATAATGAAAAAAAAAAAAAAACCAGAGGAAAAAAACCTGGTGATAACAATAACATCAGCAACAACATTCTTTTCTTTGTTTGAGTTACTCAGAAGACAAATAAGAAATGGAGGTCCTAACTGCTTCTTTTGCTAACACCACCGCATCTTTGCCATTCAACCAATACTTGAGTGACTTTGATTTCTCTCAAGTATCATGGTTGAAAGTCATTTTGACTACTCTTTGTCTTGCCATGGTCTACGATCAAGTTTCGTACCAACTTTCTAAAGGTAACATTGCTGGGCCTACTTTCAAATTCTACCCATTCATTGGGCCATTCTTGGAATCTTTGGACCCTAAGTTTGAAATTTACCAAGCCAAATGGAATTCTGGTCCTTTGAGTTGTGTTTCTATTTTCCACAAGTTTGTCGTCATTGCCAGTACCAGAGACTTGGCCCGTAAAGTCCTCAGTTCCCCAAAGTATGTGAAACCATGTGTTGTTGATGTTGCAGTCAAGATCTTGAGACCTTCAAACTGGGTGTTCCTTGATGGTAAGGCCCATGTTGATTACAGAAAGTCTTTGAACGGGTTGTTCACTCGTCAGGCCCTTGAAATGTACATTCCTCAACAAGAGAAGATTTACGACAAATATCTTTCAAAGTTCGTGGAATTGTCAAAAGATGGTCCAATTCCTTTTTTCCACGATTTCAGAGAAATCATGTGTGCTGTTTCTTTGAAAACTTTCTGTGGTGATTATATCACCGACGATCAAATTAGAAAGATTGCCGATGATTATTATCTTATCACTGCGGCTTTGGAACTTGTCAACTTCCCAATTATCATTCCTTACACCAAGACCTGGTACGGTAAGAAAACTGCCGATATGGTCATGAAGATTTTTGAAGGATGTGCCGGTAAAGCTAAAGAACACATTAAGAACGGTGGTGAGGCAATCTGTGTCATGGATGCCTGGGTTGAATTGATGGAAGAAGCCAGAAAGAACAAGTCCGATAACCCAGAATCCAAGTTGTTGGTTCGTGAATTTTCCAACAAGGAAATCTCCGAAGCTATTTTCACCTTTTTATTTGCCTCTCAAGACGCTTCTTCCGCTGCTACTTGCTGGCTCTACCAAATTGTTGCCGACAGACCAGATGTTGTTCGTAAGATCCATGAAGAACAACTTGCCGTCCGTGGTGGTGATCCAAACGTTCCATTGTCTCTTGATCTTATTGAAAAGATGACCTACACTAACATGGTGGTCAAGGAAACTTTGCGTTACCGTCCACCAGTCATCATGGTCCCATACGTTGCTAAGCAAAAAGTCCCATTGACCGAATCTTACTCTGCTCCTAAGGGCTCCATGGTGATTCCAACTTTGTACCCTGCTTTGCACGACCCAGAGGCTTACGAAAACCCTGAAGAATTCATCCCTGAACGTTGGGTTGCTGGGGGTGCTGCCGAACAAGCCAAGAAGAACTGGTTGGTCTTTGGTACTGGTCCTCACGTTTGTTTGGGTCAACAGTACGTCATGTTGTTGTTTACTGGTTTGATTGGAAAATCCGTGATGTTTAACCACATCAAGCACAAGGTTACTCCATTGAGTGAAAAGATCAAGGTCTTTGCAACAATTTTCCCACAAGATGATTGTATTTTGGAATTCTCCAAGAGAGATGATCCTACTGTTTTGGATGCCGTTGTTGCCCACTAATTATGATAGGTGATTTTGAGTGGCGTTATGTTCTTGGATGCTTTCACACTTTTTATATTATTTGGTTTTTCTTTTGTGATTATGTGCTGTGTTTTAAAAAATATTTACATACTTGGTGTGTTGGATAAAGACCTTGATGGTTGCAACTTGCCAAAAAAGCAAAATTAAATGTTGAAATAATGGATGTCGAGAATTTCTTTCAATACAGTTTAGGTCTTCTTTCGTTATCTTATCGTATATTTTGGTATATTATATCTTTACTCCAGTGAGCTTTTCATTAATTTGATTTTGTTTTTCTTTCTTTTTATTTTGTTTCAACCTGTTGATTAGAAGTGTTTTATTGCCTGTCATTGTTGTCAACTTCCCCGAAATGTTCATTGACTTTATTTTTTTTTATTTTTTATTTAATCCTGAGTACGAAGGTTTCATAGTGATTGAAGTTCTGTTTTATCCTTTTGCGTTATTTAATTAATTAATATATATATGTAGATCCATTTCTAATTTTAGTGATTGTTTTTTTTTCTCTTATTGATCTCTCAAATTTTTTTCATTTTTGATGATGTACCCTCCCAATATGACGAACCTTACTCTTTTCTATATATATTTACTGATTTCACCTGCAAATCTCCAATATCGAAAGAGAGGATGATTATCGAGTGATAATCCTGGAGATTGTCGATGATCTGTCATGCAAGATATACGCCCAAGAGAATTAATTGTAGCGCCAAATAAGCTAGTCAGCATCAATCTTAACATTGGTAAGAGAAAGTACCAATACCAATGCCAAAATCAGTGACGCCTTTTTTTATACCAACATGAGAAATGGGTTTCATTAATTTTCAACGTACCAAATTCAAAAATGTTTGCATATTTGAGGGTCCCCGAAAATGATTTAAACAAATATTAGCAAAAATTCTACCCAATAACCCATAGTACAATCAACTAACATTGTGAACCATCTATTTACCTTATTGTCTCTTTTTCATGTCCTCCCACTATTATCCTCGTCATTAAGAGTCACCATCATTTTTCTTCTTCTGTTGCAACCCTGTTTTCTTTTCTGTTAATTCTATTAGTATCTGCTTCAAGCTTCCCAACTTATAACTGGTCTCTACATCCTCCGTCACCCCTAACTCTTCAATCGTTGCCAACATTTTCCGAATCTTTTCCGAAACTGCGTGTATTATTGTTCTCTTGGCTACCAACTTTGCATACTGCTGGTACTCTTCTTGAGATTTCCTCTGTATCACATCATACATTTCTCTATGAGTACTCAATAACCCAAGATTATAATCAATCACGTCTTCTCTAGTAGCGTTCATGATGGTTTGGATCGATACTTCATAATGGTTCAACAAATTCACCACTGTCTTAATATACCCCGTGGTGCTTTCAAGACGGCTCATGAGTTCGGCATTTTTGGATTTGATTTGATTGAGCTTTATTGTTTTCGTGGCCGTGGTGTTATTATCATGATCGAGTTTTATCGATAAGGTGTCGATACTAGTGGTGATAGACGATTGGATCAACGCTTGTTCTTGGGCAAGTTGATGAACTTGGACTACCAAATCATATAGCGGAGTAAGATTCTCTGTATGTGGGAGGTTTGGAGTCGACATTATTCTTATTAATTATCTATATTACTTTGACTTAGCAGAGTGTCGCCTGTAGTTTTTCATAAGGGAAGTATCTAACTTCTCTTTTTTTTTTTTGTTATTATTTGTGTGCCGAGTGCGCTTAGTTTTTCACGATTATCGTTCAGATTATCAATTTAATCAGCAGCAATTTCTACTCCAAAATTTGGGGAGTATGATATTTGTTGTAGAAGTGACATTAGAGGTTGTTATACTTGGGTCTAGCTCATTTATATGAGCACCAGCAAGCAGCATCTTCAACTATGATTGTTAGCACGATGTTTATTTGGAGCAACTGATCACCACCAGCAACAAGCATTATAACTATAGTTGGTTGTTGGAATTATATTTATTGAGAAGTGATATTAAATCTGGTTTAATTTGCTCCAAGTTCATCAAAAAGTTGTGTGTCTAATTAAGTTCTAGTTCAACTTGATTATGTGAAAAGGTATTTTTAAATCATTATGTTTTATTGTTTTTTTTATTATTCCAATTTTATGTAGTGGTTTTAGACGCCCTTTTCATCTATGTACTGTGACTGTAGATGAAACAAGCATATTGAAGAGCTTGGTGCTATTAGTCATTAACCTCAACATAAAGCCAGTACACCGGAGAAGCCAAGAGTTTGCAAAACTTGCTGTAGAAAATTCTTTTTTACAAAACACTATTATTTGGTCTGTTGACATGGAATTCGGTATGTAGAAATATCTAATACATGTATCATGTAACAGAGTGAAAAACCACATCCACGACCTCATCAGTGGTTATTCTGTATTTTTGGCTCTGTCCAATTAGTTTTTGAATAATCTAGCTCTTTCAACTCTACTACCTTCTCATTTTTCCCTGAATTAGTTGCTGATGATTTCCTTATTTTTCCTAGTAGCCTTGACCTTGATTCTGGTTCTTGTTCTGATTTTTCTAGCTGTCTTGCTGGTTTTGGTGATCTAAATTCTTTTCAAGATAGCAAATGTTATGGAGAATTATGAGCTTTACATTGATACAGGTGTTTCTTGATCTGAATTATAAGAATTTTTGTTGCCATTCATAACATTTCGCAGAATTCAAAGGATGTAATTTTATGATAGTGGTATGTACTAACGTATTTCTGGTTATTGCGGTGGCTGTATCGCTTATTGACACGATGATTTGGATGTTAAAGGTGTCACACAAATAGTAAGTTGCTTCATTAGACTAATTGTTTTTTAACATGGAAGGCTGAGATATATGCTGACTATTCAGATTGCTTCATTCTTAACTGCTTTACCATTGCTCAAACTCCACAAGGACGCATAGAATATCTCAATTGCCGCACAAACTATTTAGAAATTCTCGGATGTGCCTGATATCGACTCACTGCATTGCGCGGAGAGAATATTTACCGATATCATGGGCGCTGGGGGAGACAGTCAAAATAATTTAACCTATTGAAATCTTCTGCAATTGTTGTGGCAGGTATCCCAAACACTAAGGTTGTGGTAACAAATCATGGGGAAATTAGGAGTAAAGCCTGGACTAGTAACTCTGGTGCCGGGGACTTTATTGCCCGTCCAGGTTTCAATACCGCGAAAAGCAATGTCAGAAAACAACATGGAATACTACTGTCAGTAATCAACTTTTTTGGTCGGGAGCTTTGTTGTTTGAGCTAAAGACTTCAAGTTGGGAAATGAATAGGGGAAAAAAAGAATAGCAACATGGAATTCAAGCAAAGGGTATAAAAGAAAATGAAAATGGTAATAACAATGATTGAATAGACATTTTATGATGAGAACGACGACTGAAAAGACATTTCGTAAGAAAAATCACAATTATAGAAAGAACGATGCCAACAATGGTAACAGGAAAATAATCTTGCAAGCGATCGTAGTGGTACAATTCCAAAATATCAATAATAAAGTGGAAAAAAATCTAATTGGACAGAACATCAATGGGCAAAAAAGGAGAAAGGTAATGATAGATAAATCATTCAATCAATTAACAATCCAGTCAACTAATCAACAATCAACTAATTAGCTAACAAAGCAGCATATGAACACAAAAAAAATGGAATCCTTAAACACCAAGTCAAAGAAATTAGGGAAAAAAATGAAAATAAAAAAAAAGAAAGGTTTCAAACATTAGACACAAAGCCCTTTTTTCATAATTGGGTCTTCCAGAAATTGCAGAAAATTATCCGTGGAGGTATATCAGTAGTTATTAGTTACGGCAATTAAACCAGCATTTCACAGCATCCAATAAAAATCCTAATTTCAAAGATCATCTAAATAAAATAATTTCAGAAGGACTCTATCTATCCCTTGTCCTCTTGATATTGTACTGTGGTTAATTGATTGCAAGAAACCACATTTTGAAGGCAAAAAATAGCAAGGTCTTGAACTTCTAGGAAAGAAGGATGTTGTTGAAGATTATTGAAGATTTGGATAAGATGAATTATGTATCTTTTTAAGTGATGAATGCCGGTGATTGTTTTCATTGCACTGAATATTCTGATATTTGATGTTTAGGCTTCGCAAGGTCCAAATTGCAGCGTCCGTGTTTAATTTTTCTTTATTTCATTCATTTTTTGGTTGGTGATTCATCGGCTGTACCTTTAGGGCCACCCTTTAGAATGAATATTGGCTGGAGTCAAATGATGAATGCTACTGATGCTGTTGTTGTTGGTTGTTAGTTGTTGTTAGTAGTTCTTAGCTGTCGTTGATTATCAGGTTGGTGCTTTACAATTAAAATGCCCAGCTTCCAGCTGATATTGGCACCTTATTTCTTATCTTTTCTTCATTCACGGGATCCTTATTGTTTTCAGTGGGAATTTCATTGTCATATTTTTTCATTATTTATATTTTTCTGCCACTACCATATTCCCTTAGTCTTCTCGTGATTAATCTAATTTTTCTTGGCTCCTTTTTAACACTATTCACAGGGACCTCATTGTTTTCAGGAATAATTTTGTTGCCATATTTTTCTGTCTTTCTAATATTTCCACAAATATTACCGATCATATTCCATTTTTGACTTTAGTGGTTAATTTTTCAGTAGCGATTTTTGGACATCTCATACCAGAGCCTTGATGAGTGGCTTGTGGAACTTACAGTTCTTTCTTGTTTGATGGGCTGTTGATTTTTTGTTTGCTTTGAAGGCAAATTTTTAAATATCCTAATTTTGACGCATTTGGCAGTGGTCATCCTAAAAATTTCAGTGTTATAGTTGACATTGAAGTAGCTCTTCAATATGGAAGTTGCTTTTGCTTGCTTTGTGCTTTCGGCAACGATAGCTCTGATAGTTGGTGAGAGCATTTTTTTTCTAGTGTTGTGGTTAGTTTGCCGTTTGTTCTGCTGTTAAGTTTTTTTTTGAAACCCCGAGTTCTAAAGAAGCTAAAAAATATTGACACTGACTTAGCTAGCTAATTACAACTTACTAAAAGTGATAAAGTTTTGATTTAATGTAAGAGCTCAAAATATTGAGTTTGTGAGCCGTGTGTTTGCAGAGAATTGTAGTAGTTTAGGTTTGGTAGTTTAAGTGAGTACAAAGTTCAGATTATGTTTGGAGATGATGTTTATTTTTGCTGGAAGGATTTTTACCCATCATCTACAAGTGTGCCACAAAAACAAGAATATTGCCGCAGGCTGACAAAAAAAAATTGCTCACTTGTGTAAACAAAACATTGAACAACTGATATTTTCGCTGACAACTATGCACAATAGTTCAATATATGATCATTTTTCTATGAATAAAAAGTAGGGTACTATACATAAGAGTTTCCTTAAACGTTTTTTTTCTTTACTTCCTGTTGTTGGACTTATTTTTCATTTTGGCATTTGTGCACAAAGAATGTTGAACAGATTCCGCGCAAGTGGAGCTTAACCATTGCAGAACCCCTGAACACAAATAAACAAACCCACACTTATTTTCTTTTTGACACAAAACAAAGCTTCGTGGAATGTAAATAATATTACGTTTGGAAAAATTGAAGCCTTTCAGTATATTTATAGATTCTGAATTTTATTATATGTTGATAATTGGTTGGTAAAGGTTATAAAGAGTCATAGAGGAATCTTTGGGAGCCTGCTTATAATATATATTATTGTCTATAATGTAAAACTTGATCACAGCAGACCCTTATAGCATTTAGGGTATCAAATCAGCAGTTGTTTAGCTTAAACATTTTCGCAAAATTGAGCAAGATGACGAAATTTTTGAGAGAATTCGTCGCAGTTTGGATGCTCTTGAAAACTTTGAATGAGGTAAAGGAAGAGGTAATGTGTAGGTCTCGAAATACTTATATTGAAAGCATCATTGACTAAACAAGCTCAGACTCATCTAGCTTGAGAAGTTTAATGAATGCCAGCGAGTCATACCTTCTTCTATATCAAAGGACAAGGTTTTTGATATCATCATTTCCTCTTAGGTATCAACAGACATATCTGTCTGTTAATGTCCAAATACTGACTAGTCATTGGAAAGTCAGGGTAAACAACAGATCAATTAAAGCAACATGCAGCACTGGCAGGTATTTGATTTTCTGCAAGTATTATAATATCAAGATATATTTGAATAGACTGGTTTTGTCGGTTGCTTTTAAAATGAGAAATTTATAATATAGTACTCTTGAGAGGCTGAAAAATATAATCAACAGTTGATGTTTTTTTGTTGTTTTGTTGTTTGTTTTTTTTCAAAAAGGACTTCCCCTCCCCCCTTCCCTTTCTACTGAATACCCTGATGCCTTACCCACGATTATATGAGATCTTAAAGCCATGAATAAGTGGTATAAACTACTCAGGTCCCCAGATCTGGCTCAAGTTCTGTGTGCCCAGTGTAGCTAGAAACATGAAGCATTGGCAAAAAGAAGTATGTGTTGAAAACAATAACCGATACTGGGGTGTAGCTGAATCAACACTATTTGAAACCCAGTTGAAGAAGAAATGAACAAACCTTCTCCTTGGTGGAAGGCTGAAGGGCATATTTCAATACGAGATTTGGATTTGTGATATGGTAACAATTAAAGAGTATGGTGATGAGTATTTCTAGGTGTACATTTTTTTTCACAATGTTATATTGTTGATGATAATAATAAAAGACCTTATTTCCTTTCTTTTTAAAAAAAAAATACCGATCGTATCACCAAGTATTCAAGTATCAATAATTTACTCCACTCATTAAATACAATAAACCATTTATGAGCAGTATAGTTCATACTAGGTAGACGAAGGCACTAGTGAGATTCAAGTATAGCAAATCGTCTGTACAAATAATTTTTTTTTTCTTTCTTTTCTTTGACTGTTCTTTATTATGACCTCTACTGATATTATCAGAAAAGCATATGGTTATTACGGCCGCACACCCTGACATCCCATCATAAGAAAAATTATTACTAAGGAAATGGCCAAAGATCGACAGATGATGCTACATTCCCTGGTTCCGCACTTTTCTGTCCATCCCTCCTCTGCGTGTCTTTCTGTACATGTATGTATGTGTATACAGTACACCGACAGGAGACACGTAACTGATAAACAATGGACAACAGCCCAGGGAGGACGGTACCTGTGGGAAAAGAACAGTCGGGGTGCTGTCCACATTCATCAGTGGACATCAATTACCCCTCCCTATTGGTTAATTAGGTTAGCGACCATATATACTTTTTGTATATATATATATATCTCCGTATATAATAGTAATAATAGAACATCCCGATCGCCAGGGTTTATGGAGCAGACAACAGAGTCTAAGTCACGTGCGCTACCCGTCTCCCCAGGGTTATCAAAAGTTTTTCTGTTTTCTCCTTTTTTTTTTCCTTTTTTTGCAAAATTAAATCGTTTTTCCTTTTGTTTTTTCTTCTCTCAGCCAGACACAAAAGCTCCAACCCCAGTCATTCATTAATCAACAAAAGCGCCGTATTTCTGTTCCTTTCAATTCACACATTTCTCACTGTTTTTACATTCGCTCCCTCCCAAAGTCACAAGGTTTACTCACAGTTAAAGATCAAAAAATGTCTGGATCACCAAACCCTAGCACCAAACTCAACTCTTTCCCCGAGTTCATCTCTCCCATGAGTCCTGTACAATTCAACAGAATTAACTCTCATTTTCCTCCTTTGAATCCCAACAAATCTTACCGAGGTGTCTATGAGCGTTGTGGCTTCGATGTTTACAAAGCGCCAGCATCAGCCTCCAGCTCACCAAATATCGACAAATTCCATAACGATAACAAGAAGTTCAACAAACCCCCAACTTTAAAACAGCTTTCCAAGCGCCCCAGCTTGCCAGATATGAATGAAAATCAGCTGTACGCTCCTCCTAACCCACATAATCATACTTTGCGCAATAAACATTCGAATTCCTCCCTCACCTCTTTGCAAAATGGTATGATATCTCCAAAATCCCCTTCCAGCGTCGGGTCTCAATCTAGCAGATCATCTCTTCGAAGCGCTTTTTTCAAACCGTTCCGCAAGAATACTGGCAATCAATCATCAGGTATCGATAACCTGTCTTCCCATGCCTCGATTTCTACTGCCGGTACCGCACCATCTATCGGTGGTAAACTAAATCAAAAGATCCCATTAAGCGCCGGTAACTCCCCGCTTGCTAACGATTTTCAAAAGCCTTTCCCATCAAATGGCTCATCCCCAAGTCTTAACTATCCACAGTCTCCTTCAAGCGTCGAATCATTTCCAAGGAATCATCTCGCTCAAAACCCAAACCAAAAACCTAAAGGTTTGGGTATCGCGAAAAATGGTGTTCCGGTCAACAGCGTCATTAACGGGAACTCTATCAATATGAATAGTTCAAAGTTCACAGCCGATAACAATGGGACATTTGACAACAACAGCCCTGGTCCAAGAAATACGATGGCTGCCCCAGCTCCGCCTTCTACTTCTAGCTCTGCTACGGCCACTCCAGGCTCTCCACGTTTCAATAAATCACATGGAATATCAAATTCTCCACGCATTGGTGGTCCCGGTCTAGGACCTGCTCCTAACTCTCCAAGGTTTGGTGGGCTTTCCGTGAATGGTAATGTTGTGACTGCCCCAAGCTCTCCAGGTTTGAATTCTGATAAAAAAAGTAGTAGCATTGTTTACAATGGTTATTTCAACAAACATATTAATCTGGTTATTGCCTCCCCAAATTTGAATAAAGCTAATCTGTCTCTGGAAGAATTGTTCAACGCTGACGATGGCATGGCGCCTCACGATAGCAATCATGAAACTGTTTCGTCTCTGTCTACAAATATTGCATTTGGTTATGGTGGCGAAAATAATCACGCGACCGACTATCAAGATGGTTTCTTGAATGATATCAAACGTCATTTCTCTAACTCTTCAGACTCGTCCGATGATGGCTTTGAAACGAGAAGTGAAATCAGTGTTGCTGAGAAAAACTCTAATGAAGAAACTTCCGATGAAATTACAGAAACCGCGGCCACTAGTGCCAACAATAGCGAAAAGAGTCACAACTCTCTCGGTTCTCATGGAAATGAGAACCATGGAAATGAGAATGAAGTTCTTGTCACCACTAATGATGCCAAAAATAAGCCTTCGTATTTGGATTCTGACGATGGTGATGACGACGACAGTTTATTTGGTGACATTAGACGTAATAATACCACAAAGTCTAATAATTCTATCGTCAACGCCTACGAAGAATTTGACACTAGTAAAGCCCCAGAATTGCCAAAGATCAGTATTGCTCCAAACAGTGAATATGACGAAAGATATCATATTTCTTCTAATAGCACAGTCGCTTTTAAGGATTATGCCACTGACGACGATGACAAAAGATATATTTCTTCCAATAAGACTGTCGCATTCAAGGATGATGTCGCTGGGGAAGATGACGATATGAAAACGGCGGCTGAAAAAAATCAGGCCAAATTGATGAGAAAATTGACGACCAAGTTAAATAGAATTTCAGGGCAATTTGGCTTAAACTTAGAAAATAGTACCAAGAATAAGCATAACAGTGTTGCATCTAGTATTTATTCAGTTGATGACTTGGAACATTCTCCAACTGAAGAGCCTTCCGGAAAGCAGTTGGAAGAAAATATCTTTGACAAAGAAAACCTTTATAATTCTCCTATTCCTGAAGACGTGAAGTCACTGGACAGTGAACACTCTGACGAGGATTTGTTGGATGATATCAAATCAATGAAGTCTGCTACTCCATCTGTATACTTGCCTCAGGGTCTTCCGGGTCATGAGTTCAATTCATCCAGTGCTCCAGCGTTGCCAACCATTACAGTCACTGAACAGCACGGCTCACCAGATGCTCCTAAAGGAGATGAAACCAGTTTGGCCAAGTCATTGTTTAGAGATCTTCAAAAGAAAACAAGTGTTACCACTACCAATTCTAGCTCTTCCGGCTCAACCATTCAGTCTGACTCGATGACTAGTAGTGGCCAGCAAGGTGGTTTCACCAGCTACGAGCAATATAATACTCCAATTCCTGCGGGCTTTAGTGCCAATACCACCGCTCCATTGAACTCTCGCACTGGGTCCTTCAGCAGCATTTCTCATAATAATATGGGTAGCGCTTCCATCACTGCCAATACTAGCATGACTAGCCTTGGAAATGGCAATATTGGATTGATGAAATCCAGAAGTCAGATCAGTGTTGCCTCTGAGCTTAGTGATTCTCACTTTTCTACTGTTGATACAAAGGCAGCTAATAATACCAATAATGGTGGCAAACATAGTGACGGGTTACAAGGTTTTATCAATAGTTCTCATGGAAGCTTTGGAAGTGAAGGGGGCATTTTAGTGCCAGGGAATCCAGGAAGTGGTGCCAATAGTGATATTTCCCGTAGCAACACTTTGGACAGTATTAATTCTACTGGTAGTGATGACTCCATCCTCAGAAAGATCGTTAATATGGAAGAAAGAGTTGATGTGAGTGCTCACAGTCATGGCAGTCATGAAGATTACACAAGGGATACTTTTGATATGATGGCTGAGGAGGATGTTTCCGAAAAGCCTTTGAATGTTGGCAGCAATCCAAACTTGAATGTTACAAGTGATGCTATCTCAAGCTGCAGTACTGTGTCAGGGGCCAATTCTATCAATTCTATTTCTAACTCAACTATCGACTTTCAAAATAAGGATGTTCCAATTGCAAATCGTATTCAAATGGGAAGAGTTGAATTGAAAGATATTTCTGAATTAAATAAAAGCAACCGAAACTTGAACGAACACCAACATGATACCCCAGCCTTAACCCATCAGAACCACGATAACGGCTCACTGGTCTCGGTCTCTAACACTATTTCACTGACCCACAATACCAGCGTTGATCAACTGAATCAATCTCTTGTGGTTTCTCCACAACAAGTTATGCACAAAACTCCACAGCAACAGCACCAACATGTCTTTAGTGATAATATTGGACCTCAAAAAATATCATCAGATGAAAAATTTCCTCCTGATTATGAGTTACCTTCGCCGTCTTCAATTGTTTCCCACGTTAGTGATGATCCAGATATGAAACGTACTAGTGCAGTTACTATGGAAGATGACTATCCACGCTATCCATCAGGTGAAGGCCCATGCCGTAAATGTGGCCTTGATATTACTGGGAAGTCCATTTGGTCAAAAGATCACCAAATGTCTGGTCGTTGGCACCGTGCTTGCTTTAGTTGTTATAGATGTGAAAAGGTGTTCAACAAAGGTACCACATGTTATGTCATCAATGATAAACCATATTGCTACTATGATTTCCATTTCTTGAACCATTCTCTCTGCAAGATTTGTGATGATGGTATTGAAGGTAAATGTCTTGAAAACAATAATGGTGAAAGATTCCATCCAGATTGTTTGAAGTGTGTGAAGTGTGGGGTTTTCATCATGAAGGATTACTTTGTTTTGGATGGTAAACCATTATGTGAAAAAGATGGTCTTCACGAAATTGAAGTGGAACAGGCAAATATGCAAAATGATAGGTTACAATATGGTTCTAATGGCGAAGGAGCTGATAATGGTGAATTGAAGGTGACTCTGAAGGTTGAGAAGCGTCGTACATTTTTATTGGAGTTACCTGAAACACAACCAATCTAATTATTTTTTGCCCCACCCCCCAGCACCCATTCCTCTTGTATATTTAGTTATTTCATTTTTCTTTTATTGTATTCTGCTTGTTTTTGCTTTGTTTTGTATTTTTTGATTTTTTTTTTTCCTTTGTTCCTTTGAGATGCTTTATAGAGATTTCCATTTTGAGTACTTTTGATTTTTCTTGGCTAGTTCATTGCCAGCTATTCTGAGATCAAAATATCACATACATATATTCGTATATGTAGATATATTCGATCTGTTATTTACAGACATTTCTTTATTTATTTACTAACCTCTCCTTTATTACTGGCCACTTTTATATAAGCTTTTTTTTCCAAGTGTTATTTTTTTTTCTCCAGACTCTTTGTTGATAGATTTTTCCACATATATGTACATGAACAATTTCATGTAACAATAATAATTTTTGTGTAACAATTGACATGTCACAAGTATTGGCACTTTCCTATATTGTGTTAACTTCTGAATAGTAATAAGGTTAATGTTCGCTTCAAAAATCATTACTTTTTTTGAATAGTGCGTCTAAACACTATTGTTACTACATGAAAGGATTCAACTTCCTTGGCTACTCATCGTTATAATGCTACTAGCTCTTATGTTAATATAATGAATGAGCAAAAGAATAGGAATGGTTCCCAAGTGCAAAAAATTAAAATCTCGGTAAAAATAATGAAGGATGCGAGATTCGAACTCGCGCATCTTACGATAATCGATTGCACAACTGCTAAGCAGAAGAAGAAAACATATTTCTTGAGTCGATCGCCTTAGACCGCTCGGCCAACCCTCCGTTATGTACTCAAATAACTTCTACAAAGGCTGTCAATATTAATATTTAAATACCATGTGTATGGTATATACAATTCATTCATTCATTCATTCATTCATTCATGGTATATATCCTTAATAATCTTGATTGTTGAGTTTTTTACCGGTGATGTGATTAATTCTTAAAGCAAGGAGTGTGAGGTTGTGAGAAAGTTATAGTATTTTACTTATCTATTAGAAAGACTGGCATGAAATGCCCGGCTTGCATGTTATTTAGAACCTCTGTGACTCGTTAATATACAATTCATTCATTCATATGGTATATATAACAACTATATGGGTATATTTTATTAGGCACCATTTCAATGATATATGCCTAATAAATATGAATCCATAGAAATCTTCTGGTGTATGGCTGTAGTTTAGGCAATTTAGGAGCAAGGAGCTTCTAATAGTCTAGAAGGGAAAATTTTACTATAAAGGATGGCTAAATTATTTAATAACTCTAACAAGTAAACTATATAGTGGAGAGAGAAATAAACATTGAGTTGACAGACCCGAAAGAATCTTATCATAGTAATGAGTTCAGGAAGTGATTCCTGCTGCTAATCAACAAGCGGGTGACTCTAGCTCAGCTAGATACTCCCAACAGAATCCCTGCAGGATTCGCCATACCACCTGTATGTTTGATTACCCTCTTCTATATCGGCCAAGGTCTTTTGAAAGTTGACTTCGTTAAAAATTTTCCTTATTTATAGTTTACTCTAAGAACACATCTAGATTTACAAATACAAGATCCTAACAATTTGAGATCCATAAACAAAAAAATAATTCCGCTGCTTGTAATCAGCAGAAAAAGGGCCGAGCAGGGAATTGAACCCTGGACCTCTCGCATACTCATGATATTTGTACTCAAGCTAAAGCTCAAGTTCGCAACCCAAAGCGAGAATCATACCACTAGACCACGCGGCCGAAGTTGAAATTACTAATTATAGTTTGATGTAATAGTTATAGGTAATAATACACGGGCTCATAACCTTTTCTCACATTTTCACATTGCACCTTTTTTCCTTAATAATCTTGATTGTTGAGTTTTTTTTACCGGTGATGTGAGGTTGTGAGAAAGTTATCGTATTTTACTTACCTATTAGAAAGACCGGCATGGAATGCCCGGCTTGTATGTTATTTAGAACCTCTGTGACTCGTTAATATACAATTTGATTTGATTTGACATAACCGCAGATACTTCCACTACTTTTGTAGCTTTTGACGATTAATAGTCACTACTATCATGTATATAGAATAATCAAGACTCACAACCAAATCCCTGTTTATATACTATTAAACGTTTATATTTACTTTATACTTAGTATTATCATTACATTAGTATCTATAAACCGACATTTAGTTCTCCGTCTATTAGCAATCCCTGGCTCGTTGATGTAAGTTGTTTCTATAGCAAAATGTAGCGTATTATTATAAAAAATAATGTAAAATGTATATAAAAAAAAAAACTGGATGTTGAACCCCCTTATATAACAAATACAACAGAGCAGCGTGTTTCTACCCAATGATAGGCAATAATAAGTGATAAGGATAATAACGGGTAAAATATAAAGAAGATAGAAATAAGTAGCTAAATTCAACAATAGTAATAAGGTTTTTGAAAAAAGGAGCCTCTATATGATTCAAATATAGCAACATTATAAAATTACTATTATTATCATTGCTATAACCCTTCCCATGTTTCAAAATATATACTATGTCACTTTTCATCCCCTTTGCGATAAATATTAACAATTAAGTTGTAATATAAGTTTGTTATCATGTTAATCGAAAGATTGTAAGACTTATATTGTAATTCGAACTACTAACTATTATATCGAGTGAGATAAAATAAATTGATAAAGTAAGTATAAATAGTGTGTAACGTACAAAACTTGAAGATCTAAGAATAATATACAAGAAGGTAAAAAACGAGAACTATAGCAAGTCGCAGAAGATAATTAGTATAATGGAAGATAATATGATCTAATGAAAAATAATAAGAATTAATATGATAGCTAAATCTGACAACGTTGGCAATATTATGATGATCATTGCTATTATTTAATTCATGAATCATGCTACATAAGTATTTCGGTGCCAATAATTCGTATTTCAAGCTGCTGCACCAGTCTTTCAGAAAGGTACCAGGATTAATGATGAATCATTATTTGGTGGGTGCACTAGTGGCTGTATATATTTTCAAGTTACAGATACACAGTCGCTTATCACTGTTATCTTGTATGGTTTATGGTGTAGTTACTTCTCAAATCATTAGTAAATTCCAATAAATGGGGCCTCCAGTGCGAACGTTCTTGGAATGCCAGGTATGGTAACGCCCATATCCCGAATTGACTAAAAAATAGCTATCAAATCATATCAAATTTTTCACCCAATAAATTCTTTTTTTTTTTCAGACTTCTTCTTGCAATAACTTTTAATATTTCCATTCTTCTCTTTCATTGTGCTAATGCACTTGATATATATATTTTTAATCTAAATATCGCACAATTTGATATCCTATATATTTAGAAACTTCTCTTAGATACTAAATCATTGTTCCAACAATACCAATGGCAAGTCATGAGCAGTTTGTTGAAGTTAATGAATGCATAAGAATGTTGGATATTTCGCTATGCACGACGGCCATGTGTGCACACTAACAGACTGTGGGAAATAAGGTAGGTCATAGTGTTTATATGGAACATCATTTCCTGTCCACAATTTAATAGTAGCTTAATCAGTCATTGAATTCTTCATCTCTCTGAAAAGAAGACCATGAAGTTTTCTCAGTCAGCACTCTTATTGTTCCTCTCATTGACGGATGCATATCCGGTGAACCGCATTATTCAACAGCATCTCGCAGAAAGAGATTCTACGCCCAACACGACAACATCAATGCCATCAAAATCAGTTCAGCTAGACTTTAGCATCAAAAATTCCTTTACTGAAGATGTGGTGTCTGTCCTTAGTGATATTAATGAAAAAAGCGTTGTTACCAGTGATGTGGACGCCAATATCTCTTCTGATGCGGTTTCTACATTTCCTAGTAACCTTGAGGTGGTAATCAGTAACAAGATGAGCCAATATGTTGCACAAATGTATATTGGATCCAACAAGCAGGCAATTGAGGTCGATATTGATACTGGCTCTTCGGACCTATGGGTTCCAGCAAGTGGAACCACTTCAGGGTATGGGACCTTTGACAAATCCACATCAACAACTTACAAGAAAATCGCCGATGGTTTCAGTATCAAATACAGTGACAGCAATTATGCCAAGGGGGAATGGGGTGAAGATACGGTATATTTGGGTTCCACTGATGGTTTCGAACTAAGAAGCTTCCAATTCGCAGTAGCCACAAATCAAACAGCAGGAAAGCCTATACTAGGGCTTGGCCTTAAAGGGAATGAAATGACAACTTACATAACCACAAATTCTGCTGGTCAGAAGGTGAAAGTGACAGGAAAAAAGTACGATAATTTCCCATTTGCTCTCAAGGACCAAGGGATCATTGACAAGGTATCATATTCTGTTTACTTGAACTCAAAAGATGCCAGCAGCGGAACCATCATATTTGGTGAAATCGATACAAGTAAATATCAAGGTACTATGAAAACCTTTGACTTGATCAAGGTAAATGATGCCAATCAAAAAGTAACCGGCGATCCTGTGGCATTTTTTGCCAATTTGGGAGGTATCAAAGATGCCGATGGTAACGTTTTTACCTCGACAAAATACCCAGCGTTGCTTGACTCAGGAACAACTTTAATTTCTGCACCACAGGAAGTACAGAAAGCAGTTGTTTCCAAATATGGGAGATATGATTTGAAGCAAAAGACTTACCTTACTGATTGTGATACCGGTGGGCCTGATTTTACTTTCACTTTTACTGATGCCATGGATGGTACAGATATCAATATCTCGGTCCCTTTTAAGAATTTCCTATATCCTTTGAGTAATTATAATTATAATGGTAAAGCGCAATGTCTATTAGGATTCAGCGGAAACACCAGGGGATCTTATATCTTGGGAGATGCCTTTTTGAGACTGGCGTACGTGTATTATGATTTAGAGAATTTCCAACTAGGCATCGCTCAAGCCAAATTTTGATTTTAATTCTGTGTTTCACTACTTTTATTTTTTTTTTATCTTTCGACAATTAAAGTCTGCTATATCTTGCATCTTATACCATTTCTAATAAAGCTATCTTAAGCTTTTTTTGTCCCCTTTTAATTTCGTTGCTATTAAAACATAAACGCTCACATTTTGATTCTCATTTGAGGATGTAAGTTTCAGAAAAATAAAAAGAGAATTTTACAGTTATTAATCAAGATGATGGAATGCAGGTATCGAGCACAAATATTTAAATCGTGAATGATTTCATGATTACATGCATGTTTAAAAATCCCCACAGATCAGGACTTGCGCAAGAGGAATGAAACCCATTCTCAAGACTTGGCACCTTGACGTTAGAAATTGAAGCCCAAAATTAGTAACAGTGATGTATGAGGAGAGAGAGAGAGAGAGAGAGAGAGAGAACTACGTTAGAGCAAAAAAAAACAATGGGAATTGGGTGAAAAATCCAAATCAAGAGACATAAACGAAAGCACAAACAAGCATACGTTACCAAATAAAAAAAAAACCAAGACAAATCAAATATATATATGAATGAAATAAACAAACTTCAACCCTAAAAAAATATCATTATAAATCCCAAAAAATGAATATAGAAAAAATGAATATAGAAAAAAAAAAAAGGCAACCATGTTTCATTGGTTATCCTATCCAGAGTTATCATAAAATTTCTTGAAAATGAAATTGAGGAAGGTGTCTGTGTTGAATTTCACAATACCATCGTATATCTCAACAAAATCTTTATTTTCATACTGAAACAACAATAAATCATCCAAGCTTAATTTTGCAATTGCATCAGGAATTGGAACCGAACCACTGGCAGCCTCAATTAGAAACACACCTACTTCGTCACAACTGAACATGAAATCAACCTTGGGTAACTCCAAACCAATAACTCCGCATTTGACTCCTTTAAGCTCTCCTAATATTCCTTGATCTGAAAGATATTTAGCAGAGTATTTATATGATCCAAACTTTGGAGTCTTTCCTTGACGTCGAAGCTCACGCTGGTAGAAATATTGTTTGGAAAAAAATGGAAAAAGCTTTTTCTTGCTTTGAGTTGGCTGTGATTGAAGCGATGCCATGGCTTTAGAAATTGAATCATTATACACATCAAGAATCTTCTTGAGCCTTTTCTCCTTGTCTTCAATACCCTTTAATACCTTCTCTGCCCCTTTTATCTGTTCTTTCTTAGATAATCTTTGATGCTTCTTGGCTCTAATATCATAGGCAATTTCATTGATCAATTGTTGGAAGTTATTTTCTCTTTCCAAAATCCCCATTGATTCTAATTCCAATATTTTTTCTAGAGCAAGGCATTTCAAATCATGATAACTCATTTTCAAAAGATCACCAAGAGATCCCTGGCTAGCATTTGTGTAAATATTCTTCTCACTCTTTTCCTTTGCCTCATTATGAATGATCTGTGCAAATTTCTTTTCATCGACTGGACCTATTTTGGACAATAAAAGGTCAAGAAGATTGCGACCACCTTGCACTTGAAGCATATAAATCACACAACGTTTTGCCTGAATAAGTAAAGCATTTTTCTTAGACCCGTTGTACTCGCTTTCCATATCTTTAATAACAGGATCCAAAGTAAGCCTAAACTCTTTAGCTCCAATTAAATGTTTCAAGCTCTTGTGTGATTGTTTGGAAACTTCATCGAGTTCACTTAAATACTTGTTCATGAGATCTTCTTTAGGCAGCAATAAATCAGAATTATTACTAATAAGCGAGGTTATCTTGGACAAATCTTCTACTTCAATCAATAAGGTTGGCTTTTTGTAGAGACTAAGGTCATCAAGAACTGACATTTCATACAATTTCTCAATGTTGCAATTACTCTTAATCGTAAGCCTTTTCAAAATCTTTTCCACTAATACACTTTGCGATTCAATATACTCATTCAATGGTTGCAAATAGACTTCTTCAATGGAGAATGGCACCATGAGGGTCATCTGACCAAGAAGCTTGGCGATCTTATGGAGATTACCCTTGAACTTGAGTGTTGTTGAGGTGTTTAAAGTTGTTAAGGTGATACCATAGTTCTCAGGACTTACCACGATTGAGTTCAAATAAAGATCCACAAGTATATAACCACATATCGACAAAATTAGCTTCTCACTAATTGTATCTTGAAATTTTGATTTCAAGCTAAAAAACATTGAGGACATCATCACTTTTAAAAACAATGGAAGGATATCAATTTTTTCCCAAATCAATTCAAAGAAGCTATTACTGAGCTCACGGAGTTGGGCCAAGTTCTTCACAAATTGATTTCTCACCTCTGGCTTCTGAATAGCCTCTTCAACAGTAATTCTGGTATGGACGGGCTTATCTTCATCTTCGAGAATCGATTGGTAGATCTTAAGTGGGTCACTTTCAAGAGACAAATTTTCAATATCAGCAACAGAGCTAATCAAAGACCCGAATAAATTCTTCAAAATGTTCTTCTGCTTTGGAGTCCGAATGAAAGAATTGAATAATTTCTGCCACATTGTACCTGAATTTTCAATGTACCGATTTGCAAAATCATTAATAGACGTCGAATTTTCGATATCAAACTTGATCATATCCGTCAAAAACCTCATAAATAGGAATTCTTCTCGTTTGAATACCCCTTTATATTCATCAGTAGATTTCCTGGTAGGGCTGCCCCTTCTTTTTGGACTCATAGATCTGGCACTGGCATATCCCAAGCCACAACCACCATGATTGAAAACTTTCAAGATATTCAACTGTATTTCTTTTAAGTGTTGATTGTCGCCTTTCCCGAACTCATACTTGTTGACAATATTGATGAAATATTTCGGTTCTGTTTGCAATAAATAGAACAATTTTTGATGAATTTCAATTCTAACTCTTGTGATCTTGTTTAGAGAATTGATGTCTAAATTTCCCAAATTTGGATCCAAGTCAACTTTGTAACCCTGGTAACCATTATTACGTTGACGAACTAACTCATCAAGTGTAATCTTATTCTTGACGAGCAAGGCAATCTTGATATCAAGCTCCTTATTAGTTTGTTCAAGCATCTCGGTCTCCTTAGTTTTGTGAACGATTTTTGCATTAAGTTGATTGAAATATATCTCATCTTGAAAATCTTTATCAGTATCATTGAGTAAATGGGCAAACTTCGCAATCACTCCTATTGGAGGGTTCGACATAGTCAACAACTTCTTATAAGCATCGGTGAAATCCTTTCCCTTAATTAAAGATTGAATCTTAATCACTTTATCAACATTAGCCAAATAGTATTCATCCCGTTTGCGGTCAGCATCACGTTTAAGATTACCTCGAATCTTGCTTTGAACAGAAATGATCAGTGTCTCATGGTCCTCCAACTCATCTAAAAACATATCTTGACCAAACCTTGCAAGTAACCCTCTAATTGCAGCTTGAATATATGTAATATCTTCTGAGCCTTCTTTCCTTAGACGCGCCTTGAAACTATTCACAGAATCTCTAGTTTGGTTACCTCGGATAATTGCTGTTAATTTACTTGCCTTGTTTTCACACAAATCCAAAGTGTCTAAAGTAGCATTCAATTTGATTCTGGAAGCACCACCTCTCGAAATTGCTTGAAGCTCGGTAATGGGTGAGCGGCAATTGTTAAGATATTGTAGCATCTTTCTGAATTTCTTTTCGTATAATATCATTCTGACCTTGGATTGGAAAGCTATTATTGACGAAGAGGCGTCTGCAAGGTTCTTCAAGTTTGATTGGTGTTTTTGGGAGAAGATTTTTCTTCGAATCATCGCCTGGAGTTTTGTAATTGAGGAAGAAGTAAAATCAAGAGTTTTCAAACAATGAACAAGATCTTTTCTAATTAATCCCCCCCTGATTACTGATTGAAGTTCGATTAAAGAGGTCGCAGAACCAAAAGCTTCCCTGATATTTTTTTCAAAAAGTCTTTTGTATAATACCCTTCTTATAACGGATTGGAGTTTAATGATAGATTCTAATGACTCAGTGCAGCCTAGATCATCAAGTTGAGTCAAAAGGTGGGATCTCAATAGAGTGCCTCTGATACATGATTGGAAAACAACAATATGATCAATGTTTTTCCTGTGTATTTTTTTCACTGAGTGCCTTAGTACTTTTCTTGTCATAGCACCTCTTATAAACGATTGAAGTTCGATCACTGATGGTGTTGTCTTCTGGATTTTTGACTCTTTAATAAACGGACCGTTTCTAAATTTTTTGGCCCTAAAAATAGATTGTATATCTCTAAGATACTCCTCATTGGCTTTTAGAACCATTTTCTGAACAAACATTCTATAACGAAAAATTGATCCCCTTGCTAAAGATTGGAATCTTATCACACTTTTTAGTACAAGTTCAAGCTCCTCATTTGTTGGTTCTGGATCTTCAGATTCAGGCTCAGACTCTACCTTCTTTGTCACTGAGAGCGGAACAGATTTTCGTTTTGGACTAGCTGGTGCTCTGCTGTTGTAATTTTCATCATCATAATCAATGAAAGATTTATTTCTGAAACTTAAGCCTTTGTTTGGGGAATTCGATCTTACCAGAGTTTCATTTGATTGCTCTTTTTTCACTGAATTGAAGTTAGGTAAGTGGGCTCCATTCAAGGCTTTTTGTGAAGCACTAATTTCCTCATCTGTAAACTCTAACTTCCCCACCAACTCTGTCATCTGAGGAGCTTTTTCATCTTGGGCCAACAAGAAACTGAGAGCATGGATACAGAAAATCACTTTGGGTATATTTTTCTTATCGTATAAATCTGTCAATTCGAATCTAAACAACTCTGGGATTTCGACTATATCAAGAAATTGAAAAAAATTATTGATGTTTTCGGTATGTCTAAATTGCAACTTCTTTGATGAGGGAATTATTTTTCTCACAAGTTCGGGGACAAAAGCTCTGGTCAATTTTGCGAGAATCACTCCATCTCTGAACCCATCGTTACAAAGCTCAGCTTCTGAAGGCAATTCTTCTTCAATGCAGTTTTCAATCCATCTCTTTGCTTCGCCAACACGACAAAGGTATTCGTACCCTTGCAATGATTGTCTTTGATTGTCAAACCATGAAGCATTCAAGTTCTCGTCTGAGGCTTTTTTAGTAAACTTCTTCCTTCCCCTGAGACCAGTGACATCACTTGGCTCTTCTTCTTTTAGTAAATTATTGCGTGGAGTCGGTAAGTTAGATTTTAGTGATGTGATTCTGCCCAGATTGGCGACGTTTTTATTCTCTCGCAATGGACTGCTACTAAAGATTCTCAGGGCAAAGTTATTGCTTGCACTTGTTGCTGTGGTAGACCCTCCTTCAATATTTTGGAGATACCTATTGGCTATATTCCCCCTTGCCATAGTGGCTATTCCTTTTTTTTAGAAATTTTTATTTAGGCGAGAGAAACAAACAAATGGATTGGAGGTAGATGTTTTTGCAAAGGAGATCGAAAAAAAAAAAAAAAAACCTTCTAATCGCACCTTCCGCTTTCGGAAAATTGTAAACAAACCAATGCGTCGGGTCTATCGGAAACACGAACCTTGCAAAGTAATTATCAATTTTTGCTGTTACGGTTGGAAACGAAATATGGTACATACGTATTATACAGTAAAAAGAAAAAGAATTCTAAATAGCCTTGCTCACTGATTTATCACCCCCTTATGCGTTAATGCAGACACATATTCAATGAGCTTCTTTGGGTCTTTGGCATCGGGATGCTCATCGATAATTTGAAATAAAATATCAAGCTGCTCCTTGGGAATGTCATTAAAGGCTCTGGCCAAATATTCCTTGGAGGTTTCTTTGGGTACCATTTTATTTCTTTGGTTCCCGATCGTCTTGACTTCATTCTTGATATCATCAACAAATGTCTGATCGGGAATATAATCCTTCTTGACAGTGAAAATTAGATAGAGTTTCGGTAGTTTTGGCATGAACTTAAAGTTGACAATTGATCTTAAAAATTCGGGAAGATGTTCCTTCGAATCGGCATCAATCGGAGTAAGATAGATATCTTTGATATATGATTTTCTTGGATTTTTAATTACCCCATATCTGGATTTTGACTTGAAATAATCGAAAACCTCGACATAATTTTCACGATTTTCGTCAGTTTCAATGAGTTCGGAAAGTATAATATTTCTTGTTGACGCAATTTCACGAAGATAATCCTCGGCCCTTCTTTTATCTAATCTACCTTCAAGTTCAAGCAGCTGGTTCAAATTCAATAACGCATAACAAATATCCGATGATCGTGTAGATTGCGGATCAGAGTTCCCACAAAAAACTACCTCTGTATAGAAATCCGGCAAGTCTGCCAACTGAATATGGCCTTGCCAAAACACTGGTTCATTTTCCTTACTATCGTTTTCTGATATTTGCTTCATCTCGCCCTCATCATATATAACATCCAGATTAGTGCCCAAAATTTCATCTAGCCCGGTATCATCCACACTACCAATAGAATTCTCAATTTCTTCATAGCCTTGGTTGACAGCAAAATGAACTTGCTTTTTTTTTACACTCCGTTTTCTTGGGTCTTTTGAGGAAGTGGTAGGTTTTTTTTCGTTTTCCTGCTTTCCTTTGATATCAATAGCGATCGGATCATCATAAGTTTTTGTATCATCTGAATTTTGACCTTTCCCGCCAGAAAAAAAGACCAAGTTTTCTTCATTGAAATTATCACCTTCATCTTCAATTATTTCATCACCTTTGTGGGTTTTCTTCATCTTAGGAACTTGACTTGTAGGTTTTAACGTGCTTTCTGCAATCTTCTGTTTAATAGATTCTATTCTAAATTTCTGCATTTCAGGATTAATCAATTCTTCTGTTTTCATTTCAACAAGTTCTACTAGCTCCAAGTCTCCGGTAATCAATCTATCTCTAAGAAAAGTGTTTTTCCTGTCTCTTAAAGAAGCAAACAAATTTCTGAATCTTTCTCTATATTTTGTCCCTGGATCAGTTTGATTTGTTGTATCATTCAATTTGTTATAAAGTAGATCTTCAAGCGTTCTACCCCACTGGGTGATATCGCTCTCGTTTGGGATTGCGTCCTCCATTTGTGGGATTATACAATCTTTGTAGATTTTCTTGAACCGCTCAATGACCCCGTCTCGCACTTTCATTTCTTGCATCAATGCTTCGTTCCGTTTGGAACGACTGCCAGACTTCTTTGACTTAGAATTTTTGTGCATTTTTTCCAGCTCTTCCTGTACATCATATCCATCTATTTGCTTATCAGTTTGACTTTCATAATTGTAGTCAGTATCATTATCACTGTCAAGTTCACCATTAACATGTTTTTCTACATCTGTTGCTCTTGTATTTATTCCTTGAGCCTCTATTTCGGCAAAGTATGTTTCTGGAGATAACTTGTGTTTAATATTGGCAAAAGATTTTGGAGAACAAATCTCACAAAAATACATATTAGGGGCTTTTCTTCTTGAAGAACCAAACATGCATTTTAAATGTTGCCAGGATAAGCACAGTTCACATTCAATCATCGTCCCATTTTCGTCTTCTTCTTCATCATAATTGGCATCAATGACACCACATACCAAGCACCGCACTTCCTCAAAAACTTTTTCGTTTTCTGACTTGCTAGCATGGTTATCTCGGTTCAGATCTTTGGACTCTTCTTGTCGTTGCTTTTTCGTGTTTGCGAGTGTTGCTGACGATGCAGGATGAGACTTGCGCTTGCCAGAAGACTTTCCTAACTCATCCTCAAACTTTCTTGATACCTCCAACCGTGGGTTCTGGCCTTTATTTCCCCTGGAGGATCTCCTGACGTCCGCCATCATTGACAGTTCTATCGATACCTATCTATCAATCATCACCGGTTGTTGTTTTTTGTTGTTTTTTCCGCCGTTTTTTCTCTTCCGCCCTACGGATGCGTCTCAACCTTCCCGGAATAGCTCTGACGGCGAGACGGCCGCACCACAGTTACCTAGATTCCGCAGATCCGGCCGGAGACGGACACATGTACTAAATTTTTAAAGAAAAAAAAAAAAATTGTTTATCTTCGATTTTATCATTACTGCCACGGTGTGTCTCTTAACTGGCTCAGTTTCATTTCCCCTTCACTTCCTTCAGTTAGCTTTTCAGCTACTTTTGTTTGTTTGTCTCCCTTGGTTTCGTTTCAGTTCAATTCCTCTTATTGTTTTAAAGCGTTGATCAAATAGTGAACCAGTTGTCATCATCTCTCATCCGCTTATAGCCACCAAAAAAAAAAATTCAAAAATTCAAAAATTCAAAAAACCTTTTTCGGTGCTGTTTTCAATTCTTTGAGAGATTATTTCCTCTTCTTCTTTCTTCTTATTCTTCTTCTACTTCTTGTTTTTGTACTTTTTTTGCAACCTTCTTTTATTGAACCTCCTTTGATTTGTTGCTGTTGATTTGATTCTTGGCGAAGTTTTTCTTCCAGAAGACCACGTTGCACATCCGAATCTGTTCCTTGATCTACAGCCATAGTGACCTCTTTATAAACTACCTTTACCCTCTTTAAATATTCAATTTCATTTCACTTCATCCTTTGCCTTATTACCATTCTTCTAAAGCTGTTTGGTCTCATCTTCATACCATAATTGTCACACACATACACACACACACGCCAATTCTTTTTCTTCAATTATGCAAAATAATTACTCTTATGACATGTCTTATAATCCTCTTTTGCAACAACAAATGATGGTAGGTTCCCCTTACATGCCACAGAAACCAAATCCATATGGATCCCAAAATGGTTTCAGTAGTTTTGGTGGTGTCCCTTCTAATCCTGGTGCTCAAGGTCCTCCAATGAACCCAAGTCAATTTGCCAATAGCATCCCTATGGGTCAGCTCCATATGGAAAGAAATGATCAGTTCAACAACTCTAATGCGCCTTATATGCAAGAGGGCTACCCTCCTCATGATTTCAATGAATACAACATGACCAATAACTTTGCCAACTCACAAAGCAGTTTAAATGAAATCCACAACCTTAACAGCAATGGTATTGATGGAGGAATGAACAATATGGGATCTTATGGGGATTCTGCCGGCGATTTACACAGCATGAACTCTGGATTGAATAGTTTGGGTGCCAATTCTGGCTCTTTGGCTAACATGCCTCCTGGGGACGCCGCGTCTCCAAACATTAACCAGCAAAATCCTGTTGGCCAACAGAGAGCAAACTCCTTCATGGGTAACCCAGGTAATGACTTGATAGGTACTAGTGCTCCTAGCCGTACAGTCTACTTAGGAAATGTTCCTCCTGATATCACCCCTGAAGAATTATTGAACCATGTCAGAAGTGGTATCATTGAAAATGTGAGAATTTTACCAGCGAAGATGTGTGCCTTTATTTCCTTCATTGACGAAAGCTCAGCTTTATTGTTCCATTCTGATGCCATTTTGAAACGTCTCACCATTAAAAGCAATGATATTAGAATCGGCTGGGGTAAATCCACGCAAATTGCTCCCGCAGTTTTGAACAGTATTCAAAGAGATGGAGCTACTAGAAATGTATATTTGGGTAACTTGAATAAAGATATAACTCTGGAAGAATTGAAACAAGATTTGTCAAAGTTTGGCCAGATTGATACTATCAAGATTTTACCTGACAAAGGGGTTGCCTTTGTTCACTTTTTGAGCATTTTGAGTGCCGTTAGGGTCGTCCAGCAATTGCCTTTAGAGGAGAAATATGTCAATAAGAAAGTCTTTTATGGTAAAGATAGATGTGCATTCATCACCAAAACTCAGCAGCATAATGCTGCCCAATATCTTGGTTTGGCACCTGGTATGGAACACTTGGTAACTGCGGCAGACAGAGATTTCATTTCTAATGCGTTAGTTCAGCAGTCTGCTGCTGCTGCTGCAATTGCAACCAGTGCAGGCGGGGCGAACAACTTGGGTAACAGAACTGTTTACTTGGGAAATTTGCACCCAGATTCGTCTATCGAAGAAATTTGTAATGTTGTCAGAGGTGGTTTATTGCAAACAATCAGATATTTATCCGAAAGACACGTTTGTTTCATAACTTTTATTGATCCAATTGCTGCTGCACAGTTTTTTGCCATGTGTCATTTACACGGATTAACAATCCACAACAGAAGAGTTAAAGTTGGTTGGGGTAAGCACTCTGGCCCATTGCCAAATCCAATCGCATTGGCAGTATCCTCTGGTGCCTCAAGAAACATTTACATCGGTAACATCGAAAGAGATTTGGAAACTTTATTCAACGAACCAAAGTTGAGACAAGATTTCAGTAAATTTGGGGAAATTGAGCAAATTAACTTTTTGCCAGAGAAGAAGTGTGCGTTTGTAAATTTCACAAACATCGCTAATGCTATCAAGGCTATTGATGGAATCAAAATGAATGATGATTACAAAAATTTCAAGATCAATTACGGTAAAGATAGATGTGGTAATATGCCAAGGCAATTTCAATCTCTTAACAGCAATTCCGTCGCTGCCAATGGTACTTTAGCAGGTATCCCTGGCGCAGGTGTTGCCACCCCCGATGCTCCCTCCTCTGCTGGTTTCCCAGACTCTGTTGCCAGTGATATTGGTGCTTCTCCCGCTCCTATCATCTCTTTGGATTCTGTAGGTAATCCTAGCGATATTTCAGCAGAAGAAGCAAATGGAACTGCCTCGGAAGTAGACCTCACTACCGATGTTTGAATAGTGCTTGATCAATTTTCATTTCATTTCATTTTATTTTGCACTCCAGTTTTTTTTTTGCTTTTTCCTTTCCCCCCCCCCCTTTTTGTTTTGTGAAAAATAGAAGCTGTCAAGTTTTGTGATTTTGTTGTTGGATATAACGTTGTCGTCATGTTTTTCTTTTCTTTTATTTTCTCTTTCAATTTGTGACAAAGTACTCTTTTTCTTTGAGTTTAGCGTAATTATTGTTGTTAATATATGTGAAAAAAAAATATTTCTTCATCTAAAAATACCAACTTCTGTTCCTCTCCTAAATGTACTTCCTATGTCTTGATGGCAAAAAAAATTTGCCACCATTTTGATGAAAAAATTTCACCGAACCTGGGACTCGAACCCAGAATCTCCTGATTAGAAGTCAGACGCCCTAACCAATTAGGCTAGCCCGGCTTTCTTGCTTTGTGTTATATTACGATGCGACTATACTAGATGTAGTTCGTCACGGGTTAGTTAAGGGCATGAGGGGATCACTTTTCGGATTTGACACACAAAAAGTGGAAAATGTTGAAGAGAAATATCAAGAATTTGTCAAAATCTACACCATTGAAAAGTTTTTCAAATTTTATACAAATTCCCATTTAATTAATGAATTCTCAAGATTGAAACAATCTAATATTGCAGAGGAGGATTACATTAAATTTATTATGAGCCATCAAGATAAACAAAAAATCATGATGTCATTTATTATCCCACCTGAAGTCTACCGGAAGTATGAACTTGATGATCATTTGAGTTCAATAAAGGATGCCTTCCAAAAATTAATCGATGTTAAATTAACCAACATTGAAACTGATTTGAATGATAATGATGATATCAACTTCATCAAGAAAGCTTTAATTGAAGCTCAAAACTACTTGTTTATTTCAAATGAAACTATTTGTCTCAAATCCTCACTTATCCCAATATTGAAAGGTCAATTACAAACTAAGAATGAAAAGTTACGTAATGCATTTATTGATTTTGTCACTAGCCATTTAAGTGTTGACATTGAACAATCCACTTACAAGCCACGCATCAATATCAATAAGAATGATAAAGAAATCCAATTGATTGAGATAACAGCCTTGGAAACAACCCCCGACTATTTTGTCGATGCTACCATCAAGCAAGCGCTTGACCTAGCCCAAATTGAACCAACATCATTCTCAGTGATTAAAAGTGACATGACTAAAAGACCTAACGAGGAGCTTAAAAATCGTTACATTTATGGTTACTTGGAAATGGAACCAGGAAAACAAATCCCGGTTATTCACCAAGACAACATTGTTTCTAAAGTTATTACTAAATGCTTACACTGTATCAATTGTGGTTCAAGAGAACACACCAGATACAATTGCAAGCAAGCATCTTGCGCGATTTGCAAAAAGCCTAGCCATGTAGCTAAAGACTGTTACTTTAAGCGGCCAAAGAAAAATGTTACAGATGATCGTCATGAGAACCCCAAACAGAAGCAAAATCAACCACCAGTGATTGAAGTTCCTTCTACCGAGTTCACCATGGTTCATGGTTCATCTAGATCCAGACAGTCAAAACCACCACAAAATGAACTGAGCAATTTATGGAAGAATCCATTCCACCAATTGGGATTAATATCCAAAGAAAGAGATGATGATTATGAAAATATTCAAACTACCACACCAGCTATCAACAGAAAGCATCAAATCACCCCTCCTCCGGTTAATCAAGTTAGAAAGGCCTCCAAAAAGAAGGCATCCGTCAAACCAAAGAAAATCCTTCAAAGGGAGAAACCAGCTGAAACCAAGCAAGAGTCAGCAAAACCAGGAATTAAGTTGAATGTGTTTAGATCCCATCCAATTACCCCAAAATCTAATCAAACCTTGTCCAACCCAACTTCTACCCCAGCTTCTACTCCAAAATCTACCCCAAAATCTACCCCAAAATCTACCCCAATCTCTACCCCAATTTTGACCAAAATTAACACCACCAAGCCTTCAGCACCAAAACCATTTGTACCAAAATCTATTAAGTTAGTCATTAAAGACCCACACCCAACAGTGACATCAAAACTGGCACAAACTGGCTCTAAAGAGCCAACCCTGTCTGAATCAAGTGCAGAACCTGATAATGATAATGACGAAGAATATGATGAGGAGTATGAAAATGATGGAGAATACATCTATGATGCAAAAGACGAATATGAGGATTCAGAAGAATATGAGCAGGATGAAATGCTACTGGGTGATGAAATTCCAGTACATGAGAAAACAGAATTAACACCAACCAATGATGATTTGTCAACTCTGGAAGCTGATGCAACCAGAAACAAACAGACAAATCAAAATTCCAATGAATAAACATAATGATTATTAAAATCAATACTCAAAATATACAACGGAGTCGTATCAGCGACCAGTTGGTAATAAGTTTCACCCAAAAATCCAATGTGTCTTTGCTCCAAGAACTAAATCTATCAGAAGACTTTTCGTTTCAGTTCGATAACAAAGTCATATACTATAATTCAACCTGTTCCAGAACAGCAATAATTGTTGATGATTCTATTCCAGTGTTAGGATCCAAATTAGCAGGTATTACTGTCCAACATGAACTCCAAAAACACATCACGGATGTCTTAATTGAATTAGAAAATAACCAAGCACTCTGGATTATAAACTTGTATAATCCAAATCAATACCAAAAGCAAAATCAGATCCATGATCAGCTCAAACTCAGTTTACTTGCCCAACATCAGAATCTTCAAACTAGATTCCCAGGAAAGACAATCAACATCATGTTAGCTGGTGATTTTAATAATTTTATTGATCGTTCGGACTCCCTAAATTATAGAAGCCGTGAAGACTCAGTTGCTGAATCCTTAACTAATCTCATTACTTTGTTGAACTTGAAGGACTCATTCAATTCAATCAAACATAACATCAAGAAAACATTCACTAATAAAGCATCAGAATTAGGGAAAAGCCGGAGATTGGATAGGTTCTATATCACTGGGAGCTTCTTAAAAACAAAGAAAACAAATGGAATATGACACAAACAAATCATTTTGGGAAAAGATCCACACATGATTCAGTTACAGTGGAGTTGACTTTAACTTCATCCAAGGCTTACTATAATATGAAGAGATATAGATTAACCGATAGAATCATTAATGTTCTCAGGCACCAATCTATAAATGAAGATATCCAAGGAACCGATGAATTAATAATTGATATTAAATGCAAAGCAGAAAAACTCAAACACATGTTGAAAAAAGTGAAAGTGCCTGAACTTGATAAAGTGACGGAATATTATCAACATATTAACCAAGTTTTCCACCAATATCAAGAACAACGCCCAATAAAACAGCTAAAAGATGTAGAAGGGACACTAGTTCAATCTCATGAAGAGATAATGAAAATAGCAACTGAATATTATATGGACTTGTTTGATGGAACCAGAGGAACAAAGGACACAAAAAAAATACATAAATATCTTCAGGACGTGATTCCAACCCAAGGAATATCTCCTGAAGAGAAGAGAAAAATGGATTCCTCCATAACAATGGAAGAACTCAAACTGGCAATTGATTCGGCAAATTTGAAGTCCACACCGGGCATAGATGGAATCCCATACAAATTTTATAAGGAATTATTTCCCCAAATCAAACACATCCTTCTTCAAGAATTTAACCACATTCTAACTGAAGGAAATTTACCATTCCACTACCGAACTATACTCTTTAACATCATACCAAAGCCTGGAAAGTCAAAAGAAAACATTGGAAACTATAGGCCGATAGCCCTTATCAACACTAATCTTCGATTATTATCCACAATAATTAATAATAGGTTGTTGAAGCACTTGCCTGATATCATAGGGGAAGATCAAGCTGGTTTTATTCCAGGCCGGTCATCGTTCTCCAACATCACCATTTTCAGAGAAATGTTAGATAGTCTAATTCATCCAAAAGATAAAACGCATATAATACCAAATCCACAAAAGCTGATACTAATTGTGGATTTGGAGAAAGCGTTCGATAGGATATCTCACGAATATATGGAACAACTATTGTCCCATTTAAATTTTGGAAAAAAATTAGCCAAGTTAATCATCAACATCCTCAAGCAGACAACGGGATCCTTATACATCAACAACATGACCGGCCCATTATTCAATTTAAAAAATGGTACCCTCCAAGGTAATCCGTTTTCCCCTTCATTATTTGCATTAGCAGTAGAACCTTTACTACGATCTATCAAACAGAATACCAGAGGCCATAGTTACCAAGGAGATTTGATACCTGAAGCATATAGCAGTCAACATTATCTTGCTTTTGCTGATGATATCACAGTTTTCCTCAAAGATAAAAGAGATTATTCCAAAACAATGAAATGTATTAGACTATTTGAAAAATTCAGTGGCAGCAAACTCAATGAAAAGAAATCCCAACTAATCATACCAACTGATACTTATCCATTTTTGACACCATTCCCATTTGAGATTGCTGATGAAAACTTTCAATTGACATATTTGGGGATAACTATTGGGCCATCAGTGACATTTTGGCCGGAAACATTGCAGCGTGACCTCTATATCAAGTACAAGTTATCAAACATGACCAGCTTGCTGATTCAATCAAAAATAGAAGCATTCAACACATATATTGCATCCAAGTTCTATTACAAAGAACTACACCAACCTTTGTTACCCAATCAGTTGAATCAAATTGACACATCGATTAAATTATTGGTCAAGCAAGATACACCTATTTCTTTGGACACACTCAAGACACACAACAACAAAGGCGGTTTCTCAATGATTGATTTAAAGTCTCAACTCCAACACCGAAGAGCTAAAATTTTCCAGGATTTGTTTTTGGATAGTCACACTAAATATAACCAGATATTACGTTTCAAAATTCAATCAAGTATCAACAACATCATTCAAAAAACATCACCAACAAAATCACCAAAGGAAGATTATATCAAAACTCATTATTGGTGGGTGGT